GGAAATTGAAAGGTGATCCTTGTTTTGAGAGAAGAAAGAAAAAATGGATTACTAAGTCAAGTATTGTTACAAAGGGGAAGGTATTACAAAAGTGCCCCTAAAGCAGTTTTTATATTTGTCCATTTGGTTTCATCCCTGGATAGCCTTCTGGTATTAGCAGCCGTCTGATATCTTCGGATGAATTGGGATCGAGCTTGGGTTTTCAGCTCTTGATCTAATTCAGCCTCATTCTTGGTATATTTCTCAAGCAGACGCTGCTCATTGGTAATTTGCTTATCCAGGGTAGATTGTTCCTTCTTTAGCTCCCGCAATTCTGCCTCCTTTTTCTGAATAGCTTCATCAACTTGAGCTTTCGTGCTAAGGAGACCACCCAGCCTTCCAGTAGTCTGCTGAAGAGATTCTCGGGTCTTAGCCAAAGAATTCTCCAGCGTTGTTTGATCGAAGTCGGGCTGGGGGGTTTCGGTTGACAGGAGTCCAATGACTAACACTTCAGTCTTGAGCTCTGTAAGTCTTTCCATCAGCCGATGCAGAATGGGGACGGCTGGCGATTCCGTTGGAGTGTAAAAAAGAAGGCCACCAACCGTTTGAATGAGTTTGTCCAATAAGTCGGATCTCAATTCTGACAGGGGATGGTTAATGGCCTCAGTGAATATGGTTCGGGCCTCCGCCGGAACCGGAACAGTCGATAGGACAGCTAAGTCCGAAGGCCCCTGCAAGTCCTACAATGTCAATAAGTATTCCAAGGGAGGTGCAAATTTATTCAGATAAGATATGTGTTACGTCTGGGCGGACTGCTGTCAGTGAGGGGGGCAGCAATGAGGTCGGTCGAGTAGGGCAGACAACTGGTATAACAGCAGCCGACTCGTCGGCTGCTGCGTATGGTCGCTGAGGTGCCGACCTGGGTCCCTATGGAAAGTAGTATATAGAACAGTTAGTGTTTTCTGAAGGAAACATTGTAGCATGGATTGGTTTAATCTTACCAAATTCACAGAAGTCTCCGAATCGGACGAAGACACTTCTTCCATTTCTGGAGGTTGGGCTGCCACAGGTGGTTCTTCTGCCTGCCACTCGATGGCTAGAGGGAGCGCCGCTGCTGGTTGGGCGGCTGCAGGTTGGGCGGCTGCATCTAGAGCCACTGCAGCCGGGATCTCTGGAGCACCTGAGATAGCCGCAGCTGGGACACCTTCGATTTTGGGATCAGCAGCATCAAGGATGTCGTCTTGAGGGTCAGTTTCGGCGAGGGCGGCTGGTTGTTCCTGCAGAATGGATGAGTCTGATGCCATGTATGGCGGTCGACCCATCTGGGAAGTAGTCCCCTCGCTGTCAGAAGAGACCCCTGCTGCTGATGCGATGGGTGAAGGTGTCTGTGAAAAATCATGGAAATGTTTGTTGTTAAATATATCAAGGTTGATCATTAGAATCCTAAGTATTGCTGATGAGAGAACTTACTGGTTCTATAGGCACTGCTGGTAAAGATTGCCTCCTGGTCGGGTGCCTGGCCCAACCACTCCTCGGTACGGGAGGAAGAGTTTGCCTCCTCATCGGGTCCTCCGCCCGACTGCTCATTGGCAAATGGGTCTGGACCAAAGGCCCGATTGAATGGTCGGCTGGGACTGGTGTTGCTTGTGTGGTCGGTATTACCAAAGTCGGCTCTGAGGAATGAAATGAGTGACATCAAAGTTAAGATATAGTGAATTGGTTCACGGTTGTAAGGAAAAAATTACCTATTCGGGGTCGGGTCCTTGCGGACATCCTCGTAGTTCCAAGGTCCGCTGGTGCTTGTTGGTCGGCCCCAGAGGTCGGGGGTGTTGGCAGCTGGGACGCTTTCCTTTTTCGCGTTGGAACACTAGACCCGATCCCCGGGGCGGCTGTTTGTTGTTGAGTGCTAGTATGTCTAGCCGCCCCTAGAACCAATCCTTGGGGGGGAAGGAGTATGTTCAGCAACCGACCCTCATCAGGGGAGATCAGGGGCCATACAACCGACCACCATTCATTGAATGTTTCTACAGTCTCAGGGTTGGAGCGGAAAGGAATATAAGAATTGGAAGTTATATACGTGGTGAGCTGGGAGATATAAGAAGGGATTGAATTCGGTAGGACTCGTCGGTCAGGGCTTTGAAAAATTATATGCGGACACGCGACGGGTCCAGGGATACCTTGGCAACAGCCGAACTGGCGCGCCATGAATTGAGGTTCATAATTAAAAGTGTAAAAGGTTTTCTGCCCCTTTTTATCAAGTTTTTTGCTACTAAAAAGAGACCTGGGTTTGAGGGCAACGTCCCAGGCAAAAGGATAAGTGGAATGAGGACAAGGCTCAGGAGTCGGAAGCGGATTTGGTACTGGAAAAGGCCAAAAATGGTCGGGAGCATAGCCCGCATACTTTTTATACATAGAAAATCGAGAGTTACTGCGGGTATCTGTTAAAACTGCGATTATTATTGGATCGGAAGATTGGAGTTTATTGCGTCCCGAGCAGAGTCGGTTGAGGGCTAATCCCAAATGTTTTTCAGATGTTGGCATAGTGGGCGGAGATCCTAAGTTGAACGCATTGGGGAAGTAAAGACGGAACCAAAGTTCTAAAAACCAAAAAGGACCCGATGCGGCAGTGTCTAATTTTCTACTATCATTATCTGTCAGACGAAGGCTAACTCTAGTAAGTCCTTCAAACAGATTGGCTAAAAACAGAGTGCCAAGGGAAAAGAACCGACCTGACGCGATATGAATGGCCAGGTCGAGATGAGAAGGAAGTTAATCAGGCGTGTTGCAGTAACTGGTGCAGTTGCTAAGGGACTTTTTCAAGAAGGTAGTGATTTATGAACTTCCAAACATTGATTGTTAAATGGCGTTTGAAAGTCCCTGGCGGCGGGCAAGTTGTTACGTACGAAATTTAGAATTAGGTTAAAAGCCCAAGGTAAAAAGAAGAATGGGCCTGGCAATAGAGTTGATTGAACTGACTGAAGGGCACCATGAGGAAATCAAGGAAAATAGGTTTATTACTAAGGAAGGTCCTCAGGTCGGAAGGTCTTCAGGTCGGTAGGTCCTCAAGTCGGAAGGTTTTCAGGTCGGGAAGTCCTCAAGGCGGAAAGACCTCAAGTCGGAAGGTTTTCAGGTCGGGAGGTCCTCAAGATGGAAAGACCTCAAGTCGGAAGGTTTTCAGGTCGGGAAGTCCTCAAGGCGGAAAGACCTCAAGTCGGAAGGTTTTCAGGTTGGGAGGTCCTCAAGACGGAAAGACCTCAAGTCGGAAGGTTTTCAGGTCGGGAAGTCCTCAAGGCGGAAAGACCTCAAGTCGGAAGGTTTTCAGGTCGGGAGGTCCTCAAGACGGAAAGACCTCAAGTCGGAAGGTTTTCAGGTCGGGAAGTCCTCAAGGCAGAAAGACCTCAAGTCGGAAGGTTTTCAGGTCGGGAGGTCCTCAAGACGGAAAGACCTCAAGTCGGAAGGTTTTCAGGTCGGGAAGTCCTCAAGGCGGAAAGACCTCAAGCCAGATGGTTCGCAAGTCGGGAGGATTGGCAGTCGGACCCATACTATTGTAGATTGGCAGTCGGGCCAAAAGAGCGGAAGGTCTGTGGTCGGCTCAAAGAGTGAAATATAGGGATAATTTTGGTCTGCTGGGGACGCGTGTCAGCATGAGAAGGGTTGGAAGACGGTTGGGAAGGAGACGTTGTAACCGTTCGGGTGACGGTTTTCGGTACGGTTTCCCAGAGAATATTTAAAGGCTTGGATAATCATTTGGCAAGGTATCTTCAATCAACTTCAACAAAGCAAAGTCAGATTTGGGGATCACCACTTTAAATTTCAGTCTTTTATTTTCCAATTTATTTTCTGTACCATACAGTGTTTAGAGATTCCTAATCTCAGGCACTAATTAATCAAGTTTAAGGATATTTTCTATATCTTTGAATTTTACTTTATTTTTGTTGAAAAATTACATCAACACAACGTCATCAATTTAGATTTATTTTTAAACAGTGAAACTAAAAGTAATTGAAATAATTTATATTTGAATCAAAATTGATGAATTTTTTTATATTTATATTGAGACCAAAATTGATTTTTTCCCTAAAAATAAATACAAAACGCAGCATAGATAAGATTTAGTATGTTTGGTTAATTTTCAATTTTGGTTACTATAATTTCATTTTTTTCCCTCATATATTTTATCAATTAAGGTGTGTTCTTTTATTACATTTCTACTGATTATTAATTTTTTCTTAAAATATAAATCAAATATTTATTTATTATTTTAATATTATATTAAAATTTATATTTATATTTAAAATATTACATTAATATTTATTTTTTAATTAAATATTTTATTTGTTATTTTTAATATTATATTAAAATTAAATTTATATTTAAAATATTATATTAATTTAAAAAAACGTGAAGATAATTGAAAAAAGAAATATAATTTGATAGGGTAAAATGAAATATATATATAAATATAATTAATTATTTTTAAATTTAAGAATATTAGAAAATATTGTATAGTATTTGGAAGTGAATGAGAGAATACATTTTATTAATATTAAAATATATATTTTTTTAAATTTAAATTTGATAGTAATTACTTTTTTTCATCGTTCAAATTTATTACTTGTCCCAAAAGTATAGTCTTATTGTGTTGAGCGCGATTTAAAAAATATTGATATTATATTGGTAGTCGGTAAAAAGTAAGGATAAATGATGTTTTTGCTATTACGAGTATATTAGTGTAAAAAGTAGTGACAATTGTCTAACAATAATAAAAAAATAGGAATACTTTTACGATAATATGATTATTTATGTAAATAAGACTATTGTTTTAAAATGAACAGTAAACAACACTACTATTGTATTAAAACGAACGGAGTATCACATTTTTTTTAAATTGTCATTTAAATTTATTTTCATTTATTTTGACGTAAAAAAATATCATTTTTTTTTATTCCAAAAAAATAAATTTTTTATTTTACTTCTTTCTTTTTAAAACTTTTGTCCGTAAAATGAGCACACATAACGGCGGAGCCGAGTATAACTTTTATGAGGCGGCTGGGTAGGGTAGGGCTGGGCCGTACACACACGCAACTCAAAGCAAAGCACGGTGCCCGTGAGGCCCGCCCGAATCCTGATAGCTCATGGCCGCCGGCGACGTGGCCGGCCGCAAACTGTCGGCATGCTGCATATCGCACGAGTTCTACAAAGCGGCTTCTAAGTACCCTGATAAAATCGCCGTTATCCACGCCGCTGGATTTGGGGGAATAGTCCGTGATTCCGCCTCCGGCGACCGGACGAGGGATAGTGGCGGCATCGAAACTTCGGACGCGGCGGCGTCATATTCCGGATCGTCCGTGTATGATGGAGACGAGCGTTTCACTTTCTCTGAAATTCTCTGCGCCGTCGAGAATCTCGGTTCGAGACTAAGGCACATTCTCGATGGCGGAGAAGATGCACACTTGCTTACAACCCAGCCGGGTAGGTTTCGTACGCATACAAACACTCAACGATTGAAGTATATGAAAGTTAGTAGTATGGACCTGAAATTTTGGTTATGTTATGGCATTGTTTTTGAACGATGTTGAAGTTAATTTGTTATGTTAATTCTGTATAACTGAGTATTTGCTGATATTAAGTAACACTTGTTTAGCGATATAAAGAGAGTTTTGCTAATCGTTTTTAGTTCTACAATATATGCTCTGTGTTTTTGTGATTGAGGCTTAGGGCTTCATCATCGGAAAACTGCCCACTTTTCCATCTGGATAGAAATCCTTAACATTAGGCAACTTTTACAGTACCAGTAGAGCAATTGGTTTGGTTTGACCTTTGCAGAGAGGACTGTTAAACTGTTGTGAATTTTTTAGTCTGCCAATTTGTGTATATATTTCATGATAAGTGAAACTATATCATAGAGGTTTTTCAAGTATTTGGCTCTAATTCAAATTTGATTTGTTTTAACTGAGTTGCATTTTGAAAATACTGCAGCTAATATTTCTTGCGAAAAGCCCAACAATGTCTCTGATTATCTCCAAACTTCAAGTGCAAGTGAACAGCAGTTGAATAAGTCCATGCGAAATCCAAAGGTTGTAGGAATATATATGGAACCATCGGTTGAGTACATTGTGGCAGTGCTTTCCGTTTTAAGATGTGGCGAAGCATTCATGCCCTTAGATACCAGCTGGCCAAAAGCAAGGATATTATCTATTTTGTCCTATTCAAAAGCTGATCTCGTCATCAGGGTAGATTCGACAACGGACGGCTATTCCTTTCGCGGGATTGATAAGTGGCTTACTAATGAAGGATATTGTCCTGTTCTGCCTGTTTCTATTAAGGACAGTATCAGAAAACAACCCACTCCATCACGATTAGCGTGGCCTTGTAAATGTGAAAGATTGAGATCATTCTGTTACTTGATTTATACTTCTGGATCTAGCGGAAAGCCTAAAGGTGTATGTGGAACTGAAGCAGGTGTGGCTTCATGCCAGTATTCTTCCATTAACCACAAAATTTTATTTTCTGAACTAGACTTCTGCAGGATTATAACCTCATCTCACTTTCAGAATCTAGTTTAATTGTATTATTTAATCACACCATGTCCTCATGATACCCCCCTCTGTAGGTCTTCTTAATCGCTTTCTATGGATGCAAGAAATGTACCCGCCGGATGAAGGTGATGTGATGCTTTTCAAAACAGCAATAAGCTTCATTGATCACATGCAAGAATATATTGGAGCTATGCTTTCTACTTGTACGTTGGTGATACCTCCTTTCAAACAGCTAAAAGATAACATGTTTAATGTCGTAGACTTTTTACAGGTACATGATGCAAGTTGAGTTACAAGATAATTTGTGGAGCAGTTGTTTCTACTTAATATGGCAAGAAGTACATAATTTATTTGTTAATTTTGATAAAATACTGCAAGAAAAATAATAATAATTAAAAATTCATGTTTTCCTTTAACAAGAAGTGGTAGTTAACATTGTCCATGGCTGATCTTTATTCTGCATCCCTTCTTAGTACACCTCTTAATTTCTGGTTATCAAGACCCAATATAATGACTAGAATATGCATTTTCTGATGATAACACCCAGCCATTTTATCCTATGCATTCAGATGTCCTACAACCTTAATTTTATGTTAAAGAAAGTTCCCTTCCAAACATTTGCTCTTCCTCCATGTAGGCATCAGTAGCATTTACTCTAAGCCACTATCAGCAACAATAAATACCCAATGGTGCACAATGCCACCTAGGTCCTCTTTGCAAATTATGTTGGCTCCCTGTTGGGTAGATTCCTTATGAATGAAAAAACAAATATTTGTAATCCACCTGGTTTGATCATTCGCTACGTTGATTCTTTCTCACCGCTGGCTTTGTCCCTTCCAATTGCTGTGGTTCTCTATCTCAAGTAATTTGTTGCCGTCAAAGTTCATTCAGTAGAATTCTGCAATGTTTGCTAGTAAACTAAACATTTGGAAACCGTAAGTATCTGCACTAAATATATTAGTTATAAGGTGATCAAGATCCCTGTCATGTCTTTGTGGCCAAGAGATTTTGGGATTACTTGAGTTTCGGTACAATATTGGCTGCTGAAAATACAAAAGGCCATTTAGGTAGCCAAATTTGGGCTATCATTATGCATAATAATTTTAAGGTGGATTTGTTTGTGCTTGAATTGCTAGGGTCGACTATCTACTATCTTAGGTTGTGACTGTCGCTAGAATGGCTACAGTTTAGGACAGCAAGTTGGTGAAAACTATTTTTCAACTGCGTGGCATTTTATATCAACCTATATTTGCGTCTAGACTGTTCCATACTTTATTCCATATTAATATATGAAAATTAAGAAGAATGCAAAGACTGAAAATAGTTTTTTCCACCAGAAGAAAAATATAAGTATATATACAAGAACAAAGGAAGAGTAGATACTTAAACCTGTTAACCTTATTGCACCACCCGTCCAATTTTAACTTTCCATTATGATTTGTCATGGGGTTTCAACTGGAGTTGAAAAAGTGAAAAGTTGGGTATCTTATATTATTACTTCATACTTGTAGTTGAAAATTAGTGGTTTTACACTTACACGATTTTTTTGGATGTATGTATAGCAAATGGAGTCGTCAGATCATAGTTGTCAATATCACCGCAATAGCAGCGTAGCGTAGCGGAAAGACACTTTTTCGCTACAGTCGTTCCGCAATTCCGCGTTTACGCAATAGCGGCGTAGCAGCCTGTAGCAGCATTCCGTTACACTATGCTAGACCGCTATTATAGTTCATTGGGTTATTTTTAAACATTTAAATAATTGAAATCTAATTTTAATTTATAAAAAATATATATATATATTTTTATTATTATAATAACATTTATCTTGAAGTTTTAACTAAATTTTTAGTTTCATTCCAATAAAAAAAACAAATTAGAAAGCCAAAAATTGCAAGATTTGATTTATATCAGGTATAACAAAAATTTGTTAGATCGTTATGGTAGCGATAATGTAATTAGTCCTATTATGAACGATATTGATGATTCCAATGAGTGGTTAATTAAAGAAGTTGATAATTGCGTAGGATGAATTAGTCTTTTGACAATGATAATTTGACTACGGAAGTTGTTGTTGATGCTACTGGAATTAACGGGCCTACTATAAGTACTTTTAGCTCTAAAAGGAGAAATAATATTATGTAAAATGACAAACATATAATAGAATAAATAGATGAAAATGAAGAAGATGAGGAATAATATATAGGCAATAGTAATTAAGCAGTCAGGGTGACAAAAATGAGGAAGAAAATTCTTTATCAAATTTTGGATCTAATTAGCTTTGATATATATATCTATCACATAATAGTGATCTAATTGTTTTGAATGATAATTATGAAATTAATTTATAGGTTTTTCATTTATATTTTTGTTGTAAATTTGTATATATAATAATATATATATTTTTAAATATTTAAGTAGCGGTCATACCGCTATCCCGCTATAGCATTTTAATTGTTGATCGCTACGCACCGCTATCCGTAATTGACAACTATGCGTCAGATGCAATACTCCCATGAAAGAAGCTAAGGTTGTGAATTTTAAATGATTAAGAGTTGGGAGTGACAGTTTTCCTATTGCTGTTACTGGATATTAGAACACTGTACCATGACCTGGATATATATATATATATATATTTTACTTTTTGGGTAAGAGACTGAAGATAGTATCTAAGTCCTCTAACTTACTTGTTCCAGGGATACTCAATTAATCGGCTTGTGGTTGTGCCCTCTTTAATGAGGGCGATTCTTCCATCATTGAAAAGCCCAGTTAATGTAGCAATTAGTGGTTCTCTGAAGCTGCTGGTGCTAAGTGGTGAAGTGCTTCAAATTCCCATGTGCAAGATGCTTCTGAAGTTGCTGCCCAATACTGTGATTTTGAATCTGTATGGCAGCACAGAGGTTAGATTTGGAATTCATATCATTATATGTTCATTCGAGCCTCTGGGTTTTAGCAATATATATGATCATTAAGTATGAAAATAATTTCTAATTGAAGATTTTGAAGAACTGAAATCTGGAACCTGCAAGTACTAGAATTAATGGATCTTGTACTACAATCCTTGATTTTATATGCAAACAAATGCCTTTTCTTCTCTCTTTTATGAGTGCAGATGTCTGCCTGTGTGCCTTAATTGTTAGTCGCTATGAGAATCTTACTATTGCATGGTCTGATAAATTTCTGTGGCTCAATTGTGGAGTTATATATTTTACATTACATTGTTAAGTGAAAGGCGTTTTCCATAATTTCTAATTGTTGTGAAATGTATTATTTGAAGGTGACAGGCGACTGCACATATTTTGATTGCAGAAGGTTGTCGCAGATTCTGGAAAAGGAGGTTCTGAGCAGTGTCCCAATTGGCTCACCTTTGGCTAACTGTGATGTGGTGCTTGTTGGTGAAGATGCACCACATCAAGGGGAGATATATGTGTCCGGAGTATGTGTTGCAGCAGGTTACTTTAACTATCCTAACGTTGTAGCATTTGGAGATGGTAATTTGCTTCAAGAACATAACACCAGGGGCAGAGTTCAACATTTCTTCAGAACTGGTGATTACGCCAAAAGGCTCCCAAGTGGTGATTTGGTTTTTCTTGGAAGAAAGGATCGTATATTAAAGTTCAATGGGCACCGCATTGCTCTTGAGGAGATTGAGGGGGCATTTAGGGATCACCCTGATGTCGTTGATGCTGCAGTGTTATCCCGCGTGGTTGATGGAGATATATTACTCCTTGAAGCACATGTGGTGACAGAAAGAGCTGCGGGAAATGAGCTTTTGGAAACTTCTCTTAGGAATTGGCTAATGGGCAAACTTCCACATATCATGATACCAAGTTGCATATTTTTCACCCCATCACTACCTTTCACTTCTTCGGGAAAAATTGACTACTTGTCACTAGCTGCTTCTAAGATTCCTGACCACCAAGCTGGGATAAATATTAAAGAGATTCCTCGGGATAACCTGATACAAGTTATCAAACAGGTTTTCCTTGCAAACCATATAATATTATTAAGCATGCTTTCTTTTTATTTAGATTATTAATTTTTCTTCATTTACATATCTGCATATGCAAATTTCAAGAAATTTTGTATTCTCTTTTGTTACTCGAAGCATGATGCTATGCTAGTCGATGTACTACCTTCTGTGTAATATTTTTAAAATTTAAGTAGGTTGGCTATGCTTTCAAATTTAAACAACTTTGCATCTCTCAATAGATTTTAAAAAAATAAAAAAAAATTAGAAAATAATTGTCTTCTCCAAAGATCTTCTGATAGTTATTGAACATGCATCAATGGCATTACACAAAAATAGTTACTTTCTAATAGTAAAACCATTTCTAGCATGGTTATTCCTCTCTCTCTCTCTTGCTACTTCAAATTGGTTCCAGTGTTTAGGCAGTAGAGAACAAATTAACTGTCACGTAACAGAGTTTACAGATATAGATGACAGCATTTTTCTTCTTGCAAACTGTCTCTCGTACATCCTTTGTTGAATTTGCTTCTCAGAGAGTTTTTCTAAACGAATCTTTTTATGCTTTAATTGCTTCTTGTTTACTGATTTGTCCTCATTCTCTAGCCTCACTATTTGATAACCTAAAACTATTGTTTCATGATTCAAATGCTGAATTCTTTTGTGTGAATTGATAACTGACTCCTAGATAGTTAATATTACTCGAATCTTGGGCACATCAAAGATTGCTTCTCTGGAGAAGTCTCTTACTTTCAGTTTTTCAGGTTGTTTTGGATGCCCTAATGGTTGAGAAGGTTTCCTCTGATGATGACTTTTTTGTGTTGGGCGGAAATTCCATTTCTGCTGCATATGTTTCTTTCAAGTTGGGAATCCATATGAACTTGCTGTACACCCATCCGACTCCAAGGAGCCTTCAAATGGCCCTTGCATCGTCCAGCTTGTCGGGAGGAATTGATTCTTACTCTGGAGTGAATTCAGGAAAGCTCAGAGAAATGGCTCTTTCTGGAGAGTCATTGATTTCTAATACCCAAAGCCACAACCGTCGAGAAAGGTTATGTGTGACTGATAGTGACAGGGATATTCGTAATCATGCAAAAAAATTAAAAACCAGGTTATATAGAAAGGAACAAAATTCTAGAGATAATTTGTGGAATCCCACTTCAATGCACACAGATTGTTCCTTTGGTCGGTGCAACAACAGCAGACACGGACAGGAATGCGTGGAACATTTGTCCCGTGGTGCAGCCTGGTCAAATGCCATACCAATGGGTGGAAAAGGGTTTGTGCAAGAACTGTGGAAAGTTGATTTGGGTTCTTGTGTTGATGCATCTCCACTTCTGATTTTTAAAGGAAGTGACATCTATCTGTTCATTGGATCTCATTCACATATATTTGTTTGTATAGATGGAAAGAGGTATTTGCTTATGATGGGTTACTACTTCCGAAGCATTCTTTATCTTACAATCACCTGAAGATATTATAATATTGCATTAGATTTAGATTCATCACAAGGACATAAATTCTGTTATTTATGTGGTAGTGGAGTTGTTCATTGGAAGACCAAGCTAAAAGGACGTGTAGAATGCTCAGCAGCAGTTCTTGGTGACTTTTCGCAGGTTGCATTTTGTTGTGTTTATTTGACTTATCTTATTCTTGAAAATTTTCTCAAGCTTACATTAGAACTTTTGTAGGTTGTCGTTGGATGTTACCTGGGAAATATTTATTTCCTCCACTTTTCGGATGGCAGTATCATCTCGACCTTTGAAACTAATGGTGAGGTACGATATATTGTTATCTTATATCCTTTAGTTTAGCCATAAGTTGGACACTGTATGATGAATTGATATTGGTAAGTATGAAGTATTCAATTAAATTGCCTAACTTTGATAAGAAAAGAACCAAAATTAAGGTTGGAATTGACAAGCAAAGGTGGTAATTTTCCAAAAACCTTAGTTAGGTTCTGAACAAGAAAAGACCTAAAATCACTCTATCAAATCCCTATTTTGTCCTTAGATTACTCCATTAAATCTGCTATTGTTAAAGACTATTTATGACCTTTAAAAGCTATTAATTACCTTGAGTCCCTCCACTAATTTACCTATAATATCTCCTAGAATTACTTATTCTAGATTTTCTACGTACTTTCTTACCCAGTTGGTTCTCATAACTATTGTTGGATTATGTGGATGATTTTATAGTACTGTGGCTAATACAGGTAGGATTTTACTGAATCTTAGCAGTCCTGATTAATATATATATATATATATAGCTGTGCATGCTGTCTTCCGACTGTGATTATCAGATCCACATCAGAAAGCTGTGTTTCCAGTAAATAATGAAAGGGTTTTGGTTCTTCACCCTGATGATCCTACTTAAAATAGTGACTGCTCTTGAGGGCAGAAAAAACATGACAAAGCAGCTTGTAGAGTGCACCCTATACTTATTTATGCTCATTACTTTGTTCTTCATGCAACTTGTTGCACACTTTACCTGCCCAACTATGGAATTTGGCATCTGTAAAGCAGGTCATACATTCCTTTTCTTTTGCAATTTGTGTATGTGACCATCCCTTGGTGATGCAGGTTTCATAACGTGTTTGTGAGAGTGACTGCAGGAATTTAGCTTTAGCTCTCTACATTTTGCTATATTGATTTCATTTTGTTGGAACTGTCAGATTTACTTCATCCCCTTTTCTGAATTTGAAGGTAAAATCACAACCTGTGGTCGACAAGCGCAGACATTTGGTTTGGTATTTTCTTCTTCCCATTTGATTTGATTGGTTCAGGCCTTGTATTTTTGCATTGCATATTATTTTAGAAATTTCTGCATTTGGTATTTGTGCTGTTACCAGAACTTCAGGATTTCAAATGGCTTAGATTAATCTTTATTGGTTTTGATTTTGCTCATTCTCTGCTCATTACTTGCAATAGCCTTGCAATTGTTAGATGAGTAATTCTTGCTTGTTTTAGTGCTAGCGCACAACAGTCAAGATGTGCTAAAAATTTTCTACTGGTGAGACTAGTATTCCATCCATAGGGAGGGACTTCATGGTTGGACTCAAGGGTATTCATGAGGCAAACTTGATGAATGGATCTCTTTTAAGAAGTTTGCTAATGGTTGGTTCCTTCATTTATCTACTATAATATAAAGTGATATATTGACTGCATCTTGTGATGCATGGTCAATTAGGAAGCTAAAAGATCAGTTAAACAATAATTTTGATTTGAAGAAGCTTCGAGCTGCATGATGAATTTTGGGCATGTAGATATGTCACTATTATTAAGTAGGAAAGTTACATCTTTCTCAGAGCAAATACTTGACAAATGGGATTTAATGATTTAATTTGTAAAAGCGAAGCTTGTCATCATAGTGTTGACTACCCAATAGCGATTTACACGATAATGCTGATTTTTAAGATCTTTCGATAATGTCAACAACCACTACCCTTTGATTGCGTCCTGGATAAGCATTTTTTTTTATGGAAATAGTGTATTCAGTTAGTTTGTATTAATAACTAAAAGTTTGTCTAATTATATATATATATGTATGTATATCTTTTATGTGTGATATACATTGATATTTTTCATTTAGTCTACAGACAGAAAGGTTCACTTGTGCTGTATAGTTTTATAGTTGTGATATGGTTCATGTAATTAGACTCCCACTGCATGTGCTACACATTAATATGGAGGCTCTCCATATCAGTTTTTAATCTCTAATCCTTTTCCGTACATTTTACAGGTGTGGATCTTATGACCACAATCTATATGCAATTGATTACAGAAGTTACTCCTGTATTTATAAACTTAAATGTGAAGGCAGTATATTTGGTTCACCTGCAATTGATGAGGTGGGTTTCACAAAACCCTTCTAATGCATCCATAGTTAAAATGCAGGAATAATTGCTTCAGCCTTCCTACCATCCCCATCACCAAATTAGAATGCTGACAATATCTTTTTTTTCTTTAAATTCAATGAATGCACATTTTATTCACGACACCAAGAAGATACACAAGTGGCCTATATTGAAAATTTTCAGTGAATGAAAGATAGATGCCTTAGGAAATCGTAACATTAAATATTTAAACTAGGACTCTATGAGCCCAGAATACACAGGAGCCTATTTAGTATGCTTGGTTTACACCCCTCAATAGAACCTGGCTTCCGCACTGCCGAGCTGCTTCCAGACCTCCGAGGTCAGCTATGGTGGTGGTTCACCACAAACATGATTTTCACTACTTTTTGAAAGCTAGTACAGAGCTAGGTGTGGGTAGTCAAAGTATTATTTTCTTAGTATGTGTACCTAGTTTATTTTAAGTATCAGTATTCATCTGCAACTTGTAAGCATGATTTGTTCCTTCATCACTACTTAATCTCTTAGCTTATAAGCCATCCAATCTATTTTGCAGATGCAAGGAAAGCTTTATGTTGCGTTCACTAGCGGTCATATCGTTGCATTGGAAATTAAGGTTGTGGGATCTCATTTTCCAAGTTTTTAGGATCATGTTTTATACCCCGATTATCAAAATATGGAAACAAGTTGCAAAGTAACTTTTAGCTAAATATATTGCTTTGGACATATTTGGCTCGACACTACTAATTATGGTGGATTCGAAATTCCGATCTACTTCAGGATATGTGAAGTTGTGTCTGTTTATGTGGTGCAACAAGTTTAAGTTTGATTCAAAACCGCTATAATTTAGACTGCGTAGTACTTTCTCCAAGTTCTTCAGCTCCTCGACTTTTAATTATTTGAATCTTGGGGGAGTTTGTGTACACCTTTCTGATTTATGTCCTATGTTCATTAATGAAAACAGTGGTTACATATACACCACGACGACATTGTATTTTGATGCATCAATGATCATATTCTTATGTGTTACTGATTCTAGGCTGTATATTATATCAACTAGTTGTGTACAAAACATTCAATCGGTATAGTTCCACCCATTCATGCTATTCCTTTTCCTGATACATGATAAATTAGTTAGGTGTTTGTTTGATTTTTCTTTAAATTTTTGGTGAAAGTTATTTAGGACCATGTCATCTTTATCATCAATACCTCTCTTATTATAATAACTGGCACGTAAAATCCTTACAAAATTGGATGGGATAGAGGGAGAAGGATATATATGTGCTTTAAGCAAAGAGATTCCTAAACATTCTTGTAATTATCTTGAACCAGTTATCATTGATTACTCCATACGGCTTGCCTGATATGGATTTATTTTTTTTCATATAGGTTCTGTCCTTTAAGATGTTGTGGAAGAAGGACATGGGATCACCTATTTTCGGCTCTCTCGCAATCAATGAATCTGATGGAAATGGTAAGCATACATTTTATTTTTCCCTACCGCTTTATAATAACTAAGTGATTCTTTTCCATGTCCTGGCCAGTCTTGTTATCTCCACGATTAAGCTTTTTTTCTCCTCCTTTCTGTTTATATACTGGAGAGCAAATCATGTTCCATTTGTTTATTAAGTTTATGTGATGCTACAGCTTTAATTGTCTAATAGCTCAATCGATTCAAATTTATAATTTTTGCTCAGCTTACTAATATGAATCCACCACGTAATTATTAACCAACCTGTGCTTATACTTTCATTCTTACCCATTTATTCCACACCAACTGTGGGTGTTTGAACTCTCTTGCTCGTATCTTGTGGTCTTCATTGGCTGCAGTCATTTGTTGCTTGGTAGATGGGTCAGTCGTTGCCCTCAGTACATGTGGATCCATTGTTTGGAAGGTATGCAATCACTTTTACATTTACTTATCCTTTCTGTTTCCCTCACATATTGCACATTTACTTTTTTGTTTGTTTCCAATGTTTTTTTAGTTATCGTGGAATTTACAAATGATTTTAATCTGGTGCTTGTATATGTTGTGTTACAAGATTAAGCTATGATATGAATTGACGCCACATAAGAGGAAAACTAATCGGGAGAAACTTAATTAATCACTATTGTATATTTAAAATTCTCAATCTAAACTTTTTTCTTTGTCCATTTCTCATCTTTCTAACAGGTGAAAACTGGTGGACCCATATTTGCTGGACCTTGCATGTCTCGGGCATTACCATCTCAGGTAAGATGCTTCCGGTCATCAAACTAAGTATATAAACTATAGCTGCAACTGGTAACCTGAAGTGACTTTAGTTTAATGTTAGACACAGTTTTTGCGTCATATTATTTTCTGTAGTTATGAATGGCCTCATTAAGCTTAGCCTATAGTGATGCTTTATTATCTTCGAGAGAACAAAAAGAACTAAGAAAGTTATGCGAGTCTAAATCTCGATTGACTCTTCTAGTAAAGCTTATAATCTACCTGAGATAAGAGTGAAGCCCATTAATTAAAATTATGTTAATAGCTTTGAAAACTAACAAAACAGTCCAAGTTCGAGAAATTAAAATTTTACTAGACGCAAGCGCATAGATCTGAGCCTTAGTATGTATCTAAATTTGATTCACTGAACAAGTGCATTGTCACAACTGTTTAGTATTCCAATGAACTTAAGATTAGTTGGTTTACATGCGGTGCAGATATTGATATGCTCTCGAGATGGATGCATATATTCCTTCAAAACGGTGAGTCACTTTCCGCACAATTTATATCTTGAAATTGGTTTCCTACACATTTTAAGCCATATATAAACTTGATATCATGCTATTATGAGTTTTTGGGTCAACTAGAATGATGACTTGCCCATGTTGCACTCCTCGGTTTTCAATTCCGCACTCGATTCGGTGATTTGTACAAAACATTCTTATAATAAATGCAGTCTAGATTTGTACAGAAGTGAAGTGTAGCATCCAACTACAGTTCTGCAACCTAATCTTCATTCTATACCATAAGTTTCAAATATTTGGCTGCATAATTATACTCCAATCTATTCCAATGCAATTCATCATCTATTTGCGCACGAAGCGACACATAAAGGATTGATCAAATTCCAATATCTTATACCAGGAAACCGGCGAATTGATCTGGAAGCACGCAGTCGGACATCCAATCACTTCATCTCCATATGTGGATGAGAACTCCCAATTAATGTCCAACATCTCCCCTTCGCCTGACCGGTAAATTATCTCTCTATGTTCTCCGCATTCAACATCGGGTCGTGCTGGGAAATTCTTCCGTAACATTTTACTGCGGTTTTCAGGTTAATATGTGTATGTGACAGCTCCGGTAATGTTCATGTGCTAAGAGTTTCTCCGAATGCTCGTGAAGGAGCTGAGCAAAATAAGAATGAGGTTGTACAGGAATTAGCTCGATTCGAGCTGGCCGGGGACGTGTTTTCATCCCCTGTGATGATCGGGGGCAGGATTTTTGTGGGTTGTAGGGATAACAATGTATATTGTGTAAAGCTCGATGTGGAGTGACCTTTTTTCTTAGGTAAGAAACACGACACTCATGCATGTAGTTGTTATAGGGATTGAGCTTTTATTGCTTGCCTTATGAGTAGCAATATGATGTAGTATTATGGACAAAGCTGAACACAGATTATTGTTTTGGAATTTATTTAATTTTTTTTATTTATTTAAATAATGATTTGTATGTAACATTTGTAAGAAGAAATAATTATTTCTTTATTATAAGAAAAATAATTGCACAGTAAAAAACATTCGAACGTGGAGTGGACACAGATCGCAGACAGCAGGGGTTCATGCCCCCAAAATTTTGGCCTCCTTGATAACCTCTGCTTCTGGAAAAAATTTTGAAGCTAATTTGTTTTTTTTTTTTTTTAGTTTAATTAGTGAATAATTAACAAATGTATTAATAAAAATAATTATAATTTAATAAAAATAATTTTAAATTAACATTAAGATGACTAAATATTTAATTAAAATTTAAAAAATATAAATTATGAATTTTAAAAAGAGCTTCTCCAGGACGAAATTAAATTTATATTAAAATTTGATAATAAAATGGATAAACTGTATTTAAAAGGTTTTTTTTTTTTTCTAATTATTTATATAAAATAGTTAAATTGTTAAAAATATTAATTATTTGTATAACTAATAATCAGTATTCAAGGATCATCGGACAAAAAATAAATAAGAGCTGGAGTGTAGAATTATATATATTTATAAGTACAGATTATTATAAGATATTTACTAAAAATTTAATTTTAAAATAGTTGAGTAAATAAAAAAATATAATGACGAATATTATCGATTAAAATAAGTGTAATTAAATTACGAATAAGTAAAGATTTTTTACTATTGAAAATAAATTACAAAATTTTATTCTTGGCCAATTATTAATGACCGATAATTGGGCCTATTAGGCCCATAAAGACTGAACCAAGCCCAAAAGTATTATTTGATTTGGCAATAATTGTAACAATTTTCATACTTAGCCGGCGCTCTGCCACTCTACTGAAGCCTAACTGATCGCCGCCGTTGACAACCCTAGCGCCGCCCCTTCACCACCGTCAAATGGCGGAATTTCTTGATCTCGAATCGCAGGACTCCATTCGCATGCCATGGAATGTTCTCCCGGGGACGAAAGCCGACGCCGCGAACTGCGTAATCCCAGTCTCCGCCATCTACACTCCGCTGAAACCCCTCCCTTCCGCCACCCCGCTCCTCCCGTACTCCCCGCTCCGATGCCGAAATTGCCGATCCGTGATCAATCCGTTCTCGATCGTCGATTTTTCATCCGCCAACAAGATTTGGATCTGCAGCTTCTGTCTCCAGCGCAATCACTTCCCGCCGCACTACCAGTCGATAGCCGAACAGAATTTACCGGCGGAGCTCTTCCCGCAGTATACTACGATTGAGTACGACACCACTGCTAATGAGAAGGCGCAGGCTGAGATTGCTAAAGTGTTCTTATTTGTTGTGGATACTTGTGTTATTGAGGAGGAATTGGGGTTCTTGAAGTCCGCATTGTTGCAGGTTTTGTAGTGATTTTTAAGCATGATTCTAGACTAATTAGTACTAGATGCAGACTCCTTCTTTTACCTGCTTAAACTTGGATTGATTTGTACGCTAGATGGATCAACAGAGAGTAGTGAGGCAATTAACTATCAAGAACTGGTTTTTCTTATCACTTGACTAATTATTATGATTCAGATTATAGGCATGGTTCATTCAAATTATTTTAAGGAAATGTTGTCTTGCAGAGCTGTGATTTTCAAATTATCTCGATCGGATTGCATGAACGTAGTGAATAAAAACCAATAATTTGGTATTTTCGGAACTGGACTATAGATTAAGTGTAGATCAATATTCGTTGTGCTATGTAAGTTTGGACTTTCTGGATAGTGGGTATATAGTTCACATGTTATCTGGGATGCAGGTTTTGGGAATGGTGCCGGAGAATTGTTTGATTGGGTTGATTACTTTTGGGACTTATGTGCATGTCCACGAGCTCGGGTATGGGCAGATTCCAAAGGTTCATGTGTTCAAGGGCACAAAGGATGTGACTAAGGACCAGTTGCTGGAACAGATGGGCTTCTTTGCCAAAAGACCAAGACCAGCAACTGGGGTCATTGCAGGAGTGAGGGATGGGTTGTCGCAAGAGAGCATTTCTAGGTTCTTATTGCCGGCGTCCGATTGTGAGTTCGTTCTTAACTCGGTATGGTTCTGTTACATAATGTTGCCCTTTATCTATGACCTGAAGGAAATATTGTGATTTGCCCTTTGCTTTTCTGTAATGAAATTGGAATTGTTGTAACTTTATTATTTTTAAGTTTCATGTGCTTTTATCATGGCACTGCTGTAAATCCTACGTGTACATGTAATGCTAAGTATTACTGTTGTTTTGTTCAGTTTTTTTTTATTTATATACTTTTCAAAATTGTAATTTTATTCAGAAGCATATTTCATTCGCTTGTTTCTGAATGAGATCTTCAACTTATGACATTTCATCTTTGTTCAATGATTTTTACAAGATTTTAGAGGAACTTCAGAAAGATCCTTGGCCAGTTCCATCAGATCACCGGTCTGCCAGGTGTACTGGTACAGCGTTAAATTTGGCTGCTCATTTGCTTGGAGCATGTGTTCCAGGTTGTGGGGCTCGAATAATGGCATTTTTAGGAGGACCATCAACAGAAGGGGCTGGAGCTGTAAGATGAACTTTTGGCCTTGGATTAATTTTAGAATGTGATCTTTTGTATTTGTCCTTCCCAAACCTCGATTGTGCTAAAATAGGTTACTATTTGTAAAAAATAATAGGGAAAATGGAAACTCTAAAGTGGAAATGTAATGCAATAAGAATAAAGAAGCTTACATGATTGTTCCAAATTTTTGTTCTGCATAAGCTTAATATTATGTGTCAGTTAAAACCTGCCTTAAATTGATTGTATATGGTTATCCTGATGGAGCAGGGCCAGGAGATTTGTGTTTCCTGCTACATGATGTGTAAATATGTGTTAAGATCCTGTTTATAACTCTGAGCACAACATCACTAAATGTTCTTTGAGGTCTTTTTAGCCTATGCCTACTATAGTTATCATCAATGGAATCATAATTAAGAAACCCTGTATCATCTATAGTTTTATTTATTTATTTTAGAATCAATTTGCATTAAATTACATATATATTCTTTCATATATTGCCTAGACCATTTCTAATAGAAGTTGCCTGCTCCTCAGAATCTAAAATATCTGAGTTGTTTGTGTCCGGTATTAAACCTCAAATAGATCCGACTCTAGTTTCTTATATTTATTTGTAATAGACTAAATTTATTAGAACTTACTCTTGTAATATTATTATTATTGTTTTGCAGATTGTGTCGAAAAATCTGTCTGAACCCATACGCTCTCACAAGGACCTGGACAAAGATTCTGTCCCACAGTACCACAAAGCAGTGAAGTTTTATGAAGGTCTTTCGAAACAACTTGTACATCAGGGGCATGTGCTAGATGTTTTTGCTTGTGCACTTGATCAGGTATTACTTACAATTATATCACATTTTACATGAGAAAATACAGGCTGCGATTAGATGAGTATCACTTTTCCAAAATATGAGAGTGAAGGAAAAACACAAACAAACTTAGAGAGGTGAAATTTTACTAGGTTTATATATGCCAGTGGGAGGACTTTTAGAGAAAATAGTAATAATAAGATAAAGTGAATGTCCATGATGCGATATGGATTTCTAGGATGTATGATAATTTTATGGTGGATGAAAGTCAGAATTTAAAAACTTAGAAAAAAAAAAACTTATTGGATTAGATGTTGAGAAATGGCATTCATTTGGATTTGTTTATTAAGATACATAATTATGCTTGAGTTATGATTTTTTTTTTTTCTAACTGTCCAATTGAAGCAATATGGATTATTCTTTATCTTTTTGTAGTAGTTCTAATCTCGAAAAGGATAAGCTAGCATTATCCTCAGTTGCTGTATGAAGTAGGTTTTTGAATTATCCATGTATTTGTTCCTTGGGCGATCCACTATAATGGAAAAAATGTCGCAGATATGGACAAGCAACTAGGTTGCCATTCTTTTGTAGGCAATAATCAAGCTGTTGACACTCCTTTTTTTTTTTTTTTTTCTTTTGTTAAATTTATTTATTTACAAAATAGTCATCACAATTTTTTTTTGGGTAGGTTGGAGTTGCTGAGCTTAAAGTAGCAGTTGAGAAGACTGGAGGACTCATTGTTCTTGCTGAAAGTTTTGGCCATTCAGTGTTCAAGGATTCCTTAAGACGTGTGTTTCAGTCTGGTGATCAGGATCTCGGGCTGTCATCAAAGTAAGAATTAGATGTCCTGTTCTTTTCTAGTGGTATTATTTTCAGAGGACAATATTTTGAAATTTCTTTTATTTGTATCTTGTGTTGATGGCTTTCATAGAGTTAGAAAGCTGGATGATTCTCTTGTTAGCTTTTGTTACACTCTGTTAAGGATGACATCTAAATCAGTTACTTAATGCAGTGGTATATTCGAGATCAACTGCTCAAAGGATATTAAAATTCAGGGAGTAATTGGCCCTTGTGCATCACTTGAGAAGGTGTGATATCTTTACCCTAAGAAGGACCTTGTCTAATTTGCATCAGTTGGGTTTTAACAATTTTTAGTTTACTGCAGAAAGGTCCCTTGTGCTCTGAAACTGTTATCGGCCAAGGAAATACCACTGCATGGAAGTTGTGTGGCCTGGACAAAACTACTTCTTTGTGTATAATATTTGATGTTATCAAGAAAGAGAGTCCAGATGTCATTGCTCAATCTGCCAACAACCAGTTTTACTTCCAGTTTTTGACTTAGTAGGCATCTGGGCTGTTTTCATCTTGATAATATGAGCAAACACTTATTTATTATTATTACTAAGGAGCTTTTCTAACTTGTTCAGAAATATTCTTCTCAGTTATCAGCATGGCAGTGGACAAATGAGACTTCGTGCTACAACTGTCTCCAGAAGATGGGTTACTGGACCTGGAAGCAAAGAGGTAGGTAGCTATTTTTGTTGGTTTTTAAATGCTTTCTTAATCTGAGGAAATCGGTTATGGTTTGCAACCTGCTACTTTTGTTTTATCCTTGTAAATTGCTTCTTACTGACCTGAGCTTGTAACATTGCACACATTATGTTAGACTCATGCTCACATGTTGCATATTAGGAATTGCCAAGTCCTTTGATTAAGAACTACTAACAAAAAACCTTTTTCTATAACATTAATAGAACTGTTGAAAATATTTTTTGAGATATGTAGGGTTTTTTCTTTTGTCTCCCCACAATTTCCTATCTTTTTTTTTAACCTACATTTTCTAGTAAAAATGATAAGGTATACTATTTTGTCTCACAAATATTCATCATCGTTAAGGTGTTTTCTCAATTTTTATAATCTTTCCCGATACAATACTTACTCTTAAAAATATTTAAAAGATAACAAAACAAATATTTTAATAACACTTTCATAGTTTCTAATAACTAACAATAAAAACTCCAAAAATTCATAAATACTAAAAGAACCCAACCTTCATCCTTTATGAGATGTCTTAATATTACCACCATTTTCACTTTCCTCATCACTTTGTTGCATCATCCAGGACATAATATCTGGATTTGACCAAGAAGCTGCTGCTGTTGTGATGGCACGCCAAGTTGCTTTTAAAATGGAAACTGAGGTGATGTACCATGCTTGTTTGAGGTTGAATTATTCACAGGCACTTATATTTCAATCACATATAGCCGCTTCTTTCATATTCAATCTGCTGAAATGGTTAGACTCTTGCATGCTCTTAAATTGGATGTTTTTTGAGTCCAAACAATCAAGCGTGGTTCCTTAAAATTTCTTGTATTTCTCCATATGATGTTTTAATGTTGTATGCTAATGGTTGTTATTCTTTCACTTGCCCATACACGTTCTTGTAGGCTTGTAACGTTGGAGGATACTAGATGCTAAGGATGATTGACTATCTATTGTGATGTATATTCACTGTCATTTGCTTAAATGTACTGTTTGTGATGCTATGCTACTAGGATCCTCAGTCAATAAGTTAATATTGCATATGTCGCTTGATGGTTTGGCTTGTGGTAGCTTATCGAGAGTTACATGTAAGCTGAAGTAGTTAGAAGTTTTTCTAGTTGACGGTTCAACCATTGCATGGTTTATATTATCGGTTAACATTCTCATTCTCCTTAGTCTTGATTAAGTTACAGATATAAGTACACACATTATTCAGATGATCTGATATTGCAAATTTTATTGAATCAAAGTATTATGTGTTCTACAGGCTGAATTTGATCCTATAAGATGGTTGGATAAATCATTGATACATATATGCTCACAATTTGGAGAATATCAGAAGGACATCCCTTCTTCTTTCAGTTTATCGCCTAGGCTATCTATATTTCCTCAGTTTATGTTCCATCTTCGGCGTTCACAATTTGTCCAGGTAAATTTCCTTCTCTTACAAATGTTAGGGTGTGTGTGTGTGTGTTTTGTTAATCTTTTGTGTTTGTGTTTTGGTTTTGGGTTGAAATAGTTGTTGATTGTGATGTTTTGTATCGAAAATTAGTATATTGTTATAGGGAACTGTGATGTTGCATAGTATAACATTTTAACAAAGAACAAAAAAAAAAAGGAAAAACCTCAAAAGAGAAAAGAACCTTAATTCTACATGTTTGTATGAAGATTCAGAAAGAAAACATGATATATACAGCAAAAGTACAGTACTGAAAGACTGATATGTTTTATTCATTGGAAAATGCCTGTGGCATGTGTTGCATGGATACATGTTATTCCATTCACTTTCTTCGTTTCTCAATTACTTCTTGAAACTACTTGCATTAATTCCCTTCCTCCAAATACCCGTGACATGGCCATTACTGCACACTGGTAGAGTGTATTACTCTCCTCTCACATTCTGCAATTGATATCAGAGACTTCCAGTCCAGTTTAGTTACCTTTCATGTATTAATATCGAAAGTTATCATAAAAGGATAGGAATTTCTTTGTTATGAAGATCCTGTCTTGTGATCCTGGGGCTCAGGAGGCAGAAACTAGCTAGGGTAGGCTACATAACTTACTATTTTCCTCTCTTGTATCACTATAAAGCTCCATTATAAAAATGAGACCTGAATTTAAAATAGATAGAACACTTTGAAGACATTGAAGAAACAGATTACATGCACTTTATCTTTACTCTTCCATTTATTTATTCTTGTTAGTCTTTGGCTTAACTGTTTGCTTGTTTGTAATCTTTCTTCAGGTTTTCAATAATAGCCCGGACGAGACAGCATACTTCCGTATGATCCTGAACAGGGAGAATGTTGCTAATTCAGTTGTCATGATTCAACCTTCCTTGATCTCCTACTCTTTCCAGTCTGGACCAGAACCTGCTCTTCTTGATGTAGCTGCCATTGCTGCTGATAGAATTCTTCTTTTGGATTCTTATTTCACTGTTGTTGTCTTTCATGGTGCAACGATTGCTCAATGGAGAAAGGCTGGGTATCATGATCTGCCTGAACATCAGGTAATTATATTATTCATTATTAATCAACTGCATATGTTTATCTATGTGCAATTCAACTCAATCACTAACTCTGGAAGCTTTTTAACAATTCTGTGTCTATTGAAATACATAAAGTATATATGTTATCGTAAAATAAATAAATAATACTACTGTTTAAATCTGTCTTAAAACTTGTAAATCGATTTTTTATGCAATTAGCCTAATAGAACCAGTTCCATTATTAGCATTCTCAACTCCTCCATAATTGAAAAATTCGTACTGATTAGCTAACGGAATCCTTGAAAGTATTATATGTATGTATTGTATACATGTTTTAACCACGTGATCCACAAAATAATGTTCTGACATTTTCTTTTGCTATCGTCAATTGAAATAAGCAATGAATCCTGACCTTGAACTCTCTCGAGAAGACCAGGGAACATGTTTTGAATATTGAAATTGTTCTCTAGGTTAAGTAGGGATCTCCGATCATGTTAAATAGAACTCTAGAGACCACTCCATGCCCAGCCTCCCTGGAAACCAAATTTGAAGAGCTTCAAAATTAGAATGCCTTCACAATGCAACCTTCCACTCTAAATACACACTTGAGCACCTTTTTAAATTGTCACATATTGCTGCAACCAGAAATTAGTGACAGAAAAGCAGAGTGACCCTAGAATTGTAATTTTGTACTGTTAACTGAAACTTCACCAAGAGAAGCATCAGAGTCGGCGGATGAGGAAATGAGAACCTTTGGCCGAACAATCCTAAGACAGAGTGTCTTTCAATATATGTATCATACTTCCTCCATCCATAAAGTCTATGCATGTTATTCTTTTTTATTTGTCCACAACACAATATACATTTTCTATTTATAGTAAAAATAACTTATAAATTTGCTGCTATCATAATTATGTCATTCACACACCCAATTTACTGAACATTTTCTCTCACCTCACTAATTCACCGGCTCACTCCCACAACACTCCCACTTTATATTACAATCAATTCTTTCTACCAATATAATTATATTCATTACAACTTTCCTCCAGCTACTATGAGCTTAAATTTCGTGGACGGAGGGAGTATATTATCATCGAACATATAAGATTCTGTGCATGTTTTCAGAAAGCCTGAATGGTTCATCAACCTGGGGGGCCAGATTCTGCCTGAAAGCCATTATTGATTTATAAAAAAATTCCCTAAGAATTCTTATTGCAATCAGCTAAACTTGTTTACATTCTTGATTTTTTTTCTGTTTTTGTAGGCCTTTGCCCACTTGCTAAAAGCTCCACATACTGATGCTGATGCCATTACTAAAGAAAGATTTCCAGTACCACGCCTTGTCATTTGTGATCAGCATGGTTCTCAGGTCTTAACTTCCTTTACTTATACTTCTATTTCTTGGCCTAATCAACAATTTTTTGCAAGCCTTCCTTTCATACATGTTACTGTACAGTTGGTCTGATCAACAAAGTTGTTATCCCTTTTGGTACTTTATCCATAATTACTTTCAGAAGTTGAAAATATAAACTTGATGTGTTGAGTTTATGATATAATGTCTTCTCTTCTCAATATTATTTTAGGCAGGAGAAATGAATAATGGAGATTTTCAACTTTCTATTTCTTAACACCCTAACTATAAAATAAGATGCCTGGACTGCAGAGTCTATATTGAGCTGTTCCATACCTGAGTTTTACTACTGTAGTCAGTCTGTACAGACATCCCAATCGTTTCTACTGTAAATAGAATGTTTGACAATGGTAAAAAACTGGGAAAAATGAGAAAACAAACAAATTCTGGCATATCACCGGGTTGCGTAAGAACTGACAAGTAAATAAGTTGAACTTGCTCAATTGTCTAGCATAGGAATTGTTGTTTAATGTGAGGTTTATTGCTCTTTTCATGTTGAAATGGTTCAGTCTGGGTTGCACTAGCTGTAGATGTAATGGTTGTACTAAAGAAATGTGATAAAACATGCAGGCCCGCTTTCTGCTAGCAAAATTGAATCCTTCAGCTACTTACAATTCAGATGCTCCAATTGCTCCTGGAGGCGATATCATCTTCACTGATGATGTTAGCTTTGAGGTTTTCTTAGATCACCTTCAGCGTCTGGCAGTTCAATAGGATTGATCTTACAACAATTTCTGAGGTTAGGTAGCACTGCCGATTTTTGTAAACTGTTATCTTGATCGATTGTACAGAAATTCATATGATTGGTCTGTCTTAATTCTCAGCTTTTACCTTATATATTGCAAAAGGCATGTAAGTCTTCCTATGATCCTAATAATATTGAAAATTCGTGGCTGTGATTACTTTCTTTGAAGTCTTACTTAATCTAGTGTTTTCTGTTCAAAATTACCTTCATGTTGTAGAAGGCAAACAGAAAAATTTTAGTTATAAATATTTAATTAAAGCTGATCCATGCCTGTTGTGCGGCTATTTTTATTTTTTCGTTTTCTTATGGAATATACAAACCAATTTATTATTTCGAACATGCAATTTTCAAACACTGTTGAGTCATTAAGCTCTTCAGTCTATCCTCTTCCTTCTCATAGACTGATTCGTTAAACACCATGAACTAAAACTGAGTTTAGCATTTTATGTTTTTCGTTCTTACTAGCCTCTTGACAATGCATGTGACAATCGATGCATGGTCTAAGTGAAGTTTGGTCATTTCCCTTTTCTGTGTAGATTTGCTAAATGTTGTCCTATAATTATATGTTATTCACCATGTCAATAAACTGAAGTAACATTTATATTTTGATATTAGTGTTTTTTCCATAACTTAATTTTACATCTGTCTCATATCGTTGCATGGCCCTACCCTCTTTTTCCAGTGCATCACGGATGCATAATTTCTCATCTATGTTGCAATTTAGTGTTTATTTGGTTTTGAAAATCCCAGTACCCCTAAGCTTTTTGCTAACTGCCACATGTGTAAGTTCTTCTACTAAGCAAATGGAGAACAGCAACGTGCGGTGACTATGCCTTGACTTTCAAGGTACTTCCTTCCCTGCAAGCTATTTCTCTGTAATTATTATGATGGATGTTGTAGAAATGGCTCCTGAATCTATTTTGAATATGCCTGGAATTGCTTGCATATGTTTGCATTCTTTTCTTGCCGGATGTTGGTTAGTTTTGATATAAGAAATCTGGAATCCTATGATGTGGACACTTTTTTAATCTGGACACACAATGCACGTGGTCTAGCTCTCTGTCATTCGATCATTGTTGTTTTGTTCCTTGACCTGACCCCAAACCTGAGTTCTGACCCCTAAACCCTAAACCTTCAATAACATCCGAAGTCAGCGTTCTCTTTTCCACATCTAACTTTCCTTAAGCTATGAAGCTATTACATGAGTCTTTCTGATCTTGGCGACTTTTATTTTTAAGGTTCTGTGGCCATCATGATTTCTTCTACTGCTTAAGTTCTTTATCTGCAATGGGTGTTTTCTTTCACCTGCTATTCTCACATATCTGAGACTCTGTTACTTGGTCAGCTGTTATTTTGTGGAGTTTGTGGATCGAAGATCAGTGATGACAGCAGCTGCAAGTTGGTGGTGTAATCCGTAGCATTGTTAATGATTCCGGTGGTGGTAGAGCTGGCGGTTTACAGTGACTGCGTTAATGAAGACGAACTCAATTTCTGGATGTCGAAAATATTAGGGAACTTGGAACTGGAGCTCATGATTCTTGCTGCCTGACACTTTTCCTAGGTTGATTCTGAAGTATTTCAGACCGATCGTTGTTGACCTTTTGTAAGAAAGGCTACTATTGGTATACTTGCTCTCTGTTTCTACATTCATTGTACTCATAGTGTTCAAATATTTCTTCAATCGCGCAGTTAACAAAGAACCTGTCTATCAAGCTCTTGATCATGGGAATCAACTTAAAGAGACAGAAAGGGGTTTCTTTCTCTCCTTTCCATTTGAGTAGGTAATGCGAGTTTTGTGCATTATGCTGTTACAATGTTTTTTACTTTTTTCTTTTGGGGTGAGCGTTGGTTATGAGGAATATATTTGAATTTGGTGTTAGGACTCCTGTGGAAGAATGGGAATATTTATATAATAGTAATAGTATATGTCATCATTGATCATCAATCTCTGTTGTGACTTCAGGAAGCATCTCAGCAGGTATTATTTAGTTTATAGATATATTAATTATTATTTACTACCCAGACAGTTGATCAAACAAGTACACATGCGAGCCGAATAAAAAGGTTTTTAGATGATGGTATCTTATGTTATTTTAAACCCTAATGCAATGCACTTTCTTTACCTAAACCACACCCGATGAGAGATCCGACATTTCTATTCTACAGTTAGAACAAAAAAATAAATAACAGTAACAATTCCAAAATGAACAATTAATAATCAGCATGTGAAACATACCTTAGGTTTTTTACTGTGTTGTAGTTCATAACAACAATGACAACACTGCCACGGCCAATACATAAAATATAAATTAATTACACACGATTTTTGTTGTGCAATAGGAATGGACTTGTTCAAATCTATAGTTTATTTGTTGATTAATCCCTAAAAACACACTAATATAAGTCAATGAGTTAGAAGTAGAACACCAATTGCACAGAGAAAGAGTGAAGGATCACGTTTCAGTCCAGTCAATATAACAATTTAACACTAACTATACTTGACCCTCCCCCTCCTCCAATCTCCATTATCAACAAGAAAGAGTGTACACATTGTACTTGCACTAACCTGAATTCATTCGGCAATGTGCCGCAACACTCGAAGATAGATATATATTTACCATTAGAGAGACATCTCCTGTCCCTGTTCCCGAGCAATAGATGCAGAAAGAATTCCAAGATCCCGGTTCAAGAATGTCAGTGCATTCTCACACTCGGAAATTATTCTCATCACTGAAGATGGCTCACCTCCTCCTACTGTTTCCGAAGACCCAACTGCTACTGCCGCGTGGGAATCCCTAAGGTTCTTCAAATTTCCTAGAAACTGTTGCAACAGATTATTATTATTATTATTATTATTATTATACACAAATATTTTACCATCTCTACACAAAATTCAAAAAATTAAAAATAAAGAAACGATACTGCTCATAGACTCTTTTCCAAGTATTCAATCAAATGGCCACTTGCAAAGAAAATGAGGAAAAATATAATATTGCCTAGATACAAAAAACTTCACTCTTCGAGAGATGCATATACATTCAAGGAGCTTCAGCTATGCTGTTGAAATTAAAAAAAAAAAAAAGCCTTAGCAAGTTCTAAGAGTTTTTCTAAGCTGGAGATGCTAAAATGAACAGGTCCAAGAACAGAGAATGTAAAATAAAGGTAAAATACTTACTCACCAGCAAGTTCAGTTCCACCGGGTAAAATAATTATCTCACAAGAGAATAAGTAAACAGTGGACACCAAACTTCGTAAAAACATCATTTGGAGCACAACTACATTCTCAACACTGAATAACCCACTTATTTAAACAACAGAGGCAAACCAATAATTAAGTACCTTCAAAAGCATCTTATATGCTTCCAATAATTGATTTGCAGCTGGTCCAAATCCATGAAGTTGAGGAACCTCCATCATGTGTGTCCACGGGCGTATTTCCTGCACATATCTTAGTATTAAGAAGTGCACACTTACACACTACAGAACTAGAGTTAACCATGTGCATCTTGCAATTTTATGATTTGAGACAAACCCTTAACCACTAAAATGAGTAAAATTATCTAGAAAAAGACGGAATGAAACATATAATAGAAGCCACATGAGCAACTGGTACAAGAGCAAAGGTAAATAATTGTAATCTGTCTTGAAATTAGGAGTCATAAGCATTTCGGCAGAATTGTAGAATGCAGTATGGGGAAAATTAAATGAAAACAAACCTTGGTATAAATGGTATTAAAAGATTTTGCAGTTTCTAGAAAAGATTCCAGATGTGCACGTAATTTTGCTTCAACCTCGACATAATCTTCATCAGGGTTATAAGGGTGCTACAAAAATCAGTTGTAATATCAATAGCAGTTTGTGGCATCAGCATCTCTAAGAACATCAATTAGCTTCATGCTATAGAAAAAGATGGTGGCAAATGTAAGCTTATTAAGAACCTTTGATGCTAGATCATCAACCATCTCTTGAAGGTTCAAAAGTCTGTTTGATTGATCGGAAAGTTGTTTCTCCAAATCAGATATATCTGGCCTACAAATGCAATTTCATAGATAAAACAAAAATGCCACTAAATCAGCCAAGGACAAAACTTTCTGCTTCAAGATTATCTTTGAAACAAATTTATAGAACACTATGGGAAGCTTTCACTTTCTCACTAACTCATCAAGCCAAGGAAACTAAATAATAATGAAGACAATACTTGCACATAGCTGGGGCAGTAGTTCAAAAAGCTGGTAACAAAAATCAAATATAAATAACCCTATAAAAGAATAAAACGCTCACGCAGAGCAGGATCATAGCTAGTATATTTAACTAAAGAGTAAACGCCTCTAAAATCTCCATTCTAATATGTTACTATGTTGGCAACTCAAGTCATTTGGTCCAAGGAGTAATGAATAGGAACAAGAGTAACCCCTTGAAAACAAATGATAAATATAGAAGCATTTTAACTAGTTTGGACTGCTAAAAGAATGCCTCTTCCCTACACCAATAAAAAAATGCAAACAGTCCCAGAAACAACAATAAATTCCAATAATTTAACTGATAAGCTGTAGTTGTATAGAGCAACTGACATTGAAGGTAATGGGATTTCTCTTCCATAATATCAGTCATAAAATATCTTCTAAACGGATACAGTTAGTTAGTACATGCATAAGTTTCAGACAACAAAGAACCATAACTTGTACCTGGTTGGATAACAAGCATAATACCATGTCCAAAATCATACTTTGTGGGCAAACTCTTAATGCACAAAAGACACGAAACAATCAAAATACTTCACCAGCAGAAAACCATCCATGAAGCCTGAATTTATACCAGTATCTCTTAAATGTTTTTATGAAATAAAAAGAGGAAAAAAAAAAATTCTCCGTCAATAAGAGTTTGTGAGGAAATTCTTAAGAATCCAATTTTGCAAGCACCGTGGAACAAAAAGTTAAATGATTTAAAGCAGTTCAGCTAAAGCACAGAGGTAGCAAGCAGTGAACTCATTCTTATAAGATAATTAGAGCAAACTTATTTGTGAAAATTATACAAATTTTTTTAAATATATATATATATATGTATACAAGTATTCAATGCAGCATTATTCTTCATGAATGAGTTGAGTCTCTTTTTTAAATATATATATATATATATATAAATATCAAACTAGTACTATTTCTTATATATAAAGCAATGATATAAACATTAACAATATCTTACAAGGGATATATGGAATGGATCTGCACATCAGCAGGAAACAATTTGCATTCTTCGGAAAATATTTGAGCTTGTTTTTCAGCAATGGCATCTATTAACTGTATGTCTTTGGCCACTTGCTCATCAACACTGGAAAAGGTAAAATTGATTAATATCAGTTGCATGGTTCATTAAAAGGATGCAATAAAGAAATTTACTATACCCTGTATCAACATAATTGAAATACATATACACCTCCACTCAGGATTATCAGCATAAATGCTTGCCTCCACAAGATCTACAATTAGGCGGAGCATTTCAGTACGATCTTCATAACTTCCTCGACCCTACAACAAAACATTACATAATGCACAGTTAACAAGAAATACATAATCTTGACTTCATCAATAGGAAGTATTACAAGGCAAATGTAGAGTTATAATGGCAAGTGAGATCCATGGTACCGTCAGTTTTCCTATTAAAAAGAAAGAAATAAGAAAATAAAAGAAACAATGTCTTGTTACCATCTCATTCCTATCAAGCAAGGAGATCTTGTGGTACTAAATGGTAAATGAATTTTCCCTTTTCATGCTCAAATGCAAGATACTAACCACCTAAGAGAGAATTGATACCAAACCAAAAAAATAAATTCGATAAATTCAAAGCTATCTCAATATCACAGTATACCCAAAGAATAACCAATCACAGTGGCTGTGCTCTATGCGATGGGAGGAGCTGTTGGACATTCAGAGATAATCAAAGAATTCAACTATTTCCTAGATATACCCTACCCTCTGTCAAAAATCCAAAATTACAGAGTGCACACCCAAGATTGGAAAGATACAACATCGAACTTCAAGGCACCATATGATAATCAAACATTCATTTTTAGCCTAAATGGAACAAAAAAAAAAAATGCATAAAGATCCATGAGTATGTTACATTTGCATTTGCATTTGCATAGTTCACAAAACACAAACTCACTTGGATGGCTTCAGTGTCAACAGTAGTTGTGATCCCAAGAAACTTTGCAATCTCTGCCAAATCTGTAAAATTACAGTATCAAAGAAAAGCCCAAGTACACAGAATTCAGACATGTCTTTCCATAACCCTACCCAAAACATCCCCCAAAAGAACAGCAGACTATCACAGTGCAAATCAATTTTTCCACAAGAACCAACAGCACACGGCAACCTAAGGGAGTGCTTGGTTGGGAGTTTTCCAAGAATTTTTACTAATCGCTACCTATGTTTTTCCCTTAAAAACATCTTGATTTTTTATACTACACTGAAAACCTATTTTCCATTCATAACTTGAGTTAGAATTTATTTATAACACGTCAAAATGATTCAAATTCAATTTTTTTCCTATTCAAAATCCAAACACAGTATTGCACTTGGATTGGAACCGAATAAGCATAATTTCAACATAAAAAAGAGAATAAAAATGAACAGGAAGGGGAACAAGTTTTGAACCTACATTGTATCCTTGAGGTTTCTTCATCTCGATCCACAGTATCCCCTTGAAGATTTTGCTGCGAGAATGGCGACTTATCACCCAATAATCTGCAAAAACCAGCCAATCATAAACAAAAACTCTATAAACTTGCAGCATTAACATAAGATCCAGAGAGCAACGCCCCGAACTTGAAGAAGAGCCATTCAAGAAGAGCGTAGCGTTCCATGCCGGCGAAGAGTAGCGACTGCGCTGGAGCATTGGCTCTCGGGTAATTCAACATCGCCAATTTTTTTTGAATCGATTCCATTTGCTTCGATGCCATTCTTCAACCAAATTCAAATTCGATTCCCAAAATAATCCAGAATCCAATTGCAGAAAGTATTCGTGCCGGCTGAATCCGCACGGCGAAATTAAACGAGACTGAGGATTTGGACTACTGATGAAAAATTGTTTGTTTGTTTTGAAAGCAAAAGTGAAACCAAAAGAAAAATGATCAAAAGAGTGGTTGAAAATACCCCAAAGTCGTTTTTGGGAATTTTATTTTATTTTTATAATAATTATTATTTTGGAGATTTACCGTTGGGAACACAAGGAGTTCTTCCTTCACAAGTCTCCCATAAATGGCAGACCATATTTCAATATCACAGGGGAAGAAAGACTAAGATCAAAGATGAAGATGTCTGTAAATTTGAAATTCAGGACAGTCACTGGCAATTTCATCAAGGGGTTGTCAGGTCATCGTTGTTTGAGGATTGAACCATATTCTTTATTCAGATGGAATTCAAAGATTACAGACATGTTTAAAATAGGTGATGTTAAGAGTGCACAGAAGGTGTTCGATGAAATGCCGCTGAAGAATGTGGTAACTTGGAACTGTATGATTTCCGGGTACATTGAAAACGGGATGGTTTGTGAAGCTAAGGACGTCTTCGATTCGATGCCGGTAAGAAATGTCGTTTCTTGGACTTCGATGTTGAGTGGATATGCAAAGAATGGGCAGCTGGAAGAGGCAAGGAGGTTGTTCGAAACGGCGACGAACAAGAATGTAGCATGTTGGAACTCTATGGTTTCGGCGTATTTGAGAAATGGAAAGATCGAAGAAGCTCGGGTGCTGTTCGATGCAATGCCGTTGAAGAACGACATTTCTTGCGCAATGATGATCAAAGGATATTTCAAATGTGGCGCGGTGGATGAGGCCGAGGCTTTGTTTGACAAAGCTTCGACCCGGGATTTGTTGCTTTGGAACTCTATGTTGGCCGGGTATTGCGAAGCTAAGAACGTCGAAAAGGCGTTCGGTTTGTTCCGTAGAATGTTGAAGCGCGATGTGTCTTCGTGGACTTGTATGATGAATGGTTTTATAAAAGTCGGGGAGGTCGAGCGAGGTAGAAGATTGTTCGATGAAATGCCGGTAAAGGACACGGTAGCTTGGACCGTGATGATCAACGGTTACTTGGATCGGGGAAGGATCGAGCCAGCCAAAGAACTATTCGATCAAATGCCCAAAAAGGATATCGTCGCGTGGAACTCAATGCTCCGCGGCTATGTTCATAACGGAAGACTCGACGAAGGTTTCGAGTTCTTTACGCGAATGCCAAAGAGAAGCATAGTTTCTTGGAACCTAATGTTGTTAGGATATCTACATCAGGAGGATACAGTTAAAGCGCGCAATTTTTTCGATCGAATGCCCAAAAAAGATGAAACCTCATGGAACACTATGATCTCGGGTCATCGCAACGAAGAGGCGTTGGTTTTGTACGTGGAGATGTTGTCGAACGGGTTCAGGCCCAATCAGGGGACGCTAACGGCTGTAATAACCATCTGCGGCGTTCTTGCAGCGCAGAGTTGGGGTAAAGCGATGCACGTTTTTATCATCAAGACGGGGCACGAGAGCGACGGCATGGGGATGAGCTCGTTGATATCGATGTATTCCAAATGTGGCTTCATAGACGATGCATCGTCGGTATTTCAATCGATGCCAAAGCGCGACACTGTGGCGTGGAACGCCATGATCGTCGCGCGAGCTCATCACTACTCCGCAAGGGAAGCCCTGCGTCTATTTCGCTCGATGATCGATTCCGGATGCCAACCCGACCACGCCACTTTCTTGATCCTCTTGACGGCGTGCGCTCATTCAGGTCTAGTCGTCGACGGCTGGAAACATCTCGAGTTAATGAAGAGATGGGATATGGTTCCGAAACCTGAACACTGCGCAGCCATGGTCGATCTTCTCGGTAGATTGGGGTTGTTTGTCGAAGCCGCTGAATTAGCCAACAAGTTGCCTTCGGATATTCCTGTATACGCGTGGGAATCGTTGCTTAGCGCCTGCAACATACACGGGAACTACGAAGTTCATAATCTAGTCGCGGAAAAACTCTCAGGAAATCGACCATTGGAAGTTGAGATGTCGGTGCTTCAATCGAATCTCTACGCTGCACGCAAGATGTGGAAGGCGGCAGCGCAGATACGAGCAAAACTCAGAGATAATCGATCGAAGAAAGAAGTCGGATGTAGCTGGATTGAGGTAAACGGGAGCGTATCGTGCTTCTCTTACAACGATAAGTCGCATATGAGAAGCGAAGAAATATGTGTAGAGTTGGAAAGGCTTTCGATACTCATTGAGGAGGTACTAAGCTCATAACCATGGAGAACCCGAGTCATCGATCCTACAGTTTCGAAGAATCCGGCATTGAGGTACAAACTTTTCGTCGTTTCTCCTATACGAATTCTTCGAAAATTCAATATCTAGCAAAGGATCGCAGTCTTATAGCGATCTGAGAAGCATACGTCGTAAACTTATGAACACTATTTTTTTCATTGAAGGAAGTCCGAAGGTGGATCTATCATCCTCGGCAACACATGAACAGCGACAACTTCCATTCCTTCGGGAGGATTGACCACCCGAACGTTAGCTGGTCTCGCTAAAACATCCACGATGGCTATGAATCTGCCGCCACCCGAGGCGACGCAGACTTTCCCGCAACCTGCGGAAACATGCTCGGCGCCTTTTAGTTCATCCGAAGGTTCAGTCAGCCGTTCCCAGCAGTCTTTCTCGTCGTCGTACTTCTGTAGCGAACCCGACTCCCGATCTACGACATACATAGCATTTTTATCGACGGCTGCTGGTCCGTTCCACCCCTTGAGCATTCCTGGCGGCATTTCTTCCCATCGGTTGTTAACAACGTCGTAAGCAGCTCCTTCTTTTACCGATTCGCCTCTTACATTTACCATGAAAAGTTTACCTCTGTATCCGATCGCTTCTGCAGCTTCTCGGCTAAATCTACCGTCTCTGAAGGGCGCGCGGCGTTCCCATCTCCACTCTCCTTCCGGCCTCGACATGTCCCATCTCTCGACGGACCGCGCCACGTCGATATTATACTGCGACGATGTCCCGCTCGCTACGTAAACCTCGCTGCGCATGGACCCGGCGACACACCATCTCCTAGGCGAAGAAAACGGCGGTCCGAAGCACCACTTTCCGGATAAAGGGTCGAACACCAAAGGACGGGCGAGCGCCGGGAGAAACTCGTGAGTATTGCCAGCTATTAAAACTAAGCGCCCGGATGCTCCTACCGACTGGATTGAGTAGACCCTCGAGATAAACGACGGATGTCTCCGGATGAGGCAGATGGGCGGATCGGACGGGGGGCTCGGGAGGGGCCTCCACTTGCCCGACACCGGGTCAAAACAGGAGAAAGCGATCGAGCATGGCCGGCATTGGTCTCCAGCACACGTTTCATTCGATTCATACTTGAAGAGTAGAGCATAGAGAGAGAAGAACGGAGGGAAGTCCCGCGAATATATGAACCGGCGCCACGAAACACAGACGGGATGGAGAACGGAGGGATGCAGCTTCGAAAGACAAAGCTGTGCCAAGTGGTTCGGCAACCCCGGAAGTAATGTGACATCCTTCCGGTTCTCATCAACCCTACCGTTTCCGGTCACGGCGGGTCGGGTTTCCGGCCGCCGCTTGGCCATGGCTGCCTAGAATTCTATCCAACCTTCCTCAGGTACTTAAAGTGTTCTTTTGCTAAGTGGGAGTAGTTTGTGTGTTAAACTAATGAAAGCTGAAATACATATGTCATAGTTTTGAATCTTTTATGATTCAATTGTCTTATGTTGTGTGGATTCAAAGAAACCAACTTCTGTCAGTTTCTCTTTTTGTTAGCTTTATTCTTACACTTTTATATATGTTAGGACCAAAATCTATTTTATGTAGTATAAGATTTCAACAAGTGGGTATAGTTAGAGTGTTAATTACGCCTAATCAGCACGTAACAATAGTTCATACAACACCGCGCTCTGTGGGTAAACCCCGACTAAACCTAATACCCTATAAACTAGATCCGATAAGGCAAATTACACTAGGCGAACTATATATGACAGATGGACCTGGAGGTGTCGGGGTTTGAACGCATGACCTTATAGTCACAAGTTGACTCTCCACACCACCATATCATCCCTAACGGGACATTATGTGTTTTATTATGTAATGTGGTGATTATATCTAATCAGCAAGTCAGCAACCTAACCACCGCCTTCGGCGAGTACACGTGCTAGCTAAGCTTCTACAGATAACAAATTTATGTTTCTAAATGTAAATATTTAAATTGACAGCCTATATGAAAAGGTGATTGAGCCTTTAGTGGAGTTGATCAACTAAAAGCAGTGAATTTAATACATGTGATCATATGATACTGGCCATAACAACACAAAATTAAATGTTAGAGATTGTGACAACTTTGTTATTATAAAAACAAAAGTATAGATTTAGCTACTATAACATAGCCTAACAAGAATGATTTGAATATCTTACCCGATGGATATTGATGTCTCGAAGAATTATTACCCTGTTTCTTGAAGGATGATTCAGTGATTTCAATCGAAAGATCCATCATCCAGTCCAGTCGAAGTAGAACTCCTTCTAATCTGAAGGTTCAAGTTCAAGTTTGCATGTTGTCTGGATGGAGGGCTCAGATTGAACTGATGCCTTCCCGGAGATTGTGTTCGAGAATGCACATTCTGATTAAATATGAAATTGAAGATAGAAATATTTCAGCAGTTGAGATATAATTCACATCAACCTGATAGTACAAGAGAGAGGAATAGAAACTTACCACTTCTTTTGATACAACCTTCTGTAAATCGTAGCACCTTCGAATTCTGCATGGATTTCTCTCTCTGTTCGAATACCCATTGGGTTGTTCAACAACCACCCCTGGTCGTCAAAAGGTACACTGGAGTCGATTCTGTCAATGTGTGCAAGTTTATCTGAAGCAGCATCGAAATATTTTCGCATGTCAAGTGCGACTTCAAGGACATCAGATTGCACAAAAATCTGCCCATACAATAGAAAGCACACCGTCAATGCAACAAATCTCAATATTTTCAAACATAAAATGGTTCACCATATCTTGAAAAGATGCATCGCATATCATCAATGATAATAATAAACACACGGAGAGAATGTGATGCTGTGTGCCTCACCTGTCCTCCAGGAACTAATTTGTTCACAACCGAGTCGACCAGAGGTTCTTGCACTACCCTTCTTTTATGGTGCTTTTTCTTGAAATGAGGATCAGGGCACTGTATAGATGAGCAAATAATGTCCGGTAAGGGTTGGACGAATTTTTCCGAGATAACTGATTTTCACAAGCAGGCAACCCCGAGTAATGACCTTTTTGAATCTACTGAAATAGTTAGTTTAAATTCCAGTCTCATTAGTTGAGGATTTCTAATTTTGATTACCAGTTTAGACGAAACTTTATATAGCCCAAGTTGCATTAGTTCTAGTTCTAAGGTTTTTTTTTCAGAATTCGGACGCAGTGCTTATTTGCACAAGAGCAATTAATGGCAATAATCCCACAACACATACAATTGTCAAATGGAAAATGGAAAATGAAGAAAGAAAAGACAAAAGAAGTGCCTAACTGAAATCCAGGCAGATTCTTGAAGTCAAGTAGATAAGTAATACAAATTGGGGATCAAGATTAAAAATCCTAGCAATAAAATTGAAGTAAAGCCTTCTAGTTAAATTTAAGAATGTTCAACCCTATACCTTACATACTAAAACTAACGACCAATTCTATATTGCATTACATTGTTAAAACATGATATATCATCTTATGGCCTCATTCACTTTCAGGTAAATATTATATAAATAGTGCTTCAAAGCAAACAAGCCATGCATATCTTTCAAAACCAAACTCACTATTCATATCTACAAAAACACACACCATTTTACAAAGCACACGCCAACCATCCAAACATAGCATTCCGGCTTTGAGAAAATCAAGATACCCCAACAAAAGTTCCTCACACTAACAATCCCCGAAAATAATTATGTTGCTGTAGAATAGTCAGTAAGAAAAAGAAAAAGCACTCACCAAAATAGATACTAATACCAAGGGACCAGGGTATGATGATACAAACTGTTTGAAGGAAACCGATGCATTGGCGAAAACAAAATGTCTGCATTTGCAAATGCATCAGCCACCAATCTTAACAAGTTCCTCAAGAAAGATATAGGGAACTTTTCAATCCTTACATATTCTTCAAGCCAGCTCATCGACCCAATATTGAGCGCGTTTTACAAGCTGCCAAAGTTGAAATGTTGAAGTGTGTGCATATTCAATTACAAACACAAACACCAACAAGGATTGCATAACATACTTTTGGACGTATCTCTAGTCCCAGATAGTTTCTAGATCCATTGTTCTGCTTGGCAAGCCACAGGAGAAACCTGCCACTGCCTGAAATCAGCAACAGACAAAGGGCTTTCAAGCTCAAATTCAACTCCAGTTACAATAAGAATGAAAATTCAAGTGCACATAATCCCATGGCGAGTGACAAGTGTAACAACATTACTCATTGTTCGATCGTGTTATTGTGGAAAATAAAAACCATTCAAAAGCAAAAACAAGTTTATCAGAAGATCTTCAAAAGTACAGCAACCAAAAACAGAATGCAAATTAAGCCCTGTATTCAAGCATGGTTCTCCAAAATAAAACCACATCATTCAAAACAAATGGACAACAAATGAATCAAGAAACTTGAAGAGAGGGCACAGAAAAGTCAATTAAAGAAGCTATTACCACTTCCTATATCCACCATTAGCGGCAGAGTCGCATCTTTGTACACTTCATTCCAATTTGGCACTTCCACCGGAACCTACTTGCAAGAGTATAGAATAAAACAGCAAGTTCAAATGCTCTAAAAAACAAGAAGAGCAGAGCTTCTGTATCCACCACGCTGTGTGCAATGTACATAGCTATGTTCAAATTCGAGGCGATGGAAATTTACCATGAGAGAGGACCGTAAAGGATTGACGTGCTGCCGAATTCTTACATGGCCTACCTCCTGCAAAATTGCGCAAAAATAAATAAATATATAAATAAATAAACCCTAATTTTAATCACAGAAAATGGAGATTGATTGGAAACTTCAAAGGAATTAACAACAAAAAAAAAAAAAGTTCGAGCTTAAAAGCGCAGTTGAGCAAACCTGGCAGAACTTATCGGAGAGATTGAGGTCGGCGTATTCCCGGGCGACAAGCTCCGGACTTCTCGTCTCCTGTCCTTCGGTTAAGGATAACGCAGAACAAACCGACGCCGATGCCGGAGAAACTGCAATACGGCGGCGAAAAGCAGGGAACGATAACTTCAGCTGCGGCGATATGATAATGGTGGAGCGAAGAAGCCCCGGCACCGTGTGCGAAACGCAGCCCATTGGAATTTATTAAAAGCTCCACCTCTCGCCGCCGCGGCGGGAGTCGTTTAAACGCGGGGAGATGTTGGAAACATCTCACTTCAGTCCCTTTAAACGTTCAAAATTTTCAATCGAACCTCATTGAAAGTAGAAAATACACTCTAACCCCTAAAATAAGAATACTTCCCTCCGTGGCCGAAATAGTTGACACTTTTGATCAGTCATATTTCATACCTTATTTAATTTAATAAATTTTAATTAAATTAATTTAGAATTATTAAATATATTGAAAATTAATAAATTTAATAGAAATAGACGTATCAATTGTTATGAACGGAAGATAATGCAAAACATATCAATAGATAGTACTTTTCATTCGAATGATCTTTTTTTTTTTTTTTTTTTTTTTGTCATACTTTAATTATCAAATTTTAAAATTTTTACTAATTAATAAAAGAATACTTTCTCAGTGTCCAATCTAATGTTCTATTTTTCATCCAACAACTATTGTACTTTTTTTTTAAACACACTCTACTATATAAATTAAGGACAAATTTATAAATTCGTAGCAAAAAGACAATCACCTAAAAAAATCATTTAAATATACTTTAGAATAATAAAAATTAGACTGCGAGAGTATTATTTTTAAATTTACTATAAAATTTTAAAAAAATTCTTTCACAAGGAGGAATATAATATTGCATATTGCCATACTTTAATTATCAAATTTTAAAACTTTTCCAATTAAAAAAAAAAAAAAAAAAAAAAATCTCTTGTAACAAAATTTATCCGTACATAAAATTTTGGGGACATATTTAAAAATAAATAAATAAAAAGTCAATAATAGAGGGATTAAAGTTGAAGCTGCGCCCCAGAAATTTCGGAAAGGGCACCTGCTTCCTTCCTAGTGTACTTTCTTTCCTTCTCCACTACAGAACGAGCTAGGGGGCACAGCAGCCGGAGATGAAGGCAGGGAAAAGGAGGAATTCCAGTAGCATCGACTCCGTCCAGCAATCCGCGGAGTCGACGGACGCCGTTGCTGCGGTTACAGAGGAGGAGGAGGAGGAGAGCCGGCGTGACTCAGCGGATAGTGAGAATTTGGAAGGGGAAGAGGAGGATTCGGAGGCCGAGCAGCTGGAAGACGTGCAGATTGAAGAAGATGCCGACGGCGAGAGGCCGAAGCTCGCCGATGGATTCTACGAGATCGAGGCCGTACGGAGGAAGCGCGTCCGAAAGGTGAATGAATTATGCTGTTTTTTTCCTGATTGCCTAAAAAAATCCTTCGGATTTCAGGAAGATCTTTTTCGTTTGTGTATTTTGAGTGAATTACTGAACTGACTTGCTTTTGATTTGTGGCGATTCGCGTGAAATTGGAAGGGGAAAGTGCAGTATCTGATTAAATGGTGAGTGATTTGGAACCTATAAGTTTCTGTGTTTATAGTTGTTTTTTCTGTTCGATTGGATTGGTGAGTTTTCATTTTTGCGTAACTGAGGTGGATTGGACATGATCTGTTTCTGATCATTGAAATGGATTTTTTTTGGAAAGGCGAGACTGGTCGGAGGCAGCCAATACTTGGGAGCCTATTGAAAATCTGTTACAATGTTCTGACGTAATCGAAGCATTCGAAGAAAGGTATTTGTTTCTGCGTACAGTTTACTGTCGTTTCCTGTCGAATTTTAGCTTCACAGTACAGCAAAAATGTTTAATGGCAGCTCTACTGCATTTCATTTGAGCCTAATTAGCTTAACTTCTTTTACTGCTAAAACTCATGGAAAAGGAAAGATACTGTTGAAGTTCTGAATCGAATGTTTATTTTCGACACAGTCTGAAGGCCGGGAAGGGTAGGCCGAGCAGGAAAAGGAAGCGTAAAGTAGGTGTGACTCACGCTCAGACGAAGAAAAAGCAACACCATCAACAGCGATCGCCTGCTGCAACATACAACGTGCCATCACACGTAATCAGGATTGCAGAGGAGCCTATCACTTTTCCTAGGATGAACGATGTGTCGACCACCATTGAAAGAGGGGAGACGAGCATCAGCCGCGGAAGGGCTTCCAAGAAAGTATATGAAAATGGCGCGAGAACATTCTCCGTTACAAGGGAAGGAGAAAAGGAACAAAGTGAACTGGATTTGAAGCTCTGTGACCTGAAGGGTGCTTTGGCTTCCAGTACCAGACACGACGACAGATATGCTACGACAACCCTCAAAGGACAGTTCACAAATGGATTACAGGGAGGCGACGGAGTAGATCCGGGCCAATTAGGTCGTTGTACAGGAGCTAAAAGGAGGAAATCGGGTTCGGTCAAGAGGTTCAAGAAAGACGCAGTATCATCATGCTCCCCTGATGATTATGCTAACGGAGGCTCTGCGTGCGCTTCTCTCGTGCCTATAAATGTTCAGCATGTGGATTTCCTCGGAAACTATGTGAACTACAAGAGTAAGTTCGATGATTCCAGAAACATGTGCACTCTCACTCAAATAGTTCGACCCATCAGTTATAAAGCATCCGTATCGAACAATGTCCAAGAAGTCCTGCTCACATTTGAGGCCTTGAGGTGCGTATATACCCGTAGCTCCCTACATTTCGCATTTTCTAGAAAGTATATGTTGTGTGTGTATATGTGTTCTAATGCCGGGTAATTTAGATTGCTTCTTGTAGGCAGTAGTTGAAGTTACGACCTACCATAGAGCGCGAAATAATGAATCTAGCTACAATATTTTCGAAAACATTTACATGTTCAGCTCAACTAACAACTCTATTAGTGTCAGGGTAGACTTTATGTCGATTCACAAGCAAGTTTCTTTTGCCAAATATAATTAACACAATTCAACGGTATGTGTAGGTCTGATGGAAGTAAAGTTACAGTGGACAACAAGTTCTTGAAAGCTAACAATCCACTTTTGGTAAGCTTTTTTAATCATCGTTTCTTCTCGTTTACTATTGATTTTTTTTAATTGTGAGCAAACCCATGATGCAACAAATTCATTGCTACTTCTTTTGATTAATTTTCAGCTCATCGACTATTATGAGAAGCATTTACGGTACAGTCCAACATGACCAAAACAGGTAACTCATCGACTTATCGCTCTAAGTATGATCTTCCATGTATATTATGTTGTAGCATAATAATATCAGTAGGTACACCTGTAAATGATCTACTGCAGCAGCAAAACACCATATGTGGTATGTAAAATTTGAGTTTAGTTTATGAATCGACGCTGTGTTATGAGTTTAGGTTGGTTATGTATCGATCTTGAGCTTACATACTCAACTGAACTATGCCCCGATGAGGGGCTTCTTATGTTCTCTACAGAACTTGTTTATCTGTTTATTATGGTTATGTATCGGATACTAGCACATGGATAAATAGATCTATAAAAATATAGGTGTAAAGATAAACTAATCGAATACATAAAATCTTCGGAACAGAACAATTTATCCTCCTATTGAAGTTAATCTGGAATGCATCAATAATACATGTAGTAAGGTTGCCTCGACACAATTTGTGCCTATCGCCATACAACATGGCCACAACAAACTAAGCTCAATCAAGAATCCGAAAACAGAACACTACACATTGACGGCATAAATTGCACATAACATCACAAGATAATTTATAGATAAGAAGACTACATCTATGGTATATTTTTACCCACAATCTTAGCCGGTGCAATGCGAAGAAGATTTCCGGGCTTACCTGGCACGGCACCTTTGATCATCACAACATTGAGATCATTGTCGATCTTGACAACCGTCAGCTTCCTAATCTTAGTCTTGCCGCCCCCCATTCTCCCGGGCATTTTCTTGCCCTTGTACACTCGTCCGGGAGTAGTCCCGGCACCAATGGATCCGAGCTGCCGGTGGCTCTTTGAACCGTGAGTCATAAGACCTCTCTTGAAGTTATGCCTCTTGATACCACCTTATCGAATGCAACAACAAATTCATAAGGCCAATGCTTAACAACAAAGGTTAGCACATTTTTTGGCTGATTAGGAATTTCATGCGAGCAATCAGCCACCATGATTAATTCTAAGGTGTGTTCTCAAAAATTGATGCTGATCGAAATTCAAATTGTAAAAGTACATGCAATTTTGAAGCTCTGAGAAACGCACAATAGTTAATGCACGGAGTACCACCACGAGAAGCAGCGCAATGTATTAACTGATGTACCTTGAAAGCCCTTTCCAATGGAGGATTTAAATTGATGTTGATTGAAATTTAAATTGCAAATTATATGCAATTTTGAAGCTCTGTGAAACGTATAACAATCAATGCAGGGAGTACCACCGCGAGAAGCGGAATAATGTATAAACTGAGGTACCTTGAAAACCCTTGCCAATGGAGGTTCCAGAAACATCTACCAGATCGCCTTCCTTGAACAATTCCGCCGCCGCTAGGCGTTGGTTCGGCTCGAATCCTTCGACCGACTGCAGCCGGAACTCCTGCAGGTGCCGCAGCGGGATGATTCCCGACTTCTCGAGGTGACCTAGCTCCGGCTTCGTCAATTTCCGGTCGCGCACTCTCCGGTACCCGACCTGAACCGCGCTGTATCCGTCCGTCGCCTCCGTCTTCACCTGAGTCACGATGTTTCCCTCGCGGAATCCGACGACGGTGACGGGGATGACCTTGCCGGAGGGATCGAAGTAGGACATCATCCCCAATTTTGTTCCCATGACGCCGATTCCTGCCTCCATCGAGGCGGATATTTGCGAGGGTTTGGATGAGGATGGAGGGAGAGCATTGAGCGAGAGAGAAGAGAACCGCTTGATTGGAAGGAGGTGGAGGAAGGAGGAGGAGTACGGGGAAGGAGCTCCGGCGGAGGAAATGGCCGTGCCGGCGGGGACGGCGGCGGCAGCGGAGAGAGAGTAGACTGACATGGTGGTTTAGAGAGTGAAGGGAGAAGAAAGCTATCTTATCCCGGAGGCGTATGTACGAGTCATGAGTGGTGTAATGCACCGCCAAACGATCTCCACCGTTGATCTTAATCTCTCTATTTTTAATTGAGGTCAGATTTATTCTAAAAATAATAATAATAATAATAATAATAAAGTAAATACTGTAAATAACAGAACTTGGAGCATCTATGACTATGTATTTAAAACATGGTCCTAAGGCCCATTGTTAAATGGAATTAAATTGCAACTAATGGGCCGTGTACCATTCTCTACTATTATAATAATGTATTTTTCCATACAAATTCAATTGTATCTTTTTTATTTGTTATTATTTTTAATTATAGAAAAAATAATTTATCTAAATACAAAAATACTCTTTAATTTTTATAAAATTATTAATTTTTCTTACATATGTTTTATATTACTTACGGGATATATTTGAGATCAATTTAAGTTTTTTAATATTTATAGATATTCATATTATATAATGTATTTCTTATTTTTTATAAAATTTAACCATCCATTAATTATGCATAAAATATAATATTTTCGTATTTATTTGTATGACATAATTCTTTTCCTATAAAATTATAGTCACGTGATAAATAATTTTCAAAATACAAACACATATTTTAAATTTTTTATAAATATATATCTACTACATCATAAATTCCTTATTAATTAAATAAATTTTATCCAACCAACTTCCAACTAAAATGTGAATCAAACATACCTACGTTATTTAAAATATCATATAGAATATTTATGTCTTCGGTCGAAAACTCGATTTATTTTTTTTTTTTTATATTTCTATTTTAAAAATATTAATAATGCTCAACGTGGTTATAGAATGAAGCAAAAAAGTAAATTGATTTTTAAATATTTTTATTTACATATTAAAATAATGTGATATTGCATGGTTTACGTTATTTATTGACTTAATTTTTATGTGATTATTTGATTTCCGAATGTTCAAAGAGGGGCTCAAAGGAATTTGATGATAAAGAAGATGGTGGTGGACGATGGTTTGATTGTTGTATAAATTCAAACTATTTTCCATTTATTTTTTAAAATAACTTTTCATTACAAAATAATCTTATCTTTTAAAAAATTATGATTAATGTTGAATTTTGTGATTTCTCACAACAATTTTTTTTTTTTTTTTTTTAATCACAAAGTGTCGCACTGGGTAAACACTCGATCCAACCTAATACTCTGCAAACCAGATCCGACAGGAAAGTCACACTAGGCGAACCATGTGATTATTATAGTTCAGATATAATTGATATTGGTTAATTAGTTCAATTAGAAGTCAATTGTATCTATTATTATTATTATTATTATTATTATTTTGATGATATGGAAATTAGAAGTCATTATTTTTTCAAATACGTTCCGAATAAATTTATCATAAAACTTAATACTCTTCAAATTAAGTTCGAATAGGAGAGTGATATTAGGTGAATATGTATGACAAGTAAAACGTATATCTGACTCATAGATTTATGTTTTAATTTTTATTATTAATAATGTTGTTTGTGGTGGTGGCAGCATGATTGATGATTTTTTTCTTATTTGTAAATTTTATTATTTATATATTTTATAAATAAATATATAATTTTATTTAGGTTCAAATTCGGGTTCGGATTCGGTCCAAATCAAGGTTGTGGTGAAAACTTTTGAATTTATTGGGTCGGTTGTCGCCAGTCGGATCCGAGGATATTCGGATCTGATTCAAATTTCCTTTAGGGTGTGTTTGTTCGAAGGATTTATGTGAATTTCTACTATTTATACAAATTTTTCTCTCAAAAAATATCAAATTAAATACCTATTTTTTATTTTTTATATTATACTATAAAATAATTTTACATTTAAAATATCATATCAATACATATTTATATCACATCGTACAACTATTCAAATTCAAATTTTTTACTATTCAAATCTCAATCCAAAATCCAAACCCCAAAACAAACACACCCTTATATACATTCAAGTCGGGTATCGGATTCAACCATACCCGATCCGTTTCATCCCTAAACCGAATAGATCCAAACATACCCGTTGTCCTACATTAATTAATGAGCAAGGGGTAATAATAAATGCGATTTATTGTGATATAAGGCCGTGTTTGGGTGTGGCGGGGAATAGCATCTCCACCTACTGACGCTTGCCCTCTACATTCCCACGGTAGCCAAACAACAGACATTAATTTTATTTGTCTTCAAATAATACAAATCCAGGGCGCCTATTAATTGCGTCACATGTTTATGTTGTCCCGCAGAATTTGGATATAAATATATATATATATATATATATGTGTAAAACAAAAATTTAACTTAAACTTTATTTAAAGCATGAATAATATTTCTCCATCCCAACTGATTTGATCATTATTGTCTTTTTCACTTCAAAATATTATGTTTTATTTTTTAAAATTAATGATATACTAATTAATACTAAAATACAATTATTTATATTACAAACTTATCATTATATACAATTACTTAATAATAAAATTGTTAAAATTTTTTGTCCCACTTAATTTGTCTACTATTTTCATATCCGTCTCTCTCATATAAATTGTCTCATATTTTTTTTAAAATATAATTATACACTTTAGTCATATTTTTAAATTCATAATTAAATATATATATTTTAATTTTAATTTATAATTATTTTTATTATATTATAATTATTTTTACTAATTCATTTTTTAATTACTCATTGCCTCGTTAAAAGGAACACATTAGTTGAACGGAAAAAATATTATTTTTCAATATACTATAAAATTCTAAAAACTCATTTGGAGTTACACGACGAGAATATAATTTAGACATGGTGGTGTAAGTGATAAATTATATTCTATCAACACGATTTTATACAAAATATTACTATCTCTGTCCCACATACCTTGTCTGTTGCACCGTGAAAATAATTATTCTATAATATAAATAGATATAAATTAAAATTAAGATAACTAATTAGTTTAATTAAAATTTTAAACAAAAATTTAAAAAATTTAAAATGAGATTAAAATGTGTAATCATTTTCCAAAAAAGAAAAGTGACATGTACGTGAGACGGATAGAAACGGCAACGTAGACATGATATGTGGGACAGAGGGAGTATTTTTTTATTGTTAACATAAATTTTTTTTTTTTTATCTAACATTAAAAAATCTATATATATATATATATATATATATGTACAAAAATATTAATTGGACACATTCAATACTTTTATTTGATTAGAGAAATTATTTATATTTGAAATGTACGGCCAGGCAAAGGCGGGAAGTGATTTCCAGCGTGTAGACACAAATACAGATATATATATATATATAAAGATAAGAGCTTCTGAAACGACAAACATGGATTGGCAGCTCATCGTCGGCCATTGCCATGGGGTCGTTGCCGCACCATTGCAATTGCCAATCACCTTTCCTCATCCGTTTTCTAATTTCACTTTTCACCAAAACCACTTTTCCTTTCTATATAAATGACCCTACACTACACTACAGACATAATAGTACCTTACACATGCTCTGCTCCATTGAATTACCTTGTGTTTACATATGAAGCCGGACACCGTCTTATGGTTCGTTTTTCTGCTTGCCGCCGCCACCGCCGCTTCGTCGGCGAGAGTGCGGAAGCTCGACGTGAAGAAGCACTTGAGGCGTCTGAATAAGCCTGCCGTCAAGTCTATCAAGGTTGCACTCCTTAACCCTAACGCGCACCTCTCTCTCTCTCTCTGTGTATATATATTTCTGCGATTCGAATATTGTAGGCTAAGTGTTTGTGTTAATGCCTGTGAGAAAGTTGTTGCTGCTGCTGTTGCTGCAAACTATGATGAATTCACATTCAAATTCAATTCTGTGTTCATAATTATGGTTTGATTTCTTCAATTCGGATGTTTGATGGCGGAAAACAAATTGATAACAGAGTCCTGATGGCGATATCATAGATTGCATTCACATTTCACGCCAGCATGCTTTCGATCATCCATCATTCAAAAATCACACAATTCAGGTCTACAAACACCATTTATTCAACTATCTTCCTTCCTTCCTTCCTACTTAATCAACAATCAATTAATCCTTTCCCTGCCTCTGAATATCATTCAATTTTCAGATGAGGCCAAGTTATCATCCAGAGGGACTGCAGTTCAGCGAGGAGTCCAAGTACACCGATAGAGCAACTAGACCGATTACTCAGCTATGGCACATGAATGGAAGGTGTCCAGAGGGAACAATCCCTATCAGAAGAACAAAAGCTTCCGACGTAATTCGAGCAACCTCTGTTTCTGCCTATGGCAAGAAGAAATACACAACCGTGCCGCCCACACCAAGCTTCTTCGCTGCTCCTCAGCCCGATCTTATCCACCAATATGGACATCAGGTAATTAACAAATAACTAACTCTGTTTCATGCATCAGGTTGCGTTGTTAGTTTCGATTTTCAGCATTAAGAACACTGACAATTTCGCGCAATTTAGTTTAAGAGCTTTACAGTTTGAGATAAAATGTAGTTCAACACAACATATGTGCTTGTGCTTGTTTCGATCCTGAAACCAACCGGCTAAAAACCACAATTTTGTTCGATTTGATAATCTATGCGGCGTTTATTGCCATTGCTGCTGTTTTTGTGCATTTGGAGTTCCGTAGCACGCAATAGCTTACGTTCAAGGGGACCGTTATTACGGTGCCAAGGCAACAATGAATGTATGGGATCCGAAAGTCGAGCAGCTCAATGAATTCAGCCTGTCTCAGCTCTGGATTCTCGGAGGCTTCTTCAAATACGATCTGAACAGCATTGAGGCAGGCTGGCAGGTATACACACAATACTTACAAATTCTTACAATGTTTTCTCTCCTCGTGTCGATGATGAATCAGTGTCGAAAATGCAGGTCAGCCCCGACTTGTATGGCGATAATCACACGAGGCTCTTCACCTACTGGACTGTAAGCATTCGATCTTGTCGCCGTATAGATGATGTTCCAGTTTTCTATTTAATTCGTTCAAACATTACTGCAGAGCGACGCGTACCAAGCGACGGGATGCTACAACATACTCTGCTCGGGATTTGTTCAGATCAGCAACGAGATAGCGATGGGCGCTAGCATCTACCCGATCTCGCGATACGCCAAATCACAATACGACATTAGCATACTCATATGGAAGGTAAAAACGATTTTCTTACTTTTCTTTCTATAATCGAGCGAATGAATGATCGAATGACAGGATCCGAGAGAAGGCAACTGGTGGATGCAGTTCGGGAAAGATTACGTCGTAGGATACTGGCCGGCGTTTCTGTTCTCCTACTTATCGGAGAGTGCGTCGATGATCGAATGGGGCGGGGAGGTGGTGGACTCGGGGTGGTGGGACGGGCGGCACACGAGGACGGAGATGGGGAGCGGACACTTTTCCGGGGAGGGGTTCGGGAGGGCGAGCTATATGAGAAACATGCAAGTGGTGGATGGGTTGAACAATCTCCGGCCAGCGCGGGAAGTCGCGGCCTTCACCGGTAGGCCGGAGTGCTATGATGTCCGGCTAGGGAGGAGCTCCGATTGGGGGAGCTATTTCTACTATGGAGGGCCTGGTAGAAACCATAGGTGCCCTTGATCAAGGTATTCTTTGTCTTCTCCTTCCTTCTTTATTCATATCTCTCTCTCTCTCTCTCTCTCTCTCTCTCTATATATATATATATATATGCTTTCTCTCTTTCTGTCTCTCTCTATATATATATGTGTGTGGATTCATGTAGATATTTGGTCCATGAGAATGAGTAATTTGAAAGTTAGTTGGACCATTGCACTTTATTTAATTTTTAAATATATGCATATATAGTGTAAGAATTGTTTGTGGAGTGTTTGTAGTGGTGTAATAAAGTGTGCAACTGTTGTGATTTTATTTTATTTTTTTTTGACCGAGATGCATATGTATTTTTGTTTTTATTTTTTTTAAAATGATTTAAATGTAAATTTTCATGAAAAAGTAATGTATTTTTTTTTAAAAAAAAAAAAATGTAATAATCACATAATAAGAAATACTGAAATCATACACTAAAATATACACCCCAGAAAGTTCTATTTCTTTCATCTCAGCGAAAAATGAAAACCTACAGTCATACATGTTTATATTTATATTAAAACAATTTATTTTTCAAATTAAACGCAAATAAAAATATATCAATATATATTATTTTTGAAAAATGAAATTTTACATAATAATACATAAAAATAATTTATAATAATAATAAAGTTACTATTGAATTTATCTGGAAAGGCTTTTAGCCTTTTACTACAAGGTATAATTTTCCCTTGTAATAAATTTTGACCACTTCATATTTGCATAGAAAATCACCAAAAAATTATCTAAAATGAAAGCCTCCTAGGTGGCAGCACATTGACAGAGACCATCATATTATCACAGTTATATATAACAATCAATCAAAGTTCATACAAAATATTATAAGAAGATTGAATAAAAAAAAAAAAAAAAGGATGGATCGATGGATGAACAAGCAGCAGCTAACACAAAGCCTTAAATTAGAAAATGTTTGACAAAGAAAAAGAAAAAAAAGCACAGTTGATTATTAGAACAAAAAAAAGAGAAAAAAAGAAAAAAGCCAAGACAAGACGAGACAAGACAGTTATGAGAAAGGTTTATAGAACATGATACAGAAGAAATGTATTTTAAATGCTCAGAAAATTCCCAGATTTCCGGAGAACCCTATAACAAGTTAGAAGAAACGGACCGTATGTGTCGAACTGAACCCGACCGAAACACACTTGCATCTCTGTGCTTGCGCCGGATCGGGGCATTGTTAATCTGGCCAACGAGAGTCAGCCACAGCTCTACAAGAAGTAATCAGGGGTTCTCCGGGTTACATCTGGTTCGCCTCTCCTTGGAGCTGGATCGAACTGCAATTCAACAAGATAGCGGGACAATTAATTACAGCACGCAGCCGGTTGAAGACATAAATCGACTCGTGACTTATATAAACAGTAAGTTAAAATTCAAGCATGTATGACACCAATCCAACTATGAAATTATAACAACAACAATGATGGTGATAGTATGATACCAATCCAAAAGAAAAAGAAAAAGATTAATGTGATTAGATATAGATACAGATATAGGTATACACACATCTCATCTAGAAACCGAATCAACTACTACACAAGCAAGATTAAAAGACAAACAAATTTAGAAAATCACAGGCAGCCATTGAGTATATAAGTAAAGGGGTATGGGAGAGAACCTGAATGAATGTATGCTCTCTACAATCATCAACTTCCAAAATGGAAGCCATATTTCCACAACGGTAACAATAATTCGGCGCACTGAAAATAGTGACAACCTTTTGTTCCTGCAGCAGAATATTTATATACAAATTAGGGTAAAGGTGGGTAAACAGGGTTAATATATTATGAGTTTAGAATATTTACATGGGCCCAGTTGTATCCCTCCATGACTAGTTGATGAGCCCGAGCAATTAGCTTTAGGTTGTTGGTGTGGTTGAATTGTTCGGATATGTCCTGTAGAGAAGCAAGCAGGCATAGAGTTGTAGAATTAGATGAAACTCCAAAGGAACAGGAAGCAACCTCAATTATGTGAATGAGTACCTGGCCAAAAGTGTATCCAGCACCACGGGGTGAGATACCCCAGCCGCAACGATCATCTGGGTCAGACCACAAGAGGTCGCACATGGGACCTTCATGTGGAACTTCTTGAACGCGGTCAAAGTTTCGTATGTTGTCGAGGGTTTCAATTGATGGGGACAATCCGCCATGCAGACAAAAGATTTCCGATTCAACCTGATCATATATCAGTATATTAGACATTCATTCAAAGTAAACAGACGCAACACAAATTATACAATTAGCCTTTAAAATCCATCATGTAGCTGCACACTGACACAAGCTTAAATGTTTGATTCCCTCTTGTATTTAATATCAAAGCTTCACAATGGAGGCAAGCTCGCCAATGAGTGTAGAACCCATATCAATTTGTCCATGTAATACCCAAATCCTAGCACATAAAATTAAATAAAATGGGTATCGTCACTAACCAGTGCTGTCAGTGGGAAATAATCGAACAGATCAGTGAATATCTTCCAAACATTGGCGTTTCCGTACCTACAATGAAATTACAAAATTTACAATGTATTATTAGATTTTTTATGGCATGACAAGAGGAAAGATGCCACAAAATAAATAAAAAAATAAAGAGTCCAATTCAATCCAAAAATTGCAACTATGATAATATCACCCCACATAAAAAGATGACCATAGAATTAAAAGTTTCAATGTATATAACTGAGCTCCAATTAAAAATCAAATGCTGACTTCAAGATTCAAATAAGATTTGAATGTCGATAATATACTTGACATTTTAAGGTATCAAAGTGACAGTACATCTACTGCTACAATTTTCAAGATTAGCAAAAAGCATGACTTTAACAAAGACATGTAAAAATTAAAAATAAAAATAAAACACCATAGTATTGGTAACACATAAAAAATGCCCACTCAAAATTGTCAGCAAACAATATTTGGGAAAGACCACAACAGTGTTTTGAATTCATAGGAGCATATGTTCAAATCCACAACCAGACAACAATTTATACATAAAGCATTTACAAAAATTATAAGTAATCAAATACAGAGTACCTACTGAATATCTGACATTAATTGATTGTATAACCTGCGATGTTTCTGCCTAGTAACTCTAGATGATGATGATTATTATTATTATTATTATTATTATTATTATTAATAAATTCTACTATTCAACCAGATAATTTCTAGAAGATCAAGTATCATGTTGTCATATTTTACTAAGCTGATCCACCAGAATTTTATGAAACAAAATTCAGAACACAGTTGAAACAGACTTGAGTTAGGAAACTCACTTCCTCAAACATTCATCATAAAACCCATAGACTTGTGTGATCTGCAAGGAAAAAGAAACTATTGTTCAAACAGATTGTTGGAGAGCGTTGTACATGTCAACACATTCATCTTATGAGAAAATTAGTAACATGGAAATTTGCCAAGGGGATAATTAATTATGATGCTGCATAAACAGAAATTGGCATTCCAGTCAATTAACCAGTCATGTCATTTCATTTCCAAGAACAAAAGTAAGTGTTTTAAATTAAATATTGTTTTCTAGTTTATTTTAACAAACCAAAGAAGCCTGAAAATGAACCAGGTGACTGGAAATCTCAAAACTTCCAATCTACGATGAGAGTACTTAGCAAGTAAATAGATACCTGTCTACTTTCATGATTTCCTCTGAGAATTGTGATTCGTTGAGGATACCGCACTTTCAGAGACACCAAAAGCTGCAGTAGATAAGCCAGTAAGTGTTTCTTACCAACAAAAATTTCAGTGAAACAAAGCAGGCAGACTAGACAAACCCGAGTAGCATATTACTGATACCTACCTTAGGACCCTGATAGCTACCCCCTTACCCTCCACTACCCTTATACCCAGATAAAATAACAGAAAGGGGAAAAAATAAAGGAATATCAAGTCTCAACAAAGTGATAGATAAAGTGAACAGAAATTGTGAAGAAATGTGAAATGATCAAAGAGATCTTCAGGATTAAAGTACTTCTAATACTTACAGTAACAGTTTCAACTGAATAGTATCCTCGATCAACATAATCTCCCATAAATAGATAGTTTGTGTCTGGACACTGCCAACAACATAGTATCGTTAGACATTATCACTGCAACACTAAGTAATAAGATGATAAATTAAACAAGAGACACTAATAGTTACAAAAACCCCCAAAATCAAATTAAAGGAACACAAAGCCGACAAAATCAGAACTTTTCAAACAAGAGATAAACAATAACATTGTATTTGCACCTCCTAACAAGCAGAATAAGAATAAAACAAAAATATCTGAAAACCTTTATTACTAGAATTGGAACAAGATAAAGGATAACAACTCAGATACAATGGTAAGCATCTCAAAGAACATAAATAATAACCATAGCAAGGAAAGATAGAAAGTCTAAGAAGGAATCATCACTATCATATTATTAGAGTCTTGAACTGTAAGTAATAATCCCATTTTAGATTCATGTTTTCCAGGACTTGAGGAAGTAGGGATTTTTCTTTTTTAAAAATTCATGAAACAGGAATGTTAGCAACCACACGTCCATCATCAAGAAAAATAATTGTATACAATTTCAACCTTTTATCATTTGACAAGAAAGAGTCCATCCCCAAGTCCAATCCTTTGACTGCTCTCAAAGATTCACCTATCCTAGTTCAACACAGAAAAATTGGGGGGAAAGAAATAAAACAGCAGATGAATGTCGCAGACAAACAAAATACCTTCCCTCCAATGCGAAAAAGTTCAGCAAGATCATGGAACTGGCCGTGTATATCACCACAAATTGTGACAGGGCTTTTCACAGGCTGCATTCAGCACATACAAAATATCAATATAGCATCCCTAGTGGGATTAAAAATAATCAAATATAAAGGCAGAAAGCATTTTTCCATGGGATCAAGAATACTGATTTTTAATCTTTGTAAGTATGATAAACAAGTAGAATAATGGAAGCTTGGTCAAGATAAATTAGACAAGGCAAAAGCTTCTTCCAATCCTAAATATAGCAATCACATGCAAATTAAATAGTTTTCAGACAAAAACAGAAGTAAGGATAAACGAATAAATGTGGCAATCATTTTGGGTTCATTTTACTCTTTACACTTGACAAGATTGGGTTCAAATATACTATTTCATCACCATGAAGCCACATGCACGGGATTCCCTGAGTATTTAACAATGTTATTCATCTTAACTAGGTTTTTTTAATAATTGGTTTAACCCACATGGATTGCCATTGTTGAGAGCAATATGCTCCATGGCCAACTAATGGGAAATCACATGTCTATAAATCAAAGACATTAGCTCCTGAGCTGATTAACAAAAATCAATACACAAAATGCAGCCATGCAGTTCAGAATCAACTAAATTTGATATGCATTAGCTAAAGATGGCATACCCAAAATATTGTTTACATCGAATAAAAATGTTGTTAATGCACAAATTTGAGGAAGGAAGGATACCTGAACATTACTTTCCTGCATTAGTACCTCCTTAGCCTTCTCACATAAGGATCTAACCTGCATTTGAAAATATCGCAAACTCACAATCTAAATGCAAATGATTTTCAAATAATATGGCATGTGAAAAAAGAGTGAAACAAAGAATAAACATGAGGTCTATGGAACAGAGAGTACAGTTTACAGTTGCAGTGATTTTCAACATGGAGCTTTTAAAGGAAACGTTTGGAAAGAAGATTACAATAAAATACCCACCCTTCCCAAACATGAAAATGGAAGTTCCCTTGTCCTATTTATCACTGTTTAGCTTCCTTCGAGCTTGTGAATAAATACATGGGGCAAAGTCCCATTCCCATCAAATATCTATAATACATTATATTATACCTAAATCTTACCTAATTTTACTTAAATTCTGTCACTCTACGAATAAACTAAAATCTCATATTTTCAAGTATGTGTAAGATTCGTGCTACAATCCCCATAAACTCACCTTTTATCATCAGCAAAATATTGTAGTGTGAAATGCTCCATTCAACCAAGAAAAACTCTAATAATTATTCTCCCTCTATCACATACACTGCCACAAGGCCCACCACCCCAAATGGCACTCAAGCATCAGAGAGGTGCAAGTGAAATAGTGTTAGAATTAGCAAGTGATTTTAGGAGCATATAGGGTGAATTATTTATAGTTCTCTGAACCTTGTTCGTCGCGACCCCACTGGCCGCAACTGCATCCCTAAAGAATGGGATTTTACGTCAACGCACTTTAAAGTTTTCGTGAAAACTGAAAACAATAGTATTACGGCTATCACAGAAGTGTTATAACCTTATATGCTAATGCAAACTTGTTCGCCAATCAAAAAAGACAAATAGCCTCCACACATTCCACGGTTGTGATATATACTCAACTATTATACTAGATAAAGTAGTGATGAATTGCAAGATAGAATTCTAGGCTTCTAGACAATCCGCAACAACATATATTAAAGATACTACCCACAAAAGACTTCACCATAGTCAGCATCCACCAAACAACTAATCCATCAATACCATGCCACGACCTATAATGCCCCGTAAATATCAAAGATTCCACTCCAATAATTCTTCCCCAAATTATTCATGTAACAACTACCATACTATCAGCATGTGTAGAATCTAGTTGAATTCACAATGTAGCGTACATCAGGCTACAAAATGCACTTGAATATGGAGTGTTAGTAGTGTTAAGTTCCTTATATCCTCCATGGATAGGAATTATAATCATAAAATTTATATAAAGCAACCAAAAGAATTTCCACAGGTTCACAACTACTTCTATCATGCATTTCCGTTATCGACACACCCACACAATGATCACAATCCACAATTAATTTCCATGCCGTGGATCTTTTTTGCAACTCCCAACTCCATCTTGAACTTACTGCTCAATCGAGACTTTAACTTGGTAACCAGTTACTTATCTGTTCAGCTAATCATTAAAATAAAGGTATGTTTCAGAGACAAATAGAGTTTATGTGTGTGAAGACCAAACTAGCTTATTTCACAGTCGTGTGTACACACATGGCATCAGGCCCAATTTATCCATTTCATCCAAGTAGATCAAATTGAATAATATCTTTTATTTATTATTAGGCTTTCTATCTCGACCAATCTCCCTCGTCTAATTTTACTTGAAGGCTATCATACCTTAGATAAAGCCACCTCAAAATTTTACACTAAAAAACCAACTCAAAGATTCCAAATGGTCTTTCTTTGTACACATACAGAAGATGCAAGGAAAACTAGTTCCTCAACAATATTCCCTTTTAATGTGTTCATTGTGCATACAGATGAAAATCAATTTCATTTCATATATCATAAACAAGAAAACCACCATTGTGAAGAGTAACTAATCAAATGAAATAACTAATGTAGTACAGTAAGGAAGTAGAGCAGTTAAACAAGCCGAGCGAGCTCAAGTATCGGTTGCTTAAGCTCGACTCGAAAATGTTATCTGTACAAGCTAGACTCGGCTTGTTTAGAACTCGAGCTAAAATGATGGCTCTGGCTCAGCTCATTAGGCTTGATTTCTAGCTCGCGCTCAAGTTCGACTTGAATTTCATGCATATTATATAATTTTTTATAATATATAAATTAAATAAATATAATTATATACAATTTACTATAATAAAATATTCAAATTTCATTAATACATATAAGTTTTGACATATAATTTTATTTATTATATTAATAGATAAAATATTACAAATATATCGTTACTAATGAGCACGATCAAACTGCCTGCAAGCCAAGCTCGAGCTTGGCTTGTTTATATTTCTATAAACGTGTCAAGACGAATTTGGCTCACAAGCTATATTGTTCGTCTAACAGCTCTATAAGGAAGTAAACTGCAAAGTGCAAGTACAAACCACTTGCCAAATAATCTACAGGCTATGTAAAAATGGAAATGCACAAGAAGAAAGAAGCATAGATTAAATGACTTCTTTCCTTATCAATGATGTCATATTACTGCAAGCCACGTCACTATCCCAAAATCCTCATTTTCACATGAATTACAGAATTTTATTGCACATCGAAACTCCATAAGAAATAAATCAACAAAACTGTGAAACGTGTTTGGTTACATTAAGCTTTAGGTCACCATTCCAACAATTAGATTCTTAACCGGACAAGCACATGTCATGTCCAGGAAAAGACAACTACTTCCTAAAATTGTTCCGGGTAGGAGATTGCAGATCAAGATTCAAAGTGTGTTGAGCATTTATGATTTTATTCATCTTTGTCAGAATGATCATTGAGAAATTAGCATATCACAATAAAACAAAGTAAGTTTCATGTTCTAGACATAGCCGCCATTCCACCATATCAATTTCCATCAAGATTATGAACTATCTTCACCAAATTCATAGCAGCCGACAACTTCCCAATTTCATCTTAAACAATCAAAATGCTACAAAAAACCTTCTTCCCACATCTCATTCAAAACGTATACAACGTTCTAAATAACACTCCTACCCCATGATATGCATAAATAAAATTGTCGCATATCATTATCCAATTCACATCCTTAATAACAAGACATTATTCTTCTGTTTAGGTCTTGATTTTCGCAGACTTTTATATCCCTTCAAGAAAAGAGCATCTTGGCAACAATTCGTCCATACCATACGGCAGAAATCACAAAAAACATGTTGTATGATTCACAGTTTTTTTGTTGTTGTTGTTAATAAGAAGCAGAGATGTAGAGATCAATAATCCACAATGTCAATCAGATCTATTTTTAAAACGCACAACAAAAATAACAAAAACAAGAAAAACAAAAAACAATTATATAATAGTGAAAGGGGGGCGGAGAAAACCTCGGGCTCGGACAAAGGCTTGCATTGCATTAGCTGGGCAATCTGCTCGTCCAGATTCCCGAGCGTTCTTGCAGCAATCAGATCCGCGCTCATCTTGCCCTAATCCCCTCCTATCAGATCCACAATTCTTTAATCGAATATCGCTTCCTCAAAAATTGTAACCCTGCGATTATTTTTCTCAACTCCAGGACAAGATTCAGATCATTGCTGATTCTTGAAATATAATTGTATGTACATCCAGAGAGAGAGAGAGAGAGAGGGAGAGGTGGGGAGGAGGGAGCGAGAGATAGAGGATCAAAAATCCAAAACCAAATAGTACGAGATTTCGATCTGCGAACTTTATTTCATCGGCTCTGTTTGGTTGCTTTGAACGGCGTCGTTTGATTGGCTAGTAAAATCATTGAATTCTAGTGAATTTAATTAAAATAAATTTTCAACATTTTTTAACATTTAGAGATTTTTTTTGTGTTTATTTTGTGATTTTTTTTTTATTCTTAGTTATGATCATAAAGTTTAATAATGAATTAAATATAATGCCAAAAATTTCAAAACTACTTGTATAAACTGAACAAGTATAATTTATTTATTTATTATCTTTTCAATAGTAAGCTGAAAATTGATAAATAAATAAATAATCTAGCATAAACGGTAGGGTGATAGCTTCGTGTGACTGTGATTTAAAAGTAATTTAAAATATGACTTGGTTTGAATTTTGTAACGAACTTATTAGTGATAATATATGTGTATACCATTTTATAAATATATCTATGATTTAATACTCTCTGTCAAGTTAGAACGTATACATATTTTTATTTTGGGACGTTCAATTACAAAGTAATTGTTTCATTAAATACCTCATTTTTTCCACAAATACCCCTACTTTACATCACATCGTTACTTTTATACCAAAAAAATAAAATGTCATTTCACTACTTTTTACCTATACAATATAATTAAAATACTATTATTTCTTATTCTCAGCGCCAAAAGTAAATATATACTTTTAATTTGGAAGGAGGGAATACAAAAACTTGTATATTTATTAATAAATTTTGAATATATATTAAATAATAATATATGTCCGGTACATTATATAAATATACAGTTTCATTCAAAATGGTCATTTTGGAATTTATAGTACATAAAAATAATGATAATAATATTTTATTGATAATAACAAAAATTAAATAAAAAATTTGATATTTTTATCTTTTGAATTGTACCATTTTATAATTTAAATAATAATTAAATATATTATGATATTAATGTATAATTACTTTTGAACTTGTAATTTTACAATTATAAATTCATATCCACATCACAAAATCATTTCATAATATTTTACATATGATAAAATCTTACTCCTTTCGTCCCACATACTGTGTCTGCTACACTGTAGACAGTGTATTTTAGGATGGGTATAATTAATAGATAATTAAGAATGTATTAGTGAAAATAATTATTCGATAATATAAATAATTATAAATTAAGATTAAGATAACTAATTAGTTTAATTAAAATTTAAAAAATAATAATAAAATTAAAAGTTTAAAATGAGATTAAAGTGTGTAATCATTTTCAAAAAAAAAATTAACATGGTAACATGAACATGATACGTGGGACGGAATGAGTATTTTTATTGGAGCTCGGGAGCTCCTCCCGCCAGCCCAGCCAGCCCTAGTTTTAGAGTCAACCTAGGGAAGGCTAGTGTCATTAAACACCGATTCAATAGTATGCCTAAATTATATATCCTCAATCCCATTTGTCTCTATTTTCTATTTTTGTCTGTTCCATATAATTTGTCATTTCTTTTCTTGAAAATTGATTATACACTTTAATCATATTCTAAAATTTAAAATTTAAAATTTTATAATTTTAATTAAATTATTTAGTTATATCAATTTTAATCTATAATTACTTTTACTAAATAATAATTATTTTTACTAATATACTTCTTAATTACTTACTAATTATACTTTACCCAAATTTTCGTATCTACTGTAATGCTTTCATCTTATCTGGGACGGAGGTTTAAATCTATATTATATATACTCCATTCCTCCAAAAAGTACAGTTTTATTATGTTGGGTATGAGATTTAAGAAATATTATATTATATTAGTACTTGATAAAAAGTAAAGATAAATGACTTTTTTGTCTTTGTAAGTATATTAGTGTAAAAAGTAGTGACAATTGTATAATAATAATGAAAAAATAGTGATAGTTTTATTGTGATATGGTTATTTATGAAAATGTGACTATTGTTTTGGAACGAACAAAAATGGTAAACAAGACTATTGTATTGAAACGAACAAAAATGGTAAATAAAACTATTGTATTGAGACTATATTTTAATGTCATGAAAATTATTATTGTTATTTTATTATTATCATTATTATTGGTGTTCTTATAACAGGTCAAACGTGAGGGTCAAATCTTTTGTTCGCGGATTAATTAGTAAAAAATCAATTTGTTTTTGATTCATTTATTTATATAGTCAAGTGTATATGACGCATTGACGCGTACACGTAGGCATGCATGCACCAGGCCTTATCCATCTTAATAATAATAATAATAAATAAATAAATAAATAAATCATATCCTATAATAAAAGACTTTCAGTTATTTTGAAAAGTAATCAAATGATTAGACTTCCTTTATTACGTGTATTAATGTTACGTGCAAGTTATTTTTATCCAAATTTAGAATAATAGTACTAACTATTCCTCCTATCAAACATTCATATTTATTCATATGTATTTTCAAATTAATTTCATTTTCCCACAAATATTAAAATCAAAATAGAATTAAATTTAACCCACAATAAATAAATAAAAAAAAAATCCAGAAGTTTTTACTTGTAGTGTTCAATCTTGATATTTTCAATAAATAAAAAAAGTAACAATTAAATATGACATTTTCAGAGCAAATACGATGAATTGAATACTAAAAAATTAAATTTTAAAAATGTGAAATAAAAAAAATATATAATAAAATCAAAATTTTAAATAGGGTATGTCTTTACGTGTTGATGTTTTAAAAAATGATTATAATAACAACAATCTCAAACAATAATGCCAAATTGCAATGAAATAATAATAATAATAATAATAATAATAATAATAATAATAGCTCTAGAAAAACCACACACACGAGACACGTGATTGCTGTTTTAAGTCACGTGCTGTTGAATGCCATTTGAGTATACGAAAAGCTAATAGTCAAAATTGTCATTCTTTGACTTCTACCCCCCTGAATAGTTAAATATAACACATCAGCCCCTCTCTATATAAATATGCATATCAGATTGGAATAACCGTCGGAAAAAAATCATTCAATTCAAAATCCCAATCAATCATCTCATCTGTATTTAGGAATATTGTCTCCGGTTCGATTTCTACAGTTCTCATCAATTAGTTCCTTAATCGCGTGATGGAATTGGAAAGCAGCTTCGCAGGAATGGCGACGAAAATCGCGCTCTTCATCGTCGTCCAAGGTCTGGTGTATCTGATCCTTTCCCAGTCTTCGAACGTCTTCTCGAAGGTTCCGAGATCGCACAGCTTCAAGACGGCTCGCACGCTCAGCATCCGCCGCTGGGCCGCCGCGCTCGCAGATATTCCGGCCGGCGGCGAGGCGTCGCCGCAGGGGCTTCTCCGGTCGCTCAGCCGGGCGGAGTAATTAAATTTCACACGTGTGTATGTATATTATACATATATATATTTGTGTTTGGAATTGCTGTGAGACGAGGGATTATTGTTATTTATTTGATTTATTTTTATTGTATTGATTTTTTTAAAAGATTATTTTGGAAAAAAGAATTTGGAGGGGTGAAATGGTCATTTGGCGTAGCATTCTTGCTTGCGTGTATTACTTTTTAATCCCCGAATTTCTGATAATTACAAGTGCAGGCCGGGTGGATATGGAGGGAAAGTATCAGCAGACACAAAATTTATATCATCAGCATATATGATCCAAGTCCTAAATTAATTGAACACATCCAATTTATTTAACATGTTTCACCTAAATAAATCATGAAATTTTCAAAAATTTGTCCGATGACATTATCTTGCAAAAATCTGTCAAACAAGATCAGAATGTGAAGGGCAATGCAATAGTTGGCTAAGTTGCAATTATTTACAATAGGTTTGTTCTTTTGCCACCAAACTTTGTTTTTAGGTGGACTTTGCATTGAAAAAAATTCAGTCTAATTTGATATTATATTTTGTAAAAAAATAAATTAGACTGAATTTTTTTCAAATTCATAAAAGAAACACTTTAAATATATATATTTTTGTACATTATTGTAAGAGAATATTATGTAAAATAAATTTAAATGAAAAATAATGGCTAGATAATGATTTCATCAAATTTCCTTCGCATCATATATATATATATAGGAATAAATGCAAGAAAACTAATTTATGTATTACAATAGTTCAAATTAAGGTTAGTAATTAAAAAAGGACATTTAATTTCACATGGGAGTGGGAAAAAGAGCACCGGTCTGAACCGGAGGAGGGTACAGTGCCGAACCGGTGTGAGGAGTGTAACCCAAACCGGCGGCGGCGTTCGGGTTGTGCGCGGCGGCGCAGCGGACGTGGACGTCGAACTCGCAGTCGGAGCAGCAGTAGCAGAAGGCATCGCCGGCGAGGCCGCAGGCGTTGCAGAAGAAGGAGGCGGAGGCGTAGGTGGGGTAGGGTAGGAGAGTCAGTGGGTGGGTCGGGTGGGCCGGGTGCAGCATGGACCGGGCGGCGGCGAAGCACTGCTGGTCGAGGAAGTAGTTGCACGCCCAGCACGCGTAGACGCACCCGGCGGCGCGTGACTTGCACCCCGAGCAATGGACGTCGGAGCCCGGGGCCGTGTGGTGGACGGCCAGCGCGTGCGCGTGGCTGAAATGCTTGTACGTCGTCGGGGCTGCCGCCATCGCCGGATCCAATATAGTCGATCGAGAAATGGTAGGGTTTACTTCTATATATAGAAATTTATAAAAAGTTGACTTTGCTTACAGAACGCAAATAAGGATTCATTAGCTTTAATTTTTATTGTATAAACTGATATATATATATATACATAGTAATAATCCTTATAATATACGTTGGTTTTAATCCAATATGTGCGCTTGTTGGTCGGATAAATTAATGATGCGTCTCTTAAGGTCTTAAATTTTTAGTAAGATGGTTATTCAAATTATTTAATATGATATCAGAGTCATAATTTCATCGGAGAATATAATACTACCTTTGTCCATTATTAATTTATCCATTTGTATTTGACGTCATTGTTTTTAATATTAAAAATATTCTTATATTTGTATAATTTTTTTGTACAAATGTCATTACATTAGTATTATAAGACACCAATATAAATATTTTTGTCGTTTTTCCTTGATTTGTACTACGTTTTGATATAATAATTAATATTCAAATATTAACATGCAAAAAGTAAACGAATAGATTGGTGGTGGACGGAAGTAGTATTGTATTTTCTTCGTCTTATTTGAAATTGGTCTTTTGAGATTTTGTAATAGATTAAAAAATAATTATACTATATTATTGATTATTGAAAGTGTGTAAGATGTTTTAATATTTTTGTCTTTTGACGGACAAAGTATTAGTTGATGATAGCATAATAAAAAGAGAATATTTTTTAAAAAGAATATATGAATGAATAAATAAATGAAACAAAAGAATTTTGGATAAATTAAGTGTATAAATATTTACGATGTGAATATGCTTACTTGGACTTTTTTTTATTCACCATATATTTAGTAGAGGAATAAAGTAAAAACATAAATTTGTAAGTCTTATTTATATATTATTAATTAATACATTTAACAATAGAAACAAAATTAATGTTTAAAGTTTTTTAAAGAGCTAATAATGGTAGTACAACAAAGAAGAATTCATATCGTGGACCGTAAATGAATGGTTGACTTTGTAGTTATGGGTATGAGTTGACTTTATGGCATGGACAGTTGTTCTTCCATTGAATATTATTACAGCATCTCGTGAGCTTAAGATCTTGACTCGGTTTTCTTTTGCAAAAAACATGGACTTTCTTTAATTATATATTTCCTTTTTCCCGGAAGTTTATGCATTAGGTGAGCGCGCGCACATATATATATATATATATATTAATAATAATATTAAATTGTATTCTCTCCGTCATGCAAATGTGTGCTCATTTGATCAAGCACGAGTTTTAATAAAAATGAATAATAATTGTTACTTTTTTCTTTTATAGTATAAAAAAGTACAAAAATATAATAATTTTTTACTTAAAAATAAAACAATAATATTTTTCAATGACAATAAAAAAAAAATGAGTATAGATTTGAATAGCGGAGGGAGTAGTATGTAAAAAAAATAAAAAGTAGAGACATTATTATTAAAAAAAAAAATTGATAAAAGATAGTGGGACAAGATGAAAAGTAAAAAATAAAATCATTATTTTTTTATTAAAATAAAAATAATAAAATTATAAATAGATAAGTTAGTTTGTTCGGGGATTGGATTTTAAATTCACTATTCATCTTTTTTTTTTTCAAAAATATCAAATCAAATACCTATTTTTTATTTTTTATATTATAATAAAAATTATTTTTACATTCAAAATATCACATCAACACCTATTTATATCACATCATACTACTATTCAAATCTCAACTCAAAATTTAAACTCCCAAACAAACAATGACAATTTTTTTATTTTTAATCAAGATCACTATCCAATAGGATACCTATAGCTCGATATCATGCTAAAAAATATTTTTTGGTTTTAACTTAAAGCAAATTAATATGAAATAAATTTTACTTTTATATTTAAGAGGGACTTCCACAATTTTCTTACATGGACAAAAATATTCAATATATACATGGACAAGCTATGTCTACTTGGTAGTTGACACAATATTTTATTTCAAATACTGAGCAACTTTTGAAATTTTATAAAAAAATACTTAAATTATTATTCAAAGGCTATACTAATGTGATTCCCTGTAGAAAAAATATATATTATATAGTATTTATTATTATTATTATTATTATTATTTTTTAAATGAATATAGTTAGGAGATTTTTCTAAACTTCTAATGTGTTTGATTAGGAGAATTGAAAATAGAAAATTTGAAAATATATATATATATATATATTTTTAGAGCTTGATAATTCAAAATTAAAAAATTAATTGTTTTTTATTATTTACTTTCATTTTTTCGTGTGTATAAAAAAATTGGAAGAATTTTGTAACACACGAATACTATCTAACAAGAGAATGATTCAAACTGATGGTAAAGATATATATTGGTAGATCTTATTCTTTCTTTTAAAAAATAAATTAATCTTAGTAATTTTAATTGCTAAATTTTGCATATATATATATATATTTGAATAAATAACAATTAACCTTCTGTTACATTTTTATGGTACTAAAAAAAAGAACAAACACTTAAGAAGTAGTGGTAATAGAGATCTTCGACACATGGATCAACTATTTTTGAATTATACTAATTTTTTAAATATGTATTAAATATAATACCTAAAAGACAATAATGACGCCGATATACTTATACTACAGTAAGCACTATTTTATTTCACAGTACGCTCAAAAGGTAAGGACATTAAAAAATATTAATTATTTTAAGTTAATGTGATAATTTAATTCACTCAACTTTTGATGTGCCTAATTATGCACTCTAACCCCAATTTTTAATACAATATTATTAATAATTTTTTAGATAAAAAAAAAAAGCACATACAAGTATTCATTTTTATTCGTGTATCAATTTTTTATTTTAGTAAAAATAATTATACATTAATAGTAAAATACTATTAATGACTTTTATTTAAATTACAATTATTTTATATGTAAAGTCAAATAACAAAAATATCAAAATTTAGTACACAAAAAAATAGTACAAAACCATTAATGATTCTTTCATCAAGAACGGAAAAAGTATACAACAAAAAATAGTCATATAAGAATGTCTTGATGACACCGGGTGACTTATAACTTCACTTCCGGTAAGATTATCGTTTAAACTCTGATTTTAATTTTTCTGCCATATATGATTCTTCTAATATAATTTATTTTATTAAACTTGATTTATAAAATATTAAATTTAACTGAAATTTACCCAAAATACACTTTAGCTGGACGTTTATAAAATAATAATAATAAAACAAAATCAAATCATAATATGTGCTGCGCTTTTAAGAAAAGAGGGAATTCAAGATCGAGGCCACCCTACATACGACGCCGTTTGCGGGAGCCATTTACTGAATTTAATAACCTCACCAAAGCAGGCAGCCGCAGCAGCAGCGGCGGAATCCAAAGATGCGCCATTTTGACTCATTTTGCTTTCCTCTCCAATGCCGGATTTCTCGCTCAACAATTATCCAGCTACACGCCTCCCTTGCTCCTAGAGCAACGCCCCTTACAATGGATCTTCAACACCAAATCCAACTGCTAATGTAGAATTGCTGTCGAGCAGGACAGATTTCGGCGCCTTTTGCAGGTACGAACCTTCTTCATACTTGGGGTAATCTTCAATTCGCACTACCACGCATGTATGGATGTGTTCTCGACGACTTATTTTCCGTTTGCGCGTTTGTAGGAACTTAAATTTTCTAATTGAAGGTTCAATTTGAATACCTAATACATGAGCACTAGTTTTCGGGTAACCTAGGGTTTGTTAGCTGAAGTGGGTTGCTGAAGTTGAGATCCGGTAGGTTTTTGAGCGATGGATGATAATGACTTGGTGGATGTGAATTTGATGGCTCTCGATTTGAACCAAGAGCCGACGGATCCACCGCCGCTGCAAAGGGTTGAAAGGTACGGTTCATGGTTGAATGAGCTGGAAAGTGCGAACGATAGGATAGAGGAGAGGATTCGACGGCTGGAGGCCGTCACCGCCCGGGCGAGGCAGCGCCAGCGGTGGCGGGAAGCTAGGAATTCCATGGAGATTAGAGATGTTGTTGTGCCTGGTGAATTGATGGTCGATTTAGGTGGAAGAAGCGGAAACGAAAGTAGTGTGGAAAGGATTGGCGAAAGGGGAAAAGGATGTAAAAGGGACAGTTCACATTTGGTAGCAAAGGCATTGCAGTTGGAGGCGGTGAAGATGCCGGCTAGTAAAGAAGGCGGGAGCTTTTACGACTGTAACATATGCCTGGATGTGGCGAGGCATCCCATCTTGACTTGCTGCGGCCACTTGTTTTGTTGGCCGTGCTTCTATCAGGTGTCGCCTATAGATTCAAATTCGAAAGAATGTCCAGTTTGTAAAGGGGAGGTTTCGGACAGCACTGTGATCCCAATATATGGAAATGGGGATGGAGAGGCCATAAACGAGACCGAGACTGGGTTGAAGATACCCCCGAGGCCCAAAGCTTGTAGGGTTGAGAGTGTGAGGCAACAGCGTGTGGCGCAAGGGTTGTCCCATGTTCCAGTTGCTGAGGCGCTTAGGAGAATCAGGATTAGTATAGGTGCTATGGGTAATCAAGCATGGCAAGAAGACAGGGGTGGGATTCCTAATTTGGGTACTGCTTCGGAAGGGGTAAATGAAGAATTAGGTGGGGGGCATCGGTTAAGAATCCATCAGGTTTCGAGAGTGTTGTCTGAAAGTGTTGCGTCGCTTTCGTCGCTTACATCTGCTTTGAGTAATGCGGAAAGGCTAGTGGAAGATCTTGAAACGGTTATCAACAGCCGGCTGTTGCAGAATAGCGGGCGGGCTTTACAGGTTGATTCTAATCAGGCGCCTCCCGAATTGACTGGCGCAGTAGTGGGCTCATCGTCGTCGTCTTCTTCTCAACCGACTGAAATTCCTGTTGGTGTTGGGAGAACAAGAAGTAACGGTGGAGCTCGGAGAAGAAGCATAATGTCGAGGATTCTGGAATTTGACAACCGGGATGCTCGGGAGACTAGGAGAAGAAGATTGAACTGACTGCTGACTGATGTGGTTGCCAAAGAAGGTGAAATATGTTTGTTGTGTTGTGTTATGTTTGGGAACTTTTGTGTTTGTGAAGAGGTGATGTTGTGTTGTGTTTTGTTGTTGGGAGTGTGCTTGTTTGTTTGTTTTGGATTATTGTTGTTCTTTCTTGGGGAACACAACACCACAACACAAATTGATTGATGTGTTTGTGTGACTGTCTGAGAAGATAGATATATAATCAAACCACCATTCCTTCAATTCTATTCTAATGTTGGATTTGGAGCCTCCAACCGAAAAAACTATATATGTATTTTTATAATATTCATTAAAAATTGTGTGGTTAAAATAAACCTATATATTTTTGTATGTCCAGCAACGCACGCTGTTACAAGAATACTGGCTGCCTTCTCGCAACCTGCCAAATGCCAACCCTGAAATCACACCCTCATTTAAAAATACAATATCACATAATAATAATAAGAATAATAATAATAATAATAGCTTTAAATCCAACCAAGTTTTATTGGTCCAAAACAAAATCGGACAGCACTTTCCGACCTTAACTTGGAAATTGAATTGTAAACATTTAAATTATAACAATATTATAATAAATAGTACAAAACCATCAGCGTCCGAACAATCAGAGCTTAACTTGTTTGTTTTTGGGATGATATCTGCATCAAAACGGGATGACATCTGATTTATAAAAATAGAAAATAAATAATCCTTAGAATGGAATGTGCAAAATTTGAGCTCATCTAACACACTTGAATACATAAACTAACCGATATAACAACCAATTTCAATGTTAGTTTAGCTCAGCTGCATTTATCAGCTCAATGTAGACTACTACTGCATGCAAATCAAATTATAGACAAGTTCATAACACTCTTCAGCATTTTAGATTGGATCAATCTTCACTTGAAACACGAACTGCGTAAATAATACCACCCCCCCCCCCCTCCCCCCCACACATAAAATAAAAAATTACAGGTACCTCAGACAAAGTCATATGAGCAATACAAACATCTAATTTAGGTTACTTACAGATTATGCCACAAACTCATAATTCATGAAATGGGTATTGATGAACCAAACTTGTTTCCAATTCACCGCAGTCTTTGCATCCACTTCAATCCAAATCTGGTCTGGACAACTACAGCAATAGATGGTCAGGCTTCCTGATAAGATTTCAATGGCAAGAAAGTCATATATATATATGACTTGCTTCCATGAGTAGCAGCAAGCAGCGAACAACAAAGGTTTAAAGTTTTATACGTGATGGATTGAATGAATGGTAGAGATTGTTTGAGATTAATAGTGGGAATGGCAGATGACACTGACCTTGACCTATATCAGTGAGGTTTTATTTCTCAGTTGGCTCCAGATGATTCGTTTTTGAAATGCTGTTCTACCATTGGAGGCAAGAGAAGAGCAAGCCGGGTTTTGTATCTGGATATTCTTTGAAGTCTCTCTTCTCTTAGCCTGCAGATGTTGAACCAAGAAAGAGGGTAAATTTTGCCTAGAACCAATATACATATGATATGCATGCACCGAAGGAGAAATAAAAAACACACTAGAGATCAACAATTCAGGAGGTAAAATGTTAAAAAATTAATTACAAAATAACTGGCTCAGTTAAATGGTCAAACATATTTATCTAGTTTTTTTTTTTTTTTTTTTTAAAACTCCAAAATATCTCCTTTAGTGTAGCTAGTGTTTATGCACAAATTCTATAAATGGGTGGGGGAGTAGCTTTGAGCATATGAACTTCCAAATATGCATGTAGTGTTTAAAAACTAACGTTGTCTTGAAATTTTATTGTTAGAGAAAGAAATATATCAATTACCAAGGCAACTTACCGTGAACGAACCCTCTTGGCTCGACTGATGTGTCTTTGTAATAGTTCTCTCTCAGACAAATGTTCAACAGAATCCTTATCCTGAAATTAAATGAAGATAAATGGTATACTATAACTAAACGCCGAAGAAACTACAAAGTTAGAAAGCCATAGTGGAAACTGGAATAACGATTCAGATGATGACAACGATGAACAGAAAACTAGAGAACTCCATACCAACTGTTAGAGGATTTGAGTAAAGATTAATAAGCTTTTAGGCACTACATTTATTTAATATAATAGTATAGGGAGGTCTTTAGTTCAAATCTCCATTACTGTTCATGTGAGAACAATTATGTCACAAAGTAAGGCTTTATTTAAAATAGCTCTAGTCTACCGACAAGGGGCATGTTAGAGGTATTGAATGCAAGTAAATATACAATAGTAAGCATGTTAAATCAGTTTAATTCTGTTGGTAAATGTTAAGGTAATCAATTAAAGACACTAATAAACATTATAGATTTACTATAGTTTTTTCATGCTTCTAGGTCAGCTCTTAGGTAGAATGAGGGTATCCATCATGAAGTTTCGAAACATTTTGGTTATGAAGAAATTTAACCGTCAAGAATTTAATTTGCCTTCTTGTCCAACCATTAATGATAATATTACAGGATTATTATCTATACAAATAGGAATGACTTTCTAAAATATTAAAATCATATGAAAGAATTGTTTTATGTGAAAGGGATGTTGTTGACTAACTAATATGCCACAAGTCTTCTTAAACCTTATGGGGAGGACCATACCACACCATACAATTCTTTGCCTCCATGGTCATTCCATGGTTTTATGGTTCGCTATTTGGGTAGAAACAAAAACCAGATTGAAGAGGCACGGGTGTTATATTGAAGTACCAACCTCGTCTTCCTGTTCTTTATCTTCTGCCTTTTTATCAGATGAATCCGAAAGCTGATTTTGAGAAGCTGCAGGCAAAGGCCTGGGAAGTGCTCTGACAGTGTCAAGGTATGGAGGCTGCTGAAGAAGTAAAATGTCAAATCAGAACATACGCAAATACAAAAAATGAATCAATATATGTCCTAGACTGAGAAAACACAATATAGTTGCAGGATGAAACACCGTGTGCTCCCCAGCCATTTAGCAAAGATCTCAAGATGAAAATTACATTTCCTCTACCAAAATTTTCAAAGCTCCCAAAATAGAGAAGTTGCACAGCTTATATTAGACTTTTGAAAAATTTACCTACTGACTTGTAAGTTATGATTAATCAATCCTCAACCACTATTCTAAGCAAAAAAGGGATGCAATGCATCCCTCAGCTAAAATTCATGCCCCTCTTAGAGTACTGAGTATTAAAGAACTATAAAGTTATTAACTTATTATAGTTGGTTATATCATGTCTAGTATATTCCCAATTATAATGAAATTACATAATAGAACAAATAATTATGCATAGCCTAAAACAGGCCTAAAATAATCATAAGCAACAACACTAATCTAATATACTCTCTAGATGATATAAGCCATACACCCAAATAACACTTCTCCTCCTTGATGAAGTGACAATCTATCTCAATATGCTTTGCTCGTTCATGCTAACGCTAAGTTTGAGGCAATAATGTTACTTCATGTCACACCACATTTTATCTCGGTCACCTCACAAAACTTAGTTCACAAAGTAATTGTTTAATGAAGACAAGCTCACATGCTGCTAGAACCATGACACGATATTCAGCTTCAACAATAGAGCATACAACCATAACTTATTTCTTATCCTTCCAAAATACCAAATTACCTCCAACAAACACACAATATCCCAAGGTAGAACACTTGTTAACGAAAGATCCCACCAAATCAACATTTGAATATCAAATGATCTCAGAGTGATTGTGATTTGTAAATAGTAAACCTTCAATTAGGGCTTTTGTCTAGAAAACAACTTTGTATTTGGAACCATAGGAGAATCTACTGTGTTACCATTAGACTAAGATAAAGTAATAGGATAATCAAACAATACCAATTGTTTGCCCAAAAACCACTAGGCTCCTTTATTTCCAAGATAAATAATGATGTCCTACAAATCCTAGATAATCTCTTTAAAGACGTAGTAATCCTACTCACTAAAAGTAAAATAAGCTCACCCAATAACTAAAGGGTAAGTCCAATTCAAAATGTAATATATAAATAGAAAAGCAAACAAATAAGTATAAACCTGAGAACAACAGGCCTTAGCCCATCCCCATCATCGATATATAAGTAGCAGTGAAGATTTCACTTTCTCTTCTGCATATCCTTAGCCTAAAAATGGCTGTGTAAGTGCTCTTCAACCGTGTGATGCTATTTATATCATCACTAATGATGACAATATCATCAACATAGACAACCAAATATATGCAACATTCTTCTAGGAAGTGTTAATGACGGCTTACACCATAATAGGCTCCAATACCATGTAAATGTTTATTCTATTCTCTGTTATAATGAAATTAAATAGCACACAACCTATAAATACACATAGCCTAAATAGGCCTAAACTAATTATACGTAATGTGCTTAATTTAACGCCGCCTACTATTTCAAGAAACATAAGTAACATTTAAATCATTAAGACAATGAATGCACATTAAGCCTTTTTCACACAGCTTGTTGTAGAGGGAGTGGCATAGAAGAGCTAAGCACTATGTTCCTATGAAAATGTCACAAGTTCGACCTGGAGCTTCAATCCACCAGGACAGATAAGCAAATTTTATATTTGAAACATGACAAAGATTGACCTTAAAACTTAAGAAATCTTCAGAATTGAACAGTCTCTGACTGACAAGAATCGATATAATTATAAGCAATGTATTATAAAACAATAACGGAAATAAGTTGCATTGTGCTCTTAAAGACTTTCTCGAAGCATACTTGTGTCTCCTCAGGAAAACCATTCCTCAACCATGATCGGCAAAGGGTATAAAGAGAAGCATCTTCAGACACTCGAACCTGTGTGAAAAAGGTGGTCAAATCACAAATACAAGGTATTCAAAATAGTTGAAAAGGTACACATACGACCTACAATAAGGAAAATGAAATCAATAAGTATCCTATACATAATCACATGGTTGTCAAGAAATTGCTTGTATAAAGACACACAAGTCAATAATGGAAAAACTATCAAAACCTAAAAGTATACCCTTCTATATTTGACTGTAACAAAAGCATCGTCTTTATTCATATTCCTGCAACCAAAATGCCAGACATTAGAATTACTAGCATGCACTAAAAATCAACAAGATTCATGCATGAACAAATGCAAGCACACACAGGTAAATATACACCTTAAATCCTTGTGGCCATTGTTGTCTGACATTGAAGCTGAAGTAGGACCAGCCTTAAAGAAGCCCATAAATTATAATAGATAAGTTAGAAGAATAAATGTAAAGAACAAAGTTATTAATTTTGTTACTTTATACAAACTAGAAATTCAACATAGATTATTTGAAAATAAACACGTAGGTATGCGTTTAGTTGTTGCAGGAGCATTCTGACAGAAATATATCTGGACATCTACTATGCCTACATGCTGAATCTATATCAATATGAGTAATAAAATGCACTGTACACACATATAAGTCCTTGGTTTAGAAAGTTTGGTGCATAGTTGATATACCATGCATCACAACTCACAGGTGGCTTAACACCATATAAGTGCAGCCATAAACAGGCACTTTAATTTGTATTTAAAAATGTGTGGAGTATGTGTGTGCTCGCATCTGAGCACCTGTTTTCTATTATAAACACCTGTCTCCGCATTATTTTCCAATCAAATAAACGCCAAAATACAGAGTAAATAAACCTTCGAATGGTGCGGGATGGGAATTCCTTTAACCACGCCAGGCACTAGCCCTCCACCTGAAGCATTAGCAGCAGGACCCGATCCAGACCCAAGAAGCATATGTGAAAAGTGGTTTGGCCTGACGAGGCCCTGACCGCCCTGGTCCAAGTAAGGGAACATAAATGGCGGCCGCGGGGAGGCTGCTCGGCCAGCGGGCATGCCGACGGACCTGGAGAGGAATCCACGGCCAGAGGATGCGACCGGGTAGAGAAGGTGAGAGGGATCCTGCGGATGGGGGTGGAGATGAGGCGGGCGAGGCGCCAATTGAGGGTAATTAGGGTTAGGATTGGAAGGGAGTCGCGGAGGCGAAGGCGAATAGAAAGGGTGGGAGGTTTGGGGTCTAGGAGGGTTTTGGAAGAGCGGCCGTGTGGTATTTGTGGTGGCGCTAGAAGGTTCCGCCGCCGGCGGAGGTGTGGAGGGGGCCATAGGCGGTGGCGCGGGTTTGAGATTTTTGAAAGCGTAGGGAGCTTCGAGATTTTGAATGCTGAGCTAAGATTTAGTGCAAATAATTTATATATGCATATGGGGAATGCTCGTGGAACGACGTCGTCTTGTGGTGGCGTGCCGATTGGCTAGAGCTGTGGTCGGGTGACTCGGAGATTAGAGTTCGATTTTACAAATTTTTTTATAATTTAATTTATGATTTATATATATACAAGAAATTATTGTAATAATATATATAATATAATATAAATAAATAATATGCTATATATTTATATATGATTTATTTTTAGAAAGTAGAAAATTTTAAGTACATTTATTTATTTAGAGAAAAAATGAAATATTTAGATAGAATGACATATAATTGGTACATAATTGTAATGAAATTTTGTCTATAGGACTAAAAATTGATTAAATAGTGTGATGGAATAAAACCAAAAGTGAAATGAGATCACAATTACAAAACAAAGAATTTTTTTCAGCTTCTTGAACATACAATCCTTATTATTTGATAAAATATTTTATTTCTTCTAAGCAAAATATCACATTGCATCACTATTTAAACACAAAATACAAATTAAATATTTTTCACGCTAAAAAGAAACAGAAAGTCATGCAAACAGACAATTGGGAGGTAAAAAACAATGTCGCAATGAAATGAAAGATTGAGAGACAAAGCAGAGGAGAAAGAAGAGAAACTTTAATAGACCGCAGCCAAGACTTGAAATTTTTACATCATCATCATCATCATCACCAACAGCAGCAGCAGCAGCAATATTTTACAAAAGAAACACTAATGTTAATGAAAGAACAAAACCCTAATTTAGTGAGACCTGAAACAATCAAAATGTTAGGGGGCTAACGGGGACTTAAGGCAGCTGCTGCAAATTGCATTTGTATCACAATCCAATGCCCCTAATATCAGTTTTTCTGGTTCTTACCTCATCGCTCAATTCTGGTCCTAATTGCTAGGTACCTTGTCTAAAACCTTCCCAATCTTGTCACCCTTCTACCACCTTCTTCTGTATTTATTCTCGATCTATTGCCTGCCCATGGATGAAGCGGCCACCCTCGTCTGTAACACACATCGTATGACAGTGTCAAGGTAGAATTCTAGCAAGGTATTGGCATTGTTTTGTAACATTGATAATAAAGTGAAAGGAAAATGACTTGGGGCCGGAATGAAGTACTACAGCTGCTCAAGTTGGAACATACACTGTATTTCTACGTATACATACACTATATTTATTGCAGGGATCGATCTAGCAAAGTATAATAAAATGGTGCATCAATCCAAAGTTGCATAATTCTTTCACAGTAGAGACAAACCATATGTTATTGATCTTCAGGTTCACTAACATATATAGTTTCAGGCAATATTAGAATAGCACAGTGTTAGGAATTGGCAGAAGCATCAGATAAAACGACGTCCCATTTATAAACAGGAAGAAAGAAAGCTAACAAGGCATACCACTTTCACCATCAGATAAATCGGCTAGTCTTGCAATGGCTTCCGTAAGCGCAAGTTCATGCTCCTGTTTTTCAAAAAGTAAAGCAATAAGCCAATCCATGTTTTAAAAGAGTGCACATGAAAATATGAAATCCAACAAAACGTTGTCAAACCTTTAGCACATTCTTAGCTTTCTCAATCTCCACAGGGTTGGGATGACTGGCACCAAAAATCCGCTCTACCTGTGAAAGGTTCAAATATATTTAGAAGCAAATCTTCTGAACATATAGAAAGTAAACTGCCCGGTTGTGTACCTCCTTAATGAGAGTCTCGGTATGAAGCAACTGTATGTCGTCAGGTCCCTTCTTGCCAAGGCCATTCTGGGAAGGTGGAAAATCCTTCCTGGAATGACCTTTTGGCAATCCTCTCCCTCTTCCGGGACCAGGAGCAATGTTATCTCGCCCCAGAGAATGGTTCAGTCCATGGCCTGGTCCACCATAATTTCCATGGCGAGAAATTACAGGGTCTTCACCTGCCCATTGTATGTCCTCAGGAGAAATCTGCAGAGTAAATACTGAAGGCATCAGGGCATACTTAGCACTCATTGGTCAAAAAGATCCTTCAATATTCTTCTAAGCATTCACAATTACTTTTAGGGAAGCTTGATTACATAGGATAACAACAACAACAACAAAATATAATTGTGGATTGGAACTGGGATGACCAGTGATGGGCTAACCATTCTATAAAGGTGAAAGAGTAGGATTGGGAACAGGTACACAAAAGAGATTAGGGATTTTACAGTGCAAAACTAACACCAAGTAATCAATAAATTGAGATTTTATGGTGTATAACTAGTTAACTACAGCCAAGAAGAAGATAAAAATGAACTTGGACTACATAATTCGGAAAAGAAAATAGCACCAGGAAACGCCACACAACACAAAAGTTGAATGTAAATTGTTGCTAACATGATATTAAAGATATTGTTCCTATTCACAGATGAGCTACATATTTAAATATGAGAATTATCTCACACTAATTTATGTAATGAGGATTGAATGCAATCATGTTATATAAGGAACTGATACTAAAGAAAGTATGTCATGGATAATTTATCCTGAATGTATGTCAGTCAACTTGTAAGGCTAAAAATCAAGTAATTATGTACCTACCTCAGATAGGTTGACCCATTCCCATGTCTCATTTGGAGTATTTATGTCATAAACAAGTGCATGTAGGCCCTGGAATTCATGATAATTTTAGGCACCAAATAATAAAAACTACAAGTGCACCAATAGCAGGAGTCTAATATATTATACCTCAGCTGCATTATAATCAGTTATAACAGCCTCATAGAAATTATTATCATCAGGCCATCTGGTACGTACTTTCCTTCCAATCAATGGATCAAATGAACCTCCCCCTGCAGCCTCATTAGTGACCCCACCAGTCCCAAACCGGTTACCAAACTGACCTCTACCAGCTGGACCAGAGGAATATTGCATCTTCATTGAAGATGAGCCTGGCAGACCCTGCCCAATGAATGAAATATTGAATATGAGCAGTAGTAGTTTACCAGTAGAGCAAAATTAATGACTGAAGTTATCACTCACGGGTTTGTGCTTTTTAACTTTTGAGCCTGTCATGGATCCTCGTTTTGAGGATTGTTGGTTTGTTCCTGCCATTCCCTGTGTGTGGAAAGGAGGGGGTGGGCCACCAAAGGATTGGGAAGGTAGCGTCGAGGCTACCTTCTGTTTTTTACGTGAAGCTGACACAGAAGGACTTGGCACTGCCTCGCGTAGTGCATGATTAGCAACATGGACGCCCGGTTGAATCCCGCCAGATGATCTCCATTCCCTGGTAGCATTTCCCAAAAGTTGCAATCAAAGCAAATGTGGCAAATTACTAAGTTGAACTTGGCATGATATGCTGAAAATATGTTATCATAGAAAACCTTATTCTTCTGATTGTCTCATCCGAATTAACCCTGCTGAGAATATCCCTGTGCTCCTCATTCGACAATTTTAACTCTTTTCTTAATTCGGTTATTAAACCCTCCTTGTCCTGAAAGAAAGTATGTTTCACTGAGCAGACTACAGACATATAAAACTTAATCAAGCAAATATCTCACACTAGATTCAGGTGTTCAATGTGCAAACAGTACCCAAGTAAGGGCATCAGCTTGAGCTTTAAAGGCTCGTAGAACAGAACTGTATGCTTCTTGTTCAAGCTGATGAATTTGGTTTTCCATTTCTGCCTCGTCATACATCACAGGATATGGAACAGAACCCATGGCAGCAGGCCTTCCATTACCAGAAGCCCTTCCATTGCCAGCAACACGGCCTCCCCTTGAAATCCGATTTTGGTGAGGTGGAGGAAAATCATCATCAGTTCCTGAAACAGCATCCAATGAAGAGTGAATCAATATACACTGTGTGGAAATCTAAACAGCCTAAAATAAAATCACAAATCAAAGATAACAACTTGTCAATGAACCCAAGCTATTACTCGCATTCAGAGCCCAAGTGACTGCGTCAATGAACGAATCATCATACAAAATTCACAACACAGTGGATTGCTAATCAGGCTACCACAATGAAAGGGTGCAAGGTCATCTATTAGAATCTATACAACACAGTGAATATTCGATACTGATATTTTAATACACAATCTAAAGGATGTTGACTAGTCTAAAAGTTTATGAAAATTTAATCAAGCTATCTTAGCCAAGGAGATCTTGCACAAAGACAATTAATTCATTATGAAATAAAGATGACCAATAACTAAGGATCCCAATGCTGAACTCACACAGGCATTTAATTTAGATATTAGCTGCTGGCGATTTCATTAATGAGCGATGCGATACTTTGCAGCCACGTTTCAAATACCATATCATATTACCAAAGAACAAGGTCAGATATGAACATTTCAGGTCCCACACCTACCTTAATTTTATTATAAATCATCAATCGAGCACTCCATGCCTTTCTCATAAAGAATCAAGGTTAGAACATACACAATCATGCTATAAATCTCCAGATTCTCCAAAACGTGTCACCAGTGACTCCATTACCAAGTTCCAGCGTGTTACCAAACTAATAAATTAATTGGCATCAGAAGAACCAAGGACAGGACAGATCTAGACAAGATTGCTATCAAGAGAAAGGTGAATTCAAAATCTTCAACCTTTTCCAACACCAAAAACAATACTCAAACTGCATAAACTCGAAACAGAAATGTGGTTCTGAATTTAAAACCACCTCAAAAAACTGAAAATTTTGAAGACAAGGTACCCCCTCTTCAAGTTAACCAGTCGGAGCAATAATACATCAATCCAATATCTAAGAACTCACACTCCTTAGAAGAACTGCACAATTTTCAAAGCCCCAAGTTACCGAAACGTCGCAAGATTAGAAATGCACGATACTAATCACGAAACCCTAACCCCCGAATCAACGCACAAACCCTAACCCCAAAATTTACTAACCCAATCGCCATTAAACCTAGATTACCCAACAACAACAAAAAAATGTTTTGGGGCCCTTAAATCGAAATCACTCACCGCTACTGTCGTAAGGCTCGTAATCCATAGCCAGCTTTTGCAGGGCAGAGATTACGATCCGCGCCGCAACTCGAAACTCAAGAATCCGACCAAAACGGCACGAGCGCAGAAGAGAAACCTCGCGAAGATCTCAAATCCGTCGTCGAGCCTAAACAAACGCGATTGATATCTGCGCAAATCGGAGGCGATCGATCGGGCGTGCGATTGACGGTGCCGCCACGGACGTGAAAAATGCTGGTGAAATTGGATTAACGCAGAGATTTGAGTTCCGCCTTCCTTCGGTTCTTTCCTTTCCTCCGCTCGGAAGTGCCGCTGCGTTCGTACAGAAACAATTTCCACACGTGCGGAATTTTTCACATATTAAAAAAAATAAAATAAAAACACACACACGCATATTATTACATATTATGTTAATTACTACTCATTGAAAGGAAATGTTTATTATTATTTTCCTCTTTAGAGATAAATCTCCTCATAATAACATGGAATTTGTTTTCCACATTTTACATATAAAATTTTAATAAGCTACATAAATATATATTAATTTTATTTTTCAAAAATTGTCAATGCCATATCTAAATTTGAAAATTGATATTTATGAGCTTGCCAAAATGTACTACACTATCACATTTATTGTAAAATACAAAATCAGGTTCTTTGGTGATTCTAATGTCAACAATTTTATTGAGAGAGAGATTTTTTGAAATTTTACAAAATTACTATCTGAATTGATATTTTTTAAAAAATGAATAATGTTAAAAGAGTGAAAATTTGTAAGATAAGCAAAGCTTAAATTTAAATTGTATTTATTATTCTATTGAGAAATTTAAGGGGTATTTCTTTGGAATAGTTTATTGGATCTTAATATTTTTAAAAAATATATATCCAACTAAATAACTTTTTTTACATTATATTAAAAATAAATTTATATTTACAATATAAAAATACTGTAGACTAGACAAAACCATATATTGGTTATCGTACAATTTAAATTGTAGTTCAAAAGAAAATGAAAAACCATTACAAAGTTCATTCATATTATACTTACTTCCTCACTATTGTATACATATGTCTACATTACATCCATCAAGATTTTCCATAGCCATAGGATGAACACAAGAAAACCAAACAAATGTAAACTTACTTACCAAATTAGATTGGATATAGAACGATCGTCTCATCTAAACGCTCGAACAATCATCTAAACGCTTGAACAATTAGAAAAACGTAGCCATTAATTATTTATCCGCACAATTCACAGCATACTATCCGTTTTTGCAGGCAATCTCTTGAAGAAGTTGCCGGGAGCCGATGGCAACTTGCTCCGGAATTTCGGATGCCGAAGCACATACAACCCCGACGCAAGAATCACGACTCGGACAGGAGTCGCGTAGAGCGTAACCGCAGCACACAAGCAGAAAACGACGAACAAGCTCGTCGCTCGCGGGTCTCTCCAGCTAAGTACCGAATGCAATCTCTCCCCTTGCGTCGCGACATCGCCGACTACCGTCTGAATTCTCCCAGCCACGCTTCTCAGCCTATCGTACCTCATCCTCACAATGTCCTGCTGTTTCGAGGTCGGAAACGTGTCGAATTCCTCGTCGAGCTCGTCGGGATTCGCCGCTTCTGCCCACGAAAGCTTCGTGTCCATGCGAGGCGGATGCCTCGGCCGGAGCCGGTAGTTCCACAGCCCGACGAGGAACGCGTAGAGGAACATCGTGGGGAGGATCAACTCCGGGTACCAAACGAGTATCAAGAACAGGACATGGACTAATACCGACGTGATTGGATTCTTCCACTCGCAGACGTTGCGAAACCACCGGTCGATGGAGATTAATGACGAGACGAGCGACATGACCCGGAAGAAATTCGCTTTGCTCCTCCTCATGCTCCACATGTGCGAATCGACGTCTAGCATCCACTCGACGACCTCCTTTCTCAGCGGCGGCTCTGCCCTCCCGAGCCGCGCTGCGACGATGTTCATCGCCTGGTATCTCAGAGCGTCGAGCTGGTTAACGGTGAAGGGATGATAGTAGTGCATTTTCGGGAGCAACGGTTGCGCATAGACGCTTATTGTCTGCGCTAACGACAGCGTCGTGAATCTTACAGCGATTCGGATTTCTCCCATTTTCTTTAGCCCGGTCGGATGCAGAACGAGGAGCGGGTGCGAATTTGTGTACACTCGATGAGCTTCTAACGTCGAGAGACGTATACGAACTTTCCCTATCCGCGAGTCTCTACCGGCGCCGGACTTTTCGTTGCCTAAGTGGCAATTGTCGAATACACCGAGCGTTATTACCGTGCATGGATCGTAAACTTCCCACGTGTACTGCTCGTTCCATCGGGGATTGAAGTTGTCGAGAATTGTCCGCGTTCGCACCCATTTCTGCCCGTATTTGGCCACGCAGTAGGCGTCGGTACTTCCTCGACCATCCTTCATCTTCATCGGTAAAAGTCCTTGTGCACCTAGTATTCCGATTTCTAGAATTCCCACCGGAGGCTTCCAAAGTTGTTTGGCAGTCGGGCGTTGATCACTGATATACATCGTCGATTCATCGAGGACATGGTATCCGCCTTCGAGGCAGATTCGAAGATGTATTCTGCTCGAAAACTTATTATCTCCGAATCCGAACTTGTCGAGGCTGAACCACCTCGACTGCACCGGCCGGTGATCGAGGCGTTTGTCGATAGCAGTTAACGGTAAAGCTAGTCTCCCGAGAACGTCGTCTTTCGAAGGGTGCACTTGATCCTCCACAGTGAGAACAATATTTTCTTCGAACGGCTCTGCTGCTACAAAGATCAGATCTTCGTTCCACAGAGGATTTGCTGTTGGGGTTGTTGATATCGGTGTTCTAAGGATCTGCTGGCCTAACTGAGCTTTAACGAAAACTTCGGGTAATCGATGCCTGTCATTCGGAACGACATCCTGAGCTTCGATCACGTTTACTCGAAGATACCACAGCTTTGGCGAGACATAGACCTTCGAACGTATGCTGAGAACGCCGTCGCCGTAAACGGAAGCTGCGTCGGCGTGCCACGCATCCGTAAACGCTTCGTCGGCTTGAGTTCCCATCCAGACAGAAACCATGATTTCTCCCCTCAACTTACCTTCGCTGCGGCGATCTTCGAGCCTATACCACTGCGGTGCCATGGGACTATCCGGCGGGATCCTCGTGGGAATCTCGTTTAAATCAAAGACGACTCTGCCGAGGTATTCATCTCTTCCCGCCGTTTCTTTCTCCTTGACGAAGACTTCTAGAATTGACGACTGAATACGTTCTTTCGAAAAGGAGAAGACTTGGTTCCACTCGGGGCTCGTTCTTCTCTCGACGTGTCTCGTCCTTCCTTTATAGTTTCCGAGCTTCACTTCAACGTAAGGATCGCATCCGCCGGTGACGGAGCTCGATGGAAGATCTTTGGCTTTGACGACCCGAACATAGAGATAGAACGTCTGCTCGACGAGGTCTAATGGAGCTACGGCTCTTTCGCCTCTCATCCATCCCCTGCCTTCGTCTAGCCACTGCGGATTCGCTTCTTTCACCTCAAAATCATCGTCGTCGTAGCTGCGACGATCTTGCGGATTAGCCTGCGGCTGGATTATCCCGCCGGATCTTTTCCTCAACACGGGACGAGCTTGCTGCTGCATAACTTGATGCTTCTGAAACTGAAGAGTTGATTCTGATCTGTTTTCAGGTACCTTTTCTGTATGATCACTACAAGATATTTCGATTGATCTGCCTTTATTCTCTATCAATGCAATGGAGTCATCAGCAACACGACTACTAGTTTTGTCGGGAATGATCGATGGAGGATCACTAGAATGTGATGAAATGTATATTTTCAGGCCAATTTCTCCTCTCACAACCGAGAAAAACGACTTCTTTTCTAGTGGGATACACTGGTAGAGTTCTTCGCCTTTCTTGACTACGTTCGCGCATGGAATCCTCGCCCGTCCGAGAAAATTTCTTCCCGGGATAGGCCTTCTTTCGTTGTAGACCGAAACTTCGATGAAGTGGTGATGGTAGTTTGTTGCAGGGTTGTAGTTGAAGAGAAGCTTTTGGTCCCAAATGGGGTTGAGGTTTTTCGGGATGGTTTTGGTTCGGATAAGTTGGTTGTCGAATTCGACCTCTACATATGGACTGGTTGATCCTTCGCCGTCTCGGGGGATAAGGTCCCGAGCATCGATAATTTCTACAACCAGCTTCATTTTGCTTTTTGTGATAGATTGACTCCTTTGTGAAGTTATACCAATGTAAAAAGTTGCTTCTATTAGAAATCTGTTAGCCAAGTTTCGACGTGTTTGTGTGTGTATTAATGTTGTTGATTTGGTGAAGGAAAGAATGGTTTGATGGGGAAGCTCCATGAAAGCCATGACTGGAGGGAAGGTATAAACCTTGCCTTTGTTCCCTGTCTGCTTCTAAAAAAGTCTTCATTCTGTGTTGCTCTTTCTCTTTATTTGGAAAGGATAGGTTTGGATTTTGTGCTACTTTTTTTTTAGGGGCTTAGGCTAATGAGTTTTTATTTTATTTTATTTTACCTTCATGATATGTGAACATGTGCTCGTTACTTTTGAAGTGAGTTTTAAGTAAAGTTTTTTCGAACTTAATAACATATAAATTAAGTTTGATAAAGTTAAGTCATACAAAACGAATTATATATGACACACAAAATTGAAAGACAGAGTTATGATCCGACAAAATCAATAGTTCATCCTGCACCATTAATCTCTTACAGGACTAGGCTGATGTGTTTTGGATTGACAAAATAAATGTTTCTAGTTGATAATGTAGAAAATTATATGGGTGTGTTTGTCTGGGGTTTGAATTTTAAGTTGAATAATTGTATAATGCTATATAAATAAGGGTTGATGTAATATTTTAAATGTAAAATTAATTTTTATTATAATATAAAAAATAAAAAATAGGTGTTTGATTTGATATTTTTTTTTGAAAAAAATGGGATGAATAATGAATTTAAAATCCAATCCCCAAGCAAACACACCCACAGTGTAAGTTCATTGTTTCTTATTGAGTTTAGAAAAAATTTATTCGTAATTTATATTAAAATAATATTCTCTCCGTCTCAAAATAATAGTCTTATTTTCATAAATAATCATGTGACCGTAAAACTACTTCTTCTATTTTTTTTATTTTTATTACATAATTGTCACTACTTTTTACACTAATATACACACGGACAAAAAATTATTTTCTTCATATTTTTTACCTACTACCAATATAATATCAATATTGTTTAAATTTCGTGCCCGACTCAATTACAATTATATCTATGGGACGGGACGGAGGGAGTATTTAATGAAATATTTTAAATATATATATATATATATATTTTAGAAATATTTAGTTTAAATAGTAAAATGTAAAAAAGCTTACAAAATAAACACGCATGTACGCTAGCTCTCGTAAGTACACAAAACATTCTACAACTTTGGCTACAAACCATAGCATATATACTTGGAGTTGAAGCCCATTCACTTCCAACCCCATAATTAAGCCAATTAAATATGACAAAAATATTTCAATTTTATCCTCAAAAGAATTGGTGGATAATGAAATTATGAATTCAAATTTCTAATAATTTCAAATTTTGTATGCTAACTTTGATTTTTAGGAAGATTCACATTACCAATATATTTTCTCTCAAACTAAATACTACATTTATCATCGAAATATAAAATCATTTACTTTTTTACTAGTTTTAATATAATGTGTATATATATATTTTTATTATTAAAAAAACGATAAAATTGATATAATTTTTTTGTTAAAAATAAAAAATTTTCCTCTCTCTCTCTCTGTATATAAGACAAAAAAGAAATTGAAGATGATAATCTTAATTTTTTGTTAAAAATAAAATAGATCGACTATTTTTATATTACTGAAGTACTTAACAAATATACTCTATGTTTTTTTTTATGACACGGGAACTCGTAATTTTTGGGTAAATTCTTGTCGAATATAACCTACAAATTTGGTCTGATAAGACAAGTTATACTAGATCATGTATAGCATACAAAATTTGGAGGAGTCGAGATTTCAACCAATGATCTCACACCTAGTCTGAGATATACAAAATTGTGTATGTGATGCATATCAGTAATCGTGTCCCCGAATAAATAATTGGACAAACAAATTCCGAATATAGTACTCCCTCCGTCCCACATATCATATCCATGTTGCCGTTTCTGTCCGTCCATGTTACTTTTCTTTTTATGGTTACACACTTTAATCTTATTTTAAAATTTTTAATTTATTTTTTAAATTTTAATTAAACTAATTAGTTTATATTATAAAATAATTATTTTTAATAATATATTATTAATTATCTAATAATTACACAATTCCTAAAAATATAGTCTCTACAGTGCAGATATATGGGACGGAGAGAGTAATATTTTCTTAATTTTAAATCAGGAATATATATTTTAAAAAATTGAATTACTTATTCTTTATCAATTGTAAAATTTTATACCAATACAATTATATATTTAAATATAATTAATATAAATCAAATTAATTTACAACAGAAGATTATAAATAAGTATTTATTTTTGTTTTTATAAGAGAAATACAGATACGTAGAATAAATAATTTTAAAATCGAAGAATAAAGATTTAAAAGTATAAAAATAAAATTTCACTAACCCAAACGCGGGAAACATAAATTTTCAAAATCCTAACGCACAACAGCAGCAGATTCTTCCAAATCTGCCTCAACCCACGTGTCAACTCACCATTGGTCAGACCTCCCATCACGCGGATCACTCTCGAAACCTCCTAATCCCCACCGTCCATTCAATTCCAAATCAACGGCATCCCCTCATCCCTACAACTATATAGAATCGCCAGCCACAACTTCTCCTCCACCCACCGCCATAACCCCTAACAGTTACCAAAAACTCCTCCAATAATCTTCAATGGCGCGCACGAAGCAGACTGCTCGCAAATCCACCGGCGGCAAGGCTCCGCGCAAGCAGCTGGCCACTAAAGCCGCCAGGAAGTCCGCCCCGGCCACCGGCGGAGTGAAGAAGCCCCACCGCTTCCGCCCTGGGACGGTCGCTCTCCGCGAGATCCGCAAGTACCAAAAGTCGACGGAGCTTCTGATCCGCAAGCTCCCCTTCCAGCGCCTGGTTCGTGAGATCGCTCAGGATTTCAAAACCGATCTCCGTTTCCAGAGCTCCGCCGTAGCGGCGCTACAGGAGGCGGCGGAGGCGTACCTGGTAGGGTTGTTCGAGGACACAAATCTCTGCGCTATCCACGCTAAGAGGGTTACTATTATGCCTAAGGACATCCAACTCGCTCGGAGAATCAGGGGCGAGCGGGCCTAGGCTGAGTCCGCCCCGCCCGGATTGCTATTCGGGTCGGGTTAGAATTAGGCATTGGAATGTGCTTGACCTGTGTGATATTTTGCCCGAGTTTAGGGAAATCCATGCCTTTTTGAGGTTCTTTGAATTTGCAATTACAGAGACTGTTTTTGTTATACATTGGAGCAGTATTAGATAGGAGTTTTTTAAGCAGTGACAAGTTTGAGTAATTTTCGTAAGTTAATTCTTTATTTAGTTTTTACTTTGAATTTGCTCTTTTGTTTTTTATATGAACTATAAAAATTGGTGTCAAATATAAAAAATAGCATAATTTTATATTAAATTATTGATTTTCTTTTTTCTTTTTTTTTTTTAAAAAAAATATAAATATTATATATATTTAAAAATTTGGCTAGACTAACATACGTTGACACCTAGTTCTGGAATGGCTCGAACTTTGGCAAACGTGAACCGTGGCGATTTTTGGAAAGGGTTAAAACTATGATAATATAAAATTCGAAGGAGCAATATGCAATTTGGAAAACTCAAATGGAGATAATATTCACTGGAATTCAGTAATCAAAACTCAAATGGACGCAACGGGTCTCAGACTGAGAGCCCTAACCGCCGTGGCCTCCTCGTCCCTGCCGCTGCTCCATTTCCACTCCGCTGCCCTGCCGCTGCTACGCCGTCGCTGCTTGCTACGTAATGTCAAATCCAGCTTTTTTCTATCCTCGTTGCGCTTCTCCCAGCTCCGCTCTCCCTGTATGTTTGTATCTCTCTTCACTTTTCGAAAGTTAGTTTTGTTGGATGTTTTGGGCGTGAATTGATGTATGATTGGGGGAATTTCAGCTGAGAAATGTGGAGCGAATGCGGTGGCCAATGGATTCGACGGTGAGCCGCGCGATGCAGCGAGTAAGGAGATTCTTCAAGTGGTGCTAGTCTCGCCGCAGGTAAGTGTACTAGCACTTCGTTTCATGTTGAGCTGGTTGCTGTTTTCTGGATAATTGAAATTTTGAAGTATTTATCTTTTCTAGTTTACTGTAGGGCGGTCGCCGCACCTTGTAGGGGGAAGTTAAAAGTGTGTTTATTGGGTTTTTGTTAAATGATCTATTTGTCCTAGAAGTAATTGAATAAAGTGCAATATAAATTTATATACCAGTATATCTAATTTTAGTGAAAAAATAATTAATTTTTTTCTTTGAATTGCCATAAAAAATATTTTTTTTAAAGTAATAAATTATATATATATATTTTTTTTCAAATGACAAGTGTCAATTATTAGGCACATAAAAACTTTGCCCAGAAGTATGAGCATATTTAACAATGAGTATTCGATCTATAAAGTATTTAAAATATTGTGTCGTAAAATGTTTCATGAAATTTTTGGGTAGCAGACCCACTCCCTCCCACTCCTAGCTGACCCTGTAAAAATTTAATGTACTATAACAATCTATTTAATATATTTAATAGTATATTAACAATTACTTATCAGCAAATGGTAAATCTTATGTATGTATTCACAATTTCTTACTTCCCAATCTCCAAATCAACAAATCTAAGCACTATTAATACAACAATAGCAAATGATCAATATGAAAGGCATGAGCTATGGCATGTTTGTTTGTGTTTTACTTTTATTTTTTTTTGTGGTTTGGAGTTTTGATGTATTTTAAGATGAAATAGTTGTTAGGTGTGATGTTTTGAATGAATAATTGATATTCGATGTAATAATTTTAAGAAAAAATAATTGGAAACTCGAGCGGGCAAAATTAGCTTCATAGTATTCTTAAGCAAAAGAATGATATATATATATATATAATGGACAGCTGTTGTTTTACTTTAATTCAACAATAATTACTTATAATTTTAACTAATCGGATTGGTCTAATCAACATTGATATAAATATGATGAACATTGCATCCTGTCGATGTATTTAGCAACATATTTACCAATATTATTTTGAATTGTCACACAAAACAATTAACTATTTTTATTTTATTTCCACTTATATGATCTAACACCTAAATAGTTTATAAGATCTTTTTGCAATTGTAACAACTCATTTCTTTCTCATTATATTGTCATATTGTACAGTTAATATATACACTAAAATTTTGCAAAATTGAAAAACTCCTGCTTTTATTATATCCACAAACATGCATTATTTGTAGCAAGTGTGGGATTGAATGGAAATCATTAACTCCAGTTAAGAAAAATTCTAGAGGCTAGAGCAAAGGAATTTATAAAATGATACATTTGAATAAAATTATTTGAAGCATTGAGTTGTGGGCTATTTTCAACTATAGACCATTTGCTTCTAGAATGTTTATAACATATTCTTTAGCGTTGTTAAACTTCCATACCTTTAGCTTTAAGTTGTGTTTTTCTGATTGGAGTCACTTGAATCCATCATGTGTTGGATTTGTTTCATCCTCAACAGATTCCTGGAAACACAGGATGCATTGCACGAACTTGTGCTGCCTCAGCAGTCAAATTGCACTTAGTCGAGGTAATTATTTACTATTGTTCAACCATTTATTCGTTCAGGAACTTCAATTGGACTTGCAATGCCAATCTTTATTTGCCTTGGCTTTTCTTGTAAGCTTATTTCTTTCTATCCCCTGTCCTCTTCAGCCATTGGGGTTTCAGGTTGATGATACAAAGCTAAAGCGAGCTGGACTCGATTATTGGCCGTATCCTGTGCTAACTCATTTTGACATTTTGCTTGAATTGAGAACAAGCTTAGCTTGAATTAAAGGAGCATGAATATTGGATTTATTTATTAATTTTATGATATATATATATATAAAATATATATATTTGGAAAGATTTGAAGTATGTTGTCTCAAGAGTACTTGAAAAATTCTTGGAAGAGTTAACACTTTCCATTAGATATGTTGTTGTGAAGGTGCATGCTTCATGGTCTGAGTTCAGGGAGTATTTCATGAGACAGGTTTTTCTAAGTTCTTTTTAACATGTGTTTTAAATCTGTTACTATCCGTTGCAGTATTTTAATGTCTATATTACAGAATTTTGGCTTAAATTTTAATATTATGTTATTCAAGAGCATTCCATTTTAAAATATATTTTACTGGAGCTCAAATTCAAATGATTCTTTATTATGGGGCAAAAAAAATAAAACTTGTTATTTTTAGTGCTGTTTATATTGTTATTCAGATGGCCTTTTTTGCTGTATAGGAGGGTGAAAAGAGGTTATTAGCATTTACCAAAAGAGGGACAAATATACACTCTGTAAGTTTTTCTGTACATTTGTGCTGTTATTTTATCTCTTACATACTTTCTTGGTAGAAGAATACTTGGAAGTTGCAATCAACAATAGGTGAAATGCCTTGCGATAATGGAATCTAATCTCCGACTATTATGAAGTAAAGTAACATTTTTTTTTTCTTTTTTCTCGCTGTTGCACTATTTGTTGTAGTTTTTAAAAAACGCAGCTCCATAAATTGCTAAATTTTGTCACTTCAAAATAATCAGTTTTCAGCTACAAATTTGAAGTGGGGATTTAATACTCCTGTCCACAAAGAATATATACAACGTTGATTAAGGATAGAGTTTAAGTGTGTTATGTGTACAAGCTAAAATTATATCAGATTGTAAAGGTTTACATCTAATAAAGAATATCTGTTGAAAGGGGTATTTTTTTATTACTTTTATGTGTAGTAGTGAGATATTTCGTTAATATTATGTAATCTACATCTACTAAATTAGAAAACTTATCTATTGTTTGTAGACGTCCTAAATTGCAAAATATGTCTATTGTTAGCAAAAAGTATATGAGAGTAGCATATTCTTACAACTATTCAGAATATATTTACCATCCACTGTTCAATTGTTCTTTTCTTAATACTTGAGATTAAGAATAGCTGCAAATGTTTATAATTCTACTTTGATTATGATTTTGACAAAATTGTTTATAATTCATTTATGGTTTAAAAATTCTCTATGTGATTTAAAAATTGCATAAGAAGACTCTCTTGTGTTCTAGAAAAAATTGTACAAAATTATACAAAAATTGCACGAGAATATTGTATAAAAACCCCTAAAAAATTTGTATGCAATGTTTCCTTCTAATGCATGCACAAATGGAGATCCCATATAAGTTTCTTTTCGGACGAACCCTGTGTACCAGGAAAGGCATTTAAAGGGGCATTTTATCCTAACTACTATGAGTTTTCGTTGTATAGGAATTTGCCTACCGGAGAGGCGACTGGCTAGTGTTTGGCTCAGAAACGAGTGGATTGCCCCCTGAGGCGCTAGCCGACTGTAACAGCGAAACATTGGGTGGAGGTACTATTCGAATACCCATGGTTGAAACCTATGTTAGATGTCTGAATCTATCTGTGAGTGTTGGCATTGCTTTGTATGAAGCTTCAAGGCAGCTCAACTATGAGCAGCTGCAAGAATTGCCTGAGAGTTTTATGGTCGATAGAGATGCTTCATTTTTCACTCAGGACATATTTGCTTAAGTTATATTATTGAGATTTATGTTGGGAATTTCTAACTCTTCATTTTAGATTGAACTTTTATAATGAGTTTGATAGGAAATAGTGAGAATTGCATGCTTATAATATTTAATATATAAAGAAAATACTTGCCGTACATTGTGTTTTGGTGTGTCCCTTTTGAAGTTTGTACTTAGATGAAAGTTGAATTTGAAATTTAAATAAGATATGATGGGCTCTAAATAGATATTCAATGCTATATTTTGAATGAAAAAAAAATAATACTCTTTCTGTCTTTTATGTTATCTATCTATTTTTTTTATAGTAATTGTAAAATAAATGAATAGATAGATATGTTACGGGAGGAATATTATATTAAATACAAAATTGATTGGGTTTGAATAGAAAAAATTTGACAAATAAAATGAATAAGCAAAAAATAAAAGAAAATTTTCATTCCGAACAAACAGAGTATTACTCCCTGAATTTAGGTAAAGTATAATTAGTAGGTAATTAAGAAATGTATTAGTAAAAATAATTATAGATTAAAATTAAAATAACTAAATAGTTTAATTAAGATTAAAAAAAATTATTTTTTAAAATTTAAAATATAATTAAAATATAAGATAAATTACGTGAAATGAACGAAAATAAAAAATATGACAAATTATCTAGGAATGCGGCAGTAAAAGATTTTAATGAATGAACAAGAACCTGATCGTCATACTGACGTCAATTGGAAATGATTAGAGTTAATAAAAAGAAAGTTTAGAAATATCAAGAATTAACCAATTGGAACACGCCACGTAGACGCCTTTCCATAGAGGCATCCTTTGTCTTCTTCTACACGTGCCTATATATAATTTCATCCACTTTTCGGCCTTCAACCCTACTATTATTATTATTATTATTATTATTATTATTATTTAGTGTCTGGTGACGCGTCGCCATAATATGGTGCCACCAAAATTATTAACTTATAAATATTTTGAATTATTTATATTTATTTTATTATTTTTAAATAAAATTTTAGAGTCAGGACAAAAATAATATTATTAAAAAAATATAATATAAATACATAATTATATGCAACAAATACTATATATTCTCATCTAATATAAATATATATACGATTCATACAAGAATACAAACATAACCATATCTAAATTAGTATCTAAATTAAAATAAAAAATAATTTTTTTAAAAAAGGAAATTCTATAAGGTCCAATAGTTTCTATTTATTTAATTATTTTCCCTTTTCTTTTAAAAACAAATTATTTTATAATAAAAGATTTGCTCGAGGTCTTTTTAGATTTTTATAGTTATTTATGTTGTATTCGATGTGTACAGTGAATCCGTGATGGGAAATGATGGTGGCTGGGTATCCACTTTATCTTATCTTATTTATTATTCCCTCATTCCCATATACCGTGTCTGTTATGCTGTACAAACGGTATTTTAGGAGGAATGCAATTAGTAGATAATTAAGAATATATTAATGAAAATAATTATTCTATAATATAAATAATTATAAATTAAAATTAAGATAACTAATTAGTTTAATTAAAATAAAAAAATAAAATTTAAAAATTTAAAATGAGATTAAAGTATGTAATTATTTTCCAAAAAAAAAAGTGACAATGAGACGGAGAGAGTATTTATTATTATTATTTTTATCTCTATATTGAAATTTCATATAATTTCTTTTATTTTATAATCATCATGGTTACACATTTTTAAAAAATAGGATAATTGAGTTTTCTTATAATATTTTAAATTTATTATTGTTAATTATAAAAAATTATGAAAATATTTATTAATTATTTAAATGGAACGAAAATAAATAGGATTATCTCCGTTATTATAATTTATGTTTAAAAATATTTGAATGCAAATTTTAATAAAAATATATAATTATTTTTATTTTTTTTATTTAAAAAAATAATAAAATATTTCACAAAAGATAATTTTTTTATTATTTTTTTAATCCATGATTTCTTCTAGGAATGTCACATTTACAAAATAGGATTTGTTGTTCACGTGGATAAATAATTAGTTCTTCCATTCTTTTATATAATATAAATATATATATATATCTATAGAAATTTAAAAGTAAATTCACTTTACAAAAATTTCAATAAACAGAATAAAAAAAATGCAAACTATTATTCCAAATACTATTTTAAACAATTTTATATTTGCAATATACCTAGAGACTATGCCCTATAACTTTAATTAAATATATTTATATATTAAAATAAGAAACACACATTTTGTTTCGCTGTATCCCAACAAACAAAAGGAGCTCAATTTTAAAAATTAAAATTTAATTTTGGCTCATTGCACCGGGACATTCCCAACCAAACCCCACTAGTACGGCCGCAGGGGGGCCCAATAACCAGACGTCGGCACCTGGAGTTGACCCACCGGAGCTCTGATCGTCTACGCCTCTATTACCATCAGTATTACATGCACCTTACTTCTATAAGCGCCACGTGTCTAGTGGGCCCGCTGCATTTGGTCTTGCGAAGACGACGTCAACGGACTTCCCCTAGACCACGTGGCGAGTCAAACAGCTGACGCGTTGACGAGCACGTGTTCCCGATTACGGTCAGAATTAGGCGGCGGAGTCGAGGTCTTGTGTGAAACACGCTCCTGGGAGTTGCGCTCCTGAGAGATGTGGGATTGGCTGGGAGTTGTGATCCCGGAGCGTTTCTTCTCTCGAACCGTGTGTAGTATGTTTATTGTAAAATTCAATTACCAATTTATTTTATTTTGCTGGATTTCTTCCGTGTTACTACCTTGTCCAGCTAAAATTTTTTAACTATGCGTAAAATTGAGATAAAATGTAATTAATAACTGACTAAGAAATATATTAACAAAATAATTATTATATAATAAATATAATTATAAATTAATATTAAAATAATTAAATAATTTAATTAAATTTTTAAAAATTAAAAATTACAATATTTAAAATATTATTAAAATATATAATTATATTTTAAAAGATAAATTATGTGAAACAAAAAAAAAAAAAACACTTTACATGAACATAAAGAGTATAATATTACTGTTTGTGGCAAATTCTAAAATTTATATTTACTTTTTTTTAATATTAATTATTTTATCAAAATATAATACAATTTGAAAAAGAAATAAATATTTTTATTAGTATTTTATAATACAAATATAATAAAAATTATATAATAAATTATATAAATATAATTCTTTTTATATTATTAAAAATATTTATAATATTATTAAGTACTGTATTTGTTTGAGATTTTGAATTTTGGATTGAAATTTGAATAATAAAAAACTATGAATTAAAATAGTTAAATTATGTGATATAAATATAGATTGATATAATTTTTTGAATGTAAAATTATCTTTTAATATAATATAAAAAATAAAAAATAAATATTTAATTTGATATTTTTTAAAAAATAAAATTGTATAAATAATAGAAATCCAACAAATTACTTCAAACAAAAAAGCACCCATATTTTATTTATTTTCAACCATTCGAGAATAATGAGCACATAGTATTTATTATACTTAACCAACCGGTAATTTTCTTTACCTATTTAAAAAACGGTGGCAAATGGAGACGATAATGATGAAAGTGCCACGTCGGATGGATCTAGAAGCACCCACCCACCCTACCCTACGCTACGTAGTGGCGACGATCGCCATCCATCACAGTCAGGAGGGCACTTGCGTCATTTCCCAAAATGGATACGCGTCTCAAGCGAGGCTATTGTTTTCTTCACGATTACCGACTCCGCTCCCTTCAAATTCACCTCCTCCCTTCCGACCCTTCCACCACAATTTCCTCTCCAAATCTTCCTTCTCCTTTCTATATTGAACCGGATAATTATTCACGGATACAACACCGATACGAATCCGATTTCCTGATTTCGCTTTGTTTTTCTGATTTGATTTTGGATTGTTTCGCACGAAAAATTTCATATAGCTATGGCGCAGAGAACGGAGAAGGAGGAGACGGAGTTCAAGGTTGTACCTGAATCCATCACGCTGTGCGTCAAGTGCGGCGTTGCAAGCAATTCCGCGGCGAATAATTTATGCCAGAAATGTTTTATCGGCGCGGCGGCGGCGGCGGCCACAGCAACGTCGCCGAGGAGTAGCGTTATTGGAGAGAAATCCTTCAGATCTGAGAGGTCTTCTGTAGATGAAAGCCTTAATCTACCGGAGACGAGCGGAGATCTGAAGGAAGAGGTGGATACGGCGTCGGTTGAGCCGCAGGTGAAGAGACAGGTAAATCGGTGCTCCTGTTGTCGAAGGAAGGTCGGTTTGACCGGATTCAGGTGTCGGTGCGGCGAGCTGTTCTGCGGCGAGCATCGCTACTCCGACCGCCATGACTGCAGCTATGATTACAAAACAGCAGGTCGCGAGCTGATCGCCAGGGAGAATCCTTTGGTGAAGGCTGCGAAGATCGTCAAAATCTGAACCGACAGAGAAAAATTACGAACGGTTCTGTGCTCCGATACATATAGGGAAGATAATCGAGGCGATTATTCTCCATATATGTGGAAGAAACTGAAGCTTGGTATATGAAAAATTGGACGGTCACTGTGTCGTTGCAGCGATCGTCTTCGCCGGAGAAGACGTGTGTTTGTCGCCGGCGGAACCTTCACGCGCGTGGTGTTTTCATTTATTTTTAATTTTTATTTTCTTAAATTTCTATAAAAAGTAGATGATTGTTGTTGTTGCCGAAATTATGAAATTGCTCTATTTTCTTAATTGTTCGGTATTGCTTTCCGACGTGATATTCGTATTATTTTTGTTGCCGGTGGTTGAATGTCTTTTTATCATTATTATTTTTTAATATATTTAAAGGCATTATATTTTATACTACTAATTTTTTTCAAGCAAAAATTAAAATTAGTTCCAGCCAAATTCTATTTTTCTAATTTTAAGTCTCGGTTAAAAGAAATAAAAAATTTTCACTATTAGTTCCATATAAAAAAGAAAATTCATTATTTTTATTTTTTATTTTATTTCACTGTTAAACATTTCAAACGGTCAAAATATCTTAGCCGGTTATGACGATGGAACCACAGCGTCTTGCAGAAAAAATCAAATTGTTTGACAGGGCTAGTTTCCCATCTATTAAGTTGGACCATAGGTTTATCCGCGTTCATTTTCGGATAACAAGACCTAGTTTGTAAGGTATTAAGTTCGATTGGAGATTTATAATAAACACTTTCGGGTATTAAATTTGATCGAAAATTTACTCAATACGTACTTTTAGTTAGAGACTGTGGATTCAAATCAATCAAAGATTTACTTAATACGCACTTTCGAATAGCTGGTTTGCAAAATATTAAATTTGATCAAAAATTTACTTAGGGTGTGTTTGTTTGGGGGTTTGGATTTTGAGTTGGGATTTGAATAGTAAAAATTTTGAATTTGAATAGTTGTATGATGTGATATAAATAGGATTTGATGTGATGTTTTGAATGTAAAATTGATTTTTAGTATAATATAAAAAATGAAAAATAAGTGTTTGATTTGATGTTTTTGGAGGGAAAAAATTGGATGAATAGTGGAAATCCACCAAAATCCTTCTTTCGTAACTTAAAGAAAGTTGTCAATAACTATTATCTTGAAATTAAGACTGGGGGATTGACATTGAACTGAACAAGTGTAACAAATAATAGTAATAATCATTTCCAAAAGCGTGACCAATTAAACTGTCGGATTTTAAAATTTTTTGCAGTATCCAATTGCACAATATTAAAATTTTATGCAACAAAAAGAAAAAAAAATAATTCTACTATTCTTTAATATATATATATTTATTATATTATAGTACTCCTCCCGTTCTAATATAATAATTCTGTTTATTATTTTTGTCTGTCTCTAAAGAATAATCTTATTTACATTAATAATCGCATAATTATAAAAGTACTCTTATTTTTTCATTATTATTACACAATTGCTATTTTTTTTTTTTTACACTAATACATTGATAAGGACAAATAAGTCTTTTATTTTACTTTTTACCTGTGTCAAACCCAACCCAGACTGTTGTGGGACGGATGGAGTAAAATTTTTGCACCCAGACTATAGTTCTAGGACGGAGGGAGTAAAATTTTTGCAGTATTCACCTCAAACATAGTTCGCTTAGACTTACTTTGTGCACTTTCAAGTAACGGCTGCGAGTTGACACGTCATAAAAAAAATTCTACTATTCTTTAATATATTTATATTTATTTTTTTACTATATTATATTAAAATTAAAATTTTATATTAATATCAATAGAATAACGTATTAAAAATTTATTTTTTCAATTTTATATTATTCATAGTTTCACAGTCAAACACACACCTTTACCATAATTTCATAAATGAAATTAGGGGTGTGTTTGTTTGAGAGTTTGAATTTTGAGTTGAGATTTGAATAGTAAAATATTTAAATTTGAATAGTTGTATGATGTAATATAAATAGGTGTTGATGTGATATTTTGAATATAAATTGATTTTTAATATAATATAAAAAATAAAAAATAAGAATTTGATTTGATATTTTTGGGAAAAAAAATTTGAACGAACAGTGAAAGTTTGAAAAAGTTTCCAAACAAACACCCCCTAGTAAACGCACAGGCACAGCGTTGGTTTTGGCGGGTCTGAAATTACCATTGTACCCCTATGGAAACCCCAAAAGTTGGTGGGTAGAGGGTGAGGTCGAACTGTACCCGTTCCTTGTGTTTGACATTCACATCACTTCTTTTAGTGAGTGGGATGAAATTAATTAATTTAATTATTAACAGTAACCTATTTCCTAAATCCTAATATTCAAATGTCATACTATAAACTATTGCATTATCGTGTGTGTTGATACATATATAACTTGGGTTATTTAAAAATATATATATTTGTTAAAGAGAGTATGTTAGTACAAATTTTATAGTTAATTTATGTGTATCCTTACATATCAAACGTGACGATAAAGAGAGACACAGAAATGTAGTAACTATTTGAAATTATAATCCATGAATAATAATACACAATAACAAATTTATTTCCACACCATCAAATCCCAAATCACATATTACTAATATTGGTCGTCTTCATCGTTCATGTTCATTCATCAGTGCAGGTAAAGGGCGACGACGGACATGACGGCAGCCCCGACAACGGATCCGACAGCCGGGACGGCCATGGTCCCATCAGCGATGGGCCCGGCAGCGGGGCCCGGTGCCTCTGCCGCTTCGACAGCTGCCACTGCCACAGCGCTCACGGCAGTGACGACAATCAAGGCAGCAAAAGCAATCTTCTTCATGCCCATGGCTACTTATTTATTTATTCAGGTAAAAAATCTATCAATATTATTGCTTGCAGATAGCTAGCTTGTATATATTACTACTCCATTTTGTGAATTTGCAAGAGCCATTATATAGCCAAGGTCACATTCCATTTATAGAATTACCTTCTATTTTCGGAATATTTTCGATTGGTGTCCCAGAATTGTACTACATATTACCCACAAATAATCCTTCTATTATTAGATGCCTATGGACTTTTCTACAAATTTAAGGATTGTGAAGACAGGGCACAGAAATTTTACTAAACATCTCTTAAAAATGTAACACTTATTGTACAGTTCAAAAGAGGACCTGTGTGTATATACCAATAATGTATTCTGCCAATCCAAAATCAAACTTGAGCTCCAACACAATCGAAATGTTCACAACCACCGAATTGCAATCAAACCATAGGTGCAAACACATTACCGGTAGTATTTTGAAGGGATGGTGAATGTTGTGTAGCTGTGGTTTCGCATCCGCATCCATCACTCGTAGAATTCATGCATATAGTTTTGTACCTGAAATTGTCCACAACAGAGTTAACTTATTTATAGCATTCGATAACAAGAAAAAATACAGGAAGGCATATACCTTGCCATCATATAATGTGTATAGGTCATTTTGGAAATTCCATCTCAGAACATAGAGAACATATTGGAACGCTAATTGAGAAGATTCAACTATCATATGAGGGGCATTAATGCAACAATAAATGAGTTGAGATGGAAAAAGTTAAACAAAATAAAAAAGTATCGAGATCTATCATTGACCAAAGCTATCATAACGAATTGAAGTACAACTTCTCATTTCTAGGGTGTTTGATAAATGAAAAGGCGTTAGGGGGTTCACTAGTAATATGCATGCACCTATGTAGAACAGTAAAACAAACAAGCTTGCGTAATTAAACTCAATTTATCTCATTTAAGCTCGGTAAAAGCTCGTTATATAAATTAAGCACGATGAATCCAAAGACAAACTCAGGCTCATTCAGGGCGAAGGCCTAACTCAGAATTTTTAGCACTGCCGTTCAATAGAACTTATAATCTCTACATTAACATTAGAAGTTCGACTTCCTTATTGGGCTATTTCACATTTTATTTCTTACAAACTATGAGCAGTATAAAATTTAATGGGCAAAGCTTCAATATGGTGCCCGGACTTCCCTCCATTCAAAGCTAAACACGCATTAAAGGAAATAAAGAAGGCAATAAGTTAAGAGACAAGTCTATTTAAGTCGGGGTCTGGACTCTGGATATAAGAAGAGACATGTAAATCCAACTTGACGTGATTGTGCTTTTCTTTCATTATACGATCAGAACTAAGTGATTCAAGATTATTCTTTTTTTTCTTTGGAGACCCACTTTTGATCCAAATCAGATTTGAACCCATGAAATTTTGACATGACCCAGTAATTTCGAGTAATGATTTTTTCATGTTTTTAGATCAGGTAAATATATGCCACTCCTAAAGGGTCTAATAGGCCCTAACAAAAAAAGGCATTGCATCATTCTCAAATATAATAAGACAAATCATCTGAAAATACATAATGAACAGAAGGTTCATATAAGTACTCAAAAGTTACTTCTGTGGGGTATTTAGTATTCATACCTTACCACTTAATGAATTTGTAAGGCTTTAATCACCTTAAATGTAAATTACTAAGAAAGTCCGAGAGCCTGCAAGTATCATAATGAACTCATTAGAAGAAACAAATAAGATGGAATTGGAACATTGGTAATCAAATACTAAATCATCTCAAGAAAATTAAGGGAACGAAAGGAAACCTGATATTTTTGGCAATAACAGTATTTCCATCTTCAGCTCCAAGATGACGAAGAGCCACTTCCTCAAGACGACCATCACGATATGCATGCTACAAAAGCAAAACCCACATTAATACATGAATAGGGGAAATCTCTAACAGGAATAATTTCTGTAAGAATGAATCATCCTATTCATAAATGCACAAATCAAGCCACCTACTAAATTAAAGAACCATTTGATGGCTTATAGTTATCAATAGCAAAGTAGTACTAAAAAATTTGGCAGTTGCTTCATAATTTAGCACATTGCAGTTTTTCATGGAATCCATGCCAAACTAAAACTTCAGCATTAGTGAACCCTTTAACTCAATTCATTAAGCATAAATGTATAAAATCTCATGCAACCATCCAACTGCTCTCCAACTATCCGTAAACATAGCAGAATGTGCATCAGTAACATTGGATAGTTGTAATTTCTAAAACCTGCATTGCAACAAATGCAATTTTAGTTTGGCTAAACCCTAAACTTATCAGAATTCCAACACACATGGAGTAACATTTGTATCTTGTATGGTCTGTAAAAATATGCAAGAGCCAAGCCTTCGGCAGCACTGATCCTATGGGCTATGACTTAACCTCAAGTATAATACAGACACATTTTTATTTATTTATTTTTTTTTAAAAGGTGTTACTATAAAATTCTCATCTGAAAACCAGCATTTGGATCAGAAACCTTCCAACTCAAAAAATTAAAACAGTTAATAAACTAAAATATACTAAATGGTTGACTGGCTAGATTCATCATTAGGCAAATTGTAACAGTAACAATACAAAGGTAGTTAGAATGATCAATGCATTGATGATTCATACTTTCATAAGTGCATCTATGAACCTAAAGCTGCATAGAGATTAGAGAAACATTTCCAATTTGAAAAACTCTTGGCATAAAATAAATATATATACCTTGTAAAAACAACTGGTTCCAAAGGGGCATGTTCCATTCCCAAAGTCAAAGTGCTTGCAGTCAATTGAACTGAAACAGAGTTACAACGATGAGTCCAGATAAGTACATATACATAAAAGAGAGAGAACTAGATAGATAGAGAGAGAGAGAGAGAGATGAATATTACTTCAACTTTGCCATGTAGGACTCAACAATCTCCTGCTTTTCTTCCTTTGAGGAATACCAAATGACACTAGGGATGACAAAGTATGAAAGTTTTCGACATATAGGGCAGGATCTCAATGTAGAATTGGCATCCATGCCAGATGAAGGTGAAGTGCTCCGCCAGTTCCTGATACATGCTATACAAAATGGATGGTCGCACTCTGATAATATTCCAAACTTTCTTTCTGATGGTGTAGGCTTTGTGAGAATACGTTCTAGGCAAACACTGCACTCTATTTCTTGACTACGTCGCAATGCTTCCAAATGTTTTTGCCTCTTCTCACACATTTTCAGGTGCTCTTCTCTTTCTTGGGGCCTGAAAGGATGCAAACAATTTTTCTTGCACATGGGACAAAGATCACCATGCATGTTAGGACAATTCACACCACGCGGACATTCACCAGCAGCTGCAAATGAGCATATTGGCCTGTCAGCAGGACCACTAGGCCTACTATCTGCAAAATCATCGTCACTCTGTAGTTCATTGTGTTGTCCGGTATTATTTAACCATGCAAGCTTGCTAGAAAGGAGAAGTGGCCCATTAGAAGTTGGATAATCAGCAGTATCAGTGGTGAGACTGACACCAGATGATGCAGTGCCAGAAGGAAGTTGTTGCATAAGAGAAAGGTTTGCTGAAGAAGTTGAAGCTGGAGATTGTTGCCGAGAAATTTTGATATGGTCATATCGACACCTACTTCCATATGAGCAAGCACCCTTTTGATAGTAGGTACATATCTGAATAACAATGGTGGGACGTAAAGATCAGCATGACAACATAGAAAAAGTGTATGGCTGTGTGTAGGTTGAAAAGAACTTAACAGTATTTGGTGGAGCACTCCAATCATGTGCATATTCACAATGTTCCCCCTTCAGACATGCCCCATGGGCAAAGAATTTGCAAAGCACCCTGAGGAAATCCAATCATAAAACTCCGATAAACAAAACAAATATTAATTGTAGGAGATCCAATCTCGCGATATACTCCTCTTTTCAGTTGGAGGGAATTTTTGTTGTCCTGGATATTCCTCCAAGTAAGAAGTTCTACCTTAAATTGTAGCATTCAGATAGTATCATGTACAATTGCACATCTCATATCTCAAACCCTCGTAATCAAATGTTAATAAGAAGCAAGTGCGCAATGATGCTTACTGAATTCGCAAATAGCCTCATCTTCCAAGAGGATAACATTAATTTATTCTTAATAGCTTCAACAGATACACCCTCAAATGAAAACCATGTATTTTTGTTCGTTATGGAATGGAAATTCCAATCATAAACCTTCCTGTACTTAGACCATGTTACGATAGTTTTAAACTATGACTTTAAATAATAATAATAATAAAGAGCTCCCCAAAAATTCTTTAGTTTCAACCACTTTTGAGTGATATAGTTATCACCTCATACCACTTGGATAAATTTTAACAATTTACAAAATTCAATCATTAACTTGCATCATGGCAAGCTCCAAGATTCACTTATATTCAGCTTTAAAAAATGACTAAATCTTTATCACCTTATATGACTGGATAAATTTCAACAATTTACTAAATCCAATTATTAACTTGCATCATGGCAAGCTACATGATTTACTAATGTTCAGCTTTACAAAATGATTCTGTGCTGCTCTCAAATGCAAAATTATTAAAAAGTATTATGGCAGAGAACAAAGTAAGCATTCCCCAGCTTGGCTTGTTTTGCAAACCCATGTTTAGTCACTCACAATATACTTTTCACAGTAACTATCTAAAACATAGCTCTTCTACAATTTCTAAATGATGAGTTTTGATTGAAGGTACTAAAAAACCATGCTATGGAGTAAATAACCTGCCCGCATACTATAAGAAAATCAATTTCTTTCAGTGTTTTCTTGCGCAGAAATTTTACTATACTCGTTGAATATCTAAACAACCAACAATTCACTGCGTTCTCAAAACTCTAACAATCAAGACAAGTGGAGCTGCAGTAAAACCTTAACCACGATAGAAGCTATAACATAAAAACGAATCCCCAATCATCTGAGATTGGAAGAAATTGCAACAATAATGACCAACCGAAGTTCATATAGTCGAATTGGCGTACCGATTAGACATGAAATCGATGCGAATTTCCAGAAAGATGAGCGGCAGCAGCGGCGACGACTACGAGAGCATTCAGGCCGATCAATAATATACGGCACTGAGTAATGCAATTAGGGCTTTCGGAATTTGGGCGGTTGGGATGTTTGGTAGGAAGATTTTATTTCTATTGTTTTTGCAGCTTGGTGCTTTGATTTTAAGCTTATTATAAAAAGACAACAGTGGCAGGTATTATTAATAAACCATATTCATATTATTTATATTATTGTAACACTTTCATTATATATATATATTTTTTATTTATATACCGTGTATGATAAGTTAGGTGATAAAAATAATTTGTTATATTATTATAGCATAATACTTAAATTATGTTAAAATAATATTATTGTTAAAATTACAAAGAAAAAAAAATTGTATAAAATTAATTATAGTATTATAATTTATAATAAGCTTACAAAGACTATTTTGTAAAAAAAAAAATAATCAAATATAATATAATTGTATCTTATATTAATCAAATGAAATAAATATTATCTTAATTAAATTATTAAGTTTGTAATATATTAAAATAATCTTAAAATGATATTTTAATTATTTAAAGCAAACATACTATAAAAATATAAAATAATTTTTAAAAAAATATAGGATTTTTTTAATTATTTTTTTCTTTCTTTAACTTTTTTTCTTTTTAATTTTTTTTTTTCTATTACTCAAATGTATTGTTCTCATCAAACATAATAATGTAGTATATTACATTAACAATAGTTTTACCAAAAACAACAAAAATTAAATTATAGAAAAACACAATAAATATATTTAAAGTATTTGAAGGTAAAGTAAATAGGTATAAGCCTTAATATTTTGTACTGGAAAATAATTTGTTTATTTAATATTTTTTATATTAAATATATAAATAGTATAAAAAATATGTTAAATTGTATAAGATCATATTGCGTTTTATTTTAATTACTCACTTAATTATACCGGAGTATTACACAAATTTGGTTGAATTTTAGTACTCATTAATTTTTTTTATATATCAAATTAAACATCTATTTATTAATATTTTTTATATTATAAATATTAAAAATCAATTTCATATTAAACACGTTGGTTAATAGTATTTTTTACACTATGTCATACTCCCCCGTCCCAGATACCATGTCCACGTTGCCGTTTCTGTCCGTCCCACATACCATGTCATTTTCTTTTTTGAAAAATGATTACATACTTTAATCTCATTTTAAATTTTTTAATTTTATCTCTTTTTTTAATTTTAATTAAACTAATTAGTTATCTTAATCTTAATTTATAATTATTTATATTATAGAATAATTATTTTCACTAATACATTCTTAATTATCTACTAATTACACTCCTTCTAAAATACCGTATCTACAGTGTAGCAGAGACGGTATTTTTGGGACGAAAGGAGTAGTATTTTAAGAATAATAAGTTTTTGTTATTAATTATTAAAAATATTTTTGAAATCATGATATTATTTGGGTGAAATAATTCCATAGACATTTCTTTTAATAATATTAATATATTATGTATTCATTTCATTCACAAAATTTAGGCATACTATTTGGCAATAAAAATATAATAGGCTAAAAAATAAAATAGATGTAGTATTAGAAAAAATTATTATAAAATTAATAAAAAATAATGAAATAGGTAAAAAAAAAAAAATTAGTAAGACAGTGACAGTTAATTATTATTTTTAATATAAGAATAATAAAATTATAAATAAATAAAATTATTTATTATAAATAATTTATCTATAAATTTAATAATAACAAAAGATCGACATAAATTTCGAGGATAAAGAAATATAAAAATTAACTTTTAAATCATTCGCTTAAGTACTTATTCTTTATTTATTATTTATTATTTATAAAGTATCGGTAAAAATCAAATCCCAAATGCAAAATACAGAACACTTTTAAGTCTACTGGGATGTGTTTGTTTGGCTTTGAATTTTGATTTAGAATTTAAAAAATAAAAAAAAATAAACTTAAACAATTATTTAATAGTATGATATAAATATATTAGATATAGATATTTAAAATGTAAAAATATTTTTAATTATAATATAAAAAATAAATAAATAATAAAAAATATTGAAAAATCTCCGAACATTTTAAGAAGTAGGGGTATAATCGTAATAGAAAATAATATTCCAAAAACAGACAGGTATATAATACAGAAAAGCCGTGCAAAGTCGGATTGACACTGATATATTGTATGCACACAGACAAACACATATAGACTATATATACATACAAACTGTCCAGTCTGTATTGTAGTCTGTAGGCTCCCTCCAGACCTGCCGCTTTACCTTCCCTCCTGCAACGCCCACGCCCTCTCAGCTGCATCCCCCACACCACACCTCTCATCGTCATTCATACTCAATCAAGAAGATTCTCTGCATACGTTGCCGGAAGTTGCTCCAGTCCATCGGAGGTCTATTTGCGGTTTTGTGTTTTTCTGCGTGAGTTGAATTTGTGTCTCTGTATGTGGTTTTTAAATTAGTGGTAGGTTTTTGGCGGTTGGTTTGGTCTATTGCTTGTTAATTGTTTATGGTTTTATTGTAATTGGCGTGTGTTTGAGTTCTATGGCGTAGTGAATTGAATATATTTGGGCTCTGTTGATGTTTCACGACAAGCTAAAAAGGGGGAAAGAGTTGCGAATTGTGCGAGTAGATTCATGTGGTTGTTAGGCTCTGTGTGAGTATAGGAATTTCTTGATTTTGTATCTCCTCTTGGATTTCTGTTGTGTGTGGAGTTTCCAGGTGTTTGTCTTCTGGATGATGGAAATGCATTCGTTTTACGTTATTGATTTCTTGCTATTTGATGATTTTTTTCTTGTACCTGGCTCGATACGAGGGACCTGGGATGAGATTTATCCACTTAACCTTCCATGTTTGGAACTAAATTGCTTGTTTTTGTCGTCCAACATCTGACTTTTACTCTGATGCCGTTGTTTTGCATGCCCATGGGTGCTTGGTTGGATAAGGTGCTTTGGAGGGATTTTAGGGATTTCTGATACTGGTTTAGTGCATTATTTTAGTTTCAAAATTGTAGAACAATCTGTTCCTTTGTTTTGCATAAGCTCTGAATTGGCAGAAAATGATAAAATGGGTTTTAATTGTTTGTTATACAAGTTTGGGTTATTATTGGACTAAATTCATGTATATGGCTAGTCTGTTCATTACATTGCATTGCTGGCTTATAAGGATAGATTTATGTGTATTTTTGTCACACATGGACGGGACAGCTTATCTCCCAAAGTACTGATGCAGGTGCTTGTGACATTTCTGCTTGCTGAGGCTATCATCTGAAGGGCAATATTTGCAAGTTCTTTCCATTTGAGGCAATATTTTATATGGTCTTCTGAAAAGTAGTAAAAATTATCTGATAAGTGGAACTCACTTTCTGTAGCTGATGAAGGCAGCATTATGGCTTCAAGCTATCGTGTTGTGGTGCGGATTGTTCTTCAATACACTAGGTGGTTCCTGCAACGTGATCTAGTTTTGCAGCTTGTTCAAAATTGTTCTTTTTTTTTTTTTTTTTTTAATTTTCTTATAGATTGGGTTTTAAAGTCTTAATATATTTTCCTAAGTTTAATAGGATGAAAATTACTATAGATTATTTTGCTTACCCTTGTGCTATTTGGTTTCCAAATTAAGATATAGTTAATTTACTATTTCGGGGTTTAGGCAGCTTCTTATTCTATATTTCTTCTTATCCAAAGATTGCATAATGGTATGAACATCATTTGCTATGTTAGAATCCAAATCACCATGTTTTTGATGTATATAGTGATCATGTCATATTCAATTGTACATTGCAAATTCATGTAGAATATTGTAGGGTATTTGTAGTATGTGCTTATATTTTGCTTTTTCCCATTTTCACTACATGCTGTATTGAATAATCAGTTTCAACTTCTTGTAGTTTCTAATCATAACATCATTTTGTGTCCAGGTTTGTTTGTTGGGGTAAATATTGGAACTGATATATCAAATCTTCCTTCAGCTGCTGAGATAGTTGCAATTCTTAGAGCTCAACAAATAAATCATGTGCGACTTTTTGATGCCGATCCTCGCATGCTGAATGCCCTCTCAAACACTGGGATTGAGGTTATGGTTGGTGTCAAAAATGAAGAAGTCATCGGTATTGGAAGATCAGCTTCAGCCGCTGCAGCCTGGATCAATAAAAATGTGGCAGCTTATGTGCCCAAAACTAACATCACTGCCATTGCTGTGGGCAGTGAAGTCCTTACTTCGACCCCAAATGCAGCCCCCAGATTAGTCCCTGCTATGAATTTCCTCTACAAGGCTCTTGTTGCTTCAAATCTAAACAATGTTGTCAAAGTATCAACCCCGAATTCGATGGACATTATTCCTCAGCCATTTCCACCTTCGACTGCATCCTTTAACATGACTTGGAACTCTACTGTCTACCGGATCCTGCAGTTCTTGAAGAACACTAATTCCTTCTTCATGCTGAATACTTACCCTTACTACGAGTATGTCAAAGGCAACGGCATATTCCCTCTGGAGTATGCCCTTTTCAAACCGCTTCCCTCGGTCAAGCAAATTGTGGATCCGAACACCCTTTTTCACTACAGCAGTATGTTCGATGCTTTGGTGGATGCTGCCTATTTCTCTATTGCTGCATTCAACTTTTCAGGGATTTCTATAGTTGTTACTGAAACTGGATGGCCATGGTTTGGTGGTGCTAACGAACCTGATGCCACTGTTACTAATGCTGAGATGTACAACAATAACTTGATTAGGCGTGCATCGAATGACTCTGGTACGCCCAGTCAACCTCGACTTCCCATTAATGCATACATATATGAACTGCTCAATGAAGACAAGAAGCCTGGACCGGTTTCGGAGAGAAATTGGGGAGTCCTGTTTCCCAATGGGACTAATGTTTATGATGTGAGTTTCAGTAGTGGCAGTCTCGGCGCTAATTCATCGACAGGGTATTGTGTGGCAAGACCAGGCGCGGATGAACGTTCCTTGCAAAGTGGACTCGACTGGGCTTGCGGGCCTGGTCAAGCTAACTGCAGTGCCATCCAGCAAGGGCAGCCTTGTTACACACCGAACACTATCGAAAATCATGCTTCGTATGCTTATAATGACTACTATCAGAAAAAGCAGAGCTCCGGTGCGACTTGCGACTTTGGGGGCTCAGCTACACTAACCAATGTCGATCCTAGTAAGTTCAGTTATGCCTTCTCATCGAAAGTATTTTTTTGATGCTTTTGTCGATGATTATGTTCTCTTTTCCTCGAAATCTTTGAGGTGTAGAAGCATTATTGCAGAACTTTACTGGTATTTTTTGCTTCTTTGCAGGCTATGGCTCATGTATATTCACAGGAAGGTTAGTGCCTGTGCCTAATTACTATCCTGTCGAGATTTATTCGTAATCACGATGTTTTTGTTCATTCTTTTGATCATTTTGATTAAGCCTTTAACATTCTTCCGGGTTTATACTTTGGGATGCAGTCTGAATTCAAGCATCGGCGGGGGAGGGCAGTTCCCGCCTCCGGCATTTGGACCGCCGGCGTCGGTAAGCTCAAGAAATTCATTTTGTTTTGGCACAATTGGTTGCTTAATGATAATAGTAATAATATCATCAATGTGAAGAAGCATAGGATTTTGATTCTTGATTAGCTTTACTTTGAAATCTGGGGTGATTGCAATGAAGCTTCAATGTACAATTGCTCATGCAACATTTTTTTTTTCAATTATTATTATTATTAACAATGTGCATGTTTTCTCCCTCTCTACACAAGTTACACATACTATATATGCATATATATATATATATATATTCCCTCCGTCTCACATACCATGTCCACGTTGCCGTTTCTGTCCGTCCCACATTCTATGTCACTTTTTTTTAAAAAAAAATGATTACACACTTTAATTTCATTTTAAACTTTTTAATTAATTTTTTTTTAAAATTTTAATTAAATTTTAATCTTAATTTATAATTATTTATATTATAGGATAATTATTTTCACTAATATATTTTTAATTATTTATTAATTATACCCCTCATAGAATACGGTGTCTACGGTGTAGCAGGAGGTAGTATAATATACATGACGGTTGTTATAACCCATACAAATATAACATATGAACTAACACATGATATACAATGTTATAAATACAAAGCTATCCGAAAGTGCGCACGGAATAAACCCACGTTCGGTCACAGTCACAAGTCCAAGTCCAACCCGTGCCCCATCAGGGATGCCTTACGAAACTACCTAAAAATGAACAATTATATGTATGAAAATTGGTCCTAAAAATGAACTATTATATGTATGAAAATTGGTCTTTGGCATAATATATATTTAAAAAAAGTAGATAATTTGAATAGAAAAAATGTTCATAAGAACATAACAACATGTTTTATTTAAAATATCGTATTAAATAAACTTTTAACTCAAAATTTTTTATATTCCCAAGGTTGATCAAATAAACAAACTGCATAGCTTTGGTTGTAAAATCCAACTTTGCAACATTGGAAATAAAAGAATTATTCAATATTTTGAAGAAGCTTTCGAAGGCAAGCAGGCAGGCGAGTCAGCCAATCATTTTTGTCAACGGCAAAGAACACAATAACAACCCTCGCAACGACATTTCAAATATGCCGCGTTCCTACCGCAGTCAAGCTTTGATTGTATTTGCACTTTCAACCCCCAAAAAGTGAATAATAAAATTTTGAATGAAATTAAATATTAATGTCATTATAAGAAAGTGTTTGATATAACATATTCACCCATAATTTTAATATAATATGAAAAAATAATAATAATAGTAGTTGGGATCATACTGTATTTAATTATTTTAATCATAATATACATGAAAAGCACATATTCATCTTTTGTAGGCGACTTATCTCAGTCCAACTAATTATGGTGACGTCTAAACGGAAGAAGACAGTTTCTGAGAATCTTCGAGGTATGAAAATTCATTCGTTCCTTTGTTGCTGGATTATTTCCGCTCTATATAATGCGCTTGATTTTCATCTTTGTTGAGATATTTATTATTTGTGTGCAATTTGAATTCCTTGGTGTTCTGTTAATCGGTAAGTTCCTTATTTTTGGTACATTTTTGTGCTTAGATTCAATTTTGGATGATCCTATCGATCTAAGATTTTCTGCTATTCGGTTGCAATTCGTCTTTCATCTAAATTACTTTTGTCGTTTCCTGCAACTTATTATTAGTGTTTTTTAATTCTACTTACAGCTTACTGGAACTCGTTTTGCTCAGTTAATTGAAATTGTTCTGATTCTGTTCGTCTTCTCCAACATCTCCGGATTTTAATTAATAACTATGGGTTTTTATATATATAATGTTGTTCTGGATGTTCAATTCTCATTGGCATGTCTGTGCGACGTTCTACGCCGTAAAAGATGATTCTGAATTCTGTCTGTTTGATATGATCTGTTTCCAAACAATGGAGTATATATAATCAAGTCAAATTAAGTTGGTTTTATTCCCCAACTGCACTCATGTTTCTCTAACAGAAATGATTTTGCTTTCCGATGATCCACAGGTGAAAATTGCTTGGTTCTGAGAGAAAACGAGATGAGTGCAAATCAGTCACAGTATCCGACCGCAAATCGCGTTTTTCAGGTCTCTAATGTGTTGCAGTATCGGAGAACGGCAGTTACGGAGACACATCCATGGCCGACAATCACAGGCACAGAAACGGTTTCCCCTGTTTTCGTGCAAGCTCCAGCAGAGAGGGGACTGAACAGATTTGCGGTGGATTTCCTGATGGGTGGAGTGTCGGCGACAGTGACTAAAACGGCTGCTGCTCCTCTGGAGCGTGTGAAACTTCTGATCCAAAATCAGGATGAAATGATAAAAAATGGGAGGCTATCTGAACCCTACAAAGGAATTGGGGATTGCTTCAAGAGGACTGTAAGAGATGAAGGATTTGCTTCTTTGTGGAGAGGAAACACCACTAATGTCATCCGCTACTTCCCCACTCAGGTTTGCTTCTATCCATCTCTCCATTCTCATTGCTGCATTTTGATTTTTTGCATATTCAGATTGTTGAGCATAATGTATGATGTATGAATATGCCTTGGGGGATTTCACAGCAGCTTTTGAGACTGAATTTGAAAATTGAAACAAGTTAGAAAAACTCAACTGATAGGATCGAAAACTAACTAGAAATTGATACAATGGTGCATTTTCATTCCAATTTATGTTTAAGAATTAAAAGATAGTAAAATCTTTTGATAATTTTACTTTCCAGGCCATAAATTTTGCATGCAAGGATTACTTCAAAGGGCTGTTCAACTTCAAGAAAGATAAGGATGGGTACTGGAAATGGCTTGCAGGCAATGTAGCCTCTGGCAGTGCAGCCGGCGCCACATCCTCCTTGTTTGTTTATTCATTGGACTATGCTCGTACTCGGCTGTCTAGTGATGCAAAATCCGTGCAGTCGGGAGGGCAGAGGCAGTTCAATGGTCTGGTTGATGTTTATAGGAAGACACTAGCATCGGATGGCGTTGCTGGATTATACAGAGGATTCTATATATCGTGTTTTGGAAGCATCGTGTACCGAGGCCTCTACTTCGGGATGTATGACTCTTTGAAGCCCGTTGTTCTCACAGGGAAGTTGCAGGTATGTTATAATTATAAACCACATTCTTGAGAGCCTCTTTTTCAGAAATATGATAAAATGGTGCATTGTTCTTTCTAGGTATCATCTAATTAGTTAGTGTATGCTCTGTTTTGCTGTGCATCACTTCACTTAGTTGCATAATTTAAAATTGAAATTGGTTAACTTTGTCTACTCCTTAATAAAGAGCTTGGTCTGAAACATTTTCCCACCATAGCTGTAGGGTGAGTTGGTTTATCCAATAATTTTAACATTTATTTGGTTATGTTTATTTATTCCTTAAATTTTATCCTAAATAATATTTTAATAAAATCTTATCCTAAATAATATTTTAATAAAGTCTTTTTGTGAGAATAAATGATATAAGTCTGCTAAATTTAGGAATATTTCAATTGTAAGTTATAAAATAAATGCTCTTGGCGGATAATAATTACAAAGGATAAATTTGATGGTGGGAGAGAGTATATTTTTTTAAAAAAAATTATGTGTTAAATAGTAAAAAAAAATGTTTGATATCTAAACTAGACAAACTCTTTAAAATATTTTGAAATTTATTGAGTTGATTTTCAAATCTATGTAACAGGTTAAAAAGTTATAAAAAATATAGAGGATTTGTTTAAATAGTTTAGTTTGAAATGTTTTTTTATGTAAAATATAAAGAAGTTGTTCATAATATAAAAATATAAAGAGTTATATTGAATTAATTTTAACGGTGGTTACTACTGATGACTAACTTGTTAAATAGTAAGTTATAGTAAGTTATGAGTTAACAGATTGCCTCATTGGTCCATTTTGACAATTCTAATTAAAACAATGCATGGCACTATGTACTATTACATCAATGATGAAAACCATATAGAGATAAGTAATATGTGGTGGGATTTCTTTGAATATCAGGATAATTTTATGGCTAGCTTTGGGCTGGGTTGGGTGGTGACGACAGGGGCGAGCCTGGCGTCGTACCCAATCGACACGGTGAGGAGAAGAATGATGATGACGTCAGGGGAGGCTGTGAAATACAAGGGATCGATGGATGCATTGTCGCAGATAGTGAAGAAGGAAGGCATGCGATCGCTGTTCAAAGGGGGCGGAGCCAACATACTTAGAGGCATTGCAGGTGCGGGTGTGCTTGCCGGCTATGATAAGCTGCAGGTACTCGTGTTTGGAAATAAGTATGCTTCTGGTGCTGCCTAACCTGAATATCAATGCAATGGATGGTGCGTCCTTCGTTTATTTATTTATTTATTTTTTGATAACGTGGGAATTGCAAACTAAATCTGATAAGCAAGTCACACATGGTAGGTGAACCTGAAGATGTTAGGATTTGAATCCGTTATTTCACGGTTACAAGTTTATTTTTCACACCACTAGGTCATTCCTTACCGACATAGTATATCCTTTATTGATTGATTATGTTTATATATTTATTTGTTGGGAGTGTCGTTTATTGATTTGAAATTTCATATCTCAGTATATATCTATACAAACCATATATGATGATGATGATAAATTATATAGAGAGGAAGATTGAGATATATAGATGGTTTGAGTTGAGATGTAGAACTGGTTAAATTGAATCTGTTTTGTTTTAAGTTTTTAATTTCTTAGTGTATTGTTTGATGTTATAAATATATTAATCTTATTTTTTTTTCAAAAAATAGCATTAATATATTCAACTTTTTCACAAAAACATATAACTTAAAAAACAATTGTCTATATCTTGAAAATATGGAGTAATAATCTAAACCCAAAATTAAAAATAACAAATGGAAACTCCTGTAATTAATCATCAACAATACAAGTATATAAAAAAATTAATCCAAGTCCAATACATATTTGTGCTTAGAGTGAGGGAAGTAAAGTCAAAAATTCAATAATAATAATGATAATAGTAAAAATATAGCCATAATTATAGAGAGCTTCAAAACGGCTGCCTGCGCTTGCCATTTTCATCTGCTGCTCTTTCTTTCCAAAAAACCACAAAAATTACACTTCCTAACCGTCTCTCTAAGTCTAATAAATAAATAACGGTAAAAAGTTTAGTTTAACTTAACCGCGAGCTGATCCAGTTGCATCTGCTCCAACCAAGCCCCTAAAACCGAATGATCTATCAACTCACTTTCAGAATTACTATATTTCACGCACTCACCAGACACAGCCGGAGCTTGCCTGTTCGCCGCCATCTCCATCGGTGGTTCCCGACCAAGAGGCCGACTCCACAAGGGGTCAGCTATTTCTCCGGCGGGCTCGCCAAAAGGCGATCTTTTTAGACAATCTTGATCGTCTCCACCCACAGACCAATCAACTTTTCTGTTAGATGATGATCCCCAGTTCGACCAAGCTCCGCCGGGTGACCCAACGGGCGAACGGACGGGTCCGCGCAGGCCGGAGGCCGAGAGACGAGCACCGCCACTCATTGAAGCAGCAGCAGAAGCCTCTAGACTTCTCGGTGACATAATCCTCGGAGACAAGGCACCCAAAGAAGCCTGCAACAAGGAGTGGTCAGCATTATTTCTCGGCGAAAACACCGTCGTCGTGTTAACCGGCGGCAAATTGCTCTGCTGAAACTGATTGAACACGGCAGCTTTGTGCGTGGGCGAGAAAATCCCCGAAGCCCCAGCCTGATCGGAAAATCTCGGCGAAGAAGACATAGTCTCAGCCGAAAACATCTCTTCAAGGTTCGAAGGAGCCAGTGCAGACTGAGATCGACCAGAATGACTCAGCATCGAAAGATTCGCATGCGAGGGTGAGAAATATGTCAAATCGGCGTCAATTTCGCACAAAAGATTTAGATCCTCAGGCGGAATGTCACGAGCACTGATAGAAGATCTCAAGCGGCTGGACTGGAGATTGCTACCAGGAAGATGAAGAGCAGGTGCATTCATTTGAGGCCATGGCGCGGATGAATGAGAGAGCCCGTTCGGAGTCGGCGACAGCGTCTGGTTGAACGCGGCGGGATTAGGCATAATCGAGGTAGGCGAGCTGGGCATGAGGCTCAAAGCTGCAGCCATGTCCATGAAGCCGGCAGCCGAGGCAGCTGATCTAGGAGAAGGAACGCCCGACCCAGTCGAGACATACAAGGGGCGGAGCTCGTCGGGGGTGTGGGCGAAGAAGCAGACCTGTCTTTCGCAGCTCGTACCGTCTTTGCACATTCTTGTTCGGTACTGAGCAGGGTGCAGCCAGCACTCGAACACGCCGTGCGCATATTCGCACATGTCGCCTCGCCTGCACGCACCTTTACGAAACTCGGGACACGGGACGCAGCTGTAGTGGAACTTCCGCGGGTCTCTTCTGCGGGCATTCTCGCCGGGGTGAACGAACGGGCATTCGGTCCAATCGTGGGAATATGCTCTCGAACACGGCCTGACCTTGAATGAATACATGCGGAACTCGTCTGTTAAGTATATGCCATTTCTGATGTCGGGTAGGGACGGATCCACGGGATAATGTTTCTTCTCTGAGGCAGAGTTAGGATGAACGTCGTTGAACTTTGAGGCCATTGGAGAATATTCCGAATCAGACTGATAAAATGGGTCCGGAGAAGATGATAATACGGGCGAAGACACGTTGGAGGCAGATACAGAAACTCGTAGATTACTACAGTCACCGGCAGATGCATTTGAAGCACTGTTTACGAGCAAGTCCTCGAGAGCAGTTCTAGCACCGGGAAGCATCGGAGGAACTACAATCACATCAATTGGGCGTAGACCACAGGCATCCTCGACGGTCGGATCAGCACCGGCAGATAATAAAATTTTGACAGCGTCGTAGGCGTTAATAGACCCTCCAAAAGCAGCACAGTGGAGTGCAGTCCACTTGTCTTGGCCACATAATCTGTTCAAATCAACCTCAGGTAGAGCAACTATCAGCTTCAAGACATCGACACTACCATATGACGCAGCCACCGTCAAAGGCGTTCTCTCTTCGAGGACTATTTGCTTTGAACCTCTCTTACGGACATACCATAGCCCAGCCTCGTCTATCCCGGAAAAATCAAGCTCAATGGATCGCTTGAATGCTTCAACATCATTGTTGGCAGCTAGTTCATGTAAGCTCGGAAAGGATTCCTCAGTAGCCATAGATAAAGTACTTGTATCCTTCATATCTTAAGATTACCTGGTAGAGAAAATAACAACGATTAGTTAATCCACAAACAAGCAACTTCAGATTAGACATCTTGTGATCGAAAAGGAAAATTCATCAAACAAAAAAGAAAAAGATCTAAAGTTGTAGTGGCTGTTAATTGTTATCAAGATTTAGGTACATGAAATTGTGAACCAACCATACATGTTAGGATATATGTTTCCAAATTAAAACACAAACCCCGATTTTTTGTTCTCTTTGATAACTTGGCTACTTTTATTCGAATGTAAATTTAATCCTATTCACAGAATTCTTCAGCCTAAAAGGGAAATCAGAAATATTGTGAACGAAAACTACTCCTACCATTCAACTCAACAAAAACTAACACCATTTTAAACATTTTGAACACTCTAAAATACGTTATCATAGATAAAAATAGCATATAGAAGGAATCACACGTAATTAGTCGAATGAAATTCATCAAAAATAGGAAGAAGTGTGGATTTTAGGCATGCACCTATAGCAATAGCAACACTTGAACAAGTCTGGCTTAGGTATGCCATCCACAATTAAAAATTACGACCGTAGCACGATTCCAAGGGACAGAATTGCGAACAACCACAAAGAGAAGATCTGGAGAGTTACGGGAAATTTATCCGAAGACAGAAGGGAAAACATATCGACAACGCCACAACCTATCCACCAATTCGCTATCACGTCATCCAAATCCGACTACAGGTAAACAACTTTTGAGGAAGAGAATATGCATATTGCTAAAATTAGTATATATCTTTACGTTTAGACTTAGATAACAAATAGCTCCAAAATGTTTCATCAATCATACTTAGACAAAAACGAATCGTCGCGTACATACGTTTTCCAGAATCAGCCATCTAAATAGCTGCCAATCTCTGTAAACCAAAACATCAGCTAACAAAGATCGCTAAAACGCATCGTAAACCTAAAGAACAAATCAATTTCGTGCAGCAAAAAACACAAGCTCACAAATTACAGTAGAAATCATTTCAAAATAAAGTCAACGCACAAAATAACCTATGAATCAAACTCACCAATGGTCCCAAAAATCGACGCTACTGCCAAAGACCTGCAAAATCATCACATCCGTAGCACAGACATCATCGATCCACCGATTGGGCCACGCAAAACCAAAAAAACCTAAAATTAATACGGCGCCATAAAAATCCTCGACATGCGGCAGGCAGGTTAAGCGTAGCGTTGTCTGTCGTCTACATAAAGAAGGCAAACGTCATCCGTACAGGAAAGGACTGCGAGAGGGCGGCAGAGCGAAGATCAGTGACGACTGAGGAGTGAGAGAGTGTTTTAGGGGAGCGGTTTTCGAAATGAATGTGAAATGAGCTTGAAATTTACGCCAAATGAAAGTCGGTCTCGATGACATATTTTTTTACGAAAGTCAAGGGCGGTGGCTGTGGGATCCACCTTGAGGAGATTGCGTCAGTAAATGAAGGGTAGTTTTGGAATTTCACAAGATGTCAGACAAGGACGGACATGTTTGGTAGCGCTGATTTATTACTATTACTCCCTCCGTCCCCTTATATATAAATTAAAATTAAGATGTTTAATTAGTTTAATTAAAATTAAAAAAATAAAATTTAAAAATTTAAAATTAGATTAAAGTGTATAATTATTTTAAAAAAAAGTGATATGATATATGGGACGGACAGAAACGGCAACGTGGACATAGTATCTAGGACGGAGGGAGTACAATTTATTACGCCATCCGGTCCACATAATTTGTTCCTATTTTCTATTTTCGTCCGTCCCACATAATTTATCCTTTTTTTTAAAAAAAAAAATTAATTATACGCTTTAATCATATTTTAAATTTTTTTAATCTTAATTAAACTATTTAGTTATCTTAATTTTAATCTTAATCTATAATTATTTTTACTAAATAATAATTATTTTATTAATACATTTTTTAATTATTTACTAATTATATTTTACCTAAATTTTTGTGTATACAGTAATACACCCATATTACACGGATGAAATAGTATTAAAGAAAAAAAAGAAAAAAAAACATTTCATTGTAGTATTTCATTAATGTCATAATCCTGACGGGATAAGTTGAATATGATCGAAAGCTACAAACACCTTTTATTAGTAACAACAATGAAAAGTTTCGATCGACCATGGTTTGCAGAATAGTAGGTTTGACCGGGGGTTTACCAAACGTGCACTTTCGGATAATGCTGCGGATTTCCGCGTTATCCAAAAATAAATAAATAAATAAATGAAAAGTTTCGTGTGGATTTCTGCTCGTGAAATTATCAGTTAAAATTTTTCTATCACAATTGAGGATAAATTTTCAAAAATTTTAAAAATAATAAGAAAGTTTTTGTATGATATCTTATGTAATGACAAAGGTGCTAATGTTTTGTAATGTCTTTTTAGAAAATTAAAATGAAAAAAAAATATCTATATAACAAAACTATGTATTCTTCATATTTCTATTTTAAAATTTTTAAAATCAAAATAATTATCTAATTTAATATTTTAAATAAAAGTAATTTAAATACAAAATAACAAAAGATATCCAAAATCAAGGCCCGTCTTGGCTCAGGGCACAACTGGCCGGGTTCAAGTAAACCAAATCAGATGATTGACAATAGTATAATGTCAATATGATATCAATAGTCATCCATACACTCATCCACTCACGTAGGATGTATTTATTTTTAATTTTAAAATTTATTACGATTTTTTTTTATTTATTTAATGTTATATTTTATAAGATATATATTATAGTTAATATTATGAAATAATTAAATTTTGATTTCAATAAGTAATAGTAGTAGTGGAGATATAATAATATAAGCATGGAGGCCCCCTTGTTTCAAGAGAGAACTGAACTAATGGTTAAATATTCAGAGTCACACGTATCATAATTGTTGATCAATTTTGAATCAACAAACACAAAACACTCCTTAATTCTGAATTCTGATAAGCGAGCGAGCGAGCGAGCCAAGGAAATTAATTAAAGATAGAACGTAGAGAACACAACAATATAAACAAAACCAAACAGCAAAATCGATGAAGCAAAAAAACTATAAATTAATGTATATAGGTCGTGGATCCAGAAGTTAAATGGAGTTACTACATGATAAGATTATGGTGGTGGTCCTCCTCCTGCAGTGGTGTTCTTATTCTTGTGTCGTTTATTGCTTTTAGCTCCTCCTCCCGATCTGCCAACACATGACTTCACCAGTTTCTTCAGTCCTCCATGTCTCTTGTGGCCGCTGTCATGGAGATCGTTACCTGCACTCGCACTGCTATCGTGCCTCTCACCCTCGCCCTGCTTCTCTAATTCTTCTTCCATCTGCAGGCACAGCTGCACAAATACAATATACATCCATACATATGCATCAATAATAACCAACTCATTACCAACAATATATTACACGTGTGTGTGTGTGTGAGAGAGAGAGAGAGAGAGAGAGAGAGATGAATGAATGAATAGTTTTCTATACATACCTTGAAGATGCGATCCTCAGCGCGGACGAGGCGTTGGATTAAGGTGCCTTTCTGGTGGACTTCCATGAGCACTTCGTCGACGGGGCGACATCGCAGCTGATCATCCTGCTTATCCTCATCGTGATCGTGATGGCGATCGGGACTGGGGGAGTAGGAGTAGTTGGCGGAAGAGGCGTATGAATTTGAAGAGTAATAGCTCTTCGGAGAATGGCAATCGCTCCAGCTCCTCCTGCTCTTTATGTCTTCCAGTTGCTTCAACTGTTAATTAATTCCGTGGTAATCATGAAATCATAGATATCATCATATGGATGGATGAAGACGAAGAAGTAGCTCTTACGATGCGGTCGAGGCGATTGAACCTGCACAGAATAGGAGGAGGAGCAGGATCAGCCGGCGCTGGAGCTTCTTCCCCCAAACGTGATGTTGCTGTTACTGTTGCAGCTGACATTTGATTGATTTACGAATAATATGCTGCTCTGCTCTGCTTCAATTCGATCTAGATATATAATATCCAACTCCGACCAAGCACAACTCGATTGATTAACAAAATTGATCGATCGATCGATCGATTGCACAGCCGCCCTCTACTTACTAACCCTATCTCGCAATCAAGTGTATGTTCGCTCGTGATAAAACCACATATATATATAAATATATATATGTATGTATGGATAGTGCAGTGAGGGGATGGGCATGAAAATGGAGAGAGACAGACGTCCATGTGTACGCGTGGATAAAGGAAGGAAGAATTGTTAACTAGTTAGGGCGGTTAAGATCAGGCTCGGGCTCCAAAGATGAGATGATCAAATGACCTCTCCGACCGCCACGTGGCCTCCTGCATCCACGTGTGCTCCCAAGACTCAACTTTGGAAGCGTTGAATACACACGGACACGCCGTCCCCTTTCTTGACTTCCCTTCCATTCTGTCTTGTCTTGTACCTCATCGATCAGCCCTATTTATTATTATTATATAATTAAATACGATAACCTCACTTTACAAAATGAGCCTACCTCTTTACACAATCACACACCACTATACAACAACTTCCTTCCATTCCATGCATTAATAACCTTACTTCATCCATCCATCAACACTAGCAGTTGATTCCACACTCCTCCACGTCAGGGCCAGTAACTCTAGTCGTGAACGGGTTCACTCGTACCCACAGCAAGCAAAAGATCGACGCAAGCAGAATGGACCAGACCACGACAATGGTCGGGGTTCGGTTCTGCCGACCCATCAGACCTTTAAGGAAAGGGTAGAGATGGACGATCACCCAAAATGCAAAGAATAGCTTCCCAAACAGGGGACCCCATGACTGGTATCCGCTGTTAATGGCATCGGAAATTCCGGCGACGACGGCGACAAGGTTGACGACGAGCAGAGTGGTCGGAGGGATTAGAAGCGTCGTCCATTTGAACATGTAAAGCTCAGTAAAGTCGCCTTCCTCGTCTGAGGCCTTGGATGTGACGGTGAAGTTGGTGTCTATTCCGGCTAACACTTTGAGCAAGCCTTGGAAGACGGCAAAGAGATGGGCGGAGACGCCTCCGATCACCCAAAACTGCTCATTCCTCCACCATTCCTCTATTCCGACGCCGCTCCATCTCATCTCCAGAATGCCGGTGGCGAAGATGGAAAGAAACAGGGATAGAAACCATATACTTGCAAGGTTAGTGATCTGAAATTGGGAAAATGTAGCTTTCAGTTAGATATATATTATGTTTCTAATCAAGTTACCATAGAATTATGTAAGGCCAAATACTATTTTAACATTGGGATGAGAAATACTAACCTGTGGGATGATGAACTTCCCACTGAGCAAGCAGACAGCTGGTAATGTACAATAGAAGACGAGAGGGATGGCAGTTACGGGGTAAATTGTGGTGTTGACATATGCAAATCTTTCTAGCCATTTTAATCTTCCATGGTAACCGTACCATATCGGGCAATGTCGGCTGAATAGAATCTCTACAGATCCCAAAGCCCACCGAAGAACTTGGTTCAGACGATCAGAAAGATTGATTGGAGCAGATCCCTTGAAGGCTGGTCTTGGTGGCATGCAGTAAATTGATCGCCAGCCACGTGCATGCATCTTGAATCCCGTGAGAATATCTTCTGTAACAGAACCGTAAATCCACCCTATCTGACAAAACAGGTTCACCAGTATGAGCTTTTTGGCAATGATAATAATAATGGAATGATTAGTGCATCAGATAACTTGCCTCACTTCCCCATTCCGTTTTATCTTCATAGCCACAGCTGATAACACGAATGGCCTCTTTCAAAAGATTCTCCGGTGTGGCAGACTGAGGAACGCCACCATTCTCCATAAGGGTAGATGCAACGAAAACGGCAGATTGGCCAAATCTTTTCTCAAGGCTCATCTGGGACATGAGCAGTGTCTTCTCATCATCAAACCCAGTACCTGAATGATGAAAGGACAAAAATTAGCAATGTGATCGTAATCAATGTGTCATAGTTCTTATGAGAGGAATCATACCTTCAAAGCCCTCCTCTATATCCGCTAAGCTGAAGATGGGAACAGTGGAATCAACGTGCTTGCTAGACTTCTTTTTATCAGACCCTTTCTTACTTGATTTAGAAGTTTTCTTCCTTGCTCCATCAAGGCAGGATGATAGCAACCCAGGTTTCTTATTTTTAGGTTTGTGAGGAGGCTCATAACCATACAAAGCTGTTCTGTTGAAGACACAGCCAGTACCCACATATACAGGGCCTTGAATACCATCTAAACCTCTCAAGTTAATCTGATTAAACAGAGACAAAACCAGTTAACCAGCCAACATGGACTCAAGAAAGTTAGGAAAGCAGGTTTCTTGATGTCATGATTCATAATGTGTAGTATAGTCATTTCACGATCAACTTAAAATTAGAAATATGCGTAACAATAGAAGTGATAGTGAGCTTACATCAAAGAAGACTGTGTTACGATTGGCGTATCGATCGCTCTTATCTATACCATCAAATCTTTGTGGGAATTGAACATAGCACACATATTTCCCAAGATTTGGGTCCATTAGGAAACACATGGCTTCCCGCAAGGCCTTACTGTTATTAATGTAGTGATCACAATCAAGGTTCAGCAAGAAAGGTCCATTTGTGAGAACTGCTGACACACGAACCTGTAATGGTGTATCATCAATGTCAACTTTGAAGCAAAACAAATGTACCAACTGCAACTTGTGCATTTGATTGACCACTTACAAGTGCATTCATGGCACCAGCCTTCTTGTGATGCTGGAACCCTGGACGTTTCTCACGAGAAACATACACTAACCGAGGAAGTTCATTGCCATCACTGTCTAGACCTCCACTTTGGCCAAGGAACACCTGCAAGCAAGAAAATATTAATGAGACATACTTAGGAGGAAAAGTTTGAGAAATTTGCATAAACTACACAGTAGGTAGCATATTTCTAATATAAAAATTGCTCTTGCTAAACAATAAAATAAAATAGAACAATGACCAGCAACCAAATTTTATTTGGATATACATTTCACATGTAAGCCAGAAGAATCACAAAAACAGTTAAATGTACATCAAGTCTAAACACTTTGAGAAGCCATTAGAACAGTTATAAGAATCTAATCACCTGGATCATTCCTGGATGATCTCTTGTGTTGTTTCCAGGCCATGGTGTACCATCTTGCATGATCCAACCTTCTTCAGGAACCTTTTGGGCTTTGGACACTAGTGCATTGATACGAATTTTGAATTCTTCATATTCTCGCTGTCATGGGGAAAAGAAGAAGAAGAAGAAAAGGATGATCAAATATGATGCTATGGGTCAAATCAATTATCTTGTTGCCGAACAGTCCTAACCTTCATAGCCCTGCGGTCTTTGACAAAGGATGGTTGAACTTTATCTTTTAAGTAATCAATCTTCTGAGCAAAGTACCATTCTGGTGCTCTTGGCTCAATATTATATTTCTTGCAGAAAGGAACCCATTTCCTTGCAAATTCGGCAGTCTCCAATAGAGACTCAAAGGTCAATATAGCAGCACCATCATCAGACACATAACAAGATACTTTGTCAACCGGATAGTCCACCGAAAGAATGGACAAAACAGTATTAGCAGTGACAAGAGGAGGTTCCTTTAGAGGATCAACAGTACTGACAAATATGTCAACAGCAGCTAATTGTGATGGCTCTCCTTCACGATCATATCTGTTCCACATAATCATGTAGTTATACAAATTAGAGAAGAGTGAACTTTCATATCAGCATAGAAGGGAAATGGGAAATTTTAGTTGAAAACAGGGGTTGGCTGAGATTTAATAATAATAATAATAATAAAAGTAGATTTTGCAGTGTTTGGAAGTTAAACAAAAGCACCGCACTCTAAGAGGTCGCCAAAAACAGTGTAAAACTTAATATAGCTGAATATGATCATACCTGAGAGCAAGCCTGTCCAGATATGTTTCACGATTCACTGGAAGCCATTTGGGGAACTGATCAAGGATCCAGGATATAGCAAACCAGATCTCACAAATCACAGATATCAACCACAAGGCATATGCATTGGGTACAGGATTTGTTATTCGATAATGTAAGAAAATGCACAGGATCACCAGCCGCAACATAATAACCATCCTGTAAGGATTGATTCTTGAGGATGGAATAGAAACCTTCCTAGAAAGTGGCTGTCGAGCTTCATCATTTCTGCATCAATGAAGAAAGTTAAGCAGAGTGAAGAATGGCTGTCTACATCAACGAAAATCAACTTTCTCTCCAATAAAACTTGTGAGGTATTAGGCAGCCCGAAGTGGAGATTCTAGAGTCATGTATGTACTTCAAGAATACAATAGCAGGCAGAAAGTAGCATGAATCCTAGCATAGGTTTTAGGATATTAGTAGAACTCACAGGAGAGATTCATCCACAAGAACATCTGAGCTTGCATCAATATCCCCAACTCCTCTTTCTGAAGGAGTATGACTAGTAGACGTTGGAATAGCAGGCTTCTCCTGCTTCATCTTCCATCCATCTACTCTTTCTTTCCAGGCAACATTGCCTAAGCCAGGAGATCCAAACTCCCTCACAGGATCCACAATCCTAGCTGCAAGGAGAAAAAATATAGTTGACCTTGGGAAGGAAAGACTCCAGAGGAAGATAAGAAAATAAACCAAATTCAGGCAGAGGTAGAGATCTACATTTTCCACCACCACCAGGGGGAGGTGATGCAATTGAAGGGTGGCATGGTGATGCTGTAGACAGATCTCCAGAAACCTGCTAACCAAAAGACTTTTTGAGTTAATCTATTATATAAATGTATTATGTGTTCCAACCAACAGAATTTATACATATAAATTCTTAGAAACTTACATCCGTTCCATTTGTAAGAAAGGGAACGGGGTTGTGAGAAACATCTCTATCATACTTTGGTGCAGCACCTTCCCCTTGTCCATAGTTCATGTGCCAGTTCAAGCTGTGATCCGATATCTTCTGCTTGCCCATTTGGATTTCTGCATAATGGAGATCATCACCATTATCAGAAACATCATCATCCTCTCCATCACCGCGAATTGCAGGGCTTCCTGTTTAAGAGCAGAATTCTACTTTTAGAAAACCATATTGATTGCAAGTGAATAACTAAAAGGTTTGAAAATTTTAGATTGCATCATTTTACAAGTATAAAGCCATTTGCTCTATTAATAGTTAATATTAGATAATTCACCCACATTTCATTTAAAGTGGATTATTATTTAGGAAAAACATCAGGGCATTCATCATACCTTTGTGTCTCTTGTACCTAGTTTTGCACTGAAGGCAAGACTGATTCCCATCCTTCCTCTCGTATTCATAACAGGGTCTGCAGACTGGAAAGGCACAGATGTTGCAAGCAACAAATGGCTCACCATCAACCGTCAGCCCAACGATTTCACCGCAGATTTGACAGACCTGACTGCCCTTATTCTTCAAGTTCTTCATCTAGCAAATGGAGCACGATACTTTGGTTACAAGAGATTTACGATTTAAGGCCCATACTCAATATAATTTTTACACCACTTCAAGGACAGATTTACCAGGGAACCAAAGAACAACCAGAAAAAGGTAAAAAAATAATATATATGTCAATATATTTTATGAGTACTGCCCCCCCAAAAAAAATTGTGAATACACAACTAAAAACTCTAGAGTAAAAAGCATTTCTTAATCAATTTGTGAAAATAATATTGACAAGCGGTCTTCTTACTAACCTTGGTTTCTGCATCGGATTCCATAGTTAGCTACCTCTAATGAGAGTTACTGGTCTGTTCACAATCAGCTATATCCTCCAAGCCTCAAACAGAATTTAACATCCCCACCCCAAGCTGCTAAGAGGCCCCCTGAAAAGAGCTGTAACATGACTCGTCTTTAGCACTTTTACTCGAAAGAAGGCAAACAACAAGCTTAGAACTCATCGATCGACACATATGGTCTAACGATAGCAATAAATAAAATAGATAAATTAAAACACCTAACATGAAAAACCGGGGCGGATGCCAACAATGAAACACCAAACATGATAAACAAGCCTGCCAACAATCCACAAGACATTTTACCGCAGAGAATCACAGCATCTCATACAAATGCAATCAAGTAAGACGATATTCAACAACGCTTCAGTCCACAGAAACATCCATCGCTAAAACCAACAGAGACATCAATCTCCACTCCGCCAACACCACACAGGCGCAGAAGAGGAACCCAAAATCATCAACACGCGCATATACATAACTAAATCGTAAACTCACATGGCAACCCAAATCGCCACCACAGCTTCCGTCTCCTGAAACGCTAAACTCTCCCTCGCAAACAACTAATCATTCACCAACGCTGACGAACACGGGCAAACTGAAACACCAGGCGATCGATTCTATGAAATGCGGATTTGTAAAAGCAAAAGCGAACGAGACGAAAGGAGACGGCGAGAGACTAAGAACCACCGCCACAACCACCAGCTGTACGCGGCTCGTCTCTATACCATTCGGCAATCTCTATCGTCTTTTCACTTCCATAGCTGCCACTGACAGTGCGTGCGTTTTGGGTCCGCATTAATTATTATTGACGTAAATAGATAAAACGTAGGAAAATCATTTTATTATTGGGACTAAAATACAATTATTACGCGTAGAAACGAAGAAAGCGACAGCGGAACTCCGTTTCCTCAGCAATGCCCACCGGCGGTGTGCTGAGGGTGGCTGTACCCCCGCGAAGTTTGTTCTCTCCCTGCTTCAAATGATTGTACCATTTGGACGAAGCTACCCTTGGATATTGTGGAAGACCGCTGTCGCGATGTGACTTCTCACTTAACCGAGTAAAATTTTTTCGTGATATTACTGTAATAATTATTAATATTATTATGAAATTTTCGAAATTAAAAAATAATGATTTTTTTTATATTACATACTTTTTATATATTATTATTTATGTTTTTAAAAAAATTAAATTTTTTTTTTTCACAAATATTACATTAAATATTTTTTTAAAATTTTTTAAAAAAACTCCAAAAAAATTCATATCTAAGCAAAACTAATATTCTTAATTCTATATAAATTGTTTATATTTTTTATTTTAATTTATTTTGTACTCCATTTCTCTTATTTTTTTTACAACTATAATTATATATTTTAATTAAATTATAAATATTATAATTTATAATAATTTTTATTTTAATTAGATTATTTAATTATTTTATTAATATATATATTTTTAATTATATAATATCTAAGACTGTTATTCCTATGCAAATTAGTTGATCTGAGGAGTATAGTTTATTTTTTATTTTTTAAAAATATAATTATATATTTTAATTATTTTTTAAAAAATTTTTAGTTAAATTATTTAGTTATATTGAGGTTAAGCCTTATTTTCCTAACCCTGGCTTTTATTTACCGTTGCCGAGGAGTTGGGCCATTGGCGATGGCTTCGTTTGGGTCTCTAAAGCAATCAATCTTCGACAAAGAAGCAAGAAAGCAGTATGTAAAAGCTTTTGTTTCTATTGATCTTTTTCGTCATATAGTTTGTGAGAATGCAGACGAAGCTATACGGAGATTCATTTGATTTTCTAAATGGGGATTCGTATGTATATATAATCAAAACAGGCAGTATCAAGATTATGTACGAGGCCTCAATGCCTTCGATCGCCACAAGAAATTTTTGAATGATTACAGTAAGCTCTTCTTCGCTTTTTATTTTATTGGCTGGCTGCTAAACAGGCAATTAGATGGAGTCATAGGGTTATTGAGGGCTTTATGGCGATTTTTAAGTTCAAGTTTCTCTTAAAGTACAAGAATTTATCTGAATTTGTTTGGTTTTCCCAGAGTCTGTTCGGAATTTGATGTAGGGTATCAGTGAAATTGATCATGTATAGTTGTTAATCTTATTTCTACAGTCTACACCTTTAGTTAACATACGGTCATTGCCATATTCTGGTTGGTTCAACATTTCCTATACTGTGTGCATTATGGTTAATTCCAATTATGTAACACTGCATCAGTTGATTATTATGGGAAGCAAAAATCTCCTCGAGAAGCATTGCCTATTAGAACTGATCAAGACACCCTTAGAGAAGGATATAGGTATGGCTGCTGCCTTTCTTGATTCAGTCTTATACATTTGTTTGTTATGCTAGTATTACTCCATTTTTATACTTGTTTTCAAATATGTCAATTTGATAGCTTTGGTTATTCATATTCAATCCGACTTTATGCATCACCTGTGTGGTTATTTCATTCCATTTCATAAAGCCCAAATGTGATAGCTTTGGGCATTTCATTTGTCAATGTTGGCCATATGGTTGAACCACTTAATGTTATGGTGTTCTGATTTCAATTTTTTAATAATTTACCCGTACAAAAAAAAAAAGAAAAGAAAAAGAAGCAATTTCTTGTTTGTTCAAATAAGTTGTCTTAAGCACTTTTTGCCATCATTTTCAAAAAGGTTCATAAGAACTGAGGAGGATGACAAGTATCCTTCTTGGGAACAAAGGCTGGTGAAGCGATACTATGACAAGCTCTTCAAGGAGTATCCTTTGCATTGTGATTTTATTCCCCCTCCCCCCCCCCCCCCCCCCCTGATGTTGCTGATTTGAAATATGATTAGAAACACCCTGAGTTTATGATGATTTATACTGCAAGAAATACATAATTCATGTCTCAAGCACTCAAAATATGCATATCCTTACTCTGTATCATTGACTAAGCCCATGAGTTGCTCTTTATACTAATTGGTAAGGGATTGTTAGTTTTCTCATGCTTTTGAAGAATATTTTAGCTGAGGTTGTTGGGAGGATCCCACCTTTGAGTTTTTATTTTCCTTTTGTCTTTTTTTGTAATTCCTCACTAATGATTACTTTTGTTGATCAATAAAACCTAGTTCCATCACATTGATAATTGCAAGTAATTGGAACTAAATAGCATGTTGATAGTAAAGGGCAGAAGAATTACTATGTCATTAATGTATAAATGTATTAATCTATCTTTGATTTGACAATTTCATGTTCATAAAGGTGTTTCAGCTCTATTTTAAGAGTTGTGTGAGGAGGCATATTACTTGCCTTTATTTCCTGTGTAGGTATGGGTTATAGAAGATGGTATTCTATGACAAGCTAAAATTTCGGGGTTCATTTGACTTTAAGGACACTGCTATACTGCATACTCAGGAGTCATGGTGCATCACATAAGAAGCAATAATACTGCATGCATTTTAATTGTGTCTGTACTGAAAGCTTTGCTTTTTAGAACAAGCACTTCCGTTCTGCTTTTCACATATACATGATGAGGCTGTAATTCAAATTATAATAGGAAATTTCATGTTAGGAAATTGATTGAGGCTTGTGCCTGATGAAATAAAAAACTTCTGAACTGTGATGTGGGAAGTTACTTTGTTATTGACAGGGACATGGGTCACGGTCATTGCAGAAAAGTGAGTCATATCACATGACATTCTGCATGGATGCGTGGCTTAGTTATTTTGCTATTTTTATAACAAGAAAAATTTCATTTTTTTCTTTAACTTATTAAAGATACTGCATAGCTGATATGTCTCAATACAAGACGGGCAAGGTATGATTGTTTGAGAGTCTCATGATTTGTTAGATGCTCTTTCCATAATGCTTCTGGAATTTATATTGATTCTTTTGGAAGCAAAATTTATCTAATTATGTCTTAATATAAACTCTGCTTCCTATGTCCTTCTAACAGTAACTGTAATGCTCGTCAAAGAACATAAAAGTTGCCTCCAATGAATACCTGTCAAGGTCTAATTAACTTTGATTTAAAGAAATAACAATAACCCGAAGATTTTACGCTTTGGTTGCTTACAAAGGAGATAATTGGTCCACTATTAATTTGATTACCTAAATCTTATCTTATTTGATGATTATGTTAACAGTTAAGCAAGATCACTTATACTTAAACATGATTCTTGCTAAAATGCATCACATGACATGAGGCTACAAGTAAATGGATAATTGTTGTTGGATGTATGATTTAGTTTAGAGATGGCAATGGGTCCGGGTAGACCCGACCCACACCCGACCTATTTATTTGGGGTCGATCCAATTGTACGGATATTGGATCGGGTATGGGTTGAATATTGTATACTCTTATCGAGTCTAGATCAGGTATCGGGTTTAAGGGTGGACTCTACTCGGATTCGACTAGAGTTGATTAATATGTTAATAATATATCAATTATATATGTGAAAAAATAATTTCTAATAAAATTAATTAAATTAAAAATATTTTTTTAGTTTAATTTATTTATTTTATTTATTATAATATTTTTTAATACAATATATAAATTTTAATATATGTCGGGTCCCGGTCCAAATTTAAGTTAAACTTTAATTATTGTAAAAAAATTGGGTGTGTTGGGTCTATCAAGTCTTATGGGGTATAGTTTGGGTATGATCGGGTTCGAGTATAGCCAGTTTCAATTCAGGTTTCGAGTCCAACAAAATGTGTATTCGGGTCGAGTCTTGGATTTGGCTGGACCGGACCTATTGCCATCCCTAATTTAGTTAGTCTTGAAACATTTGTTAGTTTTGGCCTTTCAGGTTTATTTCTTGTTAACAATTTGCATCCTTTTCTTGAACCATGGCATGTACTCTTTGTAGATTGGTCTTAGATGGAGAACTGAAAAGGAGGTGATGTCTGGGAAAGGTACCATTCTTTCCTTGAATCTTGTTTACTCTTCAAAGTGTGTTAGATGAATTAATTTATAAAATTTTATATAGAATGGTATGTTACTATATCAGCTTAAACTTTTGATAAGGTAGTTATTCTAACAAGTACTATCTATTGATCTATGGATACACAAATGATCGCCTTTAGTTTACAGTATACTTCAGTTGTGTTTGTTTGGAGGTTTTCTAAGATTTTACACTATTCGTTAATTTGTTCCCCCAAAAATCTAAAATCAAATACATATTTTTTTATCTTTTATATTACAATAAAAATCAATTTTAGATTTAAAATATCAAATCAATACCTATTTACATCACATCAAATAACTATTCAAATTCAAAATTTTACTATTTAAAACCCAAACGCAAAATCCAAACCCCCAAACAAACACACCCTTCAATTCATCAATTTATGGCTGATTTCAGAAAATTGAGATTTATTACAGTCTTGCACTGAGTTAGTAAAAACTGTAATCCAGAGAAAGATTGTAACTTTGTAAGTACCTTATTTGCACCCGAAGACAGTCATTGTGAAATAAAAATGTGGCTTGCCCAAATTTAAAGGAAAAGTGAAAGCGAAGTAAAAATTGGCAATTTGAGAATAGCAGGAATCCTTAGGATCCTGCCTAAATTTGTCCTTGGCAGTTGGCATGTTGATTGGAGACACTTGGATAAATCGTGCACTGACTTTCTTACAGTTCATTATTTGCCTTGATCTAGAGGTGCAGCATGGTTCTATCAAAGTACAGTTAGAGCATTATTTGCCTTTGATCTAGAGGTGTAGTTTTATTCTGTTTAGGTTCAAGTGAAAACATACAAGTTTGCATTATTTAGCTTTGTTTGACATAGTCTGGATCTAACTGTATTCTGATAACAAGGGATTGTTTGCTTGGAAAATAGAAAGCTTACTTGTAAACTGCTTTTTCAACACGTCTACTGTGCATGGTGGTTTTGGTTTTCTGTTACTGTTTTAAGGGTTTATATTCCACTTAAAGTTATCTTAAGATTACGCCTAACCAAAAACACTTTGGTTGTCAGGGCAGTTTGAATGTGGTAATAAGCATTGCAATAAAAGAGATGGCTTGTCAAGCTACGAGGTTAGCTTCAGTGGAAGTTTAACATTTACACATTTTCTGTGAATGAAGAGTTGTGAGTTATTATATTCCAGAGATATAGGATATTCTTGATTGTGTTATAGATTTTGAAACAACACCCGTCTCTTAATTTTCCTTCATCCACTAATTTAATTGAAATGCAGGTAAATTTTTCTTATTTTGAAGCTGGAGAAAACAAACAGGCTCTGGTCAAATTAGTAGTATGTGAGAGGTGAGTCAGCAATGCTTTGATTCTTTTGATTTAGCTGTCGATATCTTGCAGTATTTGAGGCGTTCGAACACTATAGAGGCATGGTTCTGGCTTTATCATTATCAATATCAGCCCTTCATTTAGGCCATCTTTATTTGAGCATCTTTGAAGGATGTGCACTTTAAAAAGCAAATAGGTGAATTAAGGCATGGCACAACTCTCAGCATGCAAGTGTCGCATATAATTTTCTCACCTTGTTTTTGGTTAAGGCTAGATTATATCTTTATGAATATGTAGAGAAATTTCGTCTCAATTATGAAATGATTGAGAAAATGCAAATACATGTCGGATAAATAAAGCAAAACCAATTGATGGTCATGATATGCCTTTTATGGGAATTATTAGAAACAGTTCTTTTGATTCATCTGTTTGTTTGTGGTGTGTATGACAATCTGGCACCTCCTGTCCATCTGGCTGTTTTTTGTATCATTCCTGTAAAATGGTATGCGAGAATTGAAATTCTTAACCTTTCTGTTGTAGAGGAAAGAAATGAGATGTAATAACAAGTGAACTGCATCATGCATTGAACCAACATTGAACTGTAATTGAAGTAAAGGCATTGACATTAAGCGGTGTTTACTGGACAAGATATGCCTTATGACGAAGGACAGACAGGGTGATATAATAACTTCCCTAGGAAAACCATGATATCTCTGAAAGTTCTCGGGCCACTTATCTTCTGCACCATCATTTTTATGTATTTCTGGACTGTTTAGATGAAATAGTCTCGGTTTTTATTTAATAGTATATTATTTTTCTAAGAATGTGTCTGTCTCATATGAAGCTAAAATATCATTGGATGTAAGTTTGCTGGTTAGATTTAGGTTATTGAATTTTTAAAATTCATCTAAGACAATATAAATTTTGTGGAACGGGGGTGCCGAAATAGATGTGCAGAGAAGCTATATTACAAGAAGCAGAAGGAGAAAGAGAAGGAAGAATCAAAACTGAAGGAGACTGAAAAACACCGAAAGAAAAGGTTAGCCTACGGCAAATGTCATGCAACATATTTTCAATACCTCCTTTATTGGGTGCCGATGTTTGTTCAGATTCTTGATCCTAGGCTATAAATAAATTCCAATATTTTCAGGGATAGGAATGAAAGTGATGACGAAGGAGACATTGCTTATAGTAGAAGCAAAGACAGAAGGAAAGGTATGATGGCAGTACAATTTGATTTACTCAGGCACTACTTGAGACATGTTCAGAGACTTGCTGTTTTCATTTCACAGGAAAGAAGGCTTCGATTTCAAATGCTGATGATAAGACAGAGGATGATGAAAACTTTGACGAATGTCTCGAAGGAATGTTCCCATAACATAGATGGATGGATGGATTTATGTATATGCTCTGTTTGTCAAAGTTTGCTCAAAGCGAAAGGTAAGCCATCTTGTCCCAACTTTATTTTGGTAATTTTGTATCAAAAGAGAATATCCATTTGACTGTTGTTTGTAAATGTGCAAATAATGGGTATTTTTTGTTAGATGGCCATGTATTGTTTTTATGATAAAATTAAAAATAACTAGTACTGTGCCTCTTACTTTATATATATATATGTCAACATTTTAAGTTACAGTGAGTTTGTATTATAAAAAAATAGATATATACAAAGTAATCTAAATGGGCTTAATATGACAGCTCACCTCAAGCTAAACTTGTTCAATATGAACTCTTTAGACCTATAATTTCGGAGTGCTCTTATCAATATATCTGCAAGTTAATCATTTGAGGACATACTTTTTATTTACACACCCAAATAGCATCTTCTGTATGAAGAACGAAGAATAATTTCAATATGCTTCGTTTGCTCATTAAATAATGGATTTGTATAATATATAGTGTTGCCTGGACTATTATTGTACCAAAACTTCATTCTTGTTACGTCACAGAATTATTGTTTCACCGGAAATCATGTCTAATCAATTTCGAATACCTAGCAATCTTCTTAGAGTGGCCATGCTAATGTACCTGTTAATGCATAGAAGTGCTTTCAATGAGAATCACACAGCGAGTGAAGAAATGATTCACCATACTTATTGCTGCATATGAAGTATCTAGTTGAGTGACATTTGAAATACTAAAACTTCCCGACTAATCTTCTATATCATCCCGCTAAGGGCTCCCCTTCTTTATGGAGCATCTTTGTGTTTGGATTCATAGGAAATTAAGAAGATCCTCAGCTTACATTCAATCATTCTTGTTTTTCTCACTATGCTTTAATTGAGCCAGTAGATATAAAGGAATAGAGTTCATATCGAATAAACTCGTACTCTAGGTGAATCAAAGGAATGACCTTTAAACCCCACATGAGGTAGTCTAGTGGTGCGAGAGTTAAACTTGTGACTTTTTGGTATACCGTATATTAGAAAAAATAATAATATATATATTGGTATGAGATGGTATATCAAGCATTTGGAGCTTACATATACCAAAATCAAAAACCTTGACAACTATACAAAATTTTGGGTAAATTGTATATTGTTTGGTAGAATAAATTCAATATACTTTAAATTTGGATATATCACCCATTCATACTTATTAAGTAGTGATCACCTGAAAAATGAGCGGTTAACCATGGGAACATGAACAGAAAATTTCCCGGTGGACAGGACAGGGGTTGGCGCGTGGAATGCGCGTGCCCGCACTTGTCGAAGGAAAATGTGTGGAAAATCTCCAGGAAAGAGATGGATTGGTGTGGTTTAACGGGCACGTGGTGGGCACGTGGCAAGTCGGAGAGAAACGGCAATAAGTATCATTTAATATAGTATTGATCTAGTTTGCAAAAACTACTAGAGGAATACTCATGCTAAAAAAATTTTATTAAAAAAAATCAATGCACTATTTTAAAAAAATAAAACATATATATATATATATTACAAAGGTTAATAGTAAATAACTTAAAATAATATTCAAAGTGAACAAATAAGTAGTGCTGATTTGAAACCCTATAGTGATTGGTTATGTAAATATGTATATTCTCAACAATAAACATGCTATGTTAATATTATGAATTAATACAAATATATACATGCACAATAATCTAAAGGGACCACCCAGGGCGGTAACATACTTTGACCTGTCAGTTTTGAATTAGGTAGTGATAGTGTGATCTCATATATGCATGTTCGTCTGGGGGTTATTTTTTAATTCCTATTATTCAAAAAAAAAAAATCAAATTAAATATATTTTTTTATATTATATTACATAAAAAAATATTTAAATTTAAATTTTTACTATTTAAATCAAAAGTCTGATGAATGATATTTTTGCTTCTTGGAATCTAGAGGTGGACCTGATAAAGAATGTTCAAGTGCAAGCAATCATGCAAATATATATATATATATATATTACTTATCACCCCAACTTACTTTACTTGGGCTGGAATATACAATCAGTTCTGTTCATCATGTCACCATTATTATAGAAGCTCATGTCACTTGATAAAAAAATATATATATATAATATATTTGACTGTTTTAAACCGAAAGTTGTGAATTAATGTTAATTATTAATTGTTAATTAATGATATTTTTACGCAATTATTGATTTAATTCTAATGTTTTGATATTAAAATATTTTAGTAGTGGTTAGGTTAGTGCCTAAAAAGAAAGGAATAAATACATCAATATATATTTAATACCTATAAATATTAACTACCACGTGTCGATCTGCGAGTTCCCGTAGTTTCACGTGCTGGATTCAACGCCGTTAACTCCAATTCTCAATGACAATGACGACTACTCTACGGAAAATTGCCGTTACCGTTATAGGCCACGTGTCTGTGGGCCCGGGGAAACACTTCCAGCACCAAATATGTGGTGGCCCCACATGATTTATTCCACACTAACTACCAATCTTTTCCGAAATGACGTATTTAACCCTCCGATATTTTTTTTCCACACTAATTACGAGTGTAATCTTTAGAAATTTACTCCATTTGTTCAGTATATAAATTTAGATACGGAGATTCAAGAAAATGTATGATTTAAAATATTATGGTGTGTTTGTTTGGGGGTTTGGATTTTGAGTTAGAAATTTGAATAGTAAAAATTTTGAATTTAAATAGTCGTATAATGCGATATAAATAGGTGTTATGTGATGTTTTGAATGTAAAATTGATTTTTAATTTTATATAAAAAAATAAAAAATAGGAGTTTGATTTGATGTTTTGGAAGAGGGGGAAATAAGATGAACAATCCCAAACAAACACGTAAAATTAATTATTGCATAATATAAATAATTATAAATTAAAATTTAAAATAATTATTTAATTTAATTAAAATTTTAAAAATATAAATTATAATATTTAAAATATGACTAAAATATATAACAATTAAAATATTTGTAAAATTTAATAAAAAATAAAATAAAATAAATTATTTTTTAATTAATTTGTAAAACATGTACAATTGAAGTATTTATAAAATATATTAAAATAAATTCATATAAAATTATTTATACATAATAATAATAATAATAATAATAATAATAATAATAAAAAGTAGAAACAAATACTCATAGATATCTTCTCAAAAATAATAAAATTAAACATAAAAAATCAAAAGCAATATAATAAAAAATATTATCTTTGCATTGTTATCTTTATCATCTTTGCATTTTCTGTATGTCTAAAAATTGTGAAAAAATATTATAACAATGACATCTGAAAAAAAATCACACATATTTAATAATTGCATCTTTATTTGTACAAAAAACAAAAATAATATTTTCATCTTTATATTTACCAAAAATAAAGTATAAAAATTATTAGAAAAGTAACACAAAAAACAACACACATTTAAAACTAAAATAAAAAAATTACATTCTTATTAAATTTTGATATTGCAAAATTGCAAAATTTGAAAGTGGAGTCACCCTAAGTATATGTGATGATATGATTATAATCATAAAGATAGAATAAAGATATATATATATATATGATGATATGATTATACTCATAAAGATAGAATAATATTTTTATATAAAAATAGTATAGATAAAAAAAATATAAGGAAATAGTATGAAATATTTATTAAATATTTAATGAAAAATGTAATAAACATAAAAAAAATAGTGACAATTTTATAATTATTTGTAAAAAAAAAAAGAATTTACTGGGTGTGTTTGTTTGAGGGATTAAATTTTAAATACACTATTCATCACCTATTTTTCATTTTTTATATTATACTTAAAAATTAATTTTACATATTTATACGACTATTCAAATTCAAAATTTTTATTATTCAAATATCAACTCAAAAAATTCAACCCTAAACAAACACACCTTAAATATAAATTTAACAAAAAAAAAATAAAATAAAATACTACTATATTACTCTCCGTCTCGCCAAATTTAATAAGGATATATTTTTTTTTGTATTTTTTGTCAAATTTATGATGTTTAAAAAAAAATAAAATGGAGGGGCATTTAGGACATTTTATAAAAGCCAACACGTTGTGGCCATTATGAACAGAAAGCTTTTGTTTGGATGTTATCTCCTCAACAGGGACAAGGAGGGCGACAATGGCGTGAGGATTAAAAAACAAATTGGAGACAGGCCATAATTAAATTGAAGATTTCAAAACTAAAATTATTCATTTCTCCATCTGAAGATTTCTTTTATTAATTCCCCCTCCCATTGGAAAGAAGAGATTAAGTATATGATGTAGACGTTTTTTTATTTTATTGGGGTCGATTCGTCAGCCGATTGATTTGAACTTTGCTCGACTTGTGGGAAAATGAGCGATTTCTGATTGCTGAGTTTCGGCCGGGGTCTCCTCCTCCGACGTCGTACAAGTTTCAAGGTAATTTTCTTTAATTTCCGAAAAATCCGGTGTTCTCATTTAGGGTTTTGGATTTAGGTCGATTGAATTATCAGAGTTTGAATGGAACCCTAGAAGTTGAATTTGGGGATGAAATTAACGAATGCCTTATTCGTTGGCTTTCGAGAATTAGTGGCTATTTATTTCAGTTGTGTTGGGTATGTTTTGGAATTATTGTAGAATTTCTGTTGTTGTTATGATATGGCAACTTTTGATGTAGAAATATATCTGAACTGCAGAGTTTGTGTAATTAGAGTATGAATGTAGTGGAATTGTTGTGAGTATGTGATTTCTAGGCATTGATCTAATCAATGGAGGTTATTTTTGTATGAAAATTTTCATTTGGTGCTTTGATTGGGTGTTAGGATATTGATATCCTTGAAATTTTTTAGGATGCATTTTAATCCCATTGTCGGTATGCTTTATATGTATGTTTACATTATCTATTCTAATCAAATACTTACGATGCATAATGAGACGATTTATGATTGAATGACCACCATCCGACCATCGAGCTTAATAATGTGCTAAATGATTCAAGCCAACTAGGTAGGGATAAAGTTATCATTCCAAATAGTACTTTGAATTATGATCACATCCAACAAAGTAATTGTACTCGATTTTGAATTGGTAGCTTTGATGCTAAGATACAGTCTTACACTTGAAGTAAGTTTTCATGAATGGATGATGGTGGGGAGTTGAACAAGGAATAAAATTCTCACTTAAAAGTTTGAACTGATAGGGAAATGGGTACTGTTATTTTTTATTATATGTTCAATAATACTCCAATATTTGCCGTTGATGGTTCCCTTTCCCTTGAAGTCCCTCTCGATAGTGATAGGTGCTATGGTTTGTTTTTGGTAATTTTAATGATAGATGTTGGTTAAATTAACACAGTTATGATTAGAAAGTGATCTTGGTGTTACGGATTAACTTTCTTAAAGAAAATAAATGACAATGAATGTTTGGAAGCTTTTCTTAATCTCTGCTCAAAATTTGTTCTTCTTTGTATGTAGATTTTACTTTTTGAGTGATTCTTGTTTTTACAAGATCAATTGTTGTTGTCAGATTATGATTAGGTCACTAACCGTTTTGGGGAGAATTAACAATAATGCCAACTCTAGCCAAAAGTAAGAATCAGCAGCCGCCAGACGACGAGCTCTTAATCTCAACATCTAATCGTCATTGGTGGCAGAGTCCTGGGAACAATGACATGCCTTCTTCTGGACAGGAAAACGGTTCTGTAAGTCCGGGAACTCTTCACCAGCAAAGCACTTCTGAAGGGATTGCCAAGGACAAAGAAACTGATGCAACTCTTCGATCTGGTTTGTTTATGTTCTTTTCAACTAGTCTGAAAATACTTGTTTGTAAAGTGAATGATATCATCAAGCTTGAGCATTTTAATTTATCTCAGGCATGTGTATGTAGACTGTACGGGGAACCAAACTCCTAAATATCTGCAGTTAGCTGATGTTGTCTCGTTGTATTGTCTGGTATTTAAGTATCGTCTGGAAGATTTAAGACAAACTGTCTTGAATGGTATTGCTGAGGTTTTACGGCCGTGTATATTCATTTGTTGTCTGATTACGGTCTATGTAATTTTCTTGTAGAGTTATTAAGCAGAAGCATTAACAATGGACATGAACAGCGGGCTGCCCGTGATGCAAATTCGCAAATGGAACTTGTCGGCCATTCCGTCGTAAGACCCCCACCACTTGTCTCTCTATATGAACATGCTCGACTTGATTACTGTGCAAACATTTGAATATTACAACTCCAGTCGTACACCATGTCTGTTATAATTTAAATCTTCATTTACAGATGTTGGCGCCATATCCATACTCCGAACCACAATATGGAGGAATCTTCACTTATGGGGCTTCGGTAAGATAATAATCTCATATGCAAGTCATCTTATTATAACCAGATTCAATTCTAATAAAGAACAGTTCTGTTTAATGCTTATGGAGTTTTCAACATTTAGAAGGTTTTCTTCTTTGTCTGGAAAACGAAAAACACCCTGCTGGTTTGATTCTAGGTTAATCCTCAATTCCTTGGGTATCATTCGGCAAGAATGCCATTACCTCTTGAAATGGAAGAAGAACCCGTCTATGTGAATGCGAAACAGTACCATGGGATTTTAAGGCGAAGACAAATCCGAGCAAAAGCAGAGCTGGACAAGAAAATAGTCAAAAACAGAAAGGTATGGAATAATTTGTCGGTTTTTGCTTCCAATATGCAATCTTAATTTTCAAATGACAACAGTATCCGATAACTTACTGCCTTAACTATAAGTTTAAAACACGGTAAAGATTATCATTTTAGATTTATTGATATCGAATGAGCTTTATTGATATCCAATACACTGGGCATTTGGTTACACCATATTGAATCGAACATGTACTTCATCGAAAAATTTTAAGTTTACGTTCTAACCTCTGCATTTGTTGTCTACTTTTAACTTATATTTCTAAATACCGAATATCTGCAGCCTTATCTTCACGAATCCCGACACAAGCATGCGATGAGGAGGGCAAGGGGCTCTGGCGGGCGTTTCCTCAACACTAAGAATTCAAACAGCGAAACCAAAAGTTCCGAAGAGAAATCAAAGTACGGTCCACCCTCTCCTACGTCATCTGCAAACATGTCTAGCAATAGCAACATGTTATCTGAACAACAAGACAACAAGTCCAATACACATCAAGAAATGCGTAAAGAACAGATCCACTCGGACGAGTTTGGCAGCATCCATGACCTGAAGTTATACTATTCGCAGCAGCAGCAGCTGCCGGCCCGGAGAGATCACAACGACCCACATTTCAGTGACAGTAACTGGAACTTTCTGGTGACCCAATCTCCGCAGGGGCCTGCCTCCGGCAACTGAGAAGCTATCTAGTTGGGTGGGTGCATCGAAAGCCACCCGGGATAGCTTCTTCTGGCATGAAATCTTTTTCTGTCAGGCAATTCATTCTTGGCTTGGTTACTTTGTGTCTCTTGAAGGGATTGGGAGTGGTTCTTTAGTTGGGACTTGTTTGCCATTCTTGGCTGTTTCGTCCCGTCCCGTCCCGACTGTAAGTTTACGACATTTGTGATTACTGTTGTGTGCCCGATTGTGTGTAAGCATGGACAAGAAGTGTTTGCTGCTTATTACTTTGTTACTGGTATTTACTGTCTGTTTCGTTTGTTGTGTACTAAAAGCTATGGCTTTTTATTATGATCGATCATATGTATTGCTCCATTTGCCTTTAGTTGTTGCTTCTTGCATTTTTGTTGTTTGGTAGTTAAGAAAATTGATTCCAACACCAGAAGATTATGCAATAATTGTGCAAGAAAATTCTGTTGGGAAAAGTTTGGTGTCTGAATTTTCAATTTTAAAACTACATGGGCGTTTATGAAATTTACCTTGAAAATAAGGGGCAGTGAAGAAAGGGCAAAACCAATAATAGAGAACCAGAAACCCTAATTGCAGCTCTCGGGGGAGTAGTCTCTTCCACAGTTGCGATGTCCTTCCTCGCTGCTTCGCCATGGAAAACTCCCCTCTTTCTCTGGAAATGCGTGCTCGATTCTGCGTTTTGGTACTCTTTTTTCCATGCTTGATGTATGAATAAGTGAGCCTCAGTTTTGCGCTGCAATTTCGGTGAAATTCTGGCGATGATTCGAAGCTGGAGCTAGATATCGGATGTAGCTTTTATGATTCATGGTGATTATTGAGATCTTTGCGGTGTGCGTAATGTGGTTTTTTTGGTCATGTTAAATTTGGAAAAGTTTGCTTATTGGTAATCCGATGTTAGGGCATATCCCATTGACGAAACATTTAGTAATCTGAAGCTGCGCACAATTGGTGCTCCCTCCCCAAGGAGGTTGAGTGGCCATGTATGTATATTCATATTGCGCCAGGTAGAGAATAGGCATTTCTGAGGGATATGTTACTGCATCTTAACATGAAAATTTCTGTTCTTACTTTCTGTTTGATTCATTTTAGTGACGTAATGATTTTTTATTTTTCTGAATATTGCTGAGATTTGAGCTGAGAGACAAGTAATTTATGTCTGAAACTGAATAAGAAGGTGTTTCTGACTACTTTTTTGTAGTTAGTTTAAGCTTTACCGTCATCATATTGTTCAGGTACATAGAGGGGATTGTTTAATTGTGTTTTCAACCTTATTTTCTCACCATAAAAAAAAAAAAAAAAAAAAGTCAAATCAAACACTTTATTTTCATTTAAGATATTGCATTAAAATTATTTTCTATTCAAAGCCATTACATCAAAAATTATTTCAAGTTTATTATTGTTTTTCCCTCTATTTCCAAAACACCAAAATGTCTGTAAAGAACATCTAAATGAACCTAAGGGTATGTTTACTTGTATTTTGGATTGGAATTTTTTGGAGTTGGTTGAATGTGATATATTTTTTATAGAGTTTACAGTGTTGAAAATGATGCTTTATGGGCATGAAATTTTATGTATTTATTTTAAATTGTAGAATGAAAAGGTGCGAAAAAGATGATGAAAACATAAGTGAGCAAAGCCAGAATGACATATTTCTCATTTGGTTTAATATACATTTCATGGTAGATTTTCTTCGGTTGTTTTTCATTCAAAATGCAATAAGCAGTTGCATTATTGTAATTGAACTGGTTCAGTTGTTTTTGGCTCAAACGTTATTGAGATGTTGCATCATTGTAACTGAATTAGCTGCAACAAAATATGACTGGGTTACTACTAATGTAAGTGAAGGTAATGAAGGAATTACAGACATTGTAGTAGATCTTTGATTCTTTTGTCTTAGTGTTATTTAACATGTAGGCTGGTTACAGTGAGGCAGTCAGTATTCACAACTTCTTCTTTAGTTCAATGTATCTATCTATATGGAAGAATAGATTTTGCAGTTTCTTTTCTTACATGTTCCATAATTGAAGTTGAACTCCATCTCTCCTTACAGTTATTTTCTTCTAAGAGTATACATAAGTGCCTCAAGATGTCAATGTTCATTGCTCTTGCTCTTGCTCTTGCTTTTGCATATTTTATTTATTCCTAATTCCTTTCAGAACTACACATGTAAAATGGTTCTGCTTGGATTAGTTTATAGTAATATTATATCCAACCTAATTATATTTTTACTATATGTAATCAAACAAAGTTAGCATAATAGTAATTAATTATATAATCTATTGAAATAATACTAGTGATTATAATACCAACATTCAAAGTAAACACACCCTAGTAGTAGGTCTTTTCGAGTTTGCTGTAAATCTCTGCAAGCATTTATTTCCAATTCCCACATCAATATCTCCTAACTGTATCTCTGTATATGAGAGTGATGTGCTGCTGTGTTCTGTAGCAAGTTGAATTGCTTTTGGAAGAGGATACAAATGTTTCTTGAAGACAAACTTGGTAAGTCAAGTATGTAAAGACCATAATGTTTCGCGTCATATCAGGATATTGAAAGATTATATTTACAATGATTTTGCATGTTAAACATATGAGTATTACTTAATCAGAATGTACCGAGCACATTATACAACGTTTGTTGTCTTCTGTTTAGTAGGGCAGGAGAAATGATGCTGGGGAATTACTACACACAGGCAGTACATTGGCTCGGTTGCTGCATCACATGTTCGCTTGTTCTTGAATCTGTTCCTGTTCAAAATCAACACCAAAATTGAAAGTGCAACATGATCCTGATGCAAATCCACTGATCCAAACTTATGTTTTCTTAAGGATTAATTTTCAATGGTAAGAAACTCCGTATGCTTAAATGTCCACTGATAATCCTTCTACAATCTCGACATTTACTTTCTGTCATGGATTTAGCTGAACATAGGATAGGGATCAATAAGATCAACAAAAGCAGAGTACTAACCTCAGTAACAAACAGGGCATGGAAACCATATGGAACTCTCTTAGGTAATTCGATTATAGCAACAGGATCTGCTGACATTGTTTTTGCGTCGATTATGTTCACTGCTGACTTTCTGCCCAAATCAATGTTAACTCATAAGAATGACGTTTGGTAACTAACCCATTTTTTAAAAAAGAAAGTCGAAGCTTGAGTTATTGCTAAACTAGAATATTTGAAATGAAGAACTAGGAGAAGAATGAGGAGACATTTCACTTAAAGTAAAAATCACTACTGTCCTCGCCCGTAACTAGTAAATTTTTTGAAGTTCATTCGACCACGATTTTGTATAGCACTTTTATTACTTACTTTTTAGTGATGCAGAAAATTCAATGCAATACTTACCCTTCTGCTGCTTGTGGTCAAAGAGTTCATAGAAAAAAATATGAAAAAAAAGCTGTAAGACTGCAAGAGGTATCTTACCCTGTATTCTCATCGTGTACGAAGAAAATCAAGTAGCCATCATCTTCCTCTGTTGAAGTACCAGGCTGACGAGGGACAAAGACGGCCTCAGATCCAAATATTCCTGGCCCAAGATGAAAGATCCCTTTGACATTGCCTCCAACTTCAAGTTTAACTCTTCCAGGATCCGGTTCCTCGCGTAAGTCAAATTTGATAATTCCAGTTATCCTATCAAAGTTTTCCAGTATTGCTCCGTAGACAAAGCTTTGTTTCCTGAATATGTGACCACAGATATCGGTTTACTGTTACAAGAGAAACATTACTTGCACGACACATTTTTTAAATAAGACAGTTCCTCTACAATATTACCTGCCAATATAGTTCTCATTAATCCTAGGAAGATCGATTGACGACACGGATAATTTTTTCTGTGAAGACTGGCTATTTTTCATGTTGAACCTCATCTCATACCTGCAGTAGGACCACTATGATCAGCATCATCTTTATTTCATTTTACTTTCTGACAGGGAAGATTGTATCTGCATTTCTCAGCTTGTCTTACAATTCAATAATGTAATTCTCGCTGGATTCTTTTACAGCACCATTGACCATTTCGAGATCTATATCCTCGAATCGACAAGTGATCAAAACAACTTCGTCTCCTTCCTCCCAAGCATTTGCTGACAAAGAATTCAGAGTCGGTAAATGTGTTTGAAACAGTTTTTGGTGAATGAATTCTCATTAGGGTTCTTGTTGTATGTGCTCATTATATTAAGAATACATAAGAAAGCATTGTATTTGCAGCAAGAGTAAAGTTGCTCACCGTTGTGAAATATGAAGCAGTTGGGAAGCTCAAACCACTTTATTAGAAGCTCGTTTTTTGCATATCGAGGGAGGATCCCAAATCGTGCATTCTTTGTTTGATCAAAACTAAAGATAAATTTGTTATCCTTCACCATTTCCTGATGAAATTATATGAATATAAGCAACAGTTAGTGTGCTGATTAGCTAATACAATGCAAACATCGATAACACAGATTGTTGTATAATATGACTATGGTAATAAAGTACATTACGTTAGATATTGTTTTAATTCCAATTATATGCTAATTATGTTTTAATTTCAACCATATGCCTATTAAGGTTAATGAGCATGATCCTAATCAACACCTTAATATTCACATGAATATAAAATGTTTTGTTATGTTTTAGTTTTGGAAGAAGGTGAAAATATAAACATAAAGTAACAGTGTTTCCTTAAAATCAAATTAATATAAAATTATCTTTTCTCGAGAATTTTACATTAAGAATAACATCTAATTTTTTAAATCAAAATTAATTTAAATTAAAATAAAATTCCTTCGCTGAGAATACATGAGCCTGTATAGTTAACTACAAATCAACAGAAAAAATATAAAAAAAAAAAATCCAATTTCATTTTTTAACACAAAAATACAACAAAGTATTAAATCAAAATTTATTATATTTCAATTCAAATTTTGATTATCCCCCAGCATTAAACACGCCTAGAACTCTCATATTATTTTCATGGCAATTAAAGAGACAAAATAACAAGGGAAGCTTAGGGAACGCCACATGCGAGACAAACAAATATCAAACTATGAATGAACAACACTAATGTTTGCAGCTAAAAATATCCCATCTAAAACAGAAATATAACTGCGCCTGTTGCAAAATAAATTTACCTTTGGTTTGAAGTACAATGGCAGATCCATAAAAATTGCATAATTTTCTGTAATGGCAAAATCGTGCATCATGACCGGCTCCGGTATTGTTATTGACACCGGTTCATGCATAGTGCCATCCTTCGAGATAACTCTGTATGTGACATATGGGGGTTCCATTGAATAGCCAAAGGCAAACATTTCCCCTGCATCCAAAGTTTCTATAATTTGTCTGTATGACTTAGAAAGAAAAAGGAAATAAAAGACTGAACTTTCAATCATGAAGCGAAAATACTTCAAATGTGTATCGTTAACAAATGTAAACGTTTCAGGAGTTCAGCACATATTTCATGCATGAAATGACAAGTGTATGTAAAACTACACAAGAATCTCAAAAACAAATTAGTGTAAAAGTTAAGTTGATCAATGTTGGAAACTTGGCAACGAATTGTCGTCATAAATTCAGGGAATTTCTCTTACCAGTAAGAGGATCGACTTTAGGATGAGCAGTAAATGAATGCAACAATCTTTTGTCGTAATCCAGCATACCAATGGTCTGCAAATCTCCATCTTCCATCACCTTAATGGCATCTGCACAGTACTTTGTAGATTGGAAAATATTCCCTTGTATAATTAACATTTCCAAATCTGTATTAGCTGAACATAAAATTTTAAACTATTATCAGATGCATCACTTAAGTTTTACTTTTAGCTTTCTTTCAATTGTTACAATACTTCTTTCTGTGTGCAGATGCTGTTTACGAAAGCATATGAAATATATGTATTTTTTTTTGCAAAAACTGGTCAGATGTCGCACCCTGACGATTTCAAGCAAGAATAACAGAAAGAGGAAAGCAAACTTACAAGGTTTATCTGCCTCGTTGAGTGCCAAGAGCTTCCCATTGTGATACGCTAGAGCTGTGTTAGCTAAGGAAAAACAAAATGATTGATGAAAATGATATGTCACAGAGAGTGAGAGACAAAGAGAAAGTCATGAAATACCTAGACCATCACCATAAGAGGAATCTAGTACTTTAAGCTTTGTTCTAAGTATTTGTATGTAAACCATGAGAAGTCCAAATATCCCCTTGAGGTCACCAATCTTGAATCATATAGACATGATAAAAACATATCAAATATTGTTCTTGAAACAAGATAAGGAATTGACTTGTGAAAACTGTATTGCTATTTAATTTCGAGAACTGATCTATATTTTCTCAACTAACTAATGAACACATATGTTAGGACAAAGGATGGGATTAAAAGTTGCAAACATGAAGCAATTTTTCAATAGAAACTTTACATATATGTAATTCGATAGAACTAACGATTTGTTATTATGTAATTCGATAGAACTAGAGATTTGTTAAGAATGGGACAATAATTTTTAAAGAATTATAAAAGTTTGGTATCTGTTTGAAAGAAATGATCATGATTTTCAATTAATAATTGAAAAAAAATTACAAAATAATATGTGTCATTTTATAAGAAAAAATATTTCCAGCTATGTAGAACACCAAGTTAGATAGCTTAAATGATCATCTCATTTAAGATTTTCTATCATAAGAGATGTATATTTCATTTTAAATGCATGTATTTTAGTTGCTCAAATATTGAATATATATATCTATAATGAAGAAATAGATGAGTTTGGGCTAAAGAAAGAACTTCCAAAAAAATTTCTAATTCACATCTGTACCTTCTTAAACTTTGAACCATGGTGAAATTCTTCTTGTTTAAGACGCGCTGTCTTCACAAATCGGGAAACATATAATGCTTTCCCATCTTTTATGCGTACACCATGAACCATTCTGCAATGTAGCAATACATTAATTTAGCGAGTGTGACATTGCTTCAAATGTGTTTTCGTATACATATGCCCAAGACTCAGAGGCACAAAGAAAATTACAAATTTTATAACAGAAACAAGAAGAAGAGGGTATATTTAATACTGATGGCGTGGCTTATATGGATGAACTAAAGAATGATTTTCCCGTTGAAAAAGTAAAAATGATAGAGTCCTTCATCCCAAAATATGGAATAGGAATGTTGTATACGCACCCATGTCCATCAAACCTGCTCTCATAAAAGAAACAGGGAAACAGTTAAATTACACACATATGTTATGTTAATAAGAAGATTATTATAATCAAGAATGAGAGAAGAACATGATCAGGTTTAAGCAATTGAATAACAAGAAAGTATTACCAGTGATATCCAGCAACAGGAGCAAACTTCGGGTTTGGGCCAACTCTCACGAACTCCCCATTCATGCACTCCTGGATTCACATTTGTCCTAATACATTAAAGTCTCTAAAACTAGTCCATCCTCAACAAGTTTCAATTCAAAAGAATACATGATGGACTTAAAATGATATTCGGGTAATATAGTAGGTATCATAATTTCCTTCCATGTATAGTTAAAGCTTCCAAATTCAAGCAGCGGAATAATGCCAAAGTTACTTTTAGATTCAAGTTCAACTTTAAATTTCAAGCATATTTATTGAAGTATCCACATATGTTAACTGATTTGGCTAAACCCAAAAATACTCAAGTACATTGGGTTGCGAAATAGGATAACTTCCACCATATCAAACTAACTCCATAATTTACGAGCAAATAAGATATGAAGTGGAGCAAGCTACTCATAGTAAAACCACTCACAAGAGATTAACTCAAGTAGAGATTTTGGAAATATTTAATCATTCGAGCAAAGAAAAGTTTTATCATATTTTAAGACTAAGCTAAGGAAGATTAACGACAGATATCCATTATCCAACGCAGGAAAGCATCTAACACCAACTTACATAAACAATAATTCTACAAACCTTTGAGTTTAAATCCACTACCACAAGTGTCAATTAGCTACTGCATAAACAATATTATACAGAGAGAATCAACGATATGCTTCTGAGGCTTTGAGAATTTCATCTCTCTGAGTCTGACCTAACGCCAAATCCTCACTGAGTAATTTTCACAAACACCTTGACATCACTCACCGGGAGATATCCTTTAATAGGAAGATCGGCGAGCGGAGGAGTCTCCTCGACGGGGGCGAAGTTGCCGGAGAGATAGTGCAGCGGTTGCTGCTTCTTTGCGTCGTACATGAGCTTGACAATCGCCCATTCGAGCCAGTCCACGGCCGCCGCCGCCCATCCATTTGCAGGTTGCGGATTCACCGCCACCACTCCTCCGGCTTTCTGCTCCTCCATAGACATAGTACAGTACCGTCCAAGTCAAATGGCGGACGGATTCCCCCTGGCTCCGGTTGAAGGTAGGGTAGACCATGTCCATGATTGGAATTATTTGTTATAATAATGAAGGTGTCAGTGAGGCCATATGATACCAGAACAACGAATCCATGCATCATCACACTGCCACACATCTGACCGTCGGATTCATTGATATATTATATATATTATTATATTATTGCTTGGAAATTGGATATATTATTTAATTTCCATTGATAAAGAAATCACCTGTACTAACGCTTGTTCAGACAAAATTTTTGAAAGTTACTTTGTAGGTCACTGCCCAGCGGTCAATATTGTGACTTGTTTGCAGGACCTAATTTGTATTGATTGATAGGAAATTTTTATTTTTATTTTTGAATAGCTGCATGGGTTCTCAATTAAAAATTATTTTGCACTTGTTTTGATATTAATTATTTTAATCCGTAATAATGAATCAATATAAAATAATTAATATCAAAAGTTTTAAGATTTAATTATATAATTATTTATTTGAATTTTTAAATTTGATAAAAGCATGCTCAATATAGTTTTTTATTTTTTTGGTACAACTAAAATTTTATAATGTGTGAAAATAAAAAAGTGTTTTTTGTTTTTTAATCTGAGTGTTTTGTGTTTTTTCAGTTCACATAGAGAAACTCATAAAACTTGCTCTTTATAAAATTGCAATAAAATTATTATTATTATATATTTATAGAAATTAAAATATATCCTTGAAGGGATCTATGATTTCACTAATTAAGCAAACAAAGTGCACAATTTGCTAATTACCTAATTCGTTGCTACCTTCCCTAACTTTCTACCAAACAGCCTCTTACTTAATTCATCCATCCTTCCACGGTCAAAACACTTTCACCTTTTATTTTATTTTTATAAAAAAGACAAAGTAATTTCTATTTTATTCTCCAAATAATGTGGAATTCCCCAACTTTTTTTCCCAGATACAGCAGATAGTGGTTGACTTTCTCAAGAAGGTCAAAGGTAAACGTTTCTTGTAAGTTTTAAAAAGAAAATATCTATAGTTAAAAAAAATAATTAAACAAAAAATTATTGTTTAATGTAATATAAATAAATAATAGATATGATATTTTATCGGTAGAGAATATATTTTTCTTGCCTAAAATTTTAAATAAATAAATAAATAAAGTAGCTATTTGATATAATTTAATTATTGATGAATAATGTCGAAAAAAAAAAATCGAAAACATAAGCCAATTGAGCCTTTATATAGTCTCCATACAATTAGAAATAAAATAATAATAATCATCATCATCATCGTGACTAAAATCGAATGGATTTAATTTTTCCATGCAAATTAACTCTAAATATTCATTTGTATAAATTAAATTAAATTAAAACTATATATATGTTTTGGCAGATTATGGACAAAATGAATTAATTGGATGATGCATGGAATTTTGGTAAACAAGCATAAACCCTAAATTAACAAACTTCATTGGATTGTGTCCTAATGATCAGTTGAACACTCCTAAGATTCAACATTAATTCCCATTCTGCCTTTTGTTGACATATCCTCCTCCTCCTTCCTCAGTCAGTCTTCCATTTCCATGTAAAGCATCACTTCCATAAGATATATATATATATATATACACGTACATATGTGTGTGTTCTGTAGGAATATTAAGGTTGTATTAAGATTGCAACAAGTGTGAAAATGAGGCGAATTACGACATGTTTAGTCGCAATGATTTTGATCGCCTTGTTGTCTTGTTCCTCGTGTCTTGCTCGAAAGTGCAACTGCTCTTGTAAGCCGAGCAAAAAAAGTCACCATCATCATCATCGCCATCGCCATCACCACCACCATCAACCTCGGCGCAATAATTCCAGGTTGATCGAAGGCAGCAGCCATGGAAGATTAGGACAATACCTAGATGTCCTAAATATTGAAGATTTTGGAGCCAAAGCTGATGGAAAAACCAACAATTTTCAAGTAAGTGTTGTTTATATCCCCATGGGATCACCTGTCCCAAAATAAACTCTATCCCCCTATCCTTACATACATAGTGTGTTTGTATAAAATGACATATATACACAATGTGTGCATGCGACAACGGGACAGGATTCTGTCTGGGACAGACGATTCCATTCATGTTCATATATATGGGGATTATTATTATTATTAGTATTTGTTAATAATAAATTAGTATAATGTCGATTTTTTTTTTAGTCGATGTCATTTCACTAAAATGTTAAATAGTTGAAATTGTCTTTACGACTTTTTCTATGTAATAATAAATAAAAATATTACTAGTACTACGTAGCAATTATCATTCTTTAAAAAATTACAAATTTTCTTTTTTAAATATCGCATTCAAATTATTATTGCTAAATCAAATTGCAAAAGAACACATACTAATTAGTTTTTCAACTTACAAGCTAATGAAGTTGGGCGATGGACTCTAACAAAAAATATAATGGTTGCGACAATACTTTCAAGTTGAAATATCTAGAAATATAATATGACATACTTGGATTAAGTCGATTTTTTGCCCCTATTGTCTTTAAAATTCTCTACACTATATTGTGGTTGGATGCTTTGTAGTTTTAAGGTTGTTTACCAAAAACAAGGGGATTTGTCCAAAACCTAAACACTATTTGTTTCAAAAAATCTCTAAAATAACTAAATCCATTAATTACTAACCCCTTTTTGTGTATAGGCATTCAAAACAACATGGGACAAGGCATGTAAGTCCTCTCGATCGACAAAGATTCTTGTGCCAAGAGACAAGACATACTACGTGAAGCATGCTAATTTCACTGGACCTTGTCGCTCGGATATTTCTATGGAGGCGAGTTTATATATATATATATATGTGTGTGCGCTTATTATCGATGATCATTTTTCTGAAGAATATATAATTGTTATATATGTTAGAGTAAATGACATATATATATTTATTGAATTTTCAGATCCAAGGTACAATCAAGGCTTTCCCTCAAATGTACGATGTACCAAGAAGGCTTTGGATCATGTTCGAGGATGTAAGAAACATTAATGTCTTTGGAGGTGGAACCTTGGATGGCAATGGAGAAATATGGTGGAAGAACTCTTGCAAAATCAAGAAAACAAAGGTATAATTAATTTTCTATAAAACTATTTCAGATGAAATACTATGCATACTTTCGTCATTGTAATTAATTTCATTTTTGACATATATGTCAAAAATATATATATTTAGATTGAATTATTTATTGACGATTTATTTTTGTTTTCTCTTCTTAGCCATGTCAGAGCCAAAACGCACCCACGGTATGTTCTTCCAAGATATCCAACATCTGAGTATAGCTATATGTGGATCACATAATTTGAGATTTTTAACAATAATTTTGATATGATATTTGATTTTTCAGGCCCTAACTTTCAAGAATTGTGCAAATTTAAGAGTAAACAATTTGAGGCTACTAAATGCACAACAAATGCATGTAAATTTTCAAGATTGCAACCAAGTCGAGGCTTCGGGGCTTACCGTGGTATCGCCAAAAGAAAGCCCTAACACGGACGGAATTCATGTCACAAGAACAACAAACATCAACATTCTAAATGCCTTAATTCAGACAGGTTCCATTCTTCTTAGTATTATATATTTGCTACATAGTTTTAACAATCACGTATAATAATATAAATGAAATTCGCACATAGAACAATCAATCTATACATAAGTAAATTATGAAAGTAAAATCATTAACTCTATTTGCAATAATAACTTCATTTTATTTGAGATCTTAAATGTTGACCTTTTTCATTTTTCTCGGTTTAAATTAGGGGATGATTGTGTTTCCATAGTGAATGGATCAAGAAATGTTGGTGTGAGAAACATAGTGTGTGGACCAGGTCATGGAATAAGGTATACTTATATACGTTATATTTAAACTTAAAAAATATATATATTTTTTATTTAAGATCCCATTAAATATATAAACATTCATTTTTCAAGTAAAAAATATAAAATAAATGTAGATATATTTAAGGTTGAAAATGATATGTGAAATGCAGCATAGGAAGCTTGGGTGAAGACAATACAGAGAATTATGTATCAGCTGTATTTGTGAAGGGAGTGAAGCTGATAGGCACAACCAATGGAGCCAGAATCAAGACTTGGCAGGTAAAAATAAAATAAATCAATCCACAATATTAATTTTTTTAAGTATGTATTACATTAATGATTAAATCAATTCTGCAAATATTTATGAACTTTGCATCATCAGCAACAAATGGCTATCTATTATCTGTGCAGGGAGGGAGAGGAAGTGCAAAGAACATAGTGTTTGAGGATATTGAAATGAGGGATGTTCACAACCCAATAATCATCAATCAGTACTACTGTGACAAGAAAAAGAATTGCCAAAGAGAGGTAACCCCCACCTCATATTCCAAATTTTTAAGAACACTCCAGAATTCAAACATAATAATAAAAGGTATTTGATTCATATATGGCACTTGTTAAAAATCAAACTAAACCACAAAAAAGGATGTACAGATTAGGGGGTTCTTTTGTTCTTCACATAAGAACAAACTGCTTTACCCTCCACATGCATTTAATCGAAAAAACAGGCGCAAATTGGGGCAAGAATTACTAATAAAAATGGATGTCAAACCTGCAGAAATCCGGAGTGCAAGTAGAGAAGATAGTGTACAAGAACATCAGGGGCACAAGTGCATCAAAAGTGGCCATAAACTTCAACTGCAGTCAAACAGTCCCCTGCAAGAATCTCAGGCTGGAGAATGTTAACCTCACCCCCCAAACACAAGGGGAAAAGATTGAAGCACTCTGCAGCAGCGCCATCGTCAGCAAGAAGAATTCAATCCCAAGTTGTAATTGAGGGAAAAAACTGTTACTGAATACTATTTATCATGGATAGGGAAAGGGGAGATAAAAGGTTCAAGCAAGTGAAGCTGTGCATACTCGGCTGCTTTCTGCTTGTACTACATTCTTTTCTATAATGTAGCTATAGAATTTTTCGAAGGTTTTTTTTTTAATGTTTCCAGAGGTATACTACTACATGAAAGCACATATACAGACAGACTGAATGCAAAAAGAACTACTGAAATTTATGACCATCGGACCATGGCTATAACCTGAAACAACAGATCCATGTTGTGCCGCAAGCAGTGTCTTGCAGAAACCTAATGGGGTAGGGATAAATTAGGAAATCTTATGCGGTGTCTATGAAATAATGTACCAGCACAGAATCAATGCTTTTGCTTCTGAGAAACAAATCGAATTCCTTGCTTGCCAAGTTCGAAGCTCTTCGTCTGTCCATCATCGAGAGCAATAGAAACTGTGGAGGTGCGGTCAGAGACTTCTATCACTGTCCCACGATGCCTGATGAAACAAAACAAAAATTTGAAACACTTAGAATGCAAGCGCTATGGATTAATACCTTTGACCAAAAACATGAAATTTTTTTAGATTTTTCCTAGTAAATATTTTCAGAGAAAGGAAATAGGAAGAAACCAGGAATCATTGGATGGATGATGAATTTCAACTCGTTTTCCAGCCGCATCTTTTCCCAACTTTTCAAGTATCCAATTGGCATCAGCAAAATTCTTAACTGTATCATCTCCATGAATTTGGGATGCCTCTTCATCACCTGGCGCCGGCCGCCTCCTCTTTGACCTTTGACCCCTGGTACAAGCCATCTTATCCTTGGCAGCAAGAGAAAATTCACCCTGGCTTCCAGTTTTTGAGTTAGTAGAAACATTTTGGTTTCCCGTGCTGGGGTTCTTGGGAATTTTAAACTTTAAAAAGGGCCTGCGGTCCTTTGTTGGAGCCTCTGAAGCAGAAGGGACGCTGCTACTGTCATCGATTGTTTCACCTGCAGCAGACTCTTCCTCACTCTGTTTTGAGATTTCTGAATTGGCCATCTTGAACTTGATCGATTCCCTGTCTTTTTCTCGTAGCCTGGAACCTTTTGCTTGATCCATTTGGTCCAGTTTTTGACCTACAATTCATGAGCAGAATGCATTGAGGTATGACATAAGATGAAAAATAAAGGAGTATACTCGAAGCCTTAAATGGTTTTCCACTTTGGAACACTTTTCAATCGTGTCACACAACTAGTGTCCCGTCCATACCCATGACATTTTAGAAGAGTATACTCGAAGCCTTAGATGGTTTTCCACTGCAATGAAAAATAAAGGCATGAATATGCAACAAAGAGCACCATACCATTTGATGAGGTTAAATCCTGTCCGCCTTTCAAGCTCAAAACTTCAGAACCTTTGCCCCGCCCGCCCAAGTGTATAACGAGCTTTGGACCCTGTGCAGCCTTTGGAGCAGCTATATTAGTTTCACTTTCATCCTTGTTAGCTGAGCCTTGAGATTTGTTGCTCTTTATTCTGATAGTTCTAGGTGCCTTGGCGGTACTGGCAGGTGCAACCTCATCAACATTTTTTCTTTTGGAACCAACTGTCTCATTCGCTTCCAGAAGGGTTCCAGTTGTCCTTCCAATAGCAGGTGAAGAGGTTGCAGGTTCACCCGATAATTGTGTATTTTCATTCTTAATGTCAACAGCACTATATCTAGCTTTCGCATCATCCTCTCCCACAATATTCTCCTTTTTCTTGGAAGACTTTTTCGAGGACTTTTTGCCATAGTCTTTGGTCTTTTTGGGGGATTTATCACCCGACTCTTTAACAGAAAACTTCAATGCACGGCCATGTTCATTCTTAGGTGGCAAAGTTCCACTCTCTTCATCATCTGAAAAGGGCATAATGTTGAAAATTTCTTCTTGAGTGGGCAAACCAGCAGCTGCCCTCAAGCTTGATATCAAGTCTCGATCAGCTTCATCTCTTCGTCTCCAAAGCTCTTGAACAGCCTCTTCGAGATTCCTGATCTGGACAGAGGAAGACATGATGAGGGCGGATGTACAAATAGAGTTTGAAACAACCATACGCATGGGGCACATCCGTTTATTTAAACCAAATGCAAATGCAAGCACACCTGGCTACACTCTCCCCGGCATGCAGGACAAACATATTGGAGATTGCCATCTACTTGAAATTGCATGTATTTTGCATCACTGCAATAATGTCACCAGAAAATGTAACCAATGAATCAAAATCTAGTAGAGAACGGAACCTACTATATATCAGAATGTTGATCAGATGATGGAGGAACTCAAAGGACCTTGTCAATAACAGGTCTAAGAAAGTAGAAGTCAGAAAACAGAAGAAAACAGAAATAAATTGATGGATTTACCACATAACTTAGGTTACTTCCTAAACCTCTAACTTTGTGTTATGTGCACAAGGACAAATTATGAGGTTTTTCTTAATAAAAATACATTACTTCCTCTCACAAAATCTCACGCAAAATACTATTTAAACCACATCTCAAATCAAAACCAAACAGATAGTGTTTTTCTTCCTATACAACATTGATAACATGTAAATGAAAATATTCTCCCAAACACATTAAAAAGTAATCAACTCAAAAAGGAATATGAGAAATTAATGCCTAAGAAAAACACAGGTATTATAGCAAGAAAACCTGATCCCGTCACAGGGACAGTGCACCCAGGATTGACAGATATCACAGCAAACCATAGGAGTTGATTCAGAGTCTCTGTAGACCTGCAAGGTAAAAGCCATATCTAAGCAATCAACTTGAAATACTGCAACAACTTGGTATTCCATCATGATGAGAAACACAAAGAACCCAAATGCATAAAATAATCCATAAATAGCAGGGGACTAGGTTGCACCTTCAAACAAACTGGGCAGTAATTTCCCTTCACAAATAATCTTCCACACGCATCACAGCAAGTATAACCCAGAAACCACCTACAGTAGTATTCCAAATTATAACATCAAACAAATATTAACATGAGCTTTTCCCTCTGAAAAAATAAGCCAATAAAAAACAAACAAATACCATAAATTGTGGGAAAGAAAAAAGCATTTTATCATGCAACAAAGTGAAAACATCCAAACCAGGAAGAAAAGCCCAACCTTACGCTTAGTCCATTTCCTGGGACAGAAGAACCACAGCTATGACATTTGGTGTGTTTTGGACATAGATAAGGCCCTTGGCCAACATTCTGCATGTTTTGAAAGAAAGATATATAAGCTAATTGACAGTAAGAATTCATGAGATGTATTAGAAAATCCAAAGCAAACCTTGTGTGGTGGCTGCTGACAGTAACAGTGATATGCACCGTCACATCTTTTACAGAACATAAACTTATTTGGATCTCCAGTCCTCCGGCAAACCTTGAGTAAATATAAATATAAAATACATAAATCCTAAGAGCACAACATTCAAAGGAATCAGGTGCAAGTGAGGACCCTTGAGCAACTACTAAATCAAATTTGGTTGTGAAAGAGGCACCACTAGCACCCTTTGACATCTCAAACAACAATTATTCACAAACTGGTTTCAAAATATTTATTCTTAGCATATAAGGAAGAAGACAATCATTTCACCTCACATAGACGGCAAGAGGGGCACTTCCATGAACTCCAGTGAAAAAGATCTGTGGACAAGAACTTTGTCAAAGTAAACACAAGAATTTTATCATTGTTATCTGACAGCCAAAGACACTACCTCTATGTCGAGACCAAACTTTCACACAACCTCTGTGATACTTCTTGCCACAAGTATTGCAAGACAGCATCTTTCTTGCTCTCTCACTTCCGTCTGTCTCACCAGTAAAGCACCGCCGGCACATTACTTTGGCACTGGAATTGCCTTGCTCTTCTCCAGCAACATCCTTAAAGAAGTCAACTAAAAAATCTTAGAAGGAGCTCGAAGTAATCAGGGTTGAACAAAATCAATATTCTTTAAGAAACAGGAAAATCATCAAGGAGTGTGTATAGCCAAATACCAAAAGACAGGAATCCTGACAATACAATATTTGAGATAGTGATAATCACAGATTCATGGTTAGGCAATATAAGTACAACAAAATGAAAACATGAATCCCAATGTAAAAATATGAACTCGGATTATTTGTTTGATTATCAAAGCCACTCTGGTTTTCTAAAGATAGCAAACACGTGGCACACCAAATAAAGCCTCAAGGAAGACCATCTCAAAGAGTTCTCATGTAACTTCAGTCAAACGTATCCTTCAGAAGGTGAAGTCTTTGTAATTTCCATTCAAATTACACTAAGTCAGCAAATATCAATGCATTAGTCCGAAATTTCCAAATGAACAGACAGAGATCTAAAGTATAATCTACATTCTTGATAGGGCAGTTAGAACTATCAAATCAAATCAGATTGAAGCTTCAGGCATCAAACACAGACAGATGGAACTATTGTGGAAAGCAAACTCGTAAAAATATTATTCTTGGCATGTTATTGTTGTTTTCCAGTTTAGGCAATAATTAAGGATTCAAGCAAAAATATTGAACTATTGGCTGACAGTAGCTTTGTAAAACCTACAAAATCACACGTTGTCAATATGCCATATGCACTGAAAACAAGAACGTCAGGTTGGCAAGTTGCAACTAAAAAGACATTTATCCTATGCAAGCCAAACTTTATTTGCCAATATAAAAATTCCACTACACTATAAGTTGGTAGAAGACAAAAGTAGGTGACTTAAAAAACTCATACTGATGGACATAGCAATATATAACCATAAGTAATTGGTTGAGGAGGTGCTAAGATGCGGAAACATTCATTAATGGAACTTCAGCTGTAGTCATGACCAAGAAACCACCAGTTTATCTTGGTGGACCAGAAGTTCCCGACTTAATAATTTATCTAGTAAGACTATAGAAGCTCATGTAGGCATGTACCCCTTAACGGAATAATACATTCTGGGCTAAAGAAATGATGAACCTACTGGAAGCGGCTCCTTTTGTAATGGAGAATGTATGAAGAAGGATTGATTTTACTAACCCTTTTTATTAGACTGAAAAAATTATAATTGCAAATTACGGCCATGAGCAAACTGATGCAAGCAAGCAAAAACCAGAAACATAAGAACATTACAGACAATATGGACCCAATCATACAAACAATCAGAATATGCAGTAACACCATCTATAGAAGTTCACCATCAAAACCAGTAACGCATGAAGCAAAACATGGATTAACAATTCAAGCATACAAAATAAACCCCAGCATAAACAGACAGTCTTAATAGTCTTAAAAAAATAAAATAAATAAATAAACCCTCACCTTCAAATCACCCGACTCAAACCGCCTCGCGTAATCCTCAGCCACCATTGACGCCGCGGCAGCTTGCTTCTGCAGCGCAGCCCTCTTCACCTGCGCCGAGCCTCCCTCCACAGAGGTCGCCTCATCCCCCGCCCCCAGCAATTGGAGCGGCGGAGGTGGCGGGGCCTGGGAAACAACCACCTTCGGGACCTTAACCTGAATCGTGGCATTCTCCCTCGATTTGATCAGCCACGGGTCGTTCAAGAACTGCTCAACCCTTGCAACCTCCTCCAAAAAATCTTTCCTGCCCTTCTCGGTCCGCAGCTTCCCCGTAAAACCCAACTCGCAGAAACATATCTTCCGGCTGAAAAGGGGAAAAAACCAATTGAGCGTACTGACATACAAAAGAAACAAACACCAAAGAGAAAGAGATACACAGAGAAATTGATACAGTAAACCCGAACTGGGTTCTGTGAGGAAATTGGAGTGGCTGCTTACCAGGTAATTGGACAGGCGACATGGAAGGCCATTATTCAATTTCCTTTTTTTATCTTAACTTTTTGGGGGTGTTTAAGCGAGCTCGGGTTTGAGAATCGGGGGTTAAAGATGGATTCTTTAATATTAGTTGGACTGTAAAATACTAATCCGGAAAAGGAAATGAAGATGGAAGAGAAGACATGGGTGGAGTCGACTCGAGACGAGACGAGGCGCAAAGATATGAATAACCAATGGGGATTTGAGCGCTAGGGTTTTGTATTAGGGTGTGAAAATTTTCGATTTTAGTCCTCGGAGCTTTAAGTAATTGTGGACTTGGCTATTCCGTGAAAAAACAAATTGCATTCCGTTACTTGAGAATTACAAATTTAGAAAACGCTCCTCAGATTTTAAATATGTTTCATTTTGGCCTACTACACTTTCATTCCAGCAATTTCTTTTTTTTTTTCAAATTTGCCCAGTGTGATGTGGCGGATCGTAACAGTGAGGCCCAAAAATCAGGCCCAGCAAGGTAAGAAATTTGTCCATCTTCCCGAAGTTCATCTGCTCCAATGGTAGGTGAGGATGGGATAACGTGTCAGCCCCATCGTAGACGATCCCCCAATGTTGTCATCTTCCCAAATCCCCAATCGCTCCACAGCCATATGAATCGGATAAATCCCCCCTCCCCCCTCCCCGAATCTATAAACGTATAGCCACACCAAAATCCCCTCCTCCAACTTCATCGGAATTTCTAATTCCGCAACCCTAGTTTTTACCGCCTCCATACTACAATCATGGCTACTTCCCCCGCCTTCTTCTCTTCCATCCTCAACATCCCCAATTCCAAAATCGCAAACACTGACGTAGGCTTCCCCCGGATCTACTTCCCCCTCAGGAAAAAGCATTTGTCGATCAACCCCGCTCCTGCTCCAATCGGCGATTGCTCTCCCTCTTCCTCCGGCTCCTGCAACTCCGCCGCAATCACCAATTCGATCACTCTCGACCAGGACAGCATCAACGACGAGGAGGTGAAACGAGCCGAGTCGAAAATCGGTTGTAAAGTCCGCGTCAAGGGACCGCTCAAGGTTTACCATGTCCCCAAAGTGCCGGAATTTGACTTAGCGGGGAAAGTGGGTGTGTTGAAGCAGTACGTGGCGATTTACAAGGGGAAAAGGATTTCGGCCAATTTGCCCTACAAAGTGGAGTTTACGGCGGAGGATGCGTCCGGCCGCGACGGTAAGCCGGTGAAGTTTTCTGCGCATTTGAGGGGGGATGAATTCGAGTTTCTGGACTGATTTTTATGGCTCGACTATTTGTTTCTTATTGGAGCGTTGTTTACAATTTTGCTTGGATATGACGATGATGATGATGATGATGATAGCATTGTGCATATAGATATATAAATCTGTGTACCACATTGTAGAAATAAACTGCTGTTTGCATCCCTACATTGGCGTTCTACGTGAATTGACATTTCAAGAAATCTTCGATTTCGAATTCTTGTGCAAGATTCTTGAACTTGGAGTGAATAAGATCAGTGTTGGTGTAGCATTTACTTTGAATTGTTGATTTTGGTGCTCGAAGGCAAGCCCCTTGTGTGTGATCTTGTACTTGTGAAAGTCTTGTTCGTCCTATTCTATTTTAGTGATCAATTTTGAAGTTATTGAGCTGTGGGGAGAATTCAGCAGCATTTTTCATTTTTGCTAACTTATGGATGAGTAAGCTTGCTTGATACTTCATTTGGAAGTTGAAATTTTCAATGGCAGTGCTCGTTGGAAAACTTTAGGATCCCCCATTCCTATGTTGCAATTTGAATTAGGAATCAGTATACAACTCTGTTTTGGCCCTTTTTGATGCTTGAGATTGTAGGAGTAGAAATTTCTTGTGGCTGCGGTTATTCATCATTTGCACAGAAGAGTGAATTTATATTTCTTTGTTGATGCATAAGGTCTCGTCATTTATGTTCTTGATCTTGTCTGCATAATGATACATGGAACGAACTCGCTCATGTTATGTTAGCATTGAAGTGTGCATCCTTCGGTTGGTTATCTATCTAGTTTAATGACCACTTTTGAGGACATTGTCGATTCGGTGAGTTTGTTGTTGAGCTCTATTGCAAGGTCAATGTGGAAGGCCGACTCTTTTGTAATATATGGAAGAGTGGAACTCAGTTGGTTTTGGATGGATGAAGATTAGCAATATTGCTCGAAATTTGTTCGTTTTTTTTGTTGAGTAGAGATTAGAGTTTGAAGTTTGAACAATAGTTGGAGAAGTTTTTGTCTAAGTTTAATCTTTGTGTCATTTGAAATTGTTTTAAGACTTTTCCTTTTATATTTCATATCAGTAATTCACCTTTTTTATGCATCAAATCATTAGATATAAAAATAAATAGATCTGACACTAATATAAATTTGAAGGTCAAGAGATGGATACATTCAAAAGAAATGTACTTTTAAAGATAAAAAAGTAAAAAATAAATATATTTCTCATAATAAATAAAAATAAAAATAAAAATCAAAATATGTCTATCATGACAGTGTTCATCTAAGCCTCGGTTTTCCTTTTAAAATGTTGAAGTGAAGAGTAACTGCTACATTTGACTCACTCGTAGTATGTTTATTTTCTGGCAACAGCTAGCATTTGACTTCTAGCCACACACATCTTTTTTTTAAACATTACGGTTTTTCCTTCAATCTAATTTTAAATAAAACATTATTTTTCTCATAAATATCGTATTAAAATATATTATTTATTTTGTAATTTGATAAAACAAAATAACCCAAACTTTATTGGAAGAATTCAACCAATGTTTTGAGTTTAATTTTGAATATCAATAACATCATTTTAAACTAACAATTAGTTGATTAGATTATCATTATTTTGGCTTAAAAGATTATTAAAAAATGGGCTAAACGAAAGTTTGTGGATAATAATTTAGGGTGTGTTTATTCTTGGAATTTCGGTTTGGGTTTTTGGTTTTCGATAATAAAATTTTGAATTGAAATAATTGTTTGATGTTATATAAATATATATTGATGTTGTATTTTGAATATAAAATTAAATTATAGTGTAATACAATAAATAAAAATAAAGTGTTTAATTTGATATTTTTTTAAAAAAATTAAAATAATAAAATCAAAATCGAAATCGCATATATATATATAATTATGCTAAATAAAGGATATAAAGTGTGACTAAAGCATAAGATCATGTCAAATATTAAATCAAACAATTATAAACTATTAATTATGTAGTTTGAAAAAATAAAAATTGTAGTGTGTTGGTTTTTTAATTTCAAATTAAAAATTTTACTAAACCAGATGAGCATGCAAAATAATGTAGTTTAAAATAAAAAGATAGTTTTAACAATAATAAATAATGAAAATTTATTTTCTTATATATGTTGACTTTTTAGTCAAATATCGATAATGGTTTCTGAGTATGGTTGCCCCAAATCGAAGGGAAGGAAGAACCAAAACCCTAATCTAGATTACCATTTTTGTTGTGGTGGTACAACCCCATCAATTATTCTGATGTAGTACAAACTATGTTCGGTCCACGGTTTCGCTGATTTTTTTTTTAATTTTATAAAAACCCACCATCAGCTGTTGATTATCCGATGGTCGTCTCTTCGTCACCAGCGATTTGAAAATTGGGAAGCGGAGGTGGGTTTGTGTAGGTCAATCCTCTTCATGCTTTTACTCTTTCAACTCTTCTCTCGACAACCCACCTCAAAAATCGTGAGGAGGAATTCGAGCAACGATCTTTGATTTTGCATACAAGATATAGAAACCCTCGGAATTCGCGATTTCCTCGCGGAAAATAAGGTGCATTCTGGATCTTTTTTCTACGCGGGATTTCTTTTTCGCATTTATGAATTTTTTTTCCTATGGGGGTTTAAGATTGTGAATTGGATTAGGGGTGTGCTTGTCGTTTCGGGTCAAGATAATTGTGTTAGCAATCCTTTTCATCCATGGATTTGTTCAATTGAATGGTGTCTTGACGAGATCTGATTTTTTTTTTTTTTTCCTGGTGGTGTGCGGCCTATTTTGTTTTCCCTGATTTGATTGTTCTTGGATGATGATCTTTGATTTCTGCATGTGTATTGTGATAGGGAATTGATTATATATATGTGTGTGTGTGTGTGTCTTTGCGGATCAATTTCTGCATTGCGGTTTTACACAGAGCAGAGCATCGAGAAGAACCAATCCAACTTTTTTAGATTAGTAAACCAGGAGATTCAATTTGTTAGTTAGGTCCATGTAAATCTTTAAGCTGTTCTGTGCACGTATTATTGATGTTGAATTTTGGGGATTAACTGTTCGCACACCTTTGGTTGAGATTATGTGATAGTATTGTTGTCTCCAGCTTCATCTAGAGAAGTGATTTCTTACAAAACAAACCTTGCAGTGAACACTGAGAGAATGACTTTTCTACGAACTTTGCCAGTGTATTTTGGCTTGATAATTTTGCTTATGTTGACAAAGCTAAATAGTTATGAAGAGTATGATATGGGGATGTCTGTTATAGATATATGAATATTCGTATGTAACTTTTCACACATTAAGTTATCCCTTTTACCAAACACCACCGGTATGTATACACACATGCTTGTGTATATATACTTAGTATGCTTGTTATTTCATTTTCAACAATTCAATATATCTTAACATTATTTCAAGATTAGACTATGAAATTAAAGTTTACCACGTATGCTTAAGTAATAACTTTTTCTTCAAAAACACTTTTGGGTAGAATCAACAGCTTGGAGCAATCAAAATTACTAGACCAGGATAAATTGTCTTTGTGAATTCCCTGTAATGTGATTGATGCAACATTTATATGATTTGATACATTGTCTTTGTTTCTTCTTTCATGGGTTTGTCTTACATTGGTTTAACATACATTGTTTTCTTACTGCAGCTCAGACTCCAAATATATGACATTGTAGCACAGAGAGCGCTTTAACTATTGTCGCCAGCCCTAAATACAGCTGAATAACTTTTCTGGCTGTGATCTTGTTCTTCCATTGGAGACTTAGAACACCTTGCTTTCCTTGATCATATAATGAATCAGTGATTTGATAGTAATTAAAGTACAAATGGGTTTAAGAGTGAAGCTGGCCATTCTGCCCTTTCTTCTCTCTATAATAGTAATTTTCAGTCACAGCATTACTGCTGAACAAGAGAACGAATTTTTGCAAAGAGTAAGAGCTGCTCCACAAAGAAATGCAGGGAATGTTGTGATTGATGGCTCTGGTAGAGAGCACATTTTTCTTTCGGATAAGAATGATAATGGAATGGACCAGTGGCAGGTTGGGAGTAATAGAGTTTCATTGTCGACAGTTGCAATTTCCACTCTTGCAATGGCTGCAGCAACTGGTTTAGGTGCCGTGCCATTCTTTTTTGTGGAGCTTGATGCACAGTGGGCTGGAATATGTAACGGAATGGCTGCAGGGGTGATGCTGGCTGCCAGCTTTGACCTTATACAGGAAGGACAAGGCCACGGGAGCAGCAGTTGGGTTGTGTTTGGTATCCTTGCCGGTGGGATTTTCATATGGCTTTGCAAGAAGGTGAGATTCTTGGACTTCTAATTATATTTTGAATTGTCTTTGTTCTACTACAACATCGGCCATATTCTGTGATCAAAATATCAGCTTGTTTTGCTTTTAATTTTTTGGCTATTCTGAAGTCCCTTTAACTTTTCCAATAATTTTGGCATTTTCTTATGTCATGGTAAAACTTACTCTGTAAGATAACAATTATATATATATATATATATATTTCATGTTCATAATTTATTTCGAGGTGATATTCTGAAACCTCAGTTACTTTCATATGGCCAAGAACATATAGATTTTTGTTTTGTTTCAATGTTTGAAAGAAATATATATATATATATATCTTTTGTCATGTTCTGATGAATAGGAAGCTCGCAGAATTCTGTCATATTGTTTCTGGAAATTCCAGTTTTTCATTTCTAAAATATCATTTTTACTTTCAATTCCTAGTTTCTTGATCAATACGGCGAAGTAAGCATGCTGGACATAAAGGGAGCAGAGGCTGCCAAAGCCATTCTTGTAGTTGGGATAATGACTCTTCATTCTTTTGGGGAGGGATCTGGCGTTGGAGTTTCATTTGCTGGCCCCAAAGGTTTATCTCAGGGATTATTGGTGACTTTGGCCATAGCTGTCCATAATATCCCCGAGGGCTTGGCTGTTAGCATGGTCCTTGCATCAAGAGGTGTATCTCCACAGAATGCCATGTTATGGAGTGTTATTACATCTCTTCCGCAGGTCAGTAAATTTTATATTAGCCACCAAAGCTTTACTAGATGCAGAGTGTAGAGTTGTGATTATGATCTTTAAATTGGGAAGAAAAGTTGTGTTTAAAACCATTGAGTCCATAAAACTAGAAGGGTGAGCGGTGATTAACGGGGAGGGAGGTGTAGGAACTTCCAATCCCATTGTGATGCGTGATAAATTGCAAACTTAGTGATTTTGTGTGATTTGTTGATGCAGCCTATTGTGGCGGTTCCTTCATTTATATGTGCTGATACATTCAACAAGTTCCTGCCATTTGCTACGGGATTTGCTGCAGGGTGTATGATTTGGATGGTCGTTGCCGAAGTCCTTCCAGATGCTTTCAAGGTAAACCATTTTATTTTTATTTTTATTCTTCTCTTTGAATACAAAACATTGGCTTTTGTTAATCATCGCAATCTATGCTACTGCAGGAAGCTTCCCCATCTCATGTTGCATCTGCAGCTACCCTTTCGGTGGCCTTCATGGAAGCTCTCGGTACCATTTTCGAGCATTTCAGTCACAACTACAAGTAAGCCACCAAATCCCAACACTATGGTCATAATCCAATATCCTCCTTCCCAATCTCTCAAAGCGATCATTCACTTTGCAGCCCAGAGGACACATCCGGATTCCTTGTTTCCCTACTATTCGGCCTAGGTCCATTACTCGGCGGGATTTCCCTCGTTGCATTTGCCCTAACTTTCCGTCTCCAACATGCCCTCCTCACCGGCATAGCTTCCGGCATCGCCTTTGTGCTCAGCGCCTGGCGACCTCTCCAACTTCTACTCTCATCCAAAATGGGGCTTTTCCCGCTCGTCTTCCTCCTCGCCCTCGGATGCATCATTATCCACCTCGCCATATCCACGGCCACACAGCTCGGGTCCCGCAAGAGAACTTCAGCACAGGCAATATCGGCTGTCACGGGGCTTTCAGTAAGCGCGCTCACTCTCCAATCTGTCCTTTCCTGTCTAGCCATTGCCCTCCACGCCCTAGCCGAGGGGCTTGCACTGGGTGTAGCTGCTCCAAAAGCGTATGGGCTAGGGAGGCACATGGTTCTGCCGGTCTCTCTCCACGGATTCCCGCGGGGCGCAGCTGTGGCTAGCTGCATTTTCGGGGCCACCGACAGCTGGCACGGGTCCCTCCTGTCTGCGGCGATGATCGGGTTTGTGGGTCCATTGTCTGCCATAGGAGCTATTCTTGTTGGGATTGATTACAGCGGATTGGACCACCTGATGGTCTTTGCTTGCGGAGGGCTTTTGCCGTGTTTCTGGAGCATTGCGAATCGAGCGGTCAAGCTGGATAAAAAGAAGAGTGTGGTCGGGCTTGTTGTCGGTGTAGGCTTTGCCACGGTGTGTTTAACATGCACAAAGCTTGTGTGCTTGCACACGCCGTATTGCAACTCTGCACCAGAGGCTGTTCGATGATCGGTTTTATGTGGATGATGTTCAAGTCTAGAGAGATATATAAATGCTATTATTCTGTAAACAAAAATTGAATCTTTGGTGTATTATTAGGCTTGGAGCATCCTCTTTTCCATGTGAATGAATGCTTAAAATTTCTAAGCTCCAAAGCTATTATAGGATTGTAAAGTTTTTGGAGGGGGGTTTTGGATGACTGAAATTATTATGTGTATATGATTATTTTATTAGATTAAGTAACAAAATGCAATCAATAATTTATAAGCATGGCTGCAAGCATAAATAAAAAAACTAAATTGAAGTACATATATGTATATGTGCAATATATACAATATGCTTTTTAGTATGTGATTTTAGTGAAAGAATATATATATATATATATATTTAATGGGATAGTTTGTAAAATTTGAATAGTATCAAATTCTAAAGTATTATTGTATGTAAACTGTCATAGTTTTTTGAATTTTTAAAGTTTTTAAAATTTTTAAATTTTTGAAAATTTTAGAGTGTGATTGTTTGTATGGTTTGAGTTTTTATTTTATATTTTTACAGTAAAATTTTAAATTAAAACAATTATTTAATATAATATAAGTGATATTTGTGTGATAATTTGAAAATAAAATTAATAATATAATACATAAAAAAAATAGATAATTAATTTTGATGTTTTTTCTAAAATTATAAATACTACAAGTATGAAAATTTTGTTGGATAAAATGCATTTTTTTGGAAACAAACTAAAATAAAAATGATATTGCTTGTTACTAAATAGAGAAATTACCATTTTTGTGTGACTTAGTATGCAAGGATTGTACCGTAGCAACGTTCATGTAGATAAAAATCGCACTACTATAGTTCACCTAGTGTGATTTGACTGTCGGGGCTAATTTATATAATATTAAATTTAACCGAAATTTATCTGTGCATTTTCGCATAGCAGCACCTAAAAAAAAAAAAAAAAAACGTTACACAACATGTTGCTCTGTTGCAGCCACGCAAGCAAATCTGAGCATATTTCGCTACATAGTATGGATTAGCATTATTATTATTATTATTTTTATTTTTAAAAAATAATTATATTTAAATAATTGATCTCCAAACAGAGCCTATATTTTAAATAGAAATTGCACATGGGAAGACAAACAAATGAGGCAATCACGGCGTAGGATCGGTATTACTCGTTCCGGGCTAGGGGCCCGCCCGAGTTATATATATATATATATATGTTTCTAACAAATAATAATAATAATTCAATAATTTAAATTGCTTTTCAATTTTATCATTTAATATATATTAGAGTAAATATTTGTTTTTATATAACATTTTTCTACATTTTTTTACTGATAGTATCTATCAAATACTTAATGATATAATAATAGTACCACATAACTAAATTAATTTAATTGTTTAAAATATCAAATAAATATATATATTATTTTTAATTTTGAGTGGTTTTTAAGATTCGTTTACTTATTTATATACATTTTGTAATTTTTGTGTTTTTGTATTAAAATTTTGAGGTGAAATATTTGTTATATGAGATATTTTGAATAAAAAGTAACACTAACAAATATTATAATATAAAAAGAAAATAAATAATAAAGATATAAGCTAAAAACTATAATAAACAAAGCCTTAATTTTATTCTTCATAGAGAGTTTTTTTTTTGGGTGTGTTTGTTTTGGGGATTGGATTGGATTTACACTATTCATCCAATTTTTTTTCTCAAAAAACATCAAATCAAACACTTATTTTTTATTTTTTATATTATACTAAAAATCAATTTTACATTCAAAACATCACATCAATACTTGTTTATATCACATTATACAACTATTCAAATTCAAAATTTTTACTATTCAAATCCCAATTCAAAATTCAAATCCCAAACAAACACACCCTTTATCAATTTATATTTGACAATAATTTGAATTCCAACATCACACCACACATATATATATATATATAGTATTATTTTATTTTAAAATTTTGATTTTTTTATTGAAAATATAAATACACTTTTAAAGTATTTTATGGGGTTTTTTTTCATTTGAATAATTCTTAAGAAACTATAGTTTTATTATATGATATTTTTAATAAAATAATTTTAAATATATTATTTTATAAAGAAATGTTTTAGTATTATAGTATATTTATGGGATAAAACAGAATAAAACAAAACCCAAAAAAATAATTAATGCATTAACTTTTGAAAAGTTTTCTCTGCTTCCGTTCATTTTCTAATGTCTTATTTGATATTTATATGTATTTTTAGATAATTATGGTTTATGTTATAAAATGACAGATTTGCCTTTAATATTGTATATAGAAAATAAAAGAGTAAATAAAGTAAGGGTAAAAGAGTAAATTTTGTGTATAAAAATAGAAATAGGACAATAATTATTAGATATTTCAAATAAGACGTTAATTTATGGACGGAGTGAGTATTATTTTTTTCTGATGAAGTATTTATTACGAATTATAGCCGAAGTGGTTAGCTTTTTTGTCAACGTCAATTAATTTTATTTAATATATGTTTGGTTAAACTCTATGGAGATATTTAAATTATTTATTAGATTATAATTAATTTCTTAGATTCAATTACACATAACTTAAAACACTCAAATCATTACACAAAGCATAAAGCATACTGGGTAGGGGTTAGCAAAATATCCGAAATCCGAAAATTCGATCCAAATCAAATCGAAATTTAAAATTTGGTTCGAATTTTCGAATTGGTTTAGATTGAATTTTTGACAAATTTTGGATTCTCTGATCGGATCGAATAGGTATACTTAAAATCCAAACTAATTCGAAATATAACATTTTAATTTTTTTTATTATATATATTTAATATTTTATTAGAAAATATTATATTTTAATATTAAAAACTCAAAATTATTAATTATATTTTAATATATTTACTTTTATATTATATATATATTTAATATTATAAAATTATAATAAAATATAAAAGAAATTTACAAATTAAAAAATAATTAAAAATATTTAAAATTTCGGATTTTTCGGTTTGATTCGGATTTTTTAGTTCGAATTTTGGATTTTTGGATTTCGGTACAGTTCGGATTGATTTTTTCAAAAATTTCGGATTTTCGGATCAGTTCGGATATAGCAAAATTCAAACCGAAAATTCGAATACTTACCGCTAATACTGATATTTAATTGTAAACACAAATCTAATAATGGTAAATTTTATACAAATAAAAATGTAAAACATTTTAATACATCACCTCTAGAAACCATCTATGATTGATAAGAATTTTGATTTTTGTATTACGAATTTTTACTCGGCATAGAAAACAAATGTACTTCCTCCGTCCACAAACTAATGTCCTACTTTCTTATTTGGGACGTCCAACAACTATTATCCTTTTTTTTTTTTAAACACAAATTTTACATTTTTACCCTTCATTCATTTATTCTTTTAATCTCTATCATACACTTAAAAGACAAATTTGTCTATTCATAACAAAAAGACAATCACCTAAAAAACTGTGCAAATATACTTTAGAACAATAGAAATTGGATGAACGAAGTAACTCCTGAAAGACTTTGATCTTCTTCAATGCATTGAAAGGTATTATCCACTCAAATAAATTTTGACTCAAATAAATTTTGACCACATAATAGCAACACATTAGGGTGTGTTTGTTTGGGGTATGGATTTTGAGTTGGGATTTGAATAGTAAAAATTTTAAATTTGAATAGTTGTATGATGTGATATAAATAGTTGTTGATGTGATGTTTTGAATATAAAATTGTTTTTTAGTATAATATAAAAAATTGAAAAAGAAGTGTTTGATTTGATATTTTTGGAGAAAAAAAATTAGATGGACAGTGCAAATCCAATCCAATCCCCCAAACAAACACACCCTAAATTTTCTTGTAGATATTAACATATTTAATATTACTAGTAAAAAAATGAATCATGTAAAACTTGTCCCAAGACTGTCTGGACAAGAAAGAAGATTTCAGGTCGATTATGTTCATTTTTTTATTTTTTATTTCTTCTCATAACATGTACCTATAATTAATTTATATATATTTTTTATATTTCATGCAACAATATTAAAAAAAAAATAATCCAAACATTAAACACAAATTTTTATTATTAGCACTATTTTTTTTTTTTAAAAAAAAATTACATTTAATGGAGTACCTTTTTTGTTTAAAAAATTAATATTTATATATTAGGTTTTTTTAACAATTAGACACAGCTATGAAAAGAAAAGAAAAGGATTTTAGCCGCGTAACAGTAACACATCACCGTGAACGGACCCAACAAGATTGCATTAATCAAGGAATTAAATGTGGGACCCAACCCAATTACAAATCACCGACTTTTTAAATTTTATTTATTTATTTTTGATAAATATAAGATCCATTTATATAGATACTTAGGTGTATTTGCTGGGGATTCGATTGGATTTATATTATTCATTTCATTTTTTTTAAAAAATATCAAATCAAATATTTATTTTTTATTTTTTATATTATACTAACAATCACTTTTACATTCAAAATATCGCATCAACACCTATTTATATCACATAATACAACTATTCAAATTCAAAATTTTTACTATTTAAATTTCAACTCAAAATTCAAATCCCAAATAAACACACCCTTAATGTATATATATATATTTTTATGAATAATAAAAAATAAAATATTGTTCATCTCATCTATAATGTTCATCTTTACACTTATTATATTTATTTTTATTTCGTATGGTCATTTATTATATTATTTTTAATTTTATTATATAATAATTATTTTTATTAATAAATTATTAATTATATACTGAGTATTTGAGACTGAATGAGTAATATTTTATATAATATTTTTTTAACATTATTATTTTAAATAATGTAAAAATTATCTACGCACAGAGGGTCATATACATACAAGGTACGTTTCTTTTATGTTTTTTAAAAAATTTTGATTTAAATTTAATATTAAAATAATATGTAATAAAATAATTTTTTTTAAAAAATATAAAAAATTTAAATATAAAAATATATAGAATTTCAAGAGAAAAGAAACAAAAATTGTGTTTATCTGTGAGGTTTTAATTTTGAATTTTAATTTTAAATAATAAAATTTTGAATTGAAATAATTGTTTGATGTGATATAAATATGTGTTGATGTAATATTTTGAATATAAAATTAAATTTAATATAATAAAATAAATAAAAATGTAATATTTAATTTAATATTTTTTTAAAATAAAAAATAAAAAATAAAAATAGTAAAATAAATATAAAATCTGACAAGTAAAAAACTATAATTTTATTTAATTTATTAAAAAATTTAAAAACGACATTCAACTCCTGAAATTGTCCATACCCTTCCTCACACTCCACATGCTCTCTCTCTCTCCTCATACAGACACGCACGCACAATAATCAAGAATGCAGTTGCAGTGCAGGTAGCTAAACCCAATTCCCTTTCTCCATAAATTCCCCCTTTCCTAACCTATCCTCTTCATCTTTTCTTCTCTTTGCTCTGCTCATCTGTTCTCCAATGGCGCCACTGCTTTACCAGCTAGCTCTCTTCCTCTCCGCCGCCTCTGCCGCTCTATCTCTATCCCCACCTCCTCCATTAGAAGGTAACCTCCCCCATCCCTCTCTCTCTCTCTCACCAGATCTCTTCTCTCTCTCTGCAACAACTCACATTTTCGATTTTATTTTCAATTTTATTGGATTTTGATTTGCAGGGCTTTTGGCCAATGGCAACTTCGAGGAGCAGCCGAGCCCCAAGGACCTCCGCAAGACCGTCCTCCTCGGCCCCCACGCCCTCCCCAAATGGGAAATCTCCGGCCTCGTACAGTACATCTCCGGCGGCCCGCAGCCCGGCGGCATGTACTTCCCCGTCGCCCACGGCGTCCACGCCGTCCGCCTCGGCAATCTCGCCACCGTCTCCCAGACAGTCCCCCTCAAGAAGGGCGCCCTCTACGCCCTCACTTTCGGCGCGTCCAGGACCTGCGCGCAGGAGGAGGTGCTTAGGGTTTCTGTCTCGCCGGAGCAGACCGGAGACCTCCCCTTGCACACGCTCTACAGCAGCTACGGCGGCGACACCTACGGCTGGGGATTCCGCGCCACCGCTGATTCTATGAGAGTCGTTTTTCACAATCCTGGGAAGCAGGAAGACGCCTCTTGCGGCCCCTTGCTCGATGCTGTCGCCATTAAAGAATTGGCTCCTCCCACCATGGTTAGAGGTGAGAAAGATAGATTGAGGTCATGGGAGCGTAACGCCGGATAGATCTGGACCGTTCGATGCTTAGGGTTTCCTTTCATTTACGGTGTAGATCTATCTGGAGTTGGGATCCTAGGAGCTGCTAATACCTTAGCGTTCTTATATTGCTTGAGAGGTCCAGGGAGTCTAATGCCGGATGGGTCTCATCATCCACTACACGCGGATCTGGCGTAACGCTCCCGGATCTCTCAAAATTCCAGATCTGATGTAAAAAACTTTTCAATTTCTGCGCAGGCAATTTGGTGAAGAACAGCGGTTTCGAAGAGGGACCTCATCTCCTCCACAACTCCTCCCATGGCGTCCTCCTCCCGCCGAAGCCATTAGACCTGAATTCCCCCTTACCAGGGTGGATAATCGAGTCGCTAAAAGCCGTGAAGTTCATCGACTCGGCGCACTTCAACGTCCCCGCCGGGAAGGCGGCGGTGGAGCTGGTGGCGGGACGGGAGAGCGCCATAGCGCAGGTGGTCCGTACGGTCCCGAACAGAGCGTACAAACTGTCGTTCAGCGTTGGGGACGCAAGGAACGACTGCCATGGATCGATGATGGTGGAGGCGTTTGCGGCGAAGGCGGCGATGAAAGCGCCGTTCAAGTCGGAGGGGAAGGGGAAGTTTGAGACGTACGCGTTCGAGTTCACGGCGGTGTCGAATCGGACGAGGCTCACCTTCTTCAGCTCGTTCTACCACACCAGGGTCCATGATTATGGGACCCTCTGTGGGCCCGTGCTTGACGAGGTCCGGGTCTTCCCGAAACTCAAATGAAAATGAATTAATTTAATTAATGCGGGGGATGCTCTGTTTTTCTGGCCTTTTTATGTTTCTGCATCCTTTTTTTCTTCTTCATCTTCTTCTTCACTGGGTAGAGTCAGAGTTAGGGTTTATATATATGTTTGTGGTTGAGGTTGAGGTTGAGGTTTTGGTTGGCCAATGCGGAGGAAGACATTTTTGTCTCCTTTGTTGCAGAATGAATGCATGAGGCTGTCTGTTTATTTATACAAACTGCTGCCTCATAATCAATTTATCTTATGGTTATCAATTTTATTTCCCCGGAGTATTTCTCCATTATTTTTATTTCTTTTCATTTTACCTTATTTTTATTTATATTTTAAATTTTATAAATAATATTCCTTCAGTCCATTAAGGGTGTGTTTGCTTTGGGAGATTGGATTTTAAATTCATTATTTATCTTATTTTTTATCTTCTAAAATATTAAATTAAATATTTATTTTTTATATTTTATATTATACTAAAAAAATTAATTTTACATTCAAAATATCATATCAATACATGTTTATATTACTTTTTACAATGATTCAAATTTCAATTCATTTGGATCCGATACAAAATTTAAAAAAAAAATTATTAAAAAATAATAAATAGTTACGAATTTTCAGAAATTTAATTGAAATGAAAATAAATGACCAGAGAAAATATAATAAATATAGTTGTGTTTATTATAAATAAGTATTGAATGAAAATAATAATTAAATATTATTTATTGATTTGGTCAAAATTAATAATCTAATAAATTTATGGGACAAATTAAAAATAAAAATAAAATAAAATAAATTTGATGATTCTTCAAAATTAATAATCTAATAAATTTATGTGAATTTTAAAAAATAATAATATTTTAATTAAATTTATAATAAAAATAATATTAAAAACAAATTTATTTATTTATTTTTTTAAGTATAAAAACAATGATGTGGTACTGTGAAGTTAAAGTAAATATATATTTAAAAAAAAATAAAGTATGTAATGAAATAATTATTTTAAATAATTTAACATAAAAATATAGTTTGCAGATGAAGGAAAGAATGGTGCAAAGTTTTGTAAAAGAGTATAACAAGTTGTTTCACCAATTAATTGATTTGATTAACCGAGTGTTAGAATATTTAGTAAATTATTATTTATTATTATTATTTTTAAAACATTGGAAAATCAATTATTTGACAGTATTAACTGTATAAGATTAATGAATAATCTCTTTTTGCATTTTTTTTATCAAACACAAATCTTTTAAATACGATTATATTTTAATTTACATTTATATTCATTTATATTGCCCAATAAATATCATTTAAAATATCATGAAAAGAAATAAAATAGGTAAATAAATTAAAATGAAATTGCTATAAGTATAACGGTCCTGCCAGCCTTTGATTTACTGTCACGCGCCTAGAGCTGTATACCAAATAAATTGTTCGCTGAGTTCTGTTCGATTTGGCTCGTTTGAGCTCGTTAAAAGCTCGTTTGTTAAGCTAAACGAGCTGAACACAATTATAAATTTTGGCTCGTTATATTTACAAACGACCTCGAACTTGTTCGCGAACGTTCGATAATATTTATTAAAAAAATTAAATTAATAATTTTATATTTAATATATATCTTTATAAATAGTACTATATTTCATTCTATTTTTTATTTAAATTTATTAATAAAAATTATAATTATAATTAACTAAATTTATTTATTTTTAACAAATTAATTAAATAAATAATATTTTTTTTAACAAGTCGAGTCGAACAAGAACAAAAAAATTATTAAATGAGTCAAATTCAAATAAAAATTTTAACTCGTATCTCTTAACGAACGAACACGAAGTGAGCTCGAGTCATGACAAGTTCGGTTCGGTTGACTTGTTTACGGGTCTCCAGGCGCTTGACCTGACCGGCCATTAATGCAACGTTTTACTCAATTATGTTAACAAAATAATGGAGTAGTAGTTACTTTATTGAATTTGTTTTAATTTATAGGAGTATTGAAAATTATATGCCTTTCAATATAAAATAAGTGTCAATTATAATTTATTCTTAAAATGTGAAATTGTACAGAAAGAAAAGGATTATAAATTGTCTATACATAGAAAAAATTATTGAATTAATATTTTAAATAAAAAATTACATAGAAATAAGAAAAATAAGTATATATGTATTTTGCATGAACAAAAATATATATTCCATTTTTAAAATGGTCAAAATTTAAAATTATTTATTTCACGCGGCTTTAAAATTAATAATAATTTATCGTTAGAGGATTTTCAGCACAAATTTTTACTATTTATTAATTCATTCAAACATTAAATCAAAAATTTATTTTTATATTATTTTAAAAATTAATATTATATTTAAATATATCACAATCAGCTCCTATTTATATTGCATTAACATGTATTCTAATTTAAAGTTTTATTGTTTAAAACCCTAAAACTAATGTTTGATAAAATAATGTTTTATATACATTCAAAAAAAAAAAAAAAAAAAAAAAAAACATAACATACATTAAAAAAATTCCAGAGTGAACACATAAATAATTTTGAAAGTTATAGAATTATATATATACATATATATATTTTAATTTTGAGAATAGAAAAAAAAAACACAAGTATTTTATTTATTTATTTTTTAAAAAAATGTTATTAATAAATGTTATGAAAATATATATATAAACACAATCACGTTACGTTTGAATCATGATTTGTGTAATATAAATGATAAATCCAATCATTGCAATAAAAATTTCTCAACTCTCATACAACAGCATAAATGATAACATCTGCAGCCTCCGTCTTCAGCCGATCACGTTCCGCCTCCTCCGGGGCGGCGGCGGTGGCGGAAGTCCCTTCATCACGGCGGCGGGTGGCGGCTCCGGTGGGCGGCGGATGGTAATACATCTTGGCCGTCTGGGGACAGTGTGAATGGAATCTGCAAACGATTCTTACACCTGCATCTAAAAGCTCAGTATATTTCCCCATAAATGAAAATTATAACTTCCCTAATTTTTTTATTTTTTGTTTTTTTCAAGAAAAAAAAAATAAAAGAAAAGGAATTAGGGAAATAATGAAAGGGGGATTATAATGTGTCCCAAAAATTATTTTTTGCCATTAAATTGGTGGGTTTGAATGAAGGGTTTGGTGGTTTATATATAGAGTGAGATGAAATTTGAAATTGAGGCTTCAAATTTATTGAACAATTATTATTGCATTATTACAATAGTCAAAATATTATGGAGGAAATAATACGCGTGAGGGGTGGAGTCTGCGAAGCTCCTGGAACTCCAGATGAGATTAGATTTGTACCGTTGATTTTTGGGTTTTGGGTAGGAGGAAGGGTCCTGATTTATCTGGTGTTTGAGATCCAGGGGTTCGGAATAAATGATTCATTTTAGGAGCTTTTGGACTTATATGGACTATTCTACCCTTACTTGGCGTGAAATTTTTTGAACTGCCATTTCTCTTTCGCTTTGTATGCCTTGTTTGTTGATGTTGTGTTTACTCGTAATATTTTGGTTTTGAATTTTGATTTTAAATAATAAATTTTTTAATTAAAATAACTATTGATGTGTTATTAATATGTATTGATGTGATATTTTAAATATAAAAATAAATTTTTGTATAATATAATAAATAAAAAAGAGATATTTAATTTGATATTTTTTTTAAAAAAATTAAAAATAATAAAATCACCTTAAAAAACTTACAAGTAAATACACCTTTTTCGTATCTTTTTTTTTTAAAAAAATAATATATTTTATATATTCATTATTTTTATATTATACAAATTTCGATACTATTTGACAAAACAAACACAATCAGTTTTTCATTTAAATTTTAAATTTTTTTATTCAAAATATATTTTAATAAAAAATATATCTTTATTAAAACTTCATATAAATTTAAGAGTATGTATTTTTTATTTTTTTAAAATTAGAATCCAATGACAAAAACATCTAAATTTATTGGCATCAACATAATTAGTCTAGTAAAAATGCTCTGATGGTGCAGAGATTGAACGTGTACCTATGAGGTTATTTGTTTAAACCATGACACCTCCGCCTAGGTATTAGGTTCGGTTCTCACATTATAAAAAAAAAATATCATCATAATTAAAAAAAATATATTCCATCTATCCACTTGAAAAAGTAAATATTCATATTTTTTTTTTATGAAATGTAACGTGCAATCTGTAAAATTATAAAAGTATTGATATAAAAATGTATATTATGTCACTTATAAAGTAAATATTTATTAGTTCAGAGATTGTGTTAGCAATATAAAATAAATGATTGATAATTTATAAGTGGATAATATATATTATACTCCATCTGTTTCAGATATGCTATAATGAACGGATGTAATTAGTAAAAATAATTATTCTATAATATAAATAATTATAAATTAAGATTAAGATAATTAATTAATTTAATAAAAATAAAAAAATTAAAAATTTAAAATGAGATTAAAGTGTGTAATCATTTCGTATCTGGACAATGTGGACATGGTATCTGAACGGAGGCAGTATTAATGTTTGTGTATATTGATACTTTTTAAATAATATTTATAAAGAATTATGTCATTAAAAAATGCTCTGTGAATGCAATCTGTAAAATTTAGAAATATTGATACAAATAAATATAAATACGAAGTATTACTAATGTATTAAAAATTATAGATACTTAAAAAAAATAAAGAAAATTAATACTCCCTTCATCCCAAAAAGAAGAATCCATTTGCTTTTTGCACTTAGTTTTAGAAATATTAGTATTATATTGAGATATAATAGGAATAAAGTAGAAATGACTAAAATAACCTTGTTAGTATGTGTAATATAAAGGTAATGACATTTGTGTAATATATTGTAAGTTGTAAAAGTATTTATAATGTTAGGTAGATAATACAGTTACTAAAAAAAAAAAAAATGGATACTTTGTTATGGGACAGAATAAAATGGAAAAATATATACTTTGTTATGGGACGAACGAAGTATTTTATATTTTGTTAATAAAAAATAATAGTATATACTTAAAAAAAAAAAAAAAAACCATTATTTTTTTGCATAAATATAGCAATAGCTAAAAAAATTACATAAATAATTGGCAAATGTGAATTATTTATCATAAATAAACTATGCATAATAAATATAGCAATAGCAAGAAAAAGATAATTGGCATAGCTATTTGGATGGAGGGAAAATCTCTTAACATAACTTGTGTAATATAATTGAAACAAATGAAAAATGTGTGTATTATAATTCATCCCAAAATACTTTAAAATCTATATACAATCTTAAACTAATTGCATAACTTCTAAACCAAAAAAGATAAAAAAAAAATACATAAATTGAATTATAGGCTTTGTTCACCCAATCTAATTTGTAGATTGGGATTCCCCTCCGTCGTATAAATATCTAATAATTGTTACTTTTTTTTATAGTAAAAAAAATATAATAATTTTTTACTTAGAGACTGTTTTTTTATGACAATCCAAAGAAGGAAAATGAATATAGTCGGAGGGAGTATAAAAGTTAAAAAGTAAAAAAAATTCAAATACTCGTTAAAAAAAATTAAAAAATCAAATATTCAATTTTAAAAAAAAATTCGACGAACAAAGCCTATAATTATGCTTAATCAATGTTAATTAGTTTAAAAACTTGATTATGAAATGAAACTGAGGTTAAGAACAAAAGGAACATACATTTGGTTATTTAACTAAAATAATTTTTTTACTATTCAATCAATATAATTTATAATTAAAGTATATATATTTTTTAAAAATATTAAATTAAAACTAAAATAAAATACTCAAATTCTACCTCAAACATATAGAGCTTTGTTTAGACACGAAGTTTGGGTGTTTGGCACTATTTCATACTCATATTTTTTTTAAAATATTACATAAAATATAATTTATTTATTTTTTACATACAATATCATATTAAATACTAAATTTTTATTATTTTAAAAATTTTAAGATCCTCAAAGTTTCTAAAAAGTCTCATGTCTAAACAAAGCACATAGCCAGGTCCAAATCAAAATACAGTATAAAATAGGTATGATATGGATGACGCCATGTCTAAAATATATTTATTTTGATTTCTTAAAAATAGTATCAAAGTTTTTAAAAATATTGTATAAACAGATTTGATAAGGGAGAAGATGGCGATGGATCGATACAGAAGCAAATGATCAAACTACTTCAAGCTTAATGGATGATGCATAGATCAGATCTGTTTATATATATAGTTAGAACTTATCTTCATGGAACGGCTAGCATGTTCCTTTCCTTGAGAAATTCAATGGTCTCCTTAATACTCTGTTCGATGGGAACGAAATCAACGCCCAAGGATTTCACCTTCTCCTTCGATATCTGCAGTGCGCTTCGCTTTAGCCGATCGTTTTCATCACTGCAGTGCAGTATACATGACCTCAGAAAAGGTTAATAATGAGAATTCATGTTTCTGAATATCATCTTAGAAATTCACTTACCATGGAGGAAGGGTGAAGGTAGGGTACAAATGCCGAATAATCTTATAAACTTCGGATTTGTACAGCGATGCTGAAGCTAAGCAGTATCTTCCATTAGCCGAAGGATTCTCCAATGCTAGGATATGTGCTTGGACAACATCTTCTATATCCACTAGTATAACTGTTCCGTCGGCTGTAACGATCGAACTCGTCCCTGTAAACAATCAAAATATATGTAATATGTTTTCAGGAATCGACATTAACGAGGATGCCATTGCTTGTTTGCCTAGGAACTAAGTGAAACCTTTCGTAATGAACTGTAGAAATTCCTCAAATGTGACGTTGAGAATTGGCTGCAGGGCACGGCCTATAACCAGGCCAGGATTTATCACTACTAAGTCGATTCCATGGCTCTTCGCGAAGTTCCACGCTGCTTCTTCCGCCAGTGTCTTTGACAAACAATACCATGCCTGAATATAAATCTCTCCTTCATTTTCATCTCTCAATCTAGCAATACGATTAGATAGGAAATTAATTAAACTGCAGAAATGAAGTATACGTTACCTGAATTTCCTCGCAAAATCCTGGCTCAGATTGCCAAGTTTCATCAGCTATGGCGTTTCCTTCCAAAGCTTTCCTACTGATAACAACAGCAGCAAGTGAAGATGTTAAGACCACTCGTTTCACGGAGGGGGATCGGAGGCAGGATCTAAGGACATTAAGAGTTCCATTAACCGCAGGCTCTATGAGCTCCGTCTGCGGATCCTTTATATTGTCGAAGACGACGGGCGATGCGGTGTGGAAGACGCCATCGCAGCCGTCCACAGCAGCATCAAAGGAGGCTTTCACCGTCAAATCAGCGTGGAACAATCTCAACCGTTCCTTAGCCCCTTCCAGCGCCTTGAGATGGTCGACCTTGGTCGGATCGGCGACGTTCCTGACGGTAGCATTGACAGTGTAGCCTTTGCGAAGAAGAGTGCCGATGAGGCATGAGGCTACGAAGCCTGACGCACCTGTCACGCATACAACCTTCTCTTCACGTTTCTCCATTTGCAGTTAACTGTGCTATCACTACTGTGAATGTGGCTGTTAGGGGATAAGTTACGTACATCTCCGAAAGTTCTAGATGTGTGGATACAATTCACGTGGTGAAGTGACCTCTGTCACAACTACTGGAGGTTATGGAACTGACGTCCCTTCCTTGGTATGCGGTATTCCATCCGTCATAAGTAATTTGTCCTCTTTTCTATTTTTGAAATATGATTATGCACTCTAATCACATTTTAAATTTTAAATTTTATAATTTTTTTTAATTTTAATTAAACTATTTACTTATTTTAATCTTAATCTATAATTATTTTTACTAAATGATACTCCCTCCGTCCCAAATACCATGTTCACGTTGCCGTCCGTCTCAAATATCATGTCACTTTCATTTTTTTAAAAATAATTATACGCTTTAATCTCATTTTAAATTTTTTAATTTTTTTTTAATTTTAATTAAACCAATTATTTATCTTAATTTTAATTTATAATTATTTATATTATAGGATAATTATTTTCACCATTCTTAATTATCTACTCATTACACCCATCCTAAAATACTGTGTCTACAATGTAGCAGACACGGTATCTGGGGCGGAGGGAGTAATTATTTTTACTAATATACTTCTTAATCATTTAGTAATTATACTTTACCTAAATTCTCGTATGTACAGTAATAGTCCCATGTTTTTTGGGACAAAGGGAGTACTTATTTGTCGCTACAATCAGAGTCTTTTGAAATTTTATTTTTAAATTTATTTTTGAATTTAATTTTATGATATTCATTTATATTTTGTTATAAATGTATAAAATATATTTTCTTTGTTCAAAATAAACTACTCTCTTCGTCCCAACACAATAGTGTTGTTTACTATTTTTGTCCGTCTCAAAATAATCATATTACCATAAAATTATCTTTACTATTTCATTATTATTACACAATTGTCGCTACTTTTTACACTAATATACTCACAAGGGCAAAAAAATCATTTATATTTATTTTTTATTAACTACTAATATAATATCAATATCATTTAAATTTCGTGTCCAATCCAACAAGACTATACTTTTTGGTACGGAAGGAGTATTATTTTTATTCGTTTTTGTTTTTTGTTTTTTTTTTATTAAAAAATATATATATATATTATAATAAAAATAATAATGTATTAATATCAAAATATTTTGATTTTCATATAAATTAATAAATATATCATTATATTATAATTAATGCATACATAAAGCACCAAAAATAAAAATATCAAAAGTATCCTATATTAAAATGATAATTTTATTTATTACATAAGATTTCGATATCTTGGTATTCTATTAAAATACACAAAATATTCTACTCCTTGTTCAAAGTTAAGGACAAGTATTATATAAACTGAATGGGTAAAATATTTTAAATAGTTTTATTGGAATAAAATAAATAAATAAATAACTGAATAAATTCTTCATTTTTTAATTTATAAGAATTTAAATTATCTGTCGTTTAGATTTTACAAATGGTAGAATAAAAGATTATTTATTTTTGAAATTTGTAATCACAAGGTTTCATCTATTTACCATCGGTATTTCTTACACCTAATGCTAATGTGCAAAGTTAATTCGTTGCTTTGAATCATGATAAGATATTTCTCACGTTACGAACATGGATGGAACAGAGGGGTGGTTTGGTACATTATGCCAAACTATATGTCCCATTTTGTATTAAAATTTCTATTACTGATTATTTTCATTCAGTACATATAACAATAAAAATACATGAGACAACATACTACATACTCCCTCCGTCCCAAAAAGAAGTATCTATTTACTTTTTGCACGTAAGAAATATTAGTATTATATTGGGATATAGTAGGAATAAACTAGAAATAACTAAAATAACCTTGTTAGTATGTGTGATATAAAGGTAATGACATTTGTATAATATATTGTAAGTTGTAAGGGTATTTGTAACATTACGTAGATAGTAAAGTTACTTAAAAAAAAATGGATAAAACAGACTAAAATGAAAAAATGAATATTTTATTATGGAACAAAGGGAGTATATTGTATGAATTGACGGAGCTAATTGCCCATGCGGCATATACGATTTTATGCTGAAACAATAAAATAAAAAAATTAAATTAAATTTTAGAAAAAAATTATTAATATAGTGAAATATCGATATATATAAATTAATAAATACCAAAATATCAAATAATACATTTAATGCTTTGTTTAAAAATTAGTTTCAAGTGTTTGATACTATTCTATCTTTTTTTTTAAAAAAAAAAAAAATCGTATAAATATTAAAGTTTTGCTATTTTAAATTTTTCAAAATTTTAAAACTCTCAAAAACTCTAAAAATTTAGTATAATATGAACAGTAATTCTAGTTTAGGTCCCTTTCATGACAACATGATTCTCTTCCTATTTACATGATCTTCCACGTTATTCTCTTCCTATATAAATTACCAAAGGTCTTCCTCAAGTTTCTGCATAAATTTCGGCTTTCAGGAGCGCCAAAAAAAGAATTCGAATAGCAAATCGAAGCAGCAGAAGTGGTGAGAATCATCTCTGCGAACATCCAACTGACGACATCAATGGCAACAGTTGAATAATACGATCATGAAAATGATAACATCTGACAACAGGAGAAACTGGAGATGGATCGATACAGAAGCAAATTATCAAACTACTTCAATTTCGAGGTACGCCAACTACTCTCCATTCTCAATCGTTTATTTCTTCTTCTAGTTGAACTGCGCATCGATCTAAGAGCTTGCTTAATGGATGATGTGTAGATCTATAGTTATAATTACGTACCTTCATGGAATTACTAGCATGTTCCTTTCCTTGAGAAATTCGATAGTCTCCTTAATACTCTGTTCGATAGGAACGAAATCAACGCCCAAGGATTTCACCTTCTCTTTCGATATCTGCAGTGCGTTTCCATTTAGCCGATCGTTCTCAACGCTGCAGTATAACCTCAGAAAAGGTTAATAATCAGAATTCATGTTTCTGAATATCGTCTTAGAAATTCACTTACCATGGGGGAAGGGTGAAGGTAGGGTAGAGCTGCTGAATAATCTCACGAACTTCAGATATGTACAACGATGCTGAAGCTAAGCAGTATCTTCCATTAGCCGAAGGATTCTCGAATGCGAGGATATGTGCTTGGACAACATCTTTTACATCCACTAGTATAACTACTCCTATAGCTGCGATCGGGCTCGTCCCTGTAAAAACTCAAAAAATATATATAATGTTCACAGGAATCCACATTAAACTAGGATGCCTTTCTCTTTTTGCGTAGAAACTAAGTGAAACCTTGCGTGATAATATGTAGAAATTCCTCGAATGTGACGTTAAGAATTGGCTGCAGGCAACGACCGATAACCAGGCCAGGATTTATCACTACTAAGTCGATTCCATGGCTCTTTGCGAAGTTCCACGCGGCTTCTTCCGCCAGTGTCTTTGACAAACAATACCATGCCTGAAAATAATCTCTCCTTCATTTTCATCTCTCGATCTGGCAATAGGATTAGGAAGGGAAGTGCAGATATGAAGTTAGTATATGCTACCTGAGTTTCCTCGCAAAATCCTGGCTCAGATTGCCAAGTTTCATCAGCTATGGCGTTTCCGTCCAAACCTTTCCTATTGACAACAACAGCAGCGAGCGAAGATGTTAAGACCACTCGTTTCACCGAGGAGGATCGGAGGCAGGATCTAAGGACGTTAGGAGTTCCATTAACTGCAGGCTCTATGAGCTCCGTCTGCGGATCCTTTATATTGTCGAAAACGACGGGCGATGCGGTGTGGAAGACGCCATCGCAGCCGTCCACAGCAGCGTCAAAGGAGGCGTCCACCATCAAATCCGCCTGAAACAATCTCAACCGTTCCTTAGCCCCTTCCATCGCCTTGAGATGGTTCACCTTGTTTGGATCGGCGACGTTCCTGACGGTAGCCTTGACAGTGTAGCCTCTGCGAAGGAGAGTTTCGATGAGGCATGAGGCTATGAAGCCTGACGCACCAGTCACGCATACAACCTTGCCTTCTCCTCCCGCCATTGGCGATCGATCGCAACAGTGCTGTCACAGTTCGTCTTTTCCCTTTCTTTCTTTTGAATTTTCCTAACTGCTCGGCGACTGTTTTCTCAACTCATCTGTGCTAGTGTCTTTCTTTATTTATATCTCTGACTGAAGCGTCACCTCACCTATGACCTAACCCCTTTGTATTTGTTACTTTTGTCGTTTTCTTTTGCTGTGTGTGTTTCTACCCTTTTTGGGTTAGTCAAACTTACTATTTTCATCATTTTCATACTTCACTTTCAAATATATTTATGTTTATTATATAAATAAATAATTATATATTAATACTAATATATATAGTTTTATTAATTAATACAAAAATGAAAACCATAAACATAAAACGTGAGACAGGAGGAAATAAATATAAATATATATCCGCACTCTTTTGCTCTTTAATTTTATGATTTATTCAAAAAAATTCAACCGTTCAGAATATAAATTCATAATAATAATAATTATTATTATTACAAGGTGTTTTATTCAAACACGCTAAGATAAATTATTATTCAATACCTCCTTCAATTCCTCTCTAAAATTATTTTTAGGACAACGGAATGGAGGAAACTACTATTAAAAAAAAAAAAATTAAGTAAAAACAAACAATATATAGTTTGTAGAAACAAACGATCACACCTCTTTATAGCTCTATTTTTATTTTTATTTTTATTTTCACACCGTGGCTCAATTTGGATGACTAACTTCCCAAGGATGGCTTCATGATACGAGATGTACTTGTGATCTTAAAATTACAGATTTAAACGGCCTCTTACTCCTATTTGTCACTAAAATTGTTAACGAGTCGAACTAAACAAGATTTTTATGTTGATCGGCTCCTTAAAAACTTTTATTGTTTGGATTCATTTTTTACTTTGATTAAATTCGTCTGTCTCACTTTTTTTTTTATAATAAGAAGGAACATGAATCATAATTCATAAACAAAAATAAGATCAAATAGCTCCAACGAACATTTAATCCAACATAATTCAGTACAATTCAGCACAAATTTAATCTAAACACGTAATTTCAAAACTATAATTACAATGGTAAATAATATTAAACAAACAAATTAATTTATTTGTTTGCATTCAAATTTTATTAACATAGAATTTTTGATGAAAAAACCTACTAAAGCCTAAAACAGAGACTGAACGACCGTAATACCATATATTTGAACAAAATATAAAAATATTTGTCGGATGGATTAGTTCAACTCTTTGTGTTATAATTTATAGTGTAACGAAGAACAAATACAAACACATGAAATAATTATTGTCGAAAATGAACATATTATTAATAAAAATTAATTTTTATATGAAAAGAATCCTTCCCAAGACAAAAATTTATTGCAGTCGTGTCTTGATATATTATTTTAGTATTATGTTTAGGATTATTTTAGAGTTTAAATTTGAAATTAAAATTATTATGATTATTATTAGAGATTTTGTATTTCATATATAAATTAAAATAGAAATTTGGAATTATTTTATTTATTTATTTATAAATTATATATTTTTTTATATATAATATTTATAATAAATATATTATTTTAATAAACATTCGCAAACAAAAGTTGGGTTCGTTCATTTACGAATCTGTCTATATTGTTCGATTCGCTTCGTTAATATTTTCGAACGAGTTTTGATTAAGCTGAATTCACAAGCGACTCGATTTATTTAACATCTCTAACTGCTACTTATAGTTAGTCTAATATGATTTGCTTTATCCAGCGCTAATGTACAGATTCTTAACTTTCATAAGATATTTATCCAAAATAAATTCTAAAAAAAAAAAAAAAAAAAAAACCAGTTAGAGCTAAATGCAAATATAGCTACGCCTCTTATTATTATAACATATGTAAATGAGAATGAGGGGTAGATATGTTGGAGTTACAAAACAAGCAAGTTTTTTTCCTTAAGCATTTGAATGGTGTCTTGAAGAGTTTGATGAATAGGAATGTAAGAAATGATGCCCAAGGATTTTGCCTTCTCCTTCGACACTTTTATTACCTTTCCTCCCTTAATCTCTTCTTCATCACTACAATGCAATGTAATAATTCATCAAAGTCCAAGAAATAAACAAAGAAAGAAAGAAAGAAAGAAAAAGACATGCTTACGATTCCGGAAGGCAGAGGGTCGGGTAAAGCCCGCGCAAAATCTTTACAACTTCCCAATGGTACATTGTAGTTGCAGCCAAACAATATCGCCCTTTTGCCGAAGGATTCTCGAATGCTAGGACATGCGCACGCACCGCATCTTTAACATCGACCGGATTTATGAATCCAAAAGCCCCCGTCGTGGAATTTCCTTGTAATGAAGTTTGTACATCAAAAATTTTAATTATGAGGGCTAAAATTTTTCTTACATATATATATATATTATATAGCATGAAAAAAAAAAAAAAAAGATCGATTCGCATACCCTGCGTGATAAGCGAAATAAAATAATTGAAAGTGTAATTGAGAGTCGGCTGTAAACATCGACCGATGACCAGCCCGGGATTTATCACCACTAAGTCGATCCCGTTGCTCTTTGCAAAGTCCCATGCCGCTTTTTCGGCTAATGTCTTCGATACACAATACCATGCCTAACAATCCACATAATTTTCTAGGATATCATATTTCTTTTTCGCCAAATCGAATGCAAGTTAGGATCGATATCAAGTAGCGCCGAGCTTCAAAAGCATGAATAGTGTTTTTCCAAACTCGAACTCGAGTCATAAAATTTAATTAAAAGTTGCTTAAACTTGAGTTCAAACTTAATAATCTTTACTAATTTGAGTTCATATTATACTTAAGGTTCTTATTTTATTCGACGTTAATAATAAGATTGAAAAATAAATTATGGATTATGCCAAAATTTTCTCATATGCTGAGATGCAAATTAAAATCAGCACGTATGTACAGAATTAATCATAACTTTTAAATAATTAAAAGTAATTAAGTCAATAAAGATATTTCTTTTAAAATCAAGGTAGTGATAACTAGATTCAGCTTACAATCTATTCTGATCAATATATATATATAAAAGATTTAAGATCGACTTCTAGCTTAAGTTTTCGAGTGTTTCTTAACTTAAAACACTAAGTTGATGACTTCAAACCATATAAATCATTCGTCGTATTCTATTAACATATACAACGCGAACCTTAATTTTCTCACAAAAGGCGAGATCCGAATAGCAAGTTTCATCGACAACAACACCTTCGCTCCCAATAACCTCATCATTCACCAAAACAGCAGCCAATGAAGACGTCAAGATGACTCTTTTGATAGACGGGGATTTGAGGCACGAGCTAAGGACATTCAAGGTCCCATCGACTGCAGGCCGGATAAGCTCGGCCTGAGGATCCTTAATATCTCCGAATAGGACAGGGGATGCCGTGTGGAAGACACCGTGGCATCCTCGGACAGCCTCATCGAAGGAGCCTTGTTCGATGAGGTCGGCTTGGAATAGCGAGAGGCGTTGCTCGGCACCCGGGAATGCCTTGAGATAGTCGACCCGGGCCGGGTCCCGAACCGTGGCCCGGACAGTGTAGCCATTTTGAAGGAGAAGGTGAATGAGGGATGAAGCTATGAAGCCTGATGCACCTGTTACACATACTACTTTTCCTTCTCCTGAATTCATATCTTTACTATGTTTATGTATTTTGCTTCTGTGTATTGTATACTTACCAGTAAATCTAATTTAAATGCATTGGGACATCAGCATTAAAAATTAAAAATAAAAATATTCTTTTTTTCATTCAAATTTATTTATTTATTTATTTTTAATAAAAAAAATATCAATGAGAAGAGAATCGAAAGAACCCGTGAATAAGACCAGGCAACGTTGCTTTCAACCGCCTGCTTAGCATTAAACTATCACCAATTATTATTATTATTATTATTATTATTATTGAACTTACCTACTAAGTTTTCATTGGATTTCTTTATTTATATTAATTTTTTATGGTAATATTTTATTTATGCATTGAAAGCATCGTATTTTGGCATGGTTTGGGACTTAACAAATATTTTAATTAGTGGCACAACACGAAACTATCCTTAAATATTTTGTGTATCAACAAAGTGATTACAAATAAATTTGACCTAATCAATTTCCCTTCCTCAGTTGAACAAGACAAAACTATTTGTTACATATGTTTTGAAGGTATATTAAGTTTTGAGATTAGTAATAAGAAACTATTTAATTTAATATAACTAGTCTGAATACTAGATGGAATGTATTGTATTGTATATAAATATATTTATTTCAAATGAAACTATTAAACTAAAAGATAATTTAAAGAAAATATAACAGAGCCAAATTTTTAGTCACCTAGTACTATAATGCCAACAGAGTCCAGTTATGAAACTACTAACTAGTTATTATTGGCCCTCCAACAAGTGTCTGGGCCTAGGGTTTGTCTAGGCTTGTTTTGTTTTAGCCCCAAACATCATTCACGTTTTTTAATTTATATACTAATTATTAATAAAAATATTATTAAAAAAAACCTCAATCAAAAACAAAAATACCTCCAATTTTTCCGTTAACTATACATACGTAGCTCATTGTTATAGATACGATTATTAACTTGGTGAATCAATATTTTGTGGACTGATCACATTAAAAAAGATTTAAATAATATAAATATTTTAATTCAATTCATTGAAAAATAAATTAAATAATTCACTCATAATGAAAAGTTTTCAAAAAAACAAAAGGAAAAGAACACACTAAAACATGAAGTCAACGCAAAATAAAGTCAACACGTACAGCACGTAATTTTTGACAAGCATGTGATGCGATCATGCGATGATCATCTGATACGATGAAACGTGTCGCATCACTTGTATTAAACATTAATATCTCCAAACGCCATTTTTCAACCATTCCAAATATTAAATAACTTTATGTTTTATTATTCTTTTCTTTATTTTACATTATTTATTTATTGAGAAGGAATATTTAATTTATACCGTGTCCTCTCCCCCTTGCCCAAACATACCTAAGCTGTTAGTTAACCAAAGCCTAAAAACCTCTCTATTCCCACCTCAAATGGAGAGACATGTCGTCCATACTTACGTTGTTATTACCATTTTCACTTCACTTATTACCATACTAACATGCAAATGCAATGCAGCAACTGATAATAATAATAATGTAACGTGTCTTACCAGGGACAGGAGAGCCCTCCGGGACTTCAAGTCCGGCCTGATCGATCCCGACAACAGCCTCTCGTCGTGGCGAGGCGCAGCCTGCTGCCGATGGATGGGAGTCGTGTGCGATAACTTCACCGGTGCTGTTACAGGCATTCGCCTCCACGGCCTGAGAGGAGAAATCGGACCTTCTCTGGTTCAGCTTAGATCATTAAAGCACCTAGATTTGAGCTATAGCGAATTCGAAGGTGTCGAGATACCTGGATTTCTCGATTCGTTGGAGAATCTCGAGTATCTGAACTTATCGAATGCTGGATTTGGCGGGACAGTCCCGCCGGGGCTTGGAAACCTGTCCAGGTTGCAGTATCTCGACGTTTCGAATCAGGGCTTTCCGGGCGTGGCTGTCGACAACTTCCGGTGGGTAACGGGGCTGGTTTCTTTAAAATATCTTGGGATGGATGGTGTAGACTTGTCATCGTCGCTGAGCTCCGGGTTGTTTAGGATGCTGAATTTGTTGCCTGATTTAACCGACGTGCATCTCTTGGGGTGCGGCTTGACAGGCTCGATCTCGGTTTTGCCTGACGATCATATTAACTTCACTTCACTTGCTGTAATAGACCTGAGCTTCAATAGCTTCGATTCGATCTTCCCTGATTGGCTTGCCAACATCACTAGCCTCGTGGATATCGATCTCAGCAATTGTATGCTCCGAGGAAGGATCCCACTTGGATTGAGCAACATACAGGGGCTTCTATCCTTGAACCTTGCCTTGAACCGGAATTTATCTGCCAGTATTCACACTCTACTCGGCGGCGCCTGGCAAAGCATAGAAGTTCTTGATCTTGCCTCCAACAGAATACACGGGAGGCTTTCGAAAGGCATTGGGAACCTGACATCCCTGACTGACTTGAACCTGTTCGACAACAATATCACCGGTGGCATCCCAACCACGATTGGGATGCTCTGCAAGTTAGTGAATCTTGACATTTCTGGAAATCAGATGATTGAGGCATTACCCAAGGAACTTACGGAAGGTGAAGAGTGTGGAGGTGACGATACTTTGCCTGAATTAGAGACTGTAAGATTGAGCGCGAACATGATGACAGGCTCGCTGCCAGATTGGCTGGGGAAGCTCAGGAATCTGAAGGAGCTCTCTTTGGATTCCAACATGTTTGAAGGCCATTTGCCTGACTCTCTAGGTTCGCTTGGAAACCTAACTAATCTGAGCTTTGCAAATAACAGACTGAATGGCACATTGCCATCGGGTATCGGGCACCTATCAAAGCTGGTAAGTCTCGATGCTGCCTCAAACTTTTTAACAGGTGTATTATCCGAGTCTCATTTCTCCAAACTGTCAAATCTTAGGATCTTGAACTTAGCTTTCAATTCATTAACCCTGAATGTAAGCTCCCGGTGGAGTCCCACATTCAGAGCCCGGAACCTCAACATGGCGTCGTGTCAGTTAGGTCCTTCATTCCCAGGATGGCTTCAGTCTCAGACTGGGCTCGAATTCCTCGACATATCGAATGCAAGCATCTCAGGCTCAATACCAGGCTGGTTTTGGGACCTCACTTTCAACCTCTCTTTGCTAAACATCTCAAACAATCAGTTGCAAGGTCGGGTCTCGAGCTTCATTCGGGTTAAACCTCAGGCAGATGTAGATTTAAGTTCCAACTTGTTTGAGGGAACAATTCCCCTTCTCAATGTCCCCATTGAGCTGTTGGATCTCTCGAATAATAAATTCCATGGCCAGATTCCTCAGAACATCAGTACCATGATGCCAGACCTGATTTTCCTTTCTCTTGCTGGAAACCAACTGACTGGAGAAATTCCATCAGGGCTAGGGAACATGTCATACCTTTCTGTGATTGATCTTTCAGGAAATCACCTGACAGGAAGCATACCTGAGAGCCTAGGCAATTGTTTTTACTTGAAAGTGTTAGATTTAGGAAACAACAGACTGTCTGGTGAAGTCCTGAGCTCTATAGGTCAATTAAATCAGCTTCGATCCTTGCACTTGAATGGAAACTTGATATCGGGAAACCTGCCCGTTTCTTTGCAGAACCTGTCCAGGTTGGAGACTCTAGATCTTGAAAGAAATAAGTTGGGAGGAGCCTTGCCAGAATGGCTTGGTGAGGGCTTCACTGCTCTCAGAATTATGAACTTGAGGGCTAATGCATTCTCTGGGGAGATCTTGCTCAATTTTGCTACCTTGAGTGCACTCCAGGTGCTTGATCTTGCCGGAAACAACCTGACAGGGAGGATTCCAACAAGCATCGGAGACCTTAAAGCCATGGCAAAGGAGGAAAGGACAGTCGAGCATCTGTTATATGGGAAATACAGAGGTGTTTACTATGAGGAAAGCCTGGTTGTGAATTGGAAGAACCAATCCCAGAAGTTCACCAAGATGCTGTCGCTGGTGACTGCTGTAGACCTGTCCGGAAACAACCTGTCAGGGGAAATACCTGTCGATATAACAAGGTTGCATGGCCTGATGGTCTTGAACCTGTCAAGAAACCACATCAGTGGACAGATACCCGAAACCATATCAATGTTACGGCAACTGGCATCACTTGATTTATCGAATAATGACCTGTCCGGGCCTATTCCAGCAAGCATGGTTTCGCTGACATTTCTTGCGTATCTTAACCTGTCGAATAATAAGCTTTCTGGAAAGATCCCATATGTGGGGCAGATGTCAACTTTTGATGCTGAAGCATTTCAGGGGAATCCCGAGCTCTGTGGAACCCCCCTGGAAAGTTGCCCTAGTGAAGATACAGGCAAAGAGAATGATGTTAGCAGTGAGCACGACAATAGATTAGTTGATAACTGGTTTTACCTAAGTCTGGGATTGGGTTTCACAGCTGGGATTTTTGTTCCTTACCTCATACTGGCAATGAAGAAGCCATGGAGCGACAAGTACTCCGATTTTCTGGATAAGTGTGTAGCAAATTTGTTTGGCTCAAATAGATAAGAACTGCTCATATTCAAAAAAATTGAGGAAAAGAAACAAATCAAATAATGAAGAGCAGCAATTACTTACCATGACTGCAATGAAAGGCACCAAAGAATTCTACAAACCCCCAGAGGTACAAGAATTGACAATCAAAGTGATTTCAGATTCACTCTCATTTGTTGCATTGCCATATAGTATATACAGTAAACAGAAATATTCATGAAGAATGTAATAAACAACTTGATTCATTATATCCGGTTGCCAATCGCCAATGACAAAAATCAATACATTTTTAATATACTACCATGCAAGAGGACTAGTATCACTCACAAGAACAAAAAGATAGATGTGTTGCACATCCAGTCATCAACTGATTACATGGAATATAGCAAGGATATAAAATCCTCATTAACTAATCTGATTCAAAAGTAGTGTCGAATTACAACAAAATATATCATCCAATTATACTCAAAATTGTGAGTTGCTGAGAAATGTGACCATGCATCTTGTGCTCTGGAATAAATAATCTATACTTTGCCATACAGTGGACTGAATCTCGAGCAGTTTACATGCTTTTTGCTGTAAAACTGGCTGGCGGCGTACGCTTTCACCGTGAATCTGACCACAAAAGAAAGGTATTAAATTCAGATCAAGATTACACCAATCAAACAAGAAAAACATGCATAATTAATGAAATTTAGCTTTCATTCTTTTTATGGTGTTCATGAATTAATAAAGGAACTTTAATTTCACCTTAAGTTTGACCTGCTAAATACTACTCAGTAATCTGAGAGTAACAAAAATAACCCAAAAAACAAAGAAGATACCTTCAAGAATAATCTGATCATAGCCTGTAGGAACTCGAAGTTATTTTTAAATGAAATCTCTTGTATAAAATAATCCAGTAGAAGTTCAATAAACTGCAGTTCCGGCCTATTGCTTGGCTCTTGGCTGTCATCATCATCTACAATCTGAAGCATACGGAGTTCCATGTCCAAGCTTGAAGCCGATAAGCCTTTAACATAATCCGTAAATGCTGCAACTGTACAGATTGAAGCAAGCACGGATGAAAAAGGTTTGTTTCCACCTCAAAAGAAATTATCATTACTCAAAAATCAAATCTAACATGAGAAATGGTGAAATGGGAACTTACAATTCTTTTTCTCTGCTGAGGACAGAAGGTACTGCAGAAATTGAGATACTAATACATCAGATTTTTCCTGTGTCTTCTCAGTTTCAGCAATTTGTAAATCTTTCTTGTCGTCAGCAGATTCTCTAGGTTTAAACACAATCTCCCCAGAAAGAGTTGGAATTGAAGGTAAGAAGAAAGGGGCCTTTTCAGGTTTCTTTGGTGGCTCGATTGGTTTGTTCCTCTCCTTTATAAGATCCAAATTGATCAAGCTTTGCCACTGAGTCTTGGGCAACAGTGAAAGAGTCACAAGGTTGGGTATCTGTTGGTCTGGAATGGAGTGATAAGTATCATGTGTCTCTACAGAGTTTACTTTGGAGTTGTCAGAATCACCGTCTGTAGACATCTTCACTGATGAGATGGAAGGCAAGTTGACACTTACGACTTCATTGCCGCTGCCATAGGAACCGGCTTTTGCAGGAGCAGAAAACATTTCTTGATTAACCCATAGGTAAACCCCAACCTGATCCACATGTGTGGTTGCTAGTACATCCATATTTGGCGATAGAGACAGCGCTGTTATAGACACATCAACATGTATGGCATCTATTTGTTGAGCAAGGATTACATCCCATATTCTGAGAGTCCCATCCATGCTGGATGTCAAAAGCCACTTTCCGTCTTCACTGAAGCACATATCTGTTACACGGTCAGAGTGGCCTTCAAATTTCCTAACCATCTTCAATGAGACAACATCAAATACGCGGATAACAAAATCATCAGCTACAGTAGCTAAAAGACCATTGGAACGTTGATAAACAATCTTGACCAGCGAACAACCAATTTCCCATCTGGATTTTACTTCACGCCCTTTGAAATCCCAAACCTTCACATCTCCATAGAAACCTGCACTTATCATTACAGTGTTTGTTGAATCACATGCAACACCAACAACTTCTCCATTGTGAGCACATGGCTTTCTCTCTGAAACATCAATGTAGCTTCCTCGACTAATTCCTGACTGAAGGTTAAATCGCTCAATCCAACCACCTGCATTCCCTAAAACTGCAAAATTGCCACATGCACTGATGGCACAGGTTTTAACAGGGGTTGGATCTTGTGGACAGGGCGTTAGTACGTGCTCGCCAATCACAAAATTTTGCAGCCTCCAAACGTATGCCTGAGGTGTATCTACGTGGCATGTTACTACATTGCACCAGTCTCTCTCCCTAATCTCAGCAACATCAAACGCAATAACAGGTTTGAGTTTTATTTCGGCCTCCTTCATCTTGAGCTTTTTTGCCCTTTTGCACACATGGCGTTGAGAAAGTTCTCTACTTTGCTGGTCCTGGATGACAGAAAAGAGCCGAAAAGCACGATCCTGGCCTGCAGATAGAATGTGTCTTCCGTTTGCATAGAATTTGATACACAAGGGAGGAGCACTGTGTCCACTTCTAAATCGTAGAAGTCGAGGATCTCCATCAGTAGTATCGAAAATCCACATTTTTAAAGAGTTGTCTGCAGATGAGCTCATCAGTACAGGTTCATTTGCGAGGAAGTGTAGGGACACTATAGAACAGTCATGGGCCTCTCCAATGATTGACTGAAGTCTCCTCTTCTCAAGATTCCATATACTTATGACACCGGATGAACCACCAGAAGCTAAAAGGGGTTGTCCATCAGTGCTGAAAGCTAAGGCAGTCACTGAACCCCGAGTAGAGTGACTAAATGTAACAACTTCTTCATCATATCGAATGTTGTGAACATGAACCTTTCCATCAGAACAACCAACACCAACAACATCCAGTGCTGGTGATGAAACACAACAACATATGGCTGCATTCCACCCTTTGAACTCGTAAAGTTTTTTCTTAGTGCTAATGTTCCATAGCTGCAGGGAACCTTCTTGACTTCCCATAATTACCTGGTAACAAGGTTTTTATAAGAAATTGGTCCAGATATAATTTAAAAGTTGTAGGATAAGTATACAATCTAGCTATGACATTCCTACGATTATGTTAATCATGAAGAGAAGGTACCTTGTTCAGGTAAGTATCAGGATGCATTATGCAACTCGGCGTGAAGCTGCTTTCTAGTGAAATATGACCAACTGGAGAAAGGTTCTCAGTCACTCCTTTAAAGGCCCAGATGAAAACATTGCCTTTAACATCAGTGCTCAAGATATGTTCACCAAAGAGAAGTAAGTGATTTACCTTAGCCTTATGGCCAGCCCAAGTTGCCACCTGTGAAAGTTGATGTTCCATGCTTATTGATTATGTTAATCAATTAAGTAATCGCACACACACATATATAGAGAACAATTTCTGATTGGTAAAAGAATCCTATCATGCTTGTGAAAAAAAAAACGCTTAGGCAATTTTTTTACAGTTCTAGCCTTCAAGTAACTATCATAAATTTTACTATTCACAGAAATAGTATATCTCAAATAAGCATATACGAGGTGGGATGCATTTGAGAAATACAAATAAGGAAATTCAAAGAACAAATGAAATTTCATGTTATCTTTCCTAGAAATCAAAATACCTGATGGGCACGCTTAAAAACAGCTATATCCTGTCCGTATGCAGCAAACGTATAGTTGCGATAAGAGGCCAAAGCCCGAATCTTCTTTGGCAGCTGCGGACCTGCACTCCACATGCACTTACATAGTTACACACAATTCAACGTGACAGAAAACAGGATAATGTAATCATAGACTAATCAACAATACTGGAGTGTGAAAGAGATTGGAACCGTACGAAGAGACTTTCTATAATATACAAATCAGGAAGAAAAGCACAATGTTCGTATCTCAAAGAAAATATTCTAGCCGCTACTTAACGAAGAATACTTCCTCGCCAAACTAATATACACTAATAGAAAAACGAAAAGGCATAATAAGTATCTCAAGCTTCAGATAAGCAGGCAGTTCCATACTAACAAATAAGTCGAACATTCAGTAAAGGGCTGAAGTTTACCAACAATGACTAGATTGAGCTTCGCGCACTGCAAACAAACAAAAAAACAACTAAACAAAGTTAGATTCAAACCGAAGAACAAATAAAAATTCTTCCAAATTTTGAAACCATAAAAACATAACATATCCACATTATTGGAAGACCTAACACTTACGTTGTATATTTGGAAGGCTTTGCCAACGCTGACGGTGACAAACGTCTCGGTGCCCAACCGCTGAACCGAGAAGGGGACGTTGGTGCTTATGTATCCGATTGCTCGAAATGGCTCGAATATACCCATCCTGTCCACCTCTTCACAATCTTGCGGAAAATAAATGTACGGCGGCGACGGCAGCTGCGGCGGCGAAGAACTCCACCGTAGGTGTAGGGGCGGAGAGGTTCAGGGTTTTGGAAAAACGCAAATCGAGTGAAATCGGTTTGATGGCTTTTTATATATACTGCACATCGGAATTACTAAAATACCCTCCACAGTAAACTGCGATAAATTTACTGAAATATTTTGTATACAGAAACCCTAGTGGACTGGGTGATCGACAGCCATGGGAATTCTATCTTGGTTCGGCGGAGGCAGGCGCAACGGCAAGAAGGAAGAGGCTCCGGCGGCGAAGCCGGACCCGAAGCCACAGGCTGTGGAGGTGCCCGGCATGAATGGGGCGGTGGAGGTTCCAAGGCCCGCTACTTTTGCAGCGGATGTGTCGGTTTTCGAGTTTGGTTCGGTGGCCGCCTCGGTCGACAAGGTGACGCTGGCGGGGTACTGCCCCGTCTCCGACGAACTGGAGCCTTGCCGGTGGGAGCTCTTACCGGCGAGCGGCTCCGACGCGCCTCAATTTCGCGTTGTATTCTGAATTTTGAGAGCGGGTTGAGATAATGCGAGAGAGAAGCGAAGAGGGAGCTTGATTTAATGGTCTTTAGTGAACTTTGCGTCTTTGGTGGTTTGATCAAAGAGGATATTGTAGCTTGTACTTATGATGGAGGTTTTTCTCATGAATAATTTTTATTGATTAAGGTTATTGAGATCCAGCACAGTTGGTTACTAAATTCTGGATTCGCACCATTCTATTGCTTATTTTCGGGCATACATGGAAATGAATTAGTTTTCTTGTAGTATTGCATGTTATCGTTTTATTTTCTTGATTTGCTGTATATTATAATGCATATGTGTGTTATGTGCATAGAAATGGTGGTGTTGCTCGTCAATGGCCCGTTTCTTTGCGTCTGACGGTCTGAGTGATCTAAGTTTCAATCTTGCTTGAGGGCTGTGAATGATTCGCAATTTGCCGCCTTGAAATGTTACTTCTGAAATTTAAGCAGCCATATGGAATTGATCATTTTGTAGTGTTTTAATGGTTTGATGGGGCAGCTCTCTATGGAATTGATCATTGTGCAGTGTTTTAATGGTGTAATGGAGCAGCTCTATGGAATTGATCGTTGGGTAGTGTTTTAATGGTGTAATGGAGCAGCTCTCTATGGAATTGATCATTGGGTAGTGTTTTAATGGTGTAATGGAGCAGCTCTATGGAATTGATCACTGTGTAGTTGTTTAATGGTTTAATGGAGAGCTTTGTGGCTTTTCTAGTTTTGAGTTCTTGAATCCATAGAAAACAACTAAGAATTTGTAATGATATTTGATCTGCAGTGAGAGTAGATGATATATATATATATATATGTATGCCTATATTTCTTGCTATTGACCATCCAATGAATCCAATAATTGCTGGCACTTCATTTGCTTAATTTGGTTGTTATTTGTTCATATATCATCTGAAAATATGTGGTTTTGGAGACCCTTTTCTTGATACTTATGTCAGGTTTAGGAAGTCCTAATAGCCCTCATTTGATTGAGTGTTAATTTGTCTTCCAAGCCACTTTTCTTGCCATGATTTTTGTATGAAACTTGCCATTCTTTCTTGGGCTCGGATAATATCAAATAACCATCAGACACTGAACCATTAATTCAAATCAGTTACACTGAAAGTGGTTTACTTTTTGTTATGCACTCTGAATTTCAGGACAAAGGAGGAGAAAGGGAGAAGGATAGCCTTTGGTTTAAAGTCCCACAAACTGCCAAGAAGCTGATTTGACAAGGCAGTATAGGTACACAACTCTTCTTTCTCAGTTACTACTACCCACAAGTTTTTCTCCTCCATTCATCCCTTTTCTTACTTTACCCCTTCAACTGCTCATCAATGGCTGCCCTCTCAGCCAACCCTTTTTCCCTCTGCATATCTACGCCATACACTACCAAAAAACTTCGAAGAAAATTCTCACCTTTACTTGCTTCTTTAAGTCCTTCTGCAGCAGCTTCGAATGAATCATCGCCCTTATCGTCAGCCACAAAAACAGAGAATAAAGCAGAGAATTTCAGTGTGTCAGCAGAAGGGTCATCCTTTAAAGGGCCCTATGCTGAGGCCTCAAAGCCGCCGGAGCTGTCGTATAACCATAATTGGGGAAATCCGAAGGCTAGCCCAGTTGTGCAACTACTGCAGTCTACTGAGTCCACCATTGAGAAGGTATTGTAATTTCTTCAGAATTACTCCAGCTTTAATATCGATTTTTTGTATAACAAGGAGTTTAATCTTAGCAGGTTATATTCGACTTTAGGTTTTTGGCACTTCTGGCCATTGGGGGCACACTTGCTGGTTCTCTGCTTTGCTTTCTCAATGTAATTCTCGACTCCTTTACAGTTCTTGATTATGAAATTTCAGGCCATCGATGTTCCGAATTCTTGTCTGTGATTTTTGTGTTAAATCTATCCTTTCAAAAGACCTTTACTGCATCATGGTTGGCTGATTGTTCGTGATCAATGGAAACAAAAGATTTGGTTAATGATTGAGATGTTATTATCGTTAGATCAGAGGATGCAAAAGTAGTTTAGATTCGTGTTGGTCAAGTAAATAGGATCCGTCTTCATGCTATTCCCAAACCTTTTGAAAAAAAAAACTAACTGGATTCAAAATTGCACCTCACATAGACAAGTTCCTGTGCTTCACAAAAATCAGAACTTCTTGTAGGGATGTGTATATATATTCGACGCATACAAGCTATATTGGACCTCCTGCATCAAGGGGGTACACTCCGGCCAAATGGTCCTACGACTGGTTGAAGCCATAGGTGAGTTAGTTTCTCAGTTCTTACCGACATTTTTAACACGATCAATATAATGTTTGCGTACGTTGAATGTTCTTACATTGAGATGCTCATTTGACCTTATATTTCACGTTGATTCATCAATTTTCCTAATAACTTCCTCGTGTTCCAGATGTGTATCTAGCCGGGACAGTCATGCTAATATTCGGCATGGGCTTGTACGGATTATTCATCTCCAACGTGCCTCCCAATGTGGCTCCTATTACCGATCGTGCTCTTAAGGGATCTTCCTTGTTCGGGATGTTTGCTTTAAGGGTATTATATGTATACTTTTAATGGTCAGTATTTTTATTTTTTTTTCGATTGTGTCTATAGCCGAATACACTTGAAAACAATGTGTAGGAGAGGCCAAAGTGGATGAAGATCAGCTCGCTGGACGAGCTGAAGACGAAGGTGGGGCATGTGATAGTGATGATCCTTCTGGTGAAGATGTTCGAACGGAGCAAGATGGTGACGATCGCGACCGGGACAGACTTGCTGAGCTACTCAGTCTGTATATTTTTGTCGTCGGCTTCTCTGTACATTCTCCACAACTTGCACAGGCCGGAATCGGAATCGGAATCGCATTAAGGTTTGGGGAATTATCGCAAGTTGCAAGAGAAGTATATATGTAGATAAAGATATATAACGCCCTTTTCTCTTGTTATTCTTACCATAACTGATTTTAGCTGTAAATAGAATTTAAAGTACTCGATGCTATATTGTAATTAAAATATATCGATATTATGTATGGGTTGATTGGTTTTGATTCTAAATAATTTTACTGTTTAGTCGGTTCTTTAAGTGTAAATTTAGGGTGTGTTTGTTTGGGGGTTTGGATTTTGAGTTGGGATTGTTTTGAATGTAAAATTGATTTTTAATATAATATAAAAAATGAAAAATAAGTGTTTGATTTGATATTTTTGGAAAAAAAATTTTAGATGAATAGTAGAATTTTGTCTAAATTGGTAAGTAGTACTCCCTCCTAAATTAAAATTAAAATATCTTGAAAGAGTATAAATATTTGTTATAAAATAAGATTACGATTACAAAATAGGAAAAAATAAATGAACAAAACTTTACTGGAATGGAGGGAGTATTAAAAATAAATTCAATTAAAGTAGTAGAAAATGACTTATTTTCTTATTTTTTATTTTTGTCAAACATTCAATATATTTTTTAAAAATATTAATATATTAAATATAATCATTACTTTTATATTATTTAAACAATTTTTTTTTCACATAACATAATTTTTCTTTCAAACTAAAATACAAAACAAACAATCTCATAAAATTATTTTAGCTGGCTTGAAATTTACACAGGCCTAGTTAATTTTGAATTTTAATATTGAAATTACATAGCTAATTAGTTACACTTTCAAACAAAATTATACCTCAATAAAAAAAAAAATTAACTTTAAATTTGGGTCAAGCTCGTATCACATACACAATAACGACGCATTAATTAATATATTATACATATTTATTTTATAAAATTATTTAAAAAATTAAAATTAAATCAATTTTTTTTTATTTATTATTTTATATTAAAATTTAATTTAACCTTCAAAATATCACTTCATAAAAATTTTAAATCAAATCATGAAATTTTACAACTATACTGTTCAAATCTCAATATCCACGTAAAGACCCGCGACCAAACACGGCCCGATAGACCGCCGATTTTTAAACCTATTAATAATAGATTTAAAACTCGGCTCTCTCACATAGAAACCCTAGATTGAGGCGAATAGCTTATAAACCCTAAATCAAATTCTTCTCCCTCCGAGGAAAACCAAATTTGGGAAGATGACTCAGAAGGGGAGCCTGTTCAAGGGCCAGAAGAAAGCGAAATCGATTCCTCCCAATCGCCACGGCAAAGTCTCCCAGACTCGAAAAGGTAGTTTCGTGGCACGAAGCCCACAAGTTCATTGATTTTCCGTTTTATAGCGAATCTGATTGTTGATTTTCTTTTTGTTGGTTAAGGGAAGAGAGTGGTGAAGCCATCGAAGGTGACCAAGAATATGAGTTCTGATAAGGTAATAAACTTAATTGCTTCAAATCACAAGTTCCGTTTTGTATGTGTTTATTGTTTGAACTCTCCCAAGTAACATAAACAATGACAATTTGCTTAGAAAATTATTTTATCTTTCGGCTTGAATGTGTTCGACACATTATACTGAGTTAGATATATAACCTCTTCATGGGGCGCTCAATAGCCAAGGCCCTAGGGAGTATACGGAGTAGGAATTGGTGAACTTGGTCTAACCTTTAACTATTCGATAGATATTACATTAAAATTACTCCCATTGAGAGTATAGGATGATCATGAGGTTGGTGATATGTGGGGTTATCAGATCAGGCTCACCTATTTATGAGGAGTAACCAAGCAATCTTATGAAGATTGCAATTTGTTTTTGTTTTTGACAGGAAGTGACCAAGTTTATAAATTACTGCAATGAGGTAAAAGCTGCAACACTAGCTAACAAAGACGGTGGCCAATTGAGCATTATTAAACCCCAGTTAGATTCCTCGAGTGATGCCAAGAAGTAAATGCCCGTTATGAGAGGTTAAGGTGTATGATTTTGGTGCGTTCATGCTAATGTTGTCGTTTTGGTAAATTATGATCGGTTTTCATCGTGCATATTTCATTAATTATTAGCTAGGTGAATAGTATATATTGTTGCACTTTATGTTGAAACCTGATTTTCTTGCACACAGATATAAATGAAATGAGATTTTTAACTCTTTTGTGCCAGTCAATGCTTGTTTCCCATTCGTATCTTTCTGTGGGTAATTTGAATCCTGGATGTCAGTTAAGAAATGACCCCTTCCCCCCCCCCCCCTCCCCCTCCCCCTCCAAAAAAATAAAATAAATAAATAAATAAAAGAGAAGAAAGAAAGAAAACCATGCTGTCCATATGCCTGAACTCTTCGGGAGATGGCATGAGATTATTTCGGACACAATGTGATACCCAGTTCTGAATGATGATAAATTAGATCACCTATATCACTAGGGTGCATCTTCCTTTAGAAGTTCTCTAGTAAAAACTCCAAAGTTTTGCATGCTGGGTTTGGGAATTTCAAGATAGGTTACCTTTTAGGAAGTTTCTTAGAGTTCGTGTGTGTGTGAGGGCAAAGTGTGCTAAAATGGTATGTGTTGATTTTTCATTTATGGGCCAGTTTATTATTATATAGCACACCTGGTTTGCAACAGAGGTTGGAGAGGGGCCAGGATCTTACACTAGCACCTAGATAGAGAAATATTATTGGGCTTTATTCAGTCAAATAATAATCATAGAATACTTATCTGCAAAGTAATAGAATAGCTGAATTTAAACATCTCTATTGTTTTCTGGGTGGAAGATATGAAAAACAGTTAATGATGCTGTGTTGTGTGCATTATTCAATCTCTAGTAGGAAGATCTTTTCCAGCAAGAAAATGTCGAATGAGGGTGAGAGCTCTTTCAGGCTGGTAGGCTGGCACTTGATGCCCTGCCCCTCTTACCGTAGCAAATCTTAGGTTGCCTTCATATTCCTGGGTATACCCTCCAATCTGAAATAATAATAATAATAATGTTATGTGAATTTACTTGAACTACTACCTCAAGCATCTTATACAATCTCTGATTTTCTTAGAGAAAATAATAATAATAATATAAATAATAATCACTTGTGCCAGAGTGTGAAAATAGTGCTAGCTTCAACACTACTGTATTATGCTAAACTAGTGGCACTATGACTATGCCATAGTGTGCCGGTAGTTGTATTGATTGAGTGATATAAATTAGAAGCAAAGTTTGAATAAGTATTACCTGTCCTCCTGAGTACCAAGGAAGGTATGCGGATTTAGGGTGAAGCTTCATCTTTTCAAAGCAAAGATTTGTCGTAGTAAATGGTATTCTTGCGTCCACATCCCCACTGTAATTTTACACCAATAAAGATACACACTTTTGTGTCTGTCTGTATTATGTATATGCACAAGCAGTAATATATACGGGATTGTGAGGGAAAGTGGTTCACTAGATTCTAACCGTTAATATGATGAAATTGAGTTACTTAAGTGATAAGAAAGTTACCAGAATATGCAGTTAGAATTACCTATATATCCAAACTCGAAGATTGCTGCCAAGGAGGTCTTTGATGAGGGGCATGACTGTTGATGGGGAATCTGTCCATTCCTTGATGACGACACTGTAATTATTTTGTGTTTCTCGAAATGAGCTGCCTTTGTTAATTAGTTTGAAGACTTCTGATTAATTTTCAAATATTTAACCTTTATATGCTCGTAGATATGCTGTTATCAATGACTTAACTCTATCGATAACTGCCAGAATTTGTTCTTACCTGCATCCGCTCCATCCGTAGTGAAGTTTAGTAACATTAGCATGTAGTGCCTGTTGAACATCTGCTCTGTTTAGGTATGCATTCACATAACTGAGGATGCATGGATCGATATCCCTTCCCTGCACGTACATTCTCATATTATTGAAAATTTTAGTAAAACGAATTCAAGAAATAGAGAATGTAGTTGAAGTTGATTTAAAACTCACTGCAGTCTTCTTAGGCTTCTCAGTGAGGTTTGAATTCAAGCACAATGGTGCGTAGATGTTGTACGGATTAATACCAGCTATGTTAGTATTAAGTTCTTCCTGAGCCTCTAGGCATTTATATGATGATCCCTTATCGATGTTTATAGGGAAATCGCAGTGCTTGAGAATTTGTGCTGTAGTCTCCCCGGAAATTATGGCATGATTTCCAAGATACTCGATCATACCTCTGTCGTCAGCCTCATCCTCTAACGATGGGTTCCCGATCTGCATTGTGTCCACACCACTATTTAGATGTGGCGTAAATCTGACGGAACCCACTTTGGGTTGGTAAGTTTACTCGCAAAGCTACACGACTTGTTTCTCGAGATCAAGAGACAAGTTTTGGGTAAGTGAGACTTACAATGATTCCTTTGAGGTTAATCAAAGTAGTCTTGGCCTTTCTATTGTTGTGTAGAATTGTTTGTGCCAACATTGCCCCGTAGTGCCCGATATAGCTCTCTCCGGATATGTAAAATTCTCTACGTTTGTACTCGGGAAATCTTTCTAACCAATTGAGTAAGAATGCATAGTTATCAATCGTGGTTCGCCTGTCCCCTCCGGTAGTGAAGTCCGCCGTGGTGTTGGAGTAGGAGAAGCCGACACCCGCCGGCGACTCCAGGAACAGCACATTTGCAGCTGCAAAAGTTTGACATTCATATATACACATAATTAAGTTCGACACCGTAAAATCGCTGCCTTCAACTTTTTATCCAGCCGACATCAACGCCGGCCATATTATTTTAAAAATACATATAATATAGGGCATACAATTCGTTTTTGCTCAGGGCTCCAAAGAAGTCCGAAACGCGCCTATACACATAGATATAATGACCAGGGAGGGCAACATACCATTGTTCCAGGAAAATTTGTTCTTGTAGAGTGTTTTCCCGTCGCTGCAGACATGAAATGGCCCGAGTTCTTGCATTGCACCGTAGCCAAAAGAAGAACAACCCGGGCCTATTCAACATTGCCGATCACTTCTCTGTTAAATCGTCATGTGTGTGTGTGTATATATATGTATATATATATGCGTGTGTGAGGCTTACCTCCATTAAGCCAAAGAAGAAGGGGTAAGGAATGCTTCTGAGAGGTCTTCGTCTCGACAAAGTAGTAGTAAAGAGCCCGGCCTGCTACCTGGTCCACCGTGACATACCCGCCGTACTGCTCGAAGTCAGCCTCCGGCTGCCCGGGTAGTCTCTTGATCCGATCGTTCTCTCTTAGCTGGGAAGCTTGGTGTGGTTGGATCTCTAAATGGACGAAAGAATCAATGTCGTCAATGCAGAATTGTGCGGTGTCGAGACTGTTCTTCAGCAGCAGCTCACTCCTGTAGGGATATGAAAGGGTTCGATCAGTGTGCTTCTCTGCTGCTGCTGAATTGAAGAAGAAGAAGATGATGATGATGATGATAATGGTGAAGAGGATTAGGGGTTGTTTGTCTGTCATTGTTAATTTAGAAAAGGAATTTGGAGAGATTGAAGAGAAGGGATGAGTTACTAGTACAGTACACTAACTCTACTATACTACAACTGCTACTGCTACTACTCTCTTTAATGGCTTGGCCTGCCTATGTATTATTAGTACGGCGGCCATTAGATTACAACTAATCAACATGTAATAAAGAGTATAATGAGCATAAATATAATATAATAATATATATTATATTAGTTTTCACAATATATATTTCAATTGATGTGAACACAGCACATATATAGCATAAATTTGAAATACATGATATATATATATATATATATATTGATTTAATTAAGTCATGCATTGAAGAATAGATCATTGATTAGAACTCATTAATATAATGTTGATTAGCCCAACACCCCAACATTCTCCTATTATTATTATTGATATTGTTATGCTTTTACTATGGCTATATGCATATGTCTATAATGAAAAACTTTTTGAGAGGTAGCCAAGTCAAGTCACATGTAATTTGTCTCCCAAGGCTTGATTCATAATATTTGTAATAAATAAATAAAAATATATGAATAATAAAAAACAAACAATCATCCAAACGAAACACACATAACATTAAGTTTCTATTCAACATATGCCCATCCAACTATTATTTTATTTTTCAAATATAAAAATAAATAATTCAAAATACAAATTAATGTAGTACCTCATTTATTACTATACAACTTTTTATTTGCACAAATCAGTAGATGTTACGAATAGGATATGTTCATTGTGACACTCGGCCGCTAACTCCGAAAGCACATTTAATTTTTAAAAAAATTAATTGTTTTAAAATCTATATATATATATATATATATATATATGAACATTATAAAAATGAATCGGCTCTGTTCACTCAGGTATATTGTACGATAATTATGTTGGTAGTATAAAAATAATATTTTGTTTTGAATTATTAATTTTTTAATAAATAAAGTATATATATTGTATTAATATATGTATATTATATTCTTTTAATAATATTTTATTAATATTTAATGCTATGTGAACAAACCCGATGATGTATTTAAATGTGTTTAATGTATCAAAATATGTAATTTTTAATTTTGTATTATAAATTGAATGTTATTTAATTTATCGTGCTTGTCACCTATGTTGTCTTATTGGATTCATTCTATCTTGGACAACTTAATGATATCAAATAGTAACAAGATCTATATGTAAAGGTAATAATTAAATTCGCTTGGAGATTCCATATAACTAATTTATTTAAAAATGACTAAATAATAATAATAATAATAATAATAATAATAATAGTTATTTATTTATAATTAGAGTCAGAATTAGGGAGTTGAGTGCCATCAAGAAAATGCATAATTAGGGAAAGTGCTCTTTGAGGTTGGTAGCTTGGAACTTGATGACCTGCCCCTCTTACGGTTGCAAATGTCATATTCTTTTCGTATACTTGCGTATATCCACCAACCTGTATATATATATATATATATATATTCAAAATTAAATTAAATTATTTTATAATTAATAATATATAATTTAAATTTTTAAAAAAATAAATAACTAACTAATTACCTCTCCAGCAACAAACCAAGGGTGCCAAGAAACCTTGATGTCAAGATTCATTTTTTTAATGGACTTCTTCGTCGACGTCACCGGTATTCTTCCGTCTATGTCCCCACTGTATTATTTATTAAATCCAAATTTATTTTTTTAAAAAAAAAATTAAATATAAATTTGCGACATTAATTTTGAAATTAATTAAGAAGATTAGTTAATATATGATTAAATTAAATTAAAATACCTAAATATCCAAACCCTTAGTCCATCAGCCAGAAACTCCTTAAGCAAAGGGATGACTGTGGTTGGGCTGTCTCTCCAATTCTTGATAATATCACTGCAATAGTATAAATAAATAAATAAATAAAGCCCATTTCAACAATTATCATAAATAAATAAATAATTTTAAACAACCTGCATGGCTGCCAATAATAATCAAGTTTAGTAACATTTGCATGTAATGCCTTTTGAACATCAGCCCTATTGAGATATGCAAATATGTAATTGTCACTGCAAGGATCACTCACATCCTGTCACAAAATAATAATAATCAATCAATTAATTAAATATGTTGGATTAATATATATACACATCATTATTTAATAAAATCAACTTATTGATTTCAATTACTTGATCATTGATGCTAATAATTATATATCTTACCGAAATCCTTTTGGGTTTTTTGGTGACATTAGGGTTGGAGCATAGTGGAGCATAGATGTTGTAGATGTCGATGTCGTCGATGTTGCTGTTGATCTGTTCGTAAGCCGTGTTGCATCGAGTAGACTGGTCGATGGCTTTGGGCGAGAAGTTACAATATTTGAATATTTGCTCGGTAGTCTCCTCCGAAACTAGAGCATGGCTTTCGAAGAATTCGAACATTCCTTTTGTATCCATCTCGTCGTCGATCACTGCATTTCCAATCTATGGATAAAAAATAGAGAATTGTAAACAAAAAAAAAAAAAAAAAAAGAGCATGGGGCAAATTTTCAATCCAAAAACATAACATATGATTCTTTTGAGTAAATGTTCTTGAAATCTTGATCAATTATTTTTATTTGTTTTTTATTTTTAAAAAAAAAGATATATACAATCATAATTTTTTATTTTTGAAAAAGGTGTGATTATTATGAAGAAAACTAAACTAATGGTTACTTTACTTTACATTATAACAAAAATTTATAAAGCAAAATAATTATTAGGGCCCATAATTATGTAATCAAATAATTATGAATTGACCCAAAGGGTAGTGATAACACTCATTGAATTTATTTTTTTTTTTAAAAAAAAAAGAGCCCAACTTATAATTTCTCCAACCATTAATCATCAAAAGGATACAAATTAAATACCATATCAAGAAATTATACTCAAACTTAAATAAATCACTTGTATCTAAATTTATCATCATGCTACACTATAGATAGCTTCATTTTAGACATAAATAAATTGATAGTTTTCAAATTATTTTACCCTAAAATACACACACACACAAAATAATTAAACTTTCAATCTTAAGATATTAAAAATTAAATAAATTAAATTTTCAATTGAGAATTAGAAAAATTGACTTACAATTATGCCTTTGAGATTAATGATAGTCTTGTTAGCCCTCAAATTGTTTCGATGGACGACGTGCGCCAACTGAGGTACATAGTGTCCGGCATAGCTTTCCCCGGAAATGTAAAAGTCACGACCTTTATATTCGGGAAATCTCTCGAACCAATTCAACAAGAACGCGTAATTATCCTTGGCAGTGTTCCGATCTCCGGATTTCTCATAATCCTTTGTTGTGTTCGAGTATGAAAACCCTACTCCGGCCGGCGACTCCAAGAACAACACATTTGCAGCTGTATGTATGCAAGAAATTGTAGTAATTATACAATGCACACATTGTTATTACAAAATTAATTATTTTCATCAAATCATTCAATCATCATAAAATTTAAAAATAAATAAATAAATAAAATTACCATAATTCCAAGCAAAATTGTTTTTGTAAAGTGTTTTGCCATCACTATGGACTCTGAAAGGGCCAAGCTCATCCATGGCTCCATAGGCAAGTGATGAACAACCTGGCCCTGCAATTAACCATTATTTAAATAAATAAATATGATATCAGTAATTAAAGTAATTAATAAATTATTCTTGTCACACATAATTCCATGTGATTGATAATTAAAATTTTATATATATATATTACTTATAGGTGAAAAGTATTGGAGCAATAAAGACAACAAATATATATAGCATTAGAAAAATAATGCAAGTAGACAGCTTGGTAATTTGTAAACCAATTAAATAATTTATATGAGTAAAAAGATTTATTCCCACGATTATCCAATTGGGTGCTCATACTTTTAGATACACGTACGCGTGAATACTTTTTATTTATAGTAAAAAATATATATATAAAATAAATATAAATATTATTGATAATTAAAAAAAAAAGGAATAAAATTGAATAGGAGAGAGTAGAAATTATTGTTCTTTTCTAATAATTTTGTTATAATTAGACATTTGTTAAATTTAGAGGACTTTGAAAATTGGAATTTGGCTAATAAATTTCATGCATGAATAAAGCCAAGGGATAAGAGTCAACTAGTGAGGTTTCCAAGAAAATTCGTCCACATTATAATAAAATAATAGAGAATTAATTAATTAATTAATTAATTAATTATAATGTATATGCTATATCTATAGATTATTATATTATTAACACTAATCTATGTAACATTTAAATGCAATAGAAAAACTTTGAACAAGTAATGTAACTATATATGTGTGTATATATATATATATATAAACAGTCCTTATTAGGATTAATTAATATTTCAAAGTAAAATATGGCCTAAGCCTTTAAATAAATTGATAATTATATACCTACACGGATGATGACATTGGCTAAATAACAAAATAATTATAATTTTTTTTTCACTTTAAAATAAATTAAAAGGGAAGTAACTTTACAGACAGACACAACACCTAATTAAAAATGCCATGTTTATATCTTCAAATCATACCTTTTGGTTTGTTTATTTTGTCGTCAAACATCATGTTTCTATTATTTGGATTATACTTTCTTCGAAAAAATACATTATTTTTTCTCTCACAAAATATGTCATCATATATTATTTTAATACTAATTTTTTTCAAAAGAAACAAGGTTCTCTTTAACTTTATTATTTTTTATTTTATTTTTTTGAATTTTTATTAAATTATATCTTATAATTAAGATGAAATATATATATAAATTGTAAAATGAATCATAAAAATAAGTAAAATCTAGAACAGAGCCTCCTTCCAATAAAATTAAAATAAAAGTAATTACCATACAAAAAATGAAATCTTAAGCAAAGTCCACCTAATGATCACCTAACTTGAAACCCACATCATATTCATATGCACAATATATACTTCCAATAAAATAAATAAATAAACTATTTGTTTGACGTAATATAATAAACATTTGAAGTGGTGTTACTAATGTAAAATTATTCTCTATTATAATATATAAAAAAAATAAAAATTAAATCTATTTGCTACTATATTTTTAAGAAAAGAAATAAAAAAATAATAAAAATCTTGTGAATTTTTTTTTTTAAAAAAAATATATACCCTGATTATTATATTTCATAAATCACCCAAATTTATTATTTATTTTTATTTGTTTTAATCTATCCTCTAAATTTATCAATCGCTAAATAAATTAAAATTTAACTATTATTTTCCCTTTAATACTTATTTACAACAAATGTAACTATTTTTATTATATTATCTCTTCTTATTTTCTTTAAATTTTTTTTTTTAAAACTTTGAACTACTTTTTATTTTTATCATTTTTTAAATAAAATATTTTTTTTTTTTAAGCTCTGGTCTAATTTTACCTAACATAGAGAGTATATATAATATATATATATATGTATATGTACCTCCATTGAGCCAAAGAAGAAGAGGCAATTGTGAAGGGGACTTCTTGGGGTGCTGAGCCTCAACAAAGTAGTAGTAAAGGGCCCGGCCGCCGGCGGGATCGACGGCGACATACCCGCCGTACTGTTTAAACGGAACGCCGCCGGCAGGCTGGCCGGGCAATCTGGGGATGAAATCCTTCTCCTTCTGCCCTATATTTTTTTGTGGGTGGATTAATTTGTGTGCCTGGAACTGAGAATGGCTGCCATTGAAATGCCTCTGGTCGATCCCATTAGGTTTTTGGAACTTTTCTTGGTATATATGAGAAAGGGCTTTGATCTGATCATTGTGCTTCTTCGCATCGATTTCAAGCACCCATTTGAAATGGGATGCCATTAAAACAACTACAATTGCTGCAGATGCTGCTTTGAAATCCATTGAGGAAGAAGAAAGTGTGATTATGTGATCGATCCATCGATTTATATATATATGTGTGTGTGTGTGTATGTAGTGTGTGAATGTGATAGTCTTAACAAACCTTGAGAACTTTTGGCTGGACAAGAATGGCCTTGCTTATAGACTGTAAACGGCGCAATCTGAAGGGCATTATGGTCATTCCGTGTCCCTTGTGTTAATTTAAAATTATAGGCTGTGTGTATTGTTTTTATTTTTAATTTTTTTTGTTTTTATTTTTAATTTTTTTTTAATAATGGGTATATTGTGATATAGAAAATATATTTTTTTATTATGAAGTGTTCATTGGTGGCATAAGATTTATGACAGATAGTTTAGTCTGAATAAATTTTATGCATACAAGCACATGTCACAAATTATAGCCTAGCATGTTACTCGAGGAACCGTGGAAGCTCCATGGACCTGTACACCGGATAGATGACCGTCTAGATCCATCTGGGCAATGGAGCGGGGGTCCATGGGTCTCCCTTGTATCGAGAAGTCTGTTTATTTTAAACGCAATAATTAATCACGGATTCTAATTAAAATTATTAGTTAATTTATTTCCAAATACTCTTGGGTTTTTATTTCTAAGCTACAGGTTAGATATTTTAACCGATCAATCAGGAATTAAGGAAAAAAAATTTGGATGTCTTTTGGTATTTTTAGAATAATAAATTTTAATTGTAAAAATTATTTGATAAGATATTTTAAATGAGAACTTTTTTGTCTGTAATATATCAAATTAAAAAAAAAAGTAAATTAATATTGATAAACAGTAGAAATTAGTGAGTAAGGGAAGACAAAACCAAACAAACCTCTTGGCCTGTGTTCTTTCAACCAAAAATATATTGTCCCAAGTAGATTTTATAGTTGATATAAATAAAGACTATTATAGCCCTTAATATTTATGATATTAAGTGATGTTATTTGATGATATTTGTATAATATTATATAAAATGTGGAGTAATTTTATATTTTAGTAGATCATACATTTACTAATAAAAGGAAATGAATACATTTGCGATGGACAGATTAAAATGACAAAATGGATAGATTGACGGTGGACAGAGGGAGCATACGGTTCCGATAAAAAATATATATATATTAATATATTACACATATTTATTATTTTTATATATATTTTTATATAAGATATATAAAAAATATATAAAAAAAATAACAAATAAGAAATAAATTATTCAAATTATCTCACAAATCAAACACATTCATGATCTTTTACGGAAAGTTCAATTTCATTTTGTTCATATGACATTTTATAAAATTTAATGGAATTATATATTTATTACGAAATAATAATAATAATAATAATAATTATTATTATTATTATTATTATTATTATTATTACATGTAAATTAAAGTGCATGAACGAAACCACTATCCATATATATTTGCATTTATTTTTAATCTTTTTCAGACATTAACTTATTTGTATGGATTATTTTATACTTAATATATATGGAAAATACATTGATATATATATATATGTTATTAAAAATGATATCATATAAATTAAATACAAAATTTTCAAATTTAAATTAATTTTATAATTTTAACTTATTTTTATTATAACAACTTCACTATATAAATTGCGTTCATTAATATTTGATATAAATATTTATGCAATTATCTATTTATGTCCTCTCTAAAATTAAAGTACGCATTTAATTTCATAGTAGAGCAATAGAGTTTGTAGTATTTTTATATGTAAAAATTATTTTGTCCATAATGTATAAATTAATCTAATAATATTAAAGTAAATAAATATAGATAAAAAATTATTTATATAAATAATAGAATCTTCACTTATTAAAAAGAGAAATTAATATATATATATATATTTATATATATATCTCATTTAATTAAATTGATTATTACTGCCTCAGTCCGACTTTAAGGATCTCACTTACATTTTGCGTGTTAATATTTGAATATTAATTATTAATCAAAATATAATACAAATTAAGAAAAAAATGCAAAAATACTTCGATTAGTGTCTTACAGTACTAATAGAATGATATTTATATACATAAAAAAATATTATACAAATATAAAGATATTTTTATTATTAAATAGAATGACAAAAATATAAATGTAACTCTCATATGGGAATGAAGTATTATATATATATATATATATATCCACTAAAAATTATATTAACAACATATATAATATGATATCTATATATAAGTCAACTAGGGCATGTGCAAAGAAAGATAGCAAAAAAATTAAATAAATAAATTTGGAAGACACAATTAAATAAATTAATGATTAATTTAAAAATTGTATTGTACGAAGATGATACGGTGTATCGCTTCTCTCACTGCCAAACATTTACATCACTGTTTCTTGGAAATTTCCGGCTTCCATTTCGATTTGCACCTTCACAAATTAATTAAATCATCTTCATTTTGATTTTAACATAACTTTTAGGGTGTGTTTGTTTGGGGTTTAGATTTTGAGTTGAGATTTGAATAGTAAAAATTTTGAATTTGAATAGTTGTATGCTGTGATATAAATAGGTATTGATGTGATGTTTTAAATGTAAAATTAATATTTAGTATAATATAAAAAATAAAAAAAATAGGTGTTTGATTTGATGTTTTTTTAGGAATAATTTTGGATGAATAATAGGGTTTTATCAAAATCTGACAAACAAACACACCCTTAATAGATCAAATCAACACCATACTGATTTGATATGATTTTAAATTTGATCACTTGTTATAGTGTATACATTACCATTTTTGTTCATAACTCAACTGATTTTTTTCATTATTATTTTTTTTTTATAAAAATAAAAGTAAAAAATACCATATATATATATATATCGAATTTGGTGACGGTTACGGTATTGATATAGAAACATCAATATTGTGCTACATTTTTTTATATAGCATACATCAAATTTCCGGAATGTATTGTTCAATTGTTTATATAGCATCAATCAAGAATCCAGATAATATGTAGAATATTTAAAACACATGTTTTTTTGGATTAGATTTTTGATCGGTGGCTTCTAAATTATTTATTTGTGTTTTATGGATTCTTAATCTGTATTTTACACTTTTTAATTGATGTTATATGGGAATTAACAATACAGTATATAGCACGGGACATACTTCTATAGAACTTTAGATATATTTTTACATAGCACCAAATATATTCGTATAAAGTACAATATATATTCTATAAAGAACCAACATACTTATACAGAACACTACCACATATTTTTTTTATAGCACTAGTTGAAAAAATAAATAAGTAAATACAAATTTAGTTTTATTCTACAGAGTACTATTAGCACAGCATTGATGTCTAAAGCATTAATACTGTAATAGAAACGATCAAATCTAATTTTATGAAAGTAATGAAAAAAATTATGATTATTTTTTAAATGTAAAGAGTAATACAATGATATATCAATAGTTAAAAAGAATTACTCGAATTATAAATGAAAAATATTTCTTTTTTTTTTTTTTTTTCAAAAGAGATAAAGCTATAGCTTTAAATAAATATATAAAGTTATGTTTTATAAACAAAGTGAAAATGTTGTACAAAGGAAATTGTTTTGATTATTTAGTAAGTTGATAGAGTTATTGTACCCAAAATTTGTCATATTTCCCAACTAACTCGACATTTTCTACAATATGGATTATTAATTAATTAATTAATCATACTTTTGAGCTGGCTAATTGATATGACAATGACTTTGTATATAAGTTAAAAGACATTTTTTATCTGTCAAATTTTAAGGTGAAATGAATTTTAAATACACCATTGGGTAAAAGTATAAAAGTTTTTATTTTTTATTTTATTTTTATATTTATAAAATTAATAATAACATACAAATGATGAATTATAGTTAATAATCTCTTTCTTTCTTTCTTTCTTTATAATTTGCAATTTAATATATAAAATATTATATATAAAAGAAAAAATTTCATCCAAAAAAAAAAAAACCATAAATAATATTCCATGATTACAGCATGATGAGAAGTACTATCATTAACCACCTTAGTATAAACATAGCAAATAGATCTATATGTAGATAAAGTTTATCTGTAATATTAAAAAGGGTTGCTGCTCTATCATTTCTGTAAATGCATGCAATCAATCAACAATCTTTATTTACTGATTATATATATATATTATCAACGAATTATTTAATTTTTATGTATTAATCATTATTTATTTATTTTTTTTCAAATTTTGTCTGTCACACATGATCCTGCTAGTGTAGCAATTGTGAGATCTCATATTATCAAAAATAATAAATAAATATATTTTTTAAAATAACAAAATAAATTTGTTTAAACTGTTCAAACTGTCTGTATTATTGAAATGTTAAATTTGAATTAAATTTTTTAAATCACGATTCTAAATTGTAATTTTCTTTTATTTTTTGTTTTGGTTTTGATTCCGGTTATATTGTTTCAGTTGGAACTGTCAGTTTATATTTATTTATTTTTCTAATTTTCACTTTTTTTTCAATTTCAATTTTATTAAAAAACTTTTGATTTTAATTTCAATTTTATTTAGATATTCTTTCTTGATAATCAAGTTTTATAGATAATAATTCAACATAAAGTTAAGAGTCGTGTTGAATTGGAGTTAGATGTACTTGGATAAAAGTATATTTTTGTAATGATAATATAATAAAAGATTGTTTAGATTGCCAAAAAAATAAAAGAAAAATGATACTATAATAATGATGAATTATATTTTTTAAAACTAATATTTTTTTTTGGTATTTTTAAAAATATTTTGTATAATTACATTGATCCATATACATTTATAGTTCATATAAATTTGTATGTATTTCACAAATATAACATTCTATGTAAATCTAAAAAAAAATCAATTAAAATATATCCTTGATGATTTGGACGGAGGAGAAAATATATATTAATTTTACCATATTTATATATCAAATATAAATATTATTATCTTTTAATCAACATACAACCAATAAATGTACAAACTTCTATAAAAAAATTAAAAAAAAAATTCAAATATACTATCGTAAAAAATGAATCCAGCCCAGTTTTTCGTGGTTTATTTAAAGGGCATAGGGTTAATGTTACAAAAATTGAAATGTAAAATAAAAAAAAAAAAAAAAAATCCTGGTAGCACTTGTTCTTCATGCTTCTTCTCCTTTCTCTATAGACCTGAACACTCAACATCAAATTCGAAAATTGAAACAGGCTTACAATTGCCAATACACAACTAAACAAATGGAACCATAAATCTACATACGTCTCAAGATTTAGCAACTTCTAATAATTTTGTCTCTACTATAAAATTTAATGAGAGCAAAAATGTTTAAATTTGAAGGTAAATATAAATGTCACGATATTATGAAATCAAAACAGAAATATGCATCGAAACTAAGTACCACGAGTGTAAGGCTACATACGAGTGTAAGGCTACATCCGACTCATTGCCCACGACTCTAATATTGTGTACCATTTCGAGGCTTTGAGAGTCTTTCTCTGTAGGAATAGTGTGAGTCGACAATGGGAATCCAATACAATGTTTAGTTTCATGTTCACTCAATTTGATAAGGTTGGATTGATAATCGACAACCTACAAATAGATATATAAAAAAATTTATATCAAAAACCAAATGATTTGCCATCAAAAGTGGAAAAAGAAATCCAAGGAAACAAGTAAGCAAATAGATTATTCCAAAACTAAGTTGTTCTTGCCTGTCTCTGCAAATTTTTGTTGCAGCACCGTGTTGTCCCTGCGAATCAATAGCGCGTGTTGTAGTAATTGAATATAAACAATTATAATTCTTATCGACTTACAACTTTTAGGTAGAGGCAGAGTTATACAATCAGAGGTATAGTAGTTGTTGACAAAATCATGTTTGTTCTCTAAGAAAACAAAACGACATATTCTGTACCTGCATCATAGCTTCGTCGATTTGATGAAGCAGCAGTTGCTCCTGCAATTCAAGAATTTAAATTTACTTAATCGCGATATAGAGATCTCGAAAACTTTGCAATTTGTAGATTTAACTGATGAACCTTTCTCTGCTTCACCCAGATTATGCCTTCAGCTAGTTTCCCTTCAGCCGTGCACCGTTCTTGAAAGTCCATGTCCGCAATTTCTTTACCCAATAATCGCCTAATCATCGCAGAAAATTGAAAAATTTAACAACATATATTCCTTTTCATGTACTTCATATCACTAATTAAATGCCAGAGTAAATCATACACTTGGTTTGATTTGAGCTCTTTAACCTCCTCTTTGCGAACCTCCACCTCATCCACCCCAGGATCGATCTAGTAACATAATATGCAAGAGATAACACCAATCCCATTAACTAAACTATAAGAATAAATCATCCTAGGAATTAAAACTAATGAATCGACAAAACATTCAAGAAATTGCCACTCAAACCAATATCACAGTTAAGCATCTATACACTTTCCTATCGATTGAAACATTAAGGTAAAGTGTTTATTCAGTATGGCAACGAAGTTCATGACGAGTTTGACGACAATAGTAAGCATATAATGAGGTTGAAAAGCCGAAGAAGCATGTACCACAGGTTTAGGTGCTCCGGCAGGATTCTTTTGCCATTCCAAGCACTTCTTATACCTCAACAAAATCTTCTTTGCACTACAAATAACAGAGAAGTAATAACCACAACAACATTCATAACAAAGAACTATGGAAAATCGAAAGTTCTAAAAGGTCTAGCACAAGTTGCAATGTCACATAAACTAGCCGAAATCAATGGAGAGTGATATTAACAAACCACTACAAAATCAGGGCAATCTAATAGACTAACTCTGAAATATCATGAAAATAATTTAATTCACACAGAGTAAATGAAGGAAACGCGATTAATGCCCTAGGTTTAACAATATGAAGAAATCAAATAATGCAGAATTCTGAAATTCCCAAATCAACAGCAAAACCTAATGAATTAGCACGCATGAACTACCATAATCACTTAGTAGGAAACAAAATAAAATTGCATGAATTCGTCAGGCACCAAAAGCATGCAACCAAAATCCCTAAAGAGTCCCAAAAAAAACCCTAAATTTTGAAAAGAGGGAAGCAGAGGCGGGAAAGAGGTAAATTGAAACCTGGAACTAGCATAATCGAAGAGCTTCCCATTGCTGGAAACAACAACTGCAACGTCGGCCTCGCAGAGGATGGATAGTTCGTTGGCCTTCTTGAACAAACTCGCCCGCCTCTTGGAGAAGGTGAGTTCCCTTTGCTTGGAATTCTCGATCCTCTTCATCTCGATCTTCCTCCGACCCATCAGTCTGTAGGTCGGATTGTGATGGTGACTCGTTGTCGTCTTCTTCGATTTTTCAGGGATGATGGAAGGCGGGCCGTGCTATTATTGGCTGCGGTGTTTGGGCTTTTGTTAAATAAATATTACAAAAACAACTTTTTGAAAACTTAGGGACCTGTTTGTTTGGATTTTAATATTTTGGTGTTGGAATTGAGTTGACATGATATATATATATATATGTATGTATGCATATAAAGTAGAAATAAAAATAGCTGATGTTGAGCTTAGACATGTCCATTCGGTTTGGAACCGCCAATTCGAATCCGGCGGTTAAGATTTAAATCGGAATCGGACACAAATTAAATTGAAATTGTCATTTCGACGATTCGGTTGAAGAAGATAAAAAAGAAAAATAAATACGTATTTGATACACAGAGAAATATTATATAACTATTTATAACCGGTTTACTGATACATAAAATATAATGTTGAAAAAGTTCTTTCAAACATGCATGCAAAATATTCAAGATCAAATTTGGAGTTTTGAATGGCGAATGGTGTATTTGAAACACGAATCAATATTATTCTATTCATACAGTTTATAATAAAAATATTCTCTCCATTACCGTTTTTTATTTTCGTCCGTCCCAATTTAGTAATTGTACTACCTAATTAACATAATTAATATCTTTTCTAACATATGATATATTAAAAAATAATATACTCTTAAAATATAGTTTAAACTAAATGTGATACCCAAGATCGTAGATTGACGTGCATCCTCATAGATTTCCCAGATGGTCAGTACACTTCCGAAAGAAAATATATACATTGTTGACAAGAATAGACTAGCACCGGCTCATCCACAAGAATTAGCCTACCATCGGCCCAACCCTAGTATATTACACTATAATAGTATATTTTTATTAAAAATTGTGCATAAAATAATAAAAAATATATATATATACATTTTCTTTAAAAAAAAATATCAAATTAAATATTTATTATATATTGAATATTATGATATTTACAACTCAATACAATACTAGCAACACAATCGGAGGTGACAAATAAACGATAGACAACATAACATAATACAAATAGCACATACAATGATTGATCGGGTTATAAAACAGCTTTTTCTTTTACTATTTCAGATCCAAATCAATAGTATTTATTCTGTACGATTTTCAATAAAAATACATTATTTTCTCTGACTACATATTATATTAAAATCCTATTTAAATAAAAACTTAAATAACAGTGTATTTCAAATCAATTTCAAAACCAGACAAAGAAATAGTCATGAATTTTTTGGCATTATTTGGTAGCATCAATAATGATGATCAAGATTAGCACAGCAACAATTGTATGTATCCTAATATTTACCATCAGTTTGGTAACAAAAACACAACACCGCACACATACATATCCTCAAATTAAATCTGAGTTTGTATTTTCTAACCGGTAAACGATATCCTCGGGGCTTCGTCTCTTTCTGTTTATCTCTTCTAACCTCCAAGGACCCCAAGTGACGCCGATTATGATGATAAATGGCCTGCAAGATTCGAAATAATGGGTGTGCCCGAACAGCTCACAGAAAAGCAAAGAGATCTATCTATCAGCAAACCCTGATGGAATTTATTGTATTGCATTGTCATCTCTGTACTGCGTTGTCGTCTCCCAAAGGATCTGTAGATTTGCTTTCTATATCAGCCGGTACAAACTTTTTACACACGTAGATGAAATGAGAATCTGGATCTTCCATTACATAGTCTGCCGGAAGTAGGCCATTATCCCCGAGAGGAATGGGCTCTAAGTGGGATTTCTGAGTTGATCCAGCTGGCGCTTGAAATCCGGGTCTCGCTGCATATTGAAACAAAACCAGCTGAAAATATATAGATGTAGAAACAGCACATATGATGCTCAAACAGATTGCATCCAATTGGTATTTGAAATTGAAACAAGGTCACATTAGCCAGGAGACGTATTTTCTGCATACGGACTACAAAGAAAGTTTGTAGATACATTATAGTTGCAAAAAAGATCAAGAAAAAAGACAGCATGTACACTTATCAGTCTTTGTAAACATTGTTGAAGGGTATAATAAGTTGAAAATTATTGTGTACCATTTATGCACTTTATAGAAACGTCTAGGGGTAGCAATCAGAAATCGACCTGACACGACTGAAGGCAAAACAACCAGATGGCATAATAGCTATTGCATCGACCATGGAATACAGGATGCTTAAATAAACATAAATACATACAGAATATTCTTGAAATCTAAAGCAACAAAAGAAATTTGGAGTCACGGTTCACATACGTATGATGTACAGTTCGATATTCCAATTGTAAACTGGTCGATTGATGTGGGGCATCCGGACTGTAGGATCACCATACGTTATCTGCAAAATGATCAAAACAGGAAAGTTTATGTTTATTCACAACCTGAATTGATAAACATGAAAGTCATGGTTGCAAATGAATCGAGTCACTAGTAAAGCTTGTCGAGCTCAATTCTGGTAAAAGGTTCTTGATTTGACCCGTTTGCAGTCTTAGACAAGATAGAACATCTTCAAGCATAAATTTACCAGCATGTAAACTCCTCCAGGTTTAAGAAGCCTACATAATGTAAAATAATGGAACATATTTAAGCATAAAAGGTTTACTTGTTTAATTTAAATTTATGTGTGGCATTCTTCAATTCAGAATCCACGAACCTGCTCATTTCCCCCATCATTTGAGAAGCACTAATTGGCGCTTCGGTACCACACTTTAGATCAACGATTGTAGAGAAGAAAAGACATTAGAAAACAAAATCAAGAAGAGATAAGGAGAAGAATAAACATATATGTAACTCACCATCAACGAGTCAAGCGTCCCTGTTAATATAATCAGTGGTTCATGCCAAAGACATAGGGCCAATATGTGAGAATTAAATCATTACATACCAGTGAAGAAATTTTTTAATTTGAAATGCATAAAGAACGGAATAGGAAATTGAGCATCCAATTACCTTTATCGATGATGCTATCAAACGAATCATCAGGAAAAAAATTCATATCTCTAACATCCATTTGCATATCTAGGAAACTTTGTAAGGACATCCAGAATTAAAAATTTCTGATATATTTCAACCAGAGATGGCTGGATTTTTGGAGAGAAATGTACGAAAAAATTTCTGGAGAAATAAACGGACAAAAAAAAATCCCCCATAACACTCTTACAAGGATACACTTGAGTTGAGGAACGTTTTCATACTTCTTCTTCATCATCTCAATAGCCACTGACGATATGTCAATGTTTGTTATTTCTTCGAAACCATCCTTCACCATGTCCTCTGATATAACTAGAACATAATTTACCCATACAACTTTAGCACTCCAATACAGCTTATACTAGATTACATTTACACGTACTTGCACGAAACAAAGTTCATACGATATGATCATGAGAAAATTCCATATCCCACACACGCTTAAAGTAATCGAAATCGTCAATACTGTAGTGACTATTAACGAACTCTCCAAGAAGGTTTTGTGTAGAGGGGAACACAAATTTTCTCCAAGTCTCATAATATTGTCTATTACAACTTCGACTTGAAGTTGTTTCAATCAAATCACTATTTTGGTATCATCTTGTTCTAGAATTTTAAATTTTCTTATGGAGAATAAGATTTGAAAAATATGTGCTATTGGACCTATGTAACTGATTGCACAGAAATCACACAGAGAGAGCATAAAACAACAACAACAACAACAATAACAAGGATTCAACCTACGGCCGAGAGAATTAAAGCTGTTGATAGCCACAATTTCAAAAACTTCAATTTAAAACTACTGTCAGCAAACCAGAATACGAAATGCCTCTACAGTTTCAATTATATGTATATACTCGTATGTTATGCAAAATATATGAAGCAACTGAATTGAGAGCTGAACAGAGAATTTCACCAGCATTCCCGCAGCCAACCATGAGGACTCGCGAATTGGGGGAGACGTACTTGCGGATGAAAGGGCGAAGCGCGGAATAGCGCTGGTACCAATCGAAAGAGCCACAGTCGGCTTCCTGGACGTAACGGGCGTCCCAGTAGAGAGCGTCGCCATAGTTGTAGGTGTTGCAGGCCGACACGTCCCGGAACATGGCGGCGGTTGGCGGTGGTGGTTTGCGGATTTTCAGATGAGAGGGATTTGGTTTGGTGTGGAGGACACGAGTGAGTTCTACGCCTCTGCAGTGCGTGTGTGAGAGAGACGGAGGAATATGCAGCGGGGACCATAAGTACAAGTGTTGGAGCGCAAGGTACAAATGCAACGCCATACTACACAGGGGACCAAAAGTACAAGTGTTGAAGAGCGAGGTACAAATGCAACACCATACTGTACAGGGGACCATAAGTACAAGTGTTGGAGCGCGAGGTACTTACATACTTATGCGTGAGGAATATGGGGATTTGGCTTAAAGTCGTCATTCTGGTCCTTTCCTAAATAGCGTTTCTTTCAGAAATGACGACACGCGAATAACCACCACGTGTGTTTGTTTATTAATTCTGGGGTGTTTGTTATGCTTTTACTTTAATATTAAAAAAATTGTTATGTAAAATATATTTTGAATGAAAATAAACGTTAATTTTATTAGTATTATTTTTAAAAATATTATAATATGAAATTTGTTATTGGAAAAATAAATTTGAAAATAAATGCAATTCTGGAAAGAATCGAGGAATGGTATATGGGTAAAGACATAAAGTCAAGTTGGAGAACATTATCAGGACCATATTGGAATTTTTGTTCAAAATATTATTATTATTATTATTTGATATTTAAAAGTTTAACACTATTCAAATTTTAGAAAATATTAAATTAAATATATTTTTTTTATCATATGACATTCTTCGTAAATTTATGCTTGTTTGATCGGACATGAATTTTAAAAAATGAGTAAAAATAAAATTTCTTTTATGATAAAAAAGTGTAAAAAGATAATATTTTTACTAAATAGAAAAATAAAAATAAATTTGAATAGTAGTATTTTTTTACAAATTTTTTAAAATTTTAAGAATCCAAAAAAATAAATAAAAGATATCTAAAGAGCAATATATATTTGCAAGACGCATAGGGGTTGTTTACTTTCATTTTTTATATATATTTTTTTAAGAAAATTAATGCATTACACTTATTTATTATTTTTATATTAATTTAACTACATATTTTCTAAAATACTTTTTACGTTAGGTAAATCAATAAGTGACTATTTTATGTTTAAATTAATTGTATATATAATGATACATATATAATTTATATAAAAATTAATAAAAAAATTAATATTAATGTATAATTAGTTTTAGTATAATAAAAATTAATATTTTTTTAGAGATACAAAAAAATATATATATAAATAATTCTTTAAAAAAAATAAAATGGTATCAAATATTAATTTTTTATTATTTTTAAAATTTCTCAAACTAAAAAAATATTTTCTTAAACAAAATTTCGGCTCAAAAAATAACATTCTCTGAAATAGTTAAGGTTGGGGTTGTTTGTGTAGTTTTATTTTGAATAATAAAATTTTCTATCTATCTATTTTTTTTTTTTTACAATTTTAGAAATATTAATATTATATTAGAATATAATAGAAATATGATATAAATGTTATGATATTTGTAATATATTGTAAATTGGAAGGGTATTTGTAATATTAAGTTGGATAGTACATGTTAAGATAATCTCAAACCTAAACATCTATTTTTGGCATAGTGACAAAACCATTTTTTGCTTCTATGGTCGTTGGCTTTCAAAAACAACAATTGAACTTGCTGGTAAAGTCCAATCAAGCAGCCACTTTGTCCCTTCAAGTTTGGTGGCTGCTCAAAGACAAAATGGGCATCTCGAATTTGTCCTTTTGTGATCAGAATTGATTTGATACAACATCATTCATTGGTTGGATTAAAGGGAATTTATTGCATGTCATTTCATGGCTGTTGTGGTTGTGTTTTACTTAGCTTGAAGTTTTGTGGGGAGTAGTATGTGAGAGTGATTTTTGTGAGATTGAGTAGTAAGAGAATTATTGTTTTTATCCTCTCAACCACTTCCCTTCCACCTCCATGTATTAAGTGAGTGATTTACACTGTATTCCTGCCCGAGAAACTTGGAGATTGAAGGAAGATCGGAGTTCCAATCAGGGGAACATTCGAACTCTGTGCAGCCCAACTATATGACAGTTATTAGTACGCGTTTGTAACAACTGATGCCTGTTGAGGGAATTTCCTAGGTAATTAATTTGTAGTTTGGGTTGGTGGAGGTTTGAGTGCTTTGTTATTAATCAGCACTGATTAATGGATCTCTTGGATTGGTATCCCCGGAGGTATATCCGAACCGGGTAAACAACTAACTTGTCATTTATTGCTTTGAAATCCTTTCATTTATTTCATTGACAAATGAGTATTATAATTGTGATATAACTATGCTTCGGGAGTTGGCCCATTTAGATAAGTGTACGAGGATTTATTGGAGTAGCACTTATTTCCATTCCAACAGTACAATTACTAAAAATGAAATGAATACGCTGTGATGGGACGAATCAAAATGAGAAAATAGATATATTGTTAAAGTACAAAGGGAGTAATTATTAATATTATATAAATAGGAATTAATATAATTTTTTGAATATAATTTTTTTTTATCTAATACAAATAAATAAAAATAAAAATTTAATTCAATAATTTAAAATTTTTAAATAATAAATCTAACCCATAACCTTTGAAAACAATGTTTTGCTTTGTTTAAATAAAATTTTTTGAAAGTTTTCAGAAATTTTTAGAAGTTTGAAAAAATAAAAAAATTATTATTTGATTTAATATTTTACGAGAGAATAGTACAAAATAAGTGAAAGTTTATAATGTAAACAAAGGACCTCCAGGTCAACTCCTATCCACTTATCATACTTAATTTGTCCTATTTATTTTGTCGGACCTAATTTGAAACGTATTATATTAGATCGATGTTTACTGGTGGCACCTTCGGATAGCAGGTCTGGATTCCCACATTATAAAAAAATAAAATAAAGGAACACACTTAAAAATTTGTTTTTTCTACAATTCTTTTACATATTTTTTCAAAAATATTAATACACTATATATATTTAATATTTTTATATTTTCCACGCAATTCCTGCTCACATATAAAAAATAAAATAAAAAATAAATAAATTATTTCCAACAGTCTCACTAAAAAAAATCAGACCCTAGATGGTTTTTAATAATAAACAGCTCCAAAATGATCCAACTGGACTCGATCAGGTGACGAGGTGAGGCGAAGAGCACCGCCTTCCCAAATCACACGTGTCACGCGTGCCAACGCCACGCGTCGGCTTTCCAATCCATCCGCCGCCCACCGCCGCTGCTCATAAGTAGGCCGATGACCAGCGGCGGTGCGACAATACCACCGCATAAACGAATTCGAATAAATGCAGGTCGACAGAGGCGAAGGCGAGAGACACGACCGGCGAAACGCCGGAGGGGAGGACCCGGAGCGCACAGGACGTACGCCGATAATGGCGCTGAATCACGTTTCTCGAGTCTGCAGATCGGTGGCTGAGTCGGTAGACTTCTACAGTAAAATACTAGGCTTCGTGCTGATCGAGCGGCCGGAATCCTTCGACTTCGACGGCGCGTGGCTGTTCAACTACGGCGTGGGGATCCACCTGATGCAGTGCAAGGACGACGAGAAACTGCCTCGGGATCGAGACCACCTGGATCCGATGGATAACCACATCTCGTTCCAGTGCGAGGACATGGAGGAGATGGTGCGGAAATTGAAAAATCAAGGCGTGAATTACCTGAAGAGAACCGTGGGAGATGAGGAGGACGGAGTTCCAGTGATCGATCAGCTGTTCTTCAACGATCCGGACGGATTCATGATCGAAATCTGCAACTGCGAGAATATGAAGCTCCGGCCTCGATCTTCCATGGGGAAGATCAAGCTCCCATCCGATAAGCACAATCCTCCTGTTGAATTAGGAAATCAAAATGTTGGTGATTATAGTAGAACCCGGTGAGCATCTGAGATTGGAAACTGTAATTTGGGGATTAGGGTTTTTAACTGTAGCAGGAATTATAAACACATCATCAGAATGCTAATGGTGACTTTTAACTATCAAATTGAACCATTTAACCAAAAAAAATAAAAATCAAATCCAATGAAGGAATACAATTTAAAAAAATTGAAATTATATTAATCACATGATATATCATTGTGGTCCCTGGAAAAAATGTGTTCACAAAATATCTATATATATATGTCAGAGAGCAAAAAAGGCCAAAAACTGAGAACACACAGGACAGAAGAGAAAAACGCTATGGAGGTTGAAAACGTGAGATTGAAGTTGAATATTCTGTGAATATATTTAATTCAGATATTCTTGAATATTTCAGGTACCAAATTGCTAGACATCGCTTCCTCGAAATTAAGCCAATTCAAATTCCAGCACATTTTATAAAAACCAATTGAAGATACAGCAGCAATCAAATCCATTGTTCTGGTAGATTCTGGGCTGAAGAAATTACCGGACGCGTTGTCTTCGGATTTCTCGAGGTTGAAATTCTTAGGAGGAGGAATTCTACTGATTATATGTTTTTCATGCTTTCTGTTTTTTTATTTTATTTCTGCTGCTTTCTTAGCTCTCCATCAGCGATAGTGTGATTTGGTGGAGGAATTTCACTTTAATTTGTTTTTATCACGAGTATTGTGCGCGAAAACTGTGAGAAGCGAGAATTGCTGCTGTAATTTTGTTCATACTTTCTCGAAGATTGTGGATGTTTCGTCATCTTTTCTGCTTTTAGGAAGTTGATTATTGTTGTAGGAAAATTGCAGACTATGTGAGATTCAATTGGTTCATGTGGCTTGTGGTTTGTTTGTGCTTTCCATTGCATACCTTAGGAAAATTTCTGTTTGTTTCTGTAAACTCTTACTGCCTTAAGCTTTTATGAGAGAAGTTTTGCTTTTTCTGGACAGGCATATCTCCGATGGAGATCGTGTTTTGCCACGCTTCGTATCGCGGCTATGTCGTAAACGATAAAGGATTACAGGACTCGAGTTCACATCCATGGAAACTTCCCCTGTTAAGAGTAAGAGGTGAAGCATTGTGTCGCCTTGTGCTTGGTCGAGATAGCTTGAGGTTGAAGAAGCTCGAATGGCACCGATACCGTAGAAGAATTCAAAGTTCTAAGAATTCCAGCGCGGTTAGCCGCCGCTGTTACTCTTCTTACATACTCGATGGCGGAGAGGACCGGAGCAGTGTCTCCGGCAGCAGCCAGACAACGTCGAAGATCTCAATTCCTGGATTGCCTGATGAAGACAATGTAGCTTCAATCAGTAGCCGCTTCTGGGAATGGAAGCCGAAGCTGACTGTGCATTACGAAACGGCAGGTTCGGAAAATGTAGATTCACCGGCGGTTCTATTCCTTCCTGGCTTCGGCGTGGGATCATTTCATTATGAGAAGCAGCTGAAGGATCTTGGTCGGGAGTGTCGAGCTTGGGCCCTCGATTTTCTTGGCCAGGGCTTATCATTGCCATGTGAAGATCCAACCTCGAGCTCGTCCGGATTAGATGGAGAAGGCAACAATGCGTGGGGGTTCGGAGATGAAAGTGAGACTTGGGCCGAAGAACTAGTCTTCTCGATCGACCTATGGAGGGATCAAGTGCGCTATTTCATCGAAGAGGTACCCGGAAACTTTAGTTTTTTATTAATTTTTATATATAGAGAATTTCTTCAAATATGGAGTCGGTTGGAGTTGTCTTTAGTCGTCGAACTTTTAAGCTACATAGTCATAAACATGTGCTTCTGTATGGTACAAACATGCTTATCGTTCATTTGACATTTATATTGTTTAGGTGATTAAAGAACCTGTTTATTTAGTCGGAAATTCGCTAGGAGGGTTTGTCGCGCTCTATTTTGCCGCATGCAACCCTGAGCTTGTGAAAGGTGTGACATTGCTCAACGCCACACCTTTCTGGGGATTTCTCCCTAACCGCAACAGGTCTCCAAGATTATCGAGGGCATTCCCATGGGCGGGAACTTTCCCTTTCCCTCCTGGAATCCGAAGATTAACTGAAATTATGTGAGTCGTTAGACGTTATACCTTTGTATGTCAATAAGATCTTCGTTATTTTCATCTTTAGTTTTTTATTGTAGATTTTATTGTCTTCTTGTAGGTGGGCGAAAATAAGTGATCCGCAAAGCATTTCCGAAGTATTAAAGCAAGTTTACGCCGATCACTCCACAGAAATCGAACAAGTGTATGCTCGCATCCTGGAGACGACACAACATCCAGCTGCTGCGGCATCCTTTGGCTCGATTATCTTTGCCCCTCAAGGACAATTATCGTTTGACGAAGCTCTAATTCAGTGAGTTCAATAAAAAACTTGCAATGATCATATCCCATTGCATATTCAATCCGTTTTCCCTTAACACCGTCTTCATTAAAATAATAGGTGTCGAACAAACAAGACACCAATTTGTCTCATGTACGGTAGGGAAGATCCATGGGTGAGGCCCGTGTGGGGCTTGCAGGTGAAGCGACGGGTTCCTGATGCTCCATATTACGAGATAAGCCCCGCGGGACATTGCCCGCATGACGAAGCTCCTGAGGTAAGGAAGTGCGATACTACAAAGTGAACTAGACGTACACATTTAGCTATCTTATTGCCAAATATTGTGACATTATTCATGGGTATCCATGATGCACATCGAAGATACTTTTTGTTCCTGAATTTTTTAACAATGCCGGTAGGTTGTTAACTTTCTTCTTCGAGGCTGGATCAAGAATCTCGAGTCGAGGGGTTCTATCGCGCTGCCTTTAGCCGAGATCGCAGACTGTGAGGTAGCCGAGGACTTGGAATTCAGCAGAGAAGGGGAGAGGAAATCTATGAGGGTGAAGCTCCATGGCTCCAAATTCTCGATCTGGAATTGGGTATGGTCTCATTTCAATAAACGTTTGGATTGAACTCTATGATCAATTTGGACATCACAGCCTATGCTCACTTATATAGCTGGTAACAAATTATTGCCGTTTTGATTTCAGCCGGAAGCTGCAAATTCTTGCGTCATTAAAAATAATAAAAAAATATGTGTTGCGCAGATTGTTAATATTTTATATGTATATTAGTTAATATATTTACGGTCCATTTATATTTCGGATATTATGTATGGTGTTGATTACTTGCAATCGACGCCGTAATTGTTGTCTATGATAAAGAAACAATAATAGAGTTTTTAAACGATTTGTCAAAAAGGTCAAAATTGAATATGATTTTGAAAATAAAAATAAATATTTATTTATTTAAATAAAAAAATTTTGAATGAATTTTATATCAATATAATTAGAACATATAAAAATAGGAATAGTTTGAAAATTCGATATTAAAAAATTGTATTTTTAATAAAAAAATCATACTTGAACCTTTAAAGTAAATCATGCAAATTATATAGGCTGTGTTCGGGTCTATGAAAATCATGGGTTCGCTCTGATTTATTAAAATTAATATTTAAATTGTAATATCTTCATACATATAATAAATGAAAATTAATGACAAAAATTTTAACTCTTTCGTTAATATTATTGTATTATGATATTATTCTATTATTATTTTTATATAATTAATAATATCAATATTATTAAAGTAAAATTAATATATATAATTAAAAATATTATAATATATATTTAAATATCTTAAAATTTATATCGCAATAAAAATTATAAAGAATAAAATTTTTTTATAGTAAATAATTTTTTTTTTATAGTTATCATAAATTAATTTTATAAAAGATTTAAAATTTAAATGTAAATAAAAATATTTATTTTCGTGAGAGATAAAATAGAAACAAAGAGATTCTAAGTAAATTCAATGAGATTTATGATATTACTCTATGTTATGTTATGTAGTTACTTAATTAATTTATATTTGTTAGGTAATTTTAATTTATGCTCCCATCGTTCCAACTGAGTTGTGTTGTTTTTTCATTTTTGTCCGTTTTAAAACAATTGTCCTGTTTCCCCTGTTTAGTAAACCGTGGTTTTTATTTTATAATAAAATTATTCATATTTTTTCAAACTACCAGCTAGCCTATTTTTTAAAATCATAAAAAAAAATAAGAGTATCTTAGTCTTTTTATCTTCTATTTTATACCTACTTTCAATTAAATATTATTATTTATTATTTTTTAATTCCCTTGTTTACTCCCAACAAAATATTTTTTCTAGAACGAAGGGAATATTTGTTAAATATATTTTAATTTAAAAAAAATATCGAAATTATTATAAAAAATGGGAGACAAATAGTTTAGGAAAAAAAAAAATTGAAAAAATAATGTCAATTTGAGATCAAGGTAAACAAACAGACTTTACATGAGTGTATGTGTATGATTTTATTCAAGATCACTGAAGTTTAATTTTCCGTATTTTATATTTCAAAATAAAGAAATATATATATATAGATATATATATTGTTCATAAAAGTATTCTATCATATATTCATTACATCAAATACAAATCAAATCTATCCAAACTAAAATAAAAAAAGGGTGACCGGAGACACGCACGCATCCCTCACGTGCCTTTAAATTAGGGTTTTTTCGCTGTGAGTTGTCCTCTGATCCGCTGCACCTGTCCCAGCGGAAGCTATTGACGGACGTCCTGCAACCATCAATGGGGAAGAAAGCGAAGGGCTCGAGGAAGGGGAAGAAGGCCTGGAGGGCCAACATAAGCACCGAAGACATTGAGGACTACTTCGAGAAGTCTACCAAGGACGCTCTATCCGGCGGTTCTTTGGCTGATGTCCCCAGCGATTCCCTCTTTTTCGTGGATAAGTCCAGAGGTACCATAAAAGAATTTTCTTCGATTCAATTGCTTTGATTTTTATAGGTGAATCCAAAAAGCAAGCATGATGATGATCATATTCTTAGAGTCGTTTTTTTGCTAGTAATTCTATTATTGAGGTTTTCGGGGGAAGAATTTGGGATTTCTCTAACGTGTTTTGGCAATCTGCACCCTTTTTTTGTTAGTGAAACTGATCGGAAAGGGCAAGTAGCTAAAGGGTTAAAGGGTTTGGCTATGGAAGATTAATTTCAGTGAGGATTTGCCTAGGTTTAATTGTTCTATCACTAGGATTTTGATTGGCTTATTTGTTCTGGCCGTAACAGTGATAGGATGTTTGGAAATTGAATTTGATGAACAAGTTACATGCTTTGATACTCTTTAGCTGATATAAGAGTGATGGGAGGTTGTAGAACTTACCTTACGTTTACAGCCTCAATGGATGGGTTCTGTCCCAGCTCCCAATTGTTTAAATATAGGCGGGATAGTGTAGGGTTGCCACTTTACTTATAGAAGTTGTGGATTTTCTTATTACTCATGGACACTTCGGCCGAGTCAGAATATCAGCAAAGCTTAGTAGTTGTTCTTACTATTGAATGATCGGATATCTTTATCTATGTGATCATTCTTCCAATATGTATTTGTGTATTGTGTGTTGGGAAATGTGGTTTATCAAACAAAACACATTCGAACACTTTAAAGGGCCAACTCCCTAAGCGTGGACGGTTCACAGTTATTTTTAAAACGAAAAACAATGCAGAACATAAAACAACAATAAGACAAGGTGATTGCTGACCCGGTTCGATTATAAACAAATCTACATCCGGGGGATACCAATCTATGAGGAATTCCAGTAACCAGTGCTGAAGTAAATATAATGGAGTTATGTTTGTTTCCATGCACTGCAGATCTTTCTGTCAAGCGGAAGATTGAGAAAAGCAGAGAAAAAGTCCTGCGATGTGATAGTCTGTTGCAGAGAAATCCTTTTGTTAAACCAATTCCTTCCTCGATAACTAAGAAAAAGAAATCCAGTAAAAGATGTAATACTGCGCATATAAAGGAAGATACATATGTCACACAAGAGACCCCAAAGGTTAGAGCTGTTCTGAATATGTTTCAGAGTGAGTTAGCTGACAATTTAGTAGGCTTATGCCTTTTTTTTCATCTTTGCTAATCATTTCAGGATGAAAGTGGACCTGATTCTGAAATTGTTGATTTATGGGAGAAGAAAGGTAACTTCTTTGCAACAAAATTTCCTTAATGATTGTGTTGACTTGTTGAGAATTTTAATGGAGTTCACCATTTATCCTTGCAGGAGAAGACTCTTCTAAAAAGAATAAGAGGGTAAAACATTAATTTTCTTTTACTTGGGTACTGGTGAAGTTTTGTTTCATTATATTAGACGGCATATGATATTTGATGTTGAAAAGATGGTCAGGAGGGGACAGATACAAATGTAATGTAGATGTACATGCATAATAATTACTTCTGTAGTAAGTAGAAATGAGCGTTCGCAAGCTTTGTTGATTGACTTGGTGTTGCTAATGACAGAAAACCAGATCTTCCACCGTACCTGCTGTTGTGGTTGAACCTCCTGGTTGTTCTTTCAACCCTGATCCTGATAGTCACCAGGTTTTATGGTTTTCCACTCTTAAATTAATTTTCTTACCTTGCTCTTGTGTGGATTGGACCTTACACCTGTGATGGCATTTGCAGGATGCATTAGCTTGTGCGGTTGCTGTTGAAATGCAGAAAATTTATCAACATGAACTGGGACCTGAGCCCATTCCCTTAGTTGCTCCTGGAGAAGCAATTGATGAAGAAGAGGTAGTTGTCTTATCTTCAACTCACTGATCATTCAGAAGAAATGGAATCTCCCCTTTGTTGTTACTCTATTGTTATGTATTCGGTTTCTAACATGTTCTATCTCTACCAGAGGTATTTCCTTGAGGCAGATAATGAAGATGATGATGATGACGGCCAAGAAAATGAAGATTTGACTGATAACGGTGCTGAAGATACTGAGAAGAGGTGCATTCCGTTCACCTTTGAATGCTCAAATGTTCTTGTCATTTCTTATATACGTTTTCACTATAATAGTTAGGCATTACGAAGATTTTGATGAATTGATCGGTGTACTGTTTGCTAAGTACAACATATAATTATGTTGCGAGAAGGCACCAAAACAATATAGTTTCTGTTTGCTTGAACTTAGATTTGACATTTATCTGCCTGACCTAAAGCATGAGCTTATAAAGTGACATCTTATTGAAAGTTTCACTCTTGGTTTGATCAGGCCTCTTATAACCAAAAGGGTAACACGGGTTGAGTTGAATCGGAGAGCTCGGCGAAAGGAACAATTAAAAGCTGAAGCAGAGGCCAAAAAAGCAGAGGAACTCTCCAAGAACATTGACAGGTACCAAGTTGACAGTACTATGCAAATGTCCCTCGTATTTTAAATGAACATCTTTACTAAGTTAAATTGTACCAATATCTCTTGCTCCTGTCCAAATAGCATATCAGATATAATCCAAGAAATAGAAGAAGAGGATGAAGAGAAGCGGAAACGGCATCTCCGGCGCGTTGTTGCAAAACAGGAGAGGCTGAAAACTCATCCGCCCCGTTTGGGAAAATACAAGTATGTATACATACATTTGATGTCTACCCTTTTCAAGCTCCTCTTAGACTGAGAACACTTGTGTTTGTTTAGAGATTTGGATTTTGAATTGAGATTTTAATAGTAAAAATTTGAATTTGAATAGTTTGTATGATGTGATATAAATAGATAATAATGTGATGTTTTGAATGTAAAATTGATTTTTAGAATAATATAGAAATGAAAAATAGGTGTTTGATGTGATGTTTTTGGGGAAAAAAATTTGGATATATAGTGGATTTTTGGCAAAATTCCTCAAACAAACACCCATTCCTTATTCCATATCTATTATCTATGTGCATGCGCCGAAATAAATCTTCTTTACTGATACTATTATAGTAACCTTGACAACCATCTCATTGTTTCAGATTCGAGCCTGCTCCTCTCCAAGTCCTCTTATCGGAAGAGAAAACTGGTTCGCTTCGTCAGTTGAAGGTTTGTCGCTGACCGACTTACATTCTAACCAACCCGATAATTACACCTGCACTATCATGTTTGTTTTTATCTGCTATATACGAACAACGTTCCTAAACCATGTCGGATAGCAGGGCTGTTCCACCCTCGTGAGAGATCGGTATAAGAACCTGGAGAGAAGAGGATTAGTCGTCCCATCAAAGAAGGGCAGCAGGTCAGTCTCGCTCTTGCTCAAAGTGCCATTCTTATCTTTCACAGAATCGAACTGCAGATATGACATATCTTTTTGCAACTTGCTTCTTCTTCCTTTTACAAATTACAAATAACCCTAACTTTATTTCTACGTTATGCAGGACGTAGATTGGGGTGAGCCAGAAAATTGATCGGACTTGAAAGAAAGTATGTCTAATTTGGTTATGTATCTTTTCTTCATATTTTATTATGTTCCTTAACAGTTAGTCGATCAGGCAATAACACTCGACTCGTCTTTAATCTTTATATTATAGAGTATTTGGTTTGAATTTCAATTTTAAATTTCAATGTTTCGTTTGACAAATTTCTTAGAATTTTTACTGTTCATCGATTTTTTTTCCCTCCAAAATATCATGTCAACCCGAACAAACACACATCATTATGTGGTTTTCAATAAAATTATTCTTTCGCATCGACATTCAATTGCTATTTACTACTCTCTTTGTCTCAGTGATGTTTGAGTTACCGAAGAGACGAAAATTTAAATATAATTATCTTATAATAATTATACATAGATTAAGATAATAGTTAATTAAAATTTAAAAAAAAAAAATCAAATTAGAAAAATTAAAATGAAATTAAAAGTGTAATTATTTTTCAAAAAAACAAAATAACATGAGATAGGTGACGGAAAGGAGGGAGTAAAAAGCAAAACAAATGAAAACTAATTTATTGATGAATTTAAAAATGGGTAAATTACAATTTTTTGCTTCTATTGCACTTATTTTTGCGTATAGGTTTAAAAATAACAATATTTTTTTTGGTAAGTAAATGTAGTAGCAATTTTGATTAATTTGTATTTGGCGTTTTATGTATGAGCTCATGATTTTTTTTGTATATATATTTTTTTCACTTAAAAAACATATAATGTTATTTTGTAAGTTAAATATTATATTAAAAATTATAATTTCAATTTATACTATAATTAAATTAACAATTTTGATTCCCTTTTTTTTTTTTTTAATGTTTTCAACAATTTAAAATTTTTATGCATCTTAATTAGTGTATCTTTATATTATAAATTCTCAATAAAGTATCACTCATCTACTAATAAAAGTAAAGATGATCTATTCTTTAATTTGTGCTCAACTAATAATTATATTCGTATTTTAGAGAAATTACAAAAAAATAAAAAAAAAATAACTGGAATTAGATTAATAAACTAAGTAACATTGAATTAAGTTTTAAATTGAATAGTTGTCTGATAATATAAATATGTATAATGTTTTAAATATAAAAAATTTAATATTATATAATAAATAAAAAAATAAGGGTTTGATTTCATATTTTTGGAGAAAATTTTAAAATAGTAAAATCATAATTAAAATTGTACAAACAAACACATTATTTTTTATGTAAAATTTTACATTCAACCATTATCCCATCTAAAAATAATAAAATTACAATATTCGTAACCTATTACTATTACTAAGTATGAGTATATATATATATATATTCTAAATAATAATAATAATAATAATTTAAGACAGGTACATGAGGCCCACGGACAGGGTCGATTGTGTAGTCCATTTTTAAGGTGGGCCGGCCCATATCAAACATCACTGTGAAGTTGACATTTTTATGCTCCACAATAATAGTAATAATAATAATAATAAAACGCGGAATGGAAGAACCAGAAGCAGTTCTTCGTCTTCCTCCTTCGCACATCGTCACGAATCTTACAACAATTCTGCTCATAATCAGGTAATACAGCACGCTTATTTCAACAGGCATGCAGCTGTAGGCTGCCGCGGTAGATGGACTGTGTTTTCTGTGAGATGTTTGTCCATAGATGTCTGTTTTGGTGTTCCGACTCCATTTTGACACCGTTTACCAAATTGGAAAGTAGATGTGACCTTCGTTTTATATAAGGATTTTTGGAATTTCTGATTTTTCGATGCTTGTTGCTGCAGTAAACTGGATTTTTAATTTTGGCTTTTAATATATTGCCTGTCTGTGCGTAATTCAATTGATTCAATTGAAGGACCTATGGAGAATTTCGCGGCCGAATAAGATACTGTATATAATTTGACTATCATATAGTTCTCGATGAAAGGCTTCTGCAGAGTGACCGTGTTTTGATTGGAATCTCCTGTTGTTGGTGGAGTTTTTGGATAGAATTTTACTTTCAGATTGGCTAGGAATCATCAGTTCTTAAAGTATATTTGGGGGAAAAAAACTGTTGAACTATTGTAGGATCGAACCACTACAATTGCTTTCTTCAGAAACCATGGATGATGGGGAGCTTGAGCTCTCAGACCAACAGTTGATTCTGAATTCAGAATCTTCAAGTAGTATTCAACCAACACTCTCATCAGATTTATTTCTCGACGGATTGTTGAGAACTGCACAAACATGCACGCACACTCACACCTGCAATCCACCGGGACCAGACGCCACACACACCCACACATGTTACCATACCCACACTCATGTGATCCCTTCCAATGAAGATATTGCCGGGACACAGGATGGGAAAAAAACTCCGGTTTCGAAGCCTCAGAGGCCGGCCGGGAATAGGGAAGCCGTTAGGAAGTATCGGGAGAAGAAGAGGGCCCAAACAGCTTATTTAGAGGAGGAAGTAAAGAAACTGAGAATGGTGAACAGGGAGCTGATGAGAAAGTTACAGAAACAGACGGTTCTCGAAGAAGAAGCTTCGAGGCTCAGAGCTCTCCTCCTCCATCTTAAAGAAAAGATTGACGATGAACTGACTGATTTCCCCTTCCAAAAACAGTGTAGTATTAATACTGTAAATGCTTTCAGGGAGGACGAATGTAGGGTTCCTCCACAGGTGAATGGCGCAGATTGTAGCCTCCCCGGCGCACCAATTCTATCCAACAGTGTAGATGGATATGGAAACCTGTTTCCTGTTCGGGATCATCCTGGAAGTTTGAGCTATGTAGAAAATGCTGGGAAATGCTTGCAGGACTCGGCTCCCCCAGAGTGAAGGTATGCTTTATGCTTTCCTAATGGATGATGTTAGATAATAATGCCGTACATGAAATTATACGTGATATGTCTATATATTTACACACATATATAGGTACATACATGCATATATATATATATGTGATAGTGTATATAAAGGAAAGGGATTTAGCTATTTGAGGTATATACGATCTTTTGCTGTGATTAATTGCACCTAATTGCATGCCTTGTGTGTAGTTTACGTCTGTTGTTAGCTCAATCGTTTTGTGTTGAGATTATAATCTTGAATTTAAATAACTTCCTTTGGTGATGTGTCGAGCATTTAAACTTTAAGAATCATCATCGATCACAACTGTCAATTCCTTTCTTCTTTACCTTACTTTAATAAGAAATCGGTGTTAGATGTAATATTTAGAACGGAAAATAGATGTTGTAGATATTGTTTATAGGGAAGGTTTTTTAGAAAATGTTAATTGTATTGTACATGGATAAAATTACAAAAAACAGATTTGGCCGTGAATGGTTGGGTTCGTCTCGGTGAGTTTATTTACATTATCTATCTTTAAATTTTAGCATAGCATATTAGATAAACATAGCTTGTTAGTCATTTGGTAAAATAAATCAAATTTAGGGTCTAAGGTACACTTTTTGTTTCAATAATGTTGGAATCGACTGTAGTTATTCTTGGAGCTCTCTAAAGTAAATCCTATATGACAAACTCGACCAAGAATGGTTGGTAGGGTTTGAATCCTATAGAACCTTTTATGGTACATTTTTGAGTCAGGTTTGTTTTAGGGTGGATGTGCAACAAATAAGGTTGTGTTTTTTATTGAAAGTTTTATTTTTGGTAATATATATATATATATATATTAGGTACATAGTGTCTGCTTTAGCTGATTTGATTATAGCAAGACCAATTCATCAAATTCTGAAAGTGAATTGAATTGAATTCATGCAATGGTTTTTCTACTACTTATTTCTACAAATGACAAATAACTTTGTGGTTTGTGAGATAGTGAAAGAGTGCAGTCTATCTTTAAACAAATTATGGAAGGCATTTTTTAATTTTAGGGTCTCTATGATATGAAATACTGAAAGATATGTGAAATGATATCATTTCAGAATTAAGTATTAGTATATTTTTATTAATATGTTCCTAACTAGTTTTATACACAAATGTTGTTTAAGGTGTGGCTACTTTGACTTATTTTTAAAATTTTTCTATCTAATTAACAATAAAAAAAAATAGTATATTTGTAACGAAATTTCGTTCATAAAGTTCACGTAGCTAACGTAATTTCATCTCTAATTTCGTCTCTAATATCATTAGTAACAGAAAAAATAAATTTAAAAACCAAAAAATCTGGCTAGTACTTCTTCCATCCATCAAATATCATATACGTTTGGAAGTAAACATTAAAGAATAAAGTGAAATGAAAAATAACCAGCTTTAAATTAGGAAATTTGGAAACTTTTTGCGGTTTTGGAAAATTTTTAAAATAATAAAAAATTGAACATGTAATATTTTTTTTGAGAAAAAATATTTAATACTTATTTTGTTCGAGTTATATTTATCTCTTTTTTTTCACGTTGATTTTAGTATATTAATATGTTATAAATAATAGTATAATAAAATATATGTGTATATAGTTTGTTTTTAAACTCATTTATCTTTTTAATGATATTGTTTGTAATATACTAAGTGTATGAGTATTTTTTATTAAAATGAAATTTTTATCAAAAAACGGATGTACTTGAGTTGGAAAAACAAAATGTCAAAACAGTTACATATAACTCCATGAAATATATTATTCTTAAATAATATAAAAAAAAATTAAAATATTTGTGCAAATAGAGACTATTTTTATTATGTTGGCTTTGTATATTTGGGTGATACAATTTTTTATGAATATTATTAAAAAAAATACCAAATGTATACATATTAACATAATAAATGTAATATATATCTTATCTACTAAAAAGAGTTAACAATTTAATACTCCTTTGATTTCAGTTGAAAATGGTCAATGAAGAAATAATACTATTATATTGGTTAGTGGAAGTGAGTAAGAAATTTTTGATATTTTTTCAGTAATTGCATGTGTAATAATATATTTATAATTTAAATAAAAATTAAAGGTATTTTAATATTAGTGTATAAATAATTTTTTTAAAAAAAGATATTGTTGAATGAAAATGATAAAAAAATATTTTGAATTGAAACTAATGAAGTAATACTCCCTCCGTCCAACCAGAGATGACCCAATTTTTTTTTTTGGTATGTCCCACAAAAGATGACACATTTTTATTTTTAGTAAGTTTATCAATCTTAAACATATTTAACAAATATAAATCAATTTGATTAAATTTCTAACATCTTACGTGACCCACTCAAAATTCATTTATTTCTATCTTTCTCTTTAATTAATAAATATTTTTATCTACCTTTAAAATTCCTCATTTTTTTTATAAAACTAATTTATGGTAATGATAAATAAATAACTATATTTTTTATTCATTTGTATTTTATAAAATTTTATGGTCTACAAAATGATATTCATGCATATATTTTATTGAGATATAATTCTAAAGATATTTAAAATACCAACAATATTACATATATAAAAAATAATAAAATATTATCATAATTTATTATTAATAATTTAATAGCCTACATTATCTAAACAAAATGACTATCTTTTTCGGGAGACCGATGGAGTATTTTTTTGTACTAGTCAACAAAGTGAAGACACACATTTACATAGACACCTAGGGTGTGTTTGTTCGTGAGTTTGAATTTTGAGTTGGGATTTGAATAGTAAAAATTTTAAATTTGAATAGTTGTATGATATGATATAAATAGGTGTTGATGTGATATTTTGAATGTAAAATTGATTTTTAGTATAATATAAAAAATTTAAAATAAGTGTTTGATTTTACGTTTTTAGAGAGAAAAAAATGGGATGAATAGTAAAAATCTAATCCAAACCTCCAACCAAACACACCCCTAGTGTATAGTAATAGTAATATTTTAAGCTATAAATTACAATATATATATATATATACAAAGTTTGCCGCGAATAGCTTTATTCAATCATTCATACTCAAATAAAAACAGTTATATTCGTTATACTTGAAAGTATATCTGAAATATGATTTAAAAAAATAAAAAATAAAAACAAAAATTCTTTCATATGAGCACACCATAAGGCAAGTACATTTACTTTAACAATATTTATAATTATTTATAAAGAATTAGAACTATCATGAAATAATATGAACACTTATTTTAATAAATCATTATAAACAAACCATATTCCAATATTGATCCGTAAGTAGTAAACAAAGCTCTTAACGTGTAATAATGAGAATGGTCAAATCTCAATCACATGGCGTTGGCAATGGACCCACAAAACAACTGGGCCCTACTTGCCTTGTCACCCACCCCACCCCACCCCCATGTGATAGGTCTGTCCCTTCCTCAGTCATCACCTTACATTAAAAAATTAAATTAAAAGCCCAATCATTTCACAAATTTTGTAATAAATCTGGAAATTTAATACACTAAGTGTGTTTGTTTGAAGGATTTTGGTGGATTTCCACTATTCATCCAATTTTTTCCCCCCAAAAACATCAAATCAAACACCTATTTTTCATTTTTTATATTATACTAAAAATCAATTTTACATTCAAAACATCACATCAATCCTATTTATATCACATCATACAACTATTCAAATTCAAAATTTTTACAATTCAAATCCCAACTCAAAATCCAAACCTCCAAACAAACACACCCTTAAACTGTGATGAATAAAAGATTAATAAAACCCCATCATCGTGTCTGTCTGCCTGTCTCTTAAAAAAAATGATTTTTATAAAAAGGACAAGCCACCAATCATGTTTAAATAAATAACATTAGAAAATTATTGTCAGGTAGTATACTTTGCATTATTATAATTATTTAATTACTAGCACAGTAGAAGAAGAGACAATACACATGTGAAACCCTAATCACATAATACATCTAATCACAATAATAACAATAACAATAATAATAATAATCACAAATTTAAAATTCTTCATTTCGATCTTCATCTCCTATACAAATACAAATGACCCTCTCTCTCTCTCTCTCTCTCTCTATATATATATATATATATTTATATGTAAGCATGTGTATGTAAGACATTAGAATTATACACTGTGGGGAAGCAATCAACGGTGAGGATCAAAGGAGAGGGAAAACCACAGCCGTTGATTTGCATCCTTCTTTGATCTCTTATATTTTGTGTCATTGTGTGTGTCTATACATAATGACTATTTTGACGTTATCCCTTTTTTTTTCTTTCTTACTATAAAACAAAGAAACATAATAATAAGTAATAATAAACTTATACAACAAGAAGGATGCCTAACTTACCCTTCTTTTCTTGTACTCAACTGGTGGCGGAGGGGTGGTGAGCGCCGCCGTGACGGCGGCCGAGCCACCGGAAAGCCAACGAGACCGGCCTCGCACCGATCCCTACATTCCAACTGTCTCATGTCCCGACGCCAGCCTATACACATTGTGATCGACCAAGTAATCGAAAATTAGTTCGAGAATATATACGTAAAACATCGAATGTTTTCGGAAATTAACAACCTTGGCGCTTGGAAGAAACACGACGGAGTCATGGGAAATAAAGACGGCCCGAAGTTATTGTTAGTAGATGACGGCGTCGAGACTTCTTCTACATCGCCGCCACCTTCTGCCTCCGTGACATTGCCGGAGAAGAAGGCGGAGGCGGCCGCGTCGTAGCTCCCGAGTGCCTTTGGCGAGGCGAAGGGACTGTCCGGCAAGTTGTGCTCGAACCTGCATTCGAATCGTTTAAAAGAAATCATACGAAACAATCGCTTCGATAATCAGATCGATACCTTTCATGTGAATCGCTTCCTTTCGATTCATCCTTGCTGTAGTTTTCCTTCTCGATGGAGACATCGTCGTCTTTTGCGGCCAAGACGTTCTCTGCAATGGCATTTATCGCTTCCTGGATTACAACTCCGATCGTAATGTTTCCAATTTAACATTCCGTAAAGAGAAAAAAGATTGAACCTTTAACTTCGGAGCTGCCGTGGGCGGTGAAAGCAGCGACATTTCGATTGAGGGTCGGGGAAAACGACGTTGGAGATGAGATAACGGCACCGGTTGAAAGCGCACGTTGGTGGCTGTTTCGTTTGATGTTGATAAGGCGTAGATTCATAAGTCGTCGGTTTTGAAGCGCGATGGCTTGCTGCAAATCCACCTCGTCCTCTAACTTTCTCCGCCATAACATTTCCGACGTTTTGTACAACATTCCTGCACCTGTAAATCTCATAGGAATTCAAGCTCATTCATCACCCAACTCCAACAAAAACCAGTCCTCATATCTTAAGAATCGATTCGACTTTCAAGTTCGATGAATGTATAGTATAGCTTACCAACTGGAAGATCGTAGAGATCCCGAGTTTCGATTCCGGTGGGGCTACCACATCGGGAGAATTCGAATTCCCCCCTTTCCATCTGCTGCTGCTGTTTCCTGCAAGCGAAAATTCGATTAGAACAGTCAAAGAAGAACAGCTCTTCGATCTAAAATGGAAACTCGACTGAATTGCCGGAACCTAAGCTTGTCGGGGATTTTCCCTTTCTCTTTGTAAGGCTTGACGAGAACACGAGCTTCGCAAACAAAGTGAGGATTGCCCTTTGCAAGAATGAGCTTCACAGTCTCCGGATATTCAAATGTTACGAACCCGAACATCCTCTTCTGCTGATAAGGTATCCTTACATCTTGAACAGGACCGAAATTGCTGCAACAAGAAACCGCAAACAATCACTAGAAGAACAACCATGGCAATGAATCTATGGATTTTTGAATGAACAGGTAAGTTAATGTTAGTAGCAAAGAAATGCAGACCTGAAATAATGGGACACATCTTCTTCCTTGAAAGAACTGTCAGCAGGAAAGGTTAAGTATATCTGTCTAGAGCCTGGACTGTTCATACCATTCATCCCCAGTTCACTGAATTTATGGATTCCATCCATCATCAGAGATCTAAAGCATGTAATGTAAACAGGTAATTGATTATCATCGTTGATTTTTGAGAGATCGGAAAACTGGTAAGAGGAATGGATTTGATTTGGTTACCTAGGGCTTTCTGACGGAAGTTGCTGGAGAAGATTCACACATTTGGTTGCAGAGAAATTAGGGTTACAGACAGCACCGTCGCCGCCGAGGTCTCCGCCGCCGTGGAGGAAGCGGCAGGTGGTTCCGTTTTTGCAGTAGCCTCTAGCGTAGAACAAGCAAGGCTTCCATCCAAATCCTACGCTCAGATCATCCTCGTTCACCGAGCAGCTTCGGCGGTGGGAGGCGCCGGCGCCGGCGGCGGTGTAAGGAGGGAAGAACATAGCGTCGTTTCCGGTCGGACTGGCCGCTAAATCCTGGTGGCGGTGGTAGAGATTGAAATCGGAAGTTTTCCCTGCAACTTGAGAGTTTCCATCGTTGAGGAACGCCAGCTGATCTTGAAGCTGAAGCTCGTCAATCAAATCGATTTCGCCTTTCGCGTAGAACGGCGAGTGGCGCGACGCGCCGCTGTACGCGGCAGGGCTAATCAAATCCTCCGCCGTCTGGAAATCGGTTGAATCTCCGGCGGAATTCGTCCAGGAAGACGCCGGATTGGAGGATTGAGTGAGGATATTCAGCCTGGAGGGAGCAGAGGAAGACGAACTCCGGCGACGGTTAGGGTTTGCAAAAGGGGAAGAAATAGAAGAAGGGGGAGTGGGCGTTAAGGGCGTGTTTGGCGACGGCAAACCTAACTCCTTCTTGAGCCTCAAAATCACTGCCTGAAGTGCAGAGTCAGAGCCGAAAGCCAAACGGATCATCTCCTTCTCGCCATGGTCCTGGATGAGAAGAAACCCCATGATTTTGGAAGCATTGTTTGGATCCAAATTTTGGATTCTTTCAAAAACAATCTTGGTGGCTTCATACGCATCCATTCTCAAATTTGTTCCTCACTCCTCCAAAGCCCAAACAAACAGCACCTTATCGCCCTTCCACTCCTTCCTTCCTTCCTTCTTCAGTGTAGCAACACTGCAGGAGCAACCAATATTAGATTTCTGTAAATTTAGTTTTTGTCGAAGAAAGCAGAGATTTGCAGAAATCCAGAAAGGGTGAAGAAAGTTAAGGGGGAGGGGATAAAATAAAAAAACATTGCTGAAAAGTTGAGCCATGGCACGGTGGTTGAGTTGAATTTCTCCATTAAAATATTCAAAAAGACGACTGACAGAGAGACAGACAGGCAGACAGACAGAGAGACAAAGCAGCAGCAAGATGAAGAAAGAAAACAGTATGGGAAAAACAAAATATAAACACTCGCTATCTATTTCTATTTACAGATGAGTGAATGAATTCTCGAAAGTGACTATAAGATTATATGTCTATTAGCAGCAATTCATTGATTAAACCCTAGCTTGTTCATCATTCAGATTCATGCTGTAGGCAGGTTGAAGATCGATCATCCAATTGAAATTCAAATTGAAATTGAAATCGAAATTGAAATTGAAGAATGTGTGTGTTTAGAGTGCAGAACTCAGCTTCATTCATATTCATATTCAGATTGATTCGTTGATTGCATTTATTCTGCACCTGACACGACACTGACAGAGGTGCAAAACTCAGCCGCTGCTGCTGTCGTAGCCATCATCTCCATGTTTATGTTCTCCCTTCTACTTTGGTCTTCTTTTTTTTTTTTTTTTTTTGGGTTAAGTGAGGTTGATTGATGAACGCTGCATGATTATTTATTCTGTAAATGGAGTAGTATCTTACTCCATCCGTTCTCATTAAATATTCCACGTTAATAGAGATATTTAGATAAAATTAATTAAAAATAATATAAGTAAAAATAATTAACATATAGTAAAAATAATTATAAATTAAAATTAAAAATATAATTAAAATATAGTCTAATTTTATTTCATCATCCAAGCTAATTTGTATACATAAAAATAGTGGAATTTAGGTAAAATATAATTATTAAGTAATTAAAAATATATATTAGAAAAATAATTTATATTAAAATAATTAAATAATTTAATTAAAATTAAAAAAAATTATAAATTTTAACATATTATTAAAATATTAAAAAAAAGTATTTTATTATAAAAAAATATTATTATCATTTATTTTAAGTTTTTAGGAACTCCTAAAATATAGTTAAAAGAATTTTTTTTTCTAATAGCTGCGGATTTCTATGTTATTAAAAAAATAAATTATTATAAATAATAAAAATTACGAGCCTTATATTTTCAAAAAAACTCATAGAGTATAAATAGTCTAAAAAATATATAGGAACAATAATTAATGTTTAGCTTAATTTTGTTCGTATCTAACTCTTTTTTTTTTTTTTTTTGAAGGAAAGTTCTATTTTTATTAAAATTAGTGTTTTATATTTAAAAATTTTCAATGACAGAGTAAGTAATATTTGAAAAATTTTTACACTAACTTTTTAATCACATATTATATTTTTTTTCCATCTGATAATAAATATATATATATATAAATAAATAATAGTTTTGAAATATTACAAAAGATTTATCAATTAATGATGAAAAAAATAAAGACAAAATTTATTATTATTTATTAAAATAAAAATAATACGGTGGTGTTCTATAAAGTTATTTATTATAAGTGGAATGTGCATATATTTAAAGCAGAAGATAATATTGACATAATTTTGGCAAATATAATGATTATTTTTTTTTATTGTTTAATAAAAATAGTAAAACTTTAAAAATATTCTCTAAACAAATTTTGGTTTGAATTTAATATCAAATCACTGTTATTCATTTTATATCATTATTAAAAAAAAAGTATATTATTTCATATAATGTTTCGTCATTTTAAAAGTTCTTATAAAACATTTTTCTATAAATAAATAATTGACATATGATTTTACATCATATTAAATAAATGTTGGGAGTCTCGTTTCCGAATTTACAAATTAATGACTGTATTTTTTAAAAATTTGAATTTTTTAAATGTAAATTAATGATAAATGAGACAGATGAATTGAATATTAAATTTATAAAAAATTTACCAAATTAATAAAAGTTAAAAAAGTGAGAGTATATTTATTTTATGAAATAGGAATTTTTTATTAAAAATAATATAAAAATAATAAATATAAATAAAATTTTAACATATATATACACACGAGAGATTTTAAAAAAAAATGCAAAAAGTGAGTTACGTAATTTATGGTTATTTATATCTTTTCTATTTTATAGAATGACAGGCAGGCTTCCACTGTCCTCATCATCCTCCACCCACTTGATAAAATGAAAATGTATATCTTGTGGAAGGAATTACACTTTTGCCCCTATCATTTATTCCGCAGTGATTGGTTGAATTGGAATGATACTGGAATCCAATTGCTATTATAATTGGGTTAAGAAAATGGCAAATATAAATCCTGCTCCCTCCGTACAAATGTGTATTCATTTCATCGGATATAAAAATGAGTAATAATGATTATTTTTTTTTATAGTAAAAACATATATAAAAATATAATAGTTTTTTACTTAAAAATGTAAAGATAATATTTGTCAATGACAACCCAAAAAGGAAAGTGAACATAGATTTGAAAGACGAATGGAGTATTGTCCATTATTTTTATTTTTGTCCGTTCCACTTGTTCTTTTGTAATGACATTTGTGTAATATATTATAAATTGTAATAATATTTGTAATGTTAGGTAGATAGTACAGTTACTAAAAAAAATGAATATTTTGTTATAAGACAGACTAAAATAAAAAAATTGATACTTTATTAGAAGTAATAATAATAACAATCATAATAATAATAGATAAAATGGCATAGATTGAATTGCGAAAAAAAACAAAACCATAGAGTAGACTCTAGACCAAGGTTGATTCAGGTGTACTGTATACTCTATTATTACCACTAATTTTATCGTCACATGGAATGAGGATATTATTGTCTTTTTACTTGTTTACCCTTCCTTTTCTGAAGAAATGAAATATCTATATGTTGATATCGGTTTAACTTTTTAATAAGACAATTGATTAATAATTATCACGTTATTTATGCTGGACATGGAATCGAACCCAACTCTTGTTTAATCACGTGCTTATTTTGATATTGTTAATTTTCTAATTAAATTAAATTACTCTTTAATTTATATATATATTTTTAAAAAATATTAATATATTACATATATTCGTTATTATCATATTATTATATATTTTTTCATATTTCACATAAATAAATAAATAAATAATAATAATAATAATAATAATAATAATATTCATTCAAATTATTACACAAAACAAATAAATCCTAAATTAAATTATATACATAACATTTATCTGCAGGGCCGAACCATGTGAGGACTAGGGGTAGCCACCCAACCTCAAAAAATGTGCTTTTTTTTTATGTAAAAAATAATAAAATTATTTATTCAAGTAATTTCTATGGATGTATTCTCAACTCGTATAATATATACATATTAGGATACAATTATATAATATATATTCTACAGTCACAAAATAAAGTATTCGACATAAAATAATTATTTTTTTATATTAACATGTGTTTTCTATACTTAGCATAAAAATCTCAATAAAAATATAAAACACACAAATTTTATATACACTAAAAATGAAATTTTTTATTTACTCAATAATTTTTTTATTGACATAAATTTTAATATATATAATATATATTTTCTCCGTTCCATTGAAAAGTTATCATTTTTCATTATCGTCCGTCCAAAAATAAGATTACAATTTTCTAATTTAGTAATTGTACTACCTATTAACATAATAAATATTCTTTCAACTTATAATATATTACACAAATGTCATACTTTTATATTACACCATACTAATAATAGGGGTATTTTTGTCTTTTTTACTACAATTCAATATAATACTAATATTAAAAAATTTACGTGAAAAAAACAAACGTCATCCTTCTACCAGGACGGAGAGAGTATTATATTTCTTTATAATAATTTAATATTCAATAAAATAAGTATTATTATTTGTTTATTATCAATACAAATTTTATATAAAAATATATTTTAAATTAAAATACTAAACAAATACAGCTAAAGTGATATGCATCTTTGGTGCTTGTGTCTATTTTATACATATATTTGTTTTCATTCTAAAAATGTCATATTTTTATATATATTCTTTATTAAAGTAATATATTTAAATAATCATTTTTAATTAAAAAATATTAGATCCAAAATACAAATATTAAACAACATGTATGTACATAAAGAAGGAAAAATATATTAGTTCGGACTTGTAACTAAGAGATCATGAGTTCAAATTTTATATTTTATTTGGCTTTAAATTTGAATGTTACTTTTAATTTAAAGATTATTTTAATGTAATTTTTTTTTTATGTTTTTTTAAAAAAGTATATCATGTTGGTTAAACGATACAAATTTAAATATGAAATTTAAACCAAAAGCATTAATTATTTTTATGTAAAATAATAGTTAAATAATTTAGTTTTATAATAATAAAAGTATATTGAATTGAAAATAATAAAATACAGTGTAAAAGGAAGATACATAAATCATTGTATCCAGTGATTTTTTCGTCGGATTTGGTTTGGAGGATATTAAATTCGGACGGGGTTTATTCAGTGCGTATTTTTTGTAGCGAGTTCCCACGTCATTAAAAAAAAAAAAAAAAAAAAAAAAAGGAAGAAGAAGAAGAAGAAAGGGATAATTTAAATTTGTAAATTTATGGGCCCCTTGTAATATCTGCACAATTTAGAATTTGTGTAATAAACCAATAATTTACACGAAATTGGTCAAAATTAGAGTGCACAGTTTTTAAAAGTTTATCTTTTCTGCGTACACATACATGCAATGATTGGTTGATAAAATGCTACCAAGTAATCGTGAAAGTTCATATTTTCTGCGTAATTATTATTATTATTATTATTATTATTATTACATTTTTATGTACAAGGAATAGTTTTGTGTGTTTTTATTAATTTATTATGATATATATTATATATATTTTTTAATCTTATATAGTGAAAATATTAACTCTCTATTTGAATTAGTTTCAATTTATTTATTGTATAATTTTAATTTGATGATTCTACTGTTCATTAATAGAACATTACAGTTCAAACCACTGTTTGAACCAAATTTAAAACCAAATTCCAAAGTAAAAAATAAAAAAAAATAAATCAATTTCAGATATATATATATAAATATATATAATATTGAATTATATAAGATATTATTAGTGCAAATGTACAATGAAATTTTAAGCCAATTATATTAAACAAGGCGTTATAATATAGGAAAACGGGCCTATGTCAGCCCATCACATTTGGCCCATTACGGCCCATTATGTATTGGTCTATTTCTAATGAGAAGTAGTGCGAGTTTGAGCGGGTTCGATTTCGATAGATACATCAATGTTAAATCGGGATAAGATGTTTGGAGTCGGATTGCGTTTACGCGCGGGAGTGTGGTGATTTTTATTCGAATTGAGGTACTAAATAAGCTAATATTGTTCAGGGGATGTGCATCTCCATTCTTTTATTGCTGACTATCGGAGAAATTCGAGTTTGAACAAATGTTGCATTTCCACCTCATACATTGCGAAGATATTCGCGGACAATGGTGTTCTAGGAGCTCGTATTTCATCGAGTGTGTGTGCGGAATTGGGAATGTTGTGTGTAATCGGTGCTTCAATTTATTTATTTTTCTAACTGTTTTCGTAGTGCTGTAACTTTGTTGATGATGTTTCTGGTTTGCCTTAGGAGTCTTTGCCGAAAGGTCAAATTGTCGATATATTTATCGTTATGTATTAACTCTCTGGATGCTTCTTGGGACGAAAACCGTTGTGATTGAAACTGCCTTGAATGTTCCTGCTGACAAAAGCTCCGGAGTGAGATAAGGCATTTAGTGCTGAAGGAGAATTATTGTTGATAGAAAAGAATGATCATAGATAATGACTTTAGGATCTAGTCCAGAACTGATGAAAACTTTTTTGTTTCGTAAGCACTGAAAGAGCTGCTTTTGTTTTTTTCCTTTTGGTTTGCAGCATAAAAACATTTTGTTGTAATGTGGGCCGTGGAAATGGCTATTGAATGTAGTATTCTGATGTCTGAAGCCAACCATCCACTGAATGTTTTCGGTTGTCCATCATTGTCGCATGTGCAGTTTGGCCACTTTGAAAGACATTCCAATCCTGTGGTTTTGAGGGTTTTGGGGATATCTCATTGTTGTCTAAATCATTGTTGTTCTATTCCGTCACCATGAAAGCAACAAGTCATGGAGAGATACTTTACGAGAAGACAACAATCTTCTGCTGAGGTAACCAAACCATGATGTTGTACGTGTTCAATTTATGTCTGTGCATTCGTTATATGAGGCACTAGTGTAAATGCACAAAAGCTTTTGATGCGAACCTTTGTTTTATGTCTGTGCTTTTGTGTGAGTGCCTTATGACATAATGCAAGTGGGATGTGAATTTTGTTTCTCTATTCATCACTATAATTTCATGAGTGGTTTGAGTTACATTACTGATAAGCATCACTGTTTGGAATTACTTTTCACATGAACAAATTATGCCATATGAATGGCTGTTTGATAAGGATCTTGATCCGTAAGAATCTCCTGAAATATGCCAAACACCATTCCACAGAAATGTCTATTTTAGAGCACTGTATGTATCTGTTCAAGTGCCCATGATGCTGTCTATATCTTTTTAGTGGCCAAATTTATATGTTATTTTGTTTCACTGGTATATTCTGTATATGGATCCACTTCAATTATATTGCTGCCGACATAATATTCCATTACTTGATGAGTTGATATTGAAGAAGCACCACTGTGACAATTAATTCAGGCGTGATAAATGATTACCTACGTAAGCTACAACATCACAGAACTAAAGCTATTTTGCTGAGGTATGAAATATGAATACACCCCACACAGGAAAATCGAATTTAAATTGGAGGTTTTTAGTTGGTGACTAATGAACTCTATGGATTAAGTTTTTGTGGCGGACACATGATCTCAATAGTCAAGACTCAATCACTAAATTTATTTCACTTAAGCCTCCTATGGTGTGTGTTCCTGGATGGATGACCTAAGTTTTAGACTCATAAGTTACTGCCCCCTAGACATAATAAGGATGTCTAAGCTCATGGAAATTAACAAAATTTTCTTTTGCCCTTTCTAAACTTTCTGGAATGCATGGATATCATTGAATTTCACAAGAGCATATCAAGTAGTAACTTATTTTGTAATTTGTGTCACTGGGTATAAGCTTATAGTATATTTGTATCATTTATGGAGACACATCAACTGAATAAACTTGTCAAGTTGAGATCATTTAAAAAGGGTTTCTTCCTGTTTAACTCTAGCCTAAGAAAATGTTGAAATAATTTTATGCTTTTGGATATTGTAATATGTGAAATATTATATTTTCTCTCTCTCTAATTTTTTCTTTTTTTTTTTTGTTTTTCTTCTCCATCCCCTTATTTTCTCTACATTCCCCCTCCTTTTAGGTTTTCTATAAGTTCATGTAATATGTTGTTGTAAATATTCCATTCAAGATAATTTAGTTCATCTTCATCTTCACATTCACATAATCTATCTCACACAGTTCTTAGAGATCTTTCAGAAGTAGGTTTTTGAAGCACCACCAACTTTAATAATTGACTTTTTTGGCCTTGTTTTCATCCCCGTGGTCCTCTTGCTTATCAATTTTCTTAGGCAGACTAAGACCACTCACATCCAATTTGCTTCGTGCAAATATGTTCTTTTCTTGTTTGGAAAAGCTTTTGTATGTCTGCACACTTCAGATAACTAGTTTTGAATTACGCAGAGCAGAAAATTGTTTCCTTATTGATGAAACTACCAACTTTAATTACATCAGATAATTCAATCATTCAATGTGACATCCTTATACAAGAGTTCATAATTAACTCATTTATTGCTATATACAACAATTTACATGCATCAATTACAACAATATGCCTGGAGCCCCACCTTCATACTTACAGTTACTGACGAGTGACGATGAACAATAAAGATGGAAATACTTAGATCATTTTTTTTTTTTAATCAACAAACACTGCCAAGGTGGCTAGTAATCTAATCCTAGCTTTCAAACTTCCTGAGGATGTTATAGTTCGTTCTTTGTTTCTTAGTGAAGTTATCTATCATAAAATGGACACTCCCTTCTGGAAAATCCTCTGTCCTGAAGCAAGTATTGCAAGAGGATCATAAGCTGACTTCCTCCTTGCAAACACTTCCCATTTTGGACCAAAGTGAGCTCTCCACTCTTCTTGTGTTGTATAGTACGGCAAGTATTGCTTCACTCCCAAGTGCTCCCTCTCGCAGAAATCTAACACTTTGTTGTTTAGACTTAGCAAGTATTGCAATCCATCACTTCCTGTGGATGAGGGTACTGCATGGTGAAGAAATGCAATGAGGTAGAAAATGTCTTCCTCTGGTGTCACGAAAGAAGTTCTATTGTCCCACCTGAAACAGAAAATCTATATCAACATAGTTATAAGGAATTTGGACATTCTTATATTTGTTTTTTCAAGTGAAGCTGTTACTTTGATTGGTTCATAGGGTAGATGAGGACTGGGCCATTATTTGTGTCTCTTAAAATTCCGCCGAAAACGACTTCAGAAAATCTATGTATTTTGCTTTTTGGGACTAAAAGATTCAGCCATGGGTGTGGAATGTCCCACAATCCTTTCGAACGCAGTTTTAGTTCAGCTCCATGAACTCTGTCCAAGAATTCCACATATGGAACTTCTGTAACGAATAGTGTTGAGCGGATGTAGCTTAATTGAGACAACAAGGACCTGATTTCCTGCACACAAAACATAGAAAGAAGTAAAATTTTATCCAGTTATCGTGAAACTTATACAAAAATACTTGCCTGTCTCTTTCATTTGTTTTACCTTGTCAACTTTCATAATCTCATGTGGATTAAAACTTTTTGTCAATTCCAGGCAAAATAGTGTCCTTCCTTCTGAGATGAACTTGCTGGCTTGTACCGGATCTTCTGGATTAAAAGAAGACCTCCAGTTATTTACCAGACCGGTCTTGTTTATGATCACCAGACCTTCAATATAGTCAAAGGCATTCTCCATGGATATCAATTGTTCTTGATCTTCAGCAAATGTGCTGAAATCTGAATAAAGCACCCTGATCCACTTCACCTGTTGAAACTAGATCATCAAGGTGCTGGTGCACTGTATGAACTGGTCTTTATAGATGCACAGTTTAAGACATAGTTAACTTACCATCTTCGGTGCCCTCTCCAGTGATATTCTTGCACGAGTTATTACACCAAACTGGCCAAGTCCACCAAGGACCCCATGAAAGAGGTCAGCATTTTTCTCCTTCGAGCAAATTATTACTTCTCCTTTTCCTTCATAACATTTAGCTCATACATGTAAGGCGTACAGTAAAATATGTTTTGCATATCCTGAAAAATATTCATCATTTCATGATTAGGTATTGCTTTATTGCACGAACCTGTGACAACCTCGAGCTGTTGTACATTTTGGATTTGGGGGCCATGTTGAAAGGCCTGACCACTGATCCCAGCATTGGAGAGCGTGCCCCCAACTGTTAGATGCAGGTAGTCTGTCCAAGACTTGGGCGCCAACCCATATTTCAGACACTCATGCAAGACGTTGATCCAGAGCTCCCCAGCAGAGACATCAACATAAGGCAGTCGTCCCCTATAGACCTGCACTTCTTTCCCATTGAGACTCTCCATATTGATCACAATTCCATGCAATACCTGTGCTTGGCCTTGGAGTGAGTGCCCATGTCCTCGAGCTGCAACAGTCAGTTCTGAACCAGGCCCCATTTCCCAAACATGCCTTATTGTTGCTGCTATATCCAATGTGTTCTTTGGGTGAAGAACTGCGGAAGGTAGAAAATGAAACCGGTTGCCAAAATCCATTGCTGCGAACTCATTCCTATCAAAGGTAAAATGGCCTTCGACGCTAAGCGACTTCATTAAAGGTCCCTCTTGCACAAGAGACGAGCATGGTCTGATGTCCATACTGCGCATGAGCAATACAACAAAGATTCTGGTAAGAAGAATGTTTTTATTTTTTGCAGAACATGCAGACGTTTTTGTCATGTTATAGTGTGCTTTAATGTGCTTTTTTTCATATATGTTGAAGGAGGAGACTAAATGGTGAATTGTATGTAGGTAAGCAGGAAAGCTAAAAGAGCTGAGACTGAATTTAAAGAGGGGGCAGGAGAGTGACTGTTGGAGTCAAACCAAAATTGTTGGTTGTGTAGATTGTTCCAATAGGTTCATGATTTACGAGTTCTTTTTCATGGGGTAATTTGTTGACACATCTGCCATGTTTAAAAGAAGATAGATAGATGCATGATTTCATAGATCTTGCTTTTTATCCACAGGCTCCCACCACACACACTTGCACCTTTTTGTTACACATTTTTGGTCTAATCTTTCTTCATTTAAGACAAGTAATCATCAATCTTTTTATCCATGCAAAATCATCTTCATTTTTCTGTCAAGGAGCAAAAATGCCGAATCTGGATTAGATTAGATTAGCTTTTAGATTTCCAGAGGGAGTGACCGACTGATAGATCTTCCTTGTATGGTATTGGCAGGCAGAGCTGACTGCTGACATTTCGCACGAAAAACCTTCGAGGAATTTTGCTCTTTTTGGCCCCCATCTCCTCTTGTTGTTTCTGTTCTTTGGTTGTAAAATCACACAGGTAACATCTCTTTTCTTGCTCTCTTTTACCAATTTTTCTAATCCAATTCTCTTGTTATTGCATAGAATGGGCATGCTTGTTTGGTTGGTATTGAGTTTTTAGTTCTGTTTTAGATGTATTCTAATATTTTGAATTGCTTAGAAAATAGTGAAAGTTTATATGAAAAATAGGTGTTAGGATGTGATTTGATAAATTTTATTAAATAAAAATAGATTTACTATAGTTTGAAAATACAAGTGTTGCCTTGTGAGAGTTTATGGGTTCCATAGGCAGAAGTGTGATGTTTGTTGATGCCTGCTGTAGTTCTAGATTAATTTTTAAATAAGAAATATATATTTGATTATAATCTTTTTATTAAATTACTATTACTTTTACTTGTAATACTCTTAGATGAAGACATATTTCACTCTAGTCTTTCATTTTCATACCCTTAGTTGTGGCTGTTTTTGCTTTTTATTTTTGTAACTAACTGTCCATTTAGGACCACAGAAATTTTGTTTGTGCATTACAAGACAAGAAATAATGCATTTCAAAGGGATTTCCCAACAGTCTCAATCATAAGATTTAGACTATGACTAAATAAGAGTTTTTGGAAGTTTTAGAAAATTATTAGTAAAAGTAAAAAATTAGGTATTTAATGTGATTTAGAAAAAAACAACTATTTCATGTAATATTTTTTGAAAAAATTATTACTAATAAATTATGCTAAATGCCTAAATTGTGATGGTTTAACCGCCACATCAATAATCTTTTGTGTTTATATATTTTTAAGACGTCTCAAAATATTTATAAATAGAACCTTAAAAATTTTAAGAAATGTTTGGGGAATGAATTTTTATGGTGACATCACTCTTTCTTTCTCTAGGGATAAAAAAATAAAAATAAAAACCTAATCTTGATTATTTGCTTTCTAGAAAGTCACCGACCGTGATTATTACGTGTTGCACTTTAATTTGTGTCAAACCCTCGTTTATTTATTTATTTATCTATTTAAAAATATAAATTATTTTTAAATTTACCTTTTTTTTTTATGTATGTGTTTATAACAAGTACTGCTTTCATACTATAATAATAAAGAAAATATACTTGCCAACAGTAAAATTTATTATTAATATTTTATGAGATAAGAATTAATAATTATTCCATAAGCCGACCGTTATTGGTCGGGACGACACGTAGTAATAATTTTAAGTAATGGAGACATGAAAAAAGGCTATGAGCATTATTGACTTTAGGATAATGTCAATAGTCAAAACCTATGATTAATTAATTAATTAATCAGATTCTTTAATCAAACATCAATCATTATTTTCCATTCTATTTGGTATTTTTTAAAAAATAAATCTGTCCCCTGTAAGAATTTATTTTGAGTTTGATTATTTTTGTCTTCTTTAATTATTATTATTATTATTATTAATTTAAATATGACTTCATTCATGAGCATTTTACATTTCTTAACAACTCAACTGTTTAAGTCAAATTTAAATTATTTGATCAATAGAAATACATATACAACAATTATTGGGATTTGTTTATTTGTATTTAACAGGGATGGAAACGTGCAGTTTGTTCAATTAGTGTTTTTGATCGCATGATAATTTATCTACTCACAAGCAAATAATATAAAATATTTTTTTATATTATTAATATAATTTTTTAATATAATATAAAAAATACATCTATACAAATCCTTAATATTTTATTTCATAAAATATTTTTTAGTTTCAATTGGTATTAAAAAAAATTCAAAAATGTATATGAAACAAATATTTACAATATTATTATTATCATCATCATTTTCTAAGAATTATAATAACAAAATATCTATTTACCTTAAAACAATGAAATTACAGAAGATTTTATTTACTTGTTAGGTTTATTCATTTTTATTTGTGTTATTTATAGGTATGTTTAAATAAAATACTGTATTGAATATAAGATTCTAATAAAAATTAGGTTCTGTCTACATAACAAATTTAAAAACTTTAACACTATTCAATATTCTAAAAACATCACATCAGATAATTTTTTTCCTCGTTATATCTAAAATTTCAAAATCGCTGTATAAAGTTCAACATGTACGGACCAATTACCCGTAGCGGAGCTAAGAATCGATATCAAGATCATCATCTTCCTCATTGCAAGCCTCGGCTGCAGCTATTTCTGCATCTAATTTCTTGATCAACTCTTCACTTACATGTTTGGCCACGGATATCATGTCCAGTATGATGCTTGGGTCGAGTCCCACGCCTCCCCGTTTTGTTAGCCCGCATATCTGCCCCTGCCGGTTGACAGAGATGGTGACAGCCGAGCTCATTTGGGACTCCTCTTCCAAAGTGGCGTCCGCAATGTAATGCCTCCCGACCTGCCAATGTAGCCGTGGTATTTATTGGCGCAAAATATATGCAAGTGAAGTGGCGATATCTAGGGTAAAAAGGGAATCCCGTGCCTTGGTTAGAGTAATTATGACTGGGACTCCAGAGGTGTCGAACTGGAGAAATTCCTCGTCGCTCACATCAACCTCTGGCTGCTCGTCGGAGGCAGCGTTGGAAGCAACATTGACTTTTGGAATAGCTGTGTTGCTTAGAGCTGCCTGAAGAATGCAAAGATGGTTAGCAATTTTAGCAGAAAATACTGATGAAAATCTAAAAGATCCGACAGATTGCTTCTCCGGAATTTCATTTACTTGAGAATCCAGTAAGAGTATACAAATTTGCTGTTATACATAAAAGCCTAACTTGGTTTAAATTGTCAATCAGAATTCAATCGGTTATTGAGTGAAGTTTTTTGGATCAAGATCAAATTTGAAAAATAAAACAATTTCACAAGGCAGCTTCATTTTCAAATTACTGGTTTCCAATGGGTTTCGTGCTTGATGAAAGCTTGAGATGAAAAATAATGTACCTTGATGGCAGCTCCCAAGGCATCTAGGACATTGCCGTCAGAACTGACAACAAGACCATCTATGTAAAGATCCCAACATACTTTCCCTTCAACGATGGACAGAGATGAGAGATCGATACCAGCTCCTGCAGCAAAGTTCATACAAGCAGAAGTTAGCTGTAAGTAACAAGATTCTGATGGCACAAAATCATCTTGAAATCTGCCTAGCCCGTTCAGAAACGCACCTGCCCCACTCTTACCACCCAACAAACATCGTTGAAGTGCAGAAGAGAGCTCTGCAGATAATTCTTCACCCCCTCTTCCCTGTAGTTTAAGACAAACAGCATTAATGGCAGCCCAAGAGTAATTCATTGGAGGCCAAATATGATTATTGTATATAAAGGGATATAGAGAGTATGCATCGTGGATATACGCACAAAGTACACATACATATATATGCAACAAAAAATAAACTTCATATACCTCAAAAGCAGGTTCGGCTGTTGGGCTGCAATCAATATAGATAGAAACTTTTCCTTTGTCGGGATAAAATGGATTTGGCTTTCCAAGCTCAGCCTGAAAATTGAAACAGTTGGAGCACAATTCAATTTCTATCAGAACAATGATATTAAATTATGAGGAATAACTCCCAGTCACTTAAAAATGCACAGCAACACAAAAATTAAATATAAACTCGAAATGCCTGAAAATAAAATACCTTCACACTGGCAATAACTTCTGTTGCCCCCAATTTCACTCTCGCAGAGCCACTTGCCTTTTTATTTCCCCAAAGAGCAGATCAGTAAGCATAAAGTTGATTACACGCACAGAAGAAAGTTTGCCTTCCAATTCAGACTTCCATACCTGAGGAATGACACCAGTTTCAACAAAAATGGGCCGGTATGTTAGTCTCCTTCGACCATCAGTACGCAGATCCTGAGCAATTCCACCCTTTATGAAGTTTTGCTCTCCAATAGATAGCCCCACCATAACTAAAAGAAACTGAAACAAATGAATCAAAATCTGAATACAAACTAAAAGAAGTATCATAAATGTAAACTGAAAATTGTTATGGCCCAAAGATTAAATCTCTTTTCATGCTAACAGTCCCCCAAAATCCACATTACATAGCCTGACTAAAAATTTCACCCACGAATTAGAATCAAAATTTTATGCTCGAGACATGAGGAATCAGATTGGAGGTGGCTTCTGGCGTACAGATTAAGTCATGACGTTTATAAAAACGATTAAATGGCAGAAATCGAAGGGCACTCAAATAAGTGAGGACAAAAAAAGGAAAAACTTGAGGACAGTAAAAAACGAAAATGAATACTATAAGATCAATATCAACAGGATACCTGCGTCACAATTAACACATTCACCGTAGCGATTATCGTTCACAAAATGATGCACATGTGCGTAACTGCTTATGCATATTGAACTCTTTGAATAAGAAGCAGGTTACATTGTTATCAGTTGATCATATATCTCAAGCAGAGTGGGTACGAAGAAGCCACAAAAAATCTCGACCAGGAATTAGATTCTCAATTAGTGTCAAACAAAACAGGGATACATAAGAATCAATAACGCAATAGCTAAAAATGACCAGAAATTACCCGGTGAAGGATCGCCGGCGGCGACGGAGCGGCAGACGAGAGAAGGAATTTAAACACAGAAAAACCCTAACGGACAAATGCTCGCATAGTACTGATCTTAGAGAACCGGTTTACCCTCAGAGGTGTTTAAAAAAAACTCGGTCCGGTTCACTATTTCTAAATATTACACAATCGCCCCAAATCTATTTTTAGATTTTTAATTAGACCAACGTTATTTATTCAGCAAAATATGAGGCGGGATAGGTCAAGGTGAAGTCTGAGAATGCCGCCTCCGCCACCGCCGCCGCCGTCGCGGGGACCGGCGAAACCCTACTTCTTCTACGGCCACCGCAAACCAACTCAGAATCGTCCCGCGGTGCGTGGAGGACTTTTCTCGAACCGCCAAACTCTAAACCCTAGGAAGGCTGGTCGCCCGACGGCAACGTCCGGCGAGCCATTCGACCTACAAAGATGGGATCCCGACGAGAAAAGGATCCAAAATCCTCCGTTTGGAAGACTGGATCCATCGGAGAAGTTCTTCGCATTGGCTAAAAACCTCTCCCCTATTGCGAGATACATAGTGGACGCATTCAGGAAGCATAAGCAGTGGAGGCCAGAGCTCGTGGAGGAACTCAATCGGCTGCGCCGCGTGACACCGAAGCTGGTGGCGGAGGTTATGAAGTTTCCCGATATTGACCCTCGGATCTCCTCCAGATTCTTCCATTGGGCTGGTAAGCAAGCAGCAATTTGATATCCTTTCAATACACACCAATACAATCTACGAAAAAAGTTCTTATTTAAAACATCATATCTGTTTTCTGTTAAAAAAAGTTCAAATTCAAAACATCCCAAAGCACCAAAATGCATTTTTTATCCTTAGTATCTCATCCTGTGTTTATTTTTTGCACTTTTGATTTTTTTGGTTGCAATTCTTAAAGCCATTGTATCATTTCATATTTCAATTAGGGTTGCTAGCATTTCTTTTAGGGGTTTGTAAATGCATTTGCTTATTCTTCAATTGATCAGGGAAGCAGAAGGGTTATAGACATGATTTCGCCTGTTACAATGCATATGCATATTTTCTAAATCGAGCGAATCATTTTCGGGATGCTGATCAGGTGCCTGAGTTGATGCACATGCAAGGGAAGCCTCCTAGTGAGAAACAGTTTGAAATCCTGATTAGAATGCATGCCGATGCAAATAGGGGTCTGAGGATACACTACGTGTACGAAAAAATGAAGAAATTCGGGGTAAAGCCGAGTGTTTTTTTATTTAACAGAATAATGGATGCCTTAGTTAAGACTGATCATTTAGATTTGGCATTGATGGTTTATGATGATTTCAAGGAGGATGGTTTGGTTGAGGTGAATGTCACATACATGATTTTGATTAAGGGTTTATGTAAAGCGGGACGTTTGGATGAAGTATTTTTCCTTCTGGATCGGATGAGGAAGAACTTATGCAAGCCAGACGTGTTTGCATACACTGCGATGATAAAAGTGTTGGTCTCGAATGGAAATTTGGATGGTTGTTTAAAGGTGTGGGATGAAATGAAAAAGGATGGGGTTGAGCCAGATGTGATGGCCTATTCGACTTTGTTCATGGCCCTTTGTAAATGTGGCCGGGTCGAGAAGGCTTCTGAATTGTTGCACGAAATGAAAGAAGGAAAAATTTTGATAGACAGGGCTATATATGGATCTTTGATTGAAGCGTACGTAGAGGATGGGAAGGTGGGATCAGCTTGCGGTTTACTCAAAGAGTTGATGGATTCGGGATATAGAGCCGACTTGGCAATATATAACTCCCTTATCAAAGGATTGTGCGGCTCAAATTTGGTTGACAGGGCGTATAAACTTTTCCTAGCTACAATTCGGGAGGATCTCCAGCCGGATTTCCACACGGTTAATCCAATGTTACTCTCTTATGTGGAGTCAAAAAGGATGAAAGATTTTCATAAATTGCTCGAGCATATGCAAATGTTGGGATTTTCTGTTGCTGATGTTCTGCTGGAATTCCTTTCTTCCATGGTTGAAAAAAAAGATAGAGTCTCCATGGCGTTGGAAGCATTTGAGTACTTGAGAATGCATAAGCTTCTAACTATTTCACTTTACAATGTACTTATGGAGGCCCTTTTCAAGATTGGTAAGGAAAAGAAGGCATTAGAACTATTTGATGAACTCGGTGACTATAGCTTGGTGCCCGATACATCCTCTTACTGTAATGCTATTTTATGTTACGTTGGAGTTGGGAATCTTCCGGAGGCGTGCAAATGCTATAACAAGATTATAGAAATGTCCTCAGTTCCATCAATTGATGCCTATTATTCTCTTGTTAAGGGACTTTCATGTTTTGGAGAGGTCGATGCAGCAATGATGCTCATTCGCGACTGCTTGGCTAATGTGACGAATGGTCCAATGGAATTCAAGTATGCTCTCACAATAATCCATGTCTGTAAGTTGAATGACGCTAGAAAGGTCGTTGACGTTGCGAATGAAATGGCAGAACAAGATTGTCTGCCAAACAGCATTGTGTATGCTGCTGTTATATATGGTATGGGCAAGCACGGAACCATCGAAGAGGCGAGGAAGTTTTTCTCAGCCATGAGGGAGTCGCGGTTTATGACTGAAGCAGATGTAGTAGTCTTTGATGATATGCTTATAGACCACATGAAAAAGACTACTGCAGATTTGGTATTGTCTGGGATTAAATTCTTCGGCCTGGAGTCAAAACTAAAGGCGAAGGGCTCTATGCTCTTATCAGGGTGAACCATGCCTACACTCAAGAAATTTCTAATTTTATGTTCAGAAAAGTGCGAGAGGTGAGTTGTCGAGAATTTCCAATTTGTTGTTTCTCTAAATTTTCAGAATAAAGTAGTCGAGAACTGTTTTGAGTCACCAGGTTTTATTTTGCCTCGCTTCACAGATAGGCGGGTACTTGTACTCAACCTGGAATGCAACCTGAGCCAAAACTCTTTCTTCGTATGTTTTATTATGGAAAATCTACACTTTGGGCTCTATCAGAAGTGTTCCTTTATATTTTCCTTATTTGAGATTAAAATGTCATTGATTTTTTGTGGAATTATCAATAGGATGGACGAGCAGTTGCTGAATATCCATCTGTGATTGGTATGAACTAATGATCGAGGCCCTTGTGCAGTTTCTTTAAACCCGGTACGAAATCTTATCCCTGTTGCTATATCTTTGTGTAAGTCTGTAATTACGGTTATATCTAGCCTCGCCCTGTCACAAATCCCTGTTATATCTGGCAGTGTGAAATCCATTTAACACTTAATAGTAGAAATTTTCAATGGAGGGGCTTTGGGCTAGAATTAAATGTTTTCATGTTATAGCCGCAACCATATCTGATTCTTTGGTTCAGTTTACATTCTTAACAGGGCATCTTAAGGTCCCGCCTGTATGATTTCTCCCGCAGATATCCAGCCAAACTCAAATAACTAAGGACATCTTCCCGAGCAGTCGTATGTATACCAAATTAATATGTCAATGTGAGTAAATCTCCATGTGAGTAATCCAGTGCCCGAACGAACCATTCATCCTTTTTCGGCTGGTACAAGTGTATATAGTTTATCTCACGTTGTTCCCAGGAAAATAATTATTATACAATGTGCACAGAAATTTATCATTTTTTATAGGTACATTTTAGTAATATGTATTATTTTGATAACTGGGTGAGATCTGCCTGTGTTTGGCCATACATGTATGTAAAGGTTCTGATGTGTTATTTTTTGTGTACAATAATGTTATGTTGCTTTGATTAATTCATAGATGAATTTGGAATTAGATTCCAGTTATTTCAGATGTCTTTTGTGACAAATTATTAAGTATTTTCTATATATGATATAACTAGCATATTACATTCAATTTTCATGCCTAAATCAAAGAGCTAGTAGATGCTATTAAGATTCCAAAAAAGACAGTGACTGACTTATGATGCTATTAAGATTCTACTCTTGTTATATTAGTACACAAATTTCCTTTCACTCGACTAGAGTTATCGGCTATATGAATTACTCCCGGTCCAAATCACATGCGTCATTTGGAGTTTGTCTTTTTTCTTTTATGTATAAAATAATTGTATTGGTAATAGTATGTTTGAAGTTTAAGTAAAAATTAAGAATATTTCAGTATTAATATATAATTACTTTATCTAAAATATGAAAAAAATACTTTGAAAATAAAAATGATAATAAAAATACTTTAAATTGAGACGGAGAAAAGTGGAGGAAAGTATGATTTGTTGTGTACTAAATTTCCATAACAGTGCCCTTATGTACCAAGTAGATGGAACATTGAGGTATATCTGAATAATGTTAGTGATGAATCACTAACAAAGAATGACGATGTTCATATTTTGATTGGTGTATTAAATTCAAAACTTTACCTTGGCAACGATACAATACTTTTAGCAATTGACTTAAGTGTTCTATTTTTTTCATTGTTAGTGTTGTTGATACATGAATGTAACCAAGGCTAAAACGTTATATTATTATTGAGCTCAGCTAGTGTATTTTCTGATGCAAATCTATAAATCTTAAAAGATATGAAAATAATGGGAATTTACCTCCTCTTTTGTAGATCTATTGTACTTGATCAGTAAAATTAATTAAATAAATTTTATTTCTAAATAATCTATAAAATAGCTATTTAAACTACAAACGAAAAACACTTGAACATATTCATTTTATAAGCACAAATGAGGGCTAGGCATATTTGAATATGTTACCAATCTGTATGAATTCCTTACACATTTTTATTCAAATATTTTATTGGTGTGATAACATATGCCTTAAGATTAGTGACAGAAACAAAATAAATGAGATTTAGGCTATTATTACAATTCCATTTTCATAAAGATTAAAAATAAGGATACTTGGGGGCAGAAATCAATTTAGGGAATAAAACAAATTTAAAACATGAGTTACTTTGGAAGACCGTGTGTAAACCAAATTAAACACTTAAACATCCAAGTTTAATTAATAAAACTGTGCAAGATTTCAAACACAAACAAAAAAGGCCTGCAAGCTTCCATACAAGGAAGAACATAGGAAAAAAAAAAAAAAAAAAAAAAAAAAAACATAGAAAAACATAGTACAGAACATAGAAAAACACAGTACAATATAATACAAGCTAATTGAACACAGTTACTAACAACGAATAATAAGCACATAATTAATACAACTGTGCAAGATTTCAACTACATATTCGAGAAAAAATGCCTCTGCAAACTTCTACACAGAGAAAAACATTGTATAATACAAGCTAATTGAACACACTTGCTAACAACAAATAATAAGCATATAATTAATACAACTATGCAATATTTCAAGCGCAAGTTCCATTGATAGATATTAACCATATTAAAAGAAAAGCCTACAAAAAAAGAAAATAAGCACACAATGAATATACTAAATAGTGGCCGGCGCGACCAAACCCAACACAAAGAGCAAACATTGCAAACAAAATACAAACTTTGAGGCATATATGGCCCCAACAAAAATTAATCACAATCCAGGTTTTCACCATGCCAACCCTCAAACAATAATAAACACATAGTTAAAACAAATACACAGCGTTCTGGGACACTGCCCCTCATAATTAATACGCACACAATAAATACTAAAATATACAAGCTTTCAGAAAAGGTATGCAAGCTTTCCGACATGAATACACACAAAAACACATAGTACAATAACACTTGCTAACAACGAATAAATACAACTATGCATGATTTCAAGCACACATTCTATTGATAGATATTAACAACAATGAAACAAGTCTAACCTCCAAAGAAAATAAGTATACACTCAATATAAATATAGACTGGGCACAACCAAACCAAACACAATGAGAATACACATTCCAAACAAATACACAAGCTTTGAGGCATACATGGCCCCAACAAAAGTAAGCAAAACTCAAATCGATATGTAGGATTTCACCCCGCCAGCCATCAAACAATAATGACTACAAAGTTATAAAAAAATAACGCAAGCTTTTGGCACACCTGCCCTAATAATTAATAAGCACAAAACAAATTATAAAACATACAAGCTTTCAGAAAAGGTATGCAAGCTATCAGTCATGCACACACAACAAAACTTAGTATAATACAAGCTTCTTGAACACACTTGCTAACAACAAATAATAAGCACATAATTAACACAACTATGCAAGATTTCAAGCACACATTCCATTGATACATATTAAAAACATTAAAAAAAAAAAAAAAACACTACCTCCAAAGAAAATAAGCACACACTGAAAATAGATATATAGTGTGCACGACCAAACCCAACACAGAGAACACATATTCCAAACAAATATACAAGCTTTGAGGCATACATGACCCCGAAAAAAAGTAAGCACAATCCAAATATATATGTCTGTTTTCATCATGCCAACCCTCAAACAATTATAAGCACATAGTTATAACAAATACACAAGCTTTTGGCACACTTGTCCTAATAATTAATAAGCAGACAATAACTAATAAACATACAAGCTTTTAGACATGCATACACACAGCAAAACTTAGTATGATACAAGCTTCTTGAACACACTTGCTAACAATGAATAATAAGCACATAATTTAATACAACTGTGCAAGATTTCAAGCACAAATTCAGAGAAGGCTTGCAAGCTTTCAGACCGGAATACACACAACAAAACATAGTATAATACAAGCTTTTTGAACACACTTGCGAACAACAAGTAATAAGCACATAATTAATACAACTATGAAAGAGTTCAAGCACACGTTCCATTAAAAGATATTAACCACATAGACAAAAGTCTGCATCCAAAGAAAATCAGCACACACTCAAAATAGTATATAGTGGCCGGCACGACCAAACCCAACACAAAGAGCACACATTCTTTACATATATACAAGCGTTGAGGCATACATGGCCCCAACAAAAAGTAAGCATAATCCAAATAGATATAAGTTTTCACCACACTAGCCCTCAAACAGCAAAAAAACACATAGTTATAATAAATATACAAGATTCTGGCACACCTGCCTTTAATAAATAATAAGCACACAATAAATAAACCCAAATCCAGACCAGCTTAGACCCAGACCAAACCGAAACCCAAATCCAGAGAGACCCCGAAGCAGACCAGAACCAGCCCAAACCTAGCTCTGCCCTAGATCCTGACTAAGACCCGACCCAGCTCAGGCCCAACCTAGAACAAAACCCAGACCCAGCCCAAGCCCATGCCTAGGAAATTCCCAGACACAGACTCAGACAAGACCAAGACCAAGACCCAGCCCCAGACTCAACCCAAACTCGGACCCAGCCCAGACCCAAATCCAGAACCTGACCAAGGCCAGACCCAACCCCAGCCCACCCCAAAGCCAATCCAGACCCAAACCTAGGCCAAGTCCAAACCTAACTTAGATCCACCAGCTCAAGCCCAAAAGACCACATACCCAAGTGGAAAAAAACAAATTCATTACAATTCCACTTTTATAAAGGTAAAAAAATACTAATACTTAGGGGCGTAGACATCACTTATGGATAAAAAACAAACTTAAAACAAGAGCTACTTTGGAAAACCATATATATGTAAACTAAAACACAATACACAAATTAAACAGGTTAAACTCCAATATTTTTTAGGGTGTGTTTGTTTGTGGGTTTGGATTTTTGAATAGTAAAAAATTGAATTTGAATAGTTCTTTGATGTGATATTTTGAATGTAAAATAATTTTTTAGTATAATATAAAAAAAAAAAAATTAAAAAATAATTGTTTGATTTGATATTTTTTTTAAAAAAAATCTGAATAGTAAAAATTTGCTGTAAAACCCAAAAAAGAACACAACTCGGTTTTAGACTGGTTAAAACATAAGCTAAAAACATAAATTTAACAAGCATAGAGAAATACTCTAATACTACTAACATAGCAAATTCAAAACTTAGATAGAAAAATTAATCAAATTCCATTAAATTCATTAAATAAAAAATGAAAAATTGTTATGTAGTTACAAATGAAAATCAAATTAAAACATTCCTTTTCGAAAATTTGATTGTTGTGGTTTATTATGAATTCTTGAAAACAGTGATGAAAACAAATCTTGTTAGAATTACTCAATCATCTACCATGAAAACTAAGAACATGTTTTATACAAGTTGGAGATATAGAGCCTAAACTGAAATGGAAGAATTGTAAAAGCATACATAGTTAACATATGTAAAAGTGATATTCCACTAAAAAATATGAAATTACAATATATAAGTACCCTTTAGAAATTAGAACCACATAAACCCAGCATAAACTAGATCCATACCAAGTTCAAACCAAGATACAGACCCAAACCCAGACCAGCTTAGACCCAGACCAAACCCAAACCCAGAATAGACCCAAACCAGACCAGAACCAGACCCAAACCCAGCCATGCCCCAGATCCAGACCCACACAAGACCCGGGCCCAGGCCCAACCTAGAACCAAATCCAGACCCAGCCCAAGCCCATGCCTAGGAAATTCCCAGAACCAGACTCAGACCAGACCAAGACCCAGCCCCAGACTCAACCCATACTCAGACCCAGTCCAGACCCAAATCAGAACCTAACCAAGCCCAGACCTAAACCCAGCCTAGCCCAAACCCAGTCTAGACCCAGACCTAGGACCAGCCTAAACCTAAATTAGATCCAGCTCCAGACCTAGGACCAGCCTAAACCTAAATTAGATCCAGCTCCAGACCTAGATCCAAACCCAACCCAAACCAGCCATGAGCAGGCATAACCCAAACCCATACCAGCCACAAACTAAACCAAGATCCAGCTCAAGCCCAACCGATTACAGACCCAAGTTTTTTTTGAAAAAAAAAAAAAGAAAAAATCATTACAACTCCATTTTTATAGAGGCAAAAAAAAATACGAAAACTTGGGGCCAAAACCAATTTTGGATAGAAAGCAAACTTATAACAGAAGCTACTTTGGAAAACCATATGTGCGTAAACTAAAACAAAATACACAATTAAACACTTAAACATCAAATTTTAAACAACTTAAAACATAAACTAAATAACCTAAATTTAACAAGTATAAAGAAATGATCTAATGCTACTAAGTACTAACATAGCAAATTCAAACTTAAATAGATAACATAATCAGCTTCCATTAAATTCATAAAAAATGTTTTGTAATTACAAATTAAGACATATCTTTTGGGACATTTGGTGGTTGTGAATTATTATGAATCCTTGAAATCAATGAAGAAACCAAGCTTGTTGGAATTACTCAATCATCTACCATCAAAACTAAAAATATGTTTGATAAGAAGAATTGTAAAAGAACACATAGATAATAAATGCATTATTCCACTAAAAAATAAGATGAAATTATGTTATAAGTAGCCCTTAAAAAAACACACAAACCCAGCATAAACCAAGACTCAGACCCTAACCCAACTCCAGACCAGACCCAGCGCTGCCCAAGATCCAGACCCACGCAAGACCCGGGCCCAGGCCCAACCTAGAACCAAACCCAGACCCAGACCAAGCCCACGCCTAGGAAATTCTCAGACCCGGACTCAGACCAGACCAAGATCCAGCCCCAGACTCAACCCAAACCCAGAACCTGACCAAGCCCAGACCCAACTCCAGCCCACCCCCAACCCAGTCCAAACCTAGACCTAGGCCCAGCCCAATCCAACCCAAGTTGATCCAGCTCCAAACCTGGATCCAAACCCGACCCGACCCAGACCAGCCATGCGCAGGCATAACCCAAACCAGCCACAAACTAAAACCCAAGCCAGGCATAGAACCATCCCAAGAATTGGACATGGAGTAATAAGATTAATCATAATAATAACCAAAACCAGGGAACTAGACACATGCCCACCAAAGATTAAAAACAACTCACATACTTCAGTGCAATAAACTTATAGTATGAATAAATATGTAAATCTCCAGCACCAATAGCATAGCATAACATAGTAATTAATCCCTAAAGATTAAGAGAAAGTTGAATAGGAATTAATTGTAGGAGGAAAAAATGGTTTACAGGAGACAGTGAGAAAGGAGGTTTCCTCTGATGAAAAAACCATGGAAATTGCAGCGGAGAATAAATTAAAAACATTTACAGTTTAGAGAATATTCCGTACCAAAGAACCGCGTCTTGAGAGGCAAAGATGGTAGGTGCAGATGTTTACCTCACAGCATTTCCCCAACAAAATCCATAAATAGAAATCATCTAGGCGTTGTAATTCACCGACAAGAAAAAATCAATAAAGAAAATGAGTATGTCAAAACACGAATTATGAATTCCAGAAAATAATAAAACTATCCAGGCAATGAAATTAAAGAGAGACTTGAGAGAGAGAGAGAGAGAGAGAGAGAGAGCCCAACCACATAGATCGGGTTGATAATCGAATCTGATCTCTGAAGAACCAACATTCCTCACAGAGAAAAAAAAAAAAAAAAAGAGGGCTTTGCGTACAAAACAAAAGAAACAACAAAAAACGACTCTAAACTTACCGACACCATTTGGCTCAAGAAAATCGGTGAGATTAACTCCAGCACAGCAGAGGAGGAAGCAACGCGGAGGCTTCGCTCTCGATTCTCAAATCTCAAACGTCCAGAATCGTCACTGGACTTCTTCTGCCTGCCTGGTGTGAAGTGTAGAAGGGCAGATACCTACGCGCTGCCTACGTATATCGTCTTAATCCTACCGTTAGGAATTAATTAGTGCGCTGTAACCATATATACAATGCCAATTGCCAGCTGTAATACAAAATTAAATGGTAAATTATTTACTTACCATATAAAACATACTTTGTACTGCTTCATCCGAACCCTAATAAAGGGTTAATTAGTGGGCAATTAACTATAAAGACAATATAAATATAAATATAATAATATTACTCTTTAAATAAAATACTAATAAAGACGTCAATTTTTGTTAGAAACATAATACTAATAGCATACGATAATATGATCATATGCATTAATGTTATTATATAATAAAAATAATAATATAAAAATAAAATATATTAACGAATTATTATCAAATTTTTTAAAAATATATATATTTTTATATTACAAATATAATATTAAAAAAATATTATTATCATAATAAATATATATATTTTTGTTATCTTTTCTTTTCAATACCAAATACTACAATATATTAAGGGTGTGTTTGTTTGGGGGTTTGGATTTTGGATTGGGATTTGAATAGTAAAAATTTTGAATTTGAATAGTTGTATGATGTGATATAAATAGGGTTTGATGTGATGTTTTGAATGTAAAATTGATTTTTAGTATAATATAAAAAATGAAAAATAGATGTTTGATTTGATATTTTTGGGGGGAAAAAATTGGATGAATAGTGAAAATCCTCCAAAATCCTTCAAACAAACACACCCTAAGTGTCGTTCTCTTTTTTAATAATCGAATACAATATATCGTCATATTGGTGACAATGGAATAAATATTTATATGTAGTATATTTTTTTCGTTGAATCATTAATTTATATTTTATTTATTTTTTATTTTAATATTATTTTTAAAAATCGTAAATTATATTTTTTATTTTATTTATATACATATTTATTTTTTAATGTAAAAAATTATATATAAACAATAATAATAATTAATAAAAAATATAAAAATAATTTAATATATTGAATGATAATATTATAGTACTAAAAAAATTATAAAAATAAAAACATTAATATACAATATAGTGATATATATGTTATAATATTTTTAGATTATTAATAATTATATTATTTATTAATTAAATTAATTTTATAAAAATATAATACTCTATCCTTGTTTTTTTGTTGAAAAAATAATGATGTGATGTAAAGTCGGGTATTTGTGAAAAAAAAAAAGTAAGACATTTAATGAAATATTTATTTTGTAATTAGATGTCAAAAAATATAAATATGTATACTTTCTAACCATACATACGAAGTAATATATAATAACTTTTTAAATATAAATGTATTTTATTTATAAAACTTGTCTTTGATATAGATTTATACAATTATTTTTCAATTCTATGAAATATATATAAATCTACCAGGAATTCAATTAAATCTGTAAAAATCTATATCCACATCCATATAAATCCGCAAAAAATTCAATCTAATTTATAAAAATTCATCTAAATTAATTATTAAAATTCATCAAAGTAGATCGTATGGATTTTCTAAATCCATAAAATATTTAAAATCTAAAAAAATACATTAAAATCCAATTGAATACACCATTTGAATTTCAATATGAAAATTTAAGTTGGTAAATTAAGTGGAAATTATGTGATGTTACGAGAAAAAAAAAAATTGTATATATATATATATATTTTTAATAGTGTGATAAAATAAAGTATATTAATTATTTTTTTATTTTAGTATGACATACAGTAACAATTAGAGCAGACAAATTGTACTTGGATATAAAAAATTATATTTGAAAATTTTTGGACCAGTGCCGGATAAAAGTGGGGCGTGCCTGACTTAGTCTCGCCCAACCCAATTTTAGAATTAAATATAAATTTAGAAAATACTTTTATAAATATATTAATAAAATAATTTATCTTTAAAATGAGAGTGTAAGCTAATATAGGGGTGGATATTCGGAATTTTGTCAAATTCAAATCGATGCGAAAATTCGAAATTTTTGAAAAATACAATTCGAACCGAACCGAAATAACCGAAATTCGAAATCTGAAAATCTGTAATCCGAACTAAAAAATCCGAACCAAACCGAAAAATCCGAAATTCTAAGTATTTTTATTATTTTTTAAAAAATTTTAAATTCTTTTATATTTTATTATTATTTTATAATATTAAATATATATAATATATAAAAATTAAAATATATTAAAATATAATTAATAAATTTGAGTTTTTTATATTAAAATATAAAATTTTCTAATAAAATATTAAATATATATAATAATAAAATATATTAAAATATTATATTTCAGATTTCGGATTGGTTCGAATTTTAAGTATACCGATCCGATCCGATTCGAAAATCCGAAATTTGTTAAAAATTCAATCCGATCCAATCCGAAAAATCCGAACTAAATTTTAAATTTCGATTTAATTCGGATTGAATTTTCGGATTTCAGATATTTTGCTCACCCCTAATCTAATGTTTAGATCATCTAGTTTACTTATAATTATAATGTCATAGGTTCAATTCTCATACTAATGTCATAGGTCCTACTACTGCTTTGTTTTTATAACAATTTTTTTTTAAATATATTTTTTCTAAAAAAATATTAAAAAACAAAACAAACGCACCCTACGGATGATCCACACAATATATTTAAATAATCATTTAAGATTCATAATATAATATATGTAGAAAATATTTTAAAAATAATTGTTGTATAGAGTGATTATCGACTATTTGCTACATGATCGTAATTATTCATATTGTTTCACATAAATAAATAAATAAATCTGATGGTAATAAAGTAAATACTGTAATAAAATTATTTAATGAATTGTGTATGAATGTAATTTTAATAGATTAAAAAGGTACTTCCTCCCTTCTAGAATATGTTACCGAAATATAAGAATTTAGATAAAATATAACTATTAAAAAATTATTATTATTTAATAAAAATAATTATAAATTAATATAAATAAATAATTTAATTAAAATTTAAAAAATTATAAATTATAAATTTTAAAATATAATTAAAATATATAATTAATTTTTTTATTTTAAAAAAATATATATATTATGTGGAACTAACGAATAGAAACAAATTAAGTGGACAAGCAAAACAATCAAAGAAGAAACCAGTCTGCTATGTAAAACCTAAACCTAAACCTAAACCTAAACCTAAACTGAAGCTGAAACTGAAACTGCTGTTGTTGCTGCCCAAACCGAAAGGGCTATTCAATTCAAACCCTCCCTACCACTGCACTGCAGCACTTCTCCCAAAATCCAATCCAATCATATTCCACATCCAATCTCAATCTCCGCACGCCAATTTTCCGATCCATGTCCCATTCCCCAAACCATATTATTCTCTTCAATCGTCTCGTTCCCTCGCTCAATTTCGTATACGACTCGTTTCCCTGTCAAAGCTTCAGGGATTTTCTTAATTTATTGTTTTTCCGGCAGGTTACCGTATCTTCTTTATTTCATATTCCCGGCGCGTTCTACCTTCATTATTGACGGGTTGTTGCATTAACTGCTTTCTGGCCATGGGTGACCCTGCTAAGGTGTGTATGTTGTTAATTCAGTTATGGATATATAAGATTGCCGTTTCTTAAATTTTTGTGCGGGTGATGATTTACTGTTTGGTATTTGGGCTATTGCTTTATGTGCGTGCTCTTTATTGTTGTTGATTGTTAAGATAGAATTTTGGCTTTATTACTTGTGGGCAGTCTGATGTTGGTGTGAAGTGAGATATTATTGTTAAAAAGGTTGTTGATTAATAGCAGTTTTGGCTACAGGCATCACATTCTGTTAAGAATCTTATCCAGTTATGTCGAACTACTTCCACTTAGGCAGTGCTCTGTTCTTTTATGGGTTTTGTGTTTTTTCTACTGTAGAGTCTCTTGATGAGTTTTTGTTTTGAAATTGGCGTTTTTCCTTATTTCTCTATGTGTGTTAATCTTCATTCGTTGAATTTGCAATGGACGAGAACTCCTTTTGAAACTTAATTTTGTTTCCTTATAGGACGAATAGAGGTTTTTGATATTGTTTGGCCAACTAAATGTAGAATGTTATGTGATCAGTGCTGAATGTTTTGGAACACGTTGACTAATATGATCGAAAGTTTGTTGAATGCGCCACATGTTGAAGAGTGGAATAATGAGGTTAAAGAACTACTGAATGCCTTAAATCTTATCTCTGCAGGTCTTACTTTTTGGGTCATTCTCCGAGGACGAAACCCGTTCATTGCTAAACCAGTCAGTTACAAATACCCAAAAGCCTTGTGAAGAGAAAGAATTAGATGCCGATCCCCCAAAGCTTGGACCAGAACTGGCATTTGGCAGTTTTAGTGCTGTTTTTGACTCAAATGTTGCTTTTCCTAATGGACCCGGAGATGATCTCAAATCTGTTATCCATAAAGACAATAAGAACTTAAGTGGGAAATCAACTACCCATTCCACACACACTTTGTTAGAGAATGGGAAAAGTAACAACTACAGTCCTTCTCATCACAAAGAACAAGAAGTAACTGATGGGATCGGTTTTTATGCATTAAATGTATCAGATGAAATACCAACCTCTGAGCTTTTGAATTATGAAGGTGCAAAATTCAATGGCACAATCAGCGAATCCACAGTTGCAGTGCCTCATAAGGAGGCTCAGTCAAAGACGGATGTGCCCATTTTAGATACTCGAGATCTTTTACCTCGGGGCTTGGTCAACTCCGGAAATTTGTGTTTTCTCAATGCCACATTACAGGCACTTTTGTCCTGCTCTCCATTTGTTCATCTTTTGAAAGGACTAAGACATTGCAACATTCCAAAGGTTTGTCTTTTCTAAATGCAAATATCTCCATACTCTATTTTTTTTAATACTATTAATCAGTTATAATTTGATCAATCCTTTATATGCAAATGTAAATTATGCGAGCATATCAACTTTTGTTTTCAGGCTGGCTGCCCTACATTAGCTGCATTTGCTGAGTTCATTGGCGAATTTGATGCAGTCAGTGAAACATATGAAAAGAAGAAAGATAAAGCTGTCCTTGAAACTGGCAGGCCCTTGAGACCTACCATGTTTGAAGGTGTGTTAAGAAAATTTACTCCAGATGTATTGAGTAGCATTTCAGGAAGGCCAAGGTCTGTTAATTCTTACTTATGTTTCTTAGTTTCCTTTCAGATGACAGCTTTTTTAGGCATGTATATATTCTCGTTGCAGCTTGTTCTATGTTGTTTCTGTTAAAATTTCAGTCACTCTAATGTCCCATGGATTTACAATAATGTCGGCATTAGAGGGCAATTGCCTATTTATCTTTTTTGAAATTATAGTTAAACCTGCTTGTGAATGATGCTTTTTTGGATCATTGTTTTTTCTTACTTATATTCTTCTATAGAAAATTTTAAAAAATCATACATTTTCTTTTTCTACATAGACAAGAGGATGCACAAGAGTTTCTAAGTTTTATTATGGATCAAATGCATGATGAATTACTAAAGCTTCAAGGTCAATCCCAGTTGGATGGGATGAATACATCCTCCCTGGTTTCCACAGCAGAAGATGATGAGTGGGAAACAGTTGGACCAAAGAATAAATCTGCTGTGACTAGAACACAGAGTTTTGTTCCTTCTGAGCTCAGTTCAATTTTCGGTGGACAACTGCGAAGTGTTGTGAAGGCTAGAGGTACTTATCATGAATTTATAATGAATTTTTGTTCTTGTAGAATCTGCTCAGTAAGATGTAATGAATCTGACCCATGAATATAACTATAGTAATTCAAGAAATAAGTATGAAGAGTGAAGACCTTATATGAATTCGCTACATCTATTTAATTGACCTACATAGATATCCTTCTAGAATTAAAGCTAAAATTCTAAATACCAAATGCAATTTAATGAGACTTGTCGTCAATCATCTGGTTGGCAAACCATGAGATGTCTAGTTGATGATAACTTTCGTCTAAACTGGTATGTATGTTGGTTATATAAGACATGCAGGCAATAAGAACTGCATTCCTATGCTTTGAGCCTGAATTGGTGTTGTATCATTAGTGGCTCAAAATTTTGGATATATCATGAACGGAATATAATACTATAAATAATTAATGTCTTCTTATATGCAGGAAACAAAGCCTCTGCAACCGTTCAGCCATTTTTGTTGCTTCATCTGGAGATCTCTCATGAAGTTATTCGAACTATTGAAGATGCCCTTCGTGTGTTCTCTGCACCAGAAACACTTGATGAGTACAGAGCATCAACAGCTGGAAAGGTAGAAATGGCATATCAATGTTCTTACTGATGCTAATTTCCTGTTGTTCTTCGAATCTCTTCTGAAGAAATTTGTTCCCGCTAGCTTCATATTTTGATCCTTGATAATGAAATATTGATTCTTTCATTTTGAATTGGATTTTTATTATTTGAAGAAACACTTGATACCAAGATTGGTTGTTCTGATTGATTTAGCAACAAATCTTTCCTGCTGCTGTAAGAAACTGTGATATATTGCAGAAGTTACTTTTTGACGGAAGTATTAAAAATAATTAGACTGCAGGGACTTCTTTCTTTGTATAGGTTTATTGAATTAAATTACTTGCTAGTTTAAAGAGGTTGGCCAAGTAAAGCTGCCTCACACCCCCGACGCCAACCAATAAATTTTGCATATTTTAAATGTATTAGATTGAGGAATTATTTACAGTATTTAGATGTAGTTTGAATCGTCAGATAAATTCTCTTGGGTTGGATACTTTCAAGCGAGATGAATTTGGAATTCAGATCAGGAGATATCGGTGATATAAATGTTCCCTGGTGCTAATGTAGGTTAATATTCCCACTAGTTGACTATAAACAGCAGTCTCTAATGATGATGCTATCTTATGGAATTTCAGGCAGGGGTTGTTGCTGCCCGAAAATCTGTCAAAATTCAGGCACTTCCAAAGATAATGATCTTACATCTGATGCGATTTGGCTACAGCAGCCATGGGAGCACCAAATTGCATAAGCCTGTACACTTCCCTCTCGAACTGGTTTTGAGCCGTGATTTGCTTGTTTCTTCTGGAGTGGAGGTAATGTTGCCCTCTTCATGATTTACTTGTGCTTCCTAATACAGATCATTAGTTGGGACTTGGGAAGGTATCATATAATTATGGATTTTATTTCTCCTGATGGACAATATTTGCAGCAGGCTTTACTGTTTGAATCTTACCGGCTTTCTGTCCATATCGCTTGTTTTATAATTTAAAGTATTGAATAGAGCATTAGAGTGTCATGGTAACTTTTGTTTACATTTCAAAAATATATTATTGAGAACCAAACTTGTCTGTACAAAATTTATGTCACAAAAACTCTTCGTATATCCACTTTCCACACAAATAAAGCAAACACTCTGTATCCCTCCTCACATGATCTGTTCAAATGTACAGGGGCGAAAGTATGAACTTGTTTCGACAGTAACTCACCACGGAAGAGAAGCATCAAAAGGGCACTACACTGCCGATGTTCGTTACCCAAATGGCCAGTGGTTGCGGTTCGATGATGCATCAGTTGCTGCAATCAGCACAAACCAAGTGTTGCACGACAGAGCTTACGTCCTCTTCTACAAACAGCAATAGGACCACCGATTGAGAATCTCTAACACTAATTTATCATTTAGGGTAATGTTATCAATGTTCGCTTGGAGATTCAGAGTTAATCAATCTATCTGCCTCTGGAAGCCACGCAAGTCTTGGTCAGGCGAATTGTCGATGGTAAGCGTGGATGCAGCAGCGGTGGTGGCGGGAGTCGATTTTGTGGCTGCAGTAAGAAAGTTTTGGTAATTAAATTGGAGCCTAGTGTTGCTATGTTTGCGATGTACTTCGGAATTTTTAAATTTCACAATGTAGAGAAATAGAATGTGTTATTCTTCTACCGCTTGTTTAGGGAAAATTATATATATATATATATATATTTAGCATATTGAGCTCAATTTAATTATCATCCTAGTGTTCTTTTAATGTGATGTATTATAATATATATATATATATATGTATTAGTGAAATTGAGTTTAAATAGTAAAATTGTGTAGATTTTCCCCCCCAGTTATCAATTATTTTAAATACCTGATTATTAGTATTTCTGTGGATGCATATACTTTTTTACCACCAAGTATTATATATCAGTAACTGCACGGAGCTATGACCCGAGTTCAATCGGAAGTGTGTGCGTGAAAAAATAAAAATAAAAATTTACATATGACCAAAACATTTACTTGTATAACAAATCTAACATTTATTTTTATTTAAAATACATTTCTATTTGAAATATGACAATAATGGTTTACATTAAAATTAAATATTACTTAAATTCAAATTATTTTGTTCCAAAATACACAACAAAAAGCAATGTCTAGTACATATCATAATATCAAATTCATAGCAGATTTATCTAACTACATGATTCTTTCAACATTTTTACATTTTTGCCAAAAGAAAGTATGATATGATCCCATAGAAGTTAAAGCCATACTGTATTAGACAACCTTACAGTTTAATCCTTCAGGTGCTTTCGACAATTTATGCGCTGCACAATCATGTACATCATGAAGCAGGTAACATTTGAGCCGAAGGACATTGGGTTCTTGGATTCAATCTCATCGATTGCTTCTGGGGTGATTTGAAACAAGTGGTACCAACAGATGAAAGGTATTAAGCCATACTGCTCCTCGTACGAACTCTATCAATAATCATTTGTCTGCCGGATAAATCCTCCTCATAACCGACAACCTGCAAGTAAAGCTCGGATAAGCAGACATAGAAAATGTCAAATACTAAATTGGGCTCATACAAAAGTTGTACACATCCTGATTTAAATTGGAACTTTGCTTCCCCATGAGACCGGTAAAGACTGTACATGACCACATGCATCATAAATTCCAGGGAGCAAAGGTTACGACATAATAGAAATGTAAGCAGAGAAACCTGAGAATCAGTTTGCGTTTCACTAAAACCATCATAGATTCCCCGAGCAGCAGTGTCTGTAGAAGGATCATCGTTCTTTTTGTCCAACCTGAAATAAAGAAAATTTCTCCATCAAGTTGGGAACTTGGAAGAAGATGCTAAATAAGTATACATACATATATTTATATATAGATATTTGTTTCTTTAGGAATGTGAGGATAGATATATGGCTCATTGATCAATCCAGGCACAGTGGGATTATCTAAAATAAGCAGCATTCAAATTTGGTTGGTGAAGTAAGATTGAGAACTTCCATTTCCGGCTACATACAGCCTAAGTTGATTTCCTATGTAAACGAGCAGGAAACCATTCTGCAATCTGTATGACAAGTCTACTTACTAGAATGAGATAAACTGTTGTGCTATCTTCAGATATAATATATATGTGCGTGTGTGTGGGTTTGAATGTGCACTACAGCAAAGATTCGTGCTGTTAAGAGATTAAATTGCATTTTTTAGCACAAATTTGAACGACGGAGTAGTTGAGAAGGTGTGAAGTTGGGAAACAGAAAAACTAGCTAGTGGTTTCCTTAAGTTTTTTTTATTATATCTGTGCTTTGATCATGTTTCCAGAACAATGACAATTAATTCTCATTTATCAATGGGCAAAAAAAGAATCAGAATACCAGGACATGGTAGTTACCTGGTCGTCCAATGTTTAGATGGCTCCCCTGGATCAGGTAGGGGATCAACATGCCTTTGAGCAAGCATTGTGGAAGTAGAGGACAAAAACTGTTTCAAATAAAGGAAAAGAATATTCAATGGGCAAAACTTTGACTTACAGAAATAAAAAATTCAAGCAAACTTGCAGGTTACATTCTCATGGCAGACAGTTGTCTCCTCAGGCTTCCGATCTTGGATCTAGTCAAGGACCAGTGGAAATGTGAGAAAAATGCAGCAGCTGTTTTATAAGAAAATGATAGGTCGGCATTTTACCTTTCTTGTCTGCTCCAACAAATCTTCTATAGCTGCAGCAACATCAGGAGCCATAGAAGTTTCTCTACCATTATCAGAAAAACTCTTCTCTGAAGGGCTTTTATTTAAAGAAATTTCAGCAGCATAGACACATGGTAGCGGATGCTTTACATTTTCAGTTCCCGAAAGCCTTTTTCGTTTACTACCACTACTCACATTACTGTTGTCATCTCTTGTGACACACCCCATGGAAGCAACGGTTTGCATGTTTCCCAGACCCTGAAACAGACTTGGATTCTGGGAGGCATTGTCTGCAGATGTTGCCGTAGCAGATTGAGTGGTAAATTGGCTCACAAAATGTAATCCAGCTTCTTGGTCTTGTGGTGTAGGTTCTTTAGGGTGAAATCCTTGTGAATCAACAACCTTGTTCTGTAACAGTGTCAGCAGTGAGTATATGCAAGAGACTCGGAAATGAAACCGATACAAAATAAAAATGAAGAAATTACCTGCTTGACACATTCATATAGCCACTCAGCTGTAGCTACAGGTATTCCCCATTTACAGGCAGCTGCGTATTTTTCGCCATGAGTAAATTTGCATAATAGATGGGTGACTTTCTTCCTCTTCAGTGTTTCGACAAACTTCACTCCAAGAACATAGCACAAATTTCTTAATAGCTGTTTTTCTTTCTTGTCATACATTGAAACACACAGGCAATGTCTTTCAAATCCGGGTAAAGGAACTTGACAAGACAGTGGAGAGTAGAGAATGTGACTGCTAACATCCAGCATACAGCCATCCTTCAAACAAGACATTAAAATAAATCTTGACGTTTATAAATGTATAGGAAAACATCAACTAGATTATTGTATAATTTCCGTGAACTTGGGCAAGCACACTCACTCACTAAGCATATTGATGCATGTGCCACTCAGAATTCATATACTAAATGTGTATAATAACATTTGAGAGGCATATAACAAAAACAGAAATTGTTAATAGTGTAGAAATTATAATATATATATGTAATGAAAATGTATTTGAGAACATATCAAAACCTCAGTGAAACATAAAGATTATTCAGATGTACAATCCAAACTCTCACAATTGCAGGCATGCGCCAGAACAAGTAAAACAGATAAAGTAAAGGACAACCTTACAATCAGCATATTTATAAAACGAGGAATAATGGCAAAATCCTAGAGAAGTTCGGCAACTTGCTCACCCCAATGCAAAAAAATTGATAAAATAAAGCACTTCCCATGAATTACATGTTATCCCGGCACTCCACAGTTATTTCATTATAAGCAAGATTTTGAGCAAAACAAAGATGTAGTTATTAAACTAGAAAAACAGGTTGTTATGGGATAAACAGAGCCTCACAATGGAATCTGTGTTTTGATGTTTTCAACTAATGGAGCTTATACACAGGCAGGATTTAGTAATAGAAAACTACCTCTAGACAAGAATAAATCCAATGAGTGGTTATGTATGTACTCCCAAAATTATTTGTCAGACAGGGCACACCATGACGCTCAACAATGAAGTTCACATTGTTTTCATTTTGATCTATAATAACTTCTCCACCTCCTTGATTAACCCACAACACAATTTCAGATCTCTGAAACAGGAAAATGAAAATTTTTGTTAGGAGTAGCACTAGAACAAAAAGAATATAGAAGCCAAAAGAAAACCAAAACCTTAGTGATACATGTTGCCATGTTGGTGGACTAAATTCATCTTTTACAGAAAAGGAGTATATTGAGGTAAATTAACATACAAGTATTCTGAGACAATACAAGAAAAACTACAGCAGAAGTAGCCTACTTTCTAGAACATCAATAGGCTACAACTACAAGATTAACAAAGTGTTACAGAACTTCACTTTGTAATAATAATTTAAAAAGACATTTTCAGTTGTCATCAGCCACAAGGCAAAAACTGCTGGTTAATTAGATCCTCTGCCCATGGATCCGTAGCATTGTGAAACTCCTGCTAATACATGTTAGTCACTTGGAAATCGTAGTGCCAGAATTCCTCCCATCCTGCCCTATTTAATCCTCCCAAAGGGTTTTTAATAAATGGTCATGTCATAGTGAAGTGATTTTAAAGATCAGAAAACTAAGTCTTATTAGCATTATCACTTAAAGCATGATGGAACTGTTGGATCAAGTATCTTATCAGGCTTCCGCAACAAAAATGAGATATTAGTTTGGTGGCATAAAAATGTAAACTCTAACGTAGTTTCAGCCTTCAGGATTTAGACAGGCATGAAGTGAAAGCTGGCATTAAAATAACTTTAGAATTAACAAAACAGAGTAGCTCACTTGTTCTTCAGGAAAAGTGCTTGAAAAACGGAAGAGCATCCCTTTAAATACCATCGAAGGCTTTAAAGCAGTAATCTCAGTGCTCACTCCACTTTGCAAAGTTGTCTTGGATTCATCTTTCAAATCTATAAACATAAACAGGTTTTGAGAAGCATGTTTGGTGAGTTGCTTGTAGGGATGAACATTTCCACTTTTTATGCTTACTACATAAAGCTTCTGATTGAAAATTTCCGTTTTCCTTGTTGCTAACAGACTGAGAAGCAGATGACTTCCCCTGCTTGACACCAATCATGCTTGTTGTAGTGGTTTTTTTTAAGATTACAGGATCTACAAATAATATAAAGCAAACATAGTCAGTTAGAATGCAGGTTCAATCCATATAGGGCAATTAATGGCCGCATATCCAACAATTACCTGTCCAAGAGCTAAATACAAGCAAAATAGTAAAACTAAATTTTCACCTTTTGGGAGTAGTACATCATAAGCAATGTGACATTTGAGTACAGGAACTTCTTTCTTTTTCTGGGTGCATTCTTCAAGCCATGTTGTTTTAACCACGTATGTAACCCCAAGGGCTGCGAGGCTCCTTATTTCTTTGAGTTCACTGCAGAATCATTTACGATGTTATAGAAAAATCACTATTTACTTGATTCATAATCTTAGACTTGAATGGATTTTGGTAACTTATGATTGTTGATAGTATGCTAACCACAAGTTACTGGGTCCAAGGTATCTAACTATATAATTGACAAATTTAAAAGTAACATACCGGTCCTTCAAAGGAGACTAAAGAACCCAAGAAGTAAAATGTGCAAAAAGCATAAACCCTGTCTAGCTAACTAATAATACTACATCAAAAAAATAAAGATTAATCTATTTGTGAAATTGAGTTACTATTGCATCTTGCATCCTATTGTGCATGAGATGAAAAAACAAATATATATTAGCAAGACAGACAATATCAATACAATACTCAGCTTATCATATGTTGCAAAGACATTATCAATTAGACAAGCCACCCACAACAATCATTGGTAGGAGACACATTAGCAGCAACTGCTGAGGATGTATGATCATAAAAACATATTCATAAGCAATCCTGATTAGCAAAAACATAAAAAATTTTATTTTATTTATTTATTTTATTATTAGTATTATTATTTAAGTCTTTAGGACACTTGCAAAAGTATAAAATATCAGACACACAATCATAGTCAATCCTGATTAGCAAAAACATAAAACATCTTATTTTATTTGTATTATTATTATTATTATTATTATTTTAAGTCTTTAGGACATTTCCAAAAGTATAAAATATCAGACACACAATCACCAAGGAGCCATAAGATAGATTCAACTTATTCCAAAAGCAGGAGGAAGAGATTTCTGTACATTATATATCAGTATTTGTCGCATATTTAAGACTTTAAGTTACTCTAATAGAAACCCATCCATAATCCATATGCAAAAATATGTAAGATAAAATATGTGCATGTTCCCCTTTGGTAGTCCAAAATGATTTCGAGAACAGAGGCTGGAAATTCTTTACATGAAACTGCTATAATGATAAAGGGTCTTACTTGTCACTGGGATTTCCAACTAGAACATGTGTCAATTTTTCACTGAAGGACGTGTATCGAGACCCACCACCTCGACGAACCATGTCAACCAGCTTCCGTAGTGCAGAAGCATCAAAGCCTACGAGTAGAATTCTACACTCAGATAGGTACAGAGCATCATCCTCACTTTGTGAATCATCAGCAACACAAGGATCACAATCTAAATCAGATTTTGGCTTATCACAAGGTGGATTAGTTCCCTCTTTAGGTGACTGAGGAGACTCAGCAAATGTAGGATAGATATTTGGCATGGAATATTCAAGATCAGATTCTGTATCCTGAACCAAAAAGGAAGGCTCCATATCAAGGGCAGTGGCCATAGATGAAGAGCTATGCTGCGGATTTCTGATCCCCTTGCCTTGACTATGCTGCTCCATTGTTTTTGTACTCATCGAAGGTGTCAAACCACCTTGAACTGGATAGGACTCCTCATTAAGGCATGCTGTTCAACCAGGTGGCAAAGAAACAGACAACAATAACATGAGAAGGAAGAGATATCAACCAAATCAGGAATCACGAGCAAACTACTCAAGTAAAAAGAAACTGTATAATAGTAGAAATACGAGCAGAAATTTCTCGCACTACGAAATTTTACCTTTTCTGGCAATTGATTGATGGAACCATTTCCTGGTAACTATGGAGATGTGCCCCCATCTCTTTGCAACCTTATATTTGTCACCTTCAGGGGCTTATGACAAATTAAGGATAACAATGTTCCACATATTATGATGAGCATGCTAGGATAAAACTAATGAAATTCAAATATAAAACAAGTATAGACGAGGACAGTCATTACACCCAAGTCAAAAACTATCCTCAAGTAAAAAATGCAATATTAGCATAGTTTGCATGCAATAAATAAATAGAAGAGGTAACATCTTCACAAAAAAGGCCAAGTAGAACAGGAAATTGATAAAAGCAGCGAAGTGACACTTCAAGCCACAGCAACACTGTCTGAAGAGTGAAATTAAATAATAAGAAGGCAGCAAGTGATTGAAAAAAAAAGGAGGATATCATTATGGTTAAAGCTAAATTACCTGCAAGTAAAAAATACTACACTAAGCAACATAAGTACAAATCAACCACACCAGGTATCAAACAAAGCAACAAATACAAATTCTATCATGTAAAGAGTAAAATAGAAACAAACAAGAAGTAATCAGAAAACTGACACCAGAATTCTGACTTTGAAATTGGTCATGTCAGACAGAAAACAATTGTGTTAATTGCCATCCAATATCCATTGAATAAAGAAAACATAAAGGATATATCACAGATCAAATGTGTACACCGCTTGGTTAGCTCTCCTGAATAACTGCCACCATGTTGCACAGCCAGCTTCTCAATTTCCTTGCGCTCATCTAACCATCAAGAAAGGCAATCCTCAGAAAAAATCTTTGTTGATTCAATCAAAAGAAAAGGCATAACAACAGAAGCGCAAACCTGCAGGAATTCCACTAACGCATATAATCAATCCAGAAAAAGGGAGAACCCTGTAGGCATCCTGAGGAACCACCCGATGCTCTTTCCAGCACTGGGAGAGCCAATTTTGTGTAACAATAGGTTTTTTCAGATTGTTTAGAGCCCACTGCAGAAGTGTATAATACACAGAAATGAGAAGTATAAAAATTGTTTGGAGGGAAGGTTGTGATCCAAAGAATATTAATTTATCAAGCATGATTACTTGAAGATGTGATATACTGATTTCCTCTTTAAGTCTTACAGACATGCATCAAGGAATCTTTAATTGTTTGAGATAAATAACAAAATGAAAACCTTGTATTTTTGCGCTAAAACATTCTTCACAATAACAAAATTGACATCTGACGATGCTTTTGCAAGCAAGACTCCTCCCATTGCAGTAACCATCTTGGAAATTTCAACCTTCAAGAATCCCACAGAAATGCAATCAGAAAATGGTGAAATAAGTGAGAGTCCCAGATAAGTAATTATCTAAGACCAAATTGCATGTGGTAAATGTTTCTAATGAAAGAAAATGACTTTCTTACCTAGAAAGCACATGGAGTATACTGAAAAAATAAAAACCCTTAAGGATGCATTATTACACGCTCTCTAACATATTTGCTGATGTACCATCCAAATATAGTATATTTCAAAGGCTTGTATTTCACATTACAAGCTCTGCTCTCCTCTAGTGCATACACAAATGGCATACTTGAAAAAATCACTACGACAATAAATGTGGAATGTCAACTTTCCCCTGTCAACACCCCAAAGGCTATAGGGTAAAAAAAGAGTTTAAGACATAACATTTAGGACTTGACAAGGAAGTTGTTCAAATTGAAACAACTGCTGCAGCTGAAATCATGAATGATGGTTGATCAAGAGTTCACCAAGCATGAAATGTATGAAAACAAGAGTAAATACTCCTTAGATAGTGTGGCATCATAAATTTTAACTGGATTGAACCCCTATCTTTTTCAGAAGGACTACACATATTTTATCTGATAAAATCTAAAAAAATAAACATCAAAGATATAACCATTTTCATGTTCAGTAAGTGTGATCCAGATTTTCTATCCTAATCAATGCAATTCTAGAGAATGTCATGCATATTCAGAGAAACTATTAATAGAAGAAATAAGTTGCGGTACAAGAATTAAGCTTATCCATAATCATCCTAAGTTGTAATTTATGGTCAGAAGACTACAAAATGAAAGTTCTTAAGTCAACCCTAAGTTTGATATCTCACAAGTACCATACTTTTTCGTCCTTCTCAAAACCAGATGCAAGTATGTTGACGCCATCCATCGCAAGGCAACATGTGAAACCCTGATTTGGCAGTACTCTGTGTTCTTTGGAACAGGTCAACACACACTGTGGACCTAGCTACAAGAAAATATCAACCATAAACAAAATATTGCCCATATTAAACCAGTTTAATGGTTACATTTTACCAAACAAAAGATGAAAATTGAAATCAAAAGCATTTAATATGTCTCCATGATTTAAATCAATCCACTAAGAAACAATTATAGACACTGACTAATTACGTCATAAGGGCAATCTGGATGTTATGAATATACTTAAAAACCACATTGGAATAGCAAGAAATCTGTTCAGATAACCAATCTAAAGATACGAAAAATAAACCTATAGTATAATTGGCAGACATCACACAGCGTAATTCTTCATCAAAGAAGATTCAAAATCTGAGTTCTTAATGCATGAGTCAATCACTAAAAATAACTGTCATTTCATTTTTTTGAGTATGAGATTTGGTCATTAGAATTTAAGACTGGAACCAGATTGCATTATCTGGTATTTTAGCTTTGTAATTAGACTTATAGCTAACATGGCTCCAGACACATAACTCATAGTTATCTGTCATGATGCTTAATTTTTAGCTTGTGGAGTTATCATCAATGAATTGAACAAGGCATATACATATTGGGTTCCCCAGATGATTGCAGCTTTTGTTTCTCCTTAACTATATGTCCAATAACCCACCTTCTTATCAGTCATCTCTTCATTAGACTGTCTTCTACAAGTTAAAAACCTAGTTGTTTTAAGTTTTAACAACGTTATTCTACTAATGTGAATGTAAGTATACATACAGTTGGTGAGATCAGAGCTTCTTGCATCCCTAGATGCAACCCCTCTATTTAACTAATCAAGTTCCAAAATGCAGTAGCTACCAAAAGAAATTAAAATGTATAAATATCAGAAATATACCGATCATTTTACATCCTTTTGAGCGAAGGCTCTCAAACTTTTCCTGCAAAACAAAGCCCTAATATTAAGCAACCAACAACCACCAAAGTAAACCCCATTTCAGCTTCAATACGAAATTGTTCAAAAGAGGGCACAGATTCTTGAGCGTAGCTCAGTAGTACATGCACTGAGGAGGAGATGACGTGGTAATCGTTGGGCCCATTGCGCGACGGGTCGCAGCAGAGGAAGATTTCGGCGCCGTTCAGCTTCAAGGCGTCGTGAAGCGCGTCGAAGAGCTCCGGCGGAACGAGGTTCCGAGACATGAATACATTTGCCCCCTTGAAAACCTTGGCCGCCATCTTCAAGCTCCGATAGTCAGTCTACCTCCAGCAGGGTGCCCCAAGGAATTTCAGTTCAGATTAGGGTTCGAAATTGGGACAGAATTCGTCGCGGAAATTCTCCAATCACCACTCATCATCAGGCGCGGGAACTGCTTTTCCATTTTCCATTAATAATTTCTTTTGAATATTATTTTTATCTGAATAATTATTTATTATTTTATGCAAATTATGGATTTTTTTTTTTCAGTTTAAGATTAATATAAGTTATTTTATTTAATTTCAAAATAACATTTTATTTTAAATTTATTTTAAATTATAATTAAACAAATTATATAAATAATAATACTAATAATAATGATAAAAAATACATAAATGCGTTTGCGCTAGCTACTGAAATTTTGAGGTTTTGTGAGCTAGTGCATTTGAATAAACTTTTTGGCACGTCATAGTGCTAAAAGGTCGTCTTTCTATTTATATAATAGTAAAAATAATTATATTATTATAATACAAATAAATATATATTAAAATAAAAATAATAATTAATTTAATTATAAATTTAAAAAATAAAATATAATTAAGATCTATAATTCTTTTAAAAATATAAATTGAAATGAAATATAAAACATAAAAACTAATAACTTGACATAGATAAAATAAATAATTTAACTACTTTTAATTTTATTATTTACAGTATATTTTAATAATTAATAATAGGTTTGTTTCTTTTTTATATATCTCATCACATGTTTTATCAATTTTTAATAAACTTATCATAATACTTGTGTTTTTCTTTTTAGGGTGTGTTTGCTTGGGTGTTTGGATTTTGAGTTGGAATTTTGAGTTGGAATTTGAACAGTAAAAATTTTGAATCTCAATAGTTGTATGATGTGATATAAATAGGTGTTGATGTGATGTTTTGAATGTAAAATTGATTTTTTAGTATAATATAAAAAATAAAAAATAGGTGTTTAATTTGATGTTTTTTGAAAAAAAATTTTGAATGAATAGTAGAATTTTGGTAAAATTCTTCAAACGAAATGCTTCACTTTTATGTTATAAATTTAAAATATAAAATTTTAATCTTCACACCCAAATAAAATGACCAAATTACGCGGAATTGAGAGAATGTTTTTATAATAAGCCTATTAGCCCGGTTAGTACTAATAGGGCCAAAGCCCAACATTAGGTAAACGGGCCAAGCCCAACAGAAACAGGCCCAATTATTATTCATGGAGATTGTAAATTTTTTTTTAACGGTTAAATATCATAATTTTGTATAAATATATATATAATCTTATAAAATATTAAATTTAAATAATTATTTTTTTGAAAAAAAAAAAAACATGAGGGGTATGGTATTATAAGTGTATATTTTTCAAAGCATACTTTATACCAAAAAAATAAAAAAGAGCAAAAGTGTTTTTACATTATTTAAAATTACTGTGTGTAATGAGAAATTATGTCAAATATAAAAATATATTATTTTAAGTTGAATATTTAGATTTTTTGACTTCCTATAATGAGTATTTTGATTTTTATTTTATTTTATAATTTTATAAAAATTATTTTATATTATTTATTATTAATTTTTGAAAATCTCAATTGAAAAATACGCTTAAGTGAACAAATCCAGAGTCAAATATACAAATTCTAAACTTTCAAGTCATGGCATATAAAATTTAATCATCAATTGAAAATTTCATGTGGTTGTAAAACATTTCAAGAAGAAATAAATAATACACATATTATTGTCAATCTGAAATTAAATTAGACAACAATGTCTCATCTACTAGATGGTTATTGGACCATCTATCATCACATATTCTATTGTTTATTAATTAAATACAATTTATTTTTATTTACATAGTAATATATATTCATGAATTTCAAGCTTTGTCACAAAGATTTTCTCAAAATTTTACTATTTATTCAATTTTTTTTAAAAAAATATTATCAAATCAAACACTTGTGTTTTATTTTTTATATTATACTAAAAATTAATATTATATCTATTTATATCGCATCATACAATTATCAAAGCCCCAACAAACACACCCGAATTATTAATGCAGCCACACACAACGTATTCTATGCTTTATCAGTCACATAATATGGATTATTCGATACTTACTTCGTAGTAAAAATAAAGTTGAAAAACAAAATAAAAACACTGGACGTACGAACCATTTATTATACTACTCTCTCCTATTCCACATAATTTGTCCATATTTTATATTTTTCGTCCGTCTCACGTAATTTGTTTTTTCTATTTTGGAAATATAATTATGCATTTAAATCACATTTTAAAATTTAAAATTTAAAATTTTTTAAATTTTAATTAAATTATTTAATTATCTTAAATTTTTTATAATTATTTTTATTAATACACTTTTTAATTACCTACTAATTTATACTTTATCTAAATTTTTGTGTCTACGGTAATAAGCCCAAAATATCTGGGACAGAGCGCGTACTATTTTTGATCTCACTTAAATTGTATATTGTATGTATTAGTAAAAATAATTATAAATTAAATATTAAAATAATTATATATTCCCTCCGCCCAAAAAAAGTTATCTTGTTTTTCTATTTTCGTCCATCCCAAAACAATTGTAATGTTTCCTTATTTAATAATCGTGGTCCCCACTTTATAACAAAATTATTCGTACTTTTTCAAACAATCCATAATTATTACTCTAACATACTCTTTAAATTTTTTAAAAAAACAATGACATTTTAGTTATTTATATTACATTATATTGTTATTCTTTAATTCTTGTGCTAACTTCCCATAATACATCTTTTTGAGACGAATTGATTAGTTTAATTAAAAAAAAAATTAAAAAATTTAATTATATTTAAAAAATAAATTATATTGAATAAACAAAAATAAAAATAATAGACAAATTAAATTAAGTTGGATAAATAGAGTAATTAATAAATAGATTAAAAAAAAACGACGGTAATAAATAATTGGATTAGGTATTACACACAACATTGATTGTGACTGGTGGGGCAGGGGAAGGAAGGCGCATGCTTGCCACGTGCATTTTGAAATCTATATTAAACTTATCCTAATACTATTATTTAATTTACCAAAATAGTTTAATTAATCGATTATTTAATTGATTGATAAGTACGTTTATTGATATCAAATTCAAGACAAAATGAGTCAAACTGCACTAATTGTTCTCTTTATTAACTTATGAAATAATTGCAACATATGTGTCCCACAAAAATTCCCTTTTTGACGTATAATATAAAAGTTAGTTACATTACTTATATTTGCATATTCATACATATATTTCCACCGTCCGTACTCAAAATATTACTTTTGCTAATTTATATATTCTATTTAAAAAAAATTATTTTTTATTTAGTAAAATAAATTATACGTTAATATTAAAACATCTTAATTTTATTTAAATTTTTAAAAAATATTATTATATATACATAAAATCGAAGATTTTTTTTTATATATTTATACTAATTAATAAAATAATAATATTTTTAAATTTATAGTAAAATTACAAAATAGTACTACCTCCGTCCCACACACCGTGTCTCTGCTATACTGTAGACAAGGTATTTTAGGAGAGGTTTAATTAGTAGATAATTAAGAATATATTAGTGAAAATAATTATCCGATAATATAAATAATTATAAATTAAGATTAAGATAACTAATTAGTTTAAATAAAATTAAAAAAATAAAATATAAAAGTTTAAAATGAGATTAAAGTGTGTAATCATTTACCAAAAAAAAAAAAGTAACAGTATATGAAACGAGGGACAGAAACAACAACATGGACATGGTACGTGAGACGGAGGGAGTATATTCCAGTGGGACAAAAAAATATATTTAATTAAACCGATTAAACGGATCAAATTATTGAGTTTATTTGACTCAGTTAATCTATACAATGAAAATACATAGGATATACCATGACAGTATATATGCCTTATCTGTCTCATTTAATTTGTCTTATATTTATATTTTTGTCCGTTCCATGTAAATTGTTTTTTTTAAATATGATTATACACTTTAATCACATTTTAAATTTTATAATTTAATTATTTTTATTTTAATTAGACTATTTAGTCATATTAATTTTAATATTTAATTATTTTTACTAATAAACTTCTTAATTATTTATTTCATTATTATTATTTTTAAATGAATACATATTCGTTCAACTCAACAAAAATATATATGAACTTTAAGAAAATAAATTATTTATATTATTATTATTATTATTTAAAAAGGCACAGCTTGCTTGTTAGGGAGGGGCTCCCTTAGGGTTAGGGTTAGGCAATGAATTATCGAAACTAATAATACCCAAAATAATTATAATCAGTTTGGACCCTAAACTCATAATACAACTTTGCTCATCAAAATACATATTAATTACATATTAATATATATATTTTATAATTAGCTCTGCATTACTCCCTCCGTCCCATGTAATATACAAAAATTTAGGTAAAATATAATTAATAAGTAATTAAAAAGTGTCTTAAAAATAATTATTATTTAGTAAAAATAATTATAGATTAAAATTAAAATAAGTAATAGTTTAATTAAAATTAAGAAAATTATAAAATTTAAAATTTAAAATGCAATTAACGTGCATAATTATATTTTAAAAAATAGAAGGAATAAGTTATGTGGACTGCCGAAAATAAAAAATAAGAACAAATTTTCAAAAATAGAAGAAATAAGTCATGTGGACGGACGAAAATAGAAAATAAGAACAAATTACGTGGGATGGAAGGAATACTAAATTTGAAAAATAAATAAATGTTATTTTATTTTATTCTCATCAAAATATTACTAGTAGCCCCATTTTTGCTATAACTAAATTCCAACTGGAGGGGCGTACGGAAATCCAGTAGACTTGACCGCATCAGATAATTATCCCATTTTATGGCCACTTGTAAAAATTATTATTATTATTATTAGTACTCTACTACTAGTAGTATTATTTATGAATTTGGTGGGTTTGTTTATTTAATTATTTATTTTAATTAATCCCGAAATTAAGGATTAAAGTAATTCTGCCTTTCACAACTTTGATGCCGCACAGGACACGAAGCAGAATACGCCGTCGTCGTTTCTGCTCGCCGTCGACAATGAGACTGGTGGCGGATGGCGGTGAAAAGGTGGAATGCGGTGCCGGAGACGCTCCGGAACGAGGCGGCGGGGTGGCTGTTGTGGTGGTGGGGGTGAGACTCGACTCGCGGAGCAAGGAGTTGCTGACATGGGCGTTGGTGAAGGTAGCGAGGTCCGGCGATCACGTCATTGCGCTCCACGTACTCAATCCTGAAGCTGGTGAGATAATTATTTCTTTATTTAATTATTTTTTCTTCGGGCGCGGCGTGTTCGTGATGTTGTTTCTCTGTGCAATTTTCATAATTGTGTGCGTGCGGTTGGGGAATTCATTGTCGAGGAGGAGAGGACAGCGGACGGGTGGGGAGAAGGATTTAGACATTACGCATGATTCCATTGAAATTTGGGGTGTTTATGTTTGCGTTTATCTTGTGTTTCAATTTGATTTCTGACGGTCTGGTACTGCCTTAATCTTTTCCAATTTGCTTTGAATCTGAATATTTTATAGATAAATCGAGTATGGCTTCGCTAGTGAAGACATTTGACTCGCTGTTAGCTGCTTATGAAGGCTTCTGCAACCTGAAACAGGTAGTTATGGATATTCGCTTTAAATTTTCTCAGTTTGTGTGTCGATGTTCATGATTTGTGAGTTCGCAGACTTTCTGAATTACGAACAAATGTAGAAGCACAAGCTCATTCATTTGGTTTACTTCTTCACCTTTCTAAATTAATCTTAGCTCACATTCCAATTTTCAGCACTCCATTGGCAATACATTCAGTATTATGGCATGCAACATGTGGGGATTGTTCTTGATAATTTATTTATTTCTATTTTCCTCTTATGATCTATACTTTTTCACATCTACCTGCGGATTCTTAATTTATTGTCCTGCGCAGTAAAATTTTTATTTAAGTAGTAAGCTGGTTATCAGAAGTTCATTTTTTTTGTGTCCATTTGGTAGGTCCAAAGGATCCAAGGAGAACTAAATTTGTAACCGTAGCTTGGTGTTTGTTTCCTTTAATATATATATATATATATTCAATATATTGGGCAAGCTAAGATGTAAGAATTGTGTAGGTGGATCTGAAGTTAAAGATCTGTCAAGGATCTCCAGTTCGTAAAATCCTATTCCTAGAGGCGAAGTTGTGTGGTGCAACAAGTGTGGTAGTTGGGATTTCTGAAGGTCATCGAACTATACGGTCCCGGATCTCTGTTGCCAAGTATTGTGCCAAGAGTCTCCCAAAGAATGTTTCTGTTATATGTGCTGACAATGGCAAGATTTTGTTCCAAACAGGGTCGCCTGCTTCGATTGAACCTGAGTATGGTACTCTTGATGCATCAAAACCAAATAAGAAGAAGAGGAGAACTTTGTCCATAAGTTCCCTGCCCCCTGAGAGAGTTATATCATCATTTAGCAATGAAGGCAAGAGTATGTCGTTGATGAACTCGGAGCCTGTTAAAACCAGAGATATGCCCAAATACAGATCTAGGTGGACACTACTTCGTCGGGTACTTCTACATGGTGGAAGAGTATTGGATTCTTCTTCTACTAAGAAGTCTTCGACAGTGCAATGGTTGTTCCAGTCACAAAACCAACCCTCTATGGGAACTGTTTGTTCTGATCCAAAACAGATCAGTGCATCCAATGGAGATGACTGTTTAGAGTTGGATGATGAGAAGCGTGCTGTTGTACAACATTCTGCTGACACTATTGTTGATTCGTATCCTAAAAAGATCATCCAAGAGGAACTTAAAGAGTTAGTCAACAAGTACACAGTTGCATGCCAATTGTTCAGCTACCAGGAGCTTCTATTAGCAACAAATAATTTTTCACTCGGTTTGTTCTCTTATCGTTCTTTCAAATACTATCTCTCACATCTTTTGTTGGTTTTTATAGTTATACCTAATGTTACTTTCAGAAAATATGATTGGAAGGGGTGGAAGTAGCCAGGTTTATAAAGGACATCAACTGGGAGGAAAGGAGATAGCTGTCAAAGTTTTGAAGCCATCGGTGGATGTGTTGAATCATTTTATTTCAGAAATTGAGCTCATTACGACTTTGCACCACAAAAACATAATATCTTTAGTTGGCTTCTGTTTTGACGAAGACCAACTGCTCTTGGTTTATAATCTTCTGTCAAGAGGGTGCCTGGAACAGAATCTTTATGGTAAGTCCTGCTTCTTTCAATGATGCTGATGACAGTATTATCTCTTAACCCTTGTTCAATGCTTTCGACACTCCAGAATCTGGAACTTTGCTTGGTTGGCATGAGAGGTATAAGGTTGCTTTGGGAGTTGCTGAGGCACTAGAATATTTACACGACGCAGCAAAACCAATTATTCATAGAGACGTTAAATCTTCCAATATATTACTTGCTGATGATTTTGAACCAAAGGTAAGACAGACTTGCAGATCTTTCATCATTGAATCCTTTTGTCATTGTCCCATTTTTGTACGATTGCAGCTATCAGATTTCGGACTTGCTACCTGGGCTTCAAGCTGTTCACATCATTTAGATACATCTGATGTTGCTGGAACATTTGGGTAAGTTTCACACAATCTCATGCTATCTAGACACTAGTAGTTGCATATCCTATATGACACTTCTTTTTGCGACAGCTACTTGGCCCCCGAGTATTTCATGCACGGGAAACTGAATGAAAAAATTGACGTCTATGCATTTGGGGTGGTTCTCCTCGAGCTTCTATCAGGTAGGAAGCCAATAGATAACGGACATCCAAAGGGGCAGGAGAGCTTAGTAATGTGGGTGAGTGTCTAATTTCATGGTGTAACTTTGATATTTATCAGCTCCCGAAATTTTGGATTTTTTTCCATGTAGTGTATCTGGATAGTAAATTCATGTCTTTCCCGAAATTAATGTGTGGCGAATGCTTTCAGGCAAGAAGTATTTTAAAGGAAGGAAAACTTTCAGAATTGCGAGATCCCAGTTTAGCTAATAATGCATACGACGGCGATCAATTTGAGAGAATGGTCTTAGCTGCAACCCTTTGCATCAGACATGCCTCTCAATCGCGTCCTGTGATTAGCACTGTAAGCGAGTTCTTGCTACCCTATCCAGTTCTAAGAACCATCATAATAAGATTGTCCCAAGTCGAAATACATCTCTGCTGTTTGATTCTTTGGTACCAGGTTACGAAGCTCCTTCAAGGGGATCCGGAAATTATAGAGTGGGCAAGGCAAGAAAGTAATGCATGTGAAGACAAGATCAATGGAGACATCCAATCGTTCATTAATGTTGCATTGCTTGATTTGGAAGATGACGCGACTTCGGTTAGCAGCAGCGAGCAGAATGTGTTGGTGGAGGACTACTTGCGAGGTAGGTGGAGCCGTTCCTCTAGCTTCGATTAATGTTGTTCTTGTAGTCGACGATTGTGTGTTCGTTCGAAAAGGTGTTGTCTTTTTTTGTGGATTGAGTTGACGGGTGCTGCATTCATGAAGCTTCTTTATTTGGCACATAACATAACATAAGATAAAGAGTGTTGAACTAATTCTCGAATCCAATCGGAATCCAGGACAAGAATGGTGTGTTAAATGATTATGGGTGAATTCAATCAAGCAAGCATTAGATTAGAGTATTGTTTCATTTAGTAGTAGTAGTAGTAGTAGTAGTAGCTATTGCTCAATGTTTGTGACCAATTTTTGCGAGGCTTTTACAAATGATCTATTGAACTCGTGATGTTAATGTTTGTCTTCATTATATACTCCATTTCTTTTTTGTTAAAAATCTCTTTCCAAGTTTTGTACCTGAATCCAAACCATCGTCGTCTCCTCCATCTCCACTCCAACAGCTGAATCAGAACGCCAATTTACACTACGCTAACATGTAGGCCATTCTATTAGAATTTAAACACTTTAAAGTTTAAAACTAGTAGTTTCCTTATATAATATATATATATATATATATATATTGATAGAGGTTGATGTTAAAGTGATGAATACAAATACATTTAATGTTGTACTGCATGATAAGTTGTTTCGTAAGGATGGTCTGTCTGATGGTGGACTCTTGATCGTAAAGTCAAACTCCGCCTAAGTTTGCTGTCTCCGCCTAAGTTTGCTGTTATACATAGTTCGCGACTGCAAATTTAGTTTGCAGTAGTACTGTTTTAAAAAAATTAGAACGACATTGATTTTTCGTTACTCTCCCCAATTATATACATTTTGGTTGTTACTTGATAAGGTTGTGTGAAGCACGTGGAACCCGTGCTCTATTTACTACATCTAGATTAGTGCTCTCTATGACAACCAATCATAACACATGTTCAATTCTCGATTCAATCAATTTAATAATCTAACAAACATCATCCAAAACATTCTATCAAAACACCAAAGAATAAAAAAAAAAAAAAAAATACACAATCTTCAAACCATATCTCATTTCCTCCCATTTCCAAAACCAAAAAAAAAATGAGAGATGATGAAAAACACCCCATTCAAAACTCAAAAAAAAAAAAAAAAAAAAAAATCTAGTCAAGTTTTTTTTGGAAGAAATCAAAAGTAGGTTGATTGATCTTGCAAGAGTTGAAGGTGTGCAAAGAGCTTACCCAAAAGTGGTGCAAATGATGTTTCTTGTCCATTTTGTGATGCAACATCTATCAACACCCCTTTTGCACTCTCACCATATTCCTCTCTATATTCTTCTACTCTAAACACCCTTTCCAATATCCATAGCCCTTTTTCTTTCACCTTCCTTTCTTCCTCGTCGCAAAATTTATGTTCGTCTTCGGCTAAAATCTTTACGATTGCCTCCACTCCACGGGCCCGCACGAGATGCTCGCATCCGTGCTGCCACGTGTCGTCCGGAAGTAGCGTCGCAATGCATCCAAGTGCCGCTTCGTACGCGCCCATTTCGTCCCCTTCGAGGACTCCGATGAGCGCGGGAATGGCGCCGGCCCGGACCAGGCAGAATGTGCCCTTCACCGAGCACTGCCCGTCGTGAACACGGCAGAAGCCGTTGGCCGACGGGCCCGGCCCGCATAGCCATTTGAGCTTCCGGGACGACATCTTCGCTAGATGCTGTGAGTTTTGCGATAGCTGGGTCAGGCATAGCGCCGCCGTGGATTTCGCTTTCGGCGACGGGGTCGATTGCAGCAGCAGCTTGAGAAGCTCCGGGATCACGCCGTGCTCGGCGGAGTATCGCTGGAGTCGTTTGTCAGTCGGGATGGTGAACCGGACGACGACGCCGGTGATGGTCTCGGAGAGGTCGGGATTTGCGTGGCTCGATCTCATCATCGAGACGATCAACGGTAGCATGTCCGCGTCCTTGAGTATGTCCGTTACTTTCTTGTCGCTCACCGGCAAGTACCCGAGCAACCCCAATGCCGCAACCTTTTCGTTTTCCGATGCCGAGGTCGCAACAATTCCGGCAACCGTTCGAACATGAGGGTACCCGAGTTGTTCGGTGAGCTCGACTCCTTGTATATCCACGGCGAGCGATCGCATAAGCCTTAGGGCGCCGGTTCGGAGCTTCGCGTCGCGCTCCGCAAGAAACGGGATGAGAAGCCGAATCGCGCCGTTCTCGTTCATCTTCCTACGCACTCGCAACGCGTTCGCGTAAGATACGATGTTGTTCAATGCTTCGAGCAAGTGGTTTTGGATCACCGGGCTTGATAGGTTCAGCAACGAGAGCATCTGGTATGCGACGTCTCGTTTGACAAGAATGCTTTCCGATTGCGCAACCCTTGCGAGGATCGCGGATGCAGGCTCGCGCAGGGTCATGAGCACCGACGTCACCGAGAAAAGTAGCTGCAACAGGGACACGACGATGCCGGAGTCGATCAATCGCTGTATGTTCGCCTTCGAGTTGGATAATCGTTGCAACGCGTTTAAAGCGGAGAGCTTTGCCTCCAAGTTCCCGGCGTAGAACATTCCGACGAGGGGCTCGATTGCGCCGTCACTGCCGAGGGATGCTTTGTTTTGCTCTGTGAGTTCCAATCTTGAGAGGGCTGTAGCCATTAGAACCTTGCTCATTTCTGAACCTGAGAAAAATTGCTCGTTACGACGACGCTACGATGATCCTCCATACATGCAGCGCGTAACGTAATTTTATCGTCGAATTTACCTTCCTTGAGATATTTGATCAAGGGCTTGAAGTACCCGGCCTCGGCCATATGGAGCGCGTGTTGCGTGTTGCCCGACATGTAGTTTAGCAAGGTTCCCGCATCGCGGGAGCATTCTTGATCGTCGCCATTTGAGATGGCGACCAGCATTACGATGCATCCTTGTATCCTCCCGATCCTTCGCCTAACGCCAAGATCGTCAGATAAACTCAACAATAGCCCCACGGCCTCGCTTTGCTCGTCTGAATCTCGCATAAGCGACTTCACCAATGTCGACAAGAACTCCATGTCCTTCATTTTTTCCTGCACACTTGCATGTTAACATCGTCACGAAGTGAATTCTAACAAGTGGTAGCGGAACGAGTGGATATTGGAGAATGTTATAAAATTCGAGTACCTTGTGTCGATCATCTTCGCGAAGAAAATGTCGGAGAATTCGAATGATGAGCACTCTCTCGTCGCCCTGAGACGAGCTCAATCGGCTGGATAGAACCCGGACGACGTCTTCTTGGACGAGGCTGTCGTCGAACGACGTCGTTCCGTCTGTTAGGAATCCATTTAGCACAGAAAGGGCCTCTCTAAGCCTCTGTTCATTGCCATATCTGATCTCTGAAATAGCCTCGTAGACAGTCGTGATTGGCTTTGTTGTTGTTGTTGTTTCATCCTCTACAGTGCCCTCGCCTGCAGTTCCCTCCGGTTCCTCCTCCTCCTCATCTACAGTGCTCTCCCCTGCAATTTCCTCTGGTTCGTCTTCCTCCTCCGTCTCGTCTTCCTCCTCCTCGACGCCGAACTCAGAGTCCGAACTCGACTCGAACCGTACGTTCATCAGCTCCTTGCAGAGCTCCTCAATCCTACGTTTGTTAGCGATCGGTACCTCGTGGCTGGCGAAGAGGACGAGCCCCAGCGACCGGCCGAGATTCTGTGCTAGATGCTCGATTTGCTTCGCCGGAGAGGATCGGACGGTTTGGGCGGCGGATTCGACGACCGACTTGGCGCGGTGGTAGTCGGACTCGAGGGAGTCGACGGCGGTCTGGATAGTCGGCAAATCGGCGACGTCAACGCTGCCTTTGATTTCAGTTAGGATTGGATTCAATTTATCGATGAAGACGGAGAATTCCGCTACGGCTTCCGATTGGACCGACGACGGCGACAGCGACAGCGCATTCACCTTCGAGCAATCGAATCCATCCATCAATCGACGCATTCGCACACAAATTTCAGTTTAAACACTCGGTCGCTGCAAATTAGGGTTTCTGAAGAACTCTTTCACTCTCTGCACCATAGCGGAAGAAATCAGTATTCCACAAACATTTATATAGTAGTGAGGGAGAAATGGAAGAAATTAACCTGAAATCTGGGGGAGAGGAGAGAGGGAAGGAAGACCTGACCTGCAGCTGGTTCTGGTTGGAGTAGAGAGTCGTGTGGAGACAAATGCAAGTTGCGGTGTCGTATTCGTGGGGACGTTTGATGAAAGAGATGTGAATGGAGGATGACTTGGTCTCCGTTGCATTGTGGATCACGGCGGCGGCCATGAATGAATCAATAAACAATAAAATTCCAGCTCTCTTCTCTCTCATCTCTCGAGGAAGATGACCACCGAATTTAAAATTGTACTCCCTCCTCCTTCCCAACATGTTTCCTATATTTGTTTCTGGTACCATAATTTAAAGGGAATAATATTAAATAGAATAATTAAAAAAATTAAAATAATGTTATAAAAAATAATTATATATATATATTTTTGGACGAAGAACTCGCAGTCGCTGTCTCGAAAGTAAGCGCAGGCTAAAACCATCCGAATATTTTAATTCACTACAAAATCAAATTGAGAAATGAATTTTCTTAGGATTTATGTTGTTTAGTTTGAGTTTAAGTGTTTTTATTTTTATTTAAGTAATATTTTAAGAATATTTTATGTGAAAAAACATTTCTTTTTTATTGAAGACAACATGGGCTGAAAATGATAATTTTAATTTCAAACTAAAACCGTTGAAAATTGGACCAACATTTACCATTTTATCCCAGCCATAGTCAAATTCTATAGCTAAATTCTTTGTGAACTTATGAATACGATAGTTATTAAAAAAATAATAAGCAAGCACAACGTTATCAATATTAACTTTAAAACTTATTTACCATTTTCATGATATTTTCTCTATTATTGTTTACTAAGTTATGGTCAGAGATATTTTTTATATTTATGTATGAGAAAAGATATAGTTAATACCAAAAAAAATAAAATATTTTTCCTTTTCAAAAAATATTTATTTATTTTGATTGTAATCGATTAAGAAATAATAATATCCCACATCCGACCTTTATTATTAATAGTATTATTATTATTATTATTATTATAGTGGAGCCCTTCTTTTTGTATTTGCATATTCATTATTTTTACTATATTACAAAATAGATATCTTTGAGCGGAATAGATGAAAATGTTAAAAAATGTATTATGTTAGGATAGAAGGAATATTTTATTGGTTAGTGAAAATATATACAATGATATTGATACCTTTGCATTTTCATACTTATTATAATAAAAAAATAAGTATTTTTTGTTAGATAGATGAAAAATAATAAAATTGATACGTTGAGTTGACAAGGAATGAATATATTATATTGAATTATTATTTTTTTTTTGTGAAAATGTAGATTATATATATATATTTTTTTTCCTTTCCAAAATAAATGATATATTTGATTATAGACACTATATTTAATATTTAAGGTGTTAGTTATGATACTAATTATTATTTTTTTATATAAAAGATATTGTTAGTAATTTTAAAATAAGAATTGATGTATATTATTAAAAAAATTTAGAATATGTATTTGAATTTTTTTAAAACTATATTTTTAATAAAAATATATGCAATATAGATATTATTTTGTTGGTGATAAACTTTTATATAATAAAAATAAATAAATAAAATATTTATTTATTTATAATTAACATAAATTAATTTTATAAAAATAAAAATTTAAATATAAATAAAATATTTGTTTATTGAAGATAAATATAGAAATAAGAGTTTTTAAATGGTCCTATATATACATATGAAATATATAATGTTATATGTTATAAAGTTAATTAAATTTATTTATATTTGTTAAATATATTTTAAATAAGTAAGTTTTACCAAATATAAAAACATATCATTTGTTGATATGTGAATATGTTTTAGTTTTTATTAATATTAATTCAGTGCCATTTTTTTTTTTCTTGAGTGAACACTAGTTTTAAAAATATTTCAACTTAGTCAATATAATTACATATACACATGTATTAATATTGAAGTAAACTAAATTGTAGAAAATTTCGAACATTGTAGTATTGAACTAGGAAGAAGTTTTTATTAATTAAGTACCACAAATAACATAGAGACATATGTTATATCTTGTGACCAATTTAGATATTGCAATATACTATAGAAGATTTTGTGATAATATAAACAATAACGACCTTATCACAAAGACTTAAGACTGTTCTTTTGTTTTATTTTTATTTTTCTTTGTTATTCAATCTTTTATTTTTTATTTTTAAAAAAGTATTACATGTTACATACAAAATATCTATACAAATTTTAAAAAATAAATATATTGATAGTGCAATTAGGGACAACTAAAATGATATTAGTTGTGTCATGTAACTTGAATATGAATATGCATATTTTGAATAAAAATTAGATTTTTAATATTAATATAGAAAAAAAAATGGTGTGTTTGGTTTCAATTTGAGTTTGAGATTAATTGATTTAATAATAATATTTTGAATTAATATTTTGTAATAGAAAATATTAGTATATTTATTTTTATTAAAAATTATGCCAACTTAATAGTATAAATTTAAATTTAAAATAAAAAATAAACTAACAAATCTTACTGGTACATTTAATAGTAATAAAAAATAGTGACAAATGATTAGATATAAATTCAAATTCATATATAATTGTCCTAAAATGAAGATCCAATGCAATTCAGCATTGCTTCATTCTTTCAATTTTTTTTTATTTTTATTTTTTTTTTTTTTTAAAATTAATAGCAGTTATAGTTTTATTTTATTTTTTTATAATTATATATGAAAATATTATTTACTCTCACAAATTATCACATCCAACTATTATTTCAATTAAAATAAAAAATCAAACACACCCTGTAACGACATATTCCAAAATTATATTGCTACAATATGTTGAATATATAAAATTATATTTTGTTATTTGAATTATATCAAAAATATTAAATTCATATTATTACTATTCCAACTGTAAATTCGCAATTTATTATGTCATTTATTATACTTCACCATTGACAATAAGCTTACGTCATCACTGCATCACCATGCTTACGTCATTAATATATCATTATTGCATCATAATTCTCCAAAGACTAAAAAAAATTACGAAGGTGTATTTTAATTCCATTTTTTTTTTCTTCTTTAATTACCATGTGGTCATTCATATTTCAATATTTACACTACATTTCACAATTTTAAATAATTGCAATACAGCCCCTAATTATGTTGTATGCCTTTTTTAAATTTATGAAATAATAGTAAGTACAATATTATTTAAACAATATATTCTATATAAAATTAATTATTTAATTTAAAATTATAAATATGATGTTTATATATATATAATATATAATCAACACTGAATTTACATGCATTGTTAAAAATGTTATAAAAAAATTATTCATAATATAAATAATTAAAAAATAATATTATAAAAATCAATGTCACCTTACAAGACTATGTTTACTAATATATTTTTGAAAGTTTTGATTATTAAATAATTGTTACTTTAATATTTATAAAAATATCATATCAAATATTTTAAATTTTAACTATTTCATTTTTTATTTATTTATTCTTTTAAATCTTTAATGTATTAGATATAATGTTTAGAATGTTCTATTTCAAATTCACACCAAGCCTCTTATATATTATATTATATTTGCATAATATTCTAATATAAAATTTCATTTTAACATTTATATTACAGAAATTATTTTAAGTAAATATATTTCTCATTTCACTATTTAATAATATTTTGTATCAAATTTAAAATATATATATTTAGATAATATGTTCATAATATCATAAAAATACTAATAAACCAGAAACAGGTTTTTATATCCCCTGTTTTAAAAAACTGTGTGCTAAACAATAATATGATATAGATAATATATATCGTCTACCAAATTAATTATGACATATTTCTTTTTTATTGTATTTTTTGAAATTTGAAAATTTATGTTCTAATAAAAATTATTACAATTATGCAATAGTATTTTTAAATTATAAAAAATTTAAAGCAAAATTAAGAGATGTATTAATGTAAATAAAAATATATGTTAAATGCAATAATAGGGGAAAAAAAAAAGTTATTACCAAAAACTTAAACATAATTATTATATAAATATAATAAAAATCTAAAAATTATGTCCCAAATAAAAATTTAAAATAAAAAAATCACAATACAAATCCTTCAATATATTTAATTAAAAAAAAATCCATCTACAATATGAATAAATCTCAGTTAATTATTTTTATTACTTTCACTATACATAACTATTCTTTCACACTACTGTTACATAAAATTCGAACAATATTGACACACAATTTACTATAAAGTAAAATGTAATATTATTTTATATTCTATAATTTCCAAAATCTGTCAGTATCTAAAAAAAAACGTTTCTTAATTTTAAATTATTTTATATTATATTGTTACTAAGCTTAGCCTTTTTATTTTAATTTATTTTTCAAATAAATCATAACATAATATTAATTAAACAAAAGTCTTACCTTTTATTTTATCCCTTTTAATTTTACTTCTTTTAAAAACCTCACCCTAAAGTTTATACGTCTGATTTTTTTTTAAATTTTTTTTCGATTCAAAATCATTATTAATCATTGCACAAATAATCTCAATAAAATAAATCATTATTAAAAATCACTTTAATTAAATGCTTGCAACGTTACACATTATAACCCAGAAGAGATTGTAGTGAAAAAAAATTAAATAGTTTTTAATGTAGTGAACTTTTTGCATTTATTTTTCTTTTAAAAAAATATCGGTCAACGTGGGACCCACACGCGTAATATTTTGAAAGTCATTGAAATTCAACGCCAAACGTTACAAGAAAAATAATAGTAATAACAATAGTGGTAAAAAGTAAATCTGTGGTCCAAAAAGTTACCACAGAAGGTAATAAAATTAAAAAAATAAAACGTGGTAATTTATTCTATAAAAAGCCTTCTCTATGTGTGTATTGGGGTCACGGTATTATTATATTTACTGAAACTGACACAGTATAATTTCTCTGTTGTTTACTCTTTGTTTACTCTTTTGTTTAATCTGTTTTTTTTTTTCGATTTGATTCGATTTGGTTCAGGTAGATATGGACAATTCTGCATTCGAAGTTTTACCTAATGCGCAGGGATCTTCGCCAAACTCGGCGCAAGAAATTAAAGTGTTATTGGTCGAGCACGAGGGTGAAAATAAAGAAATAACTATTAATATGCTCGAGAGATTCGCCTGTAAAGGTATATAAATTTTATTTTGGGCATGAGATTTCTATGTTTTAGCTAAAAGATGTGATTTTATGTATTTATATTATAACTTACATGTGTGAATTCAGTTTAAGAACAGTTAAATCGTTAGGTAAGTCCCGACAAACTAGATCTAATTGATTTTGAGTATATTTCAAAAATATTATTCGATTTTAGTTTTTGACTAAATTTTGGGAAAATATAAATTGTGTTGTGTTTTCTTCAATATTACAATAGTTTTAGGGTTTTGTAAACTCAATTTTCTTATTTTATTTTGTTATATTTAGTCAATTGAGCTTGAACTTCGATTTAAGTTCTTCAAAATGTATTATAAATGCTTGTTTCATTTTTGGATTTCAGATTTGTGAAAAATAGTTGTAATTGAAAGGATTGTTGATTGGATTTCTTTCTTTTTCTTCCCCCATCCAAAAAAAAATTATTTGAGTGTTATTATGAAGAGACTATTGAAAAATAAATGTAATATTACTCTCCAAATCTCGGGGGCGAACTTAAAAAAACAAATCGTGTTAGGTGATCGACTAAATGTGTTATGGATTTCTTTCTTTTTCTTCCCCCATCCAAAAAAAATTATTTGAGTGTTATTATGAAGAGACTATTGAAAAATAAATGTAATATTACTCTCCAAATCTCGGGGCGAACTTAAAAAAACAAATCGTGTTAGGTGATCGACTAAATGTGTTATAACGAAAAACAAATATATAGTTTATATCGTTATAACGCCGTATTTGAAATTATTGTTTATCAATTTTTGTACGTCTGCGTTATACCTAACTTGTAGCAACACGTGTAAACTATTCTTGACATTATATATAGCTATTGCTTATCATTTTGTGTAAGTTTACATCACATTTTTTTTTTCTCTTAGTTAAATCTTTTTATTTTACAATTCTAATCATTTTTTATTTTTATTTTTTCAGTTACCGATGTCAATCTTGCATCCATGGCTACTTCGATCTTGTCCGAGAAGAAGATGTTCGACCTTGTCATAGTGGATACAACTTCATGCCAATCATCTCACATGTCTCATCTTTTGCAAGAGACTGTTAACATGAAGTTACTTGTCATATGTAAGTATTGCTCACCTTGGAACATTTTTCAATTATTCATAGCATTGGTTTTCTATTCACACATATTTATATATAGATACATATGAAAATGAACTTCATTTAATTTTCTATGTTGTTATAGTGATGTGCGACGAATTTAACGTGGATACGACCTTTTGGGCTTTGGAGCACGGCGCGTTTCTTTGTATAAGGAAACCAATTACGATGGAGATAATTGAGTGTCTGTGGCAACATGCGATGAGAAACAAAATTAACAAACTTAAAGGAAGGAAAGAGGTTCGAGAGAAGGAAAATCTTGTGATTCAAGAAAATGGATATAATGTCGGTGTCGAGAGTGATGGCATGTTCAATGCCATGGGGAACTTTGTTACAAATCTAGACTCGGAAAATTCACAACTTGGCAATTCGTTGTTCATGAAAAGGAAGATTTGGACGGAGTGGACTCAACAACTTCACGAGAAATTTATGAGCGCCGTCCTCCAACTTGGAGAAGGAAGTACGTTCTAATTTCTTACTTTTGGTCAATTTTGCGAGCGATAATATAATTGTCAACTTTTTTTGTGTGAGAATAGGATGCTATCCAAAAGAAATTCTTGAGCTTATGAACGTGCCTGGACTTACAAGAATGCAAGTTGCTAGCCATCTTCAGGTTTGATTAGCGACTAATTTACAATTTTACTATTTTGATGCAATTTATATTCGATAACCTTTTAATGTGCATTGTTCTTTCTTCTTCTTCTTCTTCTTCTTCTTCTTCTTCTTTTTTTTTTTTTTTTTTTTTTTTTTTTTTTTTCTCTTAAATATGTAGAAATGTCGCAATGCAAAATGGCTTCCTCCAAACAAAAGAAAGTCTAAAGGTGCAGAGAGGCCGGGGAACCTAAGGAACAAAGCTCCAAGGTCAAAAACAATGAGGTTTGGAACCATGCCTCGCGTCGAGGATGAGAATGACGACAATAACTTGAATCTTGATATCCAAGATTATCAAGACAACCAACAAGACTTCGTACTCGACTTGCCACCACAGATGAACAACAACACCGGAGTTAACAATGAAGGAATTTTTGATAATTCGTTTTACCCGCAAGTTCTTGAGGATCATGTCAACAACCCCTTCGCTCAACCTAATGAAACGGTCAATATGGCACCGGTCGGACAAGGTTTTGGCGTGGAAGAACCTATAATCTATAATGTCCAAAATGGGAATTCTAGCACAAATTCTTCGACCAACTATAGGGATGTCGCCTTGGATGCCTTGGATTTTTCTTACATGGATTCTATGTTCCAAAACATGCCACCAACATTCGGAATGGAATGCGATGGGACTTTGCAGTCGATAGTTCAAGACCAAGTTCACTCTAAGGTAAACCCTTCTTTATCTTTTATTAAGTTCTTGTAAATGAGCTTATTTTTTTGTTCTTTTTCGAAATATCGATTCTTTTTTTCTTTTTTTTTTTTTTTGCAGATGCCTTTTGTGGAGAATAATGGAAGCCTTAACAATTGGGGTCATGAAGTCTACAACAATGGATGGTGAAGATATCGAAGGGCGATTAAGGAAGGAATGTTCGAATTTATTTTATTTGAGTTGAAAAAGACATTTTTATCATTATTAGTGTTGGAGTGACGGCCAGAATAATGTAACTCCAACTCTTTTGTCTTTCTAATATGAAATTAAATGGCCTTCTTAAGCTATAGATACATTATGGTTCTTGTTTCAATTCATGTCATTCTTTACTCAAAATTAGGGTTTTCAAATTTTTTATTTATTTATTTTTCATATTGATTATATCGTATAATCTTCGTATCATCGACACAAAATCAAACAAAAACAGCTTTATAGATGTGAAGAATTCAAATAGAGAAATATTGTTGAAACACTTTAGGGTTAGGGTTTACTGTAAATTATTCTTTTAATTAATATAGTGCATGGTTACAACATTCACCTTGATTTTTATTATGTTTTTTTAAAGCTATATAATTCTAATGATTATTATCTCTTTTTTCTTTTTTATATAAAAATATAGTATTATTTTATTTGAAAAGATATCATATCCAATAATTATTTAAATATAAAAATACAAAGTCAAAGTATGAAAAAGCTTATTTTTAAGTAAAAATCAATACAAACCTAGGGTTTGTTTGATTTCTGTTTAAATTTGATTTTTTGATTAAAATATATATTTTGGTGCAATATTTTATAAAAAAAAAATTAATATATTTTAATTAAAAATCACAAATAGTAAAAAATGGTTTAAAACTTTAGTTTATTTTATCCGTAATTTGAAATTGATTGAAAATGAAGTGTTAATTTAAATTTTTGCTTAAATAATATTTTGATGTAATATTTTTATCGGAGAAAATTATATATTTTTATTGAAGTCACAGCCAAACAAACACTATACATATATTTTTATACCAATTTTTAATTAGAAAGCCATACACCATTAGAATATGTTTGCAATATACTCAACACATTTATAATATTACAATATTTATGTGTATATTTCATATATCTTACAAATATGATTATTGCAGGGTTTGTTTGATTTTGGTTTGAAACTGATATTTTTATTTGAATTTTTATTTAAATATCATTTTTATATAGCAATTTTTTTAGATAAAATAATCTATTTTTATAAAAAATTATGGAGACCGAATAGTACTAATTATATTTGAAGTGGGCACACATCATAGTTTTACCCAAGTATATATGCAACATTGGTTGAAACAAACATTAAAATGGTGAAATGCATTTTCACTTATTAATCCAATAAATTTGCAAATTAAATTTAAAGAGTATCTAAATTATAGTAAAATGTTTATTAGAATTTACAAAGTTTTACATTATAAATTCCTAAACATCCATTGTAATCCAAATATATAGATACAATATAATTTACACACATATATTCATTATTTTAAAAACACACACAAAGGTATTTAAATTTCTATTTCACATATAAAGTATTTTTCAGTACTTTTTTTTTTTTTTTCAATTAAAGGATTTGGATAATATTAATATTCTAAGCTATTTGATTTCATTTTAATTTTAATTATTCTGAAATGTTGTCAACCCAAAGTGTCATGAATCATGAATTGTATTTGTTTGAGTCTTTGAGTACATAATTTAATAATAAAATTTTGAATGTGAAATTTTATATTAATAGTTTACAAAAATATGTATATATATAGAGATGTTATTTTATTCAAATACATTATCATTACAAATTCATCAACAAATTTTCTCTACTCTTCCAGTCAAGTTAAGACATGCTAAACAAATCATTACAAATTCACTTCACACTACACTACAGATACAAATTATTTTCCAGCAAAAAATGAGGGAAATAACAAGAATCAAATGCAATCCAAGATGGTACGTACCGCCTGCGAAATAAGGGAAGCTGCATCTTCATCTCCAGTGCTGATCAGTGTTTGTGTTCTTGTGGCTTCGACAACGGCTTTGCGGGGCTCCACGACGTGTATCAGTGATCCCTCGTGAGATCCGTCGACACATTTCATTTCCTCAACAGTAGTAACCATGCCCATCATCTGCAGTGCTGTCACCAGAGCATTTGTATCGACGTGGCCAGAGTAAACCTGTGGCCTTGACTGGGAAGCAATTAATTCTCGGCTCCTGGAGATTAAACTGCATTGGAAATCAAATGATCATGTACTTGTGTTGAAATTACAATGACACAGGGAAATAAAATCATTATTGTAATCCTACCGTATGCAAATATCACATATATATGTATATTTGTATTACGAGACTAAAGTTTATTCAACTACCTGTATCTCCCATTCTTGATCGTGAACTCTCCTTTCAACCTCGCGACAGTCATGTCTTTTTGGTGCTTCAATGTTGTGTAATGTAGCCGACAGGCCAATTCAACTTCAATGTCCAGTTCTGAGTTTTCCTTCGGGTATGGGAAACATACAGTTTTATTTTCAGAATAGTATGTGAACGAAAGGGAAGTTTCCAAACGAACAATCTGCTGCCTCAATGTCTCAGGAAACTGCGAGAGCCAAAAACAAAGACATGTTTAAAAAGATAAAATGCAGTATGCTGTGTGTTTAGCATCAAGTGGTCGGTGTGTGAAACCGATGGGTGTGTAGTAAAAGAGCAGTGTGTGTTCATGGGAAATAAACAGTACCAGAACATTTTTAGGCTGCAGCATCTTCAGTAAGCGGGGACATATTCGCATGCTGTTAAAAGAAAATAAAATAAAAAAGAACACCGAAATAAGATCACTGCAAAACCACAAAATCATAAATAGATGTACAACACCATGTTTTGAGACTGATCAATGTCAACAAACCATGAACTTCTTCACAAAAAAAAGGCTCTGTTTCTTTAAGGTTTAATTTGTCGTTGCACTATTCATCAAATGTTTTTCCCCAAAACCTCAAATCAAATACCTAATTTTCATTTAATATACAAATAAATTATTTTTGCATTTAAAACATCACATCAAATGCTATTTCAAATTAAATGTTTACTATTCTCAACCCTCAAACTCAAACCCAAATCTTAAAAGAATACATCCATAATGTCCAACTGTGAAGCGCCAAAAGATGCAATTTTCGAATTACAAGAAATTAAGAAAATATATTACTTAGCAGGAAAGGCTCAAGCAGAAACTAAATTGCTTTTTAGTTGGAACAGAACACAACTTACTCTATTCCGGAAATAAAAGAGCATTGGAGGACTTTCATTGCCATTGGCTGGTAAGGCAAGAGAGCCAATTTAGCATCCACCCCTTCCTATAATTATAGATACGGAGTATAAATGAAGTAAGAAAAGTATTTATTATACAAACTTACTTGACGAGCCTAACAAACCATAGCAAAAGGAAAGAAAATAAGATAGAAGAATGTATTATCAGGTACCTCCATCACAAGTAGTGAATTTCGATCCCAACACCACCGGCGGAGCAAATGAACAACAGGACCAAGTCGCAGACTCCAGTGAGGACAAATGACTATGCAAGGTTCCTGCCAAATTGTTCTTGTGCACATAAGAACAGTTTATCAGAACTCTTCAAGCAGGGATATATGAAATGTAATTATTCTGTTGGTGGAATTTGAAACCTATTGAATCTTCCTGAAGTTACTAGAACTCTGAACCTTTAATTTTATTCCTCAACATATACCAAGTAATAACTGATTCCACCCATTGCATTTCATGAGTAAGTAGTAACTTTTGCTGATATGTCAAATGACTAACTAGATTCTGATAAACAATAGAAACAATAAAATGATTACTGTGGACCATCTCTAGATGTTTCAAAAAGCTAGATGGATATCAGAACTTTTTAGTCAAATCTAAATATCACCCTCCACCCCCAACCCCATGCAAAGTATTCTCTCAAAGTGTGTGTGTGCATTTCTAGCCATGAATTGTCAAGGGGATAAGCATATCTTACAATAATTCAAGTGAGTGGATGGCTGGAAACAAATGAAGCTTTTTATCTTTTAGCATCTCTGAATGAGCAAATATCGGTTGACCAGAGTAAAGCTGCAAAATCGAAAGAATAAACATTTGCATTAAAATGTGCTTGTGATTAAGAGCCATTAACTCCTAAACTTTTTTCTGGCATCTTGAATGCAACTTACACGATCTTGCCAATGCTCGCATAACCATTCTGGAATGATATTTGTATATGCCATAAGCTCTTCTGCAACAGTAGAAACCACATAAATGGGCACCTGCATCACATAGTAGCAGTTAAAGTGGTAGTACTAGTAAAACTTAAAAGGCTTTTGTATGAGTACAGCATCACTTCAATAGTACAATTTCTCAAATTTATCCACCAATCACCCACAATTTAGCATTGGATACAAATGCTTGAGATCTGTACCAGAGAGAAAGTGGAAAGAAAAATGAATGGTGATAAACAATTACTAAAACCAAACTGCAATCTTAAGTAAAAAAAATAGAAACTCTGATCGACATGGTAGTTTCAACAAAAAGAACAAAGGAGAAATTCCAAGAATCAAGGGTTGTGTTCTTTTGTGTTTTTGTTTCCAGTTTCATTTTCATTATCTTATTATTATTATTATTATTATTATTATTATTATTATTATTATTATTATTATTATTTCCATCTATAAACATCACACCAACATTCATTTCTTTCACAAAAACATCCCATCAATCAACTATTATCACCTCAAAAATTTTAAAAACAAAACACAAAAGAACACACCAGGGTTTTAAGTTATTTAATTCAATAAACTCCAAATTAGAAGCTACTACACTCCTCATCATGTCTCCATAAAGTGTACTATTGCCCATTATTAATGTAAATGTACCTTCCTATCTTCAGATGCCATGGCCTGAGAAAATCGCTCCAGCAGCTGAAGAATGATACTCAGTCGTCCTATAGGAATTAGAACTGAACCACCAGCTTTGATGGAATCAATGGCACATGAGGATATGAAATTCAATTTTTCCATCTCTTCCAGATACTCATCATCATTAATCAGTACAGACCTTGCTTCTAAATGCATGTCATCCTCACTGCAAGAGACTTTACGAAGCTCAATCAGATTCAAATATTGCAATGGAAATAACACAAGAATGACTGACAATTTAAAGATGAATCTTGCTTCATTTATTAAAGGGATGGAGATAGATGGTTGCAAAACATCCAGGAACATAAACATGCAGAAATCAAAATGTAGAAGCACCTTAAATTTGATAAGTTTTTGCCATCTAGGCCACTGTCAAAGTTTTCTGGAGCATTGCAAAAAGAGAAATCTGAAAATAAAATCACATCACTTCTCTCAAATGCTTTGTAATCAAAACTCATTGCTGTAGCGGGCGAGAAAACAGAACTTGACATGTAAGCAATGTTTCCCTTCGGTGTAGTAATGCTCCAATTGCATGATCCTATTTCTAAACCAGAACTAAATGCTTTTATGATCAATATGCCATTGTAGCAAGCTTCTTCAGCATATTTAAGAGCCATGACCTTCAGCAAGCAAGCCTTCACATCAGCTGCACTGAGAAATATCCCTCATTACTTCTTTCAGACATATATAATAGAAGTATATAAAGTTCAAAAAAAATTAATAGCATTGAAATCACATACGCACTTTACCAAAAAACTTTTAGAGGAGAAATCATCTGTGCAATTGAGTCTATTAGAATATCAAATGGCAAGTTTTAATTGGGCCCCTTTATAAACAACAGGCCAAGCTGTATGACTTTTTAGAAAAAATTCCTTTTACCAACATGTAATATTTCATCTAGTATGAAGTTACTGTCATTGTATATCATATTTAGAATCTTTCTAAGCGTATGCTTTGGTACTAATCTTTTGAACTTCTTTCTTTGTATCATGTGATAGCTTCACAAAAAAATAACAGGACTCCTACTTGGTCTGCAGATATTTTTTCAAAATACAAATTTGCATCTTTCGGCAATTTCTTAGTTCTAACAGAGGCACCAATCCTATCACCCTTCATTTGGCCTAGGCCCTCATGAATCAAGCTCAACAGCTTTCCAATTTCCATAGTCACTCATTATACTGGAAATAATAGAAAATGCAGTAAATAGAGAATGTGTTGACACAATATTACCGACCGATAGTGTAACCAATTCAATAAGGAGCCATTGAATCTCAGAAATCAAGAGTTTGGACAAAAACCTAGCATAGATGCTAGCAAAAATAAAAACTATAAATAAAATATAAACAGGGACACAAAACACAATGCCAGATTGAATTTGCAAAACAGTGCAGCACAAATAGCTTGGCAATACCTGTATAATGGCATCCAAGCACCGAACTTCAACCCATCCGTACCTAGCATAACCTGCCTTAATTCAAACGGAAGTTTTTCAACTTCATCCCATTTCATCCACTTAGGACCTTCAGTCTCCTCAGGTCCGTAAAATTGCCTAAATTCCTTGTGCATATTGACAAGGTCGTCCAACATGAATTTCCCAATTTTAGCAGCAGCTTCAGTAGCATACACCTAAGGCACAATTATGATGACAATTGGAAATCGGATCCAGTTTTTACAATAATAATTAAAAGAAGAAGCAGCAGCAGCAGCTAAATTCGTCACCTTGGCTGAAAAATCTTTGTTCCGAGTAAGAAAAGGCAGCCCTAGCATCCCCATAGGACTCGATATCAACACTAAATCTATAAAAGAGACATTCCATAGGAGCAAATTCTTCACAGTTCTATAACGTGGTTCGGCACAAATTAAACTCCCCGCATCCAGAGGCTTGTCTGCTTTTCGCCTCTCATCGTGAGCTACTGCATCGTTCGGAACAGGAGAGAACACTGCTAGAGACGAAAGGTCCAGAGGACAATCAAATAGAATCCTAAAACCACACACATCCAAAATATGGCATGGCGGGAAATAGTAACCCTTGCCTTTGCTCAAGCAAGTCTGCAAAAGACAAATTCACCAAACCATTCAGAAATGAAGCTAATCAAACAGTATAACCCAAAATTCATTCGAGAAAGAGAAAGATTCTTACAAACTCCATGACAGCCCTCAACAAGCGCGAAGTTCATCACTCTGCAAACTTTCATACATATATATAACAAATGGGCTGAAGCTGAAAGCCCAAATAACAAATATAAATTTTTTAATTAATTTATAATAATATATATACTAATATATATACATATATGTATATATATCTTTCGCTCTATGGTCGCTCCAGGGAGAGGGAACTACTGTGGAAGAATCCACCGCTTTTCTTCCCAAAAAATCCCTAATTTTTTTGGGAGTAAATTCTCGATTCCATGGAGGCAGATAAACCCAAATTTGGGAAAATAGCGAGGCAATCGAAGAATACTCACGGTGCTCATATTAACAATCTCGACGATGGGTGTCTCATGCTCATTTTCAGTTTCCTCTCCCCCATTCCAGGTTTGTGTTTTTACTGTATTCATTTTTAAACGTTGTTTATGTATTGTCTTTAATTGGCTGAATTATCGGACATGCTTTATTCAACGAGGGTTTCGAATGTGAAGTTTCTGACCGTTTAGCTTAAATTTGTGAAAACTTCATTATGGAAGGCCAAGTATGCGTTTTTCGTTTGATTGGCATAGGACAAACATTTAGTACATCAATCATTAATTATTTCCCCTCTTGTCTGGGTAGTTTTTTTAATTGATTTATTAACCATGACGATCTGAATAACATTCTTGTTGGGTAATTACTATCTGGAATCATCAATTCAATCCTCGGAACTTATTATGTTCTATAGAATATGTTCTTGCTAAATTGAGATATGCTGGTATTCTTGAAATTTGGATTTGGGTTTAATTGGTTTGGTACTGCTAAGCAATTGGGTTAATGTATCTTGGTTACATTTTGGAAGCTTACATTTGAAATTTTTGTATTCTGTTACAGTTTTCTTTTGGGTTTGCAGATCGTCATCATGCTGCCCTTGTGTGCCACAGGTGGCATTTCCTGGCATGTCACCCTCGTCTTTGGCTGCGAGTGGACCGTTCTGTAAAAGATTTATCAGAACCTGGAGTCTACCCTGATATTGAGACAGCTGTGTGTGCTGCAAGGTCTGTGACACTAGATATGCTTGCTCTGTGTTTCGGCATGAAAAGGTGAACCCTTGTGAGTCAATGATTTGCAGGCCTGGTGACACTGTATTGATTGCTGCTGGAGGTATCCACCAGACATCCAATATTCAGATCAAAAAGCCTCTTTGCCTGGTAATTTATGGGTTATTTCTTGTGAATTGGCGATTAAATCTTGGGGTGGCAACGTGATAGGGTTTGTACAACATAATTTGTTATGTTGATAATAAGGTTTTAGCATAAAGAACATTGTTTTTCTTTATTTAAACTTTAAATTTCAATGGGAGTGGATTTAGATGATTGACTTGATTGGGTCAGATTGGGGTAGGTTTGGATACCATTAAGGGTGTGTTTGTTTGAGGGATTGGATTTTGAGTTGGGATTTGAATAGTAAATATTTTGAATTATAATAGTTGTATGATGTGATATAAATAGGTGTTGATGTAAAATTAATTTTTAGTATAATATAAACATTTTGAATGTAAAATTAATTTTTAATATAATATAAAAAATGAAAAATTGGTGTTTGATTTGATGTTTTTGGGGGAAAAAATTTGGATGAATAGTAGGATTTGGATAAATCCTTTAAACGAACAAATGATGTTGTATAATTGTCTTAGGCAACTTTGCTGGTCAACCAATTGACCTACAATTCAGATCATATAGAGTCGGGTCACAATTTTGGGACTGATCTATTCAAAGCTATTGCCTTGCCTTCCTCATTCCTACTATGGGTCCGTATTTTCTGCGAAATCTCTACATTTTTCTGTTGTCACTGACTTTAATATAATTCAGACATTGTATGGGTGTTTATTTACTTCTTTCATCATCATAAACGGGGTGTAGTGTTGTTGATTCGAGCCATAACATGATTTTCTGAAAATCAGAGAATATCTTTATCTGGCTATGGTCGTTCATATTCACTTTGTGCTTTTGCTTGGGAGCCAAACAGTGGTTTGAATTTTCCATAATTGGTCCAAGTCGTGGGATGGCGTGATAAGTACGGGAAGACCCTGATCCTTTTCTTTCCCTATTAGAACTAACTTCTAAAGGAAAAGCTTTAATGGAATGCTGATGTTCTCTTTCCCTATCAGAACCTACTGCAAAGAGTATATAATAAAATGGCAATAATGTGTTGTGTTGTATGCTCTTTCCTTCACAACTGAGTTTGTATTTATTATTTCGGTTGTCATAGCTAGCTTATGACAGCATATGTGTGTAATATTCAAGTTCCTTTTATAAAGTTTGCATTTTCTTCTCATGTCAGTAAGCTTTTATACTTCCTGTTGCTGCCCACTGAAATGCATGGTTCATATGTGGAATTCCTAATGCTTTTGTTGAATCAAATGCTTTGATCTCTCACATATAACTTCCATGATTTGATTGGAATGTCCTTTTGAAATGTTTCTTTCTGTCAGATTGGTGCAGGTGAACTTCCTGATGACACAACACTCATTTGTTCCCGAGATTCGGAGAGGTATACTAATGAACTTATATATGAACTTTCTTCTAAACTCGCTTTTCAGGTTGTGGTGAAAAAAACCCATAAATTTCTGCTGGTACTTCTATCATATATACTAAGGTTGGGAGAATATGTATCTCTGTACTCATCTAGCAAGCATATAGTTTGTATCTGGCTTTTTATCGTGGAAATGTCATCAGGCACACTTTTTAGAGGGTTCATGGAATTAGTGGAATATCTTCTGAATTTCGATTAACTAATTCTTAGTTACTTTGTGTTGAACCAGTGCCCTGGAATTCATGTCCACGTGCAAACTTGCTAATCTGACTGTGAGGGCCGAACTTGGTTGCTGCTTGCTTCACAGAAGTGGGAGGCTCACAATCGATGGCTGTATTCTGCAGTGCGAGTCAAATCCATTGGACCATCTCTCTCATGCCATTGTGACCACTGCAACCACTCCTGATGGGATTCCACCCCTACAAAAGAATTGTGTTTCTGTGATGCGAACGAGGATCGAAGGAGGCGCCACAGCTGTGCTGACAAGAGGAACTCTTTCACTGAAGCAAGTTAGGGTCATATGTACCCGCACTTCCCTCTTCTTCTGGTTCAATGTGGATCACCATTAACAACTAAGGTGTATCCTAACTGGTAGGTGTTCAGTTTACACATTTGTACCCCCACCCATATTTGAACTCGGATGGCTACTTTGTTGTCGCTTCTCATTTGTCTTGCGTCATCTGTTTTATAAGGGCTACATGATGTGTTGTATTGTTGTATATTAATTCCCAGCCATAGTAGGAGTTTTAGAATAATATTCATCACTGTAGGTTTATTTTTCTGATGATTATAATTGATACCCTCATTGGCAAATCAGTTGCTTATCGAGCAAGATCTTTGAAATTAGGAGCCATCTTTAGCTTGTGTTTGCATTGTCCGTTGTTCTGTTCGCAGATCTTCCATTGAGAGCCGGCGTTCCCTCAATCAACATAAATCTTTTGTCGACGCAGCATTATATCACAAAGGGAGATGCACAACCACAAACATCTGGGTTGTAAGTTGAATTATATGTGAATTATGTTAGGTGTTCATATAAGTTTGAATTTCATCGTATGAGAGCAATTCCTGTGTCTGGCACACTTTATTGCCTTATCTTTAGTCGAACTGATTCCATTACATGTCCTTTTAGCTGCAAACTTGAGCAGAACTAAGAGGTTCAACCTTGCACACAAGTTCCAAATCCAGAATTGACAAAAGGTAAGACATACATACATATATATATATGATAATCCATGCCCTAATTACAGAGTTCCCGAGCGATTCCCAGGCGTGAATTTGCTGTATCAAACAAGATCCTGAGGTTCTGTTGCTGCAGGCTTGCGATAATATTGAGCACCGAGTCCACATTCCCCGGCGCAGCTGCCATAGCGAGGCAAGCAAGCGTGCCTGAGCTGCTGTGTATCAAACTGTTCTCCAACGGCAGCTTCAGGTCCAACCCCGTGAAGTGAAACGTAATGATTGGCGCAATCTGCTCATGTGTTACAGAGAAGCATGTGTCGAATGCGCCAAGCGAGCTAAATGGACCGGCCACTTGTTTTCTGAACTCATCCCGGATTGCCTCGTACACGGGTTGGACGAACCGTGTTATGACTGTCCCTGAATCGATGATGGTTCCAGCTCCGGTGCTGGAGTTGAATGATAGCAATTCAGGGTTAAGGACGACGTTGACCCGACCTACGCTGACCCCGGTGAGGTTCACGTAGTATAAAGAAGATCTGCGCGGGTTCTTGAGGAGCGGCGTGGTTTTAATGTTCTTCGGCTGGCCAAGAGGTCCAAGTTTGAGCGAACCGGAGAAATAGTACGACTTGAAGCTAGGCAAACAATACGAAAACACTCCCGAGTAGAGAGGTCCGGTTTGCGAGAGGAGCGACACGGAGCCTCGACCCAAGCCGAGCAATCCTTGCGGCGGGATGGAGCTTCCCGAGACGGCGTTGATGCATCCGAACGCATAGTTTGGAATCGCATCGTTACCTAACGTTAGAACGTCGTGCGATAGCGTGGCCGAAAACGAGGAATCCCCGCCGTAGGATCTATTGAAGTTGCAAGAACCCGATCCGCCTGTCGGGCACGAGACCCCGCTAACTTGGGTGCATTCAGGGACGGAGCATTCCAACGGCGCGTAACTAGACGACGTGTTCGGAGCAAACACGGTCGGAGAGCATCCGGTGCAGCCACTGCAAGGGAGCCATGCGGCGTCGTTGCTAGTGTCCAAGACCATAAACATGAGCTGACCCGGCGTCCCGATTTTCGCTCGGACGACGTAGTTCCCAATGTTTATAACTTGACCCGGGGCGATAGGGACCGAGTTGGGCTTCTGGTCGACGAGACTCGACAAGTAGAAGAACCTCTTAGGATCCGTCGACGCCATGTTGAGTACCGTATTGACCCACGAAGAAGGCTTCGGCGGGTCGAACGGTGAGCATTTTCCGTAAATGTGGATTACGGATAGGTCCGAACTCGAACCCGAACCGGAACATGGGTCTAAAGAAGCATTAGTAGTAAGTATGGAGAGGCAAGTGAAGAAGAATAGTGCAAGAAGTGATGAGAGATGCATTTCTTGTTTTGTGAATGGGAATGATGCCTTTGCCTAAAGGATAGTAATGATGGTTTCTTTTTTATAGATAAATGGATAGATAGATAGAAGGGCAAATAAATGGGTGACCCTATGATATAGTAGTGATAGCATGTGAAGGGTTTTATTTATTTCTAAATGAATTTTATCCATGACAATGAAATGAGATGCATCATTCAAGAAGTATTTTCTTGCATGCTAAAATCTTCATAATATATGTATATATATTATTTTAGTGTAGCAACCATTGTTAGTTATTTGTTTGTCCTTAATTGGAAGAATTGAACATATTTTAATCATATATAGTAGTCTTTAAAATCTCAAGTACCTATCAATAGTATCGCCGGCTTGTTGTATATAAAATGAGATGAGAAGGGAATGGCATTGGCAATCATAATGATTTGCATAACAGCTAATAAGGTTTGTTCGTCGTGTTGCAGTTGTTGTCGGTCACGGGCGTTCATGCATCCATTCACGTGACCTTGTTTATTTATTTATTTATTTGGTTTGTGACTTTGGGGGTTTCTATTTTGTAGTATTGTACTGTCTCATATTAATCCAATTCCAATGGACTGGGACCTTTCAAATTATTATTTTATGTTTACTTACACTTTTTTTTTTTAAAAAAAAATAATAATAATAAAAAGAGCCAAAATATGTACGGATTTATTTGTTTTGTGTTTTGAGTTTTCAGCGTTTTTATGTTAATCAATAAAGCATATATATATATATATATTACTTCCTCTCACATATCATGTCTATGCCACATAGCATGTTACTTTCGTTTTTTTAGAAAATGATTATACACTTTAATCTCATTTTTAATTTTTAATTTTTTTTTAAAATTTTAATGAAACTAATTAGTTATTTTGATCTTAATTTATAATTATTTATATTATCGAATAATTATTTTCACTGATACATTCTCAATTATCTACTAATTACACCGGTACGTGAGACGGAGGTAATATATATTTTGTGTATATATTATTTCTTATAATATTAATTGAGAAATATATAAAAAATAATAATAATAACCCTAAATTTGTGTAGTGTTTGGGCTAGTTAAATTAATGAAATATGGGCTTAATGGCCGAGTTTATTTTTGGGTCCTTCGATTGGGCCTAATAAATATTTGTTGGATTACCTGAAATGCCTATTTAATAATATTTGGGCCCAAACAACCTTTTCTATCTGGGCTAATGTGATTCACATATAATATTGGCTAAATTAGACATATCCCCCGGGGTTTCGTGAAATTGCACCAAATTCTCCGTACTTCTAAAATTAAACTCCGTCGTGGTTTCATAAACGCGTTCAAATTGTAAATAAATTTTAGAATCTCAATTTCTAAATCTCTAAAATTACAAATATATTTTTTATTTTTTATATATTTAGTCTAAAAAAAAATAGTAAAAATTAACTCTTATAACATAAGAAAAACAATTATTTTTTAAGTATATTTACTATTTTTTTTAGGATAAATATAAAAATATATATATTTGTAATTTTAGGGGTTTATAAATTGATATTCTAAAATTTATTTGCAGTTTGAGCCGCTAGGTGAAAAATACCTTTAAATAAGGACTAGGTTAGACTCAAAGTTTATGAAGTTTGATACAGTTTTAAAAGTGTGAAAATTTGGTGTAATTTTATGAAACACGAGTTTATTTTGTGCAATTTAATCTATAATATATTATATATATATACAACTGTCTGTATCTCTCTCTCTCCCTCTTCTCTCTCTCTCACACACACACGCACTCTATCACTCTGACACACACGCGTTCCTTGTCATGGCAGAGACGCTCGCCTCAAAACAGCTTTAATTTGAATTGCAGCATACCATCAGCTTTCTCTCTCTAGTCTTCCTTTTCTTCCACAACCAAAGTACGCGATTGACTTCTTCTACACTCCTTTTTTTTTCGAATTTCGGTGGATTTTCTCGGATGTTTCACTCGGTTGACTGAGTCGGATCATCATCGGGTACTCCCAAGTGAAAGGATCGGATCCTCTTCGTGGTTATTATCGATGAGGGTTTGATTTCGATACAGTTACCAGTTCGAGGTCATTTCTGCGGACGCGTAATTTTTTATTTGTTTGTTTCCATGTTTTCCTTTAATTTTGTTTTTGCTGTAATTCGTCGTTTAGGTTAAGTTGTCCGGTGGTGTTTTATTATTTTACCCCCTTTTCTCCTGTTGCTTCAGTTTGTTTTAATAACTTGGATGTGTAGTTTGTTTCCATTTTCCAGTCCAGACTTTTGTATGTGGAGGTACATTGAAGTGGTTTTTACTAGTTTTTGTTGTTTGGAATTTTGATCGGGATGATTAGTGAAATATGTTATGAAATCTTGAGAACTTCTATTCAGCACATGAGTGGATATCTAAACCAATGTTATAAGCATGATCTTTGATTATTATTTTTTTCGAGTCTCTGAATAGGTTACTTTCCAAGCCAAGTTTGGAGTTGTTTATGACAGAATAGGATGCCAATTTTGGTTTTCACCTGTTGGTTAAGATTCTTGAGTGTATGAGTGTTCTATTTTTTGAAGGGTTATTTAGTTAGAAAAGCTGAGAATTACTCATAACTTGATGGGTAGAAAGTTTTAAACTCGAGCTAATGGCTTCTGCGATTGAGCAGCAGCCATAGCAGATTCAAATGGTCCTATGCTTTTGCAGCATGTGGTTTATGTAACATGTGGTAGCCTGTTTTTACAGTAGGTGAAATCTTGAGGATCGTATATATGAGTGAGTTTCGAAATTTCTCCATGGCCATCTTGTGTTTTCCTTCTTTGTCTTTGAGTTTATATTTATTAGATTGAGTAGGACCTTGTTTTCATTATTGGCTTTTGTTGTTTTTAGTTGAATCTTAATATGATTAGAACTATATGTTTGTACATAAGCATACTATATATGAATTTAAATCAGAACTTCAAATTTAAAATTTGTTGGGGCAAAATTGTCTCGATTCCACGAATTCAAAATTGAAAAACCTGATTTGAGTTCTAGAATTTCAAATTAGTTTTAAAATTGTATCCCCCAAGCATTGTTTCTTGGAGAAAATTTTCTTGTTGTGGAATATCTCGAAACCTCATGGTGGTTACGAGGGACTGTGCTGTGTCAATGGTAATCTGCACCTCTTTGCTATGGTGGATGCTTGTTAGTCTGCAACAATTGAGCTGTGTCTGTGTATCCTATTTATAGTTCCATAATATTGTTCTATTCTACATTCATCGATGTAATTATATTTAAGTTTGGTTCATTTCAACACTAACATTGACATTGTATAGGTGTTATTTACAATACAAGCTACCAATGTCTAGTGGAACCTCTTATATTGATGACTTAAGAAACAAACCTGACATTGACACACCTCAAAATGAAGACATGTTGGATGTTGTTGAAAACGCAACAGAGACTTCTGAGAATTCCTTAAAATCCAATGTGACTGTCTCGACTGATGTCCGTGAGCTGCTGGAGTGTCCAGTTTGCCTGAATGCTATGTACCCTCCCATTCATCAGGTATCTTAAGATACATTGGATATCTTGTCATTATTGTGTACACTGGCTATTTTTTGTTACATAAGCCAAATTTATGCAACTAGTTTTGTTAACTTGATCAGATGTCTATATGTTTTTACTTTTGTCCGGCTTGTAATTGTGGACTGAGTTAAGTGAAATCTATTGACCATTTGCTTCAGAAATGTAAAATATGGATCACTATATGTTGAAATATTATGTGAATGTGCTTTTGGAGGAACTAAGATGGATCAGTTTTCTTTTCTTGCCCAACCTTAGTGTAACTGTTGAATTTAGTTATAGATGTTAATAACTGGTTGAAACTTCAATGTATCGAGTCCATAATTGCAAAAAATACAGGCCTTGCAATGCATGCCATTCTGAAGAACCTATCTTTTGCCCCGAAATATTTTATGCAGGCAAAAGAGGCGCATGCCCTTTCTTGCTGCCTTGAAAGTGCCCAAAGTTATATATATATATATATATGTGTAATGCGATTGAATAGATTAGAAGTCACAAATGCTTTCAGTGCTTATCTGCTTATCTCATCGACAAATATCTTCGATAGCGTGCCTTACTTTACCAATCTAAGACTGAACATTATTAGTTTAACTTTGAACTTTTACTTTCTTATTGATGTGATGATTTATATGTTTGTGTATTTTTAACTTACTAGAAGTGCGTTCAGATATATTTTTCTTATGTATATTTAATCTAGCAGATGTGCACCATATGCCATGCCTCTGTCGAACTTTTGTTACACATCCTGCTCATGCCTTTTACCATATGATCTATATTCTGTAAATGAAACCAAAACCCCTCAATATTTTAGAATAAGCTTCCGCCTCTGATTTACTGTAGCAATAAAATATTCGATGCTTCACAATTTGCCATCCCAACATATTTTCGCTACATATGTTAATTAATCTCTCTACTTTTCCTTGCCAGTGTTCCAACGGACACACCTTGTGTTCTGGTTGCAAACCTAGGGTGCACAACCGCTGCCCAACCTGCAGGCACGAACTTGGAAACATTCGATGCTTGGCGTTGGAAAAGGTTGCAGCATCCCTCGAGCTCCCTTGCAAGTATCACGAATTCGGGTGCATGGGCATTTATCCTTACTACAGTAAACTCAAGCACGAGTCTCTATGTACCTTCAGACCATACAATTGCCCATACGCCGGATCCGAATGCCCGGTTATCGGCGATATCCCGTTCCTCGTCGCACACTTGAAAGACGATCACAAAGTGGATATGCACAGCGGCAGTACTTTCAACCACCGCTATGTCAAATCCAATCCACATGAAGTTGAAAACGCAACGTGGATGCTCACAGTAAATTTTAAATGATCCATTTGCTGCTATATATATACCACACTTATTATAAACAAGTACTCATCCTTTTTTCCTGCAATTCAGATTTTCAGCTGCTTCGGACAGTACTTCTGTCTACATTTCGAAGCGTTCCAGCTCGGGATGGCACCGGTTTACATTGCATTCCTGCGATTCATGGGCGATGATGATGATGCAAAAAATTACAGCTACAGCCTGGAGGTTGGGGGCAAAGGGAGGAAGATGACGTGGCAGGGAATTCCTAGAAGCATTCGGGATAGCCACAGAAAGGTTCGGGACAGTTTTGACGGGCTTGTGATCCAACGAAATATGGCTCTCTTCTTCTCGGGGGGTGACAGGAAAGAGCTGAAGTTGCGAGTGACGGGGAGGATCTGGAAAGAACAGTAAGTTGGATTAAAATGAATGTTGGTGTCATGTATGTATTTTGTTTTAGAAGCAAAGACACTTTGCTGATGAACTGAATGAATGAAAATACATGACGACATAAATGAATGAGGATAGATTAGAATAGGATATATGGAGTGTTTATTAGTATAGTATATTATGTATGTATGATTCTTGTAACTTCTGTCTTGGTAACTCTCTAAGATTTAAGTACTACATTTATTTGGTAACTCCCTAGGTCTTGACATTATTCAGTGATTTTTATTTTTTAGTATATAAAATATCGAACCTCTTTATTATTTTTAAAAATTTTCAAAGCATGGACTTCACTAGAATATTATTATTTTTATGATTCGGAGTAAATTTCAGTAGCACACCTCAATTTGTTGCTATTGTCTGTTATGTTTTTCTTGTTATTTTATGCCAAGTTCATTTCGTTAGTCTTGTCCTCGAGGCATATTTTGGAATTAAATTTGGCCATTTTTTAATCGTGAATTTTATGTTCCAATTCCATGAAACAAAATAAGCTGTAGCTTAGAATTTCCGGAAGATATTTTGTGAAAATATTATATGATAAATAAAATTAAACTAATATGTTAGGCATCCAAGTCGTTGTAGTATAGTGGTGAGTATCCCCGCCTGTCACGCGGGAGACCCGGGTTCGATCCCCGGCAACGGCGCTCTTTTTATTTTTGCGTAAATTCTGTGAAACACGCTTTCTCTTTGGGAAATTCTGAAATGTCCAGCGCTTTCAGTAAACATTGTCTCTTCTGGCCCGGATAGATAGTGTCATTTCTTAAAAGAATAAATAAATTATTATAAATGAATAATAGAGACAACTGATTGAAAACACAAGCAAACAAACTCGAATTTTCCATTCATTTAAACTTTCCGTGTTGGGTTGAATTTTGAGTGTGTTTGTTTGAGGTAATCTTTATATTATATTTTAAAATATGTATCATTAATATAAAAAATTAATACGCAAAAAAAAAAAAAAAAAAAAAAAAAAAGGAGAAACGAAAGAAAAGGTTCTAATATATTTATTGCATATGTGTGTGTATATATATATAATTCGAATAAATATTGCCAAAAAAAGAGGCAAATATATAAGTTCCCACATATTCATACAACATACAACATTTGAAAGTGGCTCAATTTCTCAAAAAACAACACAAAGAATCTGAAATCTTGCCACTTTTGAATGAATGAATGAATGAAAAGTAAGAAAAAGAAAACCAAAATTAAAACTTAAAAATTGTTGAGAGATTATTAGAGTACCTTTGTGTGTTTTTGCCTCTTGATGTTAATGGAGAGGATCATCTCTATATCTCTCTCTCTCTCTCTCTCTAGCTCGATCTCGATCCCTCGTCGAAAAGAACTTTCCTCTTACTGTGAGAGTGGCAAGCATTCGAGTTCGATCTCCAACACCCCGCGCTCAACATTCTGCAACTTGATCGATATGTGTTGCTTCACCTTACCATTTTGCATGCAGATGTCGCCATCTTTCACCGCTTTTGTCTCTTTTCTTTCTCCCCATTTTCCAAACTCTGTTGTTGCCTCCACGATGCTGGCCGTGTTCTCCGAAACTCTTGCAGCAGAGAGGAGTGGCTGGATATCGATCTCTGCGCTTCCCATGAAGTCGTCGCTCTTGAATGTGTCCTTATCGTAGACCAGCTATGCAAATGATACAAGAACAAAAAAAAAAAAAAAAAAAAAAAAAAGAACATTATACTAATGAAGAAAAAGTATAAACAACTAGATGAAAAAGATAAAAATGCATATATTGCGCAAATAATTGAGACAATGACTCTCTTCTTTTTTAGTTTTTCTGTAGTTATTTTGTTTATGCAATTTTACCGTTCTAATAAAAGTATATTATACTTATTTTGTATACAGAATGTCACATTCAATAACTTTATCATCTAAATAATAACGAGAACCAAAATATTTAAAAAAATAAAAAGAACAAGCACTTGTAGGTTAAACAGAAATCTGTCTGTTTATTGGAAAATGGTTGAAAAAAGCTCAAACACAACATTAAAAGTTAAAAGTTTTTATGCATTTGAACTTACCAATTTCAAAGGAGGTATGCTGTCTGGAATCGACAACATTAGGCTTTCATTCCAGATCGGGTTGAGGTTATTCCTTATAACCCGAGTTTTCATTGACTGCGAAACAAAAATAGAAACGTTGTGGTAAATTACACGAGCTGCATTAATGCAAACATCAGAAAAAGATCAAACAGAAGAGATATACCTGATTTCCCAACGAGAGAATGACATAAGGGTCACTTGTCATCATATCTCGTATAGCCAGATTGGTGCCCCGCATGATATTCACCTTAATTAGTCCGACAAACTCCACCATACCTGCCTGTAAATACCAAACATAACCGGAAGAACAATTCAATGATATCAATTGAACAACACTTTAGCATTTAAGAATGAAAAGAAAAGAAATGAAAAAACTAATTGCAAGAGATACTACTTCTAACAACAATCAAAAGTAGGAGCAGTAGTTTGTAATATTTGCGCATTGTGTTCTAATCCTAGAGAAAAAAGCTAAATATGGATATTTGAAATAAAGTGATTTCATAGTTAAAAGGAAATTTCAATCTCAATTCATATAAATGCTGGCTGTTAGATATATCATTACCATGGACATGGAGTTGCTCTTTTTGGAAGCCTTGTGTTCTGCTCGTCTCTTGCTAACACGAAACGCTTGTCCTATACCGTAGATGCGGTTACTGGCTTGATGTTTGTGCAAGTGTCTTTTCTCGTTGGGCGATGGAGAACAGTTGGTTGAAGGGCTGCACTGGGAGGTTGATGAAAGTGGTGACGAAAGCGGAAATGGGCAAGCTGCTGGAGAATCCTGGTTCAGAAACTGTTGCAGTTCGTATTTTCTCCTGACCATCAAAAAAGAGTTGCAATGTTAGTATATGAAAGCTATACTATCATTAAATGTATGAGTTTCTGCTGTATATGTAGTGCCTTATGAAATCGGTGCGCTCCTCTGTGGAAGAATACGGTTTTGGTTTCTTGTAATTAGTGGGCACATTCGCCTCATATTTCAAGTTCACGGCAATGTTTCCTCCGAGTTGAGATAATGCATCAACTTGCTCATGGGTCCATTCGTCAAGCTTCACTGACAGGACCTTCAACATGAACATGACGAGATATATAATGGCTCCATAAAAATAAAAGTGTAAGCATGGAATTTAGAAGATCTGTTGGTGTTCATGTTTAAATTAACACATCAATGATGGTTCTAACCTTTGATACGTGCACTCCGAGGCTTCTGTGCACTCCTGAGCATTTGATACAAATGAAAGCTCCAATGCTCAACGATCTGGTCATAGTTAACAATGGAGCTGTTTAATCTTAGGAGCTGTTATCAAGTCTTACAGTCGCAGTAGCTAATCGAAAAGTTCACTAGGATTGAAGAGTTCAGAGCATTCCCATATTTGTTTAATGGATATACTTAAGAAAATATGAAATCTCAGGAATTTGGGATGAGAATGATGATACTTACACCCACTTTGGATCTGGTGATCCACAATCTGCACAAATGCTGTTGCCAGCTTCGGATAACAGACTGTTCAGCCTCCCTTGAGGACCTTCTTCTGTAAAAGCACAAAGTAGAAATAATCTTAAGGCTTTCCACTCGATTTTTCAAGAAATTAGTAACAGATGGATTGTTTTATCGTCTAAAGATAGCGAGCACAAAATATGAGTAGATTTGTACTGCAAATATCCATGGTTGAAACTGCTAATGACATAATGCAATGAGAACACAAATGCAAATAGTCCTGAGGGAATAAGTTCTCCAAGATCTAATCTGATGATGACCTCTAATAGAAAATTATGATGATCTCGACGAATAGGCATGATAACACACCAAACTTGAAAGACCAAGAACATATAAGTTTACTTACTGGAAAATGAAATGTTCCATTCCCCTGAATGCTCACCACAATTTGACGAGGGTTCTGAATGCAAGAGGTCATAAAGGCAACTACCTGATAATTAAAATCCCTGTCATTCAGCTATATGAAGCACAATTTCTCGACACATGACCAAACACAGGAAGATATTAGCAATCTATCTTCAAGAGAAATTAAAAAATGAAGGTTGATAGTTTCATCATGAAGCCATATCCTGATATCCACCATTCCTTTGTTGTTCATTTAGGGGATATTTGGTTCAAGGAAACTAGATAAAACAAATCATATTCAACACATTCAATTCAATCCAATTCAGTAAAGCTAAATTAATCTCATCCAATTTCAATCGCAAAATCCACAATCTCCACAACGAATTGCTCACAAATACAACCTATAAGAAAAAAAATAAATAAATAAAACCAAAAACAAATATTAACGAAATACCTGAAAGAGGTTTAGCTTCCGCATTATCGTGTTGGATCGACATCTTTAGCCACAAAAATATATATACGTCTATATATATTCCGGCACCAATCGCCTCTGTTCTCTGCAACATTCACGCACAAATTTCACATCACCGAATCATCAAATTGCCAAATTTCTTCCAAATGCTAAAATAGGAACCACGATCAAAAAGGTTCAATCCAAATAAATATCCAGCAGCGATATCAATCATACAAAACAAAACCTAGAAATCACAGGAACGGGAAATTCTTACAGAATCGGGGTAATGCAATGACGTCGGCGAGGATGAAATCGAGAGCCATTTCGATTATCGGAATGCAGCAGCGTCAACGTTGGGCAAAATCACTTGCATGGATTCAACATACAATGACTTGCCAAAAATCAAACTTCCATAAATTCGTAGTTTTAAAAGGCTACCAAAATTATAGTAATAAATAAAAAAATTAAAAAAAAAAAAAATCAACAAAAATGGACGGTCACGATTTTTCCAGCAATTCATCATATTTATTGCTTTCCCTACGTACAAATTAAAAAATAGTAATTGGATTGGGCCTCACCTCACCCGCCGTGGATTTTTCGGGTCGGGTTAAACCGCATTTAAATGGACCCAATTCACAATTGGATCGGGCCGGGCCGCGGGGAGTGAAAATGTGAAATCCTGTCGCCATTTCTCCTCCTCCTTCCGCCATTTCTGCATTTGATCCAACGCTCGTCCTCATTTACATCAGATTTGTGTGTTTCAGGGCAAGAGGCAGAGGAGAGGAAGCCCAAAGAAATCGTCGACGAGATTTCCCCAGTTTTTCTGAAGAAGAAGAAATTCTGTGTTTGAACTGTTTCCAAATATAAACATGTAAGGATTGGATCTAAGTCTACCCTTTCTTCAATTTTCAGTTCTTTTGCTGTTTTTTTCAGCTGTGCTTCTCTTGAATCCCTGTGTTAGGGTTTTTAAAATTTCCTGTGTTGTCTTGAACAGTCAATTGCTGTCAGATTCTAGTTTCATCATTTTCAGTTCTGCATTTTCTGTCGAACAAATTCTAACTAGATAGATTCAAAAGTTTCCATGATCAAACTTGTGCCAATGCTACCTACCTACCTTGATTACCTGTTTGTCATTAGAAATGAGAAATTTAACAGAGACACAGGAAATTGCATTTGCTGAGTAATATTCTTCAATTTTTAAGAGATTGTAAACAGTAGTTTTTTCTTTTTAAACTTTCTTTCATATATGCAGTATGACGTCTTCGTCTACCTCTTCGACGAGTTCGGAAAAGATCTGTTCATGCGGCTTCAATTGGGATGACGACGATGGAGAAATGTCGGGTCGGGTTGGGTTAAACCTGGGTCAAATTGATCCGATTCAGTAATCGGGTCGGCCCGTAGAGCAGTTTTAAAACGCAGGGCTGGGGTGGAATTTTGTAGCCAATTATTTCCGACGCAGGTTGAAGATAAGCCGATGGCAGCAGTCACATCTCTGTCGTCGGGAATTCTGATTTCAAGGAATCGTCCTTCGATTTCATCTTTTGATGGCCAGAAGAAGCAGATACTGCATCTCAGTTGGTTCGTGCAGCGTCGTAATCGCACTGCGACGTCTTCGTCTAAGGCAGCAGTTTCTCCTCCGGTTCGCGCTTCTTCTTCTCCTCCTCCGGATCCGCGAGGAAAAAGCTGTGAATCAGATTTGGATAAAGCAGTATTGGTTTCTGAGGTGAGTCGCGTGCTCAATTGGCGTAATAATGAATGATTTTACATCCTAAATGATTATAATACGAGTTTGTGTAATTATGAGCGGGCAGGATGATTTGAGGTATCTGGTGAAGGTAGGAGGAGGTTCAGTTGCAGGTGCGGCTGCAATCAAATATGGTAGCATTCTATTCCCTGCAATCGCACAACCAAACCTCACTCAGGCGTTGCTCATGATCACTGCACCTGTTCTCGCCGCCGTCGCACTCCTCATCGCCGGAAGCCGCCGCCGCTGAGCCACCGCTCATGGTGCTATCTGTCGGCAACGGTAAGTCGTCCTGTTTACTTTAGCCTTGGTTAAGTTCTGTTGTGAAATTTGACAGGACAAGGATATAGGTTGTAGAATTGTGTGATTGATGATCGATCTCACCTATTGTTTAACGACAGAAATTTACCATTCTCCAAATCTCCATAGCTCAAATTCAACAAGAATGATGAAGAAGAAGAAGAAGAAGAAGAAGAAGGAGAAGAAGAAGAAGAAGAAGAAGAAGAAGAAGAAGAAGAAGAAGAAGAAGAAGAATTCGAAGAAGAAGAAGAAGAAGAATTCATCAATCAAGCTTCGATTGTTCTATGGAAAAGGAATTACTTCATTCAAATCAGGTAAGCCATCATCATTCATTACATTATGTTACAATCCACAAAATTCACATACATCATAGCAACCATAAATGCACTCCTCAGCACAACGCCGTATGCATGAATATTCACCCGAGCTACTGCGAAGCCGGCGTATATATTACATGTATATACACATACCCGAGCATGAATTAGCCGATCGATCGATCCCCAACCAAATTACATACATTATACACACATCTACGCTCCTCGGCGAGAAACTGAAAGCATTCGAATCACTATCAAACTTCAAGATGAGAAGAAAATCGATTACGCTCATGGGCAACACAGAGGGCAGCGCAGCAGGCCGTTTTCATTGCACTCGCGGCACCACCGCCGCTGCTCGTCGTCCTCATCAAAGACCTTGCGGCTGCCATTGCAATCCGTGCAAGGTATAAACCTCGCATCGTCGCATGCGTCGCAAGGCTTCATCGAATGCTGAGGAAGCCCCCGGACAAGCTTCGCGAGATCGCCGGTTTCCGACAACTGCTTGATCAAATCTGCGCCGCCAATGTAGCTTCCCTTGATGAACACCTGAGGTAATCCGAAACGCTTCTTTCCAAGCACTTTCTGTAACTCGGTTTTGTAGGCTGCATCCATGGATATGTCGCGCTCGTCGATGTTTATTCGGAAGCCTCGGAAGATCATCCGCACGCTGTGGCAGTCCTGGAAAGTCCGCCGGATTCCGCGGAGGCTGGTGAAGTAAACGACGACTCTGTCCTCGGTGCCAGGAAGTCTGATCGGAGACTCAAAGAAGATGGAGGAGATGTGTTTCGGGGTCGAATTCGGGGATTCCGACGGCGAGGTTAGGGATTTGGTAGGGAAAGGTAAGGATAACGATAATGAATGAGAATGTTGGGGATTTTTCTTAGGGGATTCGAAGATCGAACAGAGTTTCTTCACCTTACCGTGGAAGGTATTCACGCCGGAGGATTTTCTGACGGATCCGTTGCGCTGGAACATCGAGAGGCTGTACAACGATGTTTTATCTTCCGCCGGCGAGGTGCAATGGACCGATGCCGATCGATTGAACGCCGGAGCCGCGCCGGTTTTGGCGCCATTTGTTGTGTATCCCATTCCCGATCGGTAATGGAGGCTTGAATATTGATAAAAGTGTGTTGTTGCTGGGAATGTTCGCCGCCGGTGACTGTTGATCGGATAAAATTGTGACCTCGCCGGAAAAATGAATCGTGGATTGCCAAATTTTCTGGATAATCAGAGACGATTAAACAACGAGAGGATTTGCAGAATAGAATCACAATGATAAAATGGAAATGGAAATGGAAATGCAGGAGAGGGGAGGAGAGAACTCACCAACGACGACACACCGCAAGGCGGTGGGGGCAAAGCGGGGCGTGGTAGATTGGGAGGGGATTTGCCTTTTGATTTTTGGACCCAATTTTTTTTTTTTTTCTGTTTTTTCGGAATTTTATTTTTTTTTAAAAAAAATTCAAATTTCGTTGTTTTAGATTTTTATTTAGATTTTCTATTTTGCCTTCGTTTGGTTCTGGAAAGAAGGTACTTAACGGTCCTGGGACCTCGGGTCCGGTCTCTTTTAAACCAGTAAGTATGTAGGCCCCACAATGGAGTGTGAGGTGGCAACTTGTCTGGTTCTGCGGTCCGGGGTTTTATAATGTGCGTCATATGTGAGTCAGAAGTGTTTTTTTTTTTTTTTTCTCTTTTGAACATGGGTTTAGGTTTTAAATTTTGAATTTTTTTATTAAAATAATATGATCCTTCCGTCCGTAAAAACAAATGTTCTTATAATAATATTTCTATAATATATTATAAATTAAGTAAACAGTACTATTATTTAATTAAAAGATGATATTTTTTATTTTTGGAATGAATAAAAATATAAAATGATATTTATTTTTTTTTAATGAAACAGAAGAGTGTACATAAATTCAATGGATAAATTTTTTTTGACAATTTTGAAGAGCTGAATGAATAATTGTTTATTCAGGTTTCTGTAATTATATTTCATTATTATATTTCTTTTGAAGATATCTATTTAATTTACAAAATAATGTTTTACTATTCCAAAATTTAAAATATAAAATAGTAAAAGAAAAAATACTACAAGTTAACAAATTTAATATGATTATGGAGAATAATATATATATATATTTTGATTGCTGGAGAAAAAGATTTGTATTGATATATATGTCTTTTTTTTTTTTTTCCATGTTTTTGTTTTTCCTTATAGCATAAAATTTGCAACCGTTATTATAAGTAAATTAAATTCTCAGATCAAATTTAATAATTGGCAAGACGAATTATATTAGATGAATCATGTATAATAGATAAGATCAAATGACGTCAAGAAAATTTAAACCGATAATCTGATCCATATCACAAATTTGACTCTCGCACCACTAGATTATGTGTTTATTTTCATTTTACTTATGTGCAATTGCAGTGTATTTGTTTGGAGGTTTGAATTTTGAGTTAAAATTTGAATAGTAAAAAATTTGAATTCGAATAGTTGTATGATGTTATATAAATAGACGTTGATGTGATATTTTGAATATAAAATTAATTTTTAGTATAATATAAAAAATAAAAAATAAGTGTTTAATTTGATATTTTTTAAGAAAAAAAAATGGGATGAATAGTGTATTAAAAATTCAATCCCAAACAAACACAGCCCTGTGATTTTTGTTAATTTGTATCTAGTAAATCATTACTGTGTTGATTGATGGAGTAAATCAAAATGTGAGCATATATAAAAACAAGTAGAGAATACATATAGTATTTATTTAGAACGTCATGTGTGGTTAATTAGCTCATACTTATTTGTATATGTATTGTATAGTTAAAAGTATTTTTCTTTAATATTTTTATATGTCCTATTCAAAAAAAAATTTTCCTAATAAAGTATAAATATTTTATATAAATACTAAAATACTTCTATATTTTTATCAATTTACAAAAATGCTACTACTTCTGTCTCGTAAGAAAGGTTTCGCTTACTTTTTTTTGTATTATTGTACTTAATATTAAAAAATATTTGTATATTTGTATAATTGACTCTATAAATGTTATTATATTTGTATTATACACCTAATAGACTAATATAAATAATTTTATTTTTTTCTCTTAATTTGTATTATGTATTAATAATTAATATTCAAATATATACACGTAGGGTGTTGAGGTGCAAACATAAGTCCCACATTGAAAGTTGTAAGGCAAAATTGTCCATAACTCCCTTGTAGTTTCAAAATTCAGCGTAAATCTCTCATTTACTTTAAAAATTATATGACATCTCCTTATACGTTAAAAAATATTACATGAAACCCCACTATGATTTTAAAACTCAGCGTAAAACCGCACTTTACTTTAAAGAAATGCATGGCGCCTCTTTATACTTTCAAAAATATTACATGAAATCCCTCGTTATGCAAAACATACAGATAAGAAATCATCTTCTCATCATATCAGGGAGTTTTCATGATGATTGGATTTCATGCAACGTTTTTGAAAGTATAAGAGGGTGACATGCAATTTTTAAAGTACAGGGGGATTTTACGCTGAATTTCGAAATCACAGGGGAGTTATGATCAATTTTACCAAGTTGTAAAGAAAAATCACACCTTATAAGTCTCAAATAAACTTCACTAGTATGAACTTACTGTCAAACCTAATATTTTGCAAACTAGACCGACAAGGCAAGTCAGGAATAAATTAGTAAGGATAAAAATGTTAAATTATTTTACATATTTCTACTGTTACCCTTCGGGTGCGTTCTGGGTAAATCCGTCGGAGTTTGCACCCATTATACTCCCTTCGTCCCATAACAAATTATGTATTTTTCCATTTTAGTTTGTCTCATAACAAAATATCTATTTCTTTTTTTTTTTTAGTAACTATACTATCTACCTAATATTACAAATACTTTTATGATTTACAATATATCACACAAATATCATTACATTTATATCACACAAAACTAATAAGGTTATTTTAGTCATTTCTACTATATCCTAATATAATACTAATATTTCTAAAATTATATGCAAAAAAAAAAAAAAAACGAATACCTATGAGACGGATGGAGACCTACTTTGTTTCTTTATATCATATGTTGCCTACTCAAGTTATATAATTGAGTATAGTAATAATCGTATTTTTATTAATTAATCGAGCATGTTCATTAAATTAACATTTAATTAAGACTGTCACTTGGAGTGCACGTGCCCGTAATAATTGCATTCATCTAATAGTATCTACCATAATCCATTAATTAAATTAAATTAAATGTAGGCAATTGGTATCATCATCATCATCTTCTTTGATTTAACTAACTAACAAACTATAGATACATACATCCGCACAATATAAGTATATATATATATACTTTATTTTTTCAAAAAAAATAAATAATTTAACACAAGATATAATTTTTTATATTATCGACAAAATTTATTAGTGAAAAATCACCAAAAACTAAAACACTAAACAAATAGTAATAATAATAATAAAATTACTAATTTACTTGTATAACTTCTTCATTTATTTTTATTTATTTTAAAGAGACCATGTAGAGGGTTAGGTCAAACAGAAACTAGTTGTGGGGTTGTTACTTTTGTTGAAATTTCTTGACTTTTAAAATATAAATATTATTATAATTTATAAAATTAAATTAATTAATTTTGTGTAGGTGCATCTTCCCTTGGAATTTTATATTAATCAATAGGTCAGTAGCTAGGGTATTGTTGCCATGTTCCCTCATATCTCTTCCATCATTTATTTTATTTGCCATCATTAATTATAATAATAACTAATTAATTAATTAATTAATTAAATTACAAGTAGGTCAATGACTGCTGGCTGCTACTAATAATAATTTAATAAACAATATCAATCTCATCAATATATATATGTTTATAATTATCAGAAAGATCATTGAATGTAGTCCAAATATATAGTAACACAATAATATTCTTGAATATAAAATTTCATGGTTAAGGTTTAGGTCAAAATAATCCCAAATTTGAGATATTTTACAATCACATATTTTAATTTTAAATTTATTTATTTATTTATTTCTATTGCTTTATAACAATCCCAAATTATAATTATAAAATAACTATTTGATATTTCCAATGAAAATTAATAAAAATATATATTATTTTTTAAAAAATTATAAAACACTAATATTTATTGTTTCATTTATCTTCTTGTTAGTTATTAAGGACTATGTTATTCAAATATTTATTATTTTCTTAATGATATGTAACACTTCCTCCGTCCAATTTCTATTGTCCTAAAGTATATTTATACGATTTTTTTAGGTGATTGTCTTTTTGTTATAAATTGACAAATTTGCCCTTAAATTGTATGGTAGAGATTAAACGTAATAAATGAATTAAGGGTAAAAATATAAAATTTGTGTTTAAAAAAAAGAAATAGGACAATAGTTGTTGGATGTTCCAAATAGAATAACATTAGTTTATGGACGAAGAGAGTATTTTGTTATATATATATATATATATATAGTAATCAAAGTCTAAAAATACAGGAAGACAAGTAATTTACAATAAAATAAAATAAAAATAAGGCTATACAATCTAGCACTTTAAAAAAAATTCCCAACAAGATATCAAAATTTACAAAATGTAACATTACTTTTCTCAATATTTCATATATATATATATATTATAATTATTAAGGGCTAACTACAAGTCTTTTGTCAATAAATTAATAATAATAATTATTCTTATGATTACTATTGAAATTTTGTCCTTAATCTACTAGGGGATAGACATTCTTCATCTGGCTTTCTTTTATTACAATTTGCCTCATTTTCTTCTTCTTCGACTTCGACCTCGACCTCGTCTTCGTCTTCTTTAATTAATTTTCCCTTCATCAAATGTGGCCTTAATTTATTAACATCAGATTGCTGCACTGGCTTCAGGAAGAATTCTTCAGCCCCTTGTTCTAAGCAGCTGTTTATTCTCGACGGAACGTTCTCCGACGACATTATCACCACCGGGATGTCCTTCAACGATGTCGACTCCTAAATCAGCGAAAAAAAAACATAATTAATTATTCATAAAAAGATTAGATTTTTTAATGTATATGGTTTAATTATTTAATTTTTGTTTTTTTTTTTTTTTACCTTGATTTTTCGGAGAAGATCGAATCCGGTAATTCCTGGCATGCAATAATCTGTGATGATCAGGTTTACTTCCAATTCCTACACAATAATAAAAATAATAATATTAATGATCAAATAATTATCAAAATAATCAATTAATTAATAGTTTAAATTGATAATAAGAATAAAAATAAAGTCTTACATGATCTGTGTTGGTGTCTGAATTTTCATGGTCATCAAGTAACCCTAAATATTCAAGAGCTTTCACACCAGATTCTACTGCAGTCACTGCATTATACAACACAATTTAATTAATTAAAAATATTCAAATTGAATCGAATATAATCGAATCGAACAAACCCTAACCCTAATTCCCCAATTCAAACCCTAACCCTAAAAGAAAGAATCACAAAAAAATAATAATAATAATAAAAAGAAATGATACCTTGATAAGAGGAGGTCTTGAGAAGCCTTTCGATCAATTTTCGATCGATGAGGCTATCGTCGACGGCAAGAACATGAAACTGTGATGTCTCCATGGCTATCGAAAACTGCCAATTTGCAATGAGATAATTGCAGATGATTGGTTATTGTTGGAGGGAATCAAGAATGTGGTAAGAAAGATGCAACTTTTAATTTATTTATTTATTTATTTGAAAGAAATAGGGGGAATTGATTTGAATTGAAATGAAATGAAATGAATGTTATGTTTATATATTGATTAGGGTTTTGAATAATGATAAAAGAGATACAGAAAGATTTGGACAGTTTGGAAAGATCAATGAGAGAATCTCCAAGATCTCCCAAGTTGATCTTTGAATTGTAGAAGCAGCAATGAACTTTCTAAAATTAAATTATTTCAATTTTAATTTCAATATAATAATATTCATTCATTTGGGTTTTCGAAATTTTATATATTGGTGGAAAAGTGGAGAGATTCTTTTGCCCTTTCACATCCCTAAGAGCTCTCTGTATTACTCATTTAGTTATTTTATTTATTTATTTTTTATTAATCTATGTTGGTTTTAATAATATGAAATTTATTTTATATTTCGATGTTATTATTGTTGTTATAACATGACTAGATGATATTAATTCATCCCATGCACGTCCACATTTTTATGCTCATATTATTTTTTTTATTTATTATTATTTGAATGAAATAATATCTATGTTTAAAACTTTTTTTTTTTCTATAATATTTCTATTTAAGTAATTTAGGTAGAGATTATTCATTTAATCTTTTCATATATGTGGAAATTATTTAAAATTTTAAACTACATATAATAAGTGATGATTATAATTTAGTAATGAATTGTTTATGTTTTATAAAATGAATATGGTCACCCAACAATTTTTAGTAGATTATTAAAATATATGTATATATATATTTTTTATTTGATCCAAAATGTAATGATCATTTATTCAATAAAAATATTTTCTTTTTCTCGTAAAATATTTTAAAATAAATAAAGATAATTTCACTCAAACAAAGTTATGATCCTAAAAGATATATATACTTTCACAATTTACAATAACATCTAACAATAAATATTCTAATAAATCCTGAAAACTATCATTCAATTTATATATGTTTTAAAAATAAAATCTAAAATTTAAAAAAGAAAACCATATACAAAGAATCTTTTCAAATCACCGACTCCATATATATTATTTTAAAATAATAAAAAAATGATACATTTTGAAAAAATATATCATGTTTTGATTTTATTGTTAATTATATTGACTTAATATTTGAAATATTTTTATAAACAGGTAAAAGAAAAAATGTATATAAAATGATGATAAAAAAAAATAAAAAATAAAAAATAAAATTGTAAATATGATCACTCCAAAAAAGTATTTTCGACACAATTTTTCGATCAATATTATACGAAAATACACATGCACAAGGTGTATTCCATTTGTCCTTTTAGATGTACATATTTTTCATATTAGATATATATTTATAAAGAATAATATCGATAATATAAAAATAATATTTTTTTTTTGTATTAAATTATACATATTGAATTTTTGTGAATCGATAGATTGTATATATCCGTTTTATGTGAATGTTGTGTATATATTGCATGTTTTATAATATTAATTGTGAATCACATTATCAAAAACTTATTAGCGATACTAACATTCATATTTTCTATACTCAGACGGAGTAATATTTTTTAATAAAATGTGTCGTATAAATTTTGTTCCTAATTTGGTTTGGATCTAATTATAAATTAAATTCTTATAACTTTCAAAAATATTTTGGGTCTATCAGGTATATCTCAGGTCGATTTCTGATAATCGAGTCCGGCTATTATCAAGTCAACTATCTGTATTAAGGTTGGATCTTGAGCCGGACCAAAAAAAAAAAAAAATCTATTTTTTCATATATACAAAATAAAAAAAAATAAAAAAAGTGAGCATATTTTTTAGTGACATATGAATTACTTTTATTTGAAAAAATAAACATAATCACATTCTATATATTATGCATATATATTCTCTCTTTCTTGTAAAAGTTTGTTCACTTTATCGTTTTAAATTTTCTATGAAAAATATACTCATATCTTATTAATGAAAAATACAACTAATTTTTTATAAAAATATATATATTATTTAGTTACTCAAATATTAATGATAGATCCTATATTTCTTACACTAATTCTATTTTATTCCAAAAATCACACTATTACTATTAGTGATCTTATAAAATTCCAATTGTATTTGTAAAAAATACACAAATAATACTAAAGATATATTTTCCTTTATTTTTTTAACGACGCAAGAATCCGCAATCGTTATTCGAAAATGCACGTTGAGTAAATCTTCGATCGAATCTAATATCCTGCAAATCACCTGCGCCACCGGTTCATTCTTACGGCAAGAAGGAAGAATAGTAATTTTGCATTATTTTAAAATTCATTGAAATCTTCAAGTAATTCAAAGGCAAATAAATATTTCTTGGTTCTGTACAAAAGGACATGATCAGATCCAGCGGCTGTACGTACCATTTTTATTATTATTTATTATTATTATTTAAATATTATATACTCCATATGTGTATGTGTGTGTGTTTGTGAGTTGGAAAGTGGTAGTGCACAGAGATAACGTTGTTTGGAATCCGTGTGATATGATTTCCAATTGGATTACGATCAGCTATTTATATTTATTTATTTATTTATTTATTACCATCCAAATTTCATATATATTTTATTTTATTTTTATTTCGATGGTGATGGTGGATAACATTTCATTTTAAAAATATTTCGAATTAACTTTTTATTGATACCTAATTGATTAACTATTTTGACCTAATCCATGTTGAGAATGCACAAATATTTTTAACCTTTAGTAAATGGTGTGCAACGTAAGCTTGTGACCATTAAAATTAATATTTTATAAAAAATATATATTTTTTTGATATTTGTTAATATTCTTTCCGTCTCATAATTATCTATCCGTTTATTTTTTTTTTATGTAATTTTAAAAATATTAATATTATATTAAGATATAGTAAGAATAAAGTAAAAATGACTAAAATAACTTTATTAGTATCGTGTGATATAAATATAATTGTATTTGTGTAATATATTTTAAGTTGTAAGGATATTTGTAATGTTAAGTAAACAATACAGTTACTAAAAAAAAATAATACTTTGTTGCGAAAAGGAACATGCATTTATTAGTAACTTATATAATAAATGGAGTTTAGATATTTACATGGGCTCCATTCCAATCCGTTTTTATTTTTATTCCAAAATTATTATATGTAAAAAAATAAAAATAAAAATTGGTGTGACATAGAATTTTAAGTAAGTTTGAAAATAAGTAAATAAATAGAAAAATATATTTTGAATAAACTATAATATTTTTTTAATAAAAATTGTCGATATAAGTGGAAAAACAAAGTTTATTTTTCCTTTTTCTTTTTTTAAGTGCTTTTTTATATCTATATAATAGTAGTACTAACAAATATAATAGTTGAACACGTATGCAATGACGTATGATAGAATCATTAACCTTATTCTCATACACATGAAAATTTTCCAACACTTTTCAAAAGATTTGTGGACAAATGTTGTCCTAATTCATTAATTTTATATCAAAGTTAAGGGGTGGGCCTAATACTTTTGTAAATGGGCCAAAACATGAAAGCCCAAAAAAGGACCTTACACAGTATACAAATTTACTGCATGACGAGAATTTGATGAAGAACAATGCAGTGTGTTTGTGTTTGTCAGTATCTTCCTTTCTAGTAACTGAATTTGTAATTTTTAGGGTTTAGGGTTTAGGATCTTCACCATAAAATTGGAATTGCGCAGTTAAATCAATTTGAATGAGCCAGCTGCAATGGAAATGGAATAGTGCTTGGGAAGAAGAGGCGCCTGTTTGGAATCCGTGATTTCCGAAGTACTCAGAGGTTAGGCCGGCGGGGGAAGCTAATTAAATTGAGCAATGACCACCGCTCTGGCGATATTCCTCTCCGCCGCGGCGGCGGTCGTCCTTGCCATCGCCGTCACTTCACCTGCTCTACTCAACAACTTCCGCACTCAATTCTTATTTCCATCCCGTTAGTTCATCTCTTTATCATTTTTATCGATGATACCACTTCTTTATTTCCGATTTCAAGCTTCTTCGCGTAATAATTTGTCGGAGCTCATCGAATTTACATTTTATCTTTATGTTGTGGTTGAATTGTTGTTGTTGTTGTTGTTTCTCTGGTTTCCTGTGTTTAGGAGAAATGGCGGATTTGGTGGTGACAAATGGGACTATATACACGGCGGACGCCGCCGCACCTTTTGCTGATTCCATGGCGGTTCGCGGCGGTCGGATTCTCCGAGTTGGCAACTATTCCTCCGTTCAGGTCTATTATCTATTGCTCCATCTCTGGCCTCCTTTCATCTTCCCAAATTTCATTCTGGAGGCACTTCGTTCAATTTCTGCCATTGCCTGTATTGCAAGATTGTGGATATTACTATTTATTAGTTACTGGCTTAAATAATTTGAAGTAAATTCAAATATTCTGAATTGCCAGGAGAACTTATCTAAGAATTTTTGTGGCTAAAAAAATTAACATTTGTTCATCATTCAGAAAACACTCTTCTTTTACACTAGTGAATTTACTTAACTGAATTAGAATACAAAGTGTTGGATTGAATCATAATTGAATTATATTAATATTATTATTATTATGATTATTATTTTTTTCTTGCTATTTCCTTTAGACAAAACAATTGGGATGAAGTTATGTTGGCAAGTTTTCGGTCAATAGATGTGAATATCAAGCAAGAAATGGAAATCAAACAAATTGAGTATTCTCTTGAAGCATATTAGTGGTATAGCCATTTGATTTCCCCATGTGATTTTACAATTATACTGTTGAGTTTCAACTTTTGGATTCGAGTGTATGTCACTGGCCTCACTTATACATGATGTTATTGAATGCAGGGTTTGGTTGGATCCGCAACTAAAACATTGAATCTGCAGGGGAAACTGGTGGTTCCTGGATTCATTGATTCTCATGTGCACATGGTTGCTGGAGGATTACAGGTTTACCCATTTTATTTTATTTTTAGTAGTTATTTGTTTACTGCTTATGGTGCCAAAGAATTTAACTATTGTCTTCATTGTCACGCACGCACGGGCTCTAGCATAAGAGAACTTATCCTTCACTGAAATTATAATATCATTATATCATATATATCAGAAAGGCATATGAAAATGGTTGTCAATTTGTAACATATAGCTGGACATATGTAGAGCATATATGTATAATACTTGCAAGCATAGCATTTTGCACTATTATGACTATTTAACTTTACAAAAGTGCGTCATCTTGCATAGCAAATATCCAAACAAAGTAATGGATCTTTTCTACATGACTATAAAAATAAATCCCAATACTTGTATTCTGTCCTTTAATTTATAATGGTCTAATTTGACATTTCCCATTGCATTTTTTATTTTTGTAATACTGAACTTTAATCACTGATAGAAATTAACATTTCAAGAATTTGGTTGTATATATTTGCTCTTCTCTTGCCCTTTGATTTTGTGCAGATGTTTATAGCTTTATGGTTTACAATATCTCGATGATTACTTTGCTATTCTTCTGGCTATTCTTTTCCACTTAATTTTAGAATATTCAGAGCATTTAAGTTTATTGTAGGGCTAAGTCTTTGCCTCTTATAAAGAAAAGTGAGTGAACTAAAATGAATGATTGCATCTTTTACCGTATTGTTGGAATGTGAATCATCCAGATGGCTCGAGTTCAGCTCCATGGAGTCAACCAAAAAGAACAATTTGTGGAAAGGATTAAAGAGGCAGCATCAAGTGAGTGCTAGCTTCTTAATAAGGCTTTGGTACTTGAATGTTAACTTCCGTTTGCATCCTTTGCATCTTGCAAATTGATTTAGAATGGCCTATCTAAACTTGTGCTATTTTCCTTGTCCACATTTTTTCAAAATCCGGCAAGTGTTTTCAAAAGCTTCTGTTTTTTACCTTACTCTGTTAAAGACCAAAATCAGTTACAAGAGATAACTAGTGCACATACACAAGGGATTGGATTCTTGAGAGGACAAGAATTTCTTTTCCAAAGGAATAAAAAATAAAATGCTTTTCCCATTCAAGTTTGCAATTGCTGCAAATATCCGGCAACGGGCAAGGAAGTGAATTCGAGCAATGATACTTTATTCTGCTTATCTTTTGCGAGTTACATTACAATCACTGTCCTAATGCTTGACTTGGAAGTGTATAGATATGCAACCGGGATCCTGGCTGCTGGGTGGTGGTTGGAACAATGATCTATGGGGAGGAGAGCTACCAACAGCATCATGGATTGATGATAGTACTCCACACAATCCTGTAATAAGTTCAGTTCATCTTTTCAACATGCTTCGGTGGTTAAACTAGCATGTCACTTAATTTAAAGTGATGTGTAGGTTTGGCTGACAAGAATGGATGGCCACATGGGCTTGGCCAATTCAGTTGCACTAAAAACTGCTGGAATAACTAAGTCCATGGTCGATCCAGATGGCGGAGCTGTGATTAGAAACAATAATGGAGGTGCTTTTTTCTGTCATTGCTAGTGTTTCTTGGTACAGTTTACATTGTTCTGAAAAGAATAGGTATTTCGGTGAATGCCTAAACTTTGTAGAGAACACCTTTTTTCGAGAGAATATTTTCTAATCCCTTGTGCTCTAATGTTTTAAATTTATATGAACCAACAATGATGAATACTTTTAGTAGATTCTATTTACGACTTGGTCATCGTATGCAGACCCGACTGGTTTGCTGGTTGATTCAGCAATGGAACTTGTCCTTAAGTATGTTCCAGAAGTCTCAGTGGCGGAGAGAAGGGAAGCTCTTTTACGAGCTAGTGAATATGCTCTGACTAAAGGTGTCACTACAGTTGTTGACGTTGGCCGTTATTTTCCGGGTGCATCACCCGAATCCCCATGGGAAGACTTATCAGGTATTTTGTATGCATCATTTATGTTAATTTATTTCAAGTTGTATTATATGTGCAAATTCTCCTTACAATTTTATCTTAGCCATGGGAATATAGATTTATATGTACCCTTCAAGCGGCATAACCCAAACAAAAAGAAAATGAAACTTATTAGGTCGTGCAGCCATATTTATTTGGCCTTATGTCGGCTTTTCTTACAACCTACAATCTTAACATACTAAAATGAACAATATTGTGCCGATTTGTCAAAATATAAAATATGGTCATGCTTATTGTCTTTGTAATGAGTCCTTTTATATATTTAAAGAATGAAACAGCAGAAAGTACATTGTGGCATACAGGAAGGCACAACCAACAAGTGAATCTGATGATCACTTCCAAAGAATTTATACATGTTATTGAGTTCTCATTTAACTAACTAGTTTCGTTTGGGTGCTTGCAGATGTTTATAAATGGGCCGATTCGTCAGGGAAGATGAAGATTAGAGCTTGCTTGTTTTTTCCAATGGAGACATGGACACGATTGCATGTAATCCCATGTTCTTTGTATCTTTCCTTAGTTTTTGTATGCTGTCTACTATAATTTTTAATGAAATCAGAAGATATATAAGAATATGCTCAAAACATGAGTTTGGATTTTGTGATTTTGGGGATTCTTGTTCATTATGTAGGAACTTGTAAAGAGCGAGGGCCATAAATTGAGCCAATGGATTTATATAGGCGGCATAAAGTCTTTTGCAGACGGATCTTTGGGATCTAACAGTGCACTGTTTCATGAGGTAAGAATATATATATATATATGCACATGGTCTTTCACGTCGATGATTTGGCTTCTTGCTTCACTTTTTTTTGTTTGTATTTTTTTGGTTGAGTACCAACATTAATGACCACATGTCTCATGTATTTGTAGCCATACATCGATGAATACAACAATTTCGGCTTGCAAGTGACGGATACGGACACACTTTATAATGCAACTATCTCTGCGGATAAAGCTGGCCTTCAGGTGCATTTCTATATTCTATAAACAGCCCTCATTGCATTGTATCATCGGGAGGTGTCTTTGCATAATAGTAGCATTTCGTAGCTCATTTCAGGTTGCTATTCATGCCATAGGTGACCGGGCCAACGACTTGATCTTAGACATGTATAAATCAGTGGCTACGAAGAATGGGGATAGGGACCGAAGATTTCGGGTAATTTCAAGCACTAACATATTTCTACAGTTAAAACCCTTACATCTTTGTTTTCCTTTCCACTTGATTAAACATGTTTACAAAACTTTAGCAAAATGTTGGCAGATCGAGCATGCTCAGCACTTGGCTCCTGGGGCTGCAGCTAGATTTGGCGAACAAGGAGTCATTGCCTCTGTGCAGGTTCTTCTAGCGTTATGTTAACGTTTGAATTATAAATAATTATAGACTACAATTTGTAGTTCTTCAGAATAGAATCTTGTTGATATATTTTACAATTGTTGGTTTAAATTTTTCTAACTCTGATGCGTATATTGGGCGGCAGCCTGATCATCTGTTAGACGATGCTGATTCTGCCGCCAGAAAACTCGGGGTTGAGAGGGCGAATCAAGAGTCATATTTATTCCAATCACTGCTTTCTTCCAACACACAGCTGGCCCTCGGCTCTGACTGGCCAGTAAGTTCACTGAATCCATCTGTGTCAATCACCGGTTCTATGGACTGACATCGACTCTAACTTCTTCGCCTCAGGTTGCAGACATAAATCCTTTAGGTAGCATAAAGACGGCGATGCATAGAGTGCCTCCCGGCTGGGATCATGGTTGGATTCCATCCGAATGTATTAGTCTGCACGATGCGCTGAACGGGTAAAGCATGTTTTCATCGTTTACTTGGTATTTATTTATTTTTGTATCTTCGATGATCACCGGCATTTGGACAGTAAATTTAACTGTATATGGTTCCGTGTTGATTTTGGTGATCTTCTTGGAAGGTATACGATTTCTGCTGCGCGGGCGAGCCTCCTTGATGCGGACGTTGGATCGCTGTCTCCCGGTAAAATGGCGGACTTTGTGGTGCTATCTGCAACAGGTTTTCACGACATGGAAATGGACATGGACGCAAATTTTGTGGAGGCTACGTATGTTGGAGGATTACGGTCTTATTCCTATCAAAATATTTGAATTTGAATTTGAATTGAATTTTGCGATGATGACCGTTGTCTTTCTACTGTTTCTTAAGGAGGCATTATAGCCGTTATGTATTTAAAATATTGAATTCAATATTCATATAATGTGTTGTTGGTTTATGTGATTCGTTTACATTATATTAATATAAATGATGTGTTGTGAATAGTAAAATTATGTATTAGTATTTGTTAGTATATTAAGTGAACAATGCTAAATTTAAAATTCAGTACTATTAAGTGAGGTTATGGGTTCAAACTTCAGACGTCTCTGGTCACCTGCCAGGCCTAGTTTGCAGGTTCAGCCGGGGTTGTCTATTGAACTTTGACCGAACTATAATTTTGAACATACATACAATTTCTTAATAGAAAAAATAAATAAATAAATAAAAATTCTTTGTCAAATTGCAAAGTTAAAAGTCAGAAATCACATTCATTCTAATATGATAAATTATATATACAATTTCAACTTTATAAAATTAGATGTGACAAAATGATATAAAAATAAAACCCCACAAACATTGCCAAAATGGTCTCTCCCACGTTCAATTAAATAAATAAACATTATTGTATTGTCCCATTCCTCACTGTCACTTTTAATTTCGTTTTTTAGCTCTTCTTAGTTATGAATATATTATAAAAATGGAGTTTTTCTATATTTTATAAAGATTCAGACCACATTATTATACATATATCTGTATGTTTGAAATGTGGTTTTATTGGATATTTGAATAGTATTTATAATTACTTTCGAATTATTATTTAGAATTTGAAGGCAAATATTTTTTTTTAAAAAAAAAGGTAAAATCAATCTGTTTTAGTTGTTTTTTAAATTCACTTTATTTTACCTCATATTTAAAATATTATATTTTAAAAAATTAGGTTTAACTCCATTGAACGTGCAATGTGTGATGCCGCAAATGATACAGATATTATTGTAATTTAAGATAAATATGAGACGTGCTTTGCAATATCAATCGTGCCACCATTTTTACTTGTAATAAATAACAACGACAATATTAAAAATATATATATAAAAGTAAGTACTATTATCAGTAATATTTTGTTAATGCACTTTTGTAGGTCTGGATGGGAATTTATCAACATTACAAACATATATTTTTGAGGAAAATATACAAAAATAATAAAATATGTAATTTCAGATAAATTATTATTTTTTAATTTTTACATCCAATCAAAATTACTTAATTTTGTCGATTAAAAAGAGTATTTTACAAGTCTTTATTAGAAAGAACACGTAATATTTGTAATAATAATATGTAGTGTTTGTTTATAATTACAATGTGTGATGTATAAGTATATATCATGTGCTGAAATGAACCACGTGTGAACCTATATCATTTGTTAGTTCATGTGATATATTTGTATTATATTAATATAACTAATGTGTTGCCATTAATATTACGGTATATTATTTGCTAGTTACCTATGTGCTATTCAGTACAATGCTGAATACGAGAATCATCACCGTAACCGCCATCGTATACTTGGTCGTCATATATTACTTTATTTGAGAAATTTGTTATATTTGCGTGTTTGGCACTATTTCAATTCCTTTAAAAATCATACAATTTTTACAAATTAATGCTTGAGTTGAACTTGATTAATTTATACACATTGAGATGTGAATATGCCAAATACATATGAAGTTGATTGAAATGTGCATTCCATTGTCATTTGCATTTACATTTGAGTCTATACAACCTTATTCCGACGTAGTCCGAATTTCCGACATGCAACTCTTCGTGTGTGATAAAAATTATCAGTACAAAACAATACATACATACATTAGATACATACATTCCTTTCATTTTTTCTTCAATGCCTCTTTTTACCTTCACCGTTCGTCCACGACAAGGCCGTCTTATTCCGAACCTTCTCGTAGAAATCTCGTGCTGATTAATTCGTCGATCCGACACCGATAATTCTCGATCGACAAATATAACGGCACGAAAAAAAATTTGTAGATATATAAAAAAATCGAGGCACCCTCATCGGACAAGAGGAAGCTCTGTTGCGACGTAACGGGGATAAGATCGGTCGATCGGTTCGGATTCTTCCGCGAAACTAATCCAATTTATACCGTTTTGCAATCGATCAAGTGTCTTCGGTGAAAACTTTGAATATGAAGTCGCGGAATCGCTTAGAATACTGCCTCGGGTCAACCGCCGATATCGAAGCGGGGTCGTGTTGGAACGACTTGTACGCGTGCTCGAGCTTTTTACTAATGTCGTAGTCTTGTAGAATGTCAATTATACCGAATACGAGAACCACGTTGTAGTAATCGCCGGTTGGCGTCCCGACGAGCTGCGTCTCGCCGTTGTTTTTCCTCACGGCTAGTTCTGCCCGCGCGGGGATGCTCGAACCGAGGTGAATCGACGCGGGCCTGCAAGAAACAAGTAGTAAATGTCGAGGTTAAGGATTCGATTATTCGATCAATGTCGTCATCGTCGACACGAGTGAGTGATCGACGTACCACTTAGGATCTCGGCCGTCATCCATCGTTTCGTTCGGATTGTTTCTGTTCCCTACGAAAGTTTCGAAAATGATTAATCAATGTAAGGGTTTTAGCGAACAAGTATCGAATTTTAGCGGGGAGACAATGTACCACCCATCGATCGAGTATTGAAGATTAAAGGCTCTCCCGACGATGATATCTCCCGGAAGTGAACCCCGACCAAGAGACTATAATCCATAATCCTCTCCTTCTCGAGGAACTCGCAATCGTGATCGACTTGCCGGCGGAACTCTTGGAACCACGATTTTTGGAGTCGGAAAATGAAGTTCAAGTCGAGATCTTTGAGGGTCGTGGTCGAGTCGATCTCGGATTCGGGTTTAACGGTGAGGCGGCCGAGGGAGGAACCTTTCAAGTCGAATCGTCTATGAGTCGCGTATTCGGTACAGAACAAATTTCCCATAATAACGAACCGCACCTGCTCGTCGTCGTCATCGTCGTTGTCGATAGATGAATCGCAAGAGTTAGTATCTTTAGACGACAAATTGAATTAACGATGTCGATAAGGGTGCGTCGAGTTGCATACCGTACCTTCTTTTGTGCCGGTCCGCTCACCTTGACGCAGTGAAGGCCGTAGAATTTGGTGACGAGCGTATGCTCGTATTGTCGAACGTGGTTGTAGTAAGCCGGAAGCATTCGCTTAAGCACCTGAAATCGAAATCGAGTCGTGAATTTGAGTTCGAACATTTATCTAACTGAGGTTAATGGAATCAATCGATTGATATCGAACTCACTTTCACTTCGGATTTCCTCATGGTTTTGATCATGTACCTGTCGTCGCTAGTCAGGTAAAAGAAGCTCCCGCTTTTTCCCGGCGACGAGAGCTCCCGGAGGGCATCGCTTCCGCAAATCGACATCATATAATCGGCGGGATCAACCTTAAATAATCTCCTGAGTGTCCTGAAAAAGAGGCAATTTTTATTCACATCTCAACATTTTTAAACGAGCCGAGTTGAGCCGAGCCTTTTGTAAGAACAAACCTAAAGAGGGAAGGGCAGTAGTCCTTCCATTTAAACTCGCACGACGGATGTGGCGGCGTGTGCTTCGATCCCTCGGTAGGAAACCGAGTCCAAACCTTATCGTTAGGATCAAACACCGACGGTTTCGCGTTGATCGACACCGTTGGCCCCGGCCGTCCCACGGCATGCCTGCATTGTACTCGGATCAAATATCGTTTGTCGGAATTCTAGTTGAGAATTCGAAAAATCGAAAGGTTTCGATACCTAATACCGAGCTGCAAGTTGAGCATTAGATCGTAATGCTTGTGGCCGCGAGTGATCGTCTGCCCTTGCCGCTTCGCCGGCTTTATAATCATAACTGGACGTTTATAACCCGGCGCCGCATCCGATAATTCTTCGGATGCCGTCGCGCCATCGAACTCAGAGCAACTTCCGACGCTATCCGATTCCGAGCCCAACGATTCGGTCAATGTCGCGTCGACGGATTCCCGCGTCGACCGGGCGCCGTTCTTACAAGACCAGCTGAACATTTTCTGCGAAGGTAAGATCGGAATTTTCTCGCCGGGGCTTATCCGGAAATCGATCGTGCTCGCCGAATAAGCGTCTTGAGGATCCCAATCGAGGTTTCCGGTGGCGGCAGCGCCTCCGCCGGCGCTGCCGTTCGGTGGATAATAAGTCCCGCTGCGATCCTTCGGATCCTCGCTCCATACGCCAACGTAGAAGCTCCCGTCGGCCCACCGGAATTTCCCATTGCCGCAGGGCAAGCCGTCGGCCCAATTGCCGTCGTATTGGTTGCCGTCGGCCCAGATCATGGTCCCGGTGCCGTGCATCTTCCCCAGCCTCCATTGGCCGATGTATTGGTTGCCATTGCTCCATTGGTACCTGTATTAGGAGTAAATTTAATGAACACGAAATCGATGATATGGATAATTTTTCAACACGGCCGTGTTGTACGGACCTCCCTTTCCCGTCGGGGGAGTTGCGACGCCATAGCCCCTCGTAGTGATCGCCGTTGTCGTAGCGGCGGACGCCGCTGCCGTGGCGGGTGTCGAAGAGCCAGCCGCCGGAGTAGGTGTCGTCGGAGGAGCCGGTGTACGTGCCCTCGCCGTCCATGTAGTTGTTCTTGAAGTGGCCGTCGTAGACGGCGCCGGACGGCCAGCTGAATTTTCCCTTCCCCGTCGTCCGGCCGCGGCACCACCGGCCGGCGTACATACAGCCGTCGGCCCAGACGTACTTGCCGATTCCGTGGGGGAGATCGTCGGCCCATTGGCCCATATAGACGTCTCCGTTGGGGAAGTTTTTCTCGACGTGGCGGCCACTGGCGGCGCCGCCGCCGTCTTCGTCGTCGTCGTCGTCGACGTGGGCAACGGACATTGTCGCGAATAGGCTGGGGGGTCTCTTCCTGGCGACAGATTGGACCTTCTTAACCTTAATTTCCCACACTTTTGTTAGCCCCAGGAATTCTTTGTTCATTATCTATCTATCTATCTATCTATCTATCCCTTCTCCGCCCCCAATTCACAAACCCTAATTCCTTCCCCCCAAAATCAATGCTCCTTCTTCCAGCCATGGATTCCGGCCGCCGCTGCGTGCGGATTCACCACACACATTTCCCAAAATAAGAGAATCGAAAAGAATTCCAAGATGAACAGACAATGAGACACCGAAACGGATCAAATGCGAGACGAGATGAGACAATCTGGTGCAGTTTAGGCCAAAAACAGAATTTCAAATTTTCCGATAAACAGGCGAGATTTGATGGGAGGAAGAAATGGAGAAACAATCGATCATTCCCACCAAGAGGGGGGAAGAGGGATTGAAGATTGAATTCGCAATGATCGATTGATCCAAACCCCAACCCAAATGAAGAACACGAACAACAATAGAAATCTTCTTCTTCTTCTTGCCCTTTTGATTCCCTCTGAAAATGGTGACCTGTCTCTCTCTCTCTCTCTCTTGTTTCTCTCTCTATTGATTGAATTTGATTATTTCCTGAAACTAAGAAGAAAAAAGAAAGAATTATTTTGTGCTCAGGATCGACAGAAAAACAGGAAAAAAGAACCATAAAGAGACAGCAACAAACAAACCAAAAGGCAATGAAGGCCCCCTTTCTCTCCTTCACTTTTTTTATTTTTTAATATCTTATAATAATAATTATTACAATTATCGTTTTTATATATATGTAAAAATTTCTTACAGGGTTTTTCTCATTGCTTTTTTGTTTCCCATATTTTTCAATCAACCAACAAAAATAAATTCAGGCCCTCTTCCATATTTTTAAATTTCTTGCAAGTTGAGAAGAGAGCCTGAGAGAGAGAGAGACAGAGGAGAGAGAGAGGCAGACAGAGGAGAGTGGTGTGCTGAGTTTCCGGATTTGGCTCCTAATTCTTCTAACATACCTAACAATTGGAAGGATTACATTTATTACATTTTATTTATTTATTTATTTAAGCACTCAAAATTTACCCTTAACTTATACTATATGGTGTTATTTTACCAAAATTTATAATTCAATTAAATTGGTAATAGTTCAATAGTGAATAACATACACGGCGTAACCATAATTCGAACAAAAATGGGCTAATTTTTTTTTTTTTTTTTATCAGTATTGTAGCAAATAATTTGATATACTAAAAAATCAATATGATAAATGTATATATTAATACTATACCAAAATTTTGATACAATATTAATATATACCATTTCATATTCAAATAGTAAAATTCAAAATAATAATTTGAATGTCAATACATTGAATTATTTGTATACGTCGATGTAACAAATACTAAAATACCGAAATTATTTTAGTATATACTAAAAGATCAAATTATATATTATTATTGTACTAATGTAAAAGTTAAGGGTAAATTTTTTATTAAGGGAGTATTTATTGCTATATTTTTTTAAACTTTTGATCCTTACTTTTTTTGTTAATAATTTTAACCACAACCACTGCCTATTATGGATAAATCCATAAAATCAATCACAGTATGAATTACAACTTATATTGTATATTGTAAATATTTATTAATTTCATTTATTTAGAAAAATAATTGTAGAATATTAATTAAAGAAATGGTTTGTTCAAATTATTTTTTCTATCCAACACAATATTTAAGGATTTTTTTTTTTTGTTCTTAAATGATTTTTAGATGAATATTACTAAAATAATTGATGGTATAATCTCGGTAAATTTATTTCAAAGTACGTCTACAAAGATGTACGAAGAACTCTCTACAATGGCCATGGATCAAGAGTTGATTCGCTCAGGTTAGGATAATACTGATTTGATTGGATCAACCTATGTTATAGCGCGACCAGCATATAATTATACATATTTTAGTATATTTATAACACAACATATAATAATATATATATAAATATATGTCGCTTATCTATATGATATATGTTGATTTGATGAAATCAGTATCATATTGATTTTGCCAAATTAGCACAGGATCCTGAACATTATACATATCATTTCAGTCTTAACGATTTGACCGATTTTATAAAATAATGTTCAAAAGAAAATTGGAAAAAAAAATTGGCCAAAAAATTATAAAGTAATAAAAATATTATTATTTGTTTCTCATCCAAAATAATGTACTCTGTCCCTCTCAAAACTATAGTTTAAGTTGTGTTCGATACGAGATTTAAGAAATATTAATATTATATTGGTAGTAGGTAAAAAGTATAGGTAAAATACTTTTTTACTTTTGTAATTATATCAGTGTAAAAAGTAGTGATAATTGTATAATGATAATAAAAAAGTAAAAATAATTTTATAGTAATATTATTATTTATGAAAATAAGACTATTATTTTAATAAATAAAAATAATAACCATGACTATTATATTAGGACGGATGTGTATTGAAGTACTGCAAATTATTAAATTTATTGCTTTTGAAGTTGTAAAAAAATAACACAGCATTCATTTATATATGTGGGATTACGTCCACGTGTAGAGATGTAATTGGAGGGAAGTGAGTGCAAAAGGTAACACTTGTCCTTATGGAGACAACTCATTTTTTAGTACAAACATTTATCATAATCATAATTGTGACAACTACACTTTCCTACATTACATTTAAAGTCCATTAATATTATTATTATTATTATTATTTTAATAAACCTAATAAAATAATATCCAATGTTTGTGTGCATATTCATGTATCCATTCACTTTTTATTTGTTTTAAGTAATTATTTAATTTATGCTCTGCTTATGTCATGTTATTGCTTAAAACCCAAAGAATTTTGAAAATTTTAATAAAATTAAAAATTTCATTATTTAATTTGATGTTTTTTAATAAAATTAGATATTTAATTTAAAATATATTTTTTCAAATAATATAATAAATACATGCTATTAAAAATATATTTTTAAGTGCAAAAAATCAATATATTATGTTCTGTTTACTTAAATACGATCGAAATAAATTTTTTACAAAATATTAAATTAAATACTCCATCCGTCCCACAATAAGGGTGGTGTTTGTTTTTTGCACGTAGATTTTTAAATATTAGTATTATATTAAATTGTAGTAAAAAAAAACAAAAATATCCCTATTAGCATGGTGTAATATAAAAGTAATGATATTTGTATAATAAATTGTAAGTTGAAAGGGTATTTATTACGTGAAGTAGGTAGTACAATTACTAAATTAGGAAATTATAACCTTGTTTTGGGACTGACGAAAATGGAAAATAGTAACCTTTCAATGGAACGGTGCAAATATATTTTTTCACTAAATATCAATGTATGTTTAATTTAGGTTTAAAATTAGGTTTATAATTTGGATTTTCGTTTAAATGATATTTTAATACTTCATCAGTCTCAAAAGAGTTATTTTATTTTTTATTTTTATCTGTTTTAAAATAATTTTCATGTTTCCATATTTAGTTGCAGTGGTCCTCACTTTATAAAAAAAATTAATTCTTACTTTTTCAAATTACTCTTAATTATTATTCTAACATACTCCTTAAAATCTTTCAAAAACAAAAGAATTTTAGTCTTTTACATTCTATAATATATTCACTTTCAATTAAATATTACATGTTCCATTCAGTTAGAAAGTTAGAAAGTATACATATTCCTATTTTGGGACATTAAACATTTCATTAAATACCTCATTTCCACAAATACCTTTACTTTACATCAACATCGTTACTTTTACACCAAAAAGCAAAGGCAAAAATATCATTACATTACTTTTAATTACCCACTATAATTAAAATATTATTATTTCTTAAATACGACGTAAAAAATAAATACTTACTTTGTGTGTGGACGAAAAGAATATTATTATTTAATTCATGTACAAACTCCCAACAAGACATTTCTTTTGGAACGGATGAAGTATAATATTTTTATAAATATAAATAATATACATTTATAGAAATCATGTAAAATAATAATATACTTTTATAATTTGAATGCAGATTGGCAATAAAATATATTATTTAAATTAAAATTTAAAATTAAAAGGATAATATTTTCTTATTCATATGAGTAATACTGTATTTTATAGTATTAGAAATGACAAAGGGGCCCCAGATAGGGATGAGGCCTTCCAAGTTCCAATATTGTCTCTTGTTGTTTGACATAGTACATGACTTGGTCGTTCCCTTTGCCACCTTACATTACTTCAGTGTCTCTTTAATTGTTTTTCTATTCTGCCTATCTTTATTTTATTACACCCTCCGTTTCCATATTTTGTCCGCATTTACGATATTTTGTCCGCATTTACCAGGGATGTAATTAATAAATAATAAAAAATATATTAATAAAAATAATTATTTTATAATAAAAATAATTATAGAATAAGATTAAAATAATTAATTAATATAATTAAAATTAAAAAAATTATAAATTAAATTTTTTAAAATAAGATTAAAATGTATAATTTTTTTTCAAAAAAAAAAATAACAAAGTAAATGAGACGGGATATAAGAAGTGGGACGGAGGAAATATTATTTTTTAAGTATTACTTATTTCTCGTAAAAATATTACATTTAAATTACTGCTTAGAAAATATGAATTAAATACACTCTTTTTATTTTTGAGTTTGGATTAATGATTTGAGTGATATTTTGTAAAATAATAATAATAATAATAATAATAATAATAGTAACAAGATAACAAATATTTATATATTCCCTCCGTCTCATATAAGTAAATATCTATTTGTTTTTTGCATGTAATTTTAGAAATATTAGTATTATATTGAGATATAGTAGAAATAAAGCAGAAATGACAAAAAATAACCTTAGTACGTGTGATATAAAGGTAATGACGTTTGTGTAAAATATTGTTAGTTGTAAGGGTATTTGTAATGTTAGGTAGACAGTACAGTTACTAAAAAATGAAATTAATATTTGTTATCGAACGGACTAAAATAGAAAAATAGATATATATTTTATCCATTTTTTTACTATAAAAGATAAAATATATTGTTTATTACTCATCTACATTAAAATTTATGTTAAAAAATACGAACATATATATTTTTTAAAAATCTCTAATGAACTAAATTCAAAGTTGTTTACCTGTAATGGTTAAGTATTAAATGGAAATTGAAAACTTTTAGTGCGTAATTTTTTATTTTTTCATTTCTCGTTTATTAATCGTGTAAGGTTATTAAATCATATTTATTTATTTATACTTTAATGATAAATACATTGTATGTGCAAAAGTGAACTTTAAAATATAAATATATAGTTTATTTTATTTTTTCCATCAAAAGTGATTGAAATAATATTATTGAATTAGAAGTAATTTAATCATCTAAATAATAGATCAAATTAATTATTAGTATTTATAAAATAGGCTCAAATTCCCTAATGTATTTGAATTTGGTAACTTAATTAATTCTATATCTAAAGTTTGAAACTTTTATTTAGTTCCAAATGTAACAAATTTGAAAGTCGTCAGGGCCCAATCAACATGTAGAATAGTTTGACTGACTTGAATTAATATAATATCTATTATATACTCCTCCGTCCCAGGTACCGCTACACTGTATTTTAGAAGGAGTATAATTAGTAGATAATTAAGAATGTATTAGTGAAAATAATTATCTTATAATATAAATAATTATAAATTAAGATTAAAATAACTAATTAGTTTAATAGAAACGGCAACGTGGACATGGTATCTGGGACGGAGGGAGTACTATATTGTTAGCATGTATTATTTATTTTATATTGCATTAATATATTGTAATATGTGTTATATGGACTATTGCTGCTTGCTGGTGTCGGTTCAATTTTTGTGTTCGATATGTAAGAAGAAAAATGGATTACATAGTTTAATTATATTTTTAATTTTATAATCTATATTTTTTTAGATTTTTAATTAAATTAATTAAAAATTTATATTGCACAGAATAATTAATAGCAATCGATGCCAATAAATTTATATGAATTATAAATATCTAGAAATGATTAAGACAAATGAATTTTGTCACCTACCCTCAAACTAAACAAAAAAATTAGGCACGTTGTGGGGTCATATTGCATATGCAAACAACAAACAGATCTCTTTGTTTAATGAAATAAAAATAAATTAAATTAATTATATATAGTTGGTAAGTGAAACTTTTGATGTCACCTAATATATATACTTAACAGATCTGATTTTTGCATGTGGAGCTGTTCTAATTTGTCATACGAGTCGAGTCGAGTCGAGTTTGTACCGATTGAATTACGTTGAATGACGACGATGACTATAATCATATTCATGCCTACCCTTTCTGTTCGAATTCGAGATATTTTATGTCGGCTCAAAATTGTTTCATGTTAAAGTTACATATATCGCTATTTGATTTAATGCGGATTATATAATTATTGTATCAAGTTTTGTTAATTTCGGATTTTAATTTTGAATGAAATTTGATGAAATTATAATCTTTATTGTTTTGGGTAGAAAATATTTTGATTGTTTACTTATTTTTCAAATAAATTGAAAAAACAAGTATTAAATCAAATATATATATATATACAAGTAAAATATATTTTTAAAAAAATTTATTGTACCATTTTGGGTTCGATCCATTTGAATATGAATAAAACGAGACTGTGAATTTTCTTTATTTTAGTTCTTGAAATAAGAAAGAAAAGGATTTAATATATATATATATATATATATTAATTGCAATAGTTTGTAATTTTAATTGTGTTGTGGATAGCTTTTTTAAGTGTTACTTTGGAGTGAAAGAATGGCTTTTTGTTTCCTTGGAGGCTAAGCATTAGTCATTAGAGCCTAGAGCCACTTTTCTATCTTATTATTATTATTATTATTAGGAAAAAATTATTTTTTGTCGCAATGTAATCAAAATTCATCAATCTTGGTCCCAATATAAATTTTTTTATCAATTATGGTTTCAATATAATAAAAACTTATCATTTTTGTTCCAATATAACCAAAACTTATCATTTTTGGTCATAAATATAAAATTTTTTTATCAATTTTTTCCAATATAACAAAAACTCATCATTTTTGGTCTTAATATAATCAAACCTTATCTTTTTTTGTCACACCGTCAACAAGCCGACGGAAAATGCTGACATGAAAAGATATCAAACATTATATTTATATTTGAAGAAATTACACAATTTTGCAAGTCCACGTCAGCATTTTTCGTCGGTTTGTCACCAAAAAAAATAAAGTTTGATTGTATTTGGACAAAAAATTGATAGTTTTAGTTATATTAGGACTTAAATTGATAAAAAAATTTATATTGTAACAAAAAATGATGAGTTTTGGTTATATTGAGACCAAAATTGATAAAATTTTTATATTGTGACCAAAATTGATGAATTTTTGTTATATTTGAACAAAAATGATTATTTTTTTCCTTATTTATTATTATTATTATTGTTGTTATTATTATTATTATTATTATTATGAATAATATCCACTTTGATTATCAAATTAATAAACAATTTGCAATAAATAAATATAAGTTTCCTACTTACTAAAATTACACTATACTTTATCATTCAATTTGAATTCAATTGCAGCAATTGAGGCATGTAGTAAAGGTTATTCAAATTTCAAATGACACTACAACATAGGTAAGAGTTACCATATTCTGTTTTTGTTATTTTTGCAATTTTTTAATTATCCATGATGTTTTTTATTATTATTATTTTTTTAACAAAATACCACGTAATATTATTATTTAAAAAAAAAAAAAAGAAAATTACAAATAAAATGCACTTTTATATTGAGTTAAAATTGCTTGCTTGATCCATAGCCCTATAACGTATATATGTCTTAAATTTCTATTGGCTACATGAAATTACATCAATACTCTTACTCTAATAATTTGTTTTATTCTTCACCATTTTCCTATAAACTATATGAATATAATTACTTATTTTGTTACAATTATTTCATTCAATAATATTAACTTTATTAATTGTATTATATAATAATATTAAATTTATTTTTAGTGGAATTTAATTTATTATTACAGCAAATTTAATCATAAGAACTTTTTTATTATTATTATTTTCATTTTGAAGAACATTTTTTTTTAGTGAAAGACTAATCTTTGTGTTCTATCATGTTTTTTTTTGGCATTAAATTTTTTTTCGCTTATTATTGAAATAATACAAAATAAAGAAATTAATACTCTCTCCGTCCAGTTAGAAAGTATACATATTTCTATTTGGGACGTCCAATTACAAAGTAACAATTTCATTAAATACCCTATTTTTTCCACAAATACTCATAATTTACATCACATCATTACTTTTATACCAAAAAAGTAAAAGGCAAAAATGTCATTTTATTACTTTTACCTACACATAGACAGTTAAATAGTGAAAAAATATTTAGATTCAATTGTTAGTGCAAAGAATACTAATATATTTCGAAATGCAATTGTACTAATAATTTATAATATAAGAATTTTTCTTGATTATTTTCATCTTTGAAGAACTTTTTTTTATTTTTTTTTATGTGAAAGAGCAATATTTGTTTTATTCGTTAGGTTCTTCGATCGTTAATTTTTTCGCCTATTATTGAAGTAATATACAATAGAAATAATTAATACATCCGACTTTTCACTCTTAGTTATTTATCTATTTATTTTACCTTTTATAATTGTATGATTAAAATAATGGACAATTAACATAGTAAAATAATAAAATATTTAGATTTATTTGTTAGTGCAAAGAATACTAATATATCTCGAAATAGAACTTTACTAATAATTTATAATATAAAATCTATACTTTTTGAAATTAATCTATTAAATTTACTTATATTTATTGGTACATATAAGATAAAATAAAATAAAAATATATTTATTTTGGTCAAAAGTATGTGTCAATTAATATTTGCATAAATATATTTATTAGTATCTGATTGTACATCATGTAAAATAATTAATAATTAATTATATAATATAGTAATGTGCCATTAATTTTAAAAATTTAATATATATTTAATGTGATAATAATGTATTGGATAAACAGAACCCAATTTGTTGTAATAGCAAAATTTAAAATTATCATGGGTGCGCTTGCCTTTAAATTTATTGTATTATATATAGTATTATATTTTTAATAAAATATTTAAATTTTGCTAAAAAAATATTTTAATTATACTTCACAATTATAAATCTTTAAAAAAAATTATACACACTAAAAGAACAATTAAATACTTCAATTTTCAAATAATATAAAAGTGGGCCGGACTAGATAGATGAAATTTGGGCTAGTTTATCCCAAGCATTTTGGGCCGAACGTTGCTATACTTTAAAAATCGTATGCTATATTTACTTTGCAAAATATACCTACTTTTGTATGACAAGGTTATTGCATCCTTAGATTGGAATAAAAAATAAAATTCATCAACAATATACATATATTTTTTAATTAAGAATATATTAGTGAAAATAATTATCTTATAATATAAATAATTATAAATTAAGATTAAAATAACTAATTAGTTTAATTAAAATTAAAAAGTTTAAAATGAAATTAAAGTGTATAATCATTTTCCAAAACAAAACATAGGACAGACATAAACGGCAACGTGAACATTGTATGTGGGACGGAGGGAGTAATATTTTGTGAGTACATTTTTCCAAGAATATAGAGTAAAAATTATAAAAATCTAAAAAGATACATTTATGTAAAAATATACTACTCCGTATTTTCTCTAAAAAAATATATACATTACATCAAAACTATTATTCAAATAAAAAATCCAAAAATAATTAAAAAAACTTTATCTAAACAAAATAATTAGGTTGTGTATACTAGTCAGATTTCATTTTCGGTTTTACTATTCTATATTACACTACAATTAACTTTTATATTCAAAACATCATCTCAATATATATTTATATCACATCAAATAACTATTTCAATTTAAAATTTTACTGTTCAAAACTAAAAATCAAAATCAAAATCAAAATTAAAATCTTACGAATAAACATAAGGAGTGTCTCAAACACCTATGGTAACAAGAACTGATTTGGCATTTGAAATCACCACAAGATAGAGAGTTATGCAATAAAAAAAAAAAAAAAGACCAGAACAGTTGGTTTCAACTTTCAAGCCATAGCAACTTCAGGTAGGCAAGCAACACTTTCCAAGTTTGATGTACAATGGATTTTATTCAATCACACAAGAATCTCATTCTGTATAATAAAAGTTCGAGCAAGCTTAAGCAGACTTACCTTGGAGCCGGAGGGTAAAGGCGTATAACGACAAGAGAACCTCCTTCAATCTCTCCTTGGCCGATTCATCGATCAAGTTCCCATCACTGTCGAATTTGGCAGGAGCTTGGAATGCATTGAGGAAGAACTCGGGCTTGTTGATGAAATGCAGATCAATGTACACTCCCGTCTGGCGGAGATGATACTGAGATCTGCCGCCACCAAACCCTCCTCCGGCGCTTACAATTGCTGCTGCTTTGTCCCCCCAAACATTCGGGGGCCTAGATGCCCAATCAATTGCATTTTTTAAAGGACCTGGCGAGTTCGACATTATTAGCAAAGAAAACTTCAAAAGTCTTCAAGAAAACAAATTGTATGTGGCATTATCATATCTTCTTTATTAGAGCTCCCATTTTCTGTCCAACGATTACTTTTCTAGCTAACAACTCTCCGATATGTTGACATCAAATGGTTCTATGAATTAAGAGCACATTAGACTTTGTTCTATAGCAAATAAGTATGGACTAAATTAATGTAAGAATCTAATGGAACACCATATGCTTCATAAATGTAAATAAAAGTTACCGGTCATTGAATAATTGTATTCCGGTGAAGCAAAGAGTATGCTGTCGGCGGCAAGAATCTTCTGCCTGAAAGCCTCTACTGCAGGCGGGTATGTCCCATTAACCTCAAGATCAGTGTTGACAAACGGCAATGGTGATATATCCACATACTCGATCTCCAAACCATTAATGGACTTCGAAATGTCTATGGCTGTGTATATGGATTGATTCATTCCCAGCAGTTCCAGTACAACATTGGCCAACAGCAAATGATGAAAAGCAGGACAGATACAAAGAAGATCAGCTTAGGAAGATTGAAATATAATTTCCCTATTGCTAAATAAATCAATACATAACACAATATCAAAAAGATGTTTACTGTATAGTCATTTGAAAGCAAACATAATCCACAAATTATTCATTGATAACATTAAGGGGAAGGATCCCGTTAAGAAGGAAAACTGGAATCAAGTTCGAAAACATCATCTAATCACAAGTTTGATCACCATTATAATACGAATCTGGATTAAAACTACTGTCGATTTCTTCGACAAATTACCAATTGATACTCTATCTTAGCGGGAACCTCCACACTCAATTCTGATCTTACAAGTTCCAAAATGTTCGGATCGGAGCTGAACAATTAAATACAAGATCACTGCCTAATTTCAAACGCAATGATTACAATTTAATTGTATTCTAGAAGGTGCAGGAAAGCAGGAAACACTATACCACATTACAACAAAGCAGTACACAACTCCAACGGAAAATAAAAAAGAAAAAAGAACAAGACCGAACAGATTTCACTCAAAATCGGAAAGAAGCACCTGCGCAGTTCTACCTCACAGCTCGAGAAGGCAAAAACCAGAAACAACAATGCACAGGAATCCAGTCCAAATGAGTTGAGAAACAATAAATCAGTACCGGCACGGAGGAGACCACGGTTGTAGGAGCCCTTTCGGAGGGAGCCACAGAGCGCAGCGACTTTGATCACTGGAGGGGAAGCTACGGATGCCGCCATGGATTGTCTTCTTCGCAATCTCAGTGCACACTGCAGCTTAGACTTAACCCAACTAATAAGAAATTCCCTATTGACAGCCAAAACTCAAAAGATAAAAGGTCAACAGTCTCCCGTATATGTAGACATGTATCTAGATGCCTCAAATTGCAGTATGGGGTAGGGTAGGGTAGGGTAGGGTGGCTCCACACCGTACTAAATCGCAACGTTTGTCCATTATTCTTAAATGTTTTTTGCTATTTTGAAATTAAAATATCTTAAAATTTTTACAAGTTCTTACTATTACTATTTTAACTCAATTATATTTTTTCATGATCCATTTTTCATAAATATTATTAAAAAAATTAATTAAAAAATAATTATTTTTAATATTATCAGCACAAATTTTTATACTATACAAGTTCATTCATATATTTTTTTTTTAATTTTAAAAAGAAAATAAAAAATATCATATTAAATATATATATTTTTTAATATTATGTTAAAGATTAATTTTAAAATATTTTAACATTTTTAAAATACTCCATAATTAATAACTTTTTTAATTATTAAATTAATTGTGAGACATTATTGGAATTGGACAATAGATTTTATAAAGAAGCATAATTTAAAATTAAGAAAAAATAAATTATACTTCTGGCACTAATTCAAAGTATTTTTTTACTCTATTTTTGTTAGTTTCACTTCAAAATTCCAAAGTATTATATTAGTAAAAATAATTATACATTAATATTAAAATATTTTTAACTTTATCTAAATTTATAAACATATTATTACACGTATTAATTTATCAGCAAAATATATTTTATATTTCTGATAAAATATGATTAATTTTTAATTTATTATAACAGCAAAGAGCTTATTTAAAATGGAGGCGTAAGGAGTAATACTAGTGTACTTGTTTGGTTGTTTTTAGTTATTTTTTATATGGATTCATGATAACTTATTAAAAATAAATAAATAAATATATATATATATATATATTTACGAGACGATTTTAGCTCAGTTATTGACTAAAAAACAAATATTCCAAAATTTATTTATGATTTTCATCATTTAAATATTTTAAATGGGCTAAGTCCATTTAGCTGGTAGTATGCCAGGGTTGGGTTGTGCTTCAATATAATAAACATCTTCTAACCCTGATTTGTTCAGCCCGGCCCGGTCTATTGGAAGCTCTAAATCTTTTATGCTAAATATGATTGGTCTAATGAAATTTGTCTTGGATCCAATTTGCAGATTATTAATTACATACTAAAAAAGTAACAACGAAAGATTCTAGTTATAAAAAATTCTATATATATTCCATCCGTCTCATATATTCTGTGTCTATTAATGTAATTATGACAGTGTATACTTATATTTTTAAAAAATAAAAAATAAAAAATATATAAGACATATTTTAAAATGGGCCAGGGCAAGAAGATTAATGTGGTATCAAAATCAATCCAGAAACGTGGCCTTATAGCATATATAGGAATGAAAATAATATCGGTTTCCATAATAAGTATTATTGTGTATTAAATAAAATTAACTGCAACTGCAATTTTCTCATCTTACCCCAAATTCCAAAAGGCCATCAGTGATATACATAAGTAAAAATAAATAAATAAAAAAGCACCACGCCACAATCTTCTCTTAGTCCAAAATAAAGAAATAAATAATATTGATGAATCATGAGATGACTACTGCTACTTTTCATAATTAAAATTTTCCCTTTTTTTCTTTCAGACTACAACAAACGTAAAAACTGTTCTAAACCCTTTTTAAAATCCCCAAATCAAAACCCCCCAAAACACAGCTTTGCCTCTGGTGCAGAATCCATTGTGGGTTTTTATATTATGCACTTGAATCGACTCCCATTTTGATGTCGATCTTGTTGAAGTTCCTTTCTTTGTCACCCCTCACTTGTTCCTGTCTGTCTCTCGCGCCTTTCCGCCTCTGCTCCCTCCCTTTTTTCTGATTAAAGGTATGTGTTGCGTGGGCATTTGTTCTTTTCCATGTGGCGGCTGTGGCCCCCTCTTGCACTGTGTCGCGATTCACTGATTTTTGTACCTATCTATCCATCTATTTGTTAGTTTCTTTGCACCTTCTCGTAATAACTGATTTTTTATTTTTTTAAATTTCTGGTGTTCTGAGGATTGATTCCTCGTAAGGGCGCTTTGTTTACTTGTGTTTTTATTTTTTCAGAAAGTGATTATGTTTTGATTATTGTGGAGTCGAGTGAAGTTGGTTGATTTTAAGATTTATATGAAATATTTTGTGCAGTATGGTGGATGAGCATTTTTTTGTTTTTCAAATGGTTCGATTGGTTTGGTGATGGTGGAATTTGGTTTATCTTCGTTGTTGAATTGATTGAATATAATTAATTACACGGATTATGTCGATTTTATTGGTTTTCATGTAATGAATTCGTTGCAGTCTTCTTCTCCTTTTCTTTCCGCCGAATTCATGCATGATTTGTATCATCTTTTGAATTCATGAATTTTTTATGTCAACTTATTCAGATAATCGTATTTGGTGAATTGGATATGCGTTATATATATAATCAGATTTTGTATTAACATGAAGAAGGAATTATGTTAATCTCTAAAGATATATATATATCTATATATATAGGTAGAGTTTGAACTCGGTTTGATTAATGGGGCTCGATCTAACATGTTAGAACGCATTAGTTCGGCGAGGGAGAATCATAGTTTTCGGAAAATGTCAGTTCGAGCAAAATTAGGGAGGCAAGAGCTTTGTTTCTTGGCATTCCTGTCGATCGGGGCGTTGTTCATTACGTATAGCTTCACTACAGCTTTCATTAATCACCAAACAGTTTCTCCTCCGCGAAAATTAGCTTCCGAGGAATGGGAGGGCCGTTTGCTTGTTGATCCGGTGACAAAGATGCCGGAGAGGACCAAGAAGTTGGGGCAGGAGAGGTCGCCTTTTCACGTTGCTGTGACGGCTACAGATTCCCCGTACAGCAGATGGCAGTGCCGGATTATGTACTACTGGTATAAGAAGAAGATGGACTTGCCTGGTTCGGAGATGGGGAAGTTCACCCGAATTCTCCACACTGGATTGCCCGACAACCTCATGGACGAGATTCCAACCTTTGTGGTTGATCCTCTACCCGATGGTGTTGATAAGGTGGGGAAATTAAATTAGCTTACATTTTATTTTAATTCTCTATTTATTGATCAAATGGTTGCTTTGTGAATTAACAAAACAATGATTGTTGTTGTAGAGTTTTCGTCGACCTACATTTTTCTTTAGTTTATGTTTGCAATAAAGTTTGATTCAGAGTTGTTCTGTGTAGGGCTACGTCGTCTTGCATCGACCATGGGCGTTTGTGCAGTGGTTAGAAAAGGCAAAAATTGAAGAAGAGTGGGTTCTTTGATTGAGACAGCGTTTTGGCATTTAAATGTTTGAATAAGAACATGAATCCCGTTATTTCTTTTCGCAGATACATCTTGATGGCGGAACCGGATCACATTTTTCTAAAGCCGTTGCCAAACTTGTCCTACAAAGATTATCCTGTCGCCTTCCCCTTTTTCTACATCAAACCGAAGAAACATGAGAGACTCTTGAGAAAGTATTATCCTGAGGAGATGGGCCCGATTACAAACATTGATCCGATTGGTAACTCCCCTGTCATCATCAAGAAGGTTAGTGAACTTATTATTCTGCGCATAGCGAAAAATATTTGACTCTAGCAATTGTTGAGTTGATGCTTAGGAACTACTCGCGGAAATTGCGCCTACTTGGATGAATATCTCTTTGAAAATCAAACATGACCCGGAAACTGATAAGGCGCTTGGATGGGTGCAAGAAATGTAAGTATTGTTCTTACAAGAATGCAACGATAGAAACATCCTTGTATTTTGGTTTTGATTTTATCTAACCTTCATGTTTCTATCTGTCGAGGTATGCTTATGCTGTGGCCTCGGCTCTACACAACGTGCGCCATATCCTTCGAAAGGACTTTATGTTGCAGGTTTAGCTTCCCGGCAATATGCTAATGTTTTTTTTGATTGATTTTATTTTAAATGTTCTAACTCGAGCGAGTAATCTTCAAGCCTCCGTGGGACATTAGAACGACGAATGCATATATTCTTCACTTTACGTACGGCTGCGACTATACAATGAAGGTAAAGCATTCAACTTTATTTACACTCAGGCTATGTTAAAAAAATACGATGATGTTTATGTTGTCCATGATGGTGAATCATTAGGGAAAACTTATTTACGGACAAAGAGGCGAATGGCGGTTTGATAAGAGGGATTTTCTTGATTTCCCTCCTCCCCGGAATCTGTCTTTGCCGCCTCCGGAAGTTCCTCAAAGTGTGGTATGTGCGCACTCTCATGAGTTTCGAACGCTTGTTCATCGCTGGGGTTCGTTCATTTTGTTGTTGTGAAATGCAGGCGTCGTTGATAAAGCTTATAAACGAGGCGTCGTCGAACCTTCCGAACTGGGATACGATCGGAGAAGTTGAAGTCGGCGGCGGCAGCGGTGGCGGCGCCACCACCAACTCATAAAAGAACACACATTGTTTGGTAGTCTTCAACTATATGGAAAATTTGACTTATAGCACAGAGCCACATAGGTTAAATATATATATATATATATGTTGATGTAGTTTGCTACATGAGGAAGTTATATTATTGAATTGAATAGTTATAATGTTTGCTACTCAATATTATGGTTGTGTTTGTTTTATATTTTACATATTTACTACTCAAATATTATGGTTTTGTTTACACAATAGTATTATATTTTATAATTTTTTAACATTATTTATTATTTTTAAATACATCACATCAAATATATATATATTTACAAAATATTACATTAAATACTATCTTTTTATTATTATTCTCAATTTTTTTCCAAACTCCAAAATGAGCACGGCTGTATTTGTTGTATAGTTTAGTTTCATTGTTGTCTATATGAAGTATTATTCTGTATGGTTGGTTGTTAAGTTTTTTGGGCCTATGACCCAATGGAGGCCCATATTGAGCAATAGTGTTCTTTTTAGAGTTTTTTTTTTTTAATTATTTTTTTTTAAATTTTTTGAAGATTTTGTTATTAGCTATAGAACATTGTGAAAGTATAGTGGATAGTTGTAGAAATGTGTATTTTTAAATATTTTATGAAAAAAAATATATATATATATTCTTTATAAAACCATAAACTGGTTTACTTTACTATTTGTATTTTATATCTTATTGTTTTCAAAATAAAATTATTGATTGGTTTAGAAACAAATTGAGATTTATATAATAAAAAGTAAGTAAATAACACTGAATTGTATTTATTTTCAAATGAATAAATAAATAAATAATATATTTTCTTACTACCATTGAGATTAATAGTATTATTGTAGTAGGTAGTGGAAATTTGAGGCCATTAACAAGTAGTAGAAATTAATATATACACATATGTATATATAGTTAGGGTTTTGTTTTGTTAATGGATTGTGAGTAAAAAGGAAAAAGGATTGAAGGATAATTAAGGAGAGAAATATTTAGTGGGTGACAATATCTCGTGAGTAATAATGGCCACCACCACCACCGCCGCCGCCACGACGGCAGCGCCACCACTGACGGTGGACGTCCGTCGTCCACCTATCACACATTATCAATTTATTATTTATTTTTTGAGAATAAGTGGAATTAGAATCAATTGACTTTCCTCGGAATATTTTTCTTTAATTTTGGAATTTATTAATTATTCCATATATGTATATTATCTATATCTATCACAAATTAACACACCCGTACGTGTCAAATAGAATAAAGCTCTCCATCAACTTGGAATTAAGCACCCGCCCTTAACCAAATGGTTTATTCTTTTATGATACTAACATTTTATCTTGTATAGTTTTAAATATAAATATACTAATATATTATTTTTTTATATAAAATATTATTTATAAAAAATTAAAATTAATATTTTATTTCAAATAATATATCACACAAATTTCAAGATTAAAATAAATGTTTTCTCTGTCTCATTGAATGAAAGATTATCGTTTTCTATTTTCATTCGTTTCAAAACAAGATTGTCATAATAAATACTTTTTCAACTTATAATATATTATACAAATGTGACTCTTGTAACAGGAGAAGGGAAAAAGTATTTAAAAATAAGTGGTAAAAGATATATGCATAGAAAGAGACATATTGGTCAATGGAATTCCTTTTTAGAATGATGATGAAAGAGAATCAAATGACTTTATTGCTTGTCAAAAATATGACAAGAAGATAACGAGTCTTGAACCATTTTCTCCTCGCTAGCTAGTAGTGCCTTATCATCACCATATACATATACATATACATACACATACGCTTTAATTATTTAATTGATTAGTATATACATGCATTTAATTTCTTTAATTAATTTGTAATCAGTGATGGTCCTTGTCTTGTTATTACAATTTATTTTTCAAAATTATTATTCTTTTAATTTTTACAAAAAGGGGAGTCCCAAAACAAGCTTTTTCTTGATTGCACATATATAAAAGACATTCCCCTAATCATAATAATACCAACAGTGCTATCCCACTAACCATCTTTCAACCTTTTTCTTTCTCCCTCTAAAAACCCATCACTACCGCCATTAAAATCTCACTCTAACCACCCAAAACCCCATTATCATTATCCTCAATTCAACTCAACTCCAGAATATGATCCATGGAAAGATCATCAGATCATCACCATCATCATCGTCCCAAACAATCCCCAAGAAAAATCAGCCCTCAAACTCCAATATTAATATCTTCAAATAATAATAATAATAATACAGAGAGAGTGAAGAGAGACGAATGGAGCGAAGGAGCCATCTCGAGCCTTCTAGAAGCTTACGAGGCCAAGTGGACGCTCCGGAACCGGGCCAAGCTCAAGGGCCACGACTGGGAGGACGTCGCCCGGCACGTCTCGGCCCGGTCCGACCGGTCCAAGTCGGTCAAGACGCAGACCCAATGCAAGAACAAGATCGAGTCCATGAAGAAGAGGTACCGCTCTGAGTCCGCCGCCGCCTCCGCCCTCGACGCGCCGTCCTGGCCGCTTTACTCCCGCCTCCACCTCCTCCTGCGGGGAAATGCCGCCGTCGCCGGAGTCCCGCCGCACCCCGGCGTAGCTAACGCTACGCCGCCCATCGATAGCTTCGTGCCGCCGCCGCCGCCGGAGTTTGTTGTCCAGACGGCGGCGGTTCCGGCCACCAGTGAGCCGCCGCAGAATTCCCAGGGGTCGAATGCCAAGGTATCTTCAATTTCGTGATTATAATTTTTTATGGCTCCATCTTAAGGATCTGTCTAAACAAAGTAATTTTTTTTAAAAAAAATATTCTTCTATCAAATAATAAAAGTTTAATTTTTTTTTTCAAAATTATAAAACTCCTTAGATGAATATTGTTAAAAATATATACATATTTTTTCAATTAATTGATAATTTAATACAAAGTATTATTTATTTCTTACTTATATATTGTTTATTTGATTGGATATAAAATCTAAGAAATAGTATTTGATATAAAAATTAAATAAGTAAAAAGTAAAATATAATATAATAAAAAAGTAATAAAAAACAATAAGATAAGTTAAAAATTAGTGATGAATTAATTGTTATTTTTTAAAAATATTGTATATAATCAAAAAATTATAAGACTATTTTATTTTATGAATTTTTAAAAAATTTATGAATAAGTATAGTATTTTTTTGGAAAATGTGTTAAAAAAAATTTTGGTAAAAAAAAAAAACAAAATGTAAATTTAAAATTATATATAAAAAAAAAGGTACAAACTTTTTAAATAACCAATAGATTGTTAAGTAATTTTGGTCTTTTAATTTTTCAAAACTCTTAGAATTTGTTTAAATGTATAACAAAAATTAACATAGCAAATTTTGGAGTATTATTTTATACCCAGTTGAATTAAATTTTTAGAAATGAAAAAAAAAAAAATTGGAATTGAATAAACTTTTGTAAAAACAAATTTAGAACTTACATAACTTTATTGTAAAAATTAAATAAATTATGAAAGTGACACTTTAAGGGAGCGGAGAACAACGGCGGTGGGCAGCCGTTGGATCAAGTATCCGAGAAGAATCCAACGGACGACACGGGGAGCAGCACTCCTCAACAGAATCCGAACCCGAACCCGAATCTGAAAGCCGGACAAAATACAGGTAAGGAAGAAAGGAGGAAGAAGAGCGGCGGCATGGCAGCGGCGACGACGAAGCGGCGAAGAGAGGATGAGTGCTGGGCGATCGGGGAGAGCATCCGGTGGATCGCAGAGGCGATGGTGAGGTCGGAGGAAGCGCGGCTGGAGACGATGAGGGAAATCGAGAGAATGAGGGCGGAAGCGGAGGAGAAGAGAGGGGAAATGGACCTCCGACGGACGGAGATCATCGCCAACACTCAGCTCGAGATCGCCAGACTGTTCGCCGCCGCCGCCGGCGGTCCTCCGCCGATTCTTCGTTAGGGCTTGGAAGAAGCTAGAATTGCAACCGACTCTATCTTATTATGTATATGTATGTTATATAGTCTTGGTAGAAATTACCAAAAATTGGTTACGTATTATATATATATATATTACATCAGCATTGCATCATAAATATTTGATTCTTTAGAACACACCCCTCTTTTCTTCCAAAATTATCATTTGGAACGGTTTTAAAATTGAGAGCGATTTTTCGAATTGTTTGTTTCTTTTAACTTCAAATTTTAAATTTTTATTATTTAAATTTTACGTTTATCGAAAAATATATATATATTTTTATAAAACATTTCATTATATATTATTTTAATATAAATTTAAACTTAGGTTATTGGTATGAATATTTAGGGTTAAAGTTGTTATGAATATAAATTTTAAAATTGTAAAATGAATTAAAATTTTGTAACTCTTACTATTTTCTCTCCTTTTCTTAAATTTTATTGTTTTTAATAGTTTATTTTATTTTTATTTTTAAGTTTTTGTATGAATTTTTTTTTAGTATTATGTGCTTTCACCTTAAAAACAAAATAATTATACTATCATAACCATAAGGTATTATAGTGATAAGATCGGATAGTAATGTATAACCATAGCGTGCATATGTGTTTAAATGAAACCGAATACTCAATTTATTTTTTTATCATTTTAAAAAAATAAAATTAATAGTATTTATTTTATTCATTTTTTAATAAAAATATATTATTTTATTTTTATAAAATATTACATTAAAATACTATTTAAAAATATATAACTCATTTCAAATCACCTTAAAATTTAAATAAACATGTACTTTCAACATTTAACTGTTATTTTTTATTTAACGTTTATTTATAACAAATATAAATATAACAATATTTATTAAGCTCTTTCTCCTCAATTTTTTTAAATTCTAACTAAACTTTTAAATATATCTTCAATTATCTTTTCATTTTTATTAATTTTAATAAAATATTTATTATTTTAATTTTATTAAGGACAAATACCCACGTATACGATACGTTAATTATTTAATTTTTTTTTTTTTTTTCAAAAAGTGGCAATTACTTTAATTCGTTAAAAATACAAAAATAATAGTATCGGAAATCCTCTCTTTCATCCGCCGTCTTGTTGTGCTGTTCCAAACCAACCCCACCCACCACCGATCTCCACCGCCCGCCACCTGCCGCCGCCGCCACCGCCACCGCCACCACCACCACCATACGACTAATCAATTTTCCACAAGGAAGAACATAAGGTGTGTCCCTTTCTTTGACTTAGATGTTCATATACATTTTGCGCTTATTCTCGGCTAGTGAGTCCTTTCTTCGATTCTGGAATCATTCTGTCTTTTCCGCTTGGTTATTGATGCTGATCAGGTAATTCTCACTGTTGATGTGTTAGATTCGGCCAGGATGTCTAGTTGAGGGTTTTGAATTCTTTCTTTCTCGTATCGAGAGAATCTTTAGAGTTATATGCGAAATTGCGCCTGTTTTGAATGCTTTAATAGTTTCGTATATTAGGGCGATCCAATTGAGAGTTTATCCGTTCGGCTCCCGGAATCTGATCCATTTGTGTGATCAATCTTGTGCCACTCAATTCGAGTAGAGTTCAATTTACTGTTTGGAAGTGATCCGACCCCCTAGTATCAAGATGATGGACAGTTTCTTTTCTTAAAAAACTTATTCTCTTTTGCTATATTTCTTCAGTTAATTCTCCGACTGTAATGGGTTTAACCTGCTTAGTTCAAAATTTCGATGGGGTATACTTTTAAGTTCTAACCACATTAATTTAGTAGGATAGGATGATGATTAGGGAAATTGATTATGATCTCGTATGCAAAAAACATGCGTGTACCTCTTATAGGTCGAAAGTCAATAATGTACTTTCTGTAAGAGTAGAGGAAGAACTACAGCTGATATGTTGTGTGGAGTTTGTTGTTTCTTGCAGATTCCTATTGTAAGAATTTTATTAAAAAAATTTCGTCGAAGTTGCTTCCAACATAGAGCATTCTTGATGAACATCATTGCAGTCATGTTAATTATCAATTTGCATTTGGTGAAGTTTTACAATACATTGAGTTAGTAGTGTTGATCCGATACAATGTATTGAACACGAAAAGGGTTGGATTTACAATTTGGATGCCTTTTAGATTCTTTTGGAACTTTTACCTTTCATAGTCCTGTGGTTTAACAATCCCATGGGTGTCAACTGAGTTCGAATAAAGTTTTCATTTGTTTTCTGAGATTTTTATAGTTGAATAAAATTTGATGTTTATATTTTGGTATGCACATCTACGATGAGTAAGGACTTGGTCTTTTGGCTTCAAATCTAGGAGGAAGAATTTGTTGGAACTATCTGAATGATTTGACATTCTCTTTTGCCTTGTGGTGCACTTCAATTTGTCTTAAATATAAAAGATTGTTAACTTACTGAAGAACACATTTAACATCTTAAGAATTTTCTTATACCTTCAAATGCATACCAAGCTTTTACCTTTTCAAGAGGCCACTCATGCATGCATTATTTGAACTAATATAGAACCTGACCATATTTAGTTCTTGCAATTCGTGATTGTTATCATGAGGGAAATGATGAAATAGGTTGTTTTTATCCAGTAAAGTTGTCACTTGATAACCTCAAAAAATATTTGTTTATTTTGGTTAAGGTGAAATTGTGTATGCAACATGATTTCCTGTAGAAAATATGGCACATTAATGGCTGCATGCTCGTTGCAAAGGTCGTACTTATTGTTGCAATGCTGCTGCAACTTGCATATTTAAATTTGTTCTTGTTTAAGAATGAAGCTTTATTTCCTCCCAAGTGTGGATGATGTTGAAAATTTTGACATGTAATGCAGGCATAGTTATTATGGTGAATGGTGAATATTCTCACACAGACCCTGGATCATCTTCTGCTTGGATTTTTGAACCATTCTAGTCTTCCACTACAGGTTTCTTCACTACCTCCTAGTTTGTGCTTAAAAGCCAGCATGCAGAAGACTGGAAGTTTATCCAAGAATGGATCACTGAGAATTGCAACTCAGCAGTCTCTTCGTCGGTTGGGTCTGTGCTCCCCATCACAAACTGGACAACAAACTTCTCCAGTCGTCTTTCCTGAGAAACGCAGTAGAGGGAAAGCCACCAAAAATCATGAAAACAGTGTCAAAAATGATGATTCCAATAGAGCTAAGAGGGAGGAACACCGAATTGATGTTGGAGATGAGAAATCTAACTTACTTGGATATGAATTGTTCTCTGGGAAACTTTCACTGGACAAGAGAAAAACTAATCAGACTTCTGTTGTACAAACTGCTGATAACACAAACTTAGATGCCATTGATGCTAGATTGACCAGCAAGGCTTTGATTTGGGGTTCTAAGGTGCTGCATCTAGAGGATGTGGTCTCGGTAAAGTCCTTCAAATATATGGATAGTCTTTAAAATAATGATATTCTTTGCTATCGGTGATAACTTATCTTTCTTATGGCAGTTATCCTGCTGTGTTGGCCTTAGACATTTTACCGTCCATGCATATCCCGTACAAAAAAGATCTTGTGGTCTTTTTATGAAAAGTGGGAGAACTCGGAAAGACTTTCGATTTTTTGCCCCTACCTCGGAAGATGCAATCCAATGGGTCAATGCATTTGCAGATCAACAATGCTATGTAAATATCTTGCCTCACCCCATGGCTTCTAAGAAGCAGAGTTCAGAATTAAGTTTCAACGAATTCCCCCCTGAGGCATATGTAAGATGTAAAATTCCATCTAAAATGCTCGTCATTTTAAATCCACGGTCAGGGCATGGTCGTTCAAGCAAAGTTTTTCAAGGATTGGTTGAACCTATATTTAAAGTAAGTACTTTCCAGTGCTCTGTCAATTGCAACTTGAAATTTTATTTTGTTTCTTAAATTGATAAACAAGGCATGACTATGCCTGTATTGCAGGAGCAATAAATTTGGGCACCCCACCCTTCAATGTCACATTGACCTTTCATCACTTTTCATATTTTATATTTTAGTCTAGTGGATAATATTCTATGTGAAAATTCCTGTAGAGATCCTGAAATTAATAGGGAACCGGTAGCTATTATCTGTTCTCAGAAGTATAGGAAAAATATATTACATCTGTGAGATCTTTCACCTGAATAATTGTTGATGAAGAATAATATGTAGAAAACAGGCAATACGGTTTTGTTGTTTCTATTGTGTTCATCACGGTGCGTACCTTAGCTACAGCCTTCAGACTTTCTGCTTAATGCCATTGCACCATATGTGACTGCTTTATGAAATGAACCCTTTACTTATTATATTCTTATTAGACAATGATGGAGTGATAAAGGTTCTAGTTTCCTATGTGAATGTGACTCCGCACATAGTTTTTATTTTTCCTCCTTGCTTTTGTTCTTTTTCTTGTTTTCCTTCTTTTCTTCTTCTATTTTTCATTTTTATATTTTAGTTTCCATTCTCACGTATTTGTCATCTTTCTTTTGGCTTCACTACTTCTCTGTTTTGTTACTTGTTCCTTCCTTTTTCATTCATCTGTTTGAATGACTCAGTTTCAAATTTATTCGATTGTTAAATAGCCGTTTGGATTATAAATATAATTGCTAAAAATTAAACGTAGCAATAGACTTAGGGTGCATTTACTATGAAGGATTATTAATATTTGTGTATAAAAAATCCTCCATAGTAAACAGTAAACGTCTCCTTGAAGGATTAGTACAAATTCAAGCTTAAATGTATAATTTGAATTGCAATTAGTGTTATATATGTTTGATTGTTTTCATTATGTATAGATATTTTATTATGCAATCATACTGCAGCCGTTAATAAAGTAGCCACACACAGATTCTTTTCTATGTCTTGAATGGGTTCTGGTGTTTTGCCAATTTTGCATAATCTATGTAATCGAGTATGTTATAAAATATGCTCCGCGTGGCATCGATAATACTTGTAAACCTCTTATGGTAATGACAAAATCTTAAAATCAAATTAAGTTTTATAGATGAGTATGTTGCCTGATCATAGGTATGACTCAATTATATTTGAAGTTTTTTGGTGGTTTCTTAGGACCTTATCATGGATGCGATTCAAAGTCATTTTAACTACTGTGGTTGGATGTCATAGCTATACATCTGGCATTCTGGCTTCAGTATCTTCATCTGTGATAGGATCTGATAGTACTGTTCTTAGGACCTTATCATGGATGCGATTCAAAGTCATTTTAACTACTGTGGTTGGATGTCATAGCTATACATCTAGCATTCTGGCTTCAGTATCTTCATCTGTGATAGGATCTGATAGTACTGTTCTTGTGATATGGTGAGCAGCTTGCAGGATTTGAGTTAGAGGTTGTCAAAACAACATCTGCTGGTCATGCTAGGAAACTTGCAGCCAGTGTTGATTTCAGTACTTGTCCTGATGGTACATATTTCTTTTGTGCTTTCTGAAAACTATTTCATACCGTTTTCTTAATCCATTAAACCATTGCCTCTGTGATTTGCTATCCTTGCAGGTATTATATGTGTAGGAGGTGATGGTATTGTAAATGAGGTCTGTATATGTCACTGTTTTTCTTCCATGTGCATCTTTATTCTGGTTGTTGTAAGGAACTCTTATCTAAGGGATTTAATGTTATATTTATAAACGGTTTTTTGTCAACCCAGTGGAATTTCACAACAAGAGTTGGTGAACAGTATTGAATATCCAAATTGCAATATAAACATTATTATCTTCTGAAATTTAAGTCATTCCATTTTAATTAAGTTGGTAATGGATGGGTATTACACACGAGATTTATATACTATAATTGCTAATCTAAATCATTAATTTGACGTTTCTGTTGTTGTCTATTTTGTTTTAAAATGTTTTGGTAGGAGCTTCAAGTCTTTTGGACCTCTTGAGACAGGATATATGATTTCCATCTAACCTGCCAAAAAATCTTTTCCTATTTATCATTATTGTTTTATTATTATTATTATTATTGATTTTTTGGAAATAATTTTTTGCCTATTAAATGTTGTTTGTACCTAAAATTCTTGTTTTTTCAGCATGATTGGATGTGATTCTTTCTTTTTATTACATTTTGAAATATCTCATTTGTTGGGGTATTTGAATAATGTGTTTTCAATGGTCAGGCTGTATAGATATAATATATCTTAAATGTTGTTTGTACCTAAAATTCTTGTTTTTTCAGCATGATTGGATGTGATGCTTTCTTTTTATTACATTTTGAAATATCTCATTTGTTGGGGTATTTGAATATGTTTTTAATGGTCAGGCTGTATAGATATAATATATCTTAAATGTTTCTTTAATTGCATGTAAGAATGAAATTACTTCTGGCTCTGATTATGGTTCATGCTGCACCTTAGGAGGAAGCTTGTGAATTTCATTATTTCGTTTTATTACCTCCACAATGTAGGTTCTGAATGGTTTACTTAGTAGAGACAACCAGAAAGAAGCTATTTCAATCCCAATTGGAGTCATACCTGCTGGTTCTGATAATTCTTTAGTCTGGACTGTTCTTGGGGTCAGAGATCCGGTATCTGCGGCAATAGCAATAGTTAAGGTAGTTTTATTTGTTTTAGCTTACTTTGTTTTGCCTTATTTCAATATTATTGAATTACTCACCAGAGCAATTTTAACTGTACATATATATATATTGTATTGGAGATTACGCATGTAGAATGTGATGTCTGGATGTAGTCATCCTATTAAGAAGTGGCAGTTGTACTTCCACATGTGTCTGGTGTTGGAGATTAATTGTGTGCAGGCTATGTTCTAGTTACTCAGGATTCGAGTTTTATGCCTTTATTACATTAAATGATGAGATTATTTTGTGTCTGTCTTTGCCACCAAGAGTGTTTATGCAGTCTTACAAGTGCTGCTACACCTAGATAAACATTCACAAAGTTGTTGCACCTCTTCCTCTAGGCTGATTATTTTCCAAGTTATTCCCTTGATTTTACTGTTTCCTTGAGGAGCCTGTAAGTTCCTACAATTGTTTTGGGATTACTTATAAACACTTTTAAATATTTTATAATATGTAATGAATATGTGGTTTACCACACCCTCTAATTCAATGAGCATTTCTTCCCATAGCTTTAGCATGATTTTCCTTCAGAAGCATTGTTTCTCTTGAAAAAACTAGTTCATTTATCTGCACCTCTCAAATTTATACTACTCAGTTGTTATTACACCGGTCATAGTAATTGCTTTGCCAGGTTATTTGCATAATCACTATAACAACCTTTTACTGTTCCCTCATGAAATGGCTATCTTCGACTGGTATATTATTCTTCTTTCACAACATGATTTTGTTTCTGCTGATTCAGTTCGACTGTTTTTGTGTTTTTAATTTAAAGGTCTGACAATTTTTATTTTTATTTTTTAAACTGATGATGATATATTATAATCTTAAGAAGTAGGTTATTGTTGTGATTGTGCAAGTAGTTTTATGCCTATATTTTAATTATTTACTAGGATATCATTATTGCTATGAAGTCGTAAATTTTACCATATCCACACCCATAAAAATGTGCTTCAGTTGCTAAGTTTCCCATTGCTTGTGTATTCATCCCTTATTCTGCTCAAGTTTTTCAAACGAGTACATGATATGATGGACAGCATATTTCCATTGGTATCTTGGTCTGTATAGTTGTATTTTTATTTTATATTGAACTTTTGGCCCCCACACAAACTGCTTTGGACAAGGTTGAAAGTCGTATGTTTCTTTCTGCAACAATCTACGTGGCTCTTTTAACTTATGTTTTACTGTGTATTTTTGAGTAATTTTACTTATTGCACATGACATATCTGATATCTGACACATTTTCTCGTTGTTTTAAGGGAGGTCTTACTGCCACTGATGTTTTTGCTGTTGAATGGATCCATACTGGAGCTATTCATTTTGGGATGACCGTCACATACTTCGGTTTTATTAGTGATGGTAATATATTTGCACTTTGGTTTCTAAACAAATATTTGTCTTGGGAAGTTGCAAATTTAATCTCATATACTAAAGCCTATGTTCGAAGTTGCTGTTCTGATTGTTGGTGTGTTTGTTTAGACGTTTGGATTGGAATAGTTGTTTGATCTGAAGATATAGTCGTAATTCTAGAACTTATTCTGTTGACTTCTTGTGATCTTCTTTGTTAACAAATTCTTGACCTTGCATGCTAGAGGCCTCAGTTCTGTTCCTTTCTACTCGGTTTTAATCCTGTACGCTTCACATAAAGGTTCTATCCTCATTGCTTCTTTCCGCATATTACAATTACTTAATGACAAAAAATTGACAGCCTCTTCTTGGACTATGCCATCTCATGTTATACTGAAAGCATCTTCCTCTTCGACCTTTTGACTAGATATATCTACCTCTTTCATTGCCTGCTTAGTAAAACCATAATGATTTATTTCTTATGCCATGTTTATTATATTAATATATATTTTTGTGGTATGCGTGTGTACATTAGGGTTGCTGACTGTTGGAAATGCTGTTTTACTGTTACTGTTATGTATATTTATTTTTCCTGAATTTTATCTTTCTCCACTTGCTACAGTATTGGAGCTTTCCGAGAAGTATCAGAAACGATTTGGCCCTCTACGATACTTTGTTGCCGGTGTTCTGAAATTTTTGTGCCTTCCAAAGTACAGCTATGAAGTAGAATATCTTCCTGCAAGGAGAGAAGCAGGTGAGGGACAGGATCCATCCGATCGAGAAGTTATAGACATGTCAGAGCTCTACACAGACATCATGCGGAGATCTAGCAAGGAAGGGCTTCCTAGGGCCTCCAGCCTGTCGAGTATTGATTCAATAATGACCCCAAGCCGGATGTCGGGTGCTGATTTTGATAACAACAATGGCAGCAATGAACCATCAGAATATGTACGTGCTATTGATCCACAATCCAAAAGACTATCAGCCGGAAGAAGTAATGTAACATCTGAACCAGAAGTTGTCCATCCTCAAATGCCGCATTCCGTCACACCTAGCTGGCCCAGGACGAGATCCAAGTCGAGAAGGGAGAAAGGTCGGGGTGGATTGACTGCAAAGAATGATCCCACCCGGGCTTCCTGGGCGAATACAAATACATATGATAAAGAGGACATTTCATCGACAATGTCTGACCCTGGTCCAATTTGGGAATCCGAGCCTAGATGGGACTCTGAGCCGAACTGGAACCTAGAAAATCCCGTTGAACTGCCAGGTCCAGTGGATAGCTCAGAAACGGGCGATAATAAGGAAATTAACCCAACATCTGAAGAATCTTGGGTGTCCACTAAGGGGCCATTCCTTGGTGTCCTGGTGTGCAACCATTCATGTAAAACCGTCCAGAGTTTGAGCTCGCAAGTGGTGGCTCCTAAAGCCGAACACGATGACAACACCTTGGATCTGTTGCTCGTTCGAGGGATTGGACGTTTCAAACTGCTGAGATTCTTCCTGCGTCTACAGATGGGCAAACACCTCTCCTTGCCGTATGTCGAATATATTAAGGTAACCTTTTCCAATGTGATTAGAAATTTAATATATAAATTAATTTTGATGTATAAGATGATTCATTTGACTTGGGAATGCACTGTGTACAGGTGAAGTCCGTTAAAGTTAAACCTGGAAAGCAAATGACCAATGGATGTGGCATCGATGGCGAGCTATTTCCTGTGAGTGGTCAAGTGATCTGCTCATTGCTCCCGGAACAATGCAGACTTATCGGCCGTCCTCCATCTTCCAGAAACTGATTGCTGTCAGCATTGTCATTGTATATGCATCATATGAATGTTACACTCAAACTGGTGGTTTGAAACTGAAAGAGTTTACGGTACTTCTGCAAGATCTCCTTATGTTTTTCCCTGACGGGGTATGAGGTTGGTGTAAATTTTATTTTTCTTCATTCTTTTTTGTTTTTTTCTAAATTAACTCTCTGGACTCAATTGCCACTTATGTTTTGTGTCTCTCCAAACTGGTTCGGTATCGAAAGCCCTCTCGAGGATACTTTTATGTCATGTATTGCTTATCATTTTTCTGTTGCGCTATTTCGGATATCTATGTTTACATGACAATGTGGTTTGGACGGATTGTATCGAGCTAAGTTCAGGTCTTGAGTCTTGTTTGAGCTTGATTCGGGTATGCGATTCTTTTACGCTTACGCCAAAACCGGTCTGAGTTTGATAACTAAACTGTTTTTTGTTGTATTGATTCAAGTTTTTTTTTGTGTTTCGTCAGTAATATCATTGTTCTTGATAGAAATTTTTTTCCTGTTCCAATTTTCCACTGAATTAACTGAAAAGTTTAGGATGCTTCATATTATGATATTATTATTATTGATAGAATGTGATATTTCTTAGTTTATTCTCCGGCTTGAATTTTGTACTTTTGTGATCTGATCTGACCCTTAAATTGAAAATTGAGGGGAAAAGGGTTTTTTTACCTCAAATTTTATTATTTGGACTGCGTTTTTCGAAAAAAAAAATATATATTTTTATTTTTATAATAATATCCCATCAAATATTATTTTAATATCAATCTCCATTCAAAATTTTACCAAGAAACATTTGAGGGTCAATTGTTGGTGAGAACACAACAAGATTTCTTCAAAATTACTGTTCAAAGTTATAAAACTAGTCAACAAGCGTGGTTCTTGATTTTGACTATTTTCTCTATTTCTTTTGTCTTATCCGATTTATTATTATTTTTTAAAATAATACTACAATTTAATATTTATTTGTTTATATAAAATACCATCATATTTAATTTATTATTTTTTTTAAAAAAATATCGAATATATACGAAAAATATCATAGTTGCATTTAATTTAGAGTTTTTATCATTTAATCATTTTGATTCTTATAAAAATGCATATATTATTTTTATATAATATAATTCAAGAATGATTTCAATCCTCCTAAGGATGAAATTCTAATTTAATGCAACATTTATCTTAATCTAGTATAAATACAACATTTGCACGTGTGATCATGAAGTCATGGGTTCAAATCCGAACGTTTGAGTCACTTGCCACAATCTTTTGTCATTAAAACTATAAATTTATTAATGTCCTATTTACATATATTTATTTTTAAAATAATATAATAAAAAATCTAAGAAAAATAGACATAAATCCATGGAATTTCATTTATTGATTTATCTAAAACAAGATTTTAAAATTAGATGATTTGTAAATAATTTACAAAAATTAATTTGAAAAAAAAAAGATAAATTATTCTAAAAAATGCATAACATCAAATATACAAAAATTATAGGTCAAAGGAGTGTGCTTTTTAGTATTTACATTTCTAAGTATTTCTATTGTAAAATACTAATAATTGTAAATGGCAAGAGTATTATAAGTATTATAAAAATGATACTAAATAAATATTATTGATAATAAACCTAAAAATATGTAGGGAGAAAAATAGATGGAGTGAAATAAAAATAGATGAGTATATAGTATTAAAAAAGAAGGGACAATTCTTTTATATTTCAGGGAAGCCCACGTATTTTAGGTAAATTACGAAGGTCGCTCAAAAATGAAAAACAAACAAAAACAAGAGAGAGAGAGAGAACAAAACCCCATTGTCAAGCTCAAGCTTGTTTTTTCGTCGTATTTCTTCTTGTCTCTCTTCTCTCTCAGGAGCAGGAGCAGTAGCAGTAGCAGCTCATCTTCCCATCCCATCCCATACCACCGCCAAACCTTTTTAATTCTCTCTCCATGGATCTGCGATTTCCAGTCCTCCATTTTCCAATTCCGCCTTCTTTTTGCCCTTGATCGCATCGATTCTTATTTCCTTGTGAGTTGGTTGAGCGGTGGGAGGGTTTTGCTTGCTTTACTTTTTCCGGTGAGGAAGATGAAGGTGCCGTGCTGTTCGGTGTGCCAGAACAAGTTCAACGAGGATGAGCGGTGCCCGCTGCTCCTCCAATGCGGCCACTGCTTCTGCCGCGAGTGCTTGTCCCGTATGTTCCTGGCCTCCCAGGGCTCCTCCCTCTCTTGCCCTCGCTGCCGCCATGTCTCCACCGTCGGTAATTCCGTTTCCGCCCTGAAGAAGAATTATTCGGTGCTGTCTTTGATTCAGGGGGACGAGGAGGACGACGACGAGGAGGACGACGAGGATGAGGGGAATGAACCAGGGATGGAGGATGGAGGCTTTGCAGGTATCGATGGAATTTGTTGTGGGAATAATAACACCAATCATAGTAATCATAATAGTAATCACAATAGCGGTAGCAGTAGCGGCGGCGGCGGCGGCGGCGGTAGTTGTGTTTACAGCAATGGGAGTCGGAGAGTGGACGAGGCTTTTAGAGGGCGGAGGATTGATTTGGTGGCGCACAAGGAGGTGAAGCTGGTGAGGAGGATCGGGGAAGGGAGTAGCCGCCGCGCCGGTGTGGAGATGTGGGCGGCGGTGCTGTCGGGAAAAGGGTGTAAACATAAGATGGCGGTGAAGAAAGTGGTGATCGGAGACGGGACAGATGTGGTGTGGATGCAGGGGCAGCTGGAAGAGTTGAGGAGGAAATCTATGTGGTGTCGAAATGTGTGTACTTTCCATGGGGCGAGGAAGATGGATAATAGCCTGTATTTAGTGATGGATAGGTGCCACGGTTCGGTGCAGACTGCGATGCAGCGGAACGAGGGGCGCCTCACTCTCGAGCAGATCCTCAGGTCTATTTCTTTGTCTGTTTGTGTTATTTTGATTTCATGTTTACCTATGTGCTCTGCTGTTGATTTTCTTACCCAATTGTGTTTGTGTGTTTATTTTCGAGCTGTCACTTTATCGAGTTGCTGCAATGAGAGATATACAATACAAATCTTTTGTTGATTTTAATTGCATCAGAAGTTAAGAAATTTTCTGCTTTTGTCGGAAGTTGAATGAATGGATTCGTCAACAGGTCTCAATGTTCGACCTGCTTGGAGGAATAAAGGGTGGATGTTGATTGGTAAAAAGTATTTCTTTTAATGGAATTTGAGAGGAAGAAAAAAATGCTCTGTTAGGTCGTGTGTAGGAATTTTGTCTTTGCTAGTTTTATGACGATTTTCGTGTGTTATGTGAGGTGTATTTGTCCTCCTAAGAAATATGGGCGTTATCTTTTCAGTAGACGACAAAATGTATGGAGATTAAAAGGCGTCTGGGGGATATCTGATTGTCTTTGATGGTATAGTTTGACGTAATCATGTATCGCATAGCTTAACTTTCTGCGGGATTTGCTTGCGAAAAATATTTAGCGGTTAAAGAAAAAAATGATTCTCTAGACTTGGTTTCTTTTTCTATATAGGTTTTCATAACATTAATTTGCTAATTTAATGTTCATCTTCCTCGGAAAACCATGAAATCCGTATTACTTTACTTATCTCAAACCTAATATACCGCCTCTTCGATTCGTTGGGCATTGTTATTTGTTTTATCCCTTTAAAGGATTGGGGAAGAAAATGGCTATAATGGATATAGGATCAGTATAGAAAACCTAACATTTAAATTTGAATACTGTATAATCCTAAACTTGTATACATTTATTAAATCCAATAGACCAATACTGCATTAGGAAATACATCAAAATCGTATTACAGACCTATTTGATTAGATATTCAACACTCCTTGTATGTTTAACATGGTGAGTTTTTCGGACTTGTTTTATTTGGATGCACTATGTCAATCACAAACCAAGGCACTTTTCTATATTTTTGTTTGTGTGGATTGTTTGCTGAATGCTTAATGGATGCTTTCCACTGTTATTATGCTGCACTGTACATTGATTTCTAGATTTTTAGCTTTTTATCAGCTGTCCATTTTGATTGTTAGTCCCCCTTTTTTTTTTTTCCGAAGTACAGAAGCTTGAACTGACTTGTCATGTTGTATCTTCTAAAATTGAGCACAGATATGGAGCAGATATAGCCCGTGGAGTTGCTGAACTTCATGCAGCTGGTGTTGTGTGTATGAATATTAAGCCTTCCAATCTTCTCTTGGATGAAAATGGTCATGCCCTGGTTTCGGATTATGGCCTTCCAGCAATTTTGAAGAAGCCTGATTGCAGGAAAGCTGGAAAAGAGTGCGAATCCCCAAAGATTCATTCATGTATGGATTGCACAATGCTGAGCCCAAACTATACTGCTCCAGAAGCTTGGGAACCAGTTAAAAAATCAATACATCTTTTCTGGGATGATGCTATTGGTATTTCTCCAGAGTCTGATGCATGGAGCTTTGGTTGTACCTTGGTAGAAATGTGCACAGGATCTATCCCGTATGTAAAAACATTATTACTATTTAAACTAATTTACTTTATTACTCATGATTTGTTTTCTTGAAACCGAATAAATGGGGAAACTTAGGAGACCTATTTCTTTTTTGCAGGTGGGCTGGCTTAAGTGCTGAAGAAATCTATCAGTCTGTTGTCAAATCAAAACGGCAGCCTTCTCAATATGCAAGTGTTGTTGGTGTTGGAATACCTATGGAATTGTGGAAGATGATCGGCAATTGCCTGCAGTTCAAGGCATCCAAAAGACCAACTTTCCAATCAATGTTAGCAATATTTCTTAGACACTTGCAAGAGATTCCTCGAAGCCCACCTACAAGCCCAGACAAGTATGGAGTTAAGAGTATTATATTATTATTTTTTGCAAAGTGGAATCGTATTATGTGTATTTTCTAATTTAAGCATTAGAAAAGTTGACGCCAATTTATTTTCAGCCCTATAAAATCTAGATGTGTTCCCTTTATTACTTGTCATTTTGGCCTGTTAATGATTTCATGTTTATTTGCTCTTTTTCAAGGGGTGATGTGCCTGCCAGCCCTGTAATGAATGGGATGTCATCAATCCCATCTACTGATCTGGAAGTCCCAGTGACAAATCCCCACCTTCTACACCGACTTGTATCTGAAGGCAATTTAGATGGAGTTAGGTGGGTTTACTTTTACTTTATAACTTTATCTTTGCTGCTAGATATAAATTCATCTCTTGCAGATTCATGTTCAGCTGTCTTGTTAATGCAGAGAATTACTTTCAAAGACCGCTTCAATACACGGTCACAGTTTATTGCGCTCTCTGTTAGAAGCACAGAATGCTGATGGGCAAACTGCTCTCCACCTCGCCTGTAGGCGTGGAAGTGTTGAACTTGTTGAAGCTATTTTGCAGTGCAAAGAGGCGAATGTTGATGTCCTTGACAAAGATGGTGATCCCCCTCTGGTATTTGCTTTGGCAGCTGGGTCACCTGAATGTGTCCGGGCACTCATAAAATGCAATGCTAATGTCAGGTCAAGGTTAAGGGAAGGCCTTGGTCCGTCAGTTGCTCATGTCTGTGCTTACCATGGCCAACCTGATTGCATGAGGGTATGTGAATGGGCTTTACGTAAGAATCCATGGACCAAATGCTTCAAAAATGAATGGGACCTGTAAAAAATAATGCCTGATTGTCTTACTCAACTTCATGTCCATCAATACTGCAGGATCCAACTTGGTGTATATATATCTATATTTGTTCAAGATTTATTCTCAGATAATGTTGCATAATATTGTGATCTGTTTGTTTTATCTTTGATGTGGATAGGAGTTGTTGTTGGCGGGCGCTGATCCAAATGTTGTTGATGATGAAGGAGAATCTGTGCTTCACAGAGCTGTTACAAAGAAATACACTGATTGTGCTATTGTCATATTGGAAAATGGTGGCTGTGTATCTATGAGTATCCTGAACTCAAAAGACCTGACGTAAGTATAAGTGCATCCTGCTACGATTCGAATGGATCTTCTTAAGTACATGAATATGTCCTATGATAATACCAAAAAGTAAATTTTAGCAATAGGTTACTTTTCCATGGGAGATATTGCATCCTTCATGAATCTACCTCTGTAACTACATATCATATCATCTGGGAGTTTGGTTGATACAATAGTTTATACAAAATACAAGTAACTTCTACAGTCTAAGAATTATATTCAAGTCCTGCTAAACATAAGTCAGGTCACAATTTTGAGTAAATGAGTCGAAGTACAATTTAATCACGCTTGTGTCATTACAAGGAAGCCCAGAAGAGATGTGGCCTATATATCACAGATTTGTTAAAGGATCAAAAGGTAACATCCATTCCACTGGCAGCCAATTTATTGAACTGGTGGTCATTGTGGATTGTCTTTGAAAGATAATCCAGACTGAGTGGTGAAACTAATGTATCTACTATTCTTGTTGTATGGTCAACAATACTTTCTAAGACATCAATTATTTTATCCACTCTATGCAACAAATGGATATTATTCTGGAATTGTCAAATACAGAACATCTTTTCACTTTCTTGCTTATGCTATTTGTTCCATATATGGGCAGCTGTAAGTAATTTTTTTTTCTTTGCAGACCACTGCACTTATGTGTGATGACATGTAATGTAGCTGTTGTCAAAAGATGGCTAGAGCTTGCAACAGAAGAAGTTATTGATGAAGCTATTGATATCCAGAGCCCTCAAGGAACAGCATTGTGCATGGCAGCTTCTTTGACAAAAGATCATGAATCTGGTAGAAGTTAGATCTTACTTTTCCAAGTTGTTTATTTGTTGGTTATAATAGTTTTATTAAATATATCCTTATTTTGTCTTTCAAATTTATGTAATCGTCTAGAGGGTAGAGAATTGGTAAAGATATTGCTAGCTGCTGGAGCAGATCCAATGGCTCAAGACCCCTGTCGTTCCCATACTGCTTTGCACATTGCTGCTATGGCTAATGATGTTGAATTAGTGAGGGTAGGGTGAATCTATCTTCAACGTCGGCCTCATTATCACTCTTTACCCATGCTAGATTTCAGATCATTCAACTTTAGTGCCAGTGGATTTATTCTGCTTTTCCCCAAAATTGATTTTGTTGAAAACTCTTCTGTAGGTTATACTCGAAGCTGGTGTTGATGTAAACATCACAAATTGTCAGAATACTATACCTCTCCATATGGCATTGGCTAGAGGTGCGAAATCTTGTGTTGGATTGCTTTTATCAGCTGGGGCAAATTGCAACATGCAGGTCTGTCCACCGTTGGATCTTTTGTCTGAAATGTTTGCTATTTTTTTTTGATACATTGTGGTCTAATTATTATGCTTGCTATTACTCATGCTTTCATATATTTTCAGGATAGTGATGGGGACAATGCTTTTCATATAGCAGCTGATGGGGCAAAGATGATCCGTGAAAATTTGGATTGGATTCTTGTTATGCTCAGATATCCCAATGCTGCAGTTAATGTTAGGAATCACAGGCTAGTTTCATATGACTGAATCTTTCTTCTATTATAATATAAACCATATTAAATTATTCAGTTACCAGGGCTTTTATACACACTGTTGTATAATCTGTTGCCAAGCACAATAAACAGATATTATGAATGCTTTACAGTGGCAAGACATTCCTTGATTCGTTGGAAGCTCTTCCACGGGAATGGATTTCTGAAGATTTAATGGAAGCCCTGGTGCAGAAGGGAGTCCATTTGTCTCCTACAGTGTGTGTATCAGATCACCGCTTAGTGTTTTCCGTGCTTTCTCCTATTACCTTTGCCCAAGGTGGTGGTTGTGGCTAATTGTGCATATATTCATTTGGTTGAACCATTGTGCAGATATCAAGTTGGCGACTGGGTGAAATATAGAAAATGTGTTACAGAACCAACCTATGGGTGGCAAGGTGCATCACATAAGAGTGTTGGTTTTGTGCAAAAGGTCCTGGAAGACGACAATCTCATTGTATCATTTTGTTCTGGAGAATCTCAATCTCAAGTACGCATGAATGAAGTTGTGAAAGTGATACCACTTGACCGAGGGCAACATGTTCAACTTAAGTCTGACGTCACAGAGCCAAGGTATGAGCTCATCCAACATGGGCATTCTTGACTATTGAGTTCAATTTTATTTGTCAAATTGATTGAATTTTCGGGCCTCCTGGGTTCTCATTATAATGTGTTCTTGTGCTTTTCTTATTAAGTTTAACCGTAAGTCAAATTTAATTTGGCTGTTGTGGCATTCAAATACTTTTGTCTTGTTTCATATGGTAATGCTCTCTTAGGATAGGTATAGTTCTTTGATATGATTGTAAGCCCATGAGACTAATCTACCCACTTGATTTGCTATTAGGGGGTGTTTATTATGGGCAATTAGGGTGGATAGGGTTATTTTATCCATTCCAATCTCTTGTTGATTTACTCTATTAAGGTTGCAATTATCCTCAAACCACCCGGGCAAATACCTAAATTATATGATCATTATGTGATTATGTCCTATCAAATTGACAGTATAAAATAATCATTAAAATGTAAATTAACAATGGTAATCCCATCATTAGTAGTAAGTACACTTTTAGTATAGTCCTTGATCAAGCATGGCGTATGCATCTTTTATGTCTCACTATGTTTTCCTTCTTGATTAAATTTCCATTCAACGCTGTAATTGTATATGTAGGTCAATTAGGATTGCATGTTGGTTTTGTTAAACAATTTGTGGTTAATATTCATTGGGAAAGGATGCCAGGATAGTATGAAGTGTATTTTCTTCTTCTCTGTCTGCCAATTGCAGATTTGGGTGGCGTGATCATCTGCGCGACAGCATTGGAACAGTTTTGTGTGTTGATGATGACGGAATCTTGCGGGTTGGTTTCCCTGGAGCATCTAGAGGATGGAAAGCAGATCCTGCAGAAATGGAAAGAGTTGAGGAATTCAAGGTTGGAGACTGGGTCCGTGTACGCCCCACACTGACTACAGCTAAACATGGACTTGGATCTGTGACTCCAGGGAGCGTCGGTGTAGTATGGAGTATCAGACCTGATAAAAGTCTACTATTGGAGTTATGCTACCTACCTGCTCCATGGCTTTGTGAACCCGAAGAGGCAGAACTTGTGGAACCTTTCAAGGTGAAGGAATATTTATTGGAAGTATTGCATGACAGATTATTGATCTTTCTTTAGTTTTCCTAAGCATATATTTTTGTTTGTAATTCTCTAGATTGGTGACCGGGTCTGCGTAAAACGTTCTGTTGCGGAGCCCAGATATGCATGGGGTGGCGAAACACATCATAGTGTTGGAAAAATTAGTGAGATAGAAAACGACGGTCTTTTGGTAATTCAAATTCCCAATCGGCCTATCCCATGGCAGGCAGATCCATCTGACATGGAAAAGCTCGACAATTTCAAGGTACTAATAATAGCTTGTAGGTAAAAATGTTATTATTTGAATGCAGTCCGCCCTGACCAACTGTACCACCTCTTAACCAGGTAGGTGATTGGGTTAGAGTAAAATCTTCTGTTCCATCACCGAAATACGGGTGGGAGGACGTCACAAGAAACAGCATAGGCATAATCCACAGTTTGGAGGAGGATGGGGACGTGGGAATCGCATTTTGCTTCCGGAGCAAACTATTTTCCTGTTCCGTAACAGATGTTGAGAAGGCCCCTGCATTCGAATTAGGACAAGAGATTCGGATGATGCCGAGTGTCACTCAGCCTCGTCTCGGGTGGTCTAATGAGACGCCAGCATCTATTGGAAAGATTGTGAGGGTTGACATGGATGGTGCTTTAAACGTAAGTTTTCCTTCACTCTTTTGTTTATAGTATCTTCCATTGCCGTTTGGAAAATGATCTTTCATAGTTTTTCTTTCAATGATTTCTTTGTTCTAATATAGTTGGCTTTGGAATGATCCATTCTTAGGTCAAAGTTTCCGGAAGGCATAGTCTATGGAAGGTATCTCCGGGTGACGCAGAAAAACTTCCCGGTTTCAAAGTAGGCGATTGGGTCCGTTCAAAACCGAGCCTCGGCGCTCGACCGAGTTACGATTGGGGCAGCATCGGAAAGGAAGGTCTAGCCATCGTACATAGCGTACAGGAAACCGGTTATCTAGAACTTGCTTGCTGCTTCTGGAGGGGAAAATCGAGCACTCACTACACCGAAGTTGAAAAAGTGCCCGGATTTAAAGTCGGGCAGCATGTAAAATTTAGAGCAGGACTTGTCGAGCCGAGATGGGGCTGGCGAGGCGCACAACCAATCTCCCGAGGCGTTATTATTAGCGTCAGCGCTACGGGTGAGGTACGGGTCGCATTTAGCGGTCTCCAAGGGCTATGGCGAGGCGATCCTGCTGACCTAGAAATCGAGCAGACGTATGACGTCGGAGAATGGGTGAAATTGAGAGACGGCGCGAGTACTTGGAAGTCGGTTTTGCCCGGCAGCGTCGGCGTCGTACAAGGTCTCGTCTACGAAGAGAACGAGTGGAACGGGAACATTTCTGTCGGATTTTGCGGCGAGCAAGAACTGTGGGTTGGGAGCGCAGCTGATCTCGAGAAAGTCGAGCGCCTTGTGGTCGGGCAGCGAGTTAAAGTTCGAACGACGATCAAGCAGCCGAGGTTCGGGTGGTCGGGGCACAGCCATGCGAGCGTGGGGATCGTATCAGCGATCGATGCGGACGGGAAGCTGAGAATATACACGCCGGCCGGGTCGAAAGTGTGGCTGCTGGACCCGACGGAAGTGGTCGTCGTTGCCGAGAGGGAGGTCCGCATAAATGATTGGGTCAGAGTGAAGGGGAGCGTGTCGAACCCGACGCACCACTGGGGGGACGCGTCTCATGCGAGCGTCGGAGTCGTGCACCGGATGGAGGACGAGGATCTGTGGGTGGCGTTCTGCTTCACGGACCGGCTGTGGCTGTGCAAAGTGTGGGAGATGGAGAGGGTGCGCGCGTTTAGGGTCGGGGACAGGGTGAAGATCAAGGGGGGGCTGGTGAGCCCGCGGTGGGGGTGGGGTATGGAGACGCATGCCAGTAGGGGGGAGGTGGTTGGGGTCGATGCGAATGGGAAGTTGCGGATCAAGTTCAAGTGGCGCGAGGAGAGGACATGGATTGGAGACCCGGCGGATATCGAGCTAGACGGGTAACAGGTATCTGTATGTATATGCCTGCCTGCCGTACTGCCCTGAATCGATGGAGGATATATATATATATATATATAGAGAGAGAGAGAGAGAGAGAGAGAGAGAGAGAGAGAGAGAGAGAGAGAGAGAGAGAGAGAGAGAGAGATGAGGTTGGTGGTGGTGGTGATTGATTCATTGATTGATTTCTTAGTATAATCTACCGCCATGTGATGAGGGGGAAGGAAGACTGGGGGGGATCTATTTATTATCTTGTAGAGTATATATGTATGATATGGAAATAAATAAATATATATATATATATGCAGTATAATAATAAATATTATTATTTACTATTAATTGGTAGGTTTATTGTAGATGATGATGATGATGATGATGGTGATGTTTTGTTTATTTGTGTGGTGTTGTATCTTTTTGGTTTGATTTGTACAGAGGGAGGGAGGGAGCAAGAGAGATGATTTGTTATTTTTATTTATACTGACTGCAGTTTGTTTTGTTTGTGAGCTTTTATGGTTTGCAGTTTTGTATTTAATTCGGTGACTTTCTACACTCCACACATCCTCTATATCAGAAATGATGCAAAATTAGGAGTGCTAATGAAACAAACACATATATATAGAGATTCAAAGCTGTTTAGGAAGATACAAAGAATTTCACATTTGTCATTTTTGTTAGTTAGTTAGTTAGTTAGTTTACTACTTACTGTTTGTCAACCAAACAGAAGTAGGGCTAGTGTCTGCCTCTGCAAATCAAACAAAAACTTCAAAAAGACAAAGATCAATCAAGATGGCAAGTCACAGAAGAAGAAAACTAGGTAGTTGTTTATTAATTGGTTCATTCCAGTAGATCAATCAAAATGCCTCTAATCCTACCCTACCCTACCCACCCACCCATTGAATTATTTTTTCCCCTCCCCTCCCCCCCACCCCAGAAAAGGCAAGGCAGCAGCAGCAGCAGCAGCAAGATCATCTCATATTCTCGTCACCATGATCATCTTCTAACTCTACTCCCCCACCATTAGTTTCATCGCACCACTTGGCGAACCCCCCGACAAGAGCATCCCTCATCCACGGGTGTCGACAACAGTTGGCTGCCTCACCCATGCTCACCCATTTTCTGCTGCGGGTGTCCTGTTCCGGCCACCTCGTCAGCTGCTCCTCCACCAGCATCGCAAACATTGCGGCTCTACACAAGCCTTCGGGGCTGTGTTTCCCCTGGTGCGTTTTGCTCTTGAATTCATAGTATCCCAAGAATTTCTGAACCCAAACCAACACAACACAATCAAATACATAATAATAATAATATCAAATAGCCTTCCCATGTTTTGTTGTCGATTTTCCTCACCACTATTTTCCCTCGTACGCCGGCTTCTTCAATAGCTTCTCTGCGTGCAGCCTCTTGAACTGTTTCATCACTTTCCCACCCACCCTGGTGAATGAGGGGTAAAGACAAACTATAAATTCCATGAGTCCCTTATGGATAAATATATAAACAAACCAATGATTGCATTTTATTCATCAATTCTTAAACAAACCCTTGTCCTTGTAGATAATAACAAATAGCTAGAATCAATGATCAAAAAAAATGTATTATTCTTTTCTATTCTTAAAAACAATATTTTAACTATCTATTTTTTCATATAAAAATACTTATTTTCTATTCAAAACATTACGGCCTATTTCTTTTTTTTGTTCACATGGAACGCCTATTCCCCATTCAATTTTTTTTTTTTTATATCCAAAACACCAAAATACTTTCAAAATACAACTAGAAAACAACACATTAGTTGAGAGAAAAATTCACTTCCATATCCTCACACATATGCATATTCAAACAAGTAAAAGACAAATTAAAAAAAAGGTTTATATAAAATGCATGGTGAAATAAAATCATTTATGCCACAAATGCAGAATGGCAGAAGGTAAGGGACAAATGCTTACTATAAGGAACAGCATGGCTGAGAATGTCAATGAAGCATAAGTACCTTAGGAAACAGAAGTCCCGGGCCGCTAGGTGAATTAATCATTAGCACCTCAACAACCTTCTTTGAATTCTTACCGCCGCATTCATCAGAATCTCTGTACCTATACGGTATGCACCTGGCACGCAACATCCAACATTCGACAACGGAGGATGAAATGTTAGTGAAATAACACTGTGATGGAATGCATAGACGCGAAATGTTACAATAAAGAACTTTTACAATTATGGGAAAATATGTGAATATTTGGTAGGTTATCAAACATAAAAAATTTGGATGATTAGAACTTGAGGTCAGTGTGCTACAGACTTAACATGAAATGCATACCGGAAATCTATCAAAATGCTGTCACAATCGGTAGAAAAAACAAACAGAAAGAAACTAAAGAAGACACTGACAAGAGCCAAATTAGAAATTACTCTGTAAAGAAGTAACATCACCAAAGGTTCATTGGACCCACAGTTTGCAATTAAATACTAATACATAACAAATCATGAAATGCAATTTCGGGGCCAGGGGTCCTACATAATAACATTAAGATATAAAATTCCTCAAAAATGTAATGGCCTGCTTCTATTTGAACAATTTATGGCTGCTTGATTAGAGGATTTGGAAAGTATGAAATGGAATAAACAGTAAACTCTGGGGTTGGACAAAATGTACAGAAATGAACCTTTTGAAACCATAAAATCTGGGGTTCTTACATTTTTGCTCAAATTTGGGGGTAGACAAAATATTGTCATCTCTGCCCACCATGCCATTCCTGTGAGTCTCTTATCCATTCCCTTAGAATCATGATAAAGGACCAGACTCAATAGAAAGATTCATATTGGACTTTGGGATTATTAGGCTCGAAATAATGGCTTTGACCACATAAGGTGGTACTATACTGCTGAGTTATATCTCTTTCAGTGCCCACAGTCTTGACAATAAACATAGGCATAATTCCAATCCAGTTTCAGTCCCTTAAATATGACTGATCGGAAAACAATACAGCCTCAAGAGTAGTCACAAAAATTTCAAGAACAAGTACTAGGTTACAAGGATTTTCTTTTCAAAAATGCATATGGAACAAACCTTGTGGCACTCAATCATAACAGATAAATTTCCTATAGGAGGTTTCAATCGTGGCTTTACTGATAAAAGTTGCTAGGCTATAACTCTGCCAAATAGATTAAATTATGGCTGAAATTTTATGGGGAAACCTGAAACCACAATACTGATTCGAAATAGCACTATCAAGGAACAGTGATCTTGCAAAATAGATTAGAAATTGCAAATTTTTACATGTAAATCTATCTACATCTTCTGTCAAATGTAAACGGTGAACTGGATTCGAAATGACACCATCAAGGAAATAAGTCCATTAGCATTAAGATTTAAAACTCAAATTATATAAATAAATAAACAACCATTATGCATACAAGCACCAAACAAGAAAAAGCAGCGTAACAAAGCCTCCACACTCGCCTTTGACCTTTCACACTCAATAAGCAATCATTCAAAAATAGCTTGTCCCTACTTTACATGTACCACAAAAGTCATTCAAACTCAATCATTGCTTGATTTTACTCCTATTTGAATTTGAATTGAAACTTACTGAAATACACAGACACTAACGATCAAATAAACATACTACCTAAAATCCAATCATTGTTCCTATACAGAAATCATCTCTTACTATTTTATGCATAACAAATGAAACCTACACCAAATAAAAACTTAATCGATTCATTCTACACAATCACACCGCCAACCAAAGCATGTGTCCTTTTCTCTTCTTTTGTTTGGTTGTGAACCACAGAGACAAACAGAGAGCTTAGAGAAAAAGCCTAACATCACATCATCATCGTAATGACAAAGATACACAACTTTGTCGAAACTCCTTCGTAAGAATAGCAAATTAGCAATAGGCATGGCATGACTAACATAAAATTGGCGAGCGACGAAACCAACAATACACAACAGCGTCACTAAACATAGCACATTAATATTTACATTTAAATATGTAAATATATTGTCAATCATCAGACTACCGCAAAACTCCCAAGGAGCAGGAAACAGCCGAAGAAATTACCCAGCGACGAGGCGATAACCGGAATCATAGCGCTGCAGATGCCTCCCCGTCCTCGCGACCAAATTCTCAGACATTATGTATAATTTGATCGAAGAAAGCACAAACAAAGTCCTCCTCCTATTTCATTCATACATTTACGGGGGAGGCAACCGGAAAGCGACAATCTCTCGAGATCGGGCATCGATTGGCCATTGGATAACAAAATTGAAAGAGCGGAAAGGGTAAAGAATCTCCGGAAATAAACGGAATCCGAAAGCAGCGATGGATAGAGATTGGAAGTGCGAAATGGGGATTGTTGTTGAGATTTTGGTGTCCTGTTCCGAATGAGAGAGTTTTTGAGGGGAGAGAGAGAGAGAGAGAAAGAGAGAGGAGAACAAAAGCGTCAGAAACGGATCGAACAAAGGTGGCGAGTCGAGCCGAGCCGAGACTCGGTGGGTCCCATCAATCAAGTGGGTCCCAACTTTCCTCATATTTTTAATAATTATTATTATTATTACTTATAATGTTAATGGTAAAATAAAAAAATAAAATAAAATAAAACGTGCAATTTTAGAATTTGTTATAATAATTATATAAATAAAATCCTACGATATACTGAACTATATATATTTGCTTTGTTTTGTTCCCAATCTTACTTTTTAATTGCAATTGTCCAAAAATAATAATAAACAATACAAAATATATTTTATAAAAATCAAAAAATAAAAAATGTATATATAAATTCAAATACTCATTATAAAAAAAATGTTAAAAAAATTTAAAATATTTAATTTAAAATATATATATTATATTTTTGACATAATTTTATATTAATATATCACATATTTTTATTATTTTTATATTCTCTGTTCACTTTATATGTTACATAAAACAATTCCCTTTCAAATTATCTCGACAAAAAAATACACCTAAAAGTCATTGAAGTTGCAGAATTATGTGATAGTTGGATTAATTAAAAGAAAAAAAAAATTCTAGTTTTTTTGTTTGGATGAATTTGTAAATTTTTATAAATAAAAAACATTTAAATATAATAACATTAAAAATATTTTTAAATTATTAAAATAATCAAATAAAACGTACTAATATGAATATTTTTTATTAAACTTTTTAATTTTATATTAAAATATTATAAATTATATTTTAAATTTTAAATTAATCTAATTAAGAATATATTTATTAAATTCTATATAAATTATACTTTTAATTTTAATACATTAATAAAATAAAAAATATCATTAATTTTAAATAATTTTACTATATTATTTAAAACTTTATCAGTTATATTTAAAAATATTATTATTTATATAATTAAAATATATATTTTAAAATTTTGATATTTCAATTATATCTTTTTAATTTTAATTTAAATATAATATATTATTTAATAATTAAAATACAATTGTTTTTTAATTTAATATAAATATAATATATAAATTAGTTATTTTTTAAAGTTATTTAATTATTACTATTACTATTATTATTATTAGAGATAACATAATAATTTAAATTTTAAAGTTCTTTTTGTTTTTTAAGAAACACTTCTAAGGTACTTTAAAATATATATATATATATATATTCAGAGCTCAAAAATTATAATAAAAATCAATACAAACAGTGATAAATATTTCTTTTAGAAGTAGAAGAAAAAAAAAATTTTAAAGTTCATTCAAACGAAACTAGTAGATATGTTTACCTGTGATATAAATAGCGTAGTGATGTGATATTTTGAATATAAATTTAATTTTAGTGCAATATAATAAATAAAAATAAGTATTTAATTTAATATTTTTTAAAAAAAAATTAAAATAATAAAACGGAAAAACAAATCTCACCAAATATTAAATTTAAATACTTAAATCAAAACAAAAGAAAAATGAAATGAGCATTAGAAGTTTGAACTCATTACCTCAGTTCACTTCTATACAACTAGATCATTCATTGCAAGATTATTATTGTTATTATTATTATTATTATATGTGTGGATTAGGACCACTACAAACGGCGGGTCCAACAAGAAACCCCGGCTCACTTGTGATATTATTTTGATGAGACAAGACAAAAACTATACCAAAATTGCAATAATCCAAAATAACTCAGCAAACAAATAAATTAAATTGAGTCAAAAGTCCAATAGAAGGTGACAACTACACCTAATTAATATTGAAGACCACAATTCATCACTTAGGTCAATCCTAGAAACCTAATTAAATAAATATACATACACATAAATTGCACCGTCAAATTAATCCTAAAAATATACTTATATATGATCATATGTAATGTAGGCGCGTTTGTTTGTGTTAATTAATTACAACAAAAATGGGAATTCAACTCATAGTAACTGATGGTAGCTTCCAAACGCGGTACTAGTATCAAGGGACGACGAAAAATACTCGTTGGATAGAAACCCTAGAAATTCATCGTCGTCCATAATTGGGCTGTCGTCGGCCGCCAACGAGTCCCGGCCGGCGGCGGCGGAATTCTCGGAAGAGTCGTCGGAGGATTTTGCCGGCGGCGGCGGCGAGTGTTGGACGAGATTAAAATTGACGGCGGCGTCCCGGTGGTCGTCCATGTAATAATGAGGAGAGATGTCGGAATCCTTACCGGTGAGCTGCTGCACTAATGACCTAAATCTGGAGGCACTTGTCTCCACTTTCATTGGGGTTGAGATGTACACCACCTTCAGAGATGAATTTACACTTTTGCCCCTGCTACTGCTGCCTGTCTTCCTTTGCCTTTGCCTTTGCCTTTGCACACCTTTCTTGTTCGGAGCCTCTCTTTCGTCCATTCACAACAATATTTATTAATTTTGAGATAATATATAGAGAGGGACAGAGAGATGGTAGAGAGAGATGAAATTAATTGATGATTTCAAGTGGGTTTGGGTAATTGGCTCTATATATATATATATACACACATATATATGATGTTTCTGGGAAGGAGGACGAAAGTTGGAAAATCCAGACAGTGACGTGAGGAAGACAAATGAAGGTTGGAGGAAAATGGGATATCTAAAATGGATCAATCGAAGCTTCTTTTTTTTTTTAAATTATTTTATATATAGAGTAGTACTATATATAAATATATTATATAGGTAGGGTAGCCTTTGCTTGAGAGCTAAACTTATTTATTTTGATATTTATTTTGTCAGTGTTTTGGATAAACTTAACTGACGAAGCATCATATATATATATATATATAATATATGTATATGTCCAGAAGGCTAGGGTGCCGAATTTGTAAAATTAGTACTGATTTTTCAAATATGTAAAATATACAAAATAGCATACATATTTATTATATATAATATTCCATTAGTTTCGAAGTTAAATATTTATTTGTTTTTTGCATGTAGTTTTAGAAATATTAGTATTATATTGGGATATAGTAAAAATGAAGTAGAAATGACTAAAATAACCTTATTAGTATGTGTGATATAAAGGCAATGACATTTGTGTAATATATTGTAAGTTGTAAGGGTATTTGTAATGTTAGGTAGATACTACATTTATTAAAAAAAAGAAATGGATACTTTGTTATGAGACGAACTAAAATAAAAAAATAGATATTTTGTTATTGGATGGAGGGAGTGTGTGTTATTTGTAATAAAAACATGTATTGTTAGTTCATAATTACAACATGTGATGTATGAGAGTATATCATGTGCTCAAATCAAGTATTGTATGTATTATGTTAAACTATATCATATATTATATTTGTATTATATTAAATTATACTGTGTATTACCTCGTAGCACACAGTTTGCTATTCGATGCAGTGCTGAATTTTAAATTTAGCACTGGAGCCACAACCTGTGTATATATATGTATTGTCTAGAATGTGTATGCGATGAAGAAGTGATTTTATAAAAAAAAAAAAAAAATAAAATTGTAGGTAATTAAAATACCCACGTGCGCAGCCATAAGCGACGGGAAAATTTACATTTACCTTTCTTCTTTTTTAAAATAAAAACATTATTACTACTCGGGCCGGGCTATCTCGGGCTCGATTAACAAGTTGGTTTAAATGAGGCCCAAGCCCGAGCCCAGCTTGTTAGATACCCTATCCTATGGGCTATGGCGCTGGTTTATTATTATTATTATTATTTTTTTTTATCTTATTCAAAAATATTTATTTATTATTATTATAATATGTTAATGTTTTTTAAAGGCATACATTTAATATTTTAACTTTTTTATAAATAAAAAGAAAAATTCGAGAAATAATACCACAATATTTAAAAGTAAGTAAATAAAGTCACATATCTCAACTTATTGTTATTTTGATTGTTAAATTAGTTCATTCTTACACTGCAGGTAATAATTGGACATGTACGGACAATTAATGTCAAAGGTTGTACAAAATTTTCGCCATGTTTGAATGAGCTTGACTTGAATTCAAAACTTGTCTACAATTTTTTTTTTTTTTGGTTCATATATAATTAATATATATTCGTATGAACCAACGAGTCAATGGTCTGCATTATTCATAATTAAATACAAATATATATATATATTGCATATTTAAAAAAAATTTGCTTGTCAATTTTACTTTTTATACAATAATTTAAATAATCCCAGTTTCGATTAAAAAAATAATAATAATAATAATAATAAGAAAAAAATAACTGTTTTATCTTTTATTTATTATTTTGAATAATTTTATCATTTATACTACATTTAAAAAGATAAAATATAAAAAGAATTAATGATGATATTTTACAACATTCCAAAATAAAACATCTATTGTTAAAAAATTACATAATTTTTTGGCCGTTTATACAAAATGTTTTTTGAAGTATTGGAATTTTGAAAATACTAAAAAAAAACAAATAAGAGTAGTATTTAATATGAGATCTGTTTAGTTGTGAGGTTTTAGTTTTAAATAGTAATTTTCTTTAATAAAAATAATAATGTAATGTGATATAAATATATATTGATATTATATTAAAATTTTAGTATAATATAATAAATAAATAAATATGTTTCATTTGATCTTTTGATAGATAAACTTTTTCTTTTTTAACAGTAAAACCAACATTACAATCTCACAGGTAAACTTCACAGTGATTGGTATGATAAACAATTATGTAGTGAACATTTGGATTTTCGATTCGAATTTTTTCAACTCTAAACCGAATTGAAAAATTCAAAATTGTAGTAGTTATAATTTTGAACTAAAATCAATAATATTCATTCAGCACGATTTCAATAAAAATATATTATTTTCTCTCGCATTTAAAAATACTAGTATTTAAATAAAAATTCAAATCAACACGGTATTTCTAATCAATCTTAAACTACAATATTATTAATTTCTATTTAAGTCCAAACCATATAAAAATGTTATATTTAATATAAAAAGAATAAGTTTCATTGTAATAGAAATTGAGAAGATAACAATTAAAGTGATAAAAGAATTGCAATGGATGTTTTAAGAATTAATATTTCATTTGTCGCAGCCAATCTATTCATTTTATTATTTTGATTCATTTAAAATCAATCCATTAATTTCTTTTTAACTTATTATGGTCCCAAAAATATTTTAAATTTTATATGTTTGACGATTTAAATGACCGTTTTATCTAAAAAAATAATAATAAATTATTAAAATATTAATTATTTATTTATTTATTTTTATACAGATTCAAGTTAATCAATAATACATTTAATTATATATTAAATTATATATTATACTGCATATATTTAAGATATTAGTAATATTTTAAAATAAATGTACTCCCTCCGTCCCGCAACAAAAGTGGCGTTTGCTTTTTACACGTAGATTTTTTAATATCAGTATTATATTGGATTATAGTAAAAAAAAACAAAAATATCCCTATTAGTATGGTGTAATATAAAAGTAATGATATTTGTGTAATATATTGTAAGTTGAAAAAAGTATTTATTATGTGAAGTAAGTAGTACAATTACTAAATTAAAAAATGATAACTTTATTTTTGGACGGACGAAAATGAAAAATGATACGCAGAGAGTATTAAAAATAAATGGATACATTGATATATGAAATGAGTAATACAAATCTTGATATAGGAGACTATTATACAAAGAAATTTATTAAAGTAAGAAGCGGGAGAATCCGTTAGTTGAAAGAACGTGCCTGCTGCTATCGTCATGCATGACGTCACCGTCTTACATACGTCATGCACCACGTTTACATTTTTTTTAAAAAAATAATTTATCAATTTAATTCTAATGAAAACCTGCCGTTGTTTAGGTTATGCTTCGAGAGGAGTTTAAAAATGTTCAAAAATAATACTCCCTTCGTCGAATTTGTATTGTCCTAAAATATATTTGAACGATTGTCTTTTTGTTATAAATTAACAAATTTGCCCTTAATTATGTGATAGAGATTAAAAATAAAAATAAATAAAGGATAAAAATATAAAATTTGTGTTTAAAAAAAAGTTAATAGTTATTGAACGTCCCAAAAGTAGGACATTGTGAACTAAGGGAGTAAATATTATAATTTAATTAAATATAAATTATAATTATATGGTGTTCACTTTGTTGAATATAATTATATCAGTTTTTTTTGTCCCCTATTCATTTATAATAAATAGTTTTATGTACTCATAATTTTATGCTCTCTCCGTCTCAAAAGTATAATTTTATTGCGTTGAGCACGAGATTTAAAAAATATTGATATTATATTAGTAAGTAAAAAGTAAGGATAAATGACTATTATATTAGTGTAAAAAGTAGTGGCAATTGTGTAATAATAATGAAAAAATATGAATAGTTCGATACGATTATTTATGAAAATGAAACTATTATTTTAGGACGGACAAAAGTGGTAAACAAGACTATTATATTGGAACGAATGGAGTAGTTTATAGTTTAATAAATAGTACTCCTTCCGTCATGCAAATATGTGCTCATTTGACCGGGCACGGATTTTAATAAAAATGAGTAATAATGATTACTTTTTTCTTTTTATAGTAAAAAAAGTATAAAAAATGTAATAATTTTTTACTTAAAAAGAAAACGAGAATATTTTTAAATGACAACCCAAAAAAAAAGTGAGCAATGAAGGGAGTACTGTTGTCGTCCACCAAATTTATATCTATTTTTTTTATTTATCTACAAAAATATATATTTTTATTTATAGCAAATAATTTTTATATCCCCTTGATTGGCACCCTTCACTATTACACTTATAGAAATGTCATACCTATCTAATGAATTATCAAGCAATGGTAGAAATCTATTTGAATTAAGCATGTCTGTTTGTTTTGTAATTTGGATTGAAAATATATATATATATATATATATTATTGATATAAGATATAGGGAAATTGCATAGGTAATATAAAAATAACGAAAGTATGTAATACATATTTTTTTTTATATGTGTTATAAATTTTTTAGAAAAAAATTACTGTACTTTTAAATAATTTTTTTTTGAGGTATAAAAAGCATTTTTTTTAAAAAAAAAAAAAAATTGATCTTTTTTATCAATACGTTGAATTATGTAATAGAAATACTTTGTTTGGTCTCAGTTTAGCATAGATTGGGCCCAGCCCACTGTACATTATGAGGGGTTTTGAATGGACTATGGTTATTCGTTTTGTTAGTTTTTTTTTTAATATTATTAATGGTGTATTCTTATAATTTTTTTTTTACTATTGTATTTTCTACACAATTTTTTATATTTCATATAAAAAAAATTACTTATTTAAATTATATTACAAAACAAAAAACAAAAAAATAGTCTTTTCGTTAGGCTAAAAAACATATATTTATTTTTTATACGAAATTTAAAAAACAATTGTATTTTAATTATAGTAGATAATAGAAAATAATGTAAAAATATTTTTGCATAAATATAACGATTTGATCATAAATAGAAGTATTTGTAAAAAAAATAAAATATT